ACTCTCCCCTAATCAGCCTACTATTGTAACTGAAGTTTATTGTGATATCAGTACTTTATCAGGCTTAGTGTGTTTTATCCTGCTGCACAGGCACACATCACATCTTCACCAGATTCATCTACATCCTCTTGGATGTAACTAAATACCTTTACTCTTGAACAAAAAAAAATGAATATTTTGAAAAGTTTCTCTACATTTTGTACCAACTTATACTTTAAGTTCAGGGTATACCCTTTAAGTTTAAATAGCAACCAGACACTTCCACTGTGTCGTCTAGCTCCCGTCCTCCCTCTGGCACATATCACAACAGCTCAAATGTGGGTGAACACGTCCATATCACATCACCTGCTGAAACTATACCACAGTCTTACGTTTCTCTGCGGTACATGTGTCACACGCCGCTGGTCCTGTCCTGTCCTGTAATAAGAGAATGAAAGGTGCCAGCCGACATACTTAAACAAGCTCTTAGCAGCCCAGGCACACATCACATCCTGTGTTACCTCAGCAAATCACCCAACCTCACCCATGTGCCCTTGTTTTCACAGCAGTCCTCATCCAGTCTGGATGAACTGAGCACCTCTGATTTTGAAGGGGGGGTGGGAGGAGGATCAGGTGACCAGACCTACTCCTGTGTTGCCTGAGTGAGACTATGTAGGTCACACCCTTCTTTGACTGATTAAAAATTCAGGATGGAGAGACCTGCTTCATTCGACAGAGGAATCAGAAATATTGTAAAAACTGCTATAAAATCCAAATATCTTTTGCAAAAAAAAGCTACATGGTCACTCTGATAAGTGTTTAATATGCAAGGTCAGACTGAAATCTGGTAAGAACAATTCTGGTAACACTTAAAAATTCCCCTGAAAGTAACTTGATTGACTCTGGACATCTTGTTCATTTCCTGCTTTTCACCACTCAGTGAATCACGAAATATGCGTCATAAAATCACAGTTTGACTTTTTTTTTAAAGTCCCAATTATAATGCCATTTAGTTGAGTTAGTCAGCAGAATTATACAAATAAATTAAATATTTATCTGCATCTGTCTGCACAAACAACCTGAGAGTAGGAGCTGAAAAACAAAACTGTGTTTGGACTGATTATTAGAGAGAAAAATAAACAATCCAAACAGCTTTACACTCTCCCAGCTGCTATTGTAATTTTATTTTGACATCTTAAAGATAATAGTGAGCTCAGTGGAGCAGGCTCAGATCTGCTTTTACTGCCCGGGGTTATTATTTTCATGGCAAACACTCTAGTGTTGCAGATGTTTATAAAATAGAGGAGGATAAGTGTCTGTGTTGTACTTTGTTAAAGCATAAATCTGTTCAGAATGAGACCACAAGTCCACAGAGAGAGATCCATCCACATCCATCCATCTAATCTAATCTATTACCCATCTGTCTGTCCCATACAATGGCCAAACACTTAAAGTTCCTGTGAGGAACTTTCAGTTTCCATTGATTTTGGCGCCCCCTTTGGACAAAGATGTCTTAGCATGTCTTGTCTTCAACATGCATCTGAAAATAATCTCATTTTACCAACATTTGACTGTCAGATGTATCATTTATTGTGAATATTTTTGGCCGGAACTTGTAAAAACAGTTTGTTGTTTCTGTAGCCTCTCAACTGATACTACCTCACTCTGTTTTCAGGTGTTGAAATTACAATACAAATGTCATCCCTCGTCTTTCCTATGGTTGTGTTTTGGTGTTGATATAATAAAAAAGGCAGAATTTACCCAGTATCCAGTATTTACAGAGCATCTTGCAAGTTACAGCAACAAGGATTATTAATATTTTTTTTACAGTCAAAAACCTCAAGCAAAACCAGAGTCATGTTGAACAACCATCTTGTCCTGAACATGTTGGATTTAGAGAAAGAAAGAGATGTGTAAAACTGGGTCAGCACAAGTTATTCTCACTCTTTTCTCATTACTGCCAACCTAACATTTTAAGTTTGCTTAATTGGTTAAAATCTGTAAAAGCAACGGGGAACAACGGTCTCCATGAAAGTGTATCCCCTCGGATAAAGATGATTCCAGCGTGCTATGGGAGCTGGATTGTTGGCAATTCAACTAAAGTGAGAAACGAACAAATCACTTGAGAAAGTGATTCGGTTCAGTACTTTGGTTCTTTTGAACGAATCATTTGCGAACGACACAACACTACTTTGTAAACTGTTCCAATTAAGAAAAACTGTAAAGTCATCAGAGCAGATCTGGTATCTGGTTGATGGTAATGATGCTGATGATAGTGAAAGGAATGTCAATGTCAATGATAATGATGAGAGCTTTTGGACGACCAAAATTTCTAACATGCCTGAAATTCATCCGACCTGTCAGGAGCAGATGATCGGGCCATTATCAGCTCCTATGATCTTGTTCACACTGCAGGACTAATGAGACATGATTGGACTGATATTTAGGAACAGCAGTCTTGTTTCTCAAAAACTGGGTCAGCACAAGTCACAGTGTATCACACTGTTTGTGTATCTGTTGGTTTCTAGGTAGTTTTTCTGCAACTTTTGTTTTCATTTACTTATTTCTTGCTAAGGGTCAGATAATTACAGAAGTATCACCCCTGTATCTGTCTACTTCATCAAAACTTCATGAGTTAGCAGCCAAACTCTGCACAGCTCGGTTTAAAGTGTGAAAGTAGAAGAGACAGCTTGTTAGGAGGGTAACGAAAGAGCCTGCCGTCACCAGTAAAACTCTCCATTACAACATTTTATCCTAGTTATATCCAGATATGTGAAAGTGAGACCAATTTTGGTAGTGTCCCCCAAACTGTCTGACTATTCCTTTAACATAGTCACGATGCCATCAGCTCAGTAATAACACTGCAGAGTGAAATGGTGTGGGCTTGCATGACCATTAAAATTCATTTTAACATATTGGTTGCTACTGTAAGGAAAACAGGGCTCACACTCACTTCATCTGGAGTCATGCTGCACTGCTGCTGCCATCCTGAATCGCTTCCATGCAGAGTGCTAAATTATTATGTCAACTCCCCCCTCTCTCTCCACGGTGCTTCCTTTATTAATGTGGCTCACTTGATAACAAATATGCCATCCTGAGGTATTGCTCCCCGCGCTGCAGGTCATGGGAAAAAAATCCTGCTGTCTTGGACTCATTAAGCCGTATTTCTGGATTTTGTAATGGGGGGGAAAAAGGGGGAGAAGTTAAAGAGATTCCCCCTCCTTCCTGTGCCTTTTAGAAGATAAGGAATGATAGTTTTTTTTTCATGAATTGCACCTAGGAGGAAACAGACCTTTATGCCCTAGTTGAAGCAATGACACGCAAGCAATTTTTGTTTCGAAAACAAGTTTGTCACGCAAACCAAGGCCAGCTGCACTCCCTCAACCTCAGTGTATCAATCCGAAGAGATGCAGCTGTCAGTGTCAGCTTTGAAAAAACATGAATTATTGGAGTAATTTGACCACATTCTGTTTGTCATCTTATATGTTGTCATTCATTTGTACAGATCAAAACAGCTGATGGAAGACACAGGGTGACGGAGATTTGCTGACAGTGATATGCATCATCAGCTTTACAGTCCCTCTCTCTCTGTAAGAGTGTGTGTGTGTGTGTGTGTGTGTGTGTGTGTGTGTGTGTGTGTGTGTGTGTGTGTGTGTGTGTGTGTGTGTGTGTGTGTGTGTGTGTGTGTGTGTGACTGATGATCTCTGCTTATTCTCAAAGATCTCTTGAACTTTTACATCCTGAGCACAACCAGACTGCCCTCCTATGGCTATAGGATGTATTACATATTTATAAGCAGGTCTGTTCAAGCTTAATTTACAATTTGTGGTACAATACTTCAACAGTATTGATCTGCCACCCCTCAAAATTGAACATCAATCTCTCAAATATGAGGGTCTTCTTTTATGATCAAGGGTGGTAATTATCTTTATAATTTGAGTTGATTTTAAAAGAAATTTCTGTTAAATGATGGGATATACGAAGTCGGCTTATTCCCGCAATTCAACCACAACTGGTCTATTTATTTAAAAAAACAAAACTATAACTAAACCCACAACTTTTTAAATCCAGAAATATAAAATGCAGACATAAACTAGACTTTTTTTTTTTTTTTAGCAAAATCCCAGTGTATTCTGCATCTTAGCCCTGAGAAATGTGTGCACTTGTTAAGGTGATGGATGGTGTTATATTAATACCTGGTGAGGCCTTGTATGAAAATGCTCCCCCCTCTCCTCTCAGCTGCAGGGCTGCTGACTGCGGGGTTGAATCCTGCGTTACAGGCCGGAGCAGCACGCAGGGAAACAGATGGGTAATAAGGTCACAGCAGACGTAACTCGCACTACAGCACAGACAAATTGCAGACACACCAGCTGTGCTGAGTCAGGACAACATTACACTCCGGAGAATTGAATTAAGATCCCTTTTTATTACAGGGAGTGTTGTAGCTTTGTGGGTTATTTGCCTCTCATGTAGTCATTGGAAAAGCGATAAAAAGGCGCCAAGAACCAACCCATTTTCCTTTTAAATATAAAAAATCTCTGCTTCATTTGTGATGTTGTTTTTTTTGTTTCTGTTTATTAAATAGTTTTAATTTTTTTCTCCAAAAATTTCATACAAATATTCATGGTTCACAGAGGATGAATCCTGCTGCCAACTGTCCGATTTTATGGCTTCTCCTTTTGCATCACAACACGCAGAGACGTAGTAGTTTCAAATGGGACAATGAGCTTTTAAGTATAAGAACATGACCACAGATATAAAGATTAGATTAAAAAATCTCTCCTTAACCAAAAAATGTTTTTTTGCATCAGCTGCATTTATCATTTTTATACTTACACATTCACAAGAACTATATGCAGGGTTCATGCACCATATGATCACACATAAATACAAAATTTTATCTGCGTCTTTGGCAAACAAGCTTATTTATTCATGCAATTTAGATTTTTTTTTTCTATTTCAATTTTATGATTTCAGATCTTGGAATTTGGAGGAAATTATTCCACACACAATACCGCCAATCCTTATTTAAACACTCTTTATTTTACATAATACTGCCTGTGTGCGGCAGGACAATAAATTATTACATTATTTTCAAACAAACAGGCACATGAACTCTTTTATTGTGGCTTCATCACCTATATATTTAAAAATCTTAGTCTGTATCCCTGAAGTTTTGATTCAGAGTTGTCACTGCAATAATTACAACACCTTGCACAGTCGGAAAAAACCCAGAACTACACGTATCTTTAAGTCAACCCACATAGAAACAGTACACTACCGTACAGGTTTGGCAAATAAAAACCAGTGTTCAGTGCATAATGTGCATGGCATGAGAGAAGTTACATTCATCACACTGTTGATGACGTGCGGCTGCTTCAGTCCTCCGTGTCCGAGCTGTCTGCAGGGTCAGTGTTGTGCGTCAGCATGTAGTTGTCCATGTCGATGGAGGGGCAGTTGTGGATGGAGTAACGCAGACGCTCGGCGAGGATGGCCTGGCTCGTGTACGGAGGGAGGCGGAAGAGGAAGAAGCAGGTCTGAGCAGTGGGGAGGCCATTGATTGGCTGATGAGGAATAAAGAAAGAGATCAGTTTACTGTTTTTATCAAACTTCATCCTTTTACTTGGGAGGATCACCTGTCTTATATTTACCATTAGGGGTGATAGAAAAAAAAATCGCTACAGCATAGCAAATCTATCATAATGAAATAATAAAATCAACTGTTTGTCCAGTGATGTTGGCAGAGGTGACATCATAGAGCAGGAAGAATTGGTACAACAAATAAGGTTTGCAAGATGCGCTACATATAAATAAAATACTGTGTAAATAAGACAAACATAAAGGAAAGACAAATGCTAAACAAACTAAACAGTTAAAAAAATTGTATAAATCGGAATATATTGTACTGCAAAATGTTAAAAATCACAATAATATCGTATTGTGGCCCAAGTATCGTGATAATATTGTATCATTGCCCAAGTATTGTGATAATATCGTACTGTGGCCCAAGTATCGTGATAATATCGTATTGTGGCTCATGTATCGTGATAATATCATATTGTGGCTCAAGTATTGTGATAATATCGTACTGTGGCCCAAGTATTGTGATAATATTGTATCGTGGCCCAAGTATCGTGATAATATCGTATCGTGGCCCAAGTATTGTGATAATATCAGAACGTGGCCCAAGTATTGCGATAATATCGTATTGTGGCTCAAGTATCGAGATAATATCATATCGTGGCCTAAGTTTTGTGATAATATCGTATTGTGGCTCAAGTATCGTGATAATATCGTATTGTGGCCGAAGTATTGTGATAATATCATATTGTTGCCGAAGTATTGTGATATTATCGTATCATGCTTATATCGTATCGTGGCCCAAGTATCGTGATAATATCAAAACGTGCCTCAAGTATTGTGATAATATTGTTTCGTGGGGCCACTAGTGATTCCCATCTTTTCTGGTGTTACTGACAGGTATTTTATCTAAAAAAAGACTTTGTACCTTAACTTTTATTTTTTTTTATAAATGAACAGATTTCACCTTCAATACTACAAGAATTACAGGAGAAGTAGAGGGGAAAAATGATAAAAATTGATTTTACAATGAAAGAGTCTAAGCATCTGGGTTCAATTAAAGGTTCAATTCGCTTCCCCCACAGCCTGAAAAATTTTTCTTCAGGGAATCTAAAACCTTTCTGTGACATTTAGTTAATATATTATTCTTTTAATAACTGATTCACTAATAGGAAGTGGCCCACAAGCTGCTCATAAAGCAGAATCACTCTTGTGGGTACAGACTGTCATCCTGAACAAGAATGAGCTAAAGATGTCATTTATGTTATAAAACTGTCTGCGTAGACCTGGCAACTCCAGAAAATGTGGGCGTAATTGGTGTCATTTATATCCCAAATAATCTCCAACGACTTCCCTGACGTCTTATTAAAGACAAGCCCTCTTGTTGATCTTGTTTGTACTTTTAAAAATGGTTTCCTCATTCAGAAGTGGTTGTTTCTCTGTTAGTCGTGGTCTCACCCTGTCAACCTTGATGATCTGAAACTTCTGTGTGATGTCAGCCGGGTTAGAAGGCAACCTGGACCTGCCAGAGACGAAACGCAGGAAAAGCACGCGCTCCTCGTTGGTGAACTCCTCCAGGCTCTGCCAGAACCAGCCAATGAGCTGGTGGCTCTCTGTGATGTCACGGTAACGCACGAGCTTCTTCAGCATCTCCACCGAGACCTCCGGCAGGCCACAGACCAGCTGCTCCAGCTGCTGTGCCGTCAGCAGGGAGAGGAGGGGCACGGGGATGATGGTGGACATGCCCTCTCTGACTGCTGCCACCTGGACACGACACAACAACAACAAGCTCGGGTACTTTGAAACATCAGAGGGCAAGATAAAGGGGAGGGCAACAGCTCAGCACGCAGGCTCTGGACTCAACACTAATGGACTGACATGTTGTTTACAATGGCTGCAGGATTTCAGATACAGTGGAGAAGAATCCACACTAAGGTTTTACTCATCCATTATTATCCTAGCCTTTGGTTGGACTAATATTTTTTACATATCTAGTCTATCTTTATCTATATTTATTGAGGTTAAAAACTGTCAATTTATGCTCATAAAGACCCTCCATGGAGCCATTTTGCAGTTTAGGGGCTCTCCAACTTTCAATAACCAAATCTTTTTTTAAATTCCTGCAAATTTATTTATTTTTAACATGTCAAATTTCAGACTTTTATATATAATACAATTTAAGACCCATTTAACACACATACTGGCAAAAAAGTACAAAAGACATGAAGAAGAAGAGGGAAATTGGAACATTTTACATCACTTCAAATAAATCTTTATTCCTTTTGCATGTTATTTATTTGTAAGTAGAGTAAAAAAAATGTTCTGACCTTTTAAAATCCTATTTAAGAAATTTTGTGAGATTTTAAGAGAATTTTAGACATTTTAAAGCCTTAAATTCAAGTTATTAGATTATAGACGGTTTTAAGACTTTTTAAGACCCAGCAGATACCCTGTAAAAAAAAATTTGACCGCCAGTTTAAATATTTTTTTGTTTAGCTTTTTCTTTCATAGCAAAATGGAAATATTTAGATTATTACTAGCTGGAATTTTATTTGTAGTACTCAGAAAATATGACAAAATGCCACAGTTAGTTTATTGCAAGAACTTTTTTATGGGTAAATCTTACAAAAGTATCAATCTGCAATGTTATTGTAAAAAACCCTCTCATTACTGATTTTTAGGACATTATTTGAGGTATTGTGTGGATGATTTTGACAATTCCAGTAAAATTGTTCCATTTTACATAGAAAGAGCTGAGGTAGAGTTGTCGCATTATACCAGAAGTGACAATTACTGTCCTCATACAAATGCTAATAACTCATGAAATAGAGTAATGCTACATTCAAGTTACCTCGGAAGTCAGATGTCGAAGCTGAAAATGACATCACACCCGAGTTACCAGCGTTTCAGTTATCAAGTCGTAAAAAAAAGCTAAATTGAAGGCGATGATTATCTCTTATCTTGTTTGCTTTTTTCCGACTTGGTAACTGAAACGCTGGTAACTCGCTGGTGACTGCATTGAGGTAACTCAAATGCAGCATTACTATGTGACGTTTGTGAATGATATTAGTTCGTGTGGAAGCTCCCTCACAGGTTTTTTAGTCGCAGCTCGTCGTGCCCTAAAATCAGTCGAAAACCACTCAAACCTGTGAGTCCATCTCATGCAGCCTGTAGTCCAGAGCTCGCTCCACATATTCGTTCCGATTTGCAAACGTGAGGGAAATGTTCTGCCCTCCAGGAACCACAGGAACCAGCCTTCCATCTGCACTGTGGGCCATAAACGAGTCCAGCGGGATCATCTTTAAAAAAAGAGTTGTGATGTTATGATCAGAAAAAGAGTGAGATGGTGTGTCGTCATTATTAACTCTATTTGCTTCGTATCTCACCACGTGGAAGTTATCTTCTGTGATGCCACTGTTTTCCAGGTGAAGGATGCCTTGCAGGGTACGGTAAGTGAGCAGGTCCACCTCCTCCAGGTCTGGCCCTCCTAGTGGCATCGAGCAGAGCTGTTTCCACACCCAAGGAGCCAGGTGCAAATCTAGGGGTTTCTTCGTGCGGATAGCTACAGCCATGAGGATGCCCAGAAAGCGAAACTGGACTATGTGATCCTCTGAGAGTGCAGCTGGGTTCAGTAAGAACCTGTGAAGATATGTGCAAGAAAGTTTTGATTTCAGAACATGTTTTAGTATAAAGAAACTGTTCAAGAGGAGACGACTGTGAAGTGTGCACCTGTCAGTGTTACAGCCCACATCTGCAAAGCTGTTGGGAGTATGAATCAGAAGCTCCACGACTCCAGACTGCAGCTCCTGCATCAAACACAAAGTGCTGTGTCACTTTAAAAATAGAGGATTTTTCAAAGCTCTCTCTGTTGCTCTCAGACCTCTTCGATTCCTACCTGGCACATCTCAGTGATGGTGTCATCAAACACTCCTCCGGCGTCGTCCGCTCCCTCTCCGACAAGCTTGACCTTCCAAGCTCGGGAAGGGAGTCGCAGCTCGAGGGGGTTCAGACTCACCACTTGCTTGGCGATCTGCACGAAGATAGGCTTGCTGGAACGCCCTCTGTGAAAGGGGAGCGAGAAAGCACAGGTGAAAATGTACAGACTGCATTTACCACACAGAGGTCTTAGAAAAACATCGCATGACCTATATAGAAGAACCTACAGAGTCCGCCAACATACAAGCCATCCTGGTCGTCCTTACCTTGTGGAAATTCGTTTCACAGTAATTTGTGGCCCATATGTTTTGCCCTGCGTCATTGTCCTGCCAATGGAGCGCACCAGAGGCAGAGTGTTGACCTTAGGTGATAAAAGGCCTCTGAGTTCACCGCGGATGATGGCTGTCGTCCCTGAACTGTAGCGTGAAGTGGACACCTGGATAGCGGGGAGGACGGGGAATTAATTAGAGGGAAGCAAATGAGGCATCAGACGAAAAATGGGGTAGATGCAGAGATGATTAACAAGAAGGAGAGGAGGAGGGTTTTTTTTATTTTCAGTAAAAAAGGTCAAAGTGGGATTAAAGATCACCGGGTTTCTTGCATCGAGGTTGAGCAGCCTCCAGGACTTGTACATGAGATCAGAGAAGTGGTAGAGGACCCTGAGGCGCAGGCAGAGGACATCGGGGCTGCAGTCTTTCAGAGTGTTGTACTGTGGGGGGACTGACTGGGGAAGGCCGAGCTGGAAGTTTCCAGGGCCACCTAGGGATGAAAGTCAGAACCAGAGTCCTAAATGTGTCCTTTTTTCATGGATCACGGCGGTAAAGAGAACCTGCATGCATACCTGAGTGCTTCACGGAGGTAGAGGGGGTGGTCCATGCCGAGCTGTGACAGCGACCAGCAGAGATCTGTCTGATGTTTTTCCCCTGGAGGGCTGTTAGGAGAGTGGGCTCCTTCACAGGGTTGGAGTGTCCAAGGCCGAGCTAGAACACACAGAAATGAGACAGACCTCTGATGAGCAGATTTCAGATTGTTAATGTGTAGAGTTTATTACACAGGATGTTTGTTACCTGTCCCTCGCTGTTGCAGCCCCAGGCGTAGACGTCTCCGGTGGAGGACAGGGCCAGCACATGCTCACAGCCGACAGCTATGTCTTCTACGAAGAGCCCCTCCAGAGACGGCACCACCTGAGGGCAGGATTTATTCTTCAGCATGGAGTCCGGCAGGCCGATCAGACGCTCTGAGGGATAAACAGGAGGGAGCCTGATGATACGATGCTGCCACGAGTGTGCACAAAAAACAAACAGCAAAACTACGAAAACTGAGTTCAGTCTGAGCTGCATGCTGAGGAGCTGAGCTGACGTCAACTCTCAGGAAGAGAGGTTTCTCTCCAACTGAATACTTCATGGGTGAAATTTACTGGCCATGATGCATGATGAACACTGTACATGAGGTCTAGAAAAAGTACATTTTGAAACAGTCAAATTTTCTTAATTAAAAAGTTCAGAACAGAGATTTATGTGTGTCAAATTGAGATGAAGTCCTATCGTGTTTTAGTGAGGGCTCAGTCTATTTCCAGGTGATTAATTTGCATCTTAAAGGGATATTCTGGCGTAAAATTAATATAGGGTCAAACACACCATAACACGGAGTTAGACACCCCCTCAAGAGATGAATGTTCCCGACTGCTTGCTTCTCCAGTTATACCAACTTTAGTAACAACCGCACGATAGCAATACACAGTGGTCTGAGGAGCCATAAACAAACCTCAACCAAAACGCCACTCTATAGCCACAAATAAAGCTCAGAACAGCACCTAACTTCATCAACAGTACATATAGGGTCCTAGCCACAGCATTAGCCACCAAACATCTTTTTAGCTTTGCCTAATTTCTTTAGCAAAGACACTAAACACATCTCACCTACTCTCTTCCAGCAGCTACTTATGTGTAGAGAGACCTCTGGCAAGTCCATCGCAGTGACCCAGCTCAAGGAAGAACATTAATGATCATTTCTGTATCATTTCCTTTAAGTAATAATCACCATATTAATCATTTGCACTGCAGACGTGGTAGTTTTTCTGCCTTAGCGTCTCAGTCTGATCGCATTACAATGACAAAATGATCACAAATGTTCTTCCTTAAGCTGCGTCACCCCGCTGTAGTCCGTAATGGACTGGCCTGAGGTCTTATTAAAGCTGGTATAACTAGAAAAGCAAGCGATCAGCAACATTCATCTCTCAACTCGGTGTTAAGGTGTGTTTGATCCTAAATTAATTTTATGCTGGAATATCCCTTTAAATGGATTTGTAATTAGTTGAATAATCACAGTTTAAAAAAAAAAAAACTCACAGTAGAAACATTTTCAATTTCCCTGTCAGAGTCAAATCTACCTTGTCCAAATGTGTAAACACGTCCATCACAGCCCAGCGCCACCGAGAACTGAGTCCCACAGCTGACCTTCTTGATTCCCTTGTTGCAAAGCGGCTCCACTTTCTGCAAACAGGAACGAATTAAAAAAACACAACAACATCAAAACTAAAGAGAAGAGCTCAATGTAAATTAAGTCATAACACTCAAAGCAGCATCCTCCAGGGAAACAAGCAGGTCAACTCTGTCACTTGCCTGTGGGTAGTATTTGGCTGTGGAGGAGCCTGTCCCCAGTTTGCCATAATCACCATCTCCGAATGCCCACACAACCATGCCATCAAGAGAGAGCACCAGTGTATGGTTGAGACCGCAGGACACCTGGAAAAGAGTTGAATTATTTTTTCCTTTTCTAATGTGTGGACTGGTTCAAAATCTGTCTTTAGGAAACATCTGTTTCTTACCTGACCCACATGATATCCTTCTAGTGCAGCTACTCTCTCAGGCAGCATCTTGTTGGATGTTGACCTCTGACCCAGTCGGCCGGATTCACCGCTGCCGAACGTGAACAACTTTCCGTCTGCAGTGACCACAGCAGAGTGCCGGAAACCACAAGCAAGCTGGAAATTAAAGGAGAAAATGTAGTGAAATGTGGGGGTGAAACTTATTTAAATAGAAATTGAGAAGAGTGTTAGTTCAGGCAGGCAACAAAGTACATCAGCTGATCCTAACACCAACCCTGACTTCAGTTTAAAAGCGAAAAACTCTCCGATGTTTACCTGAACAATGTCTTCTCCTTGTAGAGCCTCTATCTGTTTGGGTCGCCTCTGCCTCTCACTGTTCCCATGGCCCAGTTTCCCAAAATCACCATCCCCCCAACTGAAGACCTCCCCAGTCTCAGTCAGAGCCATGGAGTGTCCGTCAGATCCACACGACGTGACCAGCTGAGTCACAACATAACCTACACACAGATCACAAGAAGATAAAATATTAAACTTAACATCTGCAGCAAAATAGAGGCTCGAAATGAAATTGGTCACAAAATATGGCACAACGGCGCCCACTTGAGGCCTCTGGATGGTTTTTGTACCTTGAAAAGCAGAAATAATAGTGGGGATGTAGAGATCATCAGAGTTGCCCTGACCCAGTCTGCCATATTGTCCTTCTCCTACAGCCAGGACCGTCCCATTGGACTGGACCAGGAAGGTACAGTTCTGTCCACACACAACCTGAGAGACAATAAACACATCCACAAAGGACAGGACAAAATGAGTCAAACAATAAAGGACAGAGACTGTGCCATGACTAGGAAAAGTTTCTACCTGCTGTGTTTGTAACAGAGACGGAGCGAGAGCAGGCATCATGAGGTTAGTTCCCATCCCTGCCAACTGTCCATAACGCCCATTTCCCCACAGGTACACCTCACTCTTCCCGCCTTGTTGCCAGTCCTGAAAAACACAAATTTAAATTTAAAGATATATCTGTAGGCTGATACAGACATATATGTACAAGCATGTATGATTTCTGCTGTGTGTACAAGACATTTATTTCATTATATCTAACAAGAAGAAGATGATATTGGGTATTTTGTAAACAGATGTCGTCATGTAGTTTTACCAGAATCAATCAAGAATTAATCGACACTATCTGTAGTCAATTAAAGCTGAGCATTCACTAATAGAATTGACACACACTGAATTTTCCTTCAGGGATGAATAAAGTTCTTCTTTATCTTAATTATGTTGGATATTCAGTATTCAAGTACTTGTTTAAGAATACACTCATTTAAATAGGTTGTTGTTGTTGTCATTAGTGCAAAATTTGTGCAATATTTGTGCAATATTTGTGCAATAGTTCTTTAAAAAGACACCTAGCATAGTATCCCGATATTTTGTCTGGTGATATATTGTATCGTCTCACTGACCAAGTATCGATTTTTTTCAAATTAATTGTTAATATGAAGTCAAATCTATGATAATGGAAAAATAAAATCAACTGTTTGTCCAGTGAGGTTGGCAGAGGTAACATCATAGAGCGGGAGAAAGTTAGAACAACAAACAGCAGCACCTAGGGGAACACATTGGGAATGCAAACAGGGCACAAATGAGATGGACCTGACACAAGTGGTTTGCAAGATGTGCTACATGAATATAAAATACTGTGTAAATAAGACAAACATAAAGGAAAGACAAATGCTAAATTAGCTAAATAGTTGAAAAAATTGTATAAATCACAATATATTGTATCGCAATACTCACTGTTTTGCAAAATGTTAAAAATCGTAATAATATCGTATCGTGGCCCAAGTATCGTGATAATATCGTATCGTGGCTCAAGTATCGTGACAATATCGTGGCCCAAGTATCGTGATTATATTGTGGCCCAAGTATCGTGATAATATTGTGGCCCAAGTATCGTGATAATATCATATCATGGCTCAAGTACTGTGATAATGTTGTGGCCCAAGTATGCTGATAATATCATATCGTGGCCCAAGTATCGCAATACTATTGTTTCATGGCTCAAGTATCGCAATAATATCGTATCGTGGCTCAAAAATCGTGATAATATCGTGGCCCAAGTATGCTGATAATATCATATCGTGGCTCAAGTATTGTGATAATATTATATCGTGGCCCAAGTATGCTGATAATATCATATCGTGGCCCAAGTATTGTGATAATATAATATCGTGGCCCAAGTATGCTGATAATATCATATCGTGGCTCAAGTATCGTGATAATATCATATCGTGGCCCAAGTATTGTGATAATATCATATCGTAAAGTCACTGGTGATTCCCACCCCAACTAATAGGCCAAAATATCAGTATTAACAGGTCTCTCTGCCTCTTGAATTGATATGAGTATGACTATCAAAAATATGTAACGGGTTAGACTCTAAATCATACTCTTTTTTCTCTGCAGAAACAGGTTAATCAAAAAAAGGTTTTCATTATGAGGAAAAACTTTTATTTTGCCGTTTATGAAACATTTTATTCTGAAGGATCACTGAAGCGTTACCTCAGGTCTTGTTGTTGCCCATGACATCAGCTGTTCGTCCATTCTGAAGCTCCACTTACTGTTGTCCTGAAAAGACAGAAAAGTTTCCTCTCAGATGTCCACTCATAAGACATCCAATTTTTTTTCTGGACAAACAACAGCACAGAGATTATTGTCTCTGCTCACCAACGCTTTAATGAGTCCATTTTCATCCACCTCCAGAAACTCTGAGACAATGAAGGATTCTGGGAAGGCAGTACCACTGGCGATGGCCTCAGCACTGCGGACAGTGGTGGCGTACATGGAGAGCCAGCTCCACTCCGAGGGGCAGGAGTGGGTCTCAGGAGTAGTGTGGTGTGGGGGCCGGGGAAACTTGCACAGGTGCTTCTCTAAGGACAACCCAACAGCGAGGGAGGCCAGGCTCTGCAGGAAGGCACTGTGGACGAGCTGATCGCCGGCTGACACATGGCTCTGCATAAGGAGAGGGTCATCAAAAATCAAGTTTTAGCTGAGTCTCACAAAAGAGGCACAAAAATAACTTTTTAATAGTTTCAGTAATGACCCGCTCATAGCTGTGCTGTTCCTGCAGCAGCAAGGGCAGCCGCTCCAGGAAGACGGCCAAACAAGGAGCCCGATTTAGACCCAGGATGTTCTGACTTCTGAGGACCATCCGACAGGAAGCCAGTATGTGATTCTGACTGATCCAGTCAGGGGTGCAGCAGATCAATAACACATCCTGGGGAAGAAAAAGCAACAGGAAGAAAGTGTCGAGTGACCCAGGCAAAAAAATATGGTAACTTTTTACTGGACAACTTTTCAGACCAAGTGATTAAGTACAAGCCGACATGTGTTTTATGACATACAAATTGATCAGTGCTCCAAATTACCTTTGACCTCCCAAAGCAGGCAGCTACACCCAAATTTGGTATCCAAGTACTGCTGACGACTGAGCCCAAACCTGTAACAGTCTGTGAAACTGAACCATCCTGCACAGAGACAAAAAGAGATTTAAACTCTGTATTGAGACTCCCAACAGTTAATTTAAGAATATTCAAAGTAAAGGTTTTATATTTTCCGTGGAAGCTGTTTTCTGACCTGTAAGGACCAGATGTTGAGCAGTCCCCCAATCCCTCCCGAGACCAGAGCCAGTCCACTGGAGCAAAATGACAGAGACTTCACTGCTGTGATGTGGCCATGCAGTATGAACACACACTTTGTGCTCTCCTGTTGTAAAAAAGAAAAAGAAAAACTCAATGAGAACAGCTAACATCAAACATTAACAATAAAATCCTGACTAATTTATATTTCAACAGAACAGAGGAAGGCAGAATCCGCAGTGGATATGAAACCCCAGCAGCAGCAGCAGCTCCACACTGACCTTGACTTCAGAGCTTTTGTCCTGGCTCGGGGGGCTGTTCAGGATGTTGGGCAAAGATACAGTGGTACCCCCCTGTGGCAATGTCCAGACATGCACCGAGCCATTCTGACAACCACTGCAGGAACATGGAGAGAAGTAATGTTGATGGAAAATCATTTGAGCAAAGGAACAAATATCCTACATGCAGTTATGACCAGATACTTTACTGTTGCTTTGGTTAAAGGGACATTCCAGCATAAAATTAATTCAGAGTCAAACACACTGTAACACAGAGTTAGACACCCCGTCGAGAGATGAATGTTGCAGACTGCTTGCTTCTCCAGTTATACCAACTTTAGTAACTACCGCAGGATAGCAATACACAGCGGTCTATGGATCCACGCGCACACCTCAACCAAAACACCACTGTATAGCCTCAAATAATGCTCAGAACAGCACCTAACTTCATCAGCAGTACAAACAAAACTGCTTTTAAACTTTGCCTAATTTCTATAGCAAAGAGACGAAACACAACTCACCTACTCTCTTCCAGCAGCCACTTGTTTGTAGCGAGACCAGTCCATTACAGACTGCAGCCAGGTGACGCAGCTCATCATCAATGATCATAAATGTTCCTCCTTGAGCTGCTCCGAGGTCTCGCTACAAACAAGCGGCTGCTGGAAGAGAGTAGGTGAGTTGTGTTTTGTCTCTTTGCTAAAGAAATTAGGCAAAGTTTAAAAGATGTTTGGTGGCTAGTACTATGGCTAGGACCCTATATGTACTGTTGATGAAGTTAGTTGCTGTTCTGAGCATTATTTGTGGTTATAGAGTGGCTTTTTGGTTAAGGTTTGTGTGTGGCTTCTCAGACCGCTGTGTATTGTTATCGTGCGGTCGTTACTAAAATTGGTATAACTAGAGAAGCGAGCGGCAATATTCATCTCTTGACGGTGTGTTTGACCCTAAATCAATTTTACGCCTGAATATCCCTTTAAGTTTTAGATGCCGACTGAAAAGTAACCTAACGAGAGATGTGCAGGATTCAGCAGAAAAAAAAGGAAAAATAATAATCCACTAACGCGGCCAACATGAGCCTGGGATCAGGAGCTCTTCCAGCCAGCGGACACCACTCTGCGATGTTGACAGTGCTGCTGTGAATGAGGGAGTGGAGGGTCACCCAGGTGCCCCCATAGCGTCCCAGTATCTTCACCACCTCCGACCTGCCCAAACAGAGCAGGAGGTGTCCCGTGGGATCCCACTTTAGAGACGTCACACCGTCCTGAGAGAGAATAACATGGGGTACAATTTCATACACTTTTATGCTACAGTGTTTGCAAACTGCTACTGTGAGACAAACCTGGAACACAGAGAGCTCTATAGGCTGATCGTTGTTGTAAGTCTCTGTTGTGGCTAAAAGTATCTTTCCACCTGTGTAGCCCACCGCAAAAGCTTTGTCCTCACTGTGCCAGGCCACACACTGAGGGGCTAGGAGAGATCAGAGGGGAAGGTAGTTTAACAGTTCTGGAAATGTACTACTACATGTTTTCTTGCTAATATCAACATAAAGGCCATCTTGTCAATTATATGTTGGAAACTGAATAACAGCATGTGCAGCAGTGTCCTCACCCTCCTTCCTGTAGCAATGAGTGAGTTCTGTGCTCTTTACGAGCAGGTCAATCTCCTGCTGTGTGACCTGCAGCCAGCAGAGGGAGCCGTCCAGTCGTCCCACCAGCAGGCTCTCAGCAGGCCTGTTCTTATTGGCAGCTGGCTGCTCGAGAGCCCACAAGCTGAAGGCCTGAGCCCAGCAGAGGGCTGTGACCCGAGACACCTGAGGCTCTACGTGACAGTGAGACCCTTCAGGGAACAGAAAACCAGAATCATCAGGCGTCTTATTGAGGAACATTACATAAATGTTGACACAAAACAGATTTTGATGGCTTGCAAATCACTTCAATCGTATATTTAATTATGTAAAAATACGATATGAGAAATTTAAATTTGAAAATGCAAATATATATTCATAACCATCCTAATTTTGACACCAGCAGTACTTGTGTTATGCTAAAAACAAACACCTGGAGGAACATCTCACATCTACTCAGTTTATTTACAATAAGTCAGGGACTTGGCTGTTTATTAAAACAGTATTCCAGAGAGGCGAAGTCTATCTGAAGTAATGCTAAAATGAGGATTAGAATAATGTTCCTCAGTGTAAAATTGCAAAACATTTGGGGAATTCATCTTCTTAGGTCAACAATACGATTAAAACATTCAGAGAGTCTGGGGTAATCTCTGTATATAAGGGACGCGACTGAAAACCAACATCTAATGGTTGTAATCTTTGGACCCTAAGGCAGCAGTGCATTCATCACAGACATGGCTCTGTAGTGGAAATCACCACATGGGCTCAAGATCACTTCCAAAAGTCACTATCTGTGGGCACACTTTATCCCAGCATCCAAAAATGTTATAACTGTACCATGCTAAAAGAAAAAACAAAACAAACATATCTAAACATGATTCAGACATGAGTCTGTGCCCTTTTCAATAGCCTGAGTCAAAGTGAAAACTGTCCTCTGGGGTGAGTATTGGAGTTGTTCATAAAACATGCAGATTTAACCTTAAAATAACCTTAAAGGATGTAATATTTAAAGTTTCACGCAGACTTACCCCTGATGTTCATGATGTTGATGTGTTTGTTCTCTGGAGCGGCCAAAAAGTTTCCACCTGTGCTCCAGTAAACAGGAGACATGTGGTGACATCTACCGGTTCTCTCACTGCTCGACCTGTCCGCCTTACTAGAGGGGAAAACACAGAAAATGAAGGTAATCCCAGTTCTACTTTAAGTGCAGAGTCAAGGAAAACTCTCATTTATTTTAGATATTTAGCAATAAGTGAGGCTGATGCATGTAACTGTGAGCAAGTACAGTAAAAAAGAACTTTTAAATCAAATACATGCATACTTCATTTGTTATATAATTGTTTTGATGAACCTGACCCTTTAATATAAATAGATATGCTTTTAAAATCTCTTCTGAAACAAACAGATAATACCTGGTGATGCAGGAGAAGGTGGTCTGTAACTCCACAGCACTCTGACTGACGCTCCACAGTTGTACCACCTTGTCCTGAGAGCAGGTAGCCAGCAAACTCTGATCACTGTTCCAGGAGCAGCTGGTGACCTGAACACAACATCAATAATTATGTTTTTTATTCAACGTCTCCACTCCTGACAGGTTGTCCCTGCTAGTACTGATCCGTGCCAGAGACCAAGTTACAAACAACAAGAACCTACGCATCCTAATGTGAGGAAAAAACTGTTAGAAAGTTTACAGTTTCTTTTTCTGTAGATCACAATGTGAGTGCTTCACCTTGTTATAATGTCCTTCCAGTCTCTTGAGGGGACATTTGCGCAGATCACCGGCCAGGTCACTGTATGTCTGAGGGCGATTAGGGCTGTCCCGTCCTGTGGCGGCCAAAGCCTGAACCAGCTGCTGAGCTGCCCACTGGCGGTGCTTGTTGGTCAGCCTGGCAGAAAGAACGCACGCTGCCAGAGCGTTAGCCAGCTCCAGAGGGCCCACTCTGGTGCTCAGATGGGGGTGAGGGGAAGGAGGCAAGGACGAAGAAGACGCCCCTTGATTTCCTGCATCTAGGTCAGACAGATATATACTTAGAAACAGGCTATAATAAAGTGACATACACTTCCACCACGACTGAGATCTACTTTGTCTCACCGTTCGGCTCGTGTTCAACCCTCTCTAAGCTGTGACAGTGAACACCTTTTTCAGTGAGCAGGGACACCAGACTCTGAGTGACCAGGAATGTAGGAGGCGCCTGATCGTTGGACTCTTTCTGCTGCTGGACTGTTCCTTGGACTGCAGATGTTAGGCTGGAGTTCAGACAGCTTCTCTGCTGTGGGTCCGTGATGGCTCCGATGTTCACTCCTGTAGCTGCTGCCATCAGATCCTACGGAAGAAAAAATGTCAGAAAATATAGATTTTTTTTAAGTGACCTGTAATGGCCCCATGAGAACAACAATCCTTTATTTTGCAGTAATTGTGCCTGCAACACAAGAAAGTAAAAAAAAAAAAAAAACGAAACCAATGAGAATATTCAAAACAATGATAACAACAATTAAAGCAAAAATAAATTAAAAAATACAAACATTTTGATTATGTTATTAGTGTTTGCTTATTCTGATAAACATTTTTTTTCTATTTTTTTCAAACATGTGCCTGCAACACAAGAAAGTAAACAGAAAAAAAAATAATAATAACCAATGAGAATATTCAAAACAACAATAACAATTAAAGCAAAAATAAATAAATAAATAAATACATAAATTTTGATGGTGTTTTTAGTGTTTGCTTATTCTGATGAGCATTGGTTTTGGACTGTTATTTTCTGTATCATTAGCGCCCTCTGCTGCACAGACTTGAAGTCACAGTCATGTGTAATTAGCTCTTCTTAACTATGATAATATATTTATCTTGATGTAGATTTAAATATTATCATCATATAAAGTATTGACTATTTGTTGTCAGACTGACTGACCTGAGTGCAAATCTCCACCAGCTGTCTGTAAGCAGCGGGGCTGTGAGACACCACACTGCCAATAGCCGAGGAGAGGAAGCTGAGGCAGGTGGAGTTGTTGCGCTCGGTCGGCAGCCCCTTCACACCTGGCTGTCTGTCCACACAGGTGTGAGCTCTGCCTCCTGCCGCTAGAGTCATCAGCCGAACCAGGATACGGATATCTGCCAGACCCAGCGACTCAAGCCCATTAGACTGGCTGCACACTGACGCACTAGAGGAGGAGAATTTGAAGAGAGGGAGGATCTTGAAGACAAAATATATCAGTGAGTAATATATATCAGCGAGATTGTACGCCGGGCAAACATACCTGGAGGCTGTCTGAGACAGAGCTCTCATCACCATGCTGTAAGCCAGGAGGATCTGGGCTGTGGATGTGACTCTTCTTAAAGCTTTTAGTCTGTCATGAGAGTCCCTCAGTGATACAGCCTGCTGTCCAAGGCTCAGAGTGGTCTTCTGCTCAACATGTGCATTCCCTGGTGAGAAAAACACATAAGAGGCATTTAACTGCTGCACAAACCCATCATACATCTCCAAACACTCTCATTCTTAAAGCTTGGGTGTGCAAAGAAATCACAGTGCTGGATCAGCTGGGGACAAATGGGGGGTACTGTATGTGTGTTACAGATACACAGCTATGATAAATGGGCGATGAGTCACTCTGCAGCAGCAAGTCTGGCTGTGGCAGGGATCTGCTGCTGCCAACAAGCACAGAGGGAATGTGGGTGTGTGTTACAAGCAGACTAAATCTCCCATCAGAGAAAAAGTGACTGGGACACGAACACCAACAGGACAGTGAGGTACTGAGTAATAATCAGTAAACACAACCGATCGCTTTGGATTCAACCAGCGATTCAACATTCAGGTTTGAAGATAAGAGAGTCTAACTGTGTTTATAGATGGTTTGTTTTGGGTCAGACTTATTCATAGAAGTGTAAGGAAGTTTTGTGAGTGTTTCTAAATCTTGAAAGCTTCAGTATCTTTAAGCGTTTCATTCTGGGACAATTTTATCATGTGCAAAAGTCTGCATTTATTTCAGATTACCCAAACTTGCAAGGAAGAAAAATATAACACCTTTGTGGGCTATTGCCCTCATAGGGTCAGCCGAGCTGTAAACCAGGGCTCCAAGGGGATCTGGCTCCGTGAAGGCGATAGGGTCTGGCACCAGTTTCTTCTCTGTCAGCCCCAGTGGTCTCAGCAAAAGCCCAAAATCCTCTAGTCCTGTCAGCTTGTCTGTGTCACACTCATCTTGGTGGCTCATTTCCCAATCATCTAAACAAACAGAAACCAAATTCAAATGTTAGAAACCTTTGTGACAGACGTTAGAGTACAATTATTGCTGTACCACTCTCCTACCATCAGAGGTGCTGTCCAAGTGGCCGACTAAATCAGATGTCAGACCTTTAATCCTACAGAAACAAAAACAAGATACGGTTTTAGAGCAGGTTAAGTTTAGAGAGGCTTTTATTTGATGTTAAATTCAGCATGTTGCATAAATCTGTCATTTTTCATCTTCTTCATTATCTGCTCTACCTTTCATATTTGGAATTTGGGTCGCTCGTGTTTGCAGCCAGATACTTTTCCCTGCAGGAGCTGCACAAGAGGTAGAAAGGGAAGTTGGAGCCGCATTCCCCTTTAAACCAGACGTCCACATAAGCGCCTGTGCTGTCGTAACCTTTGCGTGCTGCACTCTGACCGCAGCCTGGGTGACGGCGCTTTATGTGGTTGTTAAACTGGAGGGTGAGGGTGTTGCAGAGCTCACACTTGACCATCTGACTGTGCTCTTCTCCAGCCTGTATGATGAGAAGAAGATGAGTTAAGATAGTTCTTGTTATTGACAAGAATATTGACTGATTCAAAAGTTTAAAAAAACTTTAATGCAAGGTTCAAGGTTTTAAAATCCAACATCATAATTCACTCTGAAAGAGACTGTTTTCACCTCTACTATCTGGAGTGTATCTCTCTCCAGGCTAAAGAAGGAAGGCGTGAGCAAGTCCTCGTAACTTTCCTCATGGTACGGGTCGTCCATGTAGCCGAGTTCTGACTCTTCCTCTGCAGAGTAAGGATGAAACTCTACCTGCTCTGGCCAATCGCTGACAGATGTGTGTTGCTGGTAGAGCTGTGGGAGGGGGTTGGGTGACGGCAGATCTGAAGAGAGAGAGTGATGTTTGAAACAAGTTTGGAAGCAGAGTATGAACACTGAAGAACTTTCCTCATTTTTCAGTACAGGGCTCGACAGTGCGACCGTTTCACTCACATTTGCGACTCAAAATAGATGTGTGCGAATTGTAAAATGTATTTATGGGCACATGTGCGCATAAAAAAAATCAGCTGAGGCAACAAATGTTTTTTCATGTAAATATATGGAAGTAAATATGTGCCATCTGATTTTGAATTTAAGTATCTAAAGCAGAATTTTTTTGGCATCAAAATCAGTCTTTGAATTTCTAAACCATTGAATTTCAAGCACGCATTTTTTTTTCTGACACTAATTTTTTTTCATGATGAAATAAATTTAGTGTAAAAAAAAGGTCTCTCAAAAGAATTTTTTTAGTAAAAATTCAACTTAAAACAACTGTGAAAAAAAAAAAATTCAACATAAAAAAAAAATTAATGTAAAAAAATTCAGTGTTAAAAAATTCAGTGTAAAACAGCCAGACTCGACATCCGGGTAACCAGGGAGAAGCAATCGATATCTGGCTCAATCATCCATCATCCAGCCAATCAAATTATGCTAGATTGGTCATGTGACACCAAATTTTTTTAAGTTGAATTTTTACTACACAAAAAGATTTTGACAGACCGATTTTTTTTACACTGAATCTATTTCATTATTGTAAAAAAAAAAATTAAGTGTAAGAAATAAAAATGCGTGCTTGAAATTCAATGGTTTTGAAGTCTGATTTTGATGCAAAAAAAATTCAGCTTTAGAAATTCAAATTCACAATCAGATGGCACAGATTAACTTCCATATAAATACCGCAGTGAAGTTAGTTTTAGGTTAGATATTCAACGGACATTCACTGCGGATCAACCAGTGTCTTCACACTCTCTGTAACCGGGAATGGTAACAGCAGCGCGATTAAATCTTCTCAGCACCTTCACTGTCAACATCAGGTGTTGAATAAGGGACCATCAATAAATTACCGGTTGATGTTCTCAAAAAAAGGCTGTTTTCCTTCAATAGCCTCCATGTCGTGACCAATTGACCTAAAATTGATTTCAAATAATAGCACTTATGTCGACCAATAAAACAAACATTATTTGATCAATTTTCATTTTGCCCCTGAAGTTCTTTGTGTGCTCCTTACTTCTTCAACTTTGGAGCACATACACTCCTTGCGAAAAAAGTCAGTGTCAAGCCCTGTAATACAGCAGACGCTCTTTTGATGCAAAAAAGGGTGATAAAGGGTTGAAAGTGAATTTATTGATGCTTCTCTGACCTGCTCTCCTGAAGGAAGTCCTCTGAGTGGGTCCTGAGCGTCGCCGCCGTGCTGGGGGAGGTCTGTTCCTAGTCAGGTGGACATCCAAGAAGTTCTCCCTCTCGATCCAGTCGAGCCCAGGCAACAAACTTAAAAAAACAATAAGAAAAAAATCACACAAAGCTCCTAATTTACAGCTGTATATGATTATATTTATAACACCCTCATATTAGTAAAGATGGAAAATGTCCCTGACCTCTCACTGGGTTGACTGGTTGGTCGCTCAGGACATTGTACCGTCTCTGGCCCATCTGGTGACGGGGTCTCAGGGGCTCCCTCCGGTCGAGCTGACTCAGCCGCCTGCTGCTCCTCAGTCAGCGGGTGCTCCAACATCCAGCTGGCTAACACCTCGATGGTTTGAGAGTCCAGGTCACCTGCTACATCTGGGGGGAAGGGGAACCAGAGGGAAGGTGAACTGTCAGAAGCCGAGGAGGAAAAGATGGATCACAGAGTTTTGCATCGCTAAATCTTGTCCAACATCGCCACCAGCTGACTGTTTGGTGTCTGAGGACAAGTCTGCACACCTGCTCTGATTATACGTAGACTGAGAGGAGGGTAAGTGTGAAATAATAAGTGAGGAGAGGAGGCCTTCAAATTGATTCATGTGGGGAATTTATCATTTTCAGAGGCAACAGTGAAAGCACTATGACATATTTGGTGCAAAGTGTATCTCTACATCCCTTCACTTTTTCATTTTAATCATAGACTGTATTTAGAATGGACGCCGTCTACCTCCTCGCTGGGTGAAGCCACTGCAAGAACAGCACCCTCTGGTGACAGGCTGCAGTATAGGTCATAAATCCCGCCTCCTCCAGCAAACTTCATGGAGTTGTGAACAAACTTCAGAAATTTGATACACTGAATATAAATTTTTCTCCCCCTTGCTTGCGATGTTGACGTGTAGTTACTGTGAGGCTAGTTTGTGCTCAAGTCCTCTTTTTTCTGTGCAGCTTGATTTTTAAAAGTTATCAGGGGGTTCACGGGCGTACGAAAATGCGTAACTCACCCAGGGGATACGCTGTTTGAGCCGAGTGTCATCACAGCAACTTTTGGCGACTCTCCCGCTGAATGTCTACTATGCTACTGTGCAATGTTCGATTCAGGAAATGGAGAAAAATCGCGGAAATACCGAAAATTTTTCGGCTTCAAATCCGTATACAGGCAGAAGGCGGAACCAAGTTGTCCATAGTATATACAGTCTATGATTTTAACACATGCAGGTTCTGTGACATGCATAAGGAAAAATTTGTTCTGTTTTACCAAGTAGGGGAATTGTCATTGATGCTGATATTTTATCTGTGAGTAAAAATGGGATTTTAATGATTTAAAAACAAACTGTTACAGAAAATTAAACCAAAATATTCAAAAATTTGAATTATCTTTTAATTCACTATTTGTAAATTGAGAATTGGGTAAAATCTTCAAATTTCTGTCAAATTACAGTCTTGCAAAGGATGAAATTTCTGAGGTGCAGACAGATTCGAGGTAGAAATGACAACAAAAATAACTTGCATCATGTTCAGACTTCACCCCTATAGTTCAGGAGTTGTCTATCAGTGAAATTAAAATTTTTTGAAAGCAGGTAGAACTTTTCTACATAACTGTAAACAGGCTGCAGCACACGGTGAAGGACAAATGATGGAAATACAAATCACATAAAGCAGTAACACAAAGCAGTACCTGCTGCCTCCATGGCCCAGTAGATATGTCTCATAGAGAATCCCATTTCTAGCAACCGACTGGTGACAAACATTTGTGTCCTCTCTGGTGGTTGAGGAGAAAAGGAAAAGTCCACAAAAAACAGAAAACAAAAAACAAGCTCACAGCTCCTTTTTGAATTGACCGTAGCACAATTTATCAGATAAATCTTTTATTTCTATACAAAAATGTATCTTCAGTTTATGTTTCATTCAATTAGATTAGATCACAAATGCCTGAAGCAAGCATTTTTGGAGGAAAAATAGCAATAAAATCTACAACCTCATTTCCAGAAGTGTTGGGGGCTATTTAAAATGTTCATAAAAACAGATTGTGACTGTTTTCAAATCTTTTAAACGCTATATCTAATTAGAAAAACAACAAATCAAATCCTGAAAAGATTTAATTGTTAGATGAAAAATATATGATTAAGTCAAATTTGGTGCCAGCAACATCTTTAAAACCATTTCAGACAGCAAACATATAAAAAAAGAATGAATCAACACTCAAAGAAACATCTCCCAACAAATTAGGTTAAGAAGAAGAAGAAGAAGAAAACGAACTTTATTGATCCCTGAAGGGAAATTCAATAATTAATAAATCATTACTTAAAGGCGGGGTAGGCGGGAATCCGTTAAAGAAGCATCTTTTTTTGTGGTGTATATACAAAAAGGCTTTTAATATCAGTCAATAGCTATTAGTCATTGATGACATTTGGTAATATAACAATATCGCTGTGTTTTGTTATGTCTCTGTAGTTAACATTTTAAAATTTCAGAGCGCTCCGCTCTTTCTGACTGTAAACAAAGCCATTCTCTGCCTCCCCCATCCTGATTGGTTTTGAGGCATTCACTGCTCCCCCGTGTCGTTCAGGAGCCCAAACAAAGTTAGCGTGCCACAATATCGGACAATAGAAACCAACCAGAAAGTACAGAAAATTGTCTGACTCCTCCTTTAGCCACGACTGCCATCAAAAGCAAGAAAACAAAGTGAATACCGGAGAATAACGGGCGCTTGAAAAGGAGGTAGACCGGACAAGAACTAAGAATTAGCTAAGCCAGATCAACAGTGATGGGGGACGCCTCGGGATCTTACGGACCCTGAAACTGTTGACCTCGGGTCCTGGACTATGTCACTTTATCCTAATTTTAGAAGTCCTGCAAACATTGTGTTTACTGGTAGTCTGTTGGCATCTACAGTAGCACCAATAATTTTTACTTTCACGTTGACTGGGCCCCATTTGTAATTATCTGAAGTATTTATCTGCATTATATCTGAATTTGATTGAAACGATACGAGCGAGCAGGAGCTTCTGTTTGTGGGCGGGGCTTGCTGGAGCAAAGATGGAGGGGAGAGGAGGAGCTGAGGGGAAAACTGGTTAGGAGGGGTAGTGTTTACATTCAAGAATTTTCCCAAAAACTGGCACTTCCTCAGATCCTGCCTACCCCACCTTTAACTGGAACTGTTGAGCTGCTAAAGTTTTAGGACAAGTTTCGATTCTAAAAACCCAGAAACTGGTCTCCTGGGTTCGCTAACATTCACATGGTGTTGTTTAACATTGTGTTGAATCATCTCTTCTTTTAACAAGTCCCAGTCCCAAGGTTTCAGAATTGTGCTGCTGGCATCAAATTTAAAATAAGCGTATATTTTTTATCGAACAGTAAAACTTTTCATGACTTTTTTTGCAAATATTGAAGTTGTCAGAATGAGATATTTTGGTCAGATGAAACTACAGAAGCATATAGAGGACAAAATAAGTAGAGACTACTTTGTCCATAAGTTGCGGCAAAATTTCCACAAACCCAAAGTTCCTCACAGGAGCTTTAGATTAAGGGTTTAAATGATTTGCAAACCATCTGATTCTGTTTTTTATCAACATTTTACACAGCATCCTGACTCTTTTGGAATTGCAGTTATACAATTAAGAATTATTCAATTAAATATTAGACCTAGAATTGACTAAACCTGTTAATAATAATAATAATAATGTTTTCAAATCTCTCGAGTCAGAGCAATGACTTTTAGTACGATGTATTTCTCAGATCGTTCAGAATTAAACCAAAAATAACTGATGATGAAACAAATGGTGCCATTCAAGCGTGTGAGTGAACAAACTGTCATGCATGTATCTGAAAGTTGAAGAACTGCGTCTGTCCAAAAGCAGAGCAAAACACATGCTGTTTTGATCAGCAGCTTGGTTGTAAAAACTACTAGCTGAACACACCGTCAAGGACCATGCAGAGAAAGTGAGTTTACTCGTCTTTTTACTTGTTTTAAAGTAATTAATGTGCTTGAGCGTGAAGCCGGCATGGGGAAAAGGTTAAGATTTACCAACATGGCAGGAATTTACCTACAAGTTTATCACTCACTTTAAATAAGGAGAGACATTTCCTCCGTGATAACAACTGACAGCTTTCCCGCCCCATTATAAAGGTCACTGCACTTGTTCTTACCCAGGCTGCTCCTGGCCTGTGTGCTGCAGGGACCTGGTTCCATGAAGCTAGTCTGCTGCTCTGTGAACGCATCACAAGAAGCAGAGCTGGCCAGGCTGAAGCAAGGGTGCAGCACGGGGGCAGTGCTAACCAGGCCGGTGAGCGTGGGGAACCGAGTTAAGACCATGTGCCTAAAAGGAGTAAAGATATAGTATATGCAGTAATAACACAGAACGAGTGGTGCTACATGAGCATTTTTTTTATCTGTATGATAAGATACCCGAAGGAATGAGCATTTCTAACCCTGGTTACTAAACCAAGCATGTTTCTTTGCATATAACATGGTGAAGCTTGGTTGAACTCTTGGGGCATCAAACACATTCAGAGATGGGAGGACTGGGAGAGTTATTCCAAAACCCCTCCTCGCCGAAGTGCTTGATTTTGTTTCATGGTTAATAATTTAGCGCTGAAGCTGTTTGGCCTCTGAAGCAGCAATAATACTGACTCTTGAGTCAGCTAGCTGGGTTAGAAAGAGAACAAGCAGGCCGAGCCGCAGCTGAGATTAAAAACAGAGCAGGCAGAATCCTCACTCTTTCATTTCTACGCGTCCTAACTCACCCGTTCCCTCGACTTCAGAATAGTTGTCACTGCCAAAAGATGTATTATCAGCCACAACATGACAAAACCAAGAGATACTGTGTTTGTTCCCTCTAAAGATTATCATATCAACATCATACACTGTACTCACTGGAGGAGGCTGATGGGGAAGAAAGGGTTGAAGTTATCCAGGGTATCCGCCTGCAGGTTTGTCGGTAAAGAGGAAGCTAAGTCAGTATTGGAGGATGAGGCAGAGGCCCTGTTTGATTGGCCGAAGATGGCAGTGCCTTCCGAGCCTGCGCTGTATAAAGACACAGAGCTGGAGGACTTGGAAACAGGCTGAGAGGCCGAGTGGTGGCCCGATTCTGTAAGGACAAGACATAGAGGGTAGTTAGACAATGCTCAGTGCCAAGAAACACTGTAATAAAACCCTTTTATTCAAAGTGAATGAACCACAAATAAAGTTACTTTCAAGTTTGTCTGTGAGTCTAAGTAAGGTATTTTTGTTGAAGTTACTTAAAAGTTAAAAAATAGATGTTTTCAGAGTTTTCCACTGTGAGAGTTTGGTTCCTTTGCTTGTTTGAACATTTAATTTTGTAATCTTCTTCAGACACAAACAGAACAGCTTAAGTTGTCAACGTTAGCCGTGGGAGAAAAAAGCTGATTAAAGGATAATAAAAACTCAGACACAGCCTAAATACCAAATAAATCCTTTCAGTCTAAAAGCCCTAGAAATAAGTATTTATGATGCTTGAAAAGGTCAAAAGTTGAGATTTGACAAGTTTCAGTCTAGTCTGAGTCTTCTTCTTCATGCCTCAAAGGTCTGCAGCTCTGTTTCTGTTTCTAACACTCATACTTACACTGCAAAAAAAGGAATGTCAAGAAAGGAAAACAGCCTTGTATTAAGATTAAAGTCTTATTTTTTTGTACAAAAAGAATACTAATCTTGTCAAGCATGTTCGGCATTAGAAAAATTATCTAATTTGAAGAGAAAATTTTGATCTTTTTCTTGATAAGATATTCAAGCTAATTTTGAGATAGAATGAACCAGAAATAGGTTAAAAAAAATTTTTTACAGTAAAATCCAGCGGAGCAACAAGATCATTCGTCTCATTTTAAGAGTAAGACATATGTACAACTTCTAATTTTAAGAATGCCACTAAAAACAAGAACAGCAGATTTTTTTTTATTAACATTTCCACTGCAGGTCATCTGAACCTGACAGAATCTGCTGCCTCCTACATTATCTGACATATAAAGATGTCTGTAGGCTAGTCGGTACAACAGACAACATAATACAACGACCAGATGAAAACTGCAAAACAACAAAGAACAACAAAGAACATGCTTGCTTGTGGAATAAAAAATATATATTTAATGAGAATGTTTTGGTATCTTGATTTAGGACAACATCACTTATATTTGCTTTGCTGTTTTAAGAAATTATGTCTTATTTGAACTACTGTCATGGTCATTAATAATCCTAGATTAAGGTGTATTTTTTTTTAAGTACATTTATTCAAGAGACTAAAATTCTCATTTTAAGTAACTTCATTTTTGTTTTTCATTGCTTGCTGGAGAAAAAATTGGATTAATGTAAGATTTTCTGTCTAGTTTTAAGTTTCATTTGAGTCCGTCAGGGCCAAGAAATTTGTTCTTATTTTGAGAACTCTTGTCAAGCAAAAAAAACTTACCCCATTGGCAGATTTTTTTGCTTGATAAAAGATTTTTTGAGTAAACATAAGAATATTTTGCCTCTTTCTAGTAGGGCTGTTTTTGCAGTGTATGTCTAGATTTGGCCAACACAGAGCACCTCTCTATAACCGTAACTATATGAAAAATGAGATTTTTCTAGCTACATTCTGAGTATTCATATAGATGTGACCTTGTTCAGGATTTAGAGAAGAACAGGTCTACAGAGATGACTATAAAAAACATCTAAATCTGATCCATAAGTCTCGGTACCTTTGTGGTCTTTGTCCTCCTGCATTCGGTGGATGGCTCCTTTGTAGATCATCACCTGAGCCCTCTCCAGGTCAGCGAGAGACACGCTCTGTTTAATGGGACACGGCCTGACTGCCCACTTCACCATACTCTGCACCACGTACTGCAGCACTGACCTCAGCTCAGCGCTCTCATCCCACTGTTTGCTGATCGCCTTGGCCTGGTCAGGGTTCGGGCTTGTTACGGGGCTTGCTGTGGGGTTGTTGGGAGGCTCATGTTTAGGCACCAGGAGCAAATCTGAGAGCTTCTCGCAACTAAAAATGACAGTCAGGGTTTTTAAAGCTCCAATAAGAAGGTATGAGACTCTAACTGCTCTGAGTTCAAGGGCGAAGGCATCCAGTCTGGAGTTTTGGGATGTGTGGGGTAGACAGGTCAACTCCACATGATCAGCGGTCTTTGAAGCGTCTTTGTTTGAGGTGGGGGATGAGAAGAAGTCTGTTTCAACACTCGGCTCTCTAAACTTCTTCTTCTCATCGTCCTCGGTTGCGTCTTCTTCCGGGCGACACTGCATCTCGCTCTCTTTCATGCTCTCCTCTGAGTGTTTCCTCTTGGGAGCCAGATTTGCTCCCAGCCATCCCTGCTCCTCCAGCAGCCCCATCAAATAAATAAGGTCTAACAAGACCGTCGGTTTGAGGCCTCCGAGCTGGGTGATGTTACAACAGGACACATCGCAGGGCTCCAGTGAGATGATGGGCGTGTCGCTGGGTGACCAAGAATTCATGGAGCTTAGTTATTGGGAAGGATGGGGAGAACCCACAAATACAGCAAGGAGTGACAGCAGGACGGATTCAACAGGGAAAAATGGATTTAAGAATGAGGAGGAAGAAGCAAGAAAAAAGTAAGTAAGATCAGGAGGGTAAATGGTGAAAGTAAAGTAAAATGTTAGACACAGAAGAAGAAAGGAAAAACTAACAGAAAGGAATCATACAGTCATAAACATGCTGAAAGGACCAAGACAAGGGAAATATAAGAGTTTTTTAATGGATGTAAATGAGAATCACACGAAAAATGTGGATTTAGGCATTTAAGTTTGTGATACCTGACAGAGAGGTCTGCCTCCTCCCACTGAAGCTTGGCCAGGGTGCTCCCTTCTTTCAAGACCCCCAGCAGGATGGCCCGTCGCCCGCTGGGTTTATGCCGGCACAGACCTCCAGCGCGAAGACCATTGTCCACTCCACCGATCAGAGCCAGGACCGGCCACACATCAGAGCAGAGAGCAGCCAGCTTAGTGTCGGAGAGGGATCGACGATGTGGATGTGACTCCCCTGAATCTTCACCAACAGTGTCTTTGTCGCTATCATCCTTCTCTGAGTGTGAGGCGCTGACACCTGCAGGGACAACGAGAGACAGAAACTGATCAGCAATTAAGAAAATAACACTTAATGGAAAACACCTGTCAGAACCTGATGTTGATTATCAAATCCAGAAAACTGCAGTCATTCTTTTCTCAATGTTCAACTTCAGCTGGATTGTAAATTACAGTTATTTGCTGTTCTTATCCAGTTAAAGCTACAGTGAGGAGTTTTTGATTGGTTATGGAAGAGGCTAAAATTAGCAGTGATGTGTCTTCATGGTGTGAAAAAGGAAATGAGATCATCAATGACAAGATTGAAAAATTCTATTTTGCATTTTCTGATGCTGTAACTGTTGTGGACCTTAGACCACCATGTGTATTGCAATCGTGCGGTCGTTACTAAAGTTGGTATAACTAGAGAAGTAAGCGATCGGTAATGATTATCTCTTGAAGGGGTATCTAACTGGGCGTTTGACCCTGACTTAATTTTACGCCAGAATATCCCTTTAAGACAGGGCTTCAGTGCAACTTTGTGGCCTTGCTGTACTTTTTAGCAGCTTTAAGAAAACTTGACTTGAGCGATAACTTTTGTCTCTGTCCTGTATTTTTGTCTCTGTCCTGTATTTTTGTCTCGGTCCTGTATTTTTCTTTACTTAATATCAATGTCAGTATATTTTTACCCTACAAAGCTTAGTAGACACCAGTGCTAGCAAAATGTTTTACGGTTAAACTACAGCATGTTCTATTTACATAAAAAAGCAGGTTAAATGTGCCTGTAAAGGACCACTGCCAGAGCAGTGTCTAACCTGAGCTGCAACTCCCCAAGTCTTCCTCCTTCAGCAGGGGACCAATCAGCTCTAGGTGAGTGTGGATGTATTCGTTGATGTGTGAAGCCCACTGGTCACACTGATGGAGGCGACGGAGAAGCTGCACAGTTGACTCCAGCAGCACTGTGGCGCGAGGGCTGCAGAGGGGCTCGCCAGGGAGGAGATTACTGGGCATGCCTCGCATCTGGAGATCACGCAGCGCCACCTGAAGGAAATACAGAGGAACAAATAACAGCTGCAAAAATGCACCAACACCTCTACAGAAAGGGGATTTGAAATTTCCCAGTAGTTTCTCTTAATAATCCATTCCTTTTTCTTTTTACTTCTTACCAGACTACTTTCATAAACTGTGATCAAAGATACCTTCTCTCCTGGATTACTGCTGTAGAACAACACACAAGGGTAGAGCTCAGAGGCAACCACACCTTCAAACGCCAGCTTTGGTTCCTAGCAGAAAGACATGAACTCAGTGATTAAGGATATACAGAAAAACAATCCAAAGACGATGAAACTTTAAAGCTTAAATTTCTAAGGGGGTTGATTGTGTGCTTGAACCTTGTCATTCTTGGCGAATGAAACCGTATGAGCCTCCATGTCCAAGATGCAGGTGATGGTGTCCCCCTGGGTGAATGAAGGAAGTGTGCGAACCAGCTCTCCTCCGTGGTACAGGTTGCCGCTGTAGGCTCGATACAGCCACATGTCAGTGGTGGTGTGGTGGTTGTGGTCTCTAACCGGCCAGCGGGACACGCCGACACACGTGCCCTCGTTGCCTCTGTTCTCTTTGGTTATATGAAACTGAAAATAGAGGGTTTTTTTTAGAGATTTCAGAGGTCAAATCTGCACAAATATGAACAGTTTGAGCGTTTTAATTCAAATGTTGGTCCTTACTTTCCAAATAAAACAGCCAGATGTGATGGCAGTGGTTGCCAAGCCGTAACCTTTCCCCCCTGAGCCATGTGACAAGATATTCCCACTCTCTAAAGAACAGCAGATAAGCTTGTGGGGGTCGAAGGAAAAATCTCCAATGGGGATACATTCATCGTAGCTGCCATGATTCTGGAAAAGCAAGAAATAGATATCACAGTACAGCGTTAGGATTTTTCATGACACGCTGCTGTTGTGTATGAATTATCAGTTAGGCTATAAGCAAGTCTTGCCACAGTAGTAACCGCATGACATCAATGCTAATATCTTATATATTTATATACACACTTAATGTAATTTGGCCTAATTAAATTTGTCATTATTTTTCTGTCATCTTCCAGCCCTCCCACAGTCACTGTAGAGAACAGGTCCATCTGTTCTTTTAAGAGGCCCCGCTGTTTCAGTGTCAGTACTGCCAAGAATGAGTTTCAATTCTTCCTCTATGCAGTTCCTAGATGACTACTGTGCATCCATTCATTATTTTCAGATGATAAATTTAGGTTCTTAGTGTAATAGCTCTCAAAACTTCTGCTTTGATGCAACCATTTTGCCTGAAACTGAAGGGATGCAAAGCTGAGGCAAACAATCTGTAAAAATGTCAGAGGGAAATGTTAACGTGTGCAGATCATGATGTAAGACTTTTGGAGTACTGCAGAAATTATTGATTTTGCATTGGAATAAATGTGAATAATTGGAATAAATGCATCATATCATCAGTCTTGCTTTTAACTAAATTTTATATCATTTACCTAATTCTGTTTAAGTGTTTTAGCATTTATCTCTGTCCAGTTCTACTGTCAGGATCGTCTTTTATTTAGCTATTTTGGTGCTCTTATTGGAGTATCTTTTCACTTTGATTTTGTTTATTTTCTATTTTTTATTTATTATTTCTTCAATTTTATTTTATGTTACTTTGTCTTTAAATTTTAACCTAACCTCCAGTGTTTCCTCATCTTGAGTTTTAAGATGGCGTTTCCTCAGAGCACAAATTCCTGTTTTTACTAAATCGAGCTCTTTTCAAGTAAACGCATTGTAATAGTCGTTTCTGTTGTGCTTGGATTGCTGATGGGAATGAGGGGACGGGCATTCTTTGTTTGTTTTATTCTTCAACTGTGTAAAGCACTGCTACATTTTTGTATAAAAAGTGCTATACAAATGAAGATGGATTGACTGATTGATCAGTGTGAAAGTGCTGCATTACCCCCTTATCTTTTTCAGTAGTTTCTTCGCGGTTTCTTTCAGTGAGGGGCTCCTTCCACATGTAAACAGATGAGAGCTGAAAGAGTTGTTTAACAATCTGGAAGATAAAGAAAAGAAAAGTATGTCATAGTTAAAACCTTTATAACTCATTACAACTTTAAAGCTCTTTTACCACTGAAAACTGTTTTCTTTAAAGCTCTTGGCTTGGATGTTGCTTTTATTTCCACTCTACCAGTTGAATTTGAGCAGGCTCAGAACAAGCAGGTAACAGTCTCTCCAAAACATGGAAGGCCAAAAGCTTCGTACGAAGGTTCTGGAAGCACGGAGATCCTAAAAAAAAGGACAGCGGAGATGCAGAAAAATGTTCTGGTCTGTTGTGCATATTAAATTCATCTTGCGTTGTGATTACAAATGTCTTACCTAAAGTGCACTTGTGTGAAATTATGGCCATAAGTGGATCAACCCATTTAACAAAAGTAGGAAGTCTCTTCATAACTCTTAACGACAGCACACGCCTCAGAAACACCAAGAAGTCCGCCAGCTGAGATTCAACCACTTTGCTGCTTTCGACTCCTAAAAACAACATAGAGTGTCAGAACTGAGTCTCAACACAAACAGGAGGAAAGGAAAAAAGGAAAAGGAAGGTGAATGTTTTATATTAGATGACTTTCAATGCAGGGATTAGTAAAAACATTTCAGTGAAGTTTTAGACGGCAAAGTTTACTACACCGTGTAGATTTGTGTTCTTGCTCCCAGACTCTAGATCTGTTCTCTCAGCTGTTCCTCTCTCTGCTGTCTGCAGTTGTTGGAAAGTATACAGGATTGTTTGGAGTTGCTCACACATCACCTCCATCAGAGCTTGGGAAACATCCAAAGGCAGCAAATCCTCACAGGAGCTGCAAACACAAAACAAATTTACACAAAAATATGAACATGTGTGCCATCTTTGAAGAACTTAAGTGGTGAAAAAAAGTGAAGCCAAATCACCTCGCAGCCACCGTCAGTATCTGCAGCAGGCGGGCACAAGCTAACCTAACAGCCCCACTCAGTAACATGGCTCCAGATGTAGAAGCTGCAAACCAGCCCTGGTTCATCAGTGCACAGCTGCCGTTGGTCAGTGTGGAGAGGATTTCCAGGATGCCACATTTGATGACCAGCACCAGGTCGAGTGGTTGGTAACAGAAATTCAGTGCAAACATAGTGGCTAGGAGAAGATGCTGGCATGAACCTGGTTGTGATAGACGAGAAATCTTGACTTCCAAGAAGCTGAATACAATAACTGCTGAAAACTATGACCCATAAGGAGAACCAAAAAGGAGCTCAAATTAGACACAAGAAACAAACCTGGATGCTCTCTTTCCAGCAAGACCCTCTGTTTGAGGACACGCACCACCTGCTGGTAAAATGTGTGGGCTGCAGATTGCAACTCTGTTTGTGTGTCCAGAGAAGCTGATTGAGTACCAGACTGAATTGAGACAAGAAGATCAAAAGAGAAACATATGATTGGCATCACGTTCAGAGGATCTCCCGTCCTGATCTTGCCTCAACAAAAATGTTAACTCATTCTCTCCAAGCACAAACACTGGATTAGCATGATCAGGAGTTTTACCAGGTAATGTTGCAGCTCATAATTCACTCCGGAGTGAGAGCTTATGATTTGAGTTCCCAAAGCAAAGCATCCTGACAGGAACTGAAGCTGCACTGACTGCAACAATGTAGGAAACTGAGGGGAGACGGTGAACCCGCTGCTCTTTTCCTCCATCTTGGACAGGAAGGATGACATCTGGCACAAGGCCTCCAGACGTAACTGATCAAAGAGAATGGTTAGTTAGTTAGTTAGTTTCACTCATAAAATGCAGTTGCAGAATATCATTAAAATCATTTTAAGTTCGGGTCATATGTACTATAACACCGAGTTAGACACCCCCTCGAGAGATAAATGTTGCTGACTGCTTGCTTTTCTAGTTATACCAACTTTAGTAATAGCCGCACGACAGCAATACACAGCAGTCTATGGATCCACGCGCACACCTCAACCAAAACGCCACTCTATAGCCACAAATGATGCTCAGAACAGCACCTTACTTCATCAACAGTACATATATTTGCCTGATTTCATAAATGTTCTTCCTTGAGCTGCGTCCCCCCGCTGCAGACAGTGATGGACTCGTCCGAGGTCTCCCTACAAACAAGCGGCTGCTGGAAGAGAGTAGGTGAGTTGTGTTTCGTCTCTTTGCTAAAGAAATCAGGCAAAGTTAAAACGATGTTTGGTGGCTAATACTATGGCCGGGACCCTATATGTACTGTTGATGAAGTTAGGTGCTGTTCTGAGCATTATTTGTGGCTATAGAGTGGCTTTTTGGTTGAGTTGTGCGTGTGGAGACGTAGACTGCTGTGTATTGCTATCGTGCGGTCGTTACTAAAGTTGGTATAACTACAGAAACAAGCAGTCCGCATCATTCATCTCTCGAGGGGGCGTCTAACTCAGTGTTACAGTGTGTTTGACCCTAAATTAATTTTACGCCAGAATATTCCTTTAAGTTTGACTTTTATGGTGTGTTTCCAGCAAGCAGCCCAGTTTGGTTCAGTTCAGTTTAGTACAATTTGGTACAGTTTTGGTAAACCCACAAGCAAACTGCAGGAAGTAGGAAAACAAACAATTGCATACTGAACCAAAACCAAACTACAGTGGACCATTCAGTGGAAAGCTTTACATCAGTAATTGTTTAAAACTTGCTACAGTTTTGCGTGAAGTCGAAAAAAATAGAAAACAGAAAAGAAATCTCATTATTACCTCAGCCCTCTGTTGCTGCTGCAGAATAGCAAAAGTAATGGCCTTGGGATCTGCCTGACTACATGTCTGTCCAGTTGGAAGTGTTGGTGAGGGGGGTGACGAATGGCTCAGGCTTCCGCAGACAAAGAGGAACACCTGGTTAAGAATGGGTTGAGTGTTGTTGCCGCAGAGAGGCATGGAGGTGGTCGGGCTGATACACTGCCGCAGACGGTCCCAAGCGTCTTTCATGATTCCCAGAGAGCACAGAGGTAAACCTGGAACAGCCAGAGCAAGAGATGACAGGCTGCTGCTCTCTTTGTCATTTGTGATATGAATTTTCAAACTTATCTTACCGTGTCCCAAAAATGTTAAATGAAACTACAAAAGTTTGGTTTGATTTTACACAATTGAATAATGACCTTTCATGTTCCCCTGGAAAAATGCTTAACTGATTCAGATAAAATATTTATCTACTTTAGGATGTGATGATCAAGTGAAAACCTCTGCTGTGCTAAAAACTGCGGCTCCTGTGTCCACCCTAAAAATCTCAATCTGATGTCCGAAAATAATTCAGTTTGTAGCTATTTGTCATATAAAACCTTCAAATAAGATTAAAAAAACTAATAAAGGTAACGAAGCAAAGTGCAGCTCCTGCAGGAAAAAAGCTGATTTTCCCTAAAAAAAATTGGGACTTTTTCAACATCAACAGACTAAACATATTCTACTTACCCATTTTGTTCTTGGAAGATCCAAGGGAGGTTTTTGGTTGGTCAGACTAAAAAAAAACAAAAACAAATCAAAAACACTTCATTAATATAGAAAAAGCGGTGTGAGGCTAAGTTGGAGTTAAAACTCTCACCTGTTTACGACCTTCAGCAGACATCACAATGATCTCAGCTGTAGATTTCCTAAAGTGGAGTCATGTAAACGGGAAGCAGGGAATTACGACACAGGTGTTTACACAGTCCTACAGCAATAAAAACTGCTACAGAAAGAAGACTTTTTTTACCTTGCTCCTGTCTTCGTACTTTGGTTGGTTTGCCTTTCACTTGGTTCCACCCATGCAGGCCGGACCCCGAGCAGCAGGAAGAGACAGCGAGACACTACCAGATGGCAGGCGGCAGGGAAAGACATGCTTTCCTCGGATTCCCTCTGTTTCTCCCACTGCTGCTTTGGGTCCAGCTCTCTCTCTGGGCTGACCGGGCTCTCCATGCTGCTGGGGAGGGTGGATGTGCCAAACGACTCGTACACCGTCACACTCTGCTGGACCTGCATGGCCTCCCGGGTGGCCATGAATGATTCCAGGACTTCTGCAGAGACAGGACAGACGTTGTGATGTTGTGGAAATTTGTCAGAGATTTCCAAGCTGCTGGAAGTGGGGCAGGAATGCAGATGCGCTCTTCTAACCTGACAAGTACATACGACTGTTGCCAAAAGTGTCCTCCTCTGTGACTTCCTCCTGGTTGTGGTTTGCTGTGGGAGTTGGAGGCACCTGCACCTCCCGGCTGCAGTGACCTCTTGGCTGCTGTTCGTGATCCTTCCCCGCCTGCTCTGTAGAGGTGCTCGGCTCTTGTTGGTCTGCATCGGGACTCTGGGGAGACTGAGCAGTCTGCAATTCAGAAAATATGAGAAATGCACCTTTATGAATCATTTGAATTCATTTATGCTCTTTCTAATGAGATGATGATAAATAGCCTCTTGAATACTAAGTGTGAAATGCTGCTTATAGTTTAATATAAACTCAGGTGAGCACAGTTATTCTGATGTATAGAACAAGGTCATTACATATATCTGTATGAGGTGCTGTATATTTGAGTACTTAATCAGTGTCTTAAATGTCCTTTAAAGGGATATTCTGGTGTAAAATTAAGTTAGGGTCAAACACACAGTAACACCGAGTTCTACCCCCTCGAGAGATGGATGTTGCTGACCGCTTGCTTCTCCAGTTATACCAACTTTAGTAACGACCGCACGATAGCAATACACTAAATACAACTCACCCACTCTCCTCCAGCAGCCGCTTGTTTGTAGGCAGAGCTTGGAAGTCCATTACGGACTCCTGCGGGGTGCCGCAGCTCAAGGAAGAACATTTATGATAATTTCTTTATCATTTCCTTGAAGTAATAATCACCATATTAATCATTTTGCACTGCAGACGCCGTAGTTTTTCTGCCTTATTGCTCGGTCTGTTTGCATTTCCATGAAGAAATGATCATAAATGTTCTTCCTTGAGCTGCGGCACCCCGCTGCAGGCAAAATCAGGCAAAGCTAAATAGATGTTTGGTGGCTAGTGCTGTGGCTGGGACCCTATATGTACTGTTGATGAAGTTAGGTGCTATTCTGAGCATTATTTGTGGTTATAGAGCGGCGTTTTGGTTGAGGTGTGCGCATGGAGACGTAGACTGCTGTTTATTGCTTTGGTGCAGTCGTTACTAAAGTTGGTATAACCAGAGAAGCAAGCGGTCTGCAACATTCATCTCTCGACTGGGTGTATAACTCGGTGTTCCTGTGTGTTTGACCCTTACTTAATTTTACCCCTGAATATCCCTTTAATCAGTGTCTTTTATGTCCTTTAAGGGTGAACCCTGTCCAAAATAGCTGCATCGTGGGTATTTAATGAGGAGATAAAGTGAAGTCATCTCAGTAATGGTACCTGTTTGGCAGCAGTCTGCACCTGGGACATCCTTGGAGAGTTTTTATGGGCCAACAGAGTGCTTCTGATTTTGTAAACTGTCTCATAGAGGTCTAACAGCATCTCACTGGGCTCATATCTGTCTCAACAAAGAGGGGATAAATAAAGAGAATAATTAGCTTTGTTCTGCACTGCAGTACAGATCCTGAAAACAGTCATGTATAATTCACATCACACCAATTCTACATGATCTTTTCACACATAAAACTCGTGCTTTAGTCTGATTTCTTACAGGTTTCATAGTAAAATGCAAAAAGAATCCTCATGTTCCATGAAATATCACAGTTTATATTACTGACCTGTCCTGCCAGCAGGCCTCATTCTGCAGCCCAGTGTGTTTCAGAAGAGCTGCCAGGCTGCAGCGACAGACAGTCTGCAGCAAACAGTCTCCTGAAGAGCCTCCACTTTCCCACTCTGCTCCCAGCAAAACAACATGGCACATTTAAACCAAGTGACAAGAGAGAAAATAATAAAACCCTGAGACTAGATTTAAAAAAAAAAACAGTCTATGATGTATTATGAAGCAAGTCAAGTCCACTTAAGCTGCCACTAATATATTCTGTATTTCTCTTTTCAAAATACAGTCGAAGATGTCGATATAAGCAATATAAACAGAGATTAAAAACACCTTTAATGTGCGCATACTCCTCCATCTTCTGCCACAGGCCACCTGCTGGCCCTCTGGAGGATCCCAGAGCCATTTCCAGTAAAGTTCTAGTTTCTTCATTCAGACTGAGTTCAGCCAGCCTGGCATCCCTATTGCCCATTAGTACCACCTCGGTCAGCCATGCCATGCTGGAGTCTACAGAACAACAAAGGATCGATCAAAGAGTACACACTGTATCCGGAAGACTACAGATATTTTGCCCCAAATGTGGTTGTCAACACCAGTACAAATAAAAGTATGGAGGGCAGGAGGTCTGTATTCTTACCCAACTGTTCGTAGTCCATCTCCAGGCCGTTCCTGAGGAGCACATTGGATAGCCAGAACTCAGACAGTTTCTCCTGAAGTGAGGGTGGTGGACCTTGCAGCATACCACCGAGACAACGCCCGACTGCCAACGCTACAGACCGCTCCAGGTCCAACAGCCAAACCCACCTGCACTCCTCCTCCTGTTGCTGCTGACTGAGGCATGTGTTTTCTTCACTTTTGTCTGTTAGAAAGATTTCAAATAGTCACTTAAGCAACACCACTTTCATTATTAACTTAAAAGGATTGTTGATCAAAACTCCTCCCACCTCCAGAGGTTTTCTGAGCCTCTGTCTTCAGCTCTTGCTCCTCCAGGAGGCCTGTTTCTGGCAGGAGCCTGTTGAAATCATTGAGATGCTCCAACAAGGACAGTAAATGGCTGAGGAGAGGTTGAACTGTGGCCAGTGGCAGCAGCAGCAAGGAGTACATGACCTGGCAAAGCAGGCTGCCAGCCACTGAGTTGTACAACACCCCTGGGACAAGAGATGAGGAGAGTGAGAGGGATCAGAGAGACTCATTAAAATAACTGAAAGACACAGATGGACATTTTCAACAAGCAGAGAGGGGAATTGTTTTCATTTGTTTTCTACGAAGAGCCAATCAGCACTGTTATTGCTCTTACTGTGCAGCTTCTTGATGATTTGTTTATCCAGGGAGCTCTCCTTCAACAGTTTGGTGGATCTCCTGAGTGTCTCAGCAGCGCAGGGAAGCAGCAGGTAGAGATGCTCACGGAGCAGCATCACACTGCTGTCATCCTGGAGAGTAACAAGAATACTGTGAACCTCAACTTTATGACTACAGAGAAAACACGAGGCTGTGATTGTGTACAGGTGAAGAAAAAAATTCAGATCTTTCTAGTCTTTTATGGAAAATTTACAAAAGAGGATTAGGTCCACAAGAAGAGAAAAAATAATTACAGGAGGGAGATTTTTTTTAATTCCCATTTTGAGATTAAAGTCAAAATTTAAAAAAGTCAAAATGAATTGCCATATGACTTAAATTTGTCTTAGCCAGCCATGTGCCAGAGTGCATCGGGTCCTCGGCTTCGGAAATGCCTGCGCCTCAGACACCAGGCTCGTCTGTACTCCACGCCCTCTGGATCACTCAACCTGATCAGTTGTCTTATTGTATCTTGCAATACAACATAGCCTTGCTGTATAGCCCGCTTTTTATAGTCCGAATACTCGTGACCACACTGTGTTTGTGTGCTAAAAGAGCAAAGATTTCCTTGTTACTAAATCCAATTCTAAAGTACAGCCTTAGGAACTTTTCTACAGAGGACATGTAGTCGAATGACCAGCGACAATGCTGTTGAGTCGTTATCATTAATCTCAACATTACGACTTTATTCATGAAATTTCGTCTTTATTTGTGTCGACTTTAATCTCTTAATTTTGACTTCAATCTTGAAATTTTGATTTAATTCACGAAAGTTCAACTTTATTCATGTCAGCTTTAATCTCAAAATTTCGACTTTAATGTCCAAATTTTAATTTTTAATCTCGAAATTTTGACTTTGACATAATTTCAAGATTTTTTGTCTCCAAAATTTGACTTGAATCTTGAAACTTCGACTTAAATCTCATTTCCGTAATTATTTTTTTCCTCTACGTGTGGCCCTAATCTGCTTTTGTAAAAATTGCAATTTTTGGACGAAAGAGTTGATTCTGTATTGCACCTCAGTGCTGGAATGGATGTAGCAATGGGCGAGCAGGTGTTTGTGAAGTCCGGACAACAGCTGGTGGAAGTGGGATGGTGGGTCAGATTGTCCTTGGTTATCTGTTGATAGCTGCTTGTCACTGTTTTTCTCCAGTTCCCCAAAAGCTCGCTCCTGCATGCACATGGAGGAAAAACATAAATCATATCAAGGTCCAGGAAATTAACTCTAATTTAACTAATGTATGTGCACTAAATTGAACAAAAAAAGGCTAAACCAGAGAAAACAATGTGCTGCAGTATACCATAAGATAAATCAAGATTTGCACACGCTCTTCTCTTGCATACCGTGTAAAAGCCTATGCTGAGGAGCAGAGTCCTGAGCAGCACTTCTGCTAAATGTAGAGGGTCATATGTCTCCACAGAGCTGGATGTAGAGGCTGCCCGGGCAGACATGGCGGGAGTCAGCGGGGGTCCCAGGGCTGTCACCTCCCCAAAATTGCTATAACCCAGTAGAGAAGCTACATGGCTCTGATCCTGAAGGCTGCTGAGGACCATCTCCAGCTGCAGACGCTTTAAAAAGACACAGGAAAGAAGAGAGAGCTCCATCATTTCAATGTGAAATTGACAGAAAGTCTGCTGAGGAGGAATAATTACTTCACAGCTAGAGATTTTCACAACATTCAAGAAATCTTCAACCCATATTGCCTAGCAACGCTTGGAGTTGGCGCTATGGTTTGGACAAATGCAGTGTTTGTTGGCTAAATCCATCCGTTTGTTTTCCTGCCAACTATCAGAATCATAGTCACAGTTTAATTAAGGACAGTAAGCAGCAAAGGCAGAATATGTGGTCTTCATTAGCAGTCTAAATGTGATCATCAAAGTGTGTCCTTTGTTTACACCAACATCTCCTTTGAAAAACACATTACTTACAGTTCACTTATTATTACATAAAAGCACTTTTACTTTATCAAAGGATACCCAGCAATACTGATCTAAAAATATCCATCATAATGAGGTCTACATACCTGTCCTTTGGAGAGGACATTTAAGCTCTGAGGGCCCTGAGGAAGGAGGGAGAGCAGCAGTTCTGTCCTTTCTCTGAGTGGAGGCAGCAGCAGGGACGAGCCGATGGATAGAGTGTTTAGAACCGCCTGAGGGTGGGCAGAAATGTCATTATAATGTCAAAAGATAGGGATTAGCATGGAGTAAATAGAACGCAGTATAGAAATAGAGCTTTAACAACCCAACACCCACTTCATTTACTCGCAAACAATCACTATTGTCTTGCCAAGTTACCTCAAATGCCTCCAGCCAAATCTTATCACAGGAACAGAATTACAAAAAGACAAGACTATAACCTTACCTGCTGTATGGAGTCTGGCATATTTGTATCTATGAGTCTGAAGAGCAGGTTTCTGAGGGGTCTTCCCTGAGCCCCTAAAACCATAGCCCCCGTGCCTCCAGCATGGGCCAAAGACAAGTGGATGGAAAGCAGCTTCATGCACAGTAACAGGAACTGATGGTGGTCCCTGAGACATACGAATACAGAAAGACAAAAAGAAGGGAAATGAATTCTGTGGAAGTCTGTGTGTCTACTGCAGCTTTACTATCATTATACAGACAGAAGCATGTCCCCTCTCACGACCTCCTCCCTGTCTGATCACCAACAACACTTTTTATAAAGACACCCTAATAACACAAGTCACCTTTCATAATCATTCACTTCATATCCCGTCATCCTGACTGAGCGTTTTGCAACAGTGGTTGAGAAAACTCCACGATCAATGCATTAACAGGCAGGATGCACTACAGGATCTCTGTCTCACCAGCAGAGCGTGTGTCATGTGCTGCAGGTTAGCAGATGCAGAGAGCTGACAAGTGGGCTGTCGAAATTGCTGATAACAGATGATGGAGGAAGTAAAAATGTCAAACCGGTCAGCTATTTTATTTAGGCTGCAAAAAGATATACTTGAGCTGCACTCCCAGGCACTGTGTAAGAGTGAGGAAACACTTTTTATTTCATATTTAGTCATCAAGTGATTTGCAGGAAAGAAAATTAGCCATGTTAGCCATCTGAATCCACTGTTTTTATGGGTGCAAAATAAAATAATCTGAACATGATGTGCGTATGCATGCACCAAGCTTTATTCTGATTAGAAGCATTTGGACATGTGCAGAGTTGTAAGATTTCGCTAAAACAACTTCAGAAGAGTTTTCCCCCTGTTAAATATTATCACTAGATGGCGCCCTTGCGTACTTATTCTACTGGTCTGTCAAAGGTTGCACTGTGCGTGCAGATGTGACATCATTACGCTATATGTACGCCTTGTTATGTTACCAGAGGAGCAGACACGGCATCTGCGGTTAAGAGTAAAGATCGAGTCAGATAAGAGAGTCACGATCGGAATAAGTGTTTACATGGACACATTTCGGAACAACGACTGGCATAAACCACCCCTCTCGATCAGAATACAATTTCTTTCCGATTAAGCCAAATGGGATCAAAATCTTCTGATCGACATGTTTACATGATGCATCTTTATTCCGATCGGGCATTTATTCCTATTATTTGAGCCAATATAAACGCAGCTGGTGATTATATTGAATCGGCTTAAATAAGCACTAATTGTGGTCACAGTATATTCAATTTAATATTATAGAACAGTATTGTTATAGATTTTGCCATATTGAAAACAGTATTTAAAAACTAAGATTTAATATCGGATTATAATAAATTTGATCTTCACCCCCTAAAACTGACAGAATGTTCCTTTAATGATGTACCTTTTAGATAAGAATGGAGCAGGAGGCGTGTCATTCCCGATGCCATCGCAGTAACTCTCAAGGAAGTTGCGCAGGTAGGTGAATGTGCTCTCCTCCAGATCGACACAAAAGGGCCTGTGCCACGCCACCAGTTGCCTCGAAGAAAAAAAAAATGCAAAGTCACTTAAAAAGAGCCGAGTCAGCACAAATGTGTCAGAACTAGAAAGACAGATCCACAGATTTGACAGAAGGGGGGAAGAAAACACCAGATAAGCAGTATAGAACAGTGCTGAACTCTGAAATCTTTCCAGACACAGCTGGCACTCTGATTTATTCTGCGATGTCAAATATGTTTTACAGTGTGGAGGAAAAGGTTTTTGCCCAGTGAGTTTAATGTGGATGAGATTTATGGGAATAAAAAGTGGAATTCTTCAAGACAATATGAGACTGTACCTGTCTGTTGGGACCGCAGTCCAAGCCAGGCTGTGAGAGGTGCCAGCAGTGATTTGCTGGATGGACACCCCCTCTAAACCGAGCACTTTTTTGGGTTTGGTGATTGGTGTTGAGGTGTGGCCCTGTCCACACTGACCCATGGTGTTGTTCCCCCAGGCGTACACTTCATTCTCTGAGGAAAGGTGTAGAAACAGTCCTGCTTTTAGAGTTTTCCATGTATAATACTGTGTACACAATTGATGACTGACTGTCAAAAGTCAGCAGGATGAGATATTTTGGCAAAATCATCACTTTAGCATGTCAGAGACAAGATCCACAGGGGGGCGCCAAAATTGACACAAACCTAAAGTTCTTAACAGGTGCTTTAAACTCGTCCTTGGTACCTTGGGTCAGCATACCAAAAGTTTCTTACCATGGGACAGAGCCAGACAGTGACTGTCTCCGCATGAGATATCAATGATTTTGGTGATACTCAGGTCCTCTATAAACCTGGGTCTCAGGGAGGTCGTTTCAGAGGAGCCACAACCCAAACATGAGCCACAGCCCCATGCAAACACCTAAAAAAATAAGATAAATAAATAACAGAAGTTGACAACAGGACTAAATATCTAGTCTTATCTTTATTTTGCCTTTTCTTCTTACATCATACGAATATTGAGACAAATGTAAAAACAGAATATGGACTTCAAACGTTGACAAAAATTAATGACGCATCAATGCTGTTAGGGTGATGGTGGTGTGTAGTAGATAAATTGATTTAAAATTTTGAAAGAGTGAGTAAAAAGTTTGTCAGTCATTTTTACACTTCACCTTTTTCTTAGCTCTGCGGGGTTAAAGGTGGGGTAGACAGCAATCTGTTAAAAAAGCATCTTTTTTTGTGGTGTATATACAAAAGAGCTTTTAATATCAGTCAATAGCTATAAGTCATTGATGACATTTGGTAATACAATGATATCGTTATGTTATGTCTGTGTGGTCAACATTTAAGACTTTCAGAGCGCTCCGCTCTTTCTGACTGTAAACAAAGTCATTCCCCACTTCCCCCAACCTGATTGGTTGTGAGGCGGACGCTGCTCCTTAGTGCTGATTGGTTGCTGCTCCCCCGTGTCGTTCAGGAGCCCAAACAAAGTTAGCGTGCTACAATGTCAGACAGTAGAAACCAACCAAAAAGTACAGAAAATTGTCTGAATCTTCCTTTAGCCACGACTGCCAACACAAGCAAGAAAACGAACTAAATACCAGAGACTCTGGCGGAATAGTGGGCGCTTAAAAAGAAGGTAGACCACCCGGACAAGAGCTTAAAAGCCGGGTCAACAGTGATGGGGGACACTTCGGGATCTTACGGACCCTGTAACCTTGCTGCTGGACAGGTAAACCGCTTTAACAAAGTAAGCCAAGTGTAACAGAAGTGTTTCTTGTCAAATGGGACCTACTGCGTGATGTAGCGCCGCTAAACTGTTGACCCCGGGTCCTGGACTATGTCACTTAATCCTAGTTGTAGAAGTCCTGCAAACATTGTGTTTGCTGGTAGTCTGTTGGCATCTACAGTAGCACCAATGCTTTTTACTTTCACGTTGACTGGGCCACATTTGTAATGATCTGAAGTATTTCTCTGCATTATATCTAAATTTAATTGAAACGATACGAGCGAGCAGGAGTGTCTGTTTGTGGGCGGGGCTTGCTGGAGCAGAGACGGAGGGGAAAAACTGGTTGGGAGGGGTAGAGTTTACATTCAAGATTTCTCCCCAAAACTGGCACTTCCTCAGATCCTGCCTACCACACCTTTTAGGCTTAAGTGTATCCACAGTAAAAAAAAAACCTGGGTCTGTTAAGAAACACACATCTGACTAAATATGGGTCATCTCACCTGTCCTGCAGAGGTAAGAGCCAGAGACGACTGACTGCCAGCACACACTTTTCTGATAATAAATCCGTGCAGAGCCTCGATGACTTTTGGGCGATACACACGGTTGGTGTCTCCATGACCTAGTTTGCCTGCAAGGATGAGTCATACCCATGTAGGTATTAGTATTAGCTCACACTTACCCAAGATATCCCTGCAATGATCGACCAAAAGTGACACTACTGTGATAATTTCCTTGAGAAGCGAAAATACCAAACATACCATTGTCCCCTCCCCCGAAGGACCACACAGTGCGTCCATCCTGCGCCACAGCTATGGTGTGAGAGCTGCCACAGGCCACCTGACCCACACCGCTGACGTCCTTCACCAGTGTGGGCACGTTCCGACTCTGACTGTCACTGTGACCTGATCGGGACACACACAAAAAAGGACACCAGTTGTGGTTTCTTTCATACCAGGAGAGAGTTCTCGCTCAGATTTTTTGAGACAAAATAGCACAAGCGAGTTGAGAAATGAAGCATGTACCGAGTCTGCCAAAGTCTCCCTCTCCCCACGTATAAAGCTCCCCATCATTAGTCACAGCAGCACTGTGTCTGTAACCAGCAGACACACAAACAACCACCTGGCAGAGAAACCACAATATGTCAAATGTAAGCTTTCCAAACACAAAACAGATTCTTTTCATAACGCTGCAGGAACTAACAGTGTTTTCTGCTCACCTTGCCCAGCAGTGGTCCTTGTATGATTTTGGGGTATTTCTGTGTTGCACTGTTACCATGGCCCAGTTTCCCATATTCTCCATCACCCCAGCTAAACACCTGGAGGTGAATAATCGAACATTTTAACATCAATTAAAGGAAAAGTAAAACAAAATGGCTGACTGTAGATTAGTTTTGTATTATTCACGAAATCTTTGTGATGAAAGTGATCAGTTTGAACTAACTTAAACAGACTCCTAAAAAAGGTAGAAGTCGCACAGACACTAGTTTTGATTTAAAGGGATATTCTGGCGTAAAATTAAGTTAGGGTCAAACACACCGTAACACCGAGTTAGACACCTCCTTGAGAGATAAATGTTGCCAACTGCTTGCATCTCTAGTTATACCAACTTTAGGGTCTAACTCGGTGTTACGGTGTGTTTGACCCTAAATTAATTTTACGCCGGAATATCCCTTTAAATTATGTTTAAACAGGATAAAGTGACATGAATAAACGGTGACAAAGACACCTATGCTTTGTACCTTTTTTTGCCAAAACTATCAACAAAAAGTGAAAAGTGTCAGAGTCTCCCCATGAATTGATTTGATCTGATAGGTTATCTCTAATATGACACTCAGAAAACCTCTGATATTTGTACCAGTATTTTTCTTTCTCTTACCTCTCCCTCTATGGTGATAGCCAAAGTGTGGCCATCAGAGCCCTTAGAAGAGGACACTTTCTTCATGTTCCTGTGTGGCTCCAGGACGAGTTTTTTGGGCATGGACTGATTATTGGAGTCTCCCAAGCCCAGACGACCATAGCTGCCTTTTCCACATGCTTTCACAGAACCATCTGCAGACACTGAGAAGGTGCAGTACTGGCCTGCTTCAATCTAAAGAGGGAAAACATTTGAAATTTAAGTCTTTTTATAGAGCTTTTTTTCTAAAATGAATTCTCTAAAAAATAAAGTTGAAAAGTTAGTGAATGTGTGGAGAGATTTCGGTCCCGTCTTCATGGTTGTTTATACCATTTGGGCGTCACTGAAGCCCTGAGTCAGCTTTGGCAGCAGGATCTTCTCCAGAGTTCCCTCTGCCAGCTGGTGGCTGCTGTTGCTGCCCCACACATACACCATCACTGTGTCACTATCTGTACCCGGAGAAGCTGCATCCGTGCTGCACGAGCACAGACAGTAGGATGCTAGGTTACAAATCTGTCAAAAAGAGGAGAATGAGGTCCGTTCAGTCAGTTACTGTAAAGACGACAAGTTCTCAACAGGGCTTAATGTTGAACTCTGTGACTGAAATTTCTCCTACCTCCTCAAACAGGCAGAGAGCAGCCTGAGAGAGACGACAAAGCCCATCAGCATCCTTTTTTAGCACCTGAGTGTTGACGGGATCCCCACGGAAACCCTGGAAGAAAGGAGGAAGCTTACAACAGTGTCTGCTTTTAGTAGAACCAGCATCAATCACTGTATGAGTGTGTCCTGACAAGTTTTATTGTGATGAAACCATGAAAACAGCTTTCTCCCCAGAACAGCAACATTTATCTACATGCTCTAGTAGAAGTGATAAAAGGCTAACCGGTAGAGATCATACTCAAAGTAGTGTGGACATTGCCTGCTTTCTAGGGCTATTACAGACCTGTTAATCATATGTGGGATGCGGTCAACAGGCAACATCAATCGTGACGTTTTTGGCAATACACACATCTCTGGTTGTAAACTCTCCAGAAATATTGCAGAGCTGATTAGCCTGCTGAAGGATGACTCAATATGCATATCAAGAGAGTGCAAGAAGACTGACTCAATCATAATCCTAGTCTGCACACAAAAGCGTCACTCTGAGCTCTAAATGAGCCCGTACAAATAAGGACAGCCTGCAGCAAAGAGCCATTTTCCTGCTCTGCAGACAATGGGCCTCATTCATCAGAGTGTTCATACATGTTTTATGTAAGTTACCTCACATTATTTATAAAGTAACCAATGCTGCCAAAGGAATGTACTATGAACGCAGCACAAGTTCTTTCTCGAGAAGAATAGAATTTTCTTAACCATCAGAGGTGGGGTGTTTGAGCAGGGGGAAATTTGATGTCACACCATAATACCTAAGAGGTGGTTTAATAAGGGCCTGTGTCCACTAACAGCAGTTTTTTAAAACCTATACTTTTACTTAAAGGGATATTTCAGCGTAAAATTAATTTAGGGTCAAACACACCATAACACAGAGTTAGACTGCCCCTCAAAGATGAATGTTGCCGATCGCTTGCATCTCTAGTTATACCAACATTAGTAACGACCGCAGGATAGCAATACACAGCGGTTGGAGGAGCCATAAACAAACCTCAACCAAAACGCCACTCTATAGCCACAACTAATGCTCAGAACAGCACCTAACTTTATCAACAGTACATATGGGGTCCAAGCCACAGCACGAGCCTCCAAACATGTTTTTAGCTTTGCCTAATAATTTCTTTAGCAAAGAGACTAAACACAACTCACCCACTCTCTTCCAGCTGCCGCTTGTTTGTAGCAAGACCTCAACCAGTCCATTACTGACTACAGCGGGGTGACACAGCTCAAGGAAGAACATTTATGATCATTACTTTATCATATCCTTGAAGTTATAATCACCATGTTGATCATTTTACACTGCAGACATTCCCGAGCTCTGCCTACAAACAAGCGGCTGCTGGAGGAGAGAAGGTGAGTTGTGTTTAGTCTCTTTTCTAAAGAAATCAGGCAAAGTGAAAAAGATGTTTAGTGGCTAGTGCTGTTGCTGGGACCCTATATGTCCTGTTGATGAAGTTAGGTGCTGTTCTGAGCATTATTTGTGGCTATAGAGTGGTGTTTTGGTTGAGGTTTGTTTATGGCTCCTCAAACCGCTGTGTATTGCTATCGTGCGGTCATTACTAAAGTTGGTATAACTAGAGAAGCAAGCGGTTGGTAACATTCATCTTTTGGGGGGGTGTCTACTCGATGTTCAGTGTGTTTGACCCTAACTTAATTTTACGCCGGAATATCCCTTTAAGTATCATCAGTGAGTCAAAAACTTGCTAAAAAACATACAACTGCATTCAGCAAAATGGACGATGTCTACTCTGCGAAATTAATTAAATTTTACCGCATAAATTAGTCCCATTTCTGGTCAAAATATCTTTTTACACTAGTTGCACAAGCCACAATGACATGACAGGTCCAAATATAAATCTAATGTCAAGATATTTCAAGTTAAGCTAAGGACATACAGTAAGTCTTTGATTTGGCTCATGATAACAAGCCGCTCAGCACAGCCAGCCATGCATCAAGTCTGAAAAGAGCTGATCTCTAACCCATGCTGGAACAGAAAAATGATAAAAGCAAGTGTGAAGAACACATTTTGTACCGAATATTGCCTCATTTGTAGAAGGGTTTGATGGATTACATCAAAGCCCACACCGGCTGACTGCTGAGAGCTCAGTGAGGAGGAGGAGGAGGAAGACAGTGTAGAGGTGGATGAGGACATGGAAGCAGCCAAGGCAACCTCCACCCACTCCAGCAGAAACTTCAGAGAGCCTCTTTGCATGGCCAAGCCGAGGAGCAGCTCCAGCGCTAACCTCCGTCCAGTCGGGTCTGCTCCACCGGCCCCACTGCTTACTGATGTCTTCTTCAGGAAGTCAGCCACCTGTGCCAGGCAATCCAGTCCAACAGACGGAATTTTGTTCTCGTTGGCCAGGGAGAGAGGCGGCAGAGAGGCTAGGACAGACGACGCTGTTGCTAGCACATCATTGCAAAGCACCGATTCCGGATGCACAGAGGCCGCGTATCTCCAGTTCTGCTGCAGTAACGAGAAGAGCAGACTCAAACCTGTCCTCACACCCATTTCTATCAGAACATCTGTACCAGATTTGACTTTGGATGCAGCCCCTGGCAGGCAGGGCTCTGAGGCCAGCTCAAGTTGTCCACATTCAGTCCCGCTGTCTGTGGACTGGGAGGGCAGCTGCACCCTGAACTTGTCATGGTATTTGCTATGGAGCGCGTAGTAGATCCTCTGGAGGACCACCAGCCTGTGGTGGAGGCCGAGGGTGTAGGAGGTTTGCGTCAGCATGCGGTGAGTGAGCCATCGCTGACTGTGAAGCAGGGATGACAGGTACTCTTCCTTCTCCGCTGAGGCACTGGACTCGCACTCAAAGTCTGGCAGGCGTGGGCCGACGAGCTCTTGAACAGGTTGAGCGAGAGTCACCACCTCCTTGTTGTGAAGGAGCTTTTCGTAGAGCTCTGCAGCTCCATCCCTCCTGGCTGTCCGTACACTGTCCTCTGAAGCCCAGGAGCTGTTAAAGTGCTCCTGCCACTTCAGCAACACATGGGTCTGACAGGGCACCATGTCTGAGCATTATATCTACACTTTCATGTCCACCTGAAAAAAAAACAAAAAAACAGAGAGAACCATCATCAATAAAGCAACAAACCCTGTTTATTTGCAGATGATTCAATTCACAGGTTCCATTCCCTCACACTTAATTATGAGATGACTCACTTAGAAGCAACATTTGCAGCCAAAAACCCCTGTTCTGATGCCTTCCCTGCCAAGAAAATTCACTGCAAGAGTGTCAGGTTTCTCCTCCAGTGTTGGCACCTTTCCAACATAAAATACATCCAGGCTAGTGGCATAGGTCCGGTGGGTACCACAGAAATGGGTCAGTTTGCTCTATGCTATCATCTAATCACTCCACCTTCGCTGTACGTCTCATACAGTCTATATTGCAAGTAACAACAGAGATTTCTTTAGTTCCTCGTCAAGTCGAGGATAAAAACATCAAAATGCTACTGCTCGTCTTTTAACAGGTAAACGAAAACATGACCACATCCCTGCTATTCTGGAGTTCCTCCATTGGCTTCCCGTTCATTTTCAAGTTCATTTTAAAATTTTATTGTTTGTTTTTAAATCTTTAAATGGTACATCTCTGACCTCTTAAATAGCTCCTCATGGCAAATGAGCTTTCTCGACTATGGCTCCCAAACTGTGGAACAAATTTCCACTCGAGATTAAAACATCCCCCACTCTTTCTACTTTTAAATCATGTTTTCAAACTCATTTTTATTCCTTGGCTTTTAGCTCAGCATGAGAGTTGTGTGATCTCTGTCGTTTTATGTCTTTTATGGTCCTTTTATCACTTTTATTCCTTTTATTTTGTGTTTTTATTTCATTTATTTTATTTCATTTTAAATGTTTTTTTGTTTTTTTTTACCTGTTTTTATTTATTTCCTTTGGATTAATTTCTGCAGTGTCCGTTTCGTTTTTACTTTATTTTTTATTTTGTTTTATTGTTTATTTTGGATCCACCATCAGTTACGACAAAATATGCAGTGACTGCTCTTCCTGGGGTCCTTATCTTCTTTTCCATTTTCATTTTAAACTTAGACATATACTTACAGACATTACCCTTACATAACACTCATTCTACACTTCATTCATCAGTCAATTTTTTTTTATTCATTCAATTTTATTGTGCCGCACTTTGGTAAACTTTAAAGTTTTTTTAAATGTTCTATATAATTAAAGGGTTTGGATTGGATTGGATTGGATTGGATTGGATCAAATTCCAGTTTACCTGATGTTTCATACAGCTTCTTGGTATCGGTTACACTGTAGTTGTCACTAATCTGTTTGATTTTTTTCATTTCTTCTCTTAAAACACACAAAAGTGTCTCTTTACTGATGTAGCCGAACCCCCATTAAAGGTAAAACTGTACAGCACTAGACTCCTGCAGCATCCTTAATAAGTCTTCTGTGTTATCTATGACTCACGTGTAAATGCCGTTTCTGCACACTTGTGTTATGAAACATTTGCACACAGTCAAAAACGAGTGCATCCTGTTCATATAAGGTGATAAATTCCTGGTGCATCACTGAGCTTCTCTACTGTCAGCTGCTGACAGCGCTGTCAGCTGTAGACTCAAACAGTACACAGCAGCAGAGCAGGTTAAAACAGGATGTTACCAGCATTTAGGTTGAAAGTGGTTTAGCTGGCACTAGAGTAGAGAGCACCGGAGTAACAGGGTATATATCTGTAACAACAGCATTTAATGGGCTTTACCACCAGATAAATAAGCATTACAAGGTGTCTATGAGCAACCGTTGAGTATTTATTCGGCACTTACACAAAGCAAGCTTGTTCGGCTCTTAGGTTTCATCACCTCTTTGTTATTGAGAAGCAACAACTCCTATATATTCAGCTTCTGGTGGAGGTAGATATATTGCTGCTGCCCTCCCTGTGTTTTTCATAACCTGTCCCTCTGCTTTGCCGACACACACCTGAGTATGTGTGTATGTGGATAGAAAACAATGGAACACTAATACCAGTTGTAGAATACACATAGAGAAGATAATATATAACCTACTGTAAATCCAATAGGGTAGGTGTAATTTATTTTTGGTACATTATTTTCAACCAACGACCACAGAGTTTTCTGGGGGCTGAGAATGCACTGTAAATGTCTGTATTTGCCGTAAATCAAGGTTTTTGATAGAAGGAAGGCTGAAATTGTGATTACGATAAAAACTTGCTGGCCTGGCAGTCCAAGTGTTCCCTGTTCTCTACCCATTTGTTGCTCTATCCACTGTCCTGTCCTCTTACAATCAAGGTAAATCTCCAAATTACAAATTCTTTACTGTGAAAATAACAACAAAACTTCTCATAGAATCTTACACTGTAATGCTGCATTCAAGTTATCTCGGAAACTAGATGTCCGAGCTGAGAATGACGTTACACCCGAGTTACCAGCGTTTCAGTTACCAAGTCGGTAAAAAGCTAAATCTGAGGCGGAAACAAGATGGCTACATCTACGAAAGGGGATGCTAAAATAACTTAAAATAACTAAAATAACAAGCGCTAAAATAACTTTTTGTAGATGCAGCCATCTTGTTTCCACCTCAGATCTTGCTTTTTTTCCGACTTGGTAACTGAAACGCTGGTAACTCGGGTGTGACATCATTCCCAGCTCGGACATCTACTTTCTGAGGTAACTCGAACGCGGCATAAGCACTGTCGTCTATAAGTTAAAGGTCTCTTATTCAAAGCTTGCTGCCACCTTTTGGGGACCAATTTATTTTATTTATATCCAATTATATTAATTTATATCCAATTGAGAGTGTCAAGTTGCCACGGTGAAGATTTATGTTATTTCTATGGCATTATGCTGCGTTCGAGTTCGCTCGGAAGTCAGAAGTCCAAGCTGAAAATTACGTCACAACCGAGTTACCTGTGTTTCAGTTACCAAGATGCAAAAAAGCAAAATCGGAGGCGGAAACAAAATGGCTACATCTACAAAAGTTATTTTACATATATTCAGACTAGGCAAGTGCTAAAATAACTCTCAGAGATGTAGCCATTTTGTTTCGGGCCTCTGATTTAGCTTTTTTCCGACTTGGTTACTGAAACATTGGTAACCCAGTTGTGACGCCATTTTCAGCTTGGACTTCTGACTTCCGAGGTAACTCGAACGCAGCATTATTTTAGCGCTTGCCTTATACTCGGACAAGGCAAACACTTTTTTCTGACTTGGTAACTGAAACACTGGTAGCTCAGGTGTGACGTCATTTTCAGCTCCGACATCTGACTTCTGAGGTAACTCAAACGCAGCATTAATAAAATCCCATTCACATAAGCCGTGTTAGAGAGTAGATCAGTTTCCATCATGACAAATATAGAAATAAATTAAAAATGAAATATCACTGGGAATGTCATTTCAGCAGAACAATTCCGTGACTAAAAAACTCTGTTAGAGTTTTCAACAACAACAACAACAAATCACCAGGTTAAACTAACTGGTTCAAGCAGATGTAGGATGCAAAGTTCAGTCCACCAGGGTCATGTCTTAAAATAGTTTATAATTGTAAACCTGTACAAGAAAAGCACAAAATGTCAGAGGAGTGAGAGAATGCTAGTTACAGACATGAGCATGCCACTATGACCAGACTCCACAGTCACAGAGCCTCATCCGTCTTGCCTTGCCTGAGGCCAGTGGGGCTATATGGTTTCCACCTTGGCCAAAAATAACAGCAAGCATTGATATAGTAATGAGCTCTTCAGTCAGACAACCACCAGCGAGCAACCACTAAAAATGTTAGTCTGAAATTGCGGGAAATTAACGTCCAGGGCAAGTTTGTCAGTTTGGGACTCTGTTTTTCTTCTCGCTCAGCTAGATTCCCACTCTATCCAGCTCTCATGACAGGCCAGTCTTTTTAGACTATCTATAAATATACACAGACATAAAACATATTGTATTACTTGTTATTAATTACAGATGACAAGTCAGGACCAGCAACTTCCCAGTAAGCTATTAAATAGAAATAAAAACATAAAGGGCTCATGTGTCAGACTTGAGACTAAATTAAACGCAGAAGATCAGGATCAGTGACTGGCTTTGAATGCACGCAACATCCTGTGTGATTTCAAAAAAAATTAAATGTCAATGTTGGGAAGGAGGAAATGCTGACTGAAACTGGGTCACTTTTTTAGCAGACATGTGGATCTGAAACGGCACATTTTAAAAAATATACATAAGGGTGTGACCAAGACAGGGAATTTTAAAAATGATCATTTTGATTTTGAGTGCAAGAAATGGCGATTCAACCAATAAAATAAAATAAAAAAAGAAGAAAAAACAATCTGGAGCCTATCTAATAATATCTGATTATTTTTAGCTTGAGCAAAAATCTCAAAATTTGCCAAATTTTTCTTTTTTTTTTTTACAAGGTTCAAAGATTTTAAATTTAAATGAATCCTCATGAACAGGTTTATTTGGTGACAACAAGATCATACTGTGTGTTTACTGCAGGACGGTTGCCCTCAACCTTCACCTGCTGGAAGAAGTTCAGCTATTTGAGAGGACCCTCGCCCTCCTAAATCACTTTGACTTAAGCCAGTCAAGGTAGTTCTGTCACCTGGATGACCTTTAACCCGCTGTCTCCTGTGAGTTGCTGGGTGTGTAGACCCCTCAGGCTGACCTCAGACAGGTTTGGTGGTGTTACATTTCTTTTGGAAAGTAATACAGAATGAGCTGGAGGACGTTTTGGCTGCTGTTGTCAGGACAACAATGGATGCATGGATGAGTGCTGGTCAAAATACTACACCTCAAAAGCCTGTTCCTCCATTTAAGAATACTTAAATACTGTATATTTCTCAATTGGATGTATAATTCAGTGAATTAAGTCGACAGCAACATATAATTAATTCACAACTAACGCCTCAGTCCGACCGAGCTATCTGCCCTCTCACTTTAAAGCATCTGTCAACATTTAACAGCACCTACATGTTTACCAAAATGTGACGGCGGTTAGCTCACTATGTTCGCTTGTGGGTGCTAATATTTCGAATTAGGTCAAAAACAACCATATATGTGAATTTGAAACGTCGTCTCCGCCGTGTCATTCACAAACACCGGTGATATTTTTCTGCATCTGCGTTGACAGCTGAGCTAACGCTGGCTGCAGTGCAGTTGCTAGTCCGCTCCATGGCTGTCAAAACCCGACCAAGCCCCTCCGCTGGTTGGCTGACAGCTCCCACATAAACACTACTAGGACTCGTCCGCGTCCTAACGTTATTCCAAACAAGGTATTGTGGCAATAAAAAAAGGCTGCAGGCATGTAAGTTACCTTGACAGTAAAGCCCCGCCGGTGTGTGGTTTGCGTTACCTGTCCCGTCCCAGTGAGGTCTCCCTTGGACGTGAATATCATATCAACCTTCTCCTCTTTCCTCCTCTTCTTCGTCTGTTTGGGCTGTAATGACCGCTAGTAAACAGCAGCTCCCCCTTGTGTGTAGGAGTGTGAACTGCAGCCATCTTCAACATCAACCCTAATCATCACCAGCATTACGTTTCATTAACTATATTCAGTAATTAACGTAATTCTGGATTATGATTCAATCATAAAGTAAGTTTTTTTGGCGGGATTTTGATTCAGGAAACGACTCCCTGAAGTCCACCTAAAACTCAAACTGAAATCATAAAATGGGCACAATCTTTTGCACAGATATCAGTTTTTCAGCTCTTCGAACTTGATGATGCATTGTGGGAATTGTAGGACTCAGGATTTATTAACTCAGTAAAAGTCACAATAGCTTGCATCAGCCGCCTTTTTAACATTTTTAATCAATTATATGAGCCTCAAACTTTAAACTACTGAATTAACTTGTTATGAATAACAGTGATAGTTTGTCTTATATATTTCTTTATGATCAATTCTTTACTATTATCAACTATTATTATTATTATTGTTGCTGTTGTTATTATTATTAAAATGATTCTTATTATTGCAATAATAATAATAATAATAATTATTATTATTATTATTATTATTGTTGTTGTTGTTGTTGTTGTTGTTGTTGTTGTTTTATTGTTTTCATTATTATTATTATTATTATTATCATCAACTCAGTAACTGGTGAAAAAGGCTGGCTCTGTGGTTGGATTCAAGCTAGACAAGCTAGTGGAGGATGTGGTGGAGAGATCTACAATGAGGAAGGTGGAGTCTATTTTCAAAAGCATGGATCACCTACTTCACAACACCTTAATGGACCAAAGGGCCAATGGTGGTGGATGGCTCCTCTCTCTTCGCTGCAGGACAGAGAGATTCAGGAGATCTTTTTCACCCACAGCCATCAGACTTTATAACTCTTCTGTAAATAGTAGATGACTTTTAGAGACATGACAAATGAGACGACAGACAATTGAATTTCCCTTCGGGGATTAATAAAGTTCTTCTTATTGTTATTCTTAATAGCTTGCATCAGCCACCTTAATACTTTTAACATTTTTAATCTGTTATATGAGTCTCAAACTTTAAACTTTCAGCAATATGGGAAAAAGTTTATCACAATATATATTTTTTTATCAGTTGATATCAATATATATCACAATATAAAAATATCACTTGTCAATCTTAAATGTTCCCTATTACTCTTATATGAAATTCAACAGTGCTTATTGGTAGTATGTCTTTTGCAGTACAATAAGCTACTGCATCTGTGAGGTCTTTGTGTCTCTTCGATGTTTTGACGTTAGGCGTTACGCTAGAGAAAGCTGTGGACAAACTTTAGAAATTCATTACACAGAACATAAATTTTTTCCCCCCCTAGTTGCAATGTTGACATGCAGTTATTGTAAGACTGGTTTGTGCTCAAGTCCTCTTTTTTCTGTACAGCCCCTTTTTCAAAAGTTATTAGGAGGTTCATGTTTTCTATGATTGACTCTTGATACAGCCTATGGGCGTACAAGGATTGCGTAACTCACCTGAAGGATACAGTGTTTGAGCCGAACGTCATTATAGCGACTCTCTGCGTCTCTCACGCCAAATGCGTACAATGGTACTGCGCAAGTGGTAGAGTGCGTACAACACTACCGCGCAATGTTGGTTTTCAGGAAATGGAGAAAAAATGCGGAATTCCGAGAGCTTTTTGGCTTCAAACACGTATACTGACGGAAGGTGGAACCAAGTTGTCCAAAGTATATGCAGTCTATGGGTAGCACTCATTTTCTTTTTTGTCACCGACAGTGCTGTCAGCTTCACGTGTAAGAGTGCTATGGTTGCATGTAGCTGCAGCCTGCAACTACTCAGTTGTTTGCTACTTGGTTCTAATTCAGCACATGACTGGTTCAGCATGAAGCGGACTCGGATCAACTCCCCTTTTCACTATTGAAAAGCATATTGATGATGTTTTACATTGATATCGAGTGAAAATAATTTTTCAATATATATTGTTATCGTTTTATCACCCAGCCCTAGCTACAAGCTATCTGAGATTGATGTATTGAGCTATCTGAAATCATGTAAGGTGTTGTCAATTTTATTTCCAACCTCTAATCATAGGATGTTGTGATTAAAAACATCCTACATCAAGGTTAATCCTTCAGATCCGACAAACCTGATGCAATGGGATGTTTGGGAGTGTCGTCACTAACTCACTGAGACAAAAACAAACCAAAGATAACTTATGACATCAGGTCACACGCATTTCAATTCCTGGATGGCGGGGTAGAGTAAATCCCACTTCCCAGCCGGATTTCTAAAAAGGGGGCTGACTGGCCTAAAAGGACGACAACACCGGAATGAGGAAATTGACGAGGGTAAGTCATGTGCAAAACAAAGTTGTTCAATGCTGATAACCTGATGCACCACAGGTCACTCTGCACAAGTCCCCCAGAGGTGCTCCGCGTCTCGGTCTCCAATCGCGAACACAGCAGCCCTCCGTGCGCTCTCCCTGTAGCCAGCCATGTCTTTACTCCTCCTCACAGTTTTGTCCTCACTTCTAGTGCATGGTGCAGAGGCGTGGGGCAACAATGTCAAGTACGCGGTGAACTGCCCGGACACATGCAACGCGGAGCGGTGCGGCGGGACGCAGCGCTGCACACGGACCGTCCTGGATGACTGCGGCTGTTGTCAGGTGTGTGCGGCCGGCAGAGGGGAGCACTGTTACCGCACCGTGTCTGGGATGCACGGGGTGAAGTGCGGACCCGGGTTATTCTGCGAGTTTTACAAGGATGAGGACGATTACGGTGATGAGTACGGCATCTGCAAAGGTAGGGTGACATTCAACATTTTCACGTGCCTGTTTGCTGCATTTTGAACAGTGATGCTCTTCTGCACCAAACCCCATTTAATTTTTACAGAATTTTAGACTATTTTTAAAATTGTCTTGCAAATAGCACCATTGCTATGAAACTATTTGTAACATTTTGCAGCCACATGTATATCTGCGAATATGAGTCCAGTGTGCCAGTAAGTAAGATACTTGATGTTAATATAGCCAAACATGTATGCTTCTGCATCTTTCTGTCTAAACAGCCCCTTTTATTATAGATGACTGAATATGGGTTTATGACAGTGAAAGATAGAGAGGGCTGTAACAGATCCACAATCCCCTTTTCTCTTCCTTTGTCTTAGAAATAAGTCAGACTTCTCTGAAATGATGTTTTTGGCTTCTTTGCAGACTGCTTGTATGGGACTTGGGGGGTTGAGTGCCGCGAGACCTGCAACTGTAAAGGTGGAATATGTGACAGGGAGACAGGAGCGTGTCTCACCCTCAGATTCTTTGCCAAAATTGTGGGCAAACTCAAGACTGAGCCTCAAGCAGGTAATTGTAAGAGCTCTTTGAATACAGAGGATTTACTCAAGTAAATTAAAAATATTTCACCAATATTTCACCATTTATGAATATTTTTTAGTCAAATGTTTAAAAAAAAAAAAACAAAGACTAAATAAAGTTGTGTGATTAGTGACATTATTTCAAATCTGTTTGGTTTTTCAGGCGTTGAGATGGGCTCAGGAGAAGTCAGCGCTTCCCAGAGCACAGATCAGCACACAGACAGATCCACAGCTCCCAAGCGGCTCAACCCTCGCTGACAGGCACTGAGAGGACTGAATCTGTTCAGTGTAAATGTAGCATTAACTTATAAATGAACTGAAAGATATATTTTAATATGTTAAACAATGATGTCAAAACATTTTTACTGCATTTGGAAGTTTTGTTTGGTTTGTTTGGTCTTTATGCGACACCACCTTTTTCAGAAATATGCAGAATTACGTTTTTTCCCCTTTGAATTTTGTTCTGAATCTGTATTTTTGTGTTGACCAGATTCTCTCATTCTAGTACTTGAGGACACTGTGTTATATTTTACTGATTTATTGTAGTAAATTTCCATGAATTCTTTCTGTTACTGTATAAAAGTGGGTATGTAAAATATGCATATGACACCAGCTGATGTAAAGAATGCTCTTCCAATTAAACCAAAGCTATCACTGGGCGTTTTCTCTCAATTTCTACGTCCTAGTTTATCTTCATGAGCAGTGTATCGTTAGAGTAATTTTACAACAGTGTGGGGCAAATTTAGAAAAGTCTTTTCATTTATATTTTGGGCAACAGTTGAAGGTATCTAACCAAGTCAAATATATGCTACACTTTCTCTGCTAAAGCAATTATACTTACATTTCACTAAGTTGTACTTATGTGACTTGAACAGGTTGCTGTCCAAGCAAATAATAGTGCTGCAAAAATGGATAAAACAAATTAGTGCCAATTTAAATGTAGAAGGACATTTGAGTTTAAAAATCAGAGAGAAAAACAATAAATGACTTATTAAAACACTTATTAACTTTATATTCATGCTCACGTATAAATGAGACCATGAATCAATATGAGGCTGAGTCTTTGCCAGATTTCTCACAGGATCCCTCTTCTGTATTGTGGAGTTTTACCCAGATATAAGCAGCTAAAATTGAACCTGATTGATTTTTTTTATTCTTGTGCCGGGAGTATTTTTAGCAATCTCATTTGCTTTGTGTATCTGAGGCTTTGACAGACTGATTTTGCTCTGCAGAGGTGCCTTAAATCTCTGATAGGGAGGCATGCAGAATATAGCGTCTTCTGCAATACAGTTGAGATGACACAGAATAACTGCAGGGCCAAAAGTAAACACTTTTTAAAGAAATTGGGAAATACAGTTTATGTTCTCAACAATTTCTGTTTGATTTTTTTTTGTTGAAGAGAGACAGGAAAATTGGGAGGAGAGAGTCAGGAATGACATTTATCATATTTTAAGAGAGCTAACCCTCTGCAGACACAAACCAGAGCCCCATAAATGTTCCCTCTTTAAAATCCATGTGGTCCATGTTGCTTAAATCATATTCAGTCAAAAACTCGGTGGCATTATCTTGTCCTGAAGTCAGGGTAAGAAAAGGTTCTCAGGTTCTCCCCTGCATGAAAACTTTTGAACATTGAAATACAGTAGTTTAATATCCCTATATGATTCATTCACTATACATTTTGCTTTTAATAGATGAGTAAGATAAAAAAAAATGTTGCTTAAATGTGATATGCTTAAATTGTGAATGAAAGATCTTGGAGGAATGGTTGGAAAAGTTGACTGTCTATGGAGGCATCTGAGGACAAACATCATCCAGAGATCTTGATTTAGGAGAGGAAGAAAAAGTTGCTCTGAACGGTAAAAATGTCAAAAAGTCAAGATGAAAGAATAAATCATGAGTAGAAGGGATTATGGCTTCCCATGAAATCTAAACTCAGGAGCAGAAGTGGTCAGAAGTGCTGAGAAATTTTTCAGGCATCCTCGACTCTTACGGCCTGGGATGCCCTTTTTTCTCCACAAATGGCAAAGTACTCTTTGTTCCCATGCAGGAATGTAAAAATATTCAACCACAAACAGAATGAGAAGAGCTGAAGAGCCAAGAGGGGTTCAGGGCTTCAGTCTGAATACGAGAGTTTATCATCTTGTCACCGCATGGAAACAAACTGCAAACAGAGCAATGAATGGAAAAGAGACAGACTAAAATTAATACTGATGATTCTGCTCAACCTAGAAGAGCAAACAAGACCATTAACAAGAGGATTGGAAAAGCTTTTTTTTATTTTTACATATTTTCATAACAAAAATCCACAATTAGGGATACATTTGGCTGACAAAAGGTCAGTTTAGTTTATTGTACATCCTAAAAACAATGCAACAAATTTAACAAGACAATTAAACAAGACAAATTAATATGAGGTAGACTAAATCAGTAACAACTGCTTTGTCAGAGCAACTGAGATGTTGATGTATAAATGTTGGAAGAAAACATCCACGAAAATCTTTTAACTCTTTTCATCTTGTCTGAATATTTCATCTGATGCAATCAAACCAAAATAAACCACAATTTTAAAGACAAAAAAGAAAAGAAATAAAATAAACAAACCTATAAGATTATAAGGTAAAACTTGTTTTACATGTCAAACCCTTTGATTATATAATGTCTGCAAAATAAAGATTCTTTTTACTTTACCAAGTACATATCTTTGCCAAGTAAAGTAGAAAAATGGGTTAAACTCCTCATTGTCTTTGATATTTTGACTGTAAAAGGTGAGAAAAAACAGCTCAAGTTCTTGAGGATCAAATAATATTTGACTGCTTATTGTTTCACAACCAGTGTAAAAATTAGAGTGTAAAACATCTTACGTAGATCAAAATCATTCCAACATTTTGGCCCAGACTACATCAATATTCCTGTCCTGTCTAAAAATAACTCTTATGAGCCTCACCTCTGACTCTTGCTGGTACAAAAAAATGTTTTCCAGTATTCAGCTTGTTTATTTCCCGTGCTTCCTGACACCTGTGAAAATGGCCCTTCTTCCTGTTGTTGTTGTGTCTACCCTGAACAGGAATTTAAAAGCACTTTTTTTTTTTCAAGAGACACTCAAAAAGCTTGGAATTTGTAAGTGACACAAAAAACTTCCTCTGTGGGTTGTTAGAAGAGGAAACTTCCTATCCGCTTTTTACGTTTTTTTTTTTTTTTTCATTTTTACAGCCTGACACCTCTATACCGAAAAGACAAAATGGACATAGATTGTACCTCAATGCACTTAGACATAAAAAATACTGATGGAAAAAATTTTGCTATCAGGTTATCAATCTTTTTTGTGTGTTACTGAAAAAAAAAGATTTTGCATGAGTTATTGTACAGTGAAATCAATGTGACGTTCTTTAAAGTTTTATGTAGCTACATAACTTTTGGAGGGTGCAAGGGCCACTTTAAGTGTCCTCAAACAGACATTTATCACAGTAGGGATGTAACTCCTCAACTGAAGGACAAACCAAGGACAAGGTGACACACACACACTCACACACTCACAAACACGGTGACACAGACAGGTTTGAGAGCAGTCTAAAGGGCCGGACTGTTCATAAGTACTCAGGCTCAAATGTTCCTCTCATTCCCCTGAGAACCGACAGGCCGAGGCCTCGCAACCAAACAAAGGACCCTGGAAAATAACAGGAAAGCGATGGTGAGAAATACCCTTTATCTGACTCCCTGAACACGTCACTGCCGCCTCTGCAGAAACAAAGGTGCGTGAACCAAGTAGTAAATAACACTGATTTACTGCAAATAGATGTTCTGGTATTTACAGTCTGGCCCGGTCTCAACAGGTTGTTTATTAAAGCTGTGGAACGACAGGGCTTAATGGGGACAACACATAAACACTGTGAGCTAGGAAATTAAGCCATTAGACTGATTAGACTGATAACAAATATCTAAACTGCACTACGACACACAGGCTGTCATGTAAAGAAGGTCAGATTGATTTATATGACTCTTCAGTCTTGGGTCATCAAGTGTTTAAGACAAAAACTAAAACGCAGACAGATTGAGGTTAGTAATAGAGCCCCTGATCATGTTTTATTTGTAAGTGGAGCATCTGAGAGGGCGTTTTTAAGATTTTCACCGGAAGGGCCTTCAGAGAGCATTTTCTAATGTTTTATCCACTGGACGGGCGGCTATAAGAACTAATTTCAGGAGTTTTCCACTGAAGGTAAACCAGAGACATAATATTTTAACAACTACATGAGGCAATAAAGAGATTACTCCCATGCACTTGCTGTACATAAGCCTCATTTTCAAGACAAGTGGAAACCAGTGATGCATGCAAATCACCATCCTGTTATCCAGAGTACCTGTGAAACTTCTTCTCTCTGTATTTTTGGGTCAGTGATCTACCTCTGGGTTAAAAAAATTGACTTTTTGTGGTGGATTTTAGAGATACGACAGGGACCACATGACAGACAGCAAGTAAGGTTATTTCCTCCAACTCGATTCCTTATTGTGATTGTTCAGTGAGTTCCTGTGATTGAAAACAACATGTTTATTAAGTTTTTGAATGTATGTTTGGCATTCTTGCCTTTACTGAATGGGACAGCTGAAGAGAGACAAGAACTGTGGGGGTTGGAGAATGAGGGACATGCAGACAAAGTTGAACCAGCCACCCCTGTGATGAGAACTATTATCTCCATATATGGGACACCTTAACCACTTGGCTATCAGTGCCCCATGTTTATCATAGTTCCCCATAAAGCAGGGTAAGGTGACTCTGCTGAAATCCACTGTAGTGATGAAGAAATTCAATCCCTTTGTATGCAACTCTACATAGGGAAGAGTGGGGTAAGTTGAGCCACCCCCTGTTGCTTGGAAATAGTAAAAGAAATTGATCATGAGACCAAATATTTAGGAGATGGGCATCAATTCATGGAGTCTGTGAAGGTTAGAAGCACATGGGTGAAGGGGTGAGACATTTATTTTAAAAAAAACATTTTTCACTCTTGAAAGTGAATTTAGTCTGTCATAAGTTTTATTAGAATTGTGTTCAGATCAAAAAAGATCATTTTAAATTTGTTTTATACATCAATTGTGGTATCTATGAGCTACAACATGAGGTCAAAAACTTAACATTAAAGTCCACCATTTTAGCTCAGAGGACTAATAAAGTCACAATAGTAGTTATGGGGTAAGTTAAGTCAGTGGCCCAACTGAAAAAGTAACAGAATATGATAAGAGGATCAGTTTCAGTTCAGATTGTTGAAATGTTTTACTTTGTCTTTTCAAAAATACAGCTGTGAATGTTCTGAATCACTTAAAGACATTCTCATGTTAAAATGACTTTTTACAAAACAGCTTTTTAACAGTTATATGCAATAATAATAAAAAGAATGATTGTATCAGTTGAATAGTGTATAATAGATAAAAATATACATGAATGTGAAGAAGTGACTGTGATTTAGGGAAAGAGAAAGTGAAAGAGGGCTGGGGTGGAGAGTTGGGGGTAGTAGGGATATGGCTCAACTTACCCCGCTCCTATGGTCAACTTACCCCATACACGAGCTAAGTTTAGCATAGGAGACCACTATGTTTACATGCGTTTAATTATGTTTACACTAATTCTTTTGGTTTGCAGGGATGAACAACATCTTGAAATATATGCAAATACACTAGTTAGAGACAAAACTATGTTTGCCTTGATGTAGTGATCCGAAATATTAAAAATGGCTCATTTTACCCCACTCTCCCGTATTCTCTGATAAGTAGTAGTAGTAGTAGAAGTAGCAGTAGAAGAAGAAGAAGAAGAAGAAGAAGAAGAAGAAGAAGAAGAAGAAAAAGAGGAAGGTTATTATTTGCTGAAGGGAATTCAGTAGTTCAATTGGCATCCAGTATCCTTCACTACTCCATCTACATAGTCCAAAAACAGACAACTTTAACAGACAACTCCTTCCCCAATTGGGGAAAGAGTGTTTTTCAACACTTAGATAACAGCAACGAGGATGTCAGTCACTAAAGTGGTCGAGGACTTTATTGACTTTAAAGACTATGAAGAAGATGTCTGTCTGGTAGAGCTGCATTTCAGATCTGTTAGTCAGTGTCCTGGTCTGAAAGTAAACAACTAATGCTAGCTACTAACTAAAGCTGTTGAGGGCACTGGGCATGCTTCACTGCTGTTTTGATCCCTGCTGGCCTTGAATGTACCCTGTAAAGTGTAGGTAAACTCCTCCTCTGGCCCAGCCTTTGGAGTGATTCAAAGGTACCTAAAACACCTGCTGCATCGTGGTCTTGCTTTCCTTAGTCTGGTCTGACTGCTCCACGGTCCCCCCACCAATTATCGGACGTCGAAGAGATGTGCAGATCAAATCAATATTGGGTCGCTCCCACAAAGACCACATCTGGACGTCAGGACGACGTGCAAAATAGGTTAGAAATGTCGACGTCCCTATTGGACCTGTTTTAGACGTCGCTCTGACGTTTAGAATTTCGACGGTATCCGAAGACCAAATCTAGACGTCGGCACAACGTGCAAAATAGAGCCAAAATTTAGACGTCATTGTTAGACCTCTTTAAGACGTTGAAATGACGTCCACATTTTTACCTCATCGTCGAAAAAATACGTTAAATAGATGTCATTTTGACGCATTGATTCTGAGGATGCTTTCTTTTACTGAACTGCTTGGTTGTGCTGGTTTAGTATGTGGTTCCTATTGAACCACGTATCTGTCTTCTACTTATTGAACCCGTGCTGCCTTGTATTTTGTAGAGGTTGACACTAGGTGGCGTTGCTGCACCAGTCAGGTTCTCGTTGCCTTTGTTGACACCCTCCTCACTGATCCTTCCACCTCCTGTCACACCAGCAAGAAATGTTTTGCTATTTTCTGACAAAGTAACTCTGCTTTATCATACCAGATACTATTCAGTGCCACGTTAGAGTAGAGTTAGAGTTCGTGATCGCTGACCTATTTTCGTCGTATCACCAATTCGTCAGATTATGAAATGTTCCAGTGCCTTTTCCCTGGAAGTGCAGTCTACCAGGGAAAAACCCTGCCGTTTCTCGTCAGCTGTTGAAGAAATTCCACTGAACAGACAGTAGGTGTGTCCCGAGGTTGACACAGCATATGTAGACGGGACACTTCCGTGTTTAACATCACTTCTGGGACGCCTCAACTTGTAAGACAGGTAGGTGCCTGATACGTTTTCTATGATACTGAGATTTGGTTAAATATGTCAGTGATTGCAGGCTACCCTATAACACATAATAATCACAGCTTTCAGGGGGCAGTTGGTAGAGTTGCCCAAACACAAACGCAAATCTTTATCCTCAAGGCTATGAATTCGTATAGTGGGAACTCCTCCTGATAGTGATCAGTACAAGCAGAGTGTAAAATTAAAGAAGGTAAAATGTGGTGAAATAAGCCCCTGACTTACATGACCTCTACACCTGATAAATATGAGTTCGAGGGTAAGAGGGCAAGTGCATAAACACTCCTCCCTCCTTCCTCTGCACAAGCCTGATGCATTTTACAGATTTTGCTTTCATGTCATTATTACACTGACATTTACTGGCTGTAAAAACACATCAACATCAAACATAGTTTGAAGGTGTTCATGGACACAAAGGAAGTGAAACTTTTTGATCCTACGCTTTACATTGTGACATTGTGAATAGTATAGTTCATCATTAATAAAGGGTACTACACTTGAATGTATTTTAAAACTTAATGACAGGATTATTTGGTTAAGATTTGGAGTGTGTACAGTGTTCGCTGCACTGTAATTTGTCAGCGCAGTATCACCCCCAAACTGATTTCCCCCATTCTCTTCTTGACAGCAGTTACTTCCTTGTCTGTGTGACCTATACACAAGAATCATGGTTTACCGTTGTGGTCTGCTCACTGCACAAAAGGAACCAGGTAGATAACTTCACAATACTTTTTTTAAATTATTATTTTAACCAATACAGAATCTTTGTTTCCTTTCTTTCATTCAAACCTCAAAGATACACAGCAGCCTGACTTGTTGACCTGACCTTTCAATAGTAAAATTAATTTTATCTTTCGTTACTTTAAACAGATTGAAATGATAATTTCAAAAAAATGATGTAAAACTAGTATTTTCTGTTTTTGTTTTATTTTCTTCCTTGGTCAGTTCCTTTGAAGAGTGTGGAGGTGCAGCTGGAGGTGAGGGACCATGTGGCTACTGTGGTCTCCACTCTGAATTACGAGAACAAAGAGGACAAACCATTGGAGGCTGTTTTTGTCTTCCCTCTGCCTGGAGATGCTGCCGTCTGTCATTTTAGCGCGACGGTCGGGCAGACGCAGATTGTTGCAGAGGTCAAGGAGAAACAGAAGGTGAGCAACACAGTGAAGATTGACTACTTATTGCAAAACTATCAGTACAATACTGTGAAAATGGAGGTGACCCATGTAATCTCTACTCTAGGCACGTGAGGACTACGACGATGCTTTAAGCTCTGGTCAGCAAGCCTTTCTGTTGGAGGAGAGTGAGCAAAGTCCAGATATATTCTCTCTGAGTGTAGGCAGTCTTCCACCTGGAGAGAGTGCCTCAATCAGGCTGGAGTATGTCATTGAGCTGAATGTGCAGGCTGATTCTGGACTCAGGTTTTGTCTGCCTGCTGTGCTCAACCCTCGCTATCAACCTCAGGGTAGGAAAACCAGCAAAAACACTTGCCAGGAACTTTTAAACTGCATTTATATTGGTGGATTGGCCTTGGTCCTTTCTCTTAGTGCTTGCAAAAATCAAATCTTTGAAACGTGAAACTCTGCAAATTAAGAGAAAAGGTGGTGGACAACTTCAAGCATGCCCTGTTAATGACAGTTATACTTAGGTGTGTATAAATACAATAGAAGTCTGACATTAAAAACAGGGATATGCCGCTAATTTGCTGCTAACTAGATAGCCTCAATGATGAATAAGGTTAAGACTTGTATTTTTAACTTAAACATCTGTCACTCCTCCGAAGGAAGTAGAGATGGTGGAAGTGGCAACATCCAAGTAACCTCGTGTCCATCCTCCTTGGTGCCCTACACTCTGTCCTTCTCTGCCCAAGTGTCCTCTCCCCGTCCTGTGTCCAGAATAGAGTCCAACTGTTCCCTTGATCCTCTGCAGTACCTCAACTCAGAGCAAACCAAAGCCACGGTGGGTAGAATATTCATGTGTCTGCTGATGTTGTTGTCTTCACCGGTAACACTATGTGTCATTCATGTTCATGTTTGTGTGTCCTGTAAACTCTAGATTAAGCTGGCTGCAGGGCACAAATTTGACAGAGATGTTGAACTTCTGATTTATTACAAAGATGCCCACCAGCCCACTGCAGTGGTGGAGGCAGGCCAGGCTTCTGCCGGGCTTGGTGAGTAGAGATTTGTGAAGTCCCTATTTTGCATTTTTAAATCTTAAAAGGATATTCCGGCATAAAATTAATGTAGGGTCAAACACACCATAACATCGAGTTAGACAACCCCCCGAGAGATGACTTGACAACTGCTTGCTTCTCTAGTTATACCAACTTAAGTAACGACCGCATGATAGCAATACACAGTGATCTGAGGAGCCATAAACAAACCTCAACCAAAACGCCACTCTATAACCACAAATAATGCTCAGAACAGCACCTAACTTCATCAACAGTACATATAGGGTCTTAACCACAGCACTAGCCACCAAACATCTTTTTAGCTTTGCCTGATTTCTTTAGAAAAGAGACTAAACACAACTCACCTACTCTCTTCCAGCAGTCGCTTGTTTGTAGCGAGACCTCAGGCCAGTCCATCATGGACTACTGCGGGGTGACACAGCTCAAGGACGAACATTTATGATCATTTCTTTGAAGAAATAATCACCAGTTCTTCTGCCTTAGTGTCTCGGTCTGATTGCATTTCCATGAAGAAATGATTGGTATAACTAAAGAAGCAAGCGCTCGACAACATTCATCTCTCGAAGGGGTGTCTAACTCAGTGTGAGTGTGTGTTTGGCCCTAAATTAATTTTACGTCGGAATATCCCTTCAACAGCCTCACCGTCCAGCAGATAAATCACATACTTTAACAAAGAGCAAAGCTAAGATTGGATGTCTTTGTGGCTCAGGTACTCTGATGGGTGATCCAGTGGTGATGCTGAGTCTGTACCCAGAGTTCCCTGAGGCTGTGATGTCCTCAGTTGCCACATGTGGAGAGTTTGTGTTCTTGTTGGATCGATCTGGCAGTATGGATGCACCTGTGAACCACACCAATAGAAATGAGACTCGCATTAGTAGCGCCAGGGTATGAATGAATATATTCTTATATAAAACCATCAGGAATTTCCTTCTCATGTAGCAGCTTTCATAATTTTTTTTTTTCCTTGAAGGATACCCTTCTGCTCCTGCTGAAGAGCTTACCAATGGGCTGCTATTTTAACATTTACAGTTTTGGCTCCAGTTTTGAATCCATCTTCCCGTAAGTCACTCATCAAAGACAGTTCAGTTAATTTGTTCCTGAATTTGTTGTCAATTTCTGTCACATATTGATGTAATCATAGTAAGAGTGTGGAGTACAGCCAGGGGACAATGGAAGAAGCTTTGAAGAAAGTTGGGGAGATGGAGGCTAATCTGGGAGGAACAGAGATCCTAAAGCCACTTGAACACATCTTCAGCCAGCCCTGCATTCCCAGTCAACCTAGACAAGTAACACACACATTCACACAAAACATGTGAAACAGGTCAAACATCTACTGTCAGGAATTAAACCCAAACAATCAATCAATCAACAATAAAAAGGATCTGTCATGTCTGTTTTTTTAAAGTAACTGGTTTTGTAAGTTTATTCTCACCACACCTGTTTTTTTTAAACTTGGCATTAAAAACCACTTTTGTGACTGTTGTATCTGCACAGCTCTGAGAAAATGATTTCAATAATTTAAACAGATGCTGCATGTCTCAGATTGTGATACCTTTGGATAACATGAAAACTCTCTCTTCCCTAGCTATTTGTGTTTACTGACGGAGAGGTGGGGAACACCAAACAAGTTATTGACCTGGTAAAGAAGAATTCACATGCCCACAGGTGAACAGCCAAAAGTCAACACCCAGATTATTTCACACAACATATCCAATGATCTCCCACTGCCTGTGGTAAAAGTAAAACTGCTGTATTTCAGATGTTTCTCTTTTGGGATTGGAGAAGGGGCCAGCTCTGCTCTCATCAATGGGTTGGCCAAGGAAGGAGGAGGTCATGCTCAGTTCATTTCAGGCAGTGACAGGATGCAACCAAAAGTCAGTTAGACATTAATCACAAACAGTCTGTCATGTTAAACAATACTTTGGTTTATGATGGATGAGGAAGGTAAATCTTCTAAACGAGATTTTTCTTCACCAGGTGATGCAGTCACTGCGGTATGCACTGTACCCAGCTGTGATGGACATCTCGGTCACATGGGATTTGCCTAAAGATGTGTACGCCACTGTCCTTTCTCCACCTATCACATCACTTTTCCAGGGTCAAAGGTCTCTGATTTACGCTGGACTCACTGGACAGGTGGGAGTGGTTAGAGATGAAGAGGAAGTTATGTCTTATAGTGTCACAATAATAGTTAGAAACCATTTAAACATTGATCTCCTTCTCTGCCTCTTACAAGGATCCTAAATCTGTAAATTTGCTCAGATTTCAGAGGCAGCCGAAGGCTGTGTGACAGTAAAATACAGCCTGGCAGGTCATCCCTCTCAGAACCAGCTTCAATTCAACCTGAAACCTACAGAGGATTCTGGGTAAAAAAAAGAATTCTTTTTAAAACAGCCTTGACATAAAGACATTGAGTTTCATTTAAATATGAAGAAAAGGTTTTTGTAAAAGGGAAATTTTTGGCACAGAGAAGTTCCTTCTCTGTGGTTGATGCTAAAAATAAGCTAAGATGTACAGACTCAAACACAAGAACACAGGAAAACTACACCTGTTGGAGTTCCCACTACAACCTGCTCAGTATACACTATCCCCCATTCTTTATCAAACTGTCAGATCTGTTGTTTTCATGTAGTCTTGGACATTTCTCTGAAGACGTCAGTCGCAAATACACAGTGGGGCAAAAATTTATTTAGCAGCCACCAATTCTGCAAGTTGTCCCACTTAAAAAGATGAGAGTGGCCTGTAATGTTCATCAAAGGTAAACTTTAACTGTGAGAGACAGAATTTAAAAAAAAAAATCCAAGAGATCATATGGTATGCTTTGTAAAGAATTTATTTGTATTATGGTGAAGAAAACAAGTATTAAGCACCTACAAACAAGCAAGAATTCCGGGCCCCACAGACCTGTTACGTCTTCATTAAGAAGCTCTTTTATCCTCCACTTGTAACCTGAATCAATGGCACCTGTTTGAACTCATTGGCCCTCATTTATTAAGCTTGCGTACGGCAGAAAACGTGCGTACACCTTGCGTACGAAAATTTTGACATGAGGATCGGCATTTATCAATCTGCAGGTTCTGGAGTGGCCTAGCAGTCCAGTCTCCGGACCTCAATCTAATAGAGAATCTGTGGAGGGAGTTGAAAGTTTGTGTTGCCCAGTGACAGCTCCAAAATATAACAGTTCCAAAACATCACAGCTCTTGAGAAGATGTGCATGGGAGAATGGGCCAAAATACCAGCTACAGTGTGTGCAAACCAGGTGAAGACCTACAGGAAACATTTGACCTCGTCATTGCCAACCAGAGTTACATTACAAAGTATTGAGTTGAACTTTGGTTATTGATCAAATACTTATTTTCTGCACCATAATGTAAATAAATTCTTTACACATCATACAGTGTGATTTCTTGGATTTTTTTTTACATTCTATCTCTCACAGTTGAAGTGTACCTGTGATGAACATTACAGGCCTCTCTCATCTTTTTTAGTGGGACATCTTGCAGAATCGGTGGCTGCCAAATACTTTTTTGTCCGACTGTATCTGTTTATGTTGCAACTTAAATCTGCTGTCAATGTAATTGTTGATACATCCACACCCTCTGCACAGCCCTTAACATGTGGTATCAAAATTTTCAGATTAACACTCCACAGGCTGGCTTCTCGGGCTCTGATTCGCTGCCTGGAGATGGAGGACAGAGAGCCCAGACAACAGCAGGATGAGAGTGTAAAGAAGAAGGTGGTAGAGCTCAGTGTGCAATCAGGAGTGAGCAGTGCCTTTACTGCCTTTATCGCTGTCAACAAAGGCAATGGCGAGGCCATACAGGGACCACTGGTGCGCAGAAATGTTCCAGCGCCCAGTGAGTATTTTATAGACCCTTGAATGAAAATATGCGTGCTGGCATTATAGAGAGGCAGGATGGTGTACTGCTGTAACATTTCTAATTTTTAACCATTTATAATTCTAAAAATGAGTGTCATAACTAAATGACAGCTGGCATTAAACACTTGAGGATTTGATTAAAAAAGACACAATCAGACGGCTGATATTTACTAATGTTAAATTTAAATTTAAAACTGCTAAACCTAACACTGTTTTGAAATCCAAGGAATGATGGCCTGTGGAATGCCTGCATTTCAATCTGCTAGAGGTAAGTCAAAAATGGAAATTCTTGTTGGCATATTCTTATGTTACATCTTGAGCTTCTAAGGTTTTTGTTCTAGTCTCTCATGTGTGAGGGCTGATATTTATTAATGTTAAATTTCTCATAACTGCTAAACCTAACACTGTTTTGAAATCCAAGGAATGATGGCCTGTAGAATGTCTGCACCCATAGGACTGCCTGTATTTAAATCTGCTACAGGTAAGTCAAAGATGGAAATTCTTGTTGGCGTATTCTTATGTTACATCTTGAGCTTCTAAGATTTTCGTTCTAATCTCTCATGTGTGAGGGTCAATAAACAAAGATCGCTCTGTGCAGCTTCTGTCCGTGACGTGTGAATTCAAAATGGGAAACTATCAAAAAGGTGAAGTTTTGTCAAACTAAATCAAAGCTATTGTAGGTTATTTAAGATTAAATTTTTTGTGATTGCATATTACTGGAATATATTTTTCAGAAATCCTCAGTTGAATGTTTTTCATGTATTTGTCTGTGAATCAAACAACCATCCAATTCGTTTGCACAAAGCCAATCACTGAAAATCTGTACTAACTTCCATTTTCAGGGCTAGTTATTTCAAATTGATGATATTTTGGGGATACTTGTTTTCTTGATTAGGATGTAGTTGTAGTTGGATTTGTGTTGAAAAAATTTTGCGCCCACATCCTCACTGTTTTTACCTTTGTTATAATGAAGGAATATTTCAACGTGTGTGTGTGTGTGTAGTTTTCATGATGATATTGTGAGTTTTCCATCAACCATTATTAGTCTAATATACAGTACATCAGCCTTTTTGTTCTACCCTCTCAACAGTCAAAAAGAAAGGGACTAAATTAGGTTTAATTAAGAAAAGTCTACAAGGAAACCGGAGAGAAATGGATGCTTCAAGTGCAGGCACTCCACCAATGTTACTGTCAGACGTCCCTGTACCTGTACCTTCTCATCCCCCCATGGACCCTTTGCTTCGCTTGGTCGCCCTTCAGAAGGCATCTGGCTGCTGGGACCTTAGTCCAGCTTTGGCTACAGCACTTGGCAAGACCAGCGAAGAGGTGGAAACGCCAAAACCTGCATCGGTATGTTGTTTTCAAAAAGAAATATTTGAAATGTTGTAAGGGATTGAGTGTGACTCAGATTTCATAAACTAATGTCCGCTTGATGTCCATTATTATACTTTTTAGGTGAACGAGGAAGTATGGGCCACCATACTGTCTCTGATCTGGCTTCATGGGTTTAAGATGGATGTCAGGGATGAGTGGGAGCTCCTGGCTATGAAGGCTATGTCATGGCTCCGCGCCCAGGACTGTAAGAGCACTGATAAACATAGATAAAATGTGTTGTAGTTGAGTGTGTGCACAGTTTAAAATAATCAGTTTGAACAAATTCGATCCTCTGATTACCTTTTTTTTTTTGTTTGTTTCCAAATTTCAGCATCGTGTCTGAATGAGTGTGTGGATGCTGGAAACGCACTCTTGGGCTGCAAAGTAGAAAAAGATTCTCTGGGGCTCTGAGGTTTTGACAACTGGCTTCAAGAACGGCACAGATTTAAGCCATCATAAATCAGCAAGTCCTACAGCCTGTATTAAATTCAGATATACCCAACAACTCACAATAAAGTTTGTGGCAGAAATGCAGCCTCTTAAAACTGTTGTTTGTTATTCATAGTAGGCTTTTGGTCAAGTTTGTGAACATGATTTCATTGGATCTCTCATCTACAGTACCATGGAGTATTGTAAATTCATGAAATTGAGCACATATATATATAATATCTGTTGTTGCACCTTGTATAGAATATGTCTAATTTCAGTTTAGCGATAACCCCCCCTGGAGAAATCCTCACCTCTCAAGTCAAATTCAGGCAGTCCTGCAGTGGAAAGACACACTTAATAACCACAGCTGTCCAGCTGTTGACGTGTTGTTGCCATAACGGCAAAAACAGCATCAGTAACATTAGAGTAAAATCTATCTATCTATCGATCGATCGATAGATAGATAGATAAGAAGTTTACCATCAAACTAGCATTTGTTCGACATTAAAGCATCCAACAAATGTAATTTAAGGAGGTTGCAAACATGGTTGTTAAAAAAAAAAGTCTCCCTTTGCAAAAAATGCTTTAAAAAGTGTGATAATTTTTGAGTGCCTCTGGTGGTTCTTTGAAAGTAGTCTATCAGCCTATTTCATTTTGGACTTTTTGGCATTTTACAGCCTTCTTGCTGTTCAAACAAGTAAAATATGAAATATTATCTTTTTTTTTTCCTCTTCATTATTTTATTTTTTGTTGGTGTTATTTAACTATAAAAAGAGTTTTCAACACAACACAACACAGTTACAGAATTCTGCCAAATTGCTTTGCATCATATTCCAGTTGATAATGTTTAAGCAATGTTTTAAGTTGTAATTCAGAGAAGCAGCTTCACGAGGTTCATGAAAATGAAGTTTTAAGAAGACCCAGCAGAGAGCAGTGTTGCATCATCAACAGTGAATGAGACGTCATCTTAGGAGTGGTGGACACGCATCAGTTTTTTTGGAGGGCAAAATGTCATTTTAATGCAAATAAGAATGGTAGGAAATGTTTGTATAGCCAGAGAAATAATCAAAAGAAAGCTGGTGAGGGTTTGCACTTTTGCTTTTGCCAGTCAGAATGTGTTTACCTTTCAAAACAGCAATAATAGGGGATGACACTATCCTGGGGTATGTTTCTTGCTTAACTGAGGCAAGGAGTTTAGTGTAAAAGAATAGTAGAGATGACTCTGACATAACAATATAGGGCGATATTAACTCTTGTATCAACATCATTGATCTAATTCTTTGACGTAGATGTTTCCTCTCTCTTATCTAAAACTGTATAGCTGCCTTTAAGTTGCTTTTGCTTTTTTTGTTTTGTGTTTTATGAGGGGATGAGGGGCTGGCACAGTGGTGTAGTAGTTCACACAGTTGCCTCACAGCAAAAAGGTCCTGTATTCAAATCTGGGTCAGGGTGTTTCTGTGTGCAGATGCATGTTCTCCCTGTGTCCGTGTGGGTTTACTTCAACATCCCAAAAACATGCAGAAGGGAATTTAGGTTAATTAGTCACTTTTAAATTGCCTGTAGGTGTGGATGGTTGTTTGTCTCTATATGTCGGCCCTGCCATGAACTGGCGACTTGTCCATGGTGTCCCCTGCCTTCGCCCCAAGATGCTGGGATAGGCTCCAGGCCCCCCACGACCCCCAACGAGATAAGCAGTAGAAAATGGATGGAAGGGATGAGGAAAAAGAGTGATGAATGCTACAGGGCCTCTCTTTTAGGTTTTTATCCAATAGCTAGAGTTGTGTGATGGCCATTAGTAAATTGCAATAACAGGTTTTTGCCACTTAGGGGCATAAGAAATGAGCTTTAAATACAGCACCAATGCATTTAACTGAGAGTAGTTTTGTCTGGTTATGATTCAGCCTCCATAAAAAACACATACACATATGGATGGCTAATATGGCTTTTTTTCTGCTATTCCTGCCTTCACTTACAGCATATATGAAACAAAAACGTCTTTTAAATACACAAAATTTTTTCATACAGTGAATTTTTACTCTTACTTTTAAGATATTGTATTAGAAATGAGTTCCAGTGTCATCCTTGAGCACTGGGAAAGGCTTCTTGTCCGTCTGCTGTAAGCCTCCAAGGATTTCTGTTATCTCTCTAGAAGTCAACCGTCCAAAACCTCTGACAGCAAGGCCATGAGAATAGCATCTCCATTGAGAGCAATTCAATTCCCCAAGGCTTTTTTTCTGTGAAGATTCATCCACTCTAGTCTCCTGAGTTATCTCCTATCAGATGAGCCCCCCCAGAGTTCCTCAAGGGAGTAGATGCAGCTCTAGTTTGTTTACAGATGTCCACTTCTTACGTCACAAGGTCGTAGAGTTTCGTGTCCAGCATTCCACATCCTGCAAATATAATAAAACATGCTGAAGGATGGCTGAGGACAGATGGCTCAGAGCTAACTCTAGTTTAGTCTCAACATTTCATTATATCTTAATGAGGCCTTTCAGAACAACTAGAGACCTCTCCTCTTCTCTAAATATTAAAAATATGGGGGGAAGTTTGGAGATTTAAGGTTGCTAAAAAGTAAAAGAAATATGGCTGTTGATGAGTATGAGTGAAAAATCTCTGACAAAATGGTACTTTTCTAAATTCTTGCCCTGTTTTTTTGCTTTTTAGCCACAGGCGGTGTGAGATGTGTATGCAGAATGCTGGTGTGTGAAGGCCAATAACTGGTTTCTGCTGGTTATCCAGCCAGACTGTGATGATGACTTGTGTGTTCATTGAAGTCAAAGTTGAAGGCTTTGGGCAGATTCATGTGCTGCTACTGCCTCTTGATCAATCATTTGACTGATGTTAATCGAAGGTTCAGACGTGACAGTGACCTTCGCCCTGCCTCACTGCTCAGGGTTTGCCTGTAGATCAAACAGATCAATAGGTAATGTGTTCAGCCTGACCCAATTACTGACACCTTTATAACCTGACCAAGACCATGCTTGTTTTCATCAATGCAGTGGGTGGGAAACTTCTGAGTCACCAAACTGAACCAGCACTGCCAGAGTCATATCCACATATACTCGTCCAAACCCCAATTTTTCCATATGCTGTATATGTGAGTCTTAAACAGAGCCTAATGCAGATCCTGATGATTGGATTTTGTGTAAGTAATTATTGTTGACAGGTCAGCAGCCTCCCACACTGATTGGAATTTCCCTCCCTTATTAGTGCTGGGGACATTAGCTGGGGATGTGGCCGACAGATGCCAGAGATACATTATGATTGCATAAATGTTCAGCAGCTGTCTGGGTTGATGATATAAATCCTGGCTAGCATATTCACTGTTTCGTTTTATAACAGAGTGGATGTGATAACCTGATTCTTAAAGCATCCTTCCTGAAATGAAGAGTCCTCGGTTGACAGTGTAAAAATGAAAGTAGCTACCCTCTTGTTCGTGAACTGCTGTTTTAAAACCTCTTGTCTGGTGTTGTGTTACTGTTGGGAAATTGATTTCTTGTTGCCAGAGGTGACTTTATTTGGAGGAGGAGGTGAATCTAGTGAGGAGAGTGGGGTTAACGAGCACAGGATATGCCTGCGGCTAAATCAGTAACATGCTAATAACCTATTGAATTGATAAAGAATGTGACTCTACTTGAAGTGGTAGCATCACTCATGTGCCAACTCAGGAAGCCAAGTTTACAGAGCTAGCTAGATTCTTACTTGATATGTGTGTGTGCACAGTAGTCGAGTTGTGAAAAAAAAAATCAGGGGGGATGGTGGATTTTATTGTATGGGACAGATATTTTCTTCTGAAGACAGTGCACAAAGTGGGGAAACAACTGTGTACCCATTTTATTGTTGCTAAAGCACAAAGGTAATTATTATATTATATTATCCCTTGGATCGAGATGTCCAAGTCGCTTGGCCACCATACTGAAATCGCAGCAGCATGGTCACCAGTGCTGCTTCGCTTCTTACTGATATCATTTTTTTTGAAAGGGGGAAGTAGTATTTTACCAAACATGCACAAAGCCCCCTGTCGCTTAAACAATCAAAATATAGTGGAAAAACACAGGGATAGCGGGAGAAATACGGTGATGGTGATATATATTTACAGCTGGCCCTCCAAGGTGTTATTTACTAAAATATTTACTAAAGTGCAAAAATATATATATAAATAAAAAAAATAAAAATGGTCAATTTAACAAACCATTTACACAATGTTCAAGGCAAAATAAGAAAATACCAACAAGGCAGGAGTTTGACTATAACTCTAGATTCTCACTCAAGAAAACAAACCAAAAAAACAAAAAACAAAACAAAACAGAACAAACAAAAACAAAAAAAAGATAAACAAAAAAAGCAGCACTATAAAAGTCAGTTTGGCAGTTACCTTCTATACAATAAACCCCAGACTCATAGAAAGGCAGCCTTCTTCTACCTTCAGACCTTATTCTGTAAGTTTTTAGCATTTAAACTAAGTTTTTGTATGAATCAACGAAGCGTTCACTTCATGGCTAACAACAAGGGAATAAAGTTTTCTTGCATCATGTGACCACTTTGACCCTCCATACCCACCTATTTTACACACGGAAATCACGCGCTCTGTTTCCTCACATGGAAACATGAGCCGGCATGATAGCGTGAATGGACACCCGGCAAGTAAGTGGAGGGATGAATGTCCATGTGAATGTATATTTAAGTCAGCCTGTAGGGCTCCCATTGTGCTCCCTTGGTTATCCTATCCAACAGAGAAGGAAGAAGGAAAAGTAGCGCTGTTCCGCGGGTAATAAGCGACGCTGGCGGGAGGGAAATGTTTGGCGTGCATGCAGGTATGTGTGGCTCTATAACCGGCCCGCTACTAGCATTTCCACTTAAAAATGGCTCAAATGATAGAAAGCTGGGATGACCGTTTTAGAACCATTTTCATTTTAGGGGGGATGCCATCCTCCCTCAACTCGAGTTATGTGTGTACAAGCACAGATTAAAGAGTATCTTGAAGCGCTGCATGGTCGAGCAGTATTTTGAAAAAGCTGCCCTGTGGTCCTGCACGACGGACCGCATGCTGGTGGTGCTAGCTCTGCTAACGGTCGCCACCGTAGACTGTATATACAACTTGATTCCGCCTCCCGCCTGTATACGGATTTGAAGCCAAAAAGCTCTTGGTATTTCTGCGATTTTTCTTCATTTCCTGAAACCAACATTACGCAGTAACGTTATACACATTCGGTGAGAGAGTCGCTGTGATGACGCTTGGCTCAAACAGCGTATCCCCCGGGTAAGCTATGCAATCCCTGAACGCCAGTAGGCTGTATCAGGTGTCAGTCATAGAAAACATGAACCCCCTAACAACTTTTAAAAATGTAGCCTTACAGAAAAAAGAGGACTTGAGCACAAACCAGTCTTACACGACGGACGGCATGCTGGTGGTGCTAGCTCTGCTAATGGTCGCCACACTCAGCACACCAATTTGATACACTTTTCCCTGCAGAGATTGGGATCCTGTGTTTGGCTGTGTCATATTAAGCCTTCTGTGTGTGTAGACTAGATTGGAAGTAGTGATTTCATGCAGTTTTGGTTCTTCTGCATCACTTTTTGAAGCCTTTAAAGGTCACCTCCCACACTTTCAATTTCGTGTAAACTTCTCTATTTCGGACCAGTTTGTTGACAACTAGAGGGATATCTTTTGGTTTCATTTTGCCTGTCCTCTTGTCAAGAATCAGGAGCTAACATGTAGTGATAAAGAGCACAGAGATTGCATAAGGTTAAAATACCATAGTTTTGATTGATTGAAACTTTTAATAGCAGATGAAAACCAGAAAACAGACATTAAGCCATTTAAGCATATAAACAATCCTGATGTTTTTTCCAAGCTTCAGAAACAAAATGAGCCAACTTAAAAACATTTAAGTTAAACTGCCAGTTCATTCTAACATCATCAGAATACCAGAACATTTCTGTGTTTTTAACAGACATTGCAATAAATAATGGAGTTCTCAGTTCATCATATAGAGGGCAATATAACAGAAAGTGTGACTCACTTTCCACCTCATTCAGTTTACATAGTTCTCGCAACACCTGACTTGTTCTCTTTTTTTAACATATAAAACGAAAGATATGCTCCTCAAAAGCAGCCTTTGTGGGGCTACTGAAAAAGAGAGGATCTTAAACCACTCATAAGTAAACAAGATGCATCTTCTACTGTTGTGTATACAGCTGGGCTTGCACTGAGGTGCGGATAGTGTCACTAAATAAATGTTTGTGGAGCTGCATGCATGCAGTCATTTGTATGTGTCCTCTTGAAGGCTCCTTAAAACTGGGGCAGCTTTCTGTGTTTGTTTGCAGAATTACTCACAGATGATGTATGAGGGATTTCAGAGTGATTTATATGCCACATTATGAAGCGTGGAGAAGTTGAGAAATTTCTCGGTGGATAACATTTGCAGAACATTTGGGCACAGTGAAGGAAGTCCACTGCATTGCTGCTCTGTCTTGAGACTTCCTAAAACATGATCATACACACTCGCGCTTATCCCCTCCCTCTCTCCCTCCTCCTCCTCCTCCTCCTCCTCCTGCTCTTCCTCCTGCTCTCTGTAACCAACATACACACACGTTCTTCCCAGACTTGAATGTGAGCGTCTCACCAGCCAGGATGACCGGGGGAGTCAGGACTGCTTAGCCTGCAGTGTTTGCCGGGAGAGAGAGAGAGTGTTTGTGTCTGAGCGCATGTGTATGTGTGTGCATGTGTCTGGGCGGACTCCTGCTGTAATGGTGCCCTATGTGTGACTGTGCTGACCGCGACAGCCACCCTGTTCACAGTGGAGGCTTTCTCAGCATGCAGATGGTGTGAGCAGTCAGGGGAAAGTTTTTCGAACAGCTTCAACAACTCAATCCTCAGCGTACACTCAAGAGTTGTTTCTGGAGGGAAGCAGCAGCGACAGAAGCTGGACTACAACTTCAGCTCATGTCAGCTCGAGACTTCTGTTTATTGATTGATTGATTACCTGTTACTGGAGTGGATACTATAGTTCTGCATCACCACACATCAGATCCAACTGGGGGTTTGAAAAGACTTTTATTTTGAAAGGTAGGTTTGCCTTTGAGGATTGTGTAGTTTCCCATAATGTTCATGGCTCTTAAGTGTTGTTTTCGATTTGTGATGTTGTGGCAATATGTCTGCATAGTCCCTCAACACACAGCGTGTAATTTGAGAGTGAAGATGCTGAAGGCAAATAGTCGGGCTGACAGCTACAGTCTCATTATGTTTGAGTGACACTTTGTTATGTAATTCATATTTTAAGCAGGTATCCCTGGAGCTGATACAGCATAAAGCAGAGTATGGTTGCAGGGTATGGTGCTGCTTTTACCGACGTGTTGAATTGATTGGTTGATTTACTTGCGACACATCGAACAAGTTTGTTGATAAAAATAATAATGAAGACATCTGAGTTTTTCCTTTGTATAATCCTTTCACTCCTTAAAGCTCCAGTGAGGAACATTCAGTTTGTGTCAGTTTTGGCGCCCCCCTATGGACAAAACAGTCTTTTCTTATCCTAACCTCTACATTCTTACCTTCAATTTCCATCGCATCTGGAACGGCTAGGAAAAGGCTGTATCCGCCGATCGCAGCTGATCGTAACCATTCAGTTAATGTGTCAATTTCCACCAGCTTCTTTCCGTTCCGCTGTGGATTGCCAGACTCCACAGCTGATCGCAAGAGTTCTATTTTTTCCGGACAAATGCCGGATAAATTCAGCACAGATTAACCCGTGCTGGAAAGGAAGTCAGGCAAAGACACAAAATAAAACATCTGGCTTCTCTTCAAAATATAACACTCTGTGTTTCAGGCGGATCGTATTTTACATCTTTCAAACGGACGGAGTCAAACAAGTGAAAGGTTTATAGACAGTATTTCATCCCGATGACACCATGGATGAGGGGATGCTGATGTTAGAAGTCTTGGAGTAGATTTCCTCCTACTGCTTATATCGTTAGCCTATGTGGCAAGAGACAACTTGTTATCACGTGAATCTGCGGGTCCTCGTGAGTTCTCGCGATTCCGGTAGGAACTGGCAGATGGCCATTCTGGATTGGAGCCATTCCAGATGCGGTGAAAATTGGGCGTTAATAAGTACTTTCTGGCCAAAACACTTAATAGATGATTTTGACAGTCAAGCGTATCATTAATGGAGAATATTTGTGGAGAAATTGTAAAAACAGGGCTGTTTCTTGAACTGTTTGGCTGACACCTACTCCCTAACACTAATTTTAAGTTTTAAGTTTACACAAATCACAAATCTTGTCCCTCATGGCCTTTTTTTGTCTTTCCTTAAAAAGACATTAATATGGATTTCAGCCCAATTTCATAAACAAAAATAAAACTCTTTGCAGGAGCTTTAAATGGATTTGATCACTAAACGGTAAACTAGTTCATAAGTTTGTTGTTAGGTGTCACAGGTAGCAGGTGTCATATCGAGACTGAATTAGAGGAAGTTGATGAACACTTTTTGCTTGTGTCAAAGTTTCACTCTCTGGGGCAGTGGTTTCCTGCTTTCAGGAGCCACAAACCCTAATAGATAAACTGCAGGTGTTTTTAAAGCCACGACAGAGTATGTGGGACTACCATAACTGTGTGACCTGGATATGATCTTGTGACACCTGCCTCAAAGTTGAGAATCACCGCAGGGAAGCTGCTGCAATGAAAGCAGATATGAGCTTTCATTTACAGCATGTTGTTAGTTATGTTCATCAAGAGCTTACCTGAAAGTTACCATAGTGGTAGCTTTTTTGCAGCTGGAAAGCAACAATATGTATTTCTTTGTACTTTTCAGTCAGTTGTTAGTCATGTCGTTGATATTCTCTGTTCTGTTTGATCAGCCTTTTGCAAAGTCTGGCTAATTCTGGTGCAGAACATGCAGATGGCCAGACTGTTGCATATGCCATCCAAAACACACTGACCCCCTGTCCGACTGTTGGCTGGCCAAACAGAGAGGAAAACTCAATTATGTCAGGATTAATGCACTTGTTTTCACTGTTGTTGGCTTATGCAGGAAAGTAGACAGAAAAATACCTCAGGGTGAATAATGAAGAACAGAGTAGGCGCTTTTTGATAAAAATGGCTAGAAGTGGAGTGAACATCACTACACCTTGTTCCCCCACCTGGCGTGTTAATGGAGATGGTAGATGTGAAAGCAAACAAGGCATGAGCTAAGGTAGAAGGAGGGAAGACATGATGACCCCTGTGTGCCAAGAATGTGCGCAGTGCACAAGCTGTGCTGCTGGAAAGCCCAGGGATCAGGTTCCCTGTGTCAGCTGCCGCACTCGACTGTTCCTGAGTCTAACTCTGTCATAGCTGTATACTGAGAAAGAGAGAGAGAGAGAGAGAGAGAGAGGGAAGAAGAGGATGGAGATAAGGAAAGAAACTGCAGACAATGCAGAGCTGAGAAAAAAATGGGAAAATCCATAAGGTAAAAGATATACTTAGTCATTTCAGAAATGGGCTTATACTCTTTGTGGTAGTCAGGATGATGAGAGGGCCGTCACTCTCATTTCTGCCAGCTGAAGCTCCTGTGAGAAATGATCACACAGACTGGAAATACATCTGATACATCTTCATGACATACTTCAGTAAAACAGAAGAATAAGATGGATTATTTAATATCATAATTTTTAATGTCTTAGCTTGCTGTCATGGGGTAGGTGGCAGATGATGTGATGGAGTAAACAAAGGTTAGGGTATCAAGAACTGGTTCCAACCTGTAACGGGTTTCAAATTTCAGAGATTCGCAGATTTGATACTGCAAATTTTGGTTCTGCTTATCAGTTCCTAACAGGACCATAAATCTATCATGTCTAAACATCAGAGAGAATTTTAAAAAGTTTTACTCATCTGCCAGGACCTCCTGAAACGTTTGGCCACTTGCAACGCAGTATGTGAAGAAAGTTGTGATAACAGGATTGTGGCACGCGAGCAAAAGCTTGTCTAAACTTCTCGAGAAAAATGATGACACAGCAAGTGAAAAAGCATCCTTTCCCAGAAAAGAGCTCAGAGAAAAGCAATTTAGACTTGTTGTTAAGAGAATTTAGTAACAGTAGCTTTAAAATTACCATAAAAAGTACCCCTTTCATTGGTTATGCGACAACCACTCAGAAGCAGGGAAAAGTCAGGCATGTATCCTAACATCACAATAATGGTTTAAAGTATTTGCGCCTTATTTTTTATACTACAGTAAAATCAAAGTTGCAATTCAAACACACTTAAACAGTGTTGACAGACTTGCTATTGCCCTCTCTTTTTACCCATCATGCTAAGCTAATCTGCTGCTTGAAGTAAAATGTTTTCCACACAGTTGATACCTGGGTGGATTGCCTATGTATGTAAACCACTATACTGGCCAACCATGTAGTGCCAACTATGTACTTTCTGTCACAAGATCACTATCTGAGGGGTGAATACAAGCTGAAATAAGCTGTAGACAAAGCACAGTTAAAGGGATTTTACGGCGTAAAATTAATACAGGGTCAAACACACCGTAACACCAATTAGACTCCCCCTCGAGAGAGGAAAGTTGCTGACCACTTGCTTCTCTAGCTATACCAACTTTAGTAACAACAGCACGATAGCAATACACAGCGGTCTGAGGAGCCATAAATAAACCTCAACCAAAACGCCACTCTATAGCCACAAATAATGCTCAGAACACCTAACTTCATCAACTGTACATATACTAGCCACCAAACATCTTTTTAACTTTGCCTGATTTCTTTAGCAAAGAGACTAAACACAGCTCACCATCTCTCTTCCAGCAGTTGCTTGTTTGTAGCAAGACCTCAGGCGAGTCCATTACGGACTGCTGCGGGGTGACGCAGCTCAAGGAAGAACATTTATAATCATTACTTTATCATTTCCTTGAAGTAATAATCACCATATTAATCATTTTGCACTGCAGACGCGGTAGTTCTTCTGCCTTAGTGTCTCGGTCTGATTTCAACACCAGGATATCCCTTTAATATATGAACTTGCCTTGTAGTCGAGCTGATAGATAGATGACATGGTGTTATGATCTGTATTTCGACTGGCCCCCTTCTCAGTCATCAACCTCCCTGGCACAGGTAAAATATCTTTTGACCAGAAACATCTCTATAGCTTTGATTTAACTGTAAAAATATAAAGCAGTAACAATCTGCTTGTCTTATTTGCTCCAGAAAGCAGTAAACTCACCACGAGGTAGTTCAAGCAAGGTGACATTCATGAAGGTTAAAACGCAGAGTCAGCTTTCCTAGAACTGCATACAACATCTCTCGGGAAAATGACTATGATCACAGGTGTGATTTTCAGCTCACCCCCTCTCACCTTGTGACCATAACGTCTTCTATCTTATTTTGTCTGGAAATTATCCCCCCCTCCCCTTCACCTCTTTCTTTGTTACAAAGGACAGCCACATCAGCAGTATCAGGCTCTCTGTGAAAACATTGTGTCAAACACATGTTCAGTGAGTCAGCGGTCAACTTGAAATCTTCACCCTGGTACCTCCATGGGGCTGCTTCTCAGTTCCCAGACATACTGTGACACATGGCAGGGAGGAAAATTAAGAGGGAGGGGCAGCAATGCAAGTGAGTGGGTACTGAGGCATCACTCCAATCTGGCTGCATTGTGGACTATGAAGGGGGCCACATATGGCTTCTATATTAGTGTGTAGACAAAATAGACACTGACTCAACATTTGATTCATACATGGGAGTTTAATCAGCATTTCAGTGGTACAGAGAGAAAGAAGAACCTAGTAATTCTATCTTCATAATATCATATATCACCCCCCTTCTCCTCTTTCTGCTTCAATCCATCCATCTATGACTCAGAGTTCATTGCAACTAATCATGGACTAAATCTCTAATAGAGGATGGCTGGCCTGCATTTAATGTTAAAAGACCTGATGTGTGTGTATTTGGAAGAGGCAATGGATCAGTTTTTATTCCAGGTGAGGGAGTACTTCCATCTGTGGCCTCTCTGGAGCCCTTCCTCTTTTACATCCTCTTCCTTCCATTACCAACAGCACCAGCCGAAGCGAGGAACATTGCCCTCCTCTCACCTCCGTGACTTTTCAGCAGGAGTCCAACAGAAACAGTCTGCTCCTGAGGAAGCAGCTTGGGTAGCAGAAGGGTTATATTTGTCTGTAACACATGTGGGTCATGGAGGCCCTGCTGTGCAGACTGTAAGGGGGAAGTGGGGATATTTAAAGGGTCGACAGCATTGACTGGCGATGTGAAGTTCAGGTTTCATCTGATGCGTTTTTTTTTATCATGTAAGGAGGATACTTGTCTGTTTTTATATCGGTTGACTTTGATCTTATGATGGTGTTTGTGGTTTTTTAAGCAAAACAGAGTTTATGTAACTGCTAGGTAGATTGAATCAGCTGTCAAACATGCTAAATGGTGCTTGTTTGACATCTGTGTTCAATAATCACATATTAAAGGCAACCTAGTGATGGTGTACTGAGCTGAGAAATCAGATAATAGACTGAATAGTTGGATATTTATAGATGTAATACACATAGATGTGTAAAAAGACACATACAAAATGGTATGGTTGAAAGACGTGTGTAAAATATGTAGTAGATGGCAGCATAGATAGGTTGATACATGGACTCATATGAAGATTGATGTACTGATATAAATAGAATGATGTATAGTCAAACTAGAGCTGTCATGTAATTCAAAATTTGAGTCTCCTTTTGCACTTTGGGTGTTTCAATTTGAAATAAATTGTCGATCCCAGTGTCAGGCTGTCTGAATCAGCTAAGCAGAGGGTCTTCTGACTGTAACATGACCATTGCATTCACTCTTGACTCCAGTAAGTTAATACACTGATGATTTTCCACAAAAAAGGAGGACGCATGTCAATCAAAGCGGTCCTGGGCAGGTAATCACAACACCAAAACATGATCTGAGAGGCACTGTCTGGGTTTATACTGGGTTCTTAACCACAGATACCTAAATAACAGGCAGAGATAGTGTAATGGGGCTGCTTGATTGTGGCTTAAATCATAATCATGATTATTTTGATTGATGCTGATATCATGATTATCAAAAACATAATATAATTTGTAACTTAATTTTGAAGATAATACTCACTAGATCAAATAACAGATGTCACTTGTTAAGTTTTTTTTACCCAGTGTTATAAAAAATTGAGGGATTTTCAGAATTAGAATACTTTATATTTAAATTTGACTTTACAGTACTTTATTTACATTTTGTCACAGCCTGTCGATCTAATCACTCAGTCTTCTCAAGCTCTTATATAGCATCTGCTACATGTTGAGATCTGGGCTTGTATCTTGTTATGACTGGGAGCGATATCTCTCACAGCTTCTCTCACATCGTGCTCATTCTCATTCACTCACATCTACCTGCTTCCTCCTCCTGCTTCTCTCTCTGCTCTCCTCTCTCCACCTGTGACTACTTGATAGTTTGTATGGCTTTATCACAACGTGACAAAGATATCGTTGGATTTTGATTTGGCCCTATATAAATAAAGATCAATTGATTGATTGATAAATAAGAACAAGAACATTTTTAACAGCCTTCTTTATGAGACAGACTGCTATTATTGGAATACTAAATGCTGATGAATGATTCGCTTTAGCACACCAAGAAATGATCTCCGGACAGATTTATCAGACTTGAAAAAAACTCAATGGCGGCATTGTTTTCACCCTTCATTGTGACATTTTCTGTTTAACACATCACTGACCTTTGCATCATCCAAGGAAAGTTGGCGCAGGCTCTGTTGGCAAGCTCTGAGGCCAATGTGGAGAACGGCAGCTGCTGAAAACAGACAGATGGTAATGGCACTGTCTGCCACATGTTAATGGGTATGAGTAAAGAATTCATGTCTGCTAATCACAAGTGGATCATTAAAGCTTCAAGCAGTAAATTTAGTGTTTCAAATGCCTAATTCGTATTTTAAAATCAAAGGTACGATTTTAACAATTTGTGATTAAGTCCCTAACAAATGATTTTTTTCTTGACCTCTAGAATGAAATTCTTCAGTCAAATCATGTCACAGCTCAGTCCTAAAAATCACATAAATACCCACAATCCATTGTGGAAAGGTCAAATCAGCTCCGAATAGCATTAAAGGGATATTAATTTAGGGTCAAACACAACGTAACACTGAGTTAGACACCACTTTGGGAGATAAATGTCGCTGCAATCAGACTGAGACGCTGAGGCAGAAGAACTTACGCATCTGTGGGGCAAAATGATTTATACTATTATTATTTATTCAAAGAAATGATAAAGTAATGATCATAAATGTTCTTCCTTAAGCTGCGTCACCCCACAGAAGTCCGTGATGGACTGGCCTGAGGTCTCGCTACAAACCTGCGGCTGCTGGAAGAGAGTAGGTGATTTGTGTTTAGTTTCTTTGCTAAAGAAATTAGGCAAAGTTTAAAAGATGTTTGGTGGCTTGTGCTGTGACTAGGACCCTTTATGTCCTGTTGATGAAGTTAGGTGCTGTTCTGAACATTATGTGTGGCGATAGAGTGGCGTTTTGGTTGAGGTGTTCTCGTGGCTCCTTAGACCGCTGTGTATTGCTATCGTGCAGTTGTTGCTAAAGTTGGTATAACTAGAGAAGCAAGCGGTCAGCAACATTCATCTCTCGAGGGGGTGTCTAACTCGGTGTTACAGTGTGTTTGACCCCAACTTAATTTTATGCTCGAATATCCCTTTAAGGCTAATGTTATAGCAGCTCAGTCCAAGTTAGCCTAAAATTAAAACACATCATTTAGACTATTACAGCAGTTTGAAAAGTGTGAAACTGTCACATGAGGTCTGTTAAATTTTTCTTTGCACATTCATGTCACCCGCCTCGGCCTGTGGAGCTTTACAGGCTTCACTCTCTGGGAAAAACAGTCTATCTAAGTCTGTGGAGTCCAATTTTCCCTCGACAGATTGCTCCCTTGCTAGTGTTGTGACCGGGCCACTTCCTGTGGTCACTAAAGACTTCCTGCCACTGTCCCTGCTCAACACCAATATTTTTGGCAGTTTGGGAAACAATCTTTAGAGCCTCAATTAAGAGAAAATGGCGATCCAAAATATATGGTTTTGGTTGCTTTGTTGGATTTTATCCCCCTAAAAATGTTCTCCTGCACAACTTTAATTTCTCCAAGGATGAGCCTGAATGAGATTCAAGGCCTCAATCGCCCTTTCACCAGCCCAGCTCAGTTCAAACAGAGACGTATCAAACAGCAGCTCAGGCTTTTTAGTGTGCTGTGAGCTTCACCGCTCTCTCATATGGAGAACAAATACTCTGTGTAAGCACTGAGCACCAGAAATCTCCAGATGCTGTGAGGCAAGTCCTGTATGGGCAAGCAGGTCTGCAGGATCGCATGTCAGAGATTTTCCAGCCTCATCAAACTTGTGATGATGTTTTTTTCATTTGTGTAATGGCATGATATTATTTACGATGCAGCCAACTCACGGTGCCAAACGCGGGGTGCTTTTTTTATCATCACATGTATCGGTTTACATCAAATGGCAATGTCCCAGGGAACAGATGAGGAATTGTTGAAAAATCTGCTGTTTTCTTGGCTCCTCCGAGCACAGTTTTTATCACCACAGACAGGTCCAGTAGCTGTATTTTAGGATTTCACTGACACATGCACATTTTTAAGCTACAGAAGGCGTCGCTGATCCTCAGATGGCCTTGCTCAGAAGCTGTTTCACCAAAGGCTACAGACAGAGAATACTAATACCTCTATTTGAAACGTTTGCAGCCCTTATTGAAAAATCAATCCACACCTCCTTTTTTCTCTTAGACTGGAGTTTGAATTTACGACGATCTTTATGTTGCATGTGTCTGCGGTATTGTGTCTTTGTGTGTGTGTGGCTCCTGTTGTTTATTGTATAGATCACGGCTCCTGTATGAGAATATATACAGTGAAGAGCTGCTTATATGAAATAGAAGGCCAATAGAGTTAGCAGTGCTCTGATTTATTACCCCTAACAGACCAAAGAAACAAACAACAATAAACTAAGTTGAAGTTTATTTTCTTTGCTGGTTCAGAATGCCAACAGACACAAACCTTTTTGGCCCAGTGTCAACAGGTGAAATGCGCCATTTTCATGTCTTGAAACGGAAATCAGGATTTCTTTGATTACTCTCTGAGCAATAGACGGCTATTAGACATCTAGCTTTTTTTTTTTTAGACCTAATTTCAACCGTCTAGATTCTGTATATTTTTAGATGGAATTTAGATGTTGCACTTGAACCTATTATTCAGTCACTATTTATTTCAAAAAGCAAAATAATTATGATAGTCATTGAGCAATATACAGTGTAGTATAGATATAGCCCAGATTTAGAATTAGTTTAAACTTGGTCTAAATTTTGACATCTAAAAAACTCTAATTTTTAGACCTGTGGCAGCCTGATTTTAGACCAGTCGTCTAGGCTACATTTAGACCTCTAATAGATCTCTTTTAGACCCACAAATGCTTAGCGGGTAAAATCTTCCTTTTTCTAACCTCGTTAATATTACATTGTCCAATTCCACTGCGTATTTTAGAAGCTGAGGCTCAGGAGACACATACAAGTACAGTACGGTCCCACACACCTGCGCGGTGTAGTAGCGGAACACAGAAAGCACCTGTGAGTGGCTCTTTTTCAAGGTGCTGATTGGACAAAGCAAGGTGGTGATCTATTGTAGCAGAGACTTTGCAGTTTTGTCGTAAAAAGGCTTAGAAGCTGCTACATCTGGCAGCACAGGGAAGATAAAAGTCTGTGCAAGAGAGGCTATATAAAAATCAGGCTTATGAAAACAGCTTACCTACCTAGCCTTTAGCTCATTATGGTTTGTTTCATATAGAATCAGGTCTGTTAACTTAAACTAGTGTAAAACTGACGGCACCTGATACTGTCGTCACTTGAGGATTTATTTCAAGCGCATTTTAATGTGTTAGCTTTTAAATTCATGTGTTTAAGGCTTTAGGATGACCCGCAAGATGAAATCAGGCCTAAAAAATACTCTGACATTTGCAGAGCTGGGCACATGTCCAGTAATCCATGAGTCGTTCAGTAGTTTACGCTTAAAGCGCTGGTTCTTGATGAGCACAATGATCTGGATTTGAGTTATCTTAATACCAACACAGTTTCTCATTCCACCATAGTCTGTCCCCGTATTGTGAATCATTAGCTTATGGCAGTTGTAAACACACATTGTCTCCATGATTTTGTTAGATCTGTCTTGGTAGGAACATAAACTAATACATGATCTATCCTTTTAATACTCCTTTAAAGGTCACACTTTATCTTACTGTTCTGGCACCAACGGAAGAACCGCTAACATCTCTACTAATCTTTCTCTATTTGTCTGTTCATTTGCAGATTTAGTCATGAGAGTGCCTCCTACATATGCATGACCATTTATATTTCCTCTGGCCCAGACAACAGCGTAATGTAAATTTAAGATGGTGTTTCTGTTGTCAGCCAGCTCCAAGTTCTGCACATTAATAAATCCCAGAGTTATTTACCCTTTTCAATTCTTTGCAGCACAGTCCAATCCCAGCAGGGCTGTGAACCAGCCTCTGTGAAAGAGGCATGAAATTGTAAAGCAGCACAGTATGTGAATCCATCAACAGATGGATGAACCCATACTAGACTACATGTGAGCGCTAACAGATTGTTAAAGCTAAGCGAATAAAGTGTGTGGGAGGCAGTAGGGTTAGAGAGGTAATTCCTTCCGATATTAGAGTTAAATGATCCCAAACAATGAGGAATTTTTCCTGGAATGAACCTTTAATAGATAATAGCTTTCATAGCACTTGAGCCAAGAGCTCTACCCTCTTTTTTCCCCTCACAGATCCAGCACGAAAGTTGAGCAAATATGAGGTAGCAGCAAACAAACAAAAGATAATAAGTAGGTTATGACCATCGGAGTGCAAAACAAGTGAAAAACAGTGTTTTTCTTTTTTCCTTCTTGGCGGTATTTGGGTTAGTGAGCATGTCTGTGCATGCACATGGCATGCATGCAGGACACACTGGCTTGGACTGTGTGCTTGGAACAAGAGGAAAGTTTCAAATCACCACAGCAGCCCTGCTGCACTTGCTCCACTGCCACTGGAACACTGCTGGGCTGCATCTGGTCTGCATCTGGACCTGTGGGCTGTTTGGATTTTCACCAAGGCAAGCTCAACCAGAGCCACAGATAACATAGCAGCGCTCAACACTGGCAGCAGCAGGCTCCAAGCGGTGGCAGATGTCACTGAATGTTGCAGAGCTTTAAACAGTGTATTATTCTTATGGAAACGATGATTCAGTCCGAAATTGATCTCTTACTATCACTCACTACATATGCCACAGTTCAGGGAGTCTATCATTCGATTAGTATATTGGTGGAAATCTTGCAGAGTGCAAGGACTTTAAGATTACCATGCTGGATTTTTTCCCATCTTCTGTAAAATATCTTCACTCTACATCTTATTTTTGTATCATGTCTCAAAAAAATCTCCAATTGCACACTTGTAAGTTTCATATTTTTCTATCTTTGCAGATCTGAGCTGCTGTAATGGACGAGCAGTGTGTGTCCCACAGCAGTCCCCAGCGTAGCAGAGGTCAGAGCAGCACAGAAACACAAGAGCAGGCACGCTCGAGTGTCATCAGGTGTGGGTGGCTCAGGAAGCAAGGAGGTTTTGTCAAGACTTGGCACAGCCGCTGGTTTGTTCTGCGAGGGGAGCAGCTCTACTACTACAAAGACGAGGAGGAGACCAAAGCCCTGGTAAGGCTGAAAACACACTGAAAGACTTAAAGGGATATTCCGGCGTGAAATTGATTTAGGGTCAAACACACCGAGGCTGGTTGATATAAGTTGATATAACTAAAGAAGCAAGCGGTCAGCAACATTCATCTCTCAATGGAGTGTCTAACTTGGTGTTACGGTGTGTCAAAACTTAATTTTACTCCAGAATATCCCTTTAAGCCAATGAGAGACTGTGTATAAAACATGGATCTCAGTGACATCACCCACTGGTTTCTGAAGAGGGAAATGAAACTCAAAGATGGAAAAAAGGAAGAATTTGGACAGGTTGTGTCGCCTCTTAGTTAATTTGATCAAACTGTCGACTGTTGACCAAATTAAAGTATCATTGACACAATGAACAGCTTGTGTGTAAAAGAACAGATACTTCATCCTTCAGCGCAATAAGATACAAATATATGACTCCTGATGTTTAAAGAGTTTCAACAGTTTTGAGGTTGTCCTGCTGAAGCCGAGACAAAAAGTTGTCCTTAAAGAAGAGGAGACACTGAGTGATGAAGACAATAATGCCATCTCTAACGTTACTGTAACCAGGCAGCCTCTCTCATCAAGCATGTGCACTCTGAACAAAGCAGCAGGACCAGACACTTTTGACTCTTACTACAAGGGTAATTCACACATGTAAGGAAATGTGGAAATCAGGATTTCAGCCGGGTTAGTTCAAGAACGTGCTCCATGTCTTTAACAAACTTTCTCTGGTAAAGTTAAACTGACTTCCAGGATAAAGAGAAACTAGATCGTGTTGGCAGTGATGGATGTTACTTCTGTTTCATAGCTGCTCAGGGATCAGTTTGAGTGCTAGGGAGTCAGAGACAGCTGAATACAGATTAAGAGAAAGACAAAGGGAGTAGTTCCTCATGTTGGGAGGTAGGATGGTTTGATACCACTTTCTAATATGGAAAAACAGCCAGTAGATGATTGCTAACCTCATTTGTAACAGAAAGACAAGAGGCAGGCCGCAAAATATCCCCCTTTTTGTCTCCAACAAGTGAAAAATGCATTTCTGTGGTGTGAAGTGCAAAACTGTCAGCTGTGTGCATGTCAGAAGTATTACAGAGGACTGAACAGCACTGAAATTTTAATCTATTTTTAAACATACTTTAAAAGATACGTATCATTTATATATTATTTCATAATCACTTATTAGTTCTAGAATTTTAATGTGCAGATTTGCATTCCAGTTACCTCGGCAGTCGGATGTCGGAGCTGGGAATACACCTGGATTGACTTTGTTCCAGTTAACAAGTCAGAAAACCAAGATGGTGGCCTACAGTTACCCGTTGTTAGCTGTCGTTTACAATTGTCAGCTGTCGTTAGCCATTATCAGTTGTTAGGTGTTGTCAGCGGTTGTTAGTTGTTGTTAGCCGTTGTCAATTGTTGTTAGCCGCTGTCAGTTGTTAGCGGTACTAAGCTGTTGTTAGCTGTTGTCAGCGGTTGTTAGTTGTTGTTTGCCATACCAGTTGTAAACAACGTATAACACAGTATTTTAGTCTTACAAACATCATAGCACCGTGTTCACAATCAGACGTTGGGCAGCACAACATATACGGCTTATTTAATTTCACAAAAACAAAACAGAAGTGCTAATGAATAATAGATTATGAGGGCTTTCGCCGTTACTCTTTACTGTTGATGCACTGTGCTGCCATCTTTGAATATGATGTTGTCGTGAAGTCGGGGTTGGTGAGGATCGTCTGACTTTCCGAGTCGGAAATCCGACTTTAGGGGGGGCGTTCCAGATGGATTTCTGACTCGGAGCTTGGAAATTCCGACTTCTGAGTATGACTGGAATGTAGCATAAACAGAACTATTGTGTATCATGTCGCGTCCTAAGAGAATAAACTCTTACACCGCAGCTAGAATATTATTTTTCTCTACAAGCTCAAAGTGACTAATAAATATATGATGCATTGCACAAATTTTTTAGACTAATGACTTATTCAATTATGTTTCATCTAAGAGACCCTCTGCAAATTACACACACTATTGAGCTTGATTCAGATTTATCAAAGGTCCACTATTTGTTTATTAGTTCACGCTCACTTCCTGATACATTTCCAGTTGTTTCTTGTTTCGTGTTATTCCCAAACCCCAGCTGTTTCACTCCAGAAACACTGTTCATTGTCCGAACATAAAAAAAACACAGAAGGACCTCAACCCTTTACAATATTTCTCCCACCCAAACAATATCCTCTTTTTCCAGGGGAAACTTGAACACTTTGTTCACAATTGGATTCTTCATTCTGCTCATCTACCCACACTTCTGTGTCTGGCTGATTTCCCAGAAAGCTCAGCTCAGCCAAACCCTAAGCCACATCATCAGCACAAGTCTGTGAAGGTTAAAGCTCCAGACCTGTCGGTGGGCCACTGGCCAGATACAGTGAGAGGAGATATTCTTCACCGCTATTCCTGGGTTGCTCTGGTTCTTCATGTGGTTTTATATTAGGAGCACCAAGAGTTTTGTTTATGCTCTTGTTGCTGTGAATACCCCCGAGGAAACGATGCAAAATCTGTGGAGCAGTTTCTCATAATAATTCACAGAAAATGACTTATAGTTTGTTTATTTTTGAAATATTCTTGCCATCTGCACAGAAAAATAATTTAGCAATGTCCTCCAACCTCAACGACTGGATGAAAACGCTTCACTTTCATTCTTTCATTGCTCTTGAAACAAAGCCAACATCAATTGCAGATACCTAAACCTGCTAGTTTTTTTTTTTTTTTTGCAGAGAATGGAAAATTTCTCTAAAACTGGGTCAGGCACAGAGCAGTGCACTCAAAGTCCTTAAGTCTCTGTGACCTCCAAAGCAGAACAGCATCGGATAGCACAAAAAGAAGCAGCCGTACAAGACGCAGCAGCAGTACCCATCAAGAGAATACAGAACAAGTGCAGAGTTTCTAACCTACTCGACACTAAGTAGGGCGAAGAGGAATAAGAGCGTTCACTGTAGTTGTTCTTCGCCTTTAACACTGATGTTCAAGATCAGATCAAGAGCACACAAATTCACGACACATCAGATAAGTCAAAGTTTGTGAACCCCATGAAGCCACATTTAGATCAGCTATTAATTAATCCTCTCATACGCTGTGAAGTCTCCATTTGTTACCTGTCACATTCACCTAATGGCTGCCTCCTCAGTGGGAGCCGTGAACATCTGTCTCTTTCTGTTGCCATGGGAACTGAGACACCAAAAACTAATCAAAACTTGCAGACATTTCTCCCTGGTATAACTTGCAGCACTTTGTGTATACATTCTGTGTATTTGGGTTTATTTTATGGGTGTTGAGGGTTGGACTTAGAGGATGGTTAAAGGACTGTTGCAGTAATTACAGGTGCAATTTAGTAAATAAGAATATCATAAAAAAAGAATAGATTTTTTTCTGTCCGTTATTGGAGAATATTGAAATTTGATCAAGTTTAGACATGTAACAAGTCAAATAAAATATTTCAAGATTTTTAAATTTTAGTTGTCATAGTAATGGCCCACTTTAAAAAGACTGACCAGCATATTTTAGAATATTAAAGTATTTCAAGTTTGAGGAAATCATTACGACAGAGTATAAGGGCCACATTAAGAAAACAAAAATTAAGATTTTGGGATTAAAGTCATCAATTTACGAGAATGAAGTCATTACTAATAAGAATAAAGTCGTAATAAAGTAATTACTTATGAGGATTAAATCGTAATACAATCATTTCTTACAAGAATTAAATCATATTAAAGTAATTACTTATGAGAATAAAGTTTTAATAAAGTAATTACTTATGAGAGTAAAGTCATAATAAAGTAACTACGAGAATTAAGTCGTAATAAAGTAATTACGAGAATAAAGTCGTAGTAATCACATATGAGAGTTAAGTCAGAATAAGGTCCTTACATTAGCACCACATTATCATAAGTATAGTAGTAGTTGTAGTTGATTATGACTTTATTCTCGTAATTACTTTATTATGATTTTACTCTCGTAATTACTTTATTACGACTACATTCTCGTAAGTAATTACTTTATCACAACTTTATTCTCGTAATTACTTTATTACGACTTTATTCTCATAAGTTTTGATTTTAGTATGACCTCATTCTCGTTAGTAATGACTCATTCTCGTAAATTAATGACTTTAATCTCAAAGTCTTACTTTTCTCCAAGTTTTATTTCTCTTTTTTATTAACTCCACCGTAAATCATAACTCATCCTCTGGTGCTGGTTTTTTTTTTTATTTATTTTTTTCAATTAAAATTAACTAATGAATTCTGACGTCTTCAGAAAACATTAAAAGAAACAGCCTTTTAATATTGTCCATGTAAGGGACTGTATTGTGTCCTATGACTATCTACAGTCAGGCCAAACCTCTCTGTGAAACGTGAGGAATCTGAGGAATGGGAGTCAGATGGAGGTGAAGGGTCACCGAAAAGCATGCGCAGGGTACGGCACGTGTGGGCTTGGCGTCAACATGCCATCTGCCTGCCCTCACTCGTCCATGGAGATGTATGCACGCACAAGCATGCATGTACTCGCTCTCATTCGTACACACACACACAGACGCAGACTCAGATTTCATCTGGTGCAGCTGTAAACAAAGACGGTAGTCATCCAGTGGGTGAGACAGAATGATTATTGTAATTTAAACCACTTAGCATCAAATCTGTGTCCCAATGAAAGTAGCTTCAGAGAATGGTGAATGAATAGATTATATCAATTATATGTTATCATAATTTATTAAGACATGTTAGACGTATTAAATTGTAATCAGGATGTTAGAATTCCAGGCACAATAAGTCTTACAAGTCTTCTGTCTTATTCATATTCATGGCACGAGGGTCTGAGCTTGAACTCAGACAAAATGATCTGAAGAAAAGTAGTCGACTGCAACTCGAAATTGCTTTAAATCAATAATGCAACAGCGCAATAACTCATGAAAAATCCTTTATTCTCCAGGGTTGAGCTGGAAGCTGTCTGACCTTGGCATTTAACAGGAGTAAATAAAATGCCACAGCAGTTCTGTAATTATTCATACTCTGCAAGAGTGTGTTTGACTGCTCTTCTGATTAAATAAAAACACTGTATCCACCGTGTGGCCTTCACTGCCAAAGTGTGGTCACTTTAGCACTGAAAAACAAAGAAGAGAGTGACATTTGGGGCAGATTATGTGTATCCTTGTTGAGTGTAAAAGGTCTGTGTGTGGCAGTAGCAACCAGAGGTGAATTCACTCACATTTTGTTTGTGTGTTAGAGGAATCCAAACTCTCAGGTGAGGACGTCACTGCTCACATCATCTTTTGCTAACAGATCCTAACAAGGAGATCGCATGTAAGTGTCAAATCTGGTTTGCGTGCGCTGGTGGGGACGTGGCTGGGTGCCGTCAGGGGCATGAGCTGCATACCAAGAGCCAATTACTGCATCTATCGTCTCAGTCCTGCCATTATTGCTTTGGTTAGACAGTAATGTTGACAACAATTTCTTCAGCGGGTTTTATGTATTAGTGCAGACAGCTGCGGTTGTCAGTATTCGAAGTCCATACTCTTAACACAGAGATTGCTCCCTCCTTTTTTCTGTATGGCAGCTGCATATCTAATAAGCTCTCGTATTGATGGATGGGAAAGTCAATTAACTCTCACTGGAATTGCAACAAGTTTCTGCAGGTTCTAATTTCTGAGCACTTTGCCCCTCATAAACACTTTGAGAAGAAACCGTGTCTGAGTGTACACCTATGTATTTCAGGTATGTGTTTGTACATGAGGGAAATGTTTCCTCATATGAAGTGAGTTTGCAGCTGCGGCAGGAGTTGTGTAGTAAGTTGAATACCGTCAAAGTTCCTCAATCACATCAGAAGTTGTCATGATATATGTTCTGGTATTTGTTTTCCCCTGGTTTTGGTCTTTTGAGTGTAGTTTCTTTGTGATTTTCCCTCTTGTTTTTGTACCCTAGTGTTCCTGTTCCCCTGTAGTCCTGCCTTGTGAGTTCTCAGTTTGTGTCTGACCCCGGTTCCCTCGTGTTCTCAGTGTTTTATTCTTTATTAGTTTTCAGTGTTTCCTGTTTTATTTTGTAGTAGTTTATTCCATGTGTTTCTAGTCTGTTTTCCCTCCTCTGTGATCGTCTGCACCTGTGTCTCAGTATCTCACCTGCCTCTCGTTGCTCGTTTCCCTGTGTATATATAGTCCTTGGCTGTGTCCAAAATGAATCACTCAATCCCTAACCCCTAACCCCCATATGGGGTTTTACTATTTAGTTGACTATGTAGTGAACTCAGTTCCCGGAGTTTTCGGACACCACATGACGCAATGCATGACGGGATGCCCACCACCGGTGAGTGACCATCGGGTGGTCACTACATTTTGCAATGCTCTATGGGAAATTTTGAGTTGCCTATATAGGGCACTGGAATTGATCAGTGAGATTTCGGACACCCCTCAAAATGGCTCTAACCCCCATGTAGTCATCTATGTAAGGCAGGGGTGGGCAATCATGTGCCATGGAGGGCCAAGAGGCTGCAGGTTTTCTTTCCAACCCAAAACTCCACCAGGTGATTTCACTGATTATCTTACCTCCAAGCAGAGAGCAGGGACTAATCAGTGAAATCACCTGGTGGAGTTTTGGGATCCATTTTGGACACAGCCATTGTCTTCCCCTGTTTCTTTGTTGGTTCATTCTGAATGTGTTGTAGGTTGCAAGTCTGCGTGTCTGTATGCCAGTATCTTCAGTGTCTCCTTGTGATTCTTTCCTCCCTGTGTCTTTTGTTGGATTTTGGATTTTACCTCTTGTGTTTTTTGCCTTGGGAATTTTTCTGTTGGACATTCTAAGTAAGTTTTTGTGCCTTTTTAATTAGTTCATTTTGAAATAAGTCATTTTGGTTCTGCACTTGGGTCCTTCCCCTTTTTGTTTAACTCCAAACTGTGAGAGAAGTTTAGTGTTTCTGAGCAAAAGGCCTTGGCTAACTTCAAATGATGTAAGTTGCACGTACGGCACTTTATATCAAAATCTTTCCACATGCTTAATCGCCTACATTTGCTTTCGTATTGTGCAGAGAAATAGCTGTGTTTTATTACAAATCTCATATGTTTGCTTAAGATTTGAGAACTTCTTAAAAACTAGATGCAGATCCTCCTCTGTCAGGAAAAATTATAGTACTTAAATGCTTTCAGTGCATCCTATTTGACCATGTATTGCAGGTTATTGGCTTTAGGAGTGGATTAATCCATGTGACGCACAAAGCCAAAAAAGCACTCTGGCTTTAATATGGTTACTTAGAGGGATTACTCATAAAATATACAAATCCTAGCATGTATTTTGTAAGGTTGAACAAAGTCCCCGGGGGACATTCAGCTCTGTAGAGGAGGAACATTTGATGATTGGTGTGAACATTTTGCAGATCTTGTCCCTAAAGTTGGAAAACTGGTGCAACAGACTTTATCCTTTTAAAGGAGTATTGCCACAGTATTTTGTGTCATGCAATGTCAAGAAACGTCCGTGAGTCTTAATAGATTAAAGGACAGTTTACATGAAAGCTTTTACTCTTATGAGATTTTAACATAATTGCTTCAGCATTTTATATTCTATGTGAAAAAAGATGAAAATTTTTCATCCAGTAATCTCACCTTATGTTCCAAACTCATCATTTTTCAATAAGTTAAGAGGTACTTTATGAAACTTGCTGTACGGCTGTTCATCTTAGGTGACGATAAAAGCTGTCTGCACCAGTCAAGCGGGCAGGCGGGCGGCAGCATCAGCAATGACAAATACTCCTGCATGGAAGTGACAGGGCGGCGTGTGTTTTCCAGCTGCTTGTGCATAAATCACTGAAGGTTTCCTCGCTCTGCTTTGTCGTAGGGGTCTTGTACGTTTTGATGGATTTTCTGTGTTTGTCAAAGATGCCTTTTGTTGTTTATGTCTGCTTCTCTTTGGCCTGGATTTTTTTTTTAGCACATAACACATCTGTTTACTGTGAGATCTAATATTAGAGATGAGAAAGATAAATAGAAATCTGCCTGTCAATGAAGGGCCTCTAAACCTCTTGTTTATGAGTCTTTCAAGCGTCTTTTCCTGGTTAACCATGCCCAACTTCCGACATTATTCACACACAGTTAATCCAAGAAGTCAATATAAATTAATGGGAAAGCCCCCTTTTTTCCGCCTTGTTGCATTTGACTGGCGTATTAATATTTGAGTGAATGTTTTGCAGTCACAGCTGTGGATTTTACTGTGGCTGTTAAACAAGGCTGAACCAGGCAGAGCAGAAGACCTGAGCTACCTGTTTTATAACTGCCAAGTGGTGATGACATTTATTGGACTGATGGACTCAGCGGAGCGATCAGAGCAGAATAACCTTTAGTAACTCTTTGCCACTTGAATAGACGGGTCTTTTAACAGCCATACAGGTAAGAACCGAGACTCAGATATGGAAAAAAATAACACCCTCCGAGAAGCGTATCCGGGTCTCCCACTGAGTTTGACTTCCTGCGTCTGAGGAGTCACTGAAGCTGCAGAACTTCAATTATTGGATAAAAAGAATGACTGATCATTAAGCCCAGGTCTAATGAGCTCTTAAATGACCTGTTACATAATAACTTCTGCTTAATCGACTTCAGAGTGAACATTTATAATCTGAAATCAATTTCTGCCCCATAGTATATTGCATTGCATTTTAATGTCTCATCATTCATCAGACCACATCATTATTCAACAAAATCGGGTTGTTACCTAACTTAAACTCGTTACACAATCCATTATTGGATCCGTTCATAACTTGTGTTCACACTTTTGCAGACATGTCACCTATAACTGAAATCCTAGAGGTGAAATAGTTCATTTTCTCCAAGGCAAAGCACCACAAAGTGCTGTCTGCATCTGTATCTAATTTTGCCCATGCTGCCCGAAGTTCACATTACAACCATCTGCTTAAACAGCAGTTCATTCAAAATTAGCTTTGGTATCAAACTGTGCTGGAACTGACAGTTTTGGCAACATGCAAGATATCCAAAACAGCTTCTAATTTCCATGTAGTTCAAAACACATCTCCTTACTACATGAATGGCATAGTTTTTTTGGTTTAAGTAGGTTTTTTTTTTTAAGAAGAGGCTCAAGACTCACCTTTTAAACCAGGCTTTTCACTGATAGCCTTGTCTTATTTCTCTTATTGCTACTGTTCATTTCAATCGAAGTTCTTTATGTTTGTTTTATGTATTTTTTATTAATTATCTCTGTTCTTAGTCTTTTTGTGAATTCCCTCCAATGAGGTTTTCACTTCTTTTACCCCTTTTACACGGTAAAGAGCTCTTACTTACTTGTTCATTCTATATTCTTGTCTTAGTCAATCAGGTTTTACTTTTTCTTTTTAACATTTTTATCTTTTTATCTCCAGTGTTTCCCAAAGGCAGCTCTTTCATCACGCAATGTCTCGGTGTCAAGCCATGTCTCTTTGACAGTATATCTTAAATGCTCATTCTGTGTGTGTATGTGTGGGTGAGTGAGGGTGTGGGGGGGGGGGGTGTCTGTGTGTGTGGGTCTATAGGTGTGTGTGGGTGGAAGGGTCGGGTTTATTGTTGTTTTTAGCTTCTGTGAGGCACTTTGAACTACATTTTTGTCTGAAAAGTGCCATATTGATAAAGTCAAAGTCAACTTTATTGTCAAATATACTATACATGTTAAACATACAGCACAGATGAAATTTCAGTCCTCTCAGACCCACGGTGCAGAACAATAAACTATAAGAATAAAACTATAAAAGTGTAAATATAGAATAAACAACGAAGCAAAACAAAAGACTACCTTAAATACTCATATCAATTTACAAAATAAAGATAACAATATAAACAGCATAACAGTATAAACAGTGTACAGTATAAATGCAGGTTTGTATGTCATGGTGTTTACACTTTATGGTGAAAGTCTGACTGGAGAGCTAAATGTGTAACAGTGGGTGATCTCTAAACAAGCTGGAGAGCACAGAGGTAAAATGTTTGTTTTATGACCAGATAAACTGTCACATTAGGACGTTGTTCCAGAGTGAGCAGGCAGGTCAGACTAAATTGTGAAAAAGCCATTAAGTGAGCAGTCCTGGAGTCATAGTGAGTAATCGGGTATTTGCTTGCAGTCTGAGAAACTCCCCAGATTTACATTTCATTTGAAGCAGCAGCTCCAGAGGGGAGTTGCTGTTCCCTCTGTGTTTTCTGAATGTGTCTGTTTTGCTCTTTTAACTGAGAATTGAAGATAACTGGGTTTGCGTCGTTTACAAAAAAATGACCTCATCCCTGTTAACGACAAAATAAAAATGCAGAAAACACCCCAAAATAGGCCGGGCCTTCCTGCCCCACGGTTGGGTTGGGTTGGGCCTGGCTACCGTACTATTTGCTGAGTAAATATTCCTCTGTCTGTGGTCGGGTTTGTCTGAAGCAAACAACATCCCCACCAGAGAGGATGTGAGTATGGAAAGTGTGGTGTAGAAACATCAGCAATGTTGAGGTTTTACAGTATATGGAGACTATACAGGTCTTTTTCTGTCTGTTTTCATCAATACATGCTGCAAGACAGTGTTTCTAAAGTCTGTATCACCCACACATGATTCACTCCCTCGAACCACCGCAATGTGCATGACTAAAAGATCTGTATGTACTTAGGAATATTCTCTGAGAACCTTTTCATCCCAAGACACTGAAGCTGCACAGATTCTCTTGCTTACTACCACATCAAACAACTCTTCCACTCCCTTATTCCCTCCCTTCAGAGCATGTCTGTCCCATCTTTACGACCCCCCCTTAAAAATGCACTTCATCTGAGGCCTCAGGTAGGGTTTCCACTTCCTGGTTGTCACAGTTATTCAGCGTGGCTCATTAAAGACCACTCGCTCTCAGCAGGAAGGAAGCTGACTCTCCTCAGATCCTGTTCATGTGCGTGGGTCCTCGATATTGAAGCTGTCACCCATGCACATCTTGTCCGCATTAACATTAACCCAGATAGGGGGCACTCTAATGACTGTCAGATGCTGCCGTGTGGCGCTGATGCGTGGGCTGTTAATCAAGTGAGAAGTCACTGAGTACATAAAGGACCGACCTGCTGCTGGTTTCGCTGTAATCCTTTTTTAAAGTCCTAATTAGAAAACCTGGCAGAGTAAGTTCACTAAACTCTTGAGACTTGTCCATCCAAAGATAGTCATTTAGTCTCAGAAGTTATAATCAGAATACACCACTCTGGATTTGCTTTCTGATCAGTCTGTCCTTTTATTCCACAGGGAGCCATTTTTTTACCCGGAAACAAAGTTTCAGAGCATCCGACAAACGGAGATGATGGGGGGAAATTTCTCTTCGAGGTCATTCCAGGTAAGATGATAGAAACTGACAATTTACTCTTGTCCGAGGAGAAAAAAAATGACATTCAGCAGGTTTCATACTTTGCTGAAACTACTAAAGGTGTTGAGAGATGAAATCAAGGTTGTGTTTTGCGTCTTAAAGACAAAAAAATAATATATTGGGCTGTTTGTATAGGGTAGGCTTAGATCATCGGAGGGAGAGTGTCAACAGGAAATGTCATAGGAAAGAGAGCAAAGAGGAAAATCCGTGATTAATGTTTCATTCATTCATTCTGCTTCTAGCTTGCAAATTATTATTCATCCACTACAGGGAACCTTTGTCTTAGGACCTTAAGGGATATTCCGGCGTAAAGTTAAGTTATGGTCAAACACAGCGTGACACCAAGTTAGACACCTCGTTGAAAATGTTGCTGAATGACCGAATGTTGCCGACTGCTTGCTTTTCTCGTTATACTAACTTCAGTAATGACCGCAGGATAGCAATACACAGCAGTCTAAGGAGACACGCTCAAACCTCAACCAAAACGCCACAAATAATGCTCAGAACAGCACCTAACTTCATCAACAGTACATATAGGGTCCCAGCCATAGTACTAGCCACCAAACATCTTTTTAACTTTGCCTAATTTCTTTAGCAAAGAGACTAAACACAACTCACCTACTCTCTTCCAGTGACTGCTTGTTTGTAGCAAGAGCTCAGGCCAGTTCATTACGGACTACAGCGGGGTGACGCAGCTCAAGGAACAACATTAATGATCATTTCTTTATCATTTCCTTAAAGTAATAATCGCCATATTAATCATTTTGCACTGCAGACACGGTAGTTCTTCTGCCTTAGCGTCTCGGTCTGATTGCATTTCCATGAAGAAATGATCATAAATGTTCTTTCTTGAGCTGCGTCACCCCGCAGCAGTCTGTAATGGACTGGCCCGAGGTCTCGCTACAGATAAGCGGCTGCTGGAAGAGAGTGGGTGAGTTGTGTTTAGTCTCTTTGCTAAAGAAATCAGGCAAAGCTAAAGAGATGTTTGGTGGCTAGTGCTATGACTGGGATCCTATATGCACTGTTGATGAAGTTAGGTGCTGTTCTGAGCTTTATTTGTGGTTATAAAGTGGCTGTTGTATTGAGCCCGTGGCTCTGTGTTTTGCTAGCGTGCGGTCGTGACTAAAGTTGGTATAACTAGAGAAGCAAGCGGTCGGCAACATTCATCTCTCAAGGGGATGTCAAATTCGGTGTTTGACTCACTTAATTTTACGTCGGAATATCCCTTTAAAATGACACTTCCTTCTCTTTCAAGGAGTAATCTAGCTCTTTATTTAGGTAAATCACAGGAGGATTCATCGATAATACAGAGCCACTTTCATCGTGACACTGCAGGTATTAGCATCTCTGCTATGACTCTATTTTCAAGACCAGAGACTGCTTCTTGGTGCCGCTAACACATGTTGAATCCATGCTATATCAATTACTATACTAATGATCACATAAAAACAGTAAAAACATCTGAAAACGCATAAAAACCTGCATCCCAATGTGTCAAACCATCGCTTTAGTTTAGCTTTCTGGAGCTTGGCTTAGAAAAAGACTCAAACCACTGACCACTCTCATACAAAAACTTTAACACAGACATATACATAGACACCAGAGGACTGTATAAAAACACAGCCGAGTACAACATAAAATAATCTTGGGGTATTTTCCTGAGCCAGGAATCTGAGCATGTGGAATATGTATTAAAAAACAGAATTGCACTCACGGGACGGAGAAGCAGCTAGTAAAAGAAACAGTAGCAGAGCATCAACACCAGCTGATCAACAGAGAAGTCAAAACCCCGAGAGAAATGCCAGGAAGTGTGCAGAAAGTTTATTTTTCTTGGTCTTCTCCCTTGTGTGTGTAAACTGAAAATTCGACTTTTCTCAGATGATTTGTTACAACTCATGTCCATCCAAATATTAGTCAGCGAAAAGGTCGATCAGAGGCTGGATAGGCCTGAGTTGAATTTAATGAGTGATCTGAGTAGCTGGCTGGAGCTGACAGATGTTAAGTCAAGGTGCTGTTTTACAGATTGCCTTATTTTTGTGGTGTGATAACGGCAAGGCTGGTAATAGTTATAATAAGTAGTAATATGTTTGAAAGGGGTGTTTATGCTCTAAAGGGAGTACAGAAACACAAGCCTCTGCCTCATTGTTCCACCTGCTAGTCCCACCGCTTCCTGAGGTATAAATCACACTTGCACGGTGTTGGTTTTCTACACTTACAGACATCATCTATTTCTCTATACATCTATAATTTTTAAGACATATTGTTGCATATCACTGTTTGTGGTGTCAGGCAGATTTTCAATTTCCTCCGTGAGACTCAGTGTTTTCCAGGCGAAGCTACAAACAGTTTTTATTCTGTCCAGACTGCATTATGAGGGAAAAACACATTTAAAATCCAGTGACTCCATTTTCTCCATCTGCAATAACAGTCACAACAGAATATCCACATAAAACCAGCTGCTGTTCCCAGGGTCTTGAGCCTCCCAGCTAACTTATGTGCTTAAACATCTGCTTCATGGTGATTAGTGTACATATTGCCACTTCAAATAATGACAGCTAAAATAATCCACATGGCTCACTTTAAAGAAGGCCATCTGTTGGAGTTGTTATCAGACTGTTTCTTCTTTCTTTGAAGCATAACGAACTACAGTTTAACACGAGTACAGCTTATTAATATTGGACATATTGGACATTATCTGTTTTCCCTGTCAGTAATACCAGAGTAATAATCAGGATAGTTCTTGTAAGGATAGAGTGCAGCGAGGGAAAAAAGTTATTTAAGTACAAATAGATTTTAAAACCATAATAATTACCCTATAACCAATTCACACCTCAGCAGCAGAGGCAATTTATCTCTTCTCTTCTCCCTGCTGCATTATAAATGTGAGAGGCATAAAAAATATAAGTCATCATTAAGGAATAAATGAGGAAAAATGTTTCCCTTAAAGCTTGTATCCTAAAAAAGTTTTTAATGTGCCTAAGTTTAAAAATCAGGGGCTGTTACTCTGAGGATGTCCGCAGTAATTAATGGCTTCACCTTCATATTCCTGTTCCTTTTCTCTCTTTTCTAAAGAACAAGGTCATCATTGACTAATGAGGCTTTCTTTACTGTCTTTGTATTGGTTTAGTTTGAAGGGGGGTGTTCTAGTTTGATTCAAATCCTCTTGTACAAAACCCAACTTATACAAAAGATATGGTCAATGTGAGCCAGAAACTCTAGAACCTCACTCACTCAAAGTTAGTTTTGCCTTTTAAAGCTTACGATATTTTTCTCTCACTGCCATCAAAGCAAGATATGTGACTGTGAACCCCTGTGCCCACAACGTATATTTATAGCGCTACAGGGGTATTTCCTAAAGCATATGCTAACAGTAACGGAGAAAGAAAGAGGTCACAAAGTCAGTGAACTCACTCAGAGAGAACAGCACCCTCTGGTGACGGGCTGCAGTATATGTCATAAATCCCGCCTCCGCCAGCAAAGCTTATGGAGCTGTGGACAAACTTTTGAAATTTATTACACAGAACATAATTTTTTTCTCCCCTGCTTGTGATGTTGACATTTAGTTATTGTAAGACTGGTTTGTGCTCAAGTCCTCTTTTTTATGTGAAGCTCCGTTTTTAAATGTTATTTGGGGGTTCGTGTTTTCTATGATTGACACTCGATACAGCCTATGGGCGTACAAAGATTGCGTAGCTTACCCGGGGATACGCTGTTTGACCAAGTGTCATCACAGCGACTCTCGGCGACTCTCTTGGCGAAGTGCGTACAACGCTACTGAGCAATGTTGGTTTCAGGAGGTGGAGAAAAATTGTGGAAATACCAAAAGCCTTCTGGCTTTGAATCTGTATACTGGTGGAATGCAGAACCAAGTTGTCCATAGTATATGCAGTCTATGTGCCCAACACTACAGTATAAGTTTCTCGCATTTATTTAAAATGTCGACATAATCTGCTCAGGATAGGATGAGATTTGTGCCAAAAGAACCTTCGATGCCTAGGAGCCACGAAGCCACCAATCAAGTTTTCTTGTGTGATCAGTATGCTGTTTTTAGAGAACAATTTACGGTATCAAAACTGGACCTATTTTCTACACAACCAATGCAGCTCAGTGTTTTTTTAACCCATAGACACCCCCATTGTCAGCTGTTTTTTAAGCTGTTCTCACAAAGTCTTCAGGCCAGTTGAAACTGTTCAAATTTGTGAACCTTTCCTCTCTCTTTAATGTCATTTTTTGATCATTGACCAAGAAGGGGAATGAAATCTGATAACAATTTTGTCAGCAACATTGGCATCAGTCTGTACACTAGTTTATTGATAATGCAATTTTCAAAACCACCTGTTTTTTTTACACGGTCTTCGAAAAAGTCCCTCTGAATTGAAGCAAATATGAAGCAAACAAAGCGATTAAGAATAGACCTAATGGTCTCTGGTGAGGGAAGCAGAAGCGGCACAGGACACTTTTGTAACCTACAGTGAAAGTTGGAGAAAAGCACCTCAGGTTTAGTGTCCTGTCCTTAGTGTCCACTCGCTGCTAGTGCAGTAAATGCAGCGAGTGGACATAGGCCCTGAGAGGTCGATCAAAAAATATGAACCAACAGCCTGAGTTCAAAAAATGAGAAAAATTAGTAACAAAAATCTAGACAACTACAGAATTCTTATGATTACATACTAGCGTTTTTTTTTTTCATATACTGTGCATGGACAGCTATGTAAAAATGACATGTAACCCAATTTTCTCAGTCTTATTGCAACATTGAGATATTGTTCGCATTTGATCACTGTGCTCAAATCTCTTTAATAGTCTTGCATCTGAGATTTCAAAGTGGCACCAATCCTCTAATTTAACTCTAAAATTAAAACTAATGAGTATATTTCCAAGAAAACCATGTTATATAAGCATTAAAAGAAGCTTGTTCATGAATATCTCTCTGGTTTCACGAGTTGGCTCACATTTATATGACCACTTTGTCCATATAAAATTTCTTCCTTCACATCAAACTTTGTGTTTATTATGACTTTGCCTCAGTTGCATTCAAATTAGTCACACAGGCCCAAACATGGGGATTAAAGCAGCGACTGCCCGCATGTTCACTACAAAGTCCTCGTGGGGTTTTTTAAGTACATCACGACTCAACAGACTTGATGTCTCATCGGCCCTTAAAGTACCACTATTACTACCAAACTGTTTTCCTCATTCTGCTGCATCCACTGCTACACCCTCATAATGATGGAAAACAAGAAGATTTCTTGTTATGAAACAGCAAATAAAGACGTCTCACAGAGGCAGAGGGAGCAAATGAAAGGAAAGCGCGACGCATTTATTCCACTGGTCTGAGCGGAGCCCCGCAGTTTGAATGTAACACACGGACAGTCGTTGGCAGACGGACAGACGGGAAGTGATAGAGGGGGGTCAGAGCTGTACAGAGATGTCCGTTGTCTTAGGAGGGCGGTGGTGAGGTTTGGACATGAGCAACATCAGGACATCTGTAAGGGGAGGGATTAACACTCAACTTTGTGTTTTAGAGCCAAATCAACAAGTTAACATCTACCTGAGTAACTTAAAGTCTTAAAAGTTTATAAAACAGCTTTCATTGAAACCACAGCTGCGTATTTTTGTAACCAGCGTTAGCAGTGATGTGTGGTGGTTATTAACTACTGCAGCTGACTTTTGGCAACTGTTGGTGTCGAGCATTTAGTCCGCAGTTGTCTATCTTCAGCTACTTGGGATATATAATAAGGCCGTACACAGCCATCATTCAGCACTTTATTTATAGCTTTGGAACAAATACAGCTATCTCAGCTTACATTGCATGGGTCCACTAATTGCTAAATATAGCAGAGAGTTTAGCTTCTTTCCACACAGTGACATATTGAAATTAATATTTCCCATCGGTAACACATCTGCCTCCTCTTCTAAACTTGGATCAGAAACTCAAACATGTTTTTTTTATGGCTGAAAAACAGCTAATTTTCATATGTAATAGAGTGCTTTGGTAACACTTTACAATAACCATAATTGATAAATGGTAAATAGATAGTTTATTAATGTTTAATCATCATTTAAAAACAGCATATAGACCAATTATAAAAGGCAAATAGTTTATTAATGTAAGTTGATAGTTATTTTACCTTTAACAAGCAATAAAATTATGATTATAAATGGACTGTTTATTAAAGGTTTATATAGGGTTTAAATATTGGTTGTAAAACATCTAGATTAAAGTGTGTCAGCAGCACTTTGTAAATGGTTAATATTTGGTTTTTAAACCATCTATAAATGTTACTTCGATGGTGATTGTAAAGTTGCAACTGATGTTTGTAATACTTTGAGAATGATTGATAAGTGTTTTATAAACCACCTATAAACATTACTAAGATGGTTATTGTCAAGTTTGGGTCAGGGTTAGGTTTTTAAAATTGTAAAATTTACTATTTATTGATGGTCTATATGCTATTTATGAATGATGATGAACATGAATAAACTATCTGCTTACCATTCATAAATGGTCTATTTACCATTTATGAGTTATGGTTATTGTAAAGTGTCACCAGTGCTTTTTTTCTGTAGTTTTCTGTGGGGATGGGGTCTATTTCCAGCCAGTATGAAACTCAGACACACACTCTCACCTGTGCATCTTCTCTGTAATAGTAAAATCACTTCTTCTTGCTTTAATTTCATAGTGATTGGCTGTTTAGTTGTTAGTTTATTCATGCTCGTCGTGGCTGTCAGCAGCATTGGGGCTCCTTGGTCCCCCTTGTCTGAAAAGCAAAATGAGGTCTTCTGATCCTCACAAACGATAATTATCACTCCAGTTCTTGTGGGTGATTGACTCAACTCAACCTTGATGTCATATTTTGCCGCTTCGAGACGAGTCTTCAAAGGCTTTAAGCTTTCTTAGAAAGTTTCTCTCAGCGTCTGTAAAATTTTCAGAATAGCTGAGAAAATTCTCTGCACCTCTCCTACAAGCTCTGATGTTTTTTCCTGTTCCTCTTTCTTGCTCTTCTCTTCTTTTGTTTCTTTGTCTCTTTCACATCTGTGTGCTACACCTGCAGAAAGAGTCACTGATGTAGAAAGAGGGGGGATTTTTCAAGCACCACATGGCTTACAATATTTAGACTAGAATCATGGCCCTTATTTCTCACTGTCTGACACAGACACAGGTACAGACACAATGGGGCTTTTGTTTTGCTCACCAAAACTGATACTTCACGCGTTGGTGGCGTTGTCTTTCATCATATTGACACGTTACAACATGAAGAGGCACACATCGGCCTGAGCCAAAGGGAGTAATATGCATCAATCAAAATACAAGCCTCTGGTACAGATGTTTGTGTAATCCATGTAAATTTTAAGCTACGCGTCAAGATCACAACAGACACTTTTCATGCAGATATATTTTGGTGTACCTGCAAACTTCTCTAAATTCTGGTGCTTGCTGAGGGATCACAGAGAAAGTAGCTTCTTAAGAGTATCTCTTACACACAGGCGGCTCTGACAGAATGAAGCCCGCATTTCTCTCTGTCCATATATCTGGAGTACACATCAGAACATCCCGCCGCTTAGGATTAGTGCGCAGTTTTATCTGATGTTGTTGAATCCTTGCAGGAATGTCAGCCATGATCCCACTACATCTGTTTGATATATGCTTTTCTTTGCGTGAGGGATTCAGGTTTTCAGACTGCGATAACGCGAGAGAGCCGAGTTATGAATGTTGTCAAAATGGCACAGACTTGGTTGCACAAATACCTGTAGCTAAATGTCACTCCCCGTGGTCCGACTGTGATTAATCATCCCATTGGTTTAAAAAAAGAAAAAAACACAGGAAACACTCCCCGCTGTGTTCGTGATGGAGAAACAGTGTGCTCCTCTTTCCCCAGGCCCTAATAAACACAGGGCTCTGGCTCTAGTCTGAGTTCAGTATGTCACTCTCTCCCCCTTTTCTTTGCCTCCAGCTTGGTCTTTTCCACCCTTCCTCTCTCTTTTTATCTGGCTGGTAGCCGGGTTAGGGTTACCGGTCTGGACACAGCAAGCCTCCAGCAAACAGCTGAATTATGGGAATATTTTCCCGCTCACCCCCAGAGGACACCATGCTTTCATTCATTTGAAGACCTCAGGATCATGTTGCCAAGAGCAGGTGGACTGCCTGGAGCATGAATGCTGTTTACAGAAGAAAGCCTGAGTCTATTTATTACACACCTGAAGGGAAGAAGAAAAGTTGCCTCAGCAGAGATCAGATGTGGATTCAGCTTATTTTAAAAGAGGAGTATTATGGTTAGGCATTTTCTAATTTTAAGTGTGAGTGCTGCAGTAGAGTTAGTGACTAAAGAGAGCCGCAGATCTCCTGTCGTAATAAAGCAGACAGTGCCATCATGTGGTGAAGGAGGTTAGTACAGCGCTGGGAAAAACAAAGAGGCTCCTCAATGTAAGAATAACTTTATTTTTATTTTATCCCTGAAGGGAAATAAAAATTAAAAATAAAATAAAATAAATAAAAAATAATATAAAAAATACAGAGTAAATATTATATGAATTATGTCTAATAAAATTATGTCTAATAAAAAATAATAATAAAATAAATAAAAAATCATATAAAAAAACAAAAATTATAGGAATCATGTCAGGAGTTAAGAGGAGTTTTTGACCAGTTATGAAACAATTAGGAAATAGAAAAAGACGACCAAGTGACCATGCTAGACGCCAATCAAGAGACGCTGCTTTTTTTAATAGTCAGATGCACTTGACCCCTAAAAAATTCTAACAAGAGGTTTCTCAGCTGTTTTTTTTAATAGTATTAGGTGTCCTTAATAACATAGAAAAAGTTTACAGAAGTTTGACCACTAAAAAGGTGCCATTTTCAAGATAGTATCCATGATGGGTAGGAAGCCCGGGGGAGACACCCAAGGAGAATAGGGTAAAATTTTGAACTAACAGATATCACCATGAAACTTCCCGAGTCTATAACTTACATTAATAAGTTAATATGAATATAAGTTTTGTCAAATTTTATGTTTGAATATGTAAATGAGGCGATATCTAATTAAATATGCACTAATTTGCATACATTTCCAGAAACCAAAAACTGAACAACAGATAAAGCCCCTTTCAAAAATTCTTGTTATATTTTGTTGACATACTAGAGTCAGAAAAAGGGGAGGAGGGGACTTTAGATATCTCTTTTTATCACTCTGTAAATGAGAAAATATTTTCACCAGCCCTAAAAATGTTCTTTTTCCAGGTCTTTAAAATGACCATTACTCCTTTGTATTCCTTCTAGACCAGGAATACTGGTGCCTGATACATGTTTTGACTGTGTAATGTTCATGTAATATGCAAAGACACCAGAAGCAACCTGATTTAAATATTTAATGTTGATAGTCGTAATGCGTGAAAGAGCAGCAGGGGTTATGTGTTTGACAACTCAATACACAGAAAACTGATTTGTTGATACATGTTCAACAAATCGAGTGTTCGGGGAAGCAAGATGGAGTTTCAAGTCAGAAAATATGACCTTCAGACTTACAAAACAAGATCCGCAGAGAAACCAAAGCCCCTACTTTGTCCATAGTGGATAGCAATTGTTTCATCAGTATAACTTCTCCATCACAATAAGTCCATGTTACGTTGCATTTCTCTCTAGTTTACTCTCGCCTGTGGAAGCGTTTCATGAGTTTTACATGTAAATAAGTTTGTGTCACTTTATTTCTGATGTGGTGAATCAATGATTAAATCTCCATCAAAGTCATGTGGCTGTTTATGTGACAGATGCATGATGGGTAACCGCAGGTCGGCTGCCTCTGTGACCTTTACTGTGATTTATGAGTGGCGCATGTCACAGAGGTGAATGTCTTATTAACAGTGTGTGACTTGTGTGATTGATTTATGATGATGAGAGCAGGTAGGCGAGGCAGAGCCGGAGTAAACAGACTCAGCTGTCATTAAATGATTAGTTCAGGAATGTGCTCGCTTTGCTTAACTTTATTGTTGGACTTCTTATTAAACAGTAACGAAGGATCCCCCATTGGAGAGTGGTGACAGACATGCAACTATAAGACCGACCTTCCTGCTCACTTATAATCCTGTATTTAAGCTCTTAAAGTTGATGATGGCATGATGGATGGATGAGTTTAATAAAAGAAAAGCCTAACCCAGCAGGGAGCCGTGTTAATAACCTAAACAATTCAACCGCTTTTTGGTTGATGGTCATAAATGTGGCCAACTGAGAGAGCTACCCTAGTGTTTTAAGGTTTAAGACGCCCCAGTGGAGTTATTGAGAAAACATATCAATCTGTGGTGTTGACATTTAAGCCTCAGGATGTATAGAGGTGCCTTTCAAATTGGCCCCATGTCTCATTAGTCATGAATAACTTCTGTTGGCTGTACATGTGTGTATAAACAAAGGTTCAGTGACTGCTGCTTCGGCTTCAGTCTTACTGTAATTATGTTGGTTTCAGGGGGTTGTTAAATCACTACACTCCATTCTTTATAATCTCGAGTCATCTGAAGCTCTACTTTGCACACATGATAATGGTGTTTATTGAGTGTCTGGAAGCCTGTGGACTATTTTGATCCCATAACAAGCTCAGAGCACCACTCATAACTCTACTTTAGTATGGGATCCAAACAGACACAACTGGTGTTATACTTTTTGACCTTCTCTCCCTGCATATTTGTCCAGATGTAAGCTACTGTTTCTGCTGGATGTGTCATGATTTATCATTAATCACTCCTTATGCAGAGGTAAAATGTATTTAACTTTCTTTTAACAGTATTTCTAAATGGACTGGTCAACAGCATACCACAGAAATAGCCTTTGTTAAAATTTTCGATTGTAAAGACTTAAAGTGACGTATTCCTCTGCTAAGACACAGCATAATGAGGGTTTGATGTTGAAAGAGCACTACTTTAAGGGTAGAGTAAGAATCTTGTTGATACTGATCTCTGGGTGCAAAATACAGTGAGTCTCTGGGCAGAGCCGGCCCAAGCCTCAATGCAGCCCAAAGCAAAATTTGATTTTGGGGCCCTCTGTTTCTGCCAATAATATTGATTATTGATCATTCACACTCCTTCACAAATCTCTTATATTAACACTTCATGACATGCAAACATACCTTTATCTTGGCATTTTTTTCTCTTCTTCGTCTTTCTTTTCTCTGCTCCTGAAGGATATGTCCTTTTTTGCGACATTGTTTTTCCCCCCACGACTACATGCACTTTTTTAGTGCACATTGCATTGACATATGGGCAATAAGAATCATAGACCTACATGAGCAGCAGCACTAAAATGTTTTTAATTTATTTTATTTTACTTTTACAATAATTTGCATTTGATCATACAGAAAGCATCACTCATACATGCAAAAAATAAAAATATATATTTTTTTGATTGCTCTTGGGGGCTCCCTATTGGCCACTGGGCTCTAAGCAGGTGCTTAGTTCGCTTATGCCTTGGGCCGACTCTGTCTCTGGGAGTCTGACTCTTGAGACCCCTGGGAGCTATAGCCAAAATTTTAAGGGGTGTCTTGATGAAAATCTTTTGCCATTATCACTAGAATTACAATTTGGAGGCACATTTTTCCAGTTCATTATTCAAATAACAAAGATTGTATCATTAAATAAGAATATACAAAAAAATGTAATCTGGGTAGGCCTACAAATGATCCACAAACCATGACCTAGTATGGCCCCAACATACAGCCAGAAAGCAGTGGACTTTTTCTGTGAGTTAATCGCACTGTCTGGAAAATAAGTCAAAGAAAAAGCGAAAAAGGTTTATTGCCTTGTAGCTTTGGATTCATATCTAAAAAAGCTGGAATAACAAAGGCGGAGCAGAGACAACTGCAGCAGCAGCAGAGAGACATGAACAAAAGTAAAGATCAGCAACCCACCGGCCCACAAAACAAATGGATGATAGGTGAGGGCGCAGAGTTTGGCTAAGAATGGAAAGTTAGGCTGTTTAGTTTTTGGGAAAGGGAAGAATAATGAGAGGAGTCACTTTTTCACAAGGGGCACCAGAACTGACACAAAATTAGAATCTCTCTACAGGAGCTATAATTCACAATATACATTAATATACAGTTTGATATTTCCTTCTAAGTGATGCATCTTGCAGCAGGTTGAACATCATGGTTAAATACAGGTCATTTGATCATGAGACCTAGTTCTACTCTTAATCTGCCGAGTGTCTTCGTAGATCTGTGCATGATGATTTTATGACTATACAAAATTATTAGTCGAGAAAATTGAGTGATAGTCAAATATTGATGTGGACATGCACCTATTATCAATACGGTGGGGGAAGTGGGGGTGCAATATGCAAAAGTAAAAAGAGCTGAATCGTGTTAAGATTTTAAAACAAATATTGATTTAAAGAGAAAACAAATCTTTCAAGTAGGCCATTATTTTCTGAGAGCCTGGTTTTGATTGAAAAACAAAGCCCAAATTTTAAGCCAAGCGTAGCCGTGAAAAATTAAAATCTCTGTGAAATTAAATTACCCCTTCAGCCAAATTCCTCCCCCTACACCCACTTCACTATTGTAGCTTGAATTAATGTTATTCCAAATACAAGTCTGATCAAATTAATCTGCCAAACGGGATATATACAGGCAGCTCTATGTTTCAACGCTGTATGTTTTGATATATTGATTTAATTAGCATTACATGTATAGTGCCCAGAAGACTTCTGAGGCATCATAAATTCAGGGAGGCAACAGTATCAGGGAGTGCATTAAGAGAGAGCGCAGTAACTTGATATTATGGATCGAGCTATGAAAAGAAAGATGATTGGCAAGATTCAGTTTTACATATAAAAGTGTTTACTATCCTCACTGGAGTGTCTGTTTTCAGTCTGTGGGACTCTGTCAGTGTCTCCTCTCATGACATTTTTAAAAGGTCACAAAGTGAACTTCTCTTCCCGCTCTCTGTCTCCTCGTTAGTGTGAGTGTGTTTGTGTGCAGCCGTGTTTACGCACACCCATGTTTTCCCAGTGTGTGCAGATAAAGTCAATACCCCGCCGTCTTTGACATGGCGACATATGGTCCTCTTGGAGGAGTTGTGGCTTGGCAATCTGCTGCTGTTGACATTTTTTATCTGAGGCTTTAAGACTCACATCTCATGTTGTTGTTCTCTTGATATCTGAATTTATGACCAATAGCATGCAGTGTCACACAGGGGGGAAGAAGGTCTTCTCAGTCAGACACATACTGTGGATTTATACATCCTGGCAGCATAGAATGTGAAAAAGACTCCAGAGGCTTCAAAAAGGTTTAATATCAGCCAAGAGAGCGTGTTTATTTTCTGTATTGAATTATGTCATCATATGAGGCAGTTTTATGATCCTTCTGATACTGAGTCAAAAAACCAACAGTTTTCTCCTCAGTGCAAGATTTATTATAGAAACTGTAGACCACCCACTGGCTTCATTAGAGACATTTTCACCAGGGAGGATACCAGTGGGGGTGTTTGTGAATGGGAAAGTTAAATAAATGCTCAGTTAGTTTTTAGGCTGACTGATGTAAGTGGATATTTTGAAAAGCATCAATCAAAATGTGTTTGTATTTCAGTAAAAATACTCCATCTGTCTTTCAAACTACACACATGTTTAAAGATTTTTAATAACCAATGACAATTGACTGAAATTTATAACAATATTCAAAAGCAAACAAAACAAAGATCAAAAAGACTGAATATTTTTATATCCTTATTTTTTTGTCTAAAACTTCTGTGAGAGGGAAGGTCCAAGCCTTGCAGCTGTAGACACAGCCCCATTTTTACAATTTCCACCTATATTATTCACAGTTAATGGCACATTTGACTGTCAGAGTCAGCAGGATGAGATTTGTTGTCATAAATCACTACTGACACGTGTGGCTGACAGGATAAGTAAGGACTACTTAGTCCACAGGGGGCGCCAACACTGTCACAAACCGAAAGTTCCTCACAGGAGCTTTAATGCTGCATTGTACTCGGAAGTCAGAATTTCTGAGCTTTGAGTTGGAAATTCATCTGGAAAGCCCCCCAATGTCAGATTCCCAACTTGGAAAGTCGGACAATCCTCTCCAACCACGACTTGACGACAACGTCATTATCCAAGATGGCAGCGCAGTGCATCAACAGTAGAGAGTAAAAGTAAAAGCTCTTGTAATATATTATTTATTAGCACTTCTGTTTTGTTTTTGTGAAATTAAATAAGTGGTATATGTTGTGCTGCCCAACATCTAACTGTGAACACAGAGCTATGATGTTTGTAAGAGTAAAATACTGTGTTATGAGTTGTTTACAACTGGTAAAACTAACAACAACTAACAAAAGCTGACAACCGCTAACAACAGCTGACAATGGCTAACTGCAGCTGTCAGTTGTAAACAACAGCTAACAATGGCTAACTGTAGGCGTCCATCTTGGTTTTCTGACTTGTTAACTGGGATGCCATCAACATAAGTGTAGCATCATTCTCAGCTCCGACATCCAACTTCCGAGGTAACTGAAACGCAGCATTAGTACCACTGCTTACAGGATCTATCTTAATAACTATGGCTGTTGTGCTGTGTTGGTATCGTATTTTGCATGGTTATTTGTGGTCCCCAGGGGATGATAAAGCTTTCACTTGTCTTTATACGTGATGACTATAACATGCACAGAAATTCCCTTTAGTATGGTCAGCTGTCGGTCTACAGTGTAGCCTCTCAGAGATGCAAGCTTGACTTCAGAGTGAGTGTAGATATGTATCTTATCTCCAGGGTGACACAAATCTGATTTACATGGAGACAGTGTGACACAGTTTTCATTATGAGAAGCTGCACTGCTTTTCAACAGCTAGCAAAGAAGTCCTCATTTCAACAATTAATTTCATCAAATCAAATTTAAAAAATGAAAAAGCAAAAATAAGAGTAAAATTCCAACCTATCACCACCCCTCTCGTTCAATTGCCTCTGTCATGGAGGCCATTTATCAGAGCAGGTTGTAGCTCAGAGTCCCACTGGTTAAAACCAGTGAAGACCGACACTCTCGGTCTAAAATAGGCCCTCTGGGTCCTGTAATGCTGGTCAAGTTATTTGCAGGGCAGCGCGTCTGCTTCTCCATAGTTGCCTCAGCAGAAGTTGGAGTTAAGACAAGATAATAGAAGCAGAGGAGGATGAATTTAAGATAAGATGCTCCCAACCCAGTTTCTGGAAAATCACTCAGAGTCCCACAAGCTAGACTATAGACATCGCTCATTTTGTCTTCGCAGAGGAGTGAAATGCTGACATTAACTGGGGAAACAACTGGAAGGTTTGAGAAAGAAAACCCAGAGGACATATTTTTTATTCAGGAGGAACATTTCAGAGTCTGAGAAAATACCTCTGGCTGTTGTTACTGAGATATTTGGAAACTTCAACTTCAAGCCTGGAAAACACTTCTCGAGATGATGCTGAAGTGTCAAATTAGTATCACATGTAGGCGAGGTTTCATTGTTCTGTGTTTGTAGACACTGAAGGCAGTACATTTTTGGGAACTTTGTGCTCAAAATTTGCAGGCAACTCAAACGTCTTTTCATTTAAAGACTCTGACAGGGTGCTTAGAAAGAAACTTTGGCTGACTGTCAAAAGGATTTAAAAGTAAAAACACAGACTCCTGAATGAAGGTTCGCAGGGGTAACATCTTCTAAACCTCTCACAGATCACTGAAAGTTTTGTGGTTTGGTAATCCCGTGGCTCTGAAGATCAGGGAAAGGTCACTGACCACGTCTCTCACAGGAGTGTCTGTGGGAGTGTGTCTGCCAGAGCTGCAGCAGGAAGCTGTTCTTCTAATGATCAGGTTTGTTCAAGGGGGCACTGGACTCTCTGACAAGGATGCCTCCTGCCTGTGTGGGATTTTCACAGACTGCTCATTAAAGGCAGAAAGTCTGGAGAACGTTAACTTCAGAAACAGCAGGAGAAAATCAGTTGTTGTTGAAATGATTGTCCGTACTGGGTGATGTTTCCTAAGTGTTATAAAACATGCTAAGTGTGATGACTGACATCTCTCAGAGTGAAGTCAGGGTCTTTTAGAAACAGAAGACTATTATACTATGCTAAAGCAGGAAAAACTGCCTCTAAAAGAGAAATAATTGGTTAGTATGTTGTTCAAAAAGTTGTTGATTTCATAGACTTGGATGAGAAGACTATCAGCTTTTACGTTAGTCTTAAAGGGATATTCTGGTGTAAAATTAATTTAGGATCAAACACACCATAACACTTACACCCCTATGAGAGATGACTGTTGCCGACCGCTTGCTTCTGTAGTTATACCAACTTTAGTAACGACCGCACGATAGCAATACACAGTGATCTCAGGAGCCATAAACAAAACTCAACCAAAAGGCCACTCTATAGCCACAAATAATGCTCAGAACAGCACCTAACTTCATCAACAGTACATATAGGGTCCCAGCCATAGTACGAGTGACCAAACATCTTTTTAACTTTGCCTAACTTCTTGAGCAAAGAGACTAAACACAACTCACCTACTCTCTTCCAGCAGCCGCCTGTTTGTACGGAGATCTCAGGCCAGTCCATTACAGACTGCTGCGGGGTGACGCAGCTCAAGGAAGAACATTTATGATCATTACTTTATCATTTCCTTGAGGTAATAATCACCATATTAATCATCATTATTCATGGACTTTTTGGTTGAGGTTTGTGTTTGGCTCCTCAGACCGCTGTGTATTGCTATCGTGCGGTCGTTTCTAAAGTTGGTATAACTAGAGAAGCAAGCGGTCGGCAACATTAATCTCTCGAGGGGGTGTCTAACTCGGTGTTACGGTGTGTTTGAGCCTAAATTAATTTTACGCCAGAATATCCCTTTAAATGTAAAAAAATAAGCCAAGCAAAAGAAAAACAAGCTTTAAACTGGTAGTTGGAAAGTTAGAAACCTTTCATTTGCAGTTTATGTACCACAAAGCCCATGGAAGCTCATATAATGGCTCAAACTGCACAGTAGATGATGAAGGCCATTTTTCATGATGCCATGATCGATCGGCCACTAAATGGGAAATGGCAGCTGCAATAACAACACAAGGTGATAACGTGTGGGATGAGTGAGTAAAGCAATGTTGCCTCAAAACCGTACAGTATTCTGTGCAGGAAATGCTGTCTCCATTAACTGGAAGCAGCACTAGATGACAAAGTAATAGCTCGAGGTGTTTGGTGGTTTTGTGAGCCTTAAAGGACAGCAAATGGAAATAATACACAAAAGATTCCCAAAGGTACATGAGAAGAAACAGGGGACTTGCGAATTCAGTGTCTCCAGACAAGAAGCTGCATACCTTTTGTACGTGGCGGATGTTGTTTGAAACACAGAGAATTCCAGGCCTTCTTCTTCCTTTCTTGTGTTTGTGTCTGAGGGTGTCTGCCGCAGTGAGATCCTCAGGAGGAAATGCACAAATAGGCCAAGTCTCAGGCCACAGAAAGGGACAGGACAGGAAGCCCACATGCTTACATAACTGCTTTATTGAGAGGATCGGTATTTGACATGTCACAGAGCTATGACCCCCGTCCTCAAACACTTGCTCCCACATGTATCAGGTTGGCGGATCTCAGTGAGGGCGCAGTTTGGACTCCAGGGAAGTATTGGCAATACTTTTACAGTGTGTTTGTCTTGAGGGGACTCTTGACTTGAATGTTCAGACCAGTGGTATGTAAACTCATTTGTCTCTGCATAAATATTTAGGCGTTTTCTCCTTCACAGTAAATTCCAACAGGTAGGGTCTGTCTAAAATGCTATCCCCCGTAGACTCGTAGAGACACTCTTTTCCATTTAAAGTTGTGCTGAGACCACTGACAGGACCAGCATACTGGTATCAGTTAGTGACAGGTACTTAGAGTGGTACTAATATTTGACCAATAATAAAAATGGTATTTAAAAATGATACAGAATTGAAGCTTTGACTCATATTGATACTGGTGTCAATACTTGACCCTTGCTGGTACTGGTATTAGTAATTAGTCATTGATATTATTGGTATTGACACTTGACTGATAAGGATACTGCTATCAATATTAACTTCTAATGATACTGGTAATAATTCAAATATATTGATACTGGTATCAGTACTTGACCTGTACTAATATTGGTATCAATACTTTTCTAATACTGTTATTGGTTATTAGCCATTATTGATATTGGTTTTGACACATGACCTGTACTGATACTGGTATTGTTACTTGTCCTTTACCAATACTGATATCAATACTCAACCTATACTGATTCTGGTATCAATACTTGACCTCAACTGATCCTGTTTGAAGTACCTGACTTATACTGATACTGGTATCAATACTTTACCTACAATGATACTGAATTAGGTCATTAGCCGTCATTGATATTGGTTTTAACACGACCTGTACTGATACTGGTATTGATACTTGACCAACAGGGATATTGTTATTGATAATTGACCTCTATTAATACTGGTAATAATACCTTACCTCATCTGATTCTGGCATTGATTATTGGCAGGGATTGAAACTGGTATTGATACTTTACTGAAACTTACACTGGCATTCATTTTTTGATTGTTACTGAAGCTGTTTTTGTCGATACGTACACTGGTACCAGCCTTAGCAATTATGTGAGGTACAGGGTACCATCAGGAAAATTTGGTAGTCTAAGCTTGTAAATGACAGAGGTTCAAGCTCCTCCACCATTAAGGTCTACATTCGGTATCCACAGGGCACTTGTTTCCTGCCTATGTCTGAATGAAAAGTATCGGCACTACTGAGAAGGACAGATGGATATCAGAGAATCTCTCCTGCCATTGAACAGAAGCCAACCAAGTCCTGGTGTGACTGACTAACAATAAACAGGCCATTAAGACCTTTCTGCCACCAGGGAGAAAACCTCTGTGTCTCAGGGCTTCTTGGCCACCAGTAGCAGCAGCCTCGACGACCCCGCACCGCTGTATTTATAGAGAACCGTGGATGAGTCATTTGGCAGAGTGCCCACTCTTCGTTTGCCAGATTTACAGGTCCCCACTTTAGGGAGGGCTGCATGATTTACGATACACCCCCCTTTCCCCCTCCACCTCCAGCACCAGCTCCCACCCCACCCCTCTCACTTCCTTCAGAGACGAGCAGACACACCATCTTGCCTTTGGCTTGCTGTCTCACTCGGTTTGATTCACTCTTGCGTTTCTTTTCGTGTGTGTCTTAGAAAAATGCTTCCTCTGCTCTTCCTGCTGCTTTGATAAAAGTAGATGCCGGGAATGAGGGAAAGCTTCCTGAGAGGCAGACAGACTAGCCTTAGCCTGACCTCTCCTAACTGCTGCTGATTGGTGTGTCACATCGACCTGCTTTTGACTTCAGAAAACCAAGTTTTAGGTGAGAGAGTTTTATGAGGAGGAGGAGGAGGAGAGTGAGAAGAAGGAGGAGAGTAGGAACGACAGCTCCGAGGGAAGCAGAGTGTGCTTTAGCAGAAACAGAAGGAGGTAAATCTGTCTGTGGCTCAGAACGAGAACAGATGAAGAGGTGGCATCGGGGGGCCGGCGGTCAGCAACAGCGTAGCTTTTGCTCCCTCGACCACCAGCTGAGAAGGGGGCACGCCTTCCTCTGCGCCCCATGGATCTTAACTCCAACTCAGGTCTGTCTCTTTACATAACAGGAATGAACACTAACATGCTTGCGTGTGGTTTGGACTGTTGCATTACGGTGGCTGAGATATTATTAGACTTTGCACTGTCTTTAGTTTCAGTTACGAGTGCAGGAAGGGGTGGAAGGATTTCTCAGACAGCTTTACTTGCCTTAAACTTAAGATACAAAGCAACTTGTAAATGAGTTGCAAATTGCTCCGTGTCCTTTTGAAGAAAGTGTGTATTCATTCGCCATGTCAAGAGTTGAGTCTTTTACAAGTTTCCGTTCATAACTTACTTTAATTGGAACATTGATTTCAGCTGAACAGTTTATGATGTGTGCATGCCTCACTTTCCTGCTGTTGTCATTGCAGCGTCCCTCTTATCTGCCTACTGTACCATCTGCTAATAGGCTTTGAATAATGGAGTAGAATCTGATGTTTGGTAGGACTTGAGCTACATAAAAAAATATAATAAATTTATAATAAAAACGTTTATAAAAGTTGCATCAACAAGAGATGAATGCTAACATAGTAGGAATGGAACCAAAGGGTGCAGAGCTTCATAAAATTAAGCCTTAATTTAGGATTTTACAGAAACAAACAGATTAAATGCTGATTTTTTTGTTTTTAAAGTTTGTTTTGGAGCTTTAATCAGAGACAGGACTGAAGATATTTTAGAAAACTGAAGAGTGAGAGAAATGACATGTGGAAAAGGGTCAAGGGTTTGAATTTAACCCTGAGTGCTACATTTGTGTACAACTTTTAACACATAACACATTTATACTTCTGTGATTCAATATTTGATTCTGATTGGTCAAAACCTTATAAGGCAATAGCCTGATCCCATGCAAATCAAATCAGATCATTTGGCGCCAAAGTGATCCGTGCAAATCAACTCGGCCTGTTGACACTGTGGCAAAAATGGCTTTTTTCCATTCCCACTCTGAATCACAAAACACCACCCGGTATATTTTTAATATTGAGCTTGGATTTAGTGGGCGAGCACAGAGTTCAAGGTTCATGGTTAATGGGCGACCAGTAACTCGCAAAAAGAAACAATAAAGACGGTTTAAAGAATAATAATAAAAATTGTGTTTTTTGCAGTGAAGCAGAGTTTTTTTTAAGAGTTTTTCCCTTTTTTCCCTTTATACAGCTCACTGCAGGGGGGCAATCTATTGAGGCCAAAAGATGAGGGCATCATCACTCAGTACGTTTATATGACACTCAAGAAAACCAAATTATTGCCTTACTCTGATTAAGACCGGACAACTGAAGTGCATGTAAACACATGTCCGACTATAATTGGCATTTAAGAACCCGGAACAAAAACACCAGAGAAGAAGTGGCACTATCATTTAAAGAACTTCTGACTCAGAAGCAACTGCAACATGGCTGAAGCACGAAAGAATGTCCACTTTTGGAACAACGAGGAGAGTGCAGTTACGCTTTCTGTCCTGACAGAAATGGACATTTTACAGTATATGGACGGTCGCAAAACGAGGAACGGAAACATCTTTAAAAAAAGGTCTGGAAACAGCGCCACCGAAAAGACCCATACTGCCCCCTAGTTTTGGGGAGGAGGACACATTCACGTCAATAATTCGATTTTCTCAGCGGCATGTATACGCAGACATGGAGAGAAGTCCATTTAGGCGAAAAAAAACGAATTCTGAGCTTAGTCCGATTAAGCTGTGAATGTAAATGCACTGATTGTCATCTCCTCATGATCTCATCCATGCACGGCCCAAATATTAAAGCCTGAGACATCATCAAGCCAAAGAACAACAGAGCGTCTTTGAAATAGCTTTACTAATTACACATTTCTTTAAAAAGGCACATTTATTACTTAACATCATTCATGTTCACTGCATGGAGCTGTAAAGTTGCGGTGAGTCAGATTGTCAGGGAAGGCTTTTTAGAGCACTGTTTTTATTCAATTAAAACGTCAATATTTAGCTCCAGCGTTTCTATAATTGTGCACACAGATCAGGATAATGATTTATTGCTGTATCAATATTTCATCCCACCCCAAGTGTGGATGATTGAAAGATCTGAGCCGTTAATAAAACCATGTGTAACAACATAAGCTGTTACCCCACATAGTTTTACTGCCACTTAGGTATGCTTGTTTAAGATGCACGGCTTTAAAATATCTTGCCAGAGGACAAAAAATAAAACCTAAGCAAAAAATCCTTCTCATAGCCGGGTCAAATTCCACTTTGCTACCCTGCTCGAGGCAGATAACAGGAACACTTGTGAATTCACAGCTCCCAGTCTGCCTGTAAATCCATCCTGGTCAAAAAAAAAAAAAAAAAAAGTCTTCTTATGCAAAAAGCTGAAGCAACAGATGGGAGAGCAGTCAGCCAGAACAAATGTTGTATAAAATGCTGTATGTACAAACCAGATAGAAATTAGTATCCAAGATTTCCAAGAGGAGACGCTAAAGAAAATGAAGAAAAATAGAGTTTTATACTTGGATACTGACCTGTGTGTGTCATAACCAAATCTTCTCATCAATCTCTTAAACTCATAGTTAAAGCCCGCCTTTGGTTGTCTCTTCCTAGAATAGATCATTCTTGGCTATGTTTGACTACAACCCTGCATAAAGAGCGGTCTTTGTGATGATAGGAAGCACATCAGAACAACCAGTTACTGTAATTTAACACACCTCTCTGATTACTAGTTGTGTTTATGAAAACAGCAGGTTGACATGAAGCGTATGATGACTTCATTCGGACACAAATTGAATATTTTGTCATACTGTGGTCGGCTCTGTGTCACAGTCAGGACTTTTGGTTCAAACTTTTGTTATTTTTTTTCATGATATGTTTGCACATTTTCCAAAGAATAAATAAATACAACAAAGTTAAATGCTGTTAAAAGGTTTAAGCTCCGAGAACATCAGCAGCAGTCCAGCACACACACACTGAAATACACAGAGAGCCAACCTCGCTGTCAGCATTCCTCTGTCTCTGCACTTAGATCATCACCAATCTTTTTTCTTTGACCCAGCCTGCATTTGCCCCCACCACCCCCTCCCTAACACTGCAGCCCTCTCCGTCCGGCAGTGCTTTGGTCAGCTTTGTCAGAAAAAACAACAAGGATGTGGAGCTGCAACACAGACAGGACTGCTGCAACAGCCAAAATGAAAACACTCTTACCCGGCCAAAGCTGACCATCTCTGTCCAGCGCCTTTATCGAGAATTGGAAGGTTTTATGATCGCCACAGAGACATGTGTGCAGAAACACTCAAAGAAACCAATCAGCTCACACCAAAAGTGATGTAATCCATATTCCCCCTCATCTCTCGCTATAGGGAAATATGAGGCAGTAACAGAGCATTGATGGTGGTGATTGATGAATTTCAGTGTTCACCTCTGACAGGCCCTTCAATCTCCAAATGCAATTTAGCAAATGAACATGTTGATTAATGCTCTGATGTTACATAACCAGAGTGAATTCAGTTTATCATGAGTAACTCCAAATGAATGAAAATCTGGAAAAGCTTGTTGTTTAAGGGTCAGCTGTCAGGATTTCATCACATTTTGGATGAATTCCTCTGGTTTTCATTATCCAAAGAGTCAAATCCAAATATTTTCTGTTTCAGTTTTTCCTCCTTCGTTACATTTTCTCTTTTGCCTGGTTCTGTCGGATCAATAAACGAATCAATCTGCAGTTTTTCTTTACACTGAGATGGCTTGTTGGGCAAAATGCCCTTCCAGCAATGAAACTTGTGACTGTATAATCAAATATATATAGACATAAAGACACCACCCATTTTTGTAGAAAGGTGATGGAGCCTGACGATGGCAGTCATCGTATCTCAAACACCAGATTAATTTAACTCTTGATCAGTTGAGAAACTAGAGAAAAGGTGGATTGAAGTTGACCTTAAAGTCCCACTCAGATAACTTTTTACTACTATTTACACTGTTCATAGGGGTCTTTAAATTGTGAATACAAAGTTTTTAGTCAAAATCTCATTACCTGTGGCATTTTCAAGAGCTTGTCTTCTGCAGAGCTCCAGTACCTCATTAGCAATTCGTCTCTGAGTTGAGGGCGGAGACAGCGCTGCTCTGCTCCCTCCTCTTCACGCTAGCTTGTAGCCTAACATTACCAGTGCAGCAGAAGTAGCAGGTAACATAAGAGCTATTCAGCTCTCGGACATTGATGTCTTTTGTTAATATCATAATTAGCTTTCTTACGAGCATTGCAATCCGCTAACGCATCATCCTCTCTACTTCTCCGAGTCTGGCCAGCAAAATGTGGCTCTGGGGGCGGAGCTTGGATTTGTGACATAGAAAATCCCACTGTGTCTGAACCTGCTGTCTGGATCTGTGAGAAGTTCACAGTGATTTGAATGCAGCAATACTCAGAAATGCAATTTTGCACTTTGTTTTCTCATGATATGCCCTCTAGCATCTGAAAAATGCCATATGAACATGTAGACAACAAGAAAAACAGGATTTTTATCAGAGTGGGTCTTTAAGCTTCCCAAAAACAGCCACAGACTTCACCCACTGTCTGTGAACTCTGTGCCAGTTTTTAAAAATAAAGAACTGGGCTAATGAGACCCAAACTGGTTTTTGAATGGTATGCTTACATGGGACCCAGTGGGGATCCTTGGCTTCTGCAGCCAGCCTCAAGGGGGAACTTGAGGCTGTAACAGGGGGCTGCTTTTTTTACCATATATTTACAGGTCTGTTTCTTAAGACCGAACATCGCCGCTTAGCTCCGAGTTTAAGATAGGTAGTCCTAACAGCCAGTCTTCAGGCTAACATATAGTATTTACTGGATATAGCAGTGGATGTAGCTTCTTGGTTTGACAAGTGAAGGATTTGCCTCAGAGCCTCAGAGGATGACCCTACTTGGCTTGCTGTAGGCTTGCTGCTCTAGCACATGCTTTCTGGGGGGGATTGATGATCTTGACTCTTAGCTTTTAGTCTTATTAAGACAGCATCATGCCTCTTTAGTAAATTATGGGCTTATTTGGTGCAAAAACTACAATAAAGCAACAAAGGGTGTACTTTAGTCATGAGTCACTACTCAAGCACCATGTCAACCAGGCTAGAAGAAGAGCATTATGTAGCTGCTTTGACATCCAAATATGGTTATTTCTATTTTCCATCTCATATAAAATAATCGTCTGTCATTGGCTTGACCTGAGTCAGGTCCCATGAAAGTCTGTCCTAACCGGATGCTGACCAGACTCATCTGCCAGACCAAATAAAACACGAGACCTTGGTTTTGTCTGGTTCCCAGGATAAGTCCTCTTTGCTTCTCATGGGGAAAGACAGCATCAGTAAGTAGCTCTGCCTCCAGTAGTCACACAATAAAGCAGAAGTCAGGTTACCATAACCCTGTCTGGAAAGTTCAAAGGGCTTCTCTAAGAGACCAGGCTGACTCAACCTACCAATTCTGGCTGTGGGGAGTGCAGGTGTGCCCCTGCCCTGAGGCCCTCATCAGCTCTGAAAGGTGATATTAGAAGGTATTAGTGGGCCAGGCATCACTATGTCAGGTCTTCTTCTTGTGTTGTGGATGAAGAAACTATCATTCCTCATCCTAGAACCAGGATGTTTCCTTTAGATGTCTGTTCCTACCAAAATAGTTGTTATTCCTCATCTTAGCGATAAACACAGACGCTGTAATATCTTAGATCTAGCGTTTGAGCAATCTATCTGTGTCTGTTTACACTGTGCACATGTGTGTATGTGTGAGGCCAAGCACAACATCCGGTATCTTTAATCCAAATAAATTTAGATATCCAGAAAATGTTGTGGGAAATAACTTATTTAGGGTTACAGAGTTCACACGAAGCATGAATTCCAGGCATGCCCACTATACAGATTTACAGTCCCACGGCCAGGAGTGCATGATATACATTATGTCCGAGTGGCGATCTGTCATAGAACAAAATGTTTACACTACCAGAAGACGCCTACATTTTTCACATAGACGCATAACATTATATGCATATTTCAGTATAGAGATAACACAAACACTCATCCTGCTTATCATGTCTAAGCTAAACCGAGTTTATACTGTAAATGTTGGTTAAGTGTGTCTTACAGGGTTAACTTTAGTGCACTTTCTTGGATCTGTATTCGTGGCACCTTCTCCAGAAGTATCTCTCAGCCTGTATCTCTGATGCAACACTTCGGCCCTCATACAAGTGTTTAAGTGACGAAACCCAGCGCTTCTAATATTTTAATGGCATAATAATCCCCTAGAGGAGCTGTGAGAGGGCTTACAGTTCACCCTCAAGGATTTAGGTATTTTAAAAAACCTCAGAGTCCTGTGAGGCATGGCTTAAAGATGTTTGGAATTAGTCTTGGATTATTATCACGTTATACTGCAAATCACCTCTGACATGGATAGGTGAAACTGAATATTTGTGGTTTTATACGAGTGACCGCGAGCTTCTGTATGATTTGTATTTACAGTCCACAGATTTGGCTTTAACCCCTTAAAAACTAAAGTAAACATTCAAATAACTGGATTCTGTTTCGTTTTATTTTTGTGTTTGTTTTGGTTTCTCCATATGTTGGCAGATGTGCTACCAACTACCTATATTTCACACCCGTTTCCAAGGAAAAACACACTTATTTTGAAGGTCTCATGAAATTTCTGCCCTTGAGTCTACCGCTGGTTTCCATTACAGTTAAACATTATCACTAAATCTCCCAAACTAGCATTGACAGAAAATTCAGTGTGTTAAAAACTGTCTGATAAATTAAAAAACAGCAGCCTCCCCTTTTTAAAATACCTTTCTAAGCCTTTAACAACTCACTTTTACCACCGTATTAATCTCTAGTTTTTATGATGAACTCGTCAACTTATGTTCCAACACAAGCTCTGGCCTTAAAGTCTCGTCTGAGCCGTGTTTCCTTTTCCTAAAGTTGAAATTGATTCCCCTTACATAATGCTATATTTACAGCAGCCTTGGCAGGACACACAGACATGGCTCTTTATTTAGTTGGCATGAAATCAGAACAGAGATGCTTGGCTTTTTGACAGGCCTGCGACCTCCCTGAACAGACTGACCCATCGCTATCCCCACTGTCCTCATGACAACTCATTAAAACTCGGCTCATTCATACGAACTCAACAGCTGCCTTTGACCAGCGGCATTCATTTTCTTTTGTGTCAGAACAGAGGAGTGGATATTCAGCGACTGAATATCCTTCTTGTTAGAGTTTTAACTTTCATCCTCATTTTCTGCGCAAGACCTTTGCCTATCACAAGTCAAGTTTTCATATTTTTCTTTCAGCACCAAAGTAACGTTAATCTCCTTTTTTTGCCTTTCTTCCCAGCTGGCTTATGCAGAGATGGACAGTAGAGCTTAAAACCCCCTGTCCCCTTTGACCCCCTGCCTTCTATTCACTTTGTTTGTCATTCAGCATCAGATGGTAATGGATAGCTGTAGTAACTCTATGGAGTCTGTGTTCCCTGCCAGACAATGTCTTCAGGGACTCAGGCGGAGGCTAATGTTGTGGTGTCTGACTCCAGATTATGTCCATTGACAGGCAAGGACCACCGTGACACCAGGAAGAGAATTAGCCATCGATATCTTGCTGGGGGGTCAGGTGACACAGGACGCCCATTATAGATACATGGGAAGATGTAGCTGCAAAGCAAGGAGCTGTATGCAAGGAGTCCATGCAGCTTGACTCATACTGAGAGTTTAGTATTTGCTCATGAATTAAAAAATCATGTTTTCTTTCACAGTGTATCAGATCTAAACACTTTGTAAAAATATATACAGCAGAGCCAGAGAGAAGGGCCATATTTAAAGCTCCTATAGGGAGTTTTTTTATGTTTATGATATAGGCTGAAATTCACACAGATGCTCGTTTATGTCATTCAAAATCAAACAAGATCATCAACAACAAAATGACGATTATAATATTTTAATGTTTAATCCAGTCTAAGTCGTGGGTGTCAGCCAAGCAGCTAAAAGGACAGCCCTGTTTGTTTGTTTTTCACAATTTTAACATAAAACACTCACAATAATTGAAACATCTGACTGTCAAAAGTCAGGGGGATGAGAATTTTTGCCGTAAGACACTATTCAGAGGAAAAAATAAGCAAAGACTACTTTGTCCACAGGGGGCGCCAAAGTTGGCACAACAAAAACATATTTGTCAACACAATAGAACAGCTAAAATCAGCATTCAGCCACTTCCCAGTCAAAATTTATGTCTAAAATTCACATATGATGGCAAAGAAGAAACATACTATCCATAATTTTAACTGTATCAAACAGGAAGTCATAAAAAACGACAAAAATAAAAGCATGACAATCAATTATTAAATGATGCAATGCACTCTCCGATGAAGTTATGGTGCAACAGTGCTGTTGAAAAATCACGAATTTGAATACTGCTACAAATAGATGCCGACATGTAAAGTAACTGCATACATAAGTTAAGTTTATGAATAAATATGTTGCCTCATTCTTGTCTTGGCTTTCCCTAATTTGGCAGATTGTGTTGTTTTATTTTGAAACTCTAACATAGAGATAGCCCTTATAAAAGAATAGTATTTGGGTTTATTTACAATCCCAGTATGAGGGTTATTATAAGTATCAGCTAATTGGTCATATGAAGCACCTTCAGCAGGATCAGTTTGACCACATCATGAGGCCGGGAACAGTTTGTGGTTTAATGTTGAATAGCACCAAAGTGTGAATGGGAGATCCCGTGTTTGCTTATGGGGTCATGCCCTGTGTTGGACCAGTGGCCTTTCTAAACCCAAGCCTTCACAGAGATTTGGCCATTGTTACCATTACAGTGCTCTAGAAAAGAGTGTGTGTTTGTGTGTGAGTGTGGGTGTGCGTGTGTGTGTGTGTGTGAATACTCCCCCAACCCCCTCTTCAAACACCTCACCTCCCTCCCCTCCTTCCCTTTCTCTTTCACACCCTCTCAGCTGTGCTCACTCACTCATTCTGAGCCGGGCCAAAAACTGGCAGAGCTGCTCTTCAGTCAGGAACTCCCGTCCCCAAGTTAACCCAGGCAGCCTGGACTCTGTAACCCACTCGGGGGGCTTCTGTTCTGGAGTGTGGAGGAGACATGGAGATGGTCCATCAGGGGATTCATAGTTTACCTCAGTATGGATTATCTGGTTTCGTATCCTCTCATCAAGGTAACAAATAAGTGCTTTATTTGACTAATTTCAGCTCTTTTTTCGCTCTCCTCTCCACTGCGTTACAGGAGAGATGTTTGTCTGGGCACTTAGTCTTAACTTCAGACTTCTTTGTTGTAACAGCTGCACTTAGCAGAGGGATTAGATCATCTGGTGGGTATGTTACTCATGAATGAAAGGCTGTAAATAAGGTTGCTGTCATTCAGAAGATGAGAAAAGAAAAGGTTTTTTTTTCCCACTTGTAATCCTTGTCAAAGTTGTGCAGTGTGTATGAATGAAAACATCTTGCATGGTATTGTGTTTTCATGGCTCGCAGAGTGACTTCCTGTTCTGTCTGAGGTATTTATGATGTGTGGACTTCTGAGAAGACTATCATTAGGCACAATATTGAATCTCAACCTGCCCCTGCTTGCATGCAAACAAGAAAACTCAAGCAGACGAGACAAGAGACACCAATGTGTTCATTTAATCCCCCACTGTACACAAACACACACACATTCACACACACACACACACACACACACACACACACACACACACACACACACACACACACACACACACACACACACACACACACACACACACACACACACTGGGAGAATTATGACACATATTTTTGTCATTTAAAGCCAAACAAGGTGGTTACAGTGTCTGCATTGTTTTCTGGGCCAGCAGCAGCTGCTTCCTCCACTTGGCAGGCAGCTCATTCAAAGTCTGGAAGAACTTAACATTTTCTCAACACGTCTCACGGTAAATGTATTTCACTGCTGAGCCTTCTGGATAGTTTTTGGGTCGTTTTTCACACTCTATCCTCCACGTCTTTCTGAGAGCAGACTCCCTAGATTAGAACTTTTCTTCACACAAGATTCTTGCACCGAGGTGAACTTGAGGTTTTTAGTTATTCTTGACAATGCTGCAGCTACTGCTCTGAAATAAGGGCACATCATCTTCTTCAAGCTTTAGTTGTTTGCTCAGAACCATGTCTCGGGGGTCTTTTAAAATGACTTCAATCAAGAAACAAAAGGCTTTAAAACATGTTGTTCAGCCAAAAGTTTGACTAAAAGACAGACAGTTTCAATTTTCTAATGTAAGAATACCACCAAGAGACTGTTAGCTTAGTTAGAGGCGTGAGAAAACAGCTAGCAGGCTCTAAAGGCAAGAAAAGCCACATTAAAGCTCCAATGGGGAGTTTTAGGCTGGCTATAACAATATTCAAATATTCAAAATGATTGACACATTTGACTTTTTTAGGATAAGAATTATAGATATATATTTTAAATACCACTTCACCATGAACAGGATATGACTGGAAAGGTGATAAGATGTACAACTTTGCTCACCGGGGGCACCGTAATCAACACAAACAGAGAGTCTTTTATAGCAGCTTTAAAGCTCCTGTGAGGATTTTTTTTTGACATTTATGAAACTGACCAAAAGTCATTCTGATGTTTTTTTTTATGAAACACAAAACCAAAAATATCATAATTGACAAGATTGACCCTTTTCATCTGTTATTTTTACTGTTTGAAGCCTGGTGTGAGAGGGTAGGTGTCAGTGGAGCAGCTGAAGAAACAGACCTGTTTTTACATTTTCAATGGTAAATACACACAAAAATGAAATATTTGTTTGTTGAGAGTCAGCCGGGGGAAAATTTCTCAGAAAATATTACACTACACGAAAAGTAAAAAGATAGGAAAAGACCAATTGTCCACATGGGGCACCAAAACTGACATAGACCGAAGGTTCCCCACAGGAGCTTTAAGTAAGATAAAAAATAAGATTATGAGACTACATCCTGACATCAAAAGACTGCAGTTTTAAGAGATTCAGGCCAATTATTGAAAATAAAGTTGTGATTTTAAAAGAGTTAAAAAAAATTTGGCACATCAGCTGCACATTTTTATTAAACTTCCACTTAAGTCTATCCTCACATGATGGTCCATGTTTCCTTATTTTAGTGTAAGTCTGGCCGACTCCTCCTTTAATAATATATCTATATTAACCTAAGACTAAAATAACAACTTCATTTTTCACAATCAAAAATTTATTCTCAAAATAATCCAAAATTGTTCTCTTGAATTTTTTATCTTTTTTTATCTTTTTTTCCCTCAAAATATAATTTTTTTCTTTTCTACATTAACTCCCCCTCGTACTTTATGTCAACTCTAAATTCAGCCTGGACCACTTTACCTTATTATTTTCTTTAATTTATTGAAAGACAAATTAATTTTGTTGTTGGATAATGATTGGGTTTAAGTGGTTTTAGTCAATTTTTTGTCCATATAAAGTGATTTCCAATCATTTACCGCTTCGCTAAACTAGCTCTAATGTGGCTGAAGTTTATTAATAAAGAAGATTATTATAACAGCAGGAACTCATCTTCAGGAGAGAATTCAATTTTCAATTTTGTGGACAAGTGACAGTTCACTTGTCCACATTCATGTAACATATTGTAGAAATAGGTTTTTATGAATGCCCTGTAGAGTGTTAGCAGAAAACACAGAACAGTTATCCACACAGTATTTAGCTGAACATGTTTCATTTAATCTCCTTGTTGTAGAAAAGCTGCGCTCTTGTTTTACATGACTCACTGACAGCAGCACAGGGGCAGAGCGAAGTGCATCAGGGCTCCAGGTATTTGTGAGCAATTACAGCACAGTGGGATCCTTTGTTGTCTCCCACCTGTTTTGAACCATTAGTTAAAGACTAGTCTGCAGCTGGCCACTCATTACGGTCAGTGGTCCAAACTGGAATGAACAGGTGTTGGCTCAACCCAAACTAAGTCAGATCTGGATTATGACACGGACCGAGGGTGCTTTTAAATGACACAAAGAGGCGCACACAGCATTAGCGTTTGATGTATGAAGATCCAGAGGTGTGTTTACTGCTGCTTTGTGTTTAAAAATGTGAAACACTGGGTTCATTTGAGGAACTTATCTCCTTTGTTAAGTACTGCATGATAAGACTAACAGACGTCTGTATCCGAGTGCACATGCAGTATGACGAAAAGTTGAAGTTAGCATGAAATAAGTAATGTTAGAGCTTCAGTATCGACATAATTGTTGAATTACAGCTGAGAAGAGACACTGGACAGAATTTCCTCTCTTCCTGAACTTTCTCAGACGACCAAGACTCAAGGTGAAAAAGAAATCTCAATCTATTTGTCTATTTTCTATACAAGCTGTCCTCCGAAGGGAAGTCTGTATGCGACTGTAAAGCTGACGATTGTTCACAGCTGAGTGTCTAAAACCTTGCCGCAGAGTGCTGAAGCGTGGAGAATCAGGGGGATTGTGACAGCTGTCACGGTTGTCTCTTCAGGTACAGTTGTCCTAAAAGTGAAGATCCTCAACTCTCCCTGGCAGTGAGCTCCTGCTAGCTTTGGTCTCATTTAAGAGCTGATGGAGGAGTTTTTTTTTTTTTTGTCTTTTTTGGACACACATCACAGGCAGTCTGACAATCATGTAGTGGAGGAAAATACTTGCAGGCAGCTTAACTACAACCTGTAAAGAGTCTGTCAAAGGGGAGCCTTTATTGTTTATTTAGAGAATATACTCTCGAGATCAGAGGAGTTTTTTATCTGTCTGGAGCTGATCTTAAAATGACCACAGTCCTGATGGCTGGAAAAGTTACAGACCATGAATTAAAAAGCAAATATCTGTTGCCGACTGTAAAGTGGCTCCAGGTTTCTCTGCTTATCTGTGTACTCAGTGCTTGTCTAAACCTGGAGTCAAATCATTGATTGAATCCTGTGTGTCTAAGGTCAGGAGACAATGCTGAGTTACCTTTGAATGACGTGTGTTTCTGATTTGGCTCAAAGTTTTCAAGCACTAAAATCTTCTTGATTTTGCAACCGACTGAAGAAAAAAAAATCTCTTTTAACTTTAATCTTATAACGTTTAATGTCAAATATTGAAATAAGCCAGTATTCATGAATGATCAAAGCAATTTACAACACACATTATTCACGAAGCGATGACTCAATCACTGCAGCTGCTTGTCTGCTTTTTTAATAAACCCTTTGCCTCCCAGTCATGAGCACACGGCATTTTGCTGAAAGCTGAATGACACATCTCTGCCAGACAGGAAAAGTAAGCGGCTGGTTCTGAACACCATGAAAGACATTTTCTTTGTTCTCTGTTGCGGCTCTGGATGTTTTCTGGGCTCACATTGCAAGAATTACAGGCCAGTTTCATTACAAACTCTTCAACATATTTCAGATCCTGGTTGGTGCTAGGACTGTTCTGAAGCAGACCTAATCCGCTAACAGTTTCATCTCCATTGTCTCGATTAGAAGACAAACAAAATTGCACCGCGCGACGAAATCCCATCCGTCATCTGAGCTTGTTTCCATCTGGGTAGTGGAGCATCTGAAGCTGGATCTGAAGCCTTGGCTAGAGGTCTTGGAGTATAAAATATGAATTGATAGACTACCTGACAAGTAATTCTGTTTGGGAATTCTGTTATAAAGTTGTACATCTTGTCACCTTTCCCGTTATCTGGAAATTAGGGGCGTTTGCATCCACTTTGTTTTCAAACCTCTAGAAATCTCTAAAACTCACAAGTCTGTCACCATAAAATAAAAGAAATGTGATATTAAGACTGTAAAACCTGGATCACATCATCTTTAAAACAGGTAGAAGACCTATTTGTGGGAAAATCAAATCAAATATTTACTTTGCTTAGAAATCTCAGGAGCAGCTCTCTCACGGGGTCAGTTTTTCAAAGTTTTTGTCCAGGAAATACTTTGAGTCCTGAGTGAGTTTGACACATCACCCGTCCTCATAAACCATGAGGCCGGTTCAGCCACTGTGGAGGAAAGCCAAGCATCAACAGGAAATGGCAGGAGGAACAGGACTGTGTTGTAATAGCCGTGGTATGCTGTATAATCCTGTTGCACGTTTGTTTAACGGCTTCACAAGCGTTGTTTCCAACAGGAAATGCTGTCTTCCCATCCAAGCAGCGGAAAACACAGGCTGAACACTGAGGGCTGATTGATTTTAAATGTGGACAAAAGCCATCATGGGGACACCGGGGAATCTCAATTACTTTGCATGACAATCAGAGCAGACAATGCTGAGAGAATGTAACATGCCAAATTAGTCAAAATGTCCGACTGATGCCTCTGTGGAATACATCTATCAGATCCACTCCAGTCAAATCAAACTTAGACTGATTTCAGCAGAGTAATATGATGGCTGTAAATGTGTGTCATTCTCTGGGTGAAGCTGCTTTAAATTTTTATTCCAGTCCCAGGATAGTTTTTGAACAAGCCCACCATAGACGGGCTTTGTATTGTAAGTGATTTTTCAGAGAACACAAACAGGGGAGTGTCCAGGCTTCTCTTACAAAATGAATAGCATTGACCCTCTCTATCTTAAAGGGATATTCCATCGTAAAATCAAGTTAGGGTCAAACACACCGTAACACCGAATTAGACAACCCCTCGAGAGATGAATGTTGCCGACCACTTGCTTCTCGAGTTATACCAACTTTAGTAACGACCGCATGATAGCAATACACAGCGGTCTGAGGAGCCATAAACAAACCTCAACCACCACTCTGTAGCCACAAATAATGCTCAGAACAGCACCTAACTTCATCAACAGTACATATAGGGGCCCAGCCACAGAACTACCTACCAAACATCTTTTTAACTTTGCCTGATTTCCTTGGTAAAGAGACTTAACCCAACTCACCTACTCTCCACCAGCAGCCGCTTATTTGTAGCGAGACCTCGGGCCAGTCCATTATGGACTACAGCGGGGGGACGCAGCTCAAGGAAGAACATTTATGATCATTTCTTCATGGAAATGCAATCAGACCAAGACGCTAAGGCAGAAGAACTACCGTGTCTGCAGAGCAAAATGATTTATATGGTGATTATTACTTCAAGGAAATGATAAAGAACTGATCATAAATGTATATATTTAAGGGGAGGGGGTGCAGTTGTTTTTATACTCTCTGGGGGAGGCTCACAGCTTCAGACTTTGAAAACCCTTGCTTTATATATTATGTGCATTGTTTTATAGTCTTAAATGAAAAAAAAAATTGTATAAAATAAATTTTAAAATATCAACAAATACAGATTTAGCTATATGTGTATCAATCCACAGCTGAAAATAGTTTACAATAATAAAAACATTGTACTCCATAACCTGCAAAATGTTCTGAGTAATATTTAAAAAAATCTATTCTGTGGACCTTTTTTTTTTAAGGTATTATACTCCTTTACAGTGGCTGAGAACCCTTACTGCTGCAAATAAAAAAAATAATTTGTATTTGCATCCTTTTATTTTCCCGGAATTTTTTTTTTTTTTTTTTTTTTTTTTTGCATTGCCACATTTTTTTTTTTTCATGAACTTCTGTTGTGGCTTTGCACTGCCTCTTTTTTTTATATATATATATATATATATTTTTTTGCAGCAGGCTTTGGTTTCTTTTTCTTTTCATCAGTAACCTCCATTGTGCCTTCTTCTTCTTTTTTTCTTCTTCTTTTTTTTTTTGCATTCTTTTTTATTTGCAGCAGTGGTGGTTCTCGGCCACCATACTCTTTCACTAAAAAAACAGGCCCACAAATACTTTTACTAAAAACAGGTCCATAAAATAGAGATTTACCGGGTTGGACTTTCTGTCTGGCCAGGGGTTGACTTGACTCAAAATGTTGGCACGCCCCTGGTCGCCACCGTGTTACACGGTCTGTCTCTCACAGTGGACACATCGACACTCTTCCTCTCCTCCTCCTCTCCTCCCTCTCTCTGAATTGAACCTGTTATCATAGAAACATGCGTTAGGAGTTTACCTCCACGGTATTAATCACCTGTTCAACAGACGGAATATCTCGGAGCGGCGGAGCTTAAACACCGGCTGCAGGACTGATCACATGTGCGAATGTAAGTGAGCTGCATTCACCGGCGGCGTTCCGGTTTGTTCACAAATTGAATGTCTGTTGGGGGAGCGAAAAGATTGATTTACATTGAAGATGTTGATTCCTGCACAGGAGGAGTCAGCTCAAGCTTTCTCCTCGTTTATTTTTCTTCTGTAATGACTTAAACGCTGAAAGATAAACATTAGTGTACTCGTCTGTCTTAGTTTTACGCTGCTTAAGCACTAGTGTTGTTCTGCATGTTCAAGGCTAACGATGGGGGTGTGATTGTTAATCAATGTTGCATACTCCATGTGAAGTGTAATTAATGGGAGCTCAGGGGGGAAGTCAATAGCGGGTAGTGACTAATCACTGGATCTGAAGCAGAAAGCACTAGCCTGAGATTAAAAAGAAGAGCTTACTTCCTGGAGACAATCCCAACATGTGTTAAATTCTTAATGCCACTTGACGTTGGATTTGTTCTCTGCCATCAAATAAGCATCATCCGTGGGTTACTCAAGACTCAGAGTGGATGAGGGAGGGTAGAAGTCATTTTACAAGCTGACAAAATCCGCAATATTCTGCAACAACCTGTGGCTTTTGATAATGTCTGAAGCTCTGTTTTAACATAAAATACAAATTCCTCTCTGGCTGTATTAAAGAACTCACTGATTGACATTTGATCTGGACAGAGATTTAGCTGTGTAGATAACATGAATTAATATACATTGAATTTATTGTCTACACAAATACAGTTGGAAAGTTGTTTTATTTCTTTTACTGTATATTGGCTTAACCATTAACCAACATATACTGCATATAAAATGGACGCCGTCTGCCTCCTCGCTGGGTAAAGCCACTCCGAGAACAGCACCCTCTGGTGACTGGCTGCAGTATAGGTCATATATCCTGCCTCCGCCAGCAAAGCTTATGGAGCTGTGGACAAATTTAAGAAATTAATTACACAGAACATACATTTTTCTCCATGCTGGCTGCTTGCAATGTTGACTTATTGTAAGACTGGTTTGTGCTCAAGTCCTTTTTTTATGAACAGCTCCATTTTTTAAAGTTATTAGGGGGTTCATGTTTTCTATGATTGACACTTGAAACAGCCTATGGGCGTACGAAGATTGCATCGCTCACCCGGGGGATATGCTGTTTGAGCCAAGCATCATCACTCGGCGGCTCTCTCACCAAATGCGTACAATGCTAATGCACAAGTGGTGGACTGCGTACAATGCTGCTGCGCACGGTTGGTTTCAGGAAATAGAGAAAAAACGCGTAATTACCAAAAGTTTTTTGGCTTTAAATACTTATACTGAAAGAAGACGGAACTAAGTTGTCCATAGTATATACAGTCTATGTAATGGAAGTACAAAGATTTAAATTAGGTACAAGGAAATTAATCGGGTTAACTAAGGGATTCATTGATTTGTCATTCAGTTTGTATAACTTCAATTGTTATACTCAAAGTAATGGTGACAGTGTTACGAGTCACAACTTTTCAATCTCAAATAGCAGCATGGTTGAGGAACTTATTGCAGATCAAAATCACACAAAATCACCTCCTTCTGATTCATGTGTTCATGCCTACATGTTTTAATGTACAGTCAACAAGTAGTACAAATAAAGGTATTATGAGAGAAGCACAGCATCTTTATTTGATGCCATAATGGATCCTGGAGCTCTAATAATGCCTGAAATAATCTCTTCTGTAGTGACTCTACCCCTGAACCCAGACCCCTGTTTAACCAGTCTGTGTTTGCACAGGGAGCCCATAAACATTGTGGACATGTAGTGTTTGCCCTGTGTGGCATACTCAGGGCAAACACTGGCATCTGCTGCCCGCTAATGAGATCTCATTAAGACTGACTGGAAGCATCCATCTCACTGTCAGAGTCTGGCTCCAAATACACCAGACCTCTCCAGGGACCACAGAAGTTAGTTTGAACCAATGGTTTACTTCGTTGGATTTATCATCCAAGATGCTGATTAGGGCTGTCGGACAATGAAGTTTTAAAATCAGAATGAATTGCTGAGGATAGTTAATTAATCACCACTAATCACATTTATGATTGACAACTTTTATTTTGCATTGTACTTCACATCCATATTAACAATTGAATAGTGATTCTTACTAGTGTCTTGTTTTGGGAATCAAGTGAATGCAATAAAAATGTATTGATCTTAACCTTAAAGGGATAAAATTACTTTAGGGTCAAACACACGGTAACACCGAGTTAGACACACAACTCTACAACAACCTACTCTCTTCCAGCAGCCGCTTGTTTGTACGGAGACCTCAGGGCGAGTCCATCGACTGGAGCGGGGGGACCCAGCTCAAGGAAGCACATTTATGATCATTAATTTATCATGTCCTTGAAGTAATAATCACCATATTAATCATTTTGCACTGCAGACGCGGTAGTTCTCCTGCTTTAGCGTCTCGGTTTGACTGCATTTCCGTGAAGAAATGATCATAAATGTTCTTCCTTGAGCTGCGTCACCCCGCAGCAGTCAGTAATGGACTGGCCTGAGGTCTCGCTACAAACAGGTGGCTGCTGGAAGAGAGTAGGTGAGTTGTGTTTAGTCTCTTTGCTAAAGAAATCAGGCAAAGTTAAAAAGATGTTTGGTGGCTAGTGCTGTGGCTGGGACCCTATATGTCCTGTTGATGAAGTTAGGTGCTGTTCTGAGCATTATTTGTGCCTATAGAGTGGCGTTTCGGTTGAGGTTTGTTTATGGCTCCTTAGACCGCTATTGGTATCGTGCAGTCGTTACTAAAGTTGGTATAACTAGAGAAGCAAGCAGTCAGCAACATTCATCTTTTGACAGGGTGTCTAACTTGGTGTTACGGTGTGTTTGACCCTTAATTAATTTTACGCCGGAATATCCCTTTAAAATGGCGACTCACCCAACTGGGTCATAACTGGGGCACTGACACATACAGGCAGGGTTTCCACCTCTTGTCACACCCCTGATTACAATTAGCTGGATGAAAAAATAAACAGAATTAGTTAAACCTGACTTCAGCATGTTAGCCTGATTTATTGAAGCCACATTTAATGAACAGGCTCAAGAAAAACACACGCATTACTCTATTTTGTAAAAGGAGGTGCAGACTTAATTTTGGGGGTGTATCTGATTTAATTGATTTAATTAGGAAAACTAAACTGAGAATGATTCAGTTTTAGCCCTGTGCTGATAAACCTGTGCTGAACCCTGAAACTTTGGTTTTTATTTCTTCATTACGACTCCATTACAGTAAACCTGATCATCCAGCTTGTCTGTCATGTCGTGCTGTGGCAGTCTATAAATATTTCCCGCATGCGATGCGCAGATCTCATCCTGTGCCACAATCAATGGAGCAGCATCCCTGGTGGTCAGCCTCATGAATAATTCAATGTTTGTGCGACACACCATTTGTCTCCTAATGGTTCATCTCCTCCCACAAAACACCAGGTGCATCCCTGTGAAATGCTAAAAAACAAAAAGAGTAAATTAATGAATCGTTTGTTTCATCTTAATGAAGCAAAAGCGGAGCGGTGGAAACGGTTCTGTTGTCATAGTGACGGCTGCGACGACCAGATTGGTGATGTGAAACGGGTCCAGGCCCTCAGCTTCAATCTGTGCGGTGTCACATGATAGCAGGGAGTTGATGGCCAGATCTGTCAGGACTGTTGAGCCTGTCTCAGAGTGAACATATTCTACCGAGGAAACATTTCTTTGAATTTCTCACTGCATGAACTAAAAAGGTAATGTGTGTCCAAAAATGTGCCACCTTTTTAGAGCGTTGCTGTCAGATTCAGCTGTTAGAAGGGGAATATTTCTCTCTTTTCACCTTGAATCTGGTTTTGATACATTTCTGTGACATCATAGCCTTTTTGAGCCAATCGGAGTCCAGTATTGAACTCCTCCTGAGCATAAACACTGAGAATACTTTATAAAAGCAGAAGAAATCTTGTGTCTTTTTTTTTGCTGGAAGAATATTTGCATATCTGAAGATTTCTGAGTCTCTGATGAGGCACAAAGAGATAATCCGAGTTTAAGAAATTATGTCAAGGTGAGGGAAACTTTTGCGTTAAAACCCCCAAAATATCCCAAACATGTGAAAAAGATTTCTGGAGGGGATGTTTAACCTCTGACTTCTGTCTTCAAAGATAAAACTTGACTGTATCTGAAAAATATCAGATTCAAGCAGTGCTCTAAGCTCCCCTGCCTGCTGTGTCAAGTTTCTTATTTTTTTTTACTAATTACTCGTGTTTTTGTGTCTTGTGTTTGATCAGGGGGAGACAGAGAGCGGATGACAGCCAACCATGAGACCTACCTGCTCATGGCCAGCACCCAGAATGACATGGAGGATTGGGTGAAGACGATCCGCAGGGTCATATGGGCTCCTTTTGGTGGAGGTCAGTACACAAACATGGTTTCTACCTGTTGATTTTTGGGAAAGGGAAATGTCCATGTTGTGAGGCCCTGACTTTATCAATGCTTCTTAACATCTTCAAATAATAATGTTCTCAAAACGGGTGTTAAACCAAGAACTGAAAGTCCTGAAATTAGCTCCTACAGTCAAACTCTGAGTCTGTTTCTGCTGGGTCCAGCCGTCTGACTCCCCTGCGGAGAAGTAAAGACACGGTGACTCACACAACCTTTTAGTTGTGGACACCAAAAGTAAACACTCTGCTGCACACCTGTCCCATTAATGGCACATTTGTGTGGCAGCAGTGTTAATAAGCACAAGTGCTGCTGCTGCTGATGGAAGGATGCATTAACTCAACATGAATGTCCGTCTGCCTCACGCTCCATGCTGTTGTCTCTGCTGGGCAGCACTTAGCGTGGATGTTTACTTTTTACAGTCATGTAGACGGTGCGTGAACAGTCGCTTCATTTTATTTTGTTCTGAATCTCACAGTCATACTCTCTCTTTGGAGATCATAAAAGTTCCTCTTTCTTTCTTTTCTTTCTTTCATACTTCCAGCAACTTGCTGCCTATGTTTGTTAATTAGCTCAGCAACCAGCCTTCAGATGAGCTACCGCCACCTTCTGGTGGTGTTAACGCGCTACAATCAGGCAGTTGCAAAAACAGTGGAAATTTTCTTGTCATTAGATTCAGATTCAGACTTTATTGTCATTATACACCAAGTTACAATGAAATTAGTTTTGGATGCAATAAATGTAAGAACAATAAATATAAAAACAATAAATGTAAAAGCACACAGTATAAAAACAATATAATACGGCCTACTAAAAGAACTTTAAATAATGAAATATACCGTTCTAAAAAGAAACTTAGCCTTCCTCTCATCCACACATCATTCATGTATTTCACATTTTGTTGTTTAACAGCCTGGTGGCCCAGGGGTAAAAAGTGTTCCTGAGTCTATTTGTGCGGTGCCTTCAGACTCTGTATCTCTTTCCGGAGGAGAGTCTGCATCAGACATTACAGTTGCACGAACCCTTCATTTAATTAAATAATGCCTGTTCCAATATTCAAACATCACAACCCATCTGTAATTTGTGCAGAGTGATAGTATAAACTCTTAAATCCCCAAGAGAGAGGACTAGATTTAGGAGTAATCCTCCTCCACAACACCACATTCTTCGCTGTCATGTCACCGAACTATACATTTAATGCTATTCTCTTACATGTAATCCCACTAAAATGATTTTCTGAAATAGTCAACTCAATTTGTCACACTATATTTTTCCATAATTAATATTAGATTTTATGCATTATTTAAAAAAAAGCGTGATTTTAGGGATGTTAGCAAAGTAAAAGCAGAAGTTTACCTCTAATTTTCCTTCTCCGCATCATGTTGTCCTGCTACAAACCTGTTTGACTTAGCAATGACTCAACCGTAAACAAACAGCTTAAAGAGATATTCTGGCATAAAATAAAGTTAGGGTCAAACACAATGTAACACCAAATTACACACCACCTCAAGAGATGAATGTTGCTGACCGCTTGCTCTTCTAGTTATATCAACTTTAGTAACGACTGCAGGATAGCAATACACAGCGGTCTGAGGAGCCATAAACAAACCTCAACCAAAACACCACTCTATAGCCACAAATAATGCTCAGAACAGAACCTAACTTCATTAACAGTACATAAAGGGTACTGTTATTAGCTTTGATATTAATCATTTTGCACTGCAGACGCGGTTGTTTTACTGCCTTAGCGTCTCGGTCTGATTGCATTTCCATGAAGAAATGATCATAAATGTTCTTCCTTGAGCTGCGTCATCCCGCAGCAGTCCAAAATGGACTGGCCTGAGGTCTCGCTACAAACAAGTGGCTGCTGGAAGAGAGTAGGTGAGTTGTGTTTAGTCTCTTTGCTAAAGAAATCAAGCAAAGCTATAAGGATGTTTGGTGGCTAGTGCTGTGGCTGTGACCCTATATGTACTGTTGATGAAGTTAGGTGCTGTTCTGAGCATTATTTGTGGCTATAGAGTGGCGTTTAGTTGAGCGCGTAGCTCTCTGTATTGCTATCGTGCGGTCGTTACTGAAGTTGGTATAACTAGAGAAGTAAGCAGTCGGCAACATTCATCTCTCGACAGGGTGTCTAACTCGGTGTTACGGTGTGCTTGACCCTAAATAATTTTTACACCGAAATATCGCTTTAAGTCACATGGTGGGAGAGGGAAAGGACAGTTTTTAAAAATGTACATGCATCATATAAGTAGAAATGCCCATCTGAAGTGCATGTTCTTGTTCTTGTATAGTTGATCCTCACTTTGTTGGGATCATTGTGCTTATTACCGAGTCTCCTGCTGAGCCTCTGTTGCCTGTTGTTGACTTTACTGGCAGACATTGGCCTACATTCTGTGTTAGCGAGGCAACAAGTGCAGCGTTTATAACCAGACAGGCCATTCAGGCAGTGCTCAGTGTCACAGTGAATGGATGAGGCTGAGCTGGCCCCCTCTGTTTTCAGTGCAGAGAGTTTGATGTCTATTGCAGCTGACTGCTCTTCAAAAGGACGAGCCATTTGTCAAAGATGCCACAAGAAAGGTGGCTCCGTGTTGGAGCCGAGCCGGGCTTTCTCTGTCTATCAAACGCACACATGCACACATATTCCAGGCTTTCACAATTTGCAGTAGCAGCAAAGATTAACTGAGCAATGATTGGCCCTAGAGTTTGTTAAAAAAAAAAACTTCCATTCAGAGAGTGACAGACGGACAGAGAGCTCAAAACACCATCCCCGGTGTTTGACCCGCAGAAGGGCTCGCAGCCTCGGATGATTTGCTGTCACGTTGTGCTGAACACTCGCTATGATGTTGAATTAATTACTGGGCAGCTTGAACAAACAGTTGGACAAGAGAGCGCTCAAAGCCAGACCTTTGTGAAATGTGTAGCTGTGGATTCTCCATCTGGATCTTTGGAGATTTATTTCATGGTAATTACCGACTTTTCATTTGTTTCGGAGCGAGCTGGCATTTAAAAATGGAATTTGGCAACTTTTGTTACTCTGGAATTCATGTAGAAAACTAAAAACAAGTATTTTACTTTCCTTTTCTGGATGTTTTTTGGGATACAAAGATATTTTCTTCTTCGATTTTATAAGCTGTTTTTTTGCTTGATGGTTTTTGTGCTCTTATTGGTTTGCTAAGATAATAGTTTGCACGTGTCAGTTAAGCCCAGCAGAGACAGGTTCTTCTGTGGGTTCTGATGTGTCGTCCTTGTCAGTCTGACTTCAGCAGAATATGACAGCCAACATTTTCATCTAGTCAGGACTCAGCATAGCGTGATACATCTGCTAATAGTATGTTCAAATGTGACATTTCCCTGCCCTCTAGTTCTAGATTAGAGTTCTCTGCAGACAGACAGAAAGAGACAAAAGAGGAGCTTAAAAAAGACTGAAAGTGTGTCAGAGTTTGTTAGGCAGGATTTGGGTTGTTGCTTCAGGTCCATCAGATCTCAGAGTTTCTACCTGCTGTTTGTATTCTGCCTCTGAGCTCCAGCAGTCTGCAGGAATCTAACCCGGGATGAACCGATATGAGACTTTTCATTATTTATCACTTTGTATTTGTTTAATTCCAACTGAGGTGGGAAACAGTCCTTGCAGTCCTCCAGGTGCCTGGTCTGAAATGATCCAAAATGAATGAAAAAACTACAAGACTTCATGGATATCTTCGGCTAATAAAGTGGATTTGAGCTTGAATGAAAATTGACCTGATTTATATGGGATTGGCTTTGTTCTGTTCTGTTATATTAACATGTCATGCTGCAGACAGTCCCATGTTTGGGTGGGCAACTAATCAAAAACTAACAGACACAGATGCGATTTTGCACATTTTGGTTATTTTTAAAATTCTCTTACTGTATCAACCTGAACATACAAAAAAGACGATGGCCATCCAAGTATTATCATGAACCAAATTTACAGTTTTTGTTTTTGTTTTCAAAATCTGACGTCAAAGAGTCAGACAATCTCTCGTCACTCTGTGTCCGTTTGTCTCTTAACCAAATCTCTTGCTTTGTGAGAGTGAGAGACAGTTCCTACAGACAAGTCTGAAACTTAATGTCACTATCAGTCCCAAAAATCTGCTGCCGAACCGTGTTGTGGCAAGAATTAAAAGAAATGAAAGTCGTTACTGTAAATTCATTAAGCATTTTTATAGCTTCTTTGGGGAACTTTTGGTTTAGGTTAATTATGGCGCCCCCTTGTGGGTAGGGTAATATCTTTCGTCTATTTGCTGATCTAGAAGTCAGTGATTTTTTTAAACAGTTCCTATGTTACAAAGAAATTTTGTTGTATACAAATCATTTAAATCCTACTTCAGTGCAAAGACAACGTATCAAATCATGAAACTGAAAAAGGTTTTGGAAATAATGAGTGAATAACGTGTTTTTTTTTTCAATATTTTGTTGTCCTTTTTCCAACTTTTTTGATTGAACTTGTTGCTGGCATTGATTTTAAAATGAGCACAAACTTTTCATAGAACAACATTTTTCATTCTCAGTGATCATATGTCGGCTTTGCAGGATGATTTTTTTTAAACATATCTTGACGTTTCGTGAACATTTTACACAGTTCAGAAACTATTGTGGAGTTGGAGTTGAAACCATAACCATGAATCAATACCCAGGTTAGTTAATGTCATCATGTGATGGGTTATAACACCACAGAAGAAGAACCAAGGTTGAGGGACAGAAGATGAGTCTGGACCGCTCTGTCCTTGTGTGTCTGCTTGTGTGTGTACATACGCAGAGTGTGTGTGTAGCATTCAAGCTTCATCACACAGAAACTGAAAGTGTTGAATGAACCTGCCGCGCTCTTGCAGATAACTCCTTTCTTATTTGTCCCTGAAGTCTTTCTGTTCTGGTATCAGTCGATCCAGTGAAAACAGGAAATATACATAAACCGTAAACACACACACACACGCATCATAAGCTGGTCCACGCACACACACACGTACATGTGACCTGGGAAAACATTCCTAGACTCATGACCAGAACGTCTGGAGGGATGACCTGGTTTCCACTTTCCCTCGTTCGTTCTTTGATGATCTCTTCGATCTGTGAGGATATTCATCATTTTACCGCCTGCTGCAGCTCCACTTATCTGTGTTTCTGGATGGATACAAGGCGTCATATATTTTTGGGAACTTTGTGAGACTTCACTGTTTTGTCTTGTTTGAGTAGCTGTGAGGAGGTGGAAAAATCCCTGAGGCGGCTGACACGGATGAGAAAGAGAAGAACACAAGAGTCTGGTGTTAACGTCTGAGTGAGCAGACAATAAAGAGTGACTGTAAGATATCGTTCACTGAGATGGAAAGAAAGACAGTATGACTGACCTGCTGTCAAACTGAGCGTCTCTTACTTCTGCTTTGCTTTGCTTTGGATCAATTCTTTTGTTGCTGTTTGTCTAATTTTTTGCCTTCTGTTCCAACACCAAAAACAAAGGCTGGCTTTTGGAAAATGATAAAATGCAGGCACTTAAAATTGTGCACTTCTGGTGTGTTATCGTATCATAAGTTCATCAATAGGCTTTTTTTCCGGAAGCTCACGGGCTGTATTAGTTTCAAGAGCGGTAAGTATGACAAAGAACCATCATTGTATTAGCTTTCAAACTTATTTGTGTAGTTTGTACAATATACAGTGTTTAATATCTGTTAGTGATTCTTACCAATTTGTGGTTTTCTATTAACATGTGGATTGTTATTTATTTGGATTTACCTATAGACATCATATTAAATCGCACCATATCCCATCACATCATATATCGAATCGAATCTTATTATACCCTATTGTATCATATAGCACCATATCCTATCATACCGTACTGTGTCGCACTGTATCATATTGCATGGTATGGTATTATCTATTATCTATATTACATCTCGAAACATTGTATTGTATCGTATCACATCACCATACTATACTGTATCACCTCACCTCTTTTCGTATTATATTGTATCGTATAACATAATGTCCCATCGTAAAGCATTGTATTCTATTGCATCATATCGTATTGTATCAGATCATACAGTATCATATGGTGTGTTGTTGTATCATATTGTTCAATGTCGTTTTGTATCTCATCATTCGACTATATCGCCTCATCCCATCATATCGCATTTTGAGACAACTTTACCGAAAGGAAATCGGTAACACTTTACTTGATGCCTATCTCTACAACCCATCATAAATATATGTGTAATGCATTTTAATCACATTATAGCACTGTATAACTATAGTTATAAACACTCATAAATGATCATAATGCTTTATAGCAAAAAAAAAATTATCATGACTTAAATGTCAGGTATTATAATGTTATAACTGTGAACAACTCACTGACAATGCCCACATAGATAATGCACTAAACATATATTTATGATGTGTTATAATTTGCTTATAGACTTGTTCAACTATCATTATAAACACTCATTAATTATCATAAGGCTTTATAACAATAAGCATAACACAATATAATACCTGACCTTGTAAGTCATGATAAAATGCTTTATAATGTGTTGTGATTATTGCTATAAAGCATTATGATCATTTATGAGTGTTTATAACTATAGTTATTCAGTGCTATAACACGTTTATAACACATTATACATATATTAATAATGTGGTATAGAGATAGGCGTCAAGTAAAGTGTTACCGGAAAATCATATCACACATCATATAATCTACTGTCTTTTCATAACTTACCTAAGATTACCCACTTTCTGTGTACTACAAAAGAAGTACTTTGAGTAGCAGGGAGCACAAGCAGAGCTCACTCTAACTCAGTCTCTGCTTTACCTCATTGAACCTCATGTACTCATGTGTGAATAGCCCCTGTCTGTATCTGGAGACTGGAAAAGTATGCAGATCCAAATCTCCCAGGAAGGCTTTCCTAATCCTCTCTTGTTGCATCCACATGAAAAAGCTACAAATGGAAATTGGTCTTGTGTGTTTTTTTTTTCCCCCATGGCTACTGCTCTGACAAAAGGCGAGAGGTGCACAGCAGGAAGTCACAGATTTGATCACCAGACTTTAAGCTTTATGGGTGAACATATTTCTGCTGTGAAGTGTCTGGCCGGCCTTATCAAAAAGAGTTTTTTCTTTTCTTATCGATTAACAGATCTCTTTGATGTGCCTTAAGCTGCGAATGTGAGGCTGCAGATTTTTTTCCAAATTCATTTGATGATGCTCTTTCACTTACAGGGAGAAAGTTAAGTAGCGCAGGATATTAAAAAGTATGAATATTTCAAATGATGAAACATAATTTGTCATTTTATGATAATACTCTAAATAATTCAGCTGTGAAAAATGACGTTTATCTTACATATCGGTGGTAAAATCATTGTTTATTCATGGAGACATTGCTCAGAGCTTCTTTTGCATATTAAAATGACTGACTGCACTCATCGAACCCTGTGGTTCACAAACTTTTGTCTTATGATGAAAGATTTGGGTCTCTTTCCTTTCAAAATAAAAGCTTAGTTATTATGAAAAGTATAGAGTCAAGGTTGAATCAGCCAGTTCTTATTTCATGCAGCTTTCTGGTCCTTTTTTGATTTATTTCAGGGATCTTTGGTCAGAAGTTGGAGGAAACGGTTCGGTATGAACGCAGGTTTGGGAACAAACTGGCCCCCATGCTGGTGGAGCAGTGTGTGGATTTCATCCGGCAGTGGGGCCTCAGGGAGGAAGGACTATTCAGGCTGCCCGGACAGGCCAACCTGGTGAAAGAGCTGCAGGACGCCTTTGACTGTGGAGAGAAACCTTCTTTTGATTGGTAAGGAAACTTCCCTCTGCTTAGATTTTTGTGTAAAGCTGTTACAGACCTCTGGATCCACAGGGGTAAACCAGAATAAGATTTGGATTTTTGTTGATGTCGCACTCAAATAGAAAGAATCATGTTTGTTAGCAGAGAGGTATCCCTTATTGAGTGCAAAAAAGGCAGAGGGCATTTGAAGAAAATTTGAGTCGGACGTATTTGGCTCAGAATTCTCTCTTTTAAAGTGAGTCGACTAAAACTTCCACCTCATCCACATCCAGATATTGAGGCTGTAAAGGTTTGATGAGTTTGTCACCAAGAGGCAGAAAATTCAAACGCCGAACATCTTCACTCAGTGACAAAGAAAATGACTCTCCAATTTCTCCTCAAACTAGAAAGAAAATTGAGGTCTCAGCAATACTGTGTGGCGTGTGGGTGGCCGCACTGCGAGACTAAAGGGCTGTTTTTTAATGTGACAACCTTCATCTATAATTCAGGGTGACAGACAAATGCATGAGTGATGGAACAAACCACCTCCACATCTCCTCTTCTGTGATTGTCCTCCTCTTTTCACTCCACCCACCACTGTTGCCACCACCTAGTCTAATAAGCATAGATAAAATCCAGACAGGACTGTCAGGTTTTAGGCTGTACATCGACGTTTAACCACTTCCTATAAACATAAAGATGCTAAGTCAGGGTCAGGAGTGTTCTCAGTATGTAACCTGCACATGGACTCATCACTCCCCTCTTATTTCTACTCTAATGCAACCTCTTTCTCTGCCTCTACCTCCATCCAGGTTTTTGTTTCCCTCTGCAACCTCATGATACCAGAATTATGCTTCCCAGTCCTGGTGCTGCAGGAGCATTCATGATTTGTGTTTTTCTCCATGCCCTGCATCAAAAATTAATCACTGCTCCACCTTTGTGCGTATTTGCTTCCTCTGCAGTAACACAGACGTGCACACAGTAGCCTCTCTCCTGAAGCTGTATCTCAGAGAGCTACCCGAGCCTGTCATCCCCTTCCATAAGTACGATGACTTTCTGGCCTGTGCCAAACTTCTCAGCAAGGATGATGAAATGGTAAGAAAGAGCGCTTGATTAGTTTCTTTGTACCTGCATCCAGCGTTGGCTTGGCTTTCTAAGTTATAATACCAACAGAAGTCAGCACTGAAAAGCTGAGAGTCTTTCTTTCTCTGAGACATTTGCCCTGCTCTCTTGCTGCCTGGTCATTCATTTCCTGCTCTGCTCTGTCACATAAAATGATTTTAGCGCCTGCAAGGAAGGTGTTCCTCTCAGCAGTGGACACCTCAGCATGGCAAGAACACGTCCAAACTGCAGATCATCTGATTTTGAGATTGAGATTGTGATTGTTTATTCGATCAAATAAACATATAGTCCAATTTTAGACAAGGAATTCCCTTTTTTTTTTTTTGAGATCGAAAAGGAGTAGGTTGAAGCTTAGCTCATGTACATACCTATTCTCATTCCTTTGTATTCATTTACCCTTTACATGTCTTTAGGATTTCTGATGTTGCCAAAAAGTAACCAAAGCTTCAAAGTCTAGCATGAATATATAACTCATCATTCATACTAAAACAAAGACCTTATATATATACATTTATACCTATATATATGAATATACACACAAATATACACTTTATATTTATACCTAGAATACTTCAAATCTCTCATGCGTACCATACCCATATACAATATAATAAGTGTGGCAAAATGAAATCACTTTTGTATGTATTTTTTCAGTCATACTTTTAAACTGTGTTAAAGTTTTGCTTTGTTTAAGATCATTGGGCGAGCTGTTCCACAGCTTCACCCCCACAACAGAAAGACACATGCTTTTTAGTGTGGTATGAACGCCTGGTTGATTTAAATTGCGTTCCCCTCTTAATTCATACTGTCCCTCTCCTACACTAAACATTTTCTGTATATTACTAGGAAGCAGATTGTTCCTAGCTCTATACATTGTCTGTGCCGTGCTAAATTCAACTAAATCAGCAAATTTTAATACTCTTAATTTCAGAAACAATTCATTTGTATGATGGAAGAAACAGGCACAGATTACAGACGATGTCTCATGGTGGGGTTTGGAAAACGGAGATGAACTGAGATGTTTGTAGGCTGTGTTTGGTTAAAATGGCATAGAATTACTCACCTGAAGCTATGCATTACAAGCACAGGCATGTGGACTGTATGCAGGCTCTGGAGACTGTATGCAGGTGGTTGTAGCACTGCTGAAGTTGCTCGCTCTTGGCAAACCTAATACGACATTGTAAATCCGATCCCAGCATTAGCCGTGTAAATGAATAGCTGCTCGGTTTTGACTTGACTGGGCTCTCATTGGCTGGAAATGTTTGTCTTTTTAGGGTATGAAGGAGCTGAGAAGGCTTGTTGAATGTCTACCTCCAGTGAACTACAATCTTCTGAAGTACATCTGCAGGTATTGACGGATTAGATTCATGATCGTTTGTTTGCGATTCGGCGATCATTAAATAAGCACTTAAAACATTTTTTGTTTTCTATTTGGCAGATTTCTAGATGAAGTCCAGTCATATTCAGGAGTGAATAAAATGAGCGTCCAAAACTTGGCTACTGTGTTTGGGCCGAATATCCTACGGCCGAAGGTAGAGGATCCGGTAGCTATAATGGAAGGTTAGTGATCCACTTAATTACATACTTGTTTTATTCCATCAAAAGTTAATTTGAAGTAAATTATGTTAATTTGTTTTTTGCTGTCAGGTACTGTTCTGGTCCAGCAGCTCATGGCCGTTCTGATTGGCCGACATGATGTTTTATTCCCCTGCAATGAGGACACCCCCTCAGCTCTCGAGCTGGTCAACAACAACATCGAACCACAACGACGACAAACCAACACAACTACCTCCACTTTGACTGCGGTGTCTCAGAATGCCGAGAACAACAACACCCATACAGTTCGACAGTGTGTGTGGGAAGCACCCGAGTCTCCCTCGCATCGCCACGTAGACAACAGCGGGTCCCCGCGATCAGTGAGCCCTCGAAACGGGGTCATAGGACGTTTTGAAATGAGCCGTAGTCCCCCGCTGACTGTTAAAAAGAACCCAGCTTTCAGTAAAGGGAGTGGGATTGTTACAAATGGCTCCTTTAGCTCCTCCCCCTCCTTAGACCCCAATCAAGAGAAGAGCCAGACTTTATCAGGGAGTTTACCAATGCGGCGCAACGGGGCGCTAAAAGGCTCCGGGACTAAAATGGGAACCAGTGGTGTGACAAGTGGGAGCAGCACTGGAGGAAATGGGACTGGAGCTGTTAGACTGGGTGTTTCTGGCACTGAAACCCAAAGCCGTAATGGTCTTTGGGTCCAAAACGGCTGTGTCACGCTAAGGGACAGCAACAAAACACACATGGATCAAATATCCAACCAGAACCGTCTCTCCACGTATGACAATGTCCATTTAAACCAGCAAAACCAGCAGCAGCAGAACCACATCACCACTACGTGTCTGAACAGCAGCTGTGAAGACAAACAGAGCGTGGACAGCGCCACCTGGTCCACCTCCTCCTGTGAAATCTCTCTCCCCGACAACTCCACCTCCTGTCGCTCCTCGACCACCACCTGCCCCGAGCAGGACTTCTACGGGGGACACTTTGAAGACTTGGACGGAGCGGGACAGGAGAATGAGCCCCCCCAGTCTGAAAGGGGAGGAGAAGGGGAAGGTAGGAACAGCAACAGAGAGGGGAGCGGAGACGGAGCGGGAAGGAGCAGTCGGGGCACCAGCAGTAGTGACAACAGTGACGCCCCTGCGGTTGGGAACGGACCAGGAAGCCACAGCGCTTTGCACAGTTTAGTGGCCAGTCTGAAACAGGAGATGCAGAAGCAGAAGGCCGAGTATGAGGCCAGGATAAAGAGGTAAGGTCTCATCTGGACAATAGTTTTATCAAGGACATTCAATAGAAGATCTGAAGATAAACACAGTGCATGATCACACATTTAGACAACTGGAGTTTCACTTTTTGTTGAGATTATTTAGAGTGCATCACAAATCAGTTGTGTATCGAGCTCCACTTGTTGCCTTACGGGCAAAATTCACAGGATCCGGAACGGCTCCACTCTGCTCCGACACGACAGGCGGATAAAATACGCAAGCATTATAATCAAGTGTGTGTGATTCCACAGAATCCATCTACCGTCCAGCTCCACTGCGGATTGGCAGATCAGATACACAGGGCTTCTATTTTTGCCGGATGACGGAGCATGGCGCATCAATTTAGTGCAGTGCAGTATGAGCACAGTGGAAGTTGTATGCATGTACAGAGTAAAATATCCAGTTAATTTCAAAATAAAATAAAGTAAATTCATTGAACTGTTCTTAACTTGATAATAGGAGAGGCCAGGGTTGTGGGATGTGGGTATTTATATACATCGATTGGCGGATCTCATTCTGTGACTCCCGGGGAAACACACGAGATTTCGTGAGATCTTGAGTGTTTCCCTCACGAGAAATATCGGTGATTTCGCGAGCGCTTCTCCTCCGATGGCGGCAGCTGATCAAATCCGGTGGGCACTGTATGCTCACATATTTAATCCGCCTGCCGGTCTGAAGTGGAGCCGTTCCAGTGGGATCGCCGGGTTATTATTTTTAGGAATAAAAAGTAGATAAAAACATATAAAACCTAGACTGGGGGCACTGTCGCCAAAACTGTGGAAGTAGTCTATGAATACTGTATGAGATGGAGCTAACAGTGCACAGGTGTACAAAAATGTTATCATGGCCTTTATATATTGTTTTTCTACTCCTTTACAGTTTAGAACAGCGTAACTTGGAACTGGAGACCGAAATGGTAAACCTCCACGAAGAGCTCGACCAGGAGAGGAAGAAGTACACGATGGCTGAGATCAAGCTGCGCAACGCCGAGCGCGCCAAGGACGATGCGGAGCGGAGAAACCAGATGCTGCAGAAAGAAATGGAGCAGTTTTTCTCCACATTCAGTGACCTCACCGCAACTGGCAACACCACTGTAACCGACCCCCGGCGACCGGAGCGTAACAACCCCATCTGGATACAGTGAGAGAAAGGCGGGGCTGAGAAACCTACGAAGAAGAGATGGGAACGGTTTTTCTGTATGATGTAAAGATTACGAGGGCTCCAAACAGGATTTGGCTGCTGGCTGTAGAGTGGAAGTTGGAAAGAAGGAAATGATAAAGGCATGTTTTAACTTAAGAAGAGGGCGGTTTGGGCTAATGAAAGCCACCTGTATAAATATAGACATCACCTGGAGTGATGTAACACTGACTTAATCTGTAAATACAGTGATATTTAAACAAAATCTGTCACTCGAGGAGACTCGCTGACGGACACCGTCGTAGGCACCCCTCTGACTGGGACGGGGAATAAAGGCAAAACATTATTTATGATGATAGACAGTAATAATGATGTCGTAATTGAGAGGGAAACTGTTAGTGAGGTTATGATCAGCAGGAAAAAAGAAAAAGTAGTTAGTAATTTGGTCATAATACAGAGGGACGCTACAAAGACTCCTCCCTTTATCCGTTTTGAAAATCCAATCTGTTGTTCCATGCTATTCTGTGTCTGCTCGTGTACATAGAGGGAAAACAATGCAGAAAACACACAATGTCATATATCTGTATAAAGGAATGAAAATAATACTTAAATGTGTATCTGATATTTAAACAAAGTTATCAAAATGTGTGATGTTTTATATTAAGACTCTTCCTTGCACTTACATGTTCGTTGAGTCTCAGCAAGGTGGTACTGAATGTTCTGTAGCTCCATGTGTGTACCATTCAAATTGGACAATATACTGTATATGTGCCTGTGCTTCTGTGCTGTTTCTTTTACTCCCCATGACCAAAAAAAGAGTCTGTATTGTAAATATTTTATAGGTTATTATAAATACAACTTGCTAGTTGGTGCCATGGTTCGACACATTTAGATGGTTATAACATGAATTAAGCTGATAATAAAATGTTTTTTAGCTTGTGAGGATTAGTTTTGAGAACTGCATGATGGGGTATCGGTGTTTTTTCCCAAATAAAATTAGGATGAAGACAAAATTTCATAAGTTAAGGTAACAAATCATACTTCTCTGATTAACTGATGTGCAGCCACTGTCTATAAGTTGCTATTAAGGATGCTGATTCCAACTCCTGGACCTTGACATCGTAATGGCATATCAAATAATGACATTATTAAAAATGAATGATATCAATATCAGTACCACTGCTGGTACCAATATTTTTGTGATACGAAAGCAGATACTCATCTGTATCGATATACTGTAACTAATATTGATTGTTAAAATGCTAATCTCAGTTTTCATTTTGGCAGTGTCATAATCTTAATATTTACATTGTTATCTCAACTGATATTGTTCTGATGCTGATATCAATACTGTTATCGGTAGTGGTGTTGTTGTGATACTGATAACTGCAGTATTGGTATAGTTCTAATACTGCTATTACTTCTAGTTTTCGGATAGTAATACATAGACTGACATTATCTCCACCGATATTGTAATGATACTGATACCGATGGTATCAGTATTGATATTGTTCTGATACTGATTGTAGTAATATTTGTATTGTGCCAATACTGCTATAAGTTCTAGTTTCTGCTTTGTACAAATATTGACATCATCTCAATTGGTATTGTTCTGTAATAATATCAGTACTGGTATTGTTATCTGTATTGTACTGATACTGGAAATAGTGATTTCAGGATTGTTCTATTTCTGATATCAATAATAGTTTTAGTTGTATAACACATATACTGACTTATCAATACCAGTTCTGGCTTCATGACAGAAATACTGAAGTTATTGTCTGTGTTGATATTGTTCTGATACTGATAACAATACAGATATTGATTTGTTTTGATACTGATACTATCACTTTTACAGGTAATTCTCTATAATGTAATGGTTCTGATTTTGGCATTGCTATAAGACCAACACTGGTACACCGATATTGGTACAGTTTTGCTATTGCTATTGGTATCTGTATCCTTCTAATATGAAATACTAGCTTTGGAATTTGGCATTTAATATTGATTCTATTATTGTTGTCCCTATTTATGTCATACCGACAACAATACTTCAGTATTCAGTATCAGTATTGGTAGTATTCTGATATTGAAAATAATGATATCTGTATTGTAGTGATATTGATGTTGATATCGTACAGTTCAGATACTGATGCCCATACTAGAACAGCTCTTGTTTTACAGTTTTTAAAATACTCCTTCAGACTCCTGACATAATTTTAGATAATTCCCAAGTCCAAAATAAGAAGATTAGGGATAGGAAAGTTGTGTTTGTGGGTCATAACTGTGAAAAAGGGGATTACTGCATCAAATGTGTCCACATTGAGGACATAAACAGCCTGGTTGCTAGCTTCAGTTGTAAGTTGTATGTGCATGATGGTGCATGAGTGCTTGTACAGCAGGGCCAGTGTATGATAAATGAATGTTTGTAAAGCAGCTGCAAATCAATTGTGAGTGTATTTATGTAGCTTCAAACCAAATGCGTACACATTGGATTATACTGAGGGGTACAAAACAGAACCCATGCGGCTGCAGACCTGAGCTGGACTTCTGTCAGTAAAAGTTAAGAGTGCAGAAACCTGCTGCTGGCTTCTCTCCTCTGCGGAGACCAGGTCCTGTTGAAACCTGCTGCTGGTCAGTGCAGGACATGTGGAATGTGCACATGGAGGAGGTAAAAAAAAAAAAGTGCCTGAATAAGTGAAAGACGGAGGGAGGGGACCTTGCACTTCTCATTTTGCACCCTTCACAGGGAAGTAATGGGTTTAATCCGAGCTGACAGCGGCACCTCGTTCTGTGGATTCCACACAAAAGAGCAGATTACGGACACCGGGTGGGAGGGCGAGGAGGACGGGAATGGTTAAATATTTTCATGACATGATACTTGATACACAAAAGAACTCTAAAAAGTGACTGAATATGAATAAAAAGGCATTTCATGTTTCATGTACTTGTGGCAACTTTTCTGTTTTACACAGAAGATATATAGAATAACTCATGAATTCAAGGAGATATCTCATATTTAGTGAAGACAATGCATTGTTTTGTTTTGGTCTGTTAATACTCTTTTCAAAAACCGACCAAATTGGCCAATTTCGACGCATTTTCAAATCAACTTTCTAGTCAATTATGAGAGATACCTCTTGAATGTAAATAAAGTTATCCTGTTGGCTAAGAGAATTACTAAAAACCTCTTTATATGAACCAACCTCTTTTAGTGCATCATAAGCACATTAATCAAGTGTCTGAACAGCTTGATAACAATCCTTATAAGTATACTGATGGTTTTTCATAAAACCTTGTGAAATTATATGGCTTTATAAATGTGCAATTTATCTACAATTGGCTCAAAAGTTGTCACTCCCATGCATACTAGTTGGCAAAAGTCAAACATCTCTATATACGCATTAAGTCCTGAGATGTGTCTTGACTAGAGGAAGTCTCTCTTGTAGCCTTGTGATTAACTAGCGACTTGTCTGGGGGTGTACCATCTCATGATAAGGACAGGTGGGATCATCTTTAACCTCATATGACCCTCTGAGTATAAGCTGTTGGGGTTGTCATGTCAGATATCAATCAGTTAGACTTTGATGTAATGATGTGGAAAATGAATCTCTGCTCTTCTACAAGCAATTGTGCCTTCATTTCCCAGGAGATGGTTTGGCTACAACAAATGTGGTCCCATTCACCTCCTCTAATCTGAATCCTGAATCCATCAAAATGGAGAACTTATTCCTGAGGTCTTCCTGCATCATTCGGTATCATTCCTCTAAGCCAGCCTTCATACTGTGTGTCCAGCAGACCTAATTTAGAGTCTGTGTAGGAGGAACTCTGTCACTGTTCGAGTCTGGATGGATGGTTATCGCTAAGAGAAATGTGAGGGGAAACTGTAAATACCTGCAGGTGAACGAAAAAACATCACCACAGTGGTCCAAGATCAAAGGTTTTGTTTATTTTCAATCACATACATATACTATTTTTACATACACAGTTCCTTTAAAATGTTGTGTTTACAGTAACAGCTTTCAGTATTTTTTTTCTTTTTCTTTTGCATTTGTTTTGACTTTATTTGAAACGCTAGAGCCTGAAGCTTTGAGATCAGCGTGAAACAGATATAATTTCATTTTTTTCCGTTTTTAAATTTTCAACCTGACAATGTCAAAAAAGAATGAGTCATCAAAACAGCACAGAGTCAAAGAAAAGAAGAGAGAAGGAATCGGTAAAAGAACAACATCACCTGATTCAGATGAGCTATACAGGGTTTCATCTTTGTTGTCCACATTGAAGACTCAAAACATTTTAGCATCACCTGACCCTTGCAGTAGCTTGCCTCCCTGTCTGAGTGCAATAAAGTGTTTATTGCATTGTTGGGTTGTTGTTATTTACAATATGACACAAAGGAAAAACGTGAAAAACAAATTAGCTGGGGATCACAAGTACTGGGTCCAAAGATTTTTAATGTTGGCACAGCTGAGTACAAGATGTATCCTAACTTTTGACATGTATTTTAAAGTGGCAAGAACATCATGGCTGAATGACAAGTCTGCCATTAGTAAGCTAAATGGCTAACACACTCGCCGATCCCGAATCCGACAGATCGTATTCGGAGCAGGATCAGTCGTCGACACATTTCTATTTCTATGTGACTGAACATGATACACACATGAACTACCTCCAAACACATGAGTTTACCAAATCTCCATTAACATTCTTTAAAGCGATCCCGCTTACTTCATGATCTCATTTTTAGAAAGAAATTTTCTCCCTTTTTAACCTTCACAAATCACACACACACACACACTGATGACCAAGCACAGCAGCAATGTCGTGATGAAACAAGTCATTTCTACATTCAGTGCGGACAACCCAGCTGTTTCTGTGATAGAATCAAATCTACGTTAGGCGCGTTAAACAGGACCAAGAGCACCTTTTTTTTTTATTACAACAGAATTGTCGGGAGGGAACGTCTTATAAAAAGATTTAAAATTCACATTCAGAGAAAGTAAAGGAAATGTGATTCAGTGCGAAAACATGTCAAAGTTCAAACAGAATGAAGTATGAGTGGTTAAAAATGCCCTGTAGATTATCTGCAACAGTACTGTGAGTATTTGTGGTGCAGGAGTCGACTCAAACACCAGACCCCCTTTGTGATAAATTCTTCTGTACATCTTGGAAACATAAAAGTAATTTTCAAAGTTGCACCCTGTTTTTTTGTAAAGATTGCCCTGGCCAGACCCTGAACAGAAAGCCAAGCTAGCCATAGCTTATCCTGGAGACGCTGCCGACAGGTTCCCTCTTAGCTCTGTGAAGGTAGTGTGAGTCTGTGTGGGGGTTCACTGTACACAGGCCACAGGCAGGGGAGAAGTGTTAACAAAGTAGCTCTCAGAGGCTGGGTGTGTGAGTCTGTGGAAAGGGATTTGAGGCATTGTATGTACAATAATGGGGTAATGCGGTAGCTGAACCACAGTTTACAGAGACACAGTTCAACCATCAAATGACATGCTCAAAAATGAATATGTTAAATGTCCCCAAAAACAGTGCTGTCAAAACATCCCTTGAATGTTTTAACCGTCTTAACCGGTGGCCATGCAGTTTCCATGTGTGGGAAACATGAGAATACTGACAGATATTGTAAATGTTTGTTCGATGTGACTAAAACAACTACAATGCTCCGATTTTCAGATATATCGGTTACCGATTGTCGTGAAATAATCATAAGTTATACGATATAAACTGTTGGTTTTGTCTGCACCAACACAGCCTAGAGCTCTCAAACTGTCTCCCCAGTTGCCTGTAATATTTTCAACAATAAACCAACTAAATTCCTAAACTGTGAAAGATCAACAATTTGGTTTCAAGTTGTGGCTTCTCGCTGATTTACTCCGAGCCTGAAATAAATGTTGCAAGACCCTAAATGCCACCAACTTTGAGACTGTTGTAAGTAGTGCACGTAAAGCACATCTTTGCTTAATTAAAAAAGGGAGAGCGCATTACAATTCATGTAAGAGTCTGTGCATGTGCTAGCGGCCTAGCCTGAGATTTTCTGGTTACACAATTCAATGGCGATGGAGAAATAAAATAAAATCTATATTCAAAAAACTGGCCCGAGGATGAGTAAGCTTTTAAGTTCACTACCACTGGTTTAAACCTAATATTAAAGCACCATCATCAAACCAAACTCTGTGTTTTTTTTCATTAATGTTCCACCGTGTGTGCTGGATTGGGGGTTCACATTGTTTTAAGGCAGAAAAAAGAAGAAGCAGAGGAAAAAATATAATATCTGCACTTGCAATGCTTCGTTCCAAAAGGCACTTGCCATCTTCCACCGGGGTCCCATCCATCAAAATAAATAACATCTTTCAGCAAAGATAAAATGTAGTGAAGGTTAACATGGGAAAGCCTCTGTCTATTGAGCGTGGCGAACTAGGCCTACTGTTATTTACTGTTGGACAAAATCAAACTCTGCTACCAGGTTAACACTCATTGCCTGCCTGTAAACTTCCAGATGTATTTCTTGCATCTCTACCGTTATGCCGTCTCAAATAAATAAGAATATTCTCCTCATGGTGAAACCACAGTAAGGCAGATTAGCCTCCTGCGCCTATGAGGGGGTTGATGTTTCACAGTTCACCATAACAGGCTGGTTAAATCTCTCTCTTACGAAGTCTGAACACAACCAAAATAATTTATTCTACTTGGTGTACTGACCCTTTAAGTCCCAAACTCAGCCCTGACATTTACTAACCTATAATGGCTTGCCTGTGGTTGGTTAACACTCGCACACACTCACACATAGACGCACACGTTCATCCTATCCTGTGACCAGACCCCCCCCTTATGTCTGGATTTGAGTTAGTTCACATTGTATATAAACAAAAGTCTCTATACAGACTCATTTTAGCATACAGTGAGATTAGCATCGTCTTAAATCTAATCATGCAGGACTACAGCGATAGGCAGGGGCAACTGAGGTGGAAAGCGGTGATGTGGCAAGGTGCGCAAGTCAGAAAAAAACTCCTGGTGTACTGGCCGTCAGTCCCACTCTGTGTACCCTTCAGCTGTACAGAATTACATTATTTACAAGAAGCGCAGGCTGTGCCGCTCAGGGTGAGAGCGGCTACATATCCCTGCAGAGTAACCACATAAAAACACACAAATCAGGCAACCTTACATAGGGATCGTGTTGGATGAGGATGAGGTGGTGTCTAAGACCAAGTCTAGAGGTTAAAATACAGCAGTGTTGTTGCATAAGGGTTGTACAAGGAGGGAGGGGAAAGGAAAATGAAGTCTGTATTGTACAATGAGCAACATGGCCGCCCACCTTGCCACAATGATTGGAGCATTTATGCTTTTGTAAGGAATCGGGGGGACCAGCAGCCAGCCAATATGCACTTTACAGGAGATGCAAGTCTAAGCATTTGGTCGATTTTGTTCGGATGCCATATATAAGATATGTGGGGTAATATAAGCAAAGCAACTAGAGGATCAGTAACATATATCTCAGCTCATTTACTTCAGTTTAAATGCTGTTTTTGAATGACAATGCACAGGCTTTTAGATTTCATCATGTCAGATTCTGTTTCCATTACTCATGTTTTTGTTCTTAATATATTCATTTTAATCTTTGCTCTTTTTTTGTGTTTGTGTTTTCAGTGGGTCGGGTTCTTCACCGTCGGAAGAACATGGGGTTGCGCAGGCAGGCGGCTAGTCACCTGCAACACCCCAGGGGTCCTGCTGAGGTCTCCAGGCTGCTGTCAGTGTCTGAGGCCAGGGTCTGGTCGGTGGACATGGAGGAGATGTCGTTGATGGAGGAGGAGGGAGGGAGGCTCTCGCTGCTGTTCACGGCTGCACCTGTGCTAAGGGAATCAACAGCAGCAGGGGGTTACAACGTAAAAAGAGTCCAGGCGGAGACAGCAGCAAAAAAAACGAACACAAGCAGAGGAGGTCATTTGTAAATGCACACGAGGGGTACGATGAGAGGAATGTTGTAACAGGGTTTTTCTGTGACAGAGACGGTAACAACATTCACACAACCTGTAGAACAACACAACCAGGGTGCAGTGAAAAAAAAAGTGTTATTAAGGTTCGGGTCCAGAGGAGTTCACAGGAAAGATTGTCAGAGGCTGCAGATTGTAGTCAGGTGTAATTCCTGATCATTTACAAGGATGTTGATGCAGCTTTTTAAAAGTCAAGTTATTTGGTTTGAAGGGTTTGATATTGTTAAGCTTAAAAAGAAAGACTACAAACCATGTTCACAGCATTTCTATAGTCTGAAAATCTAATTTCTAGATTCAAATCTCTTTCAACGGACTGAAATTAACAATAATGTCTATTTGTTGCCTTACAAAAAGCAAACAAGACCATTAACAAGAAGAGAGACTTTTTCAGTTTCTTTTTTTAAAGTCTGAAATGTAATGTACTTCAGCAGTGAACAATTTTGACCAAAAGCACCAGGAACTTTGAGTTTCAAAAACTCCCCTTCAAGGAACTAAATGGCTCTTGTGTCCCATTATTGTCTGTATTTCCACCGCAGCCTTACAGCATCTGTAAGAAGTTTTTGATTGGTTTTGAATCAGGCTGAAACAAACAGGGGTGTGTGTCTATGATGTACAAAAAAGAAAAAGGAGATCATTTGTAATGGTTGTAACTGCTATGAGAGGGAAGGCTCGTCAAAGAAACAGCCTTTGTTACCTTCCATGTATTAAAGACATGGTTGACGACTGAAGAGATTGGTAATTATTAAGAACCTCATTTATATGGCGATCACGGCCCTAAAGTGCGATCTCCACAAAGTGAAGAGAAAGAAGAATGGAAAAATCCATTTACTCTAGCAGGTGCAGAGCTGCAAAAACGTTGACCAATAGGAGCCATCCGTCCCGGACAGCTCCTAATGGTCTGTCTCCTGCTCCACCTCTCCATCCAATCACCTCGCTGTATTCCACACACCCCTCTCCCGTAGTTACCACTCATTCCTTCCCACTCTCCCGGCCCTCCTCGGAACGCTGAGGGCTAAAAGTAGCGTAGCAGCTTAGCTACACGAACTGTGATGGAGAAGGACGCAAAAAAAAAACAAAAAAACAAAAGCGCTACGAAAACGCAAGCTGACAGAAGAAAGGGCAGAGACGAAGAAGAAATGTGACCAAGCGAGAAATCTAACTCGAATGGACATCGGGTCATCCTTCGAGTGGTGGAGAAAGCTTTGCTAGGATTTCGGCCTGAAAACGGGAGCCGAGACAGCAGAGTTTCTGTTGAGTTTCTGTGGAGGCACATGTTACATAAATAACTCTTATTAGTCTCTGCAATGTCAACACGGTAGCTGACCAGGCAGGTGCAGACGGTGCTCGCTAGCAGAGCTGGCATTTACTGCCTCTAGTCGCTAGCAATCCGACATCGTAATTCCTATTTGAAGCTAGCGTAGGATCTTCTGCTGGCCGGCTTCTTGCTCTGCCAGAGGGGGTGTGTCGTGGGGAGGGCGAGGTTGGGGGGGAGTTATCTTGGAGCACAGAGAGGAGGGGTTTGTGTGTGTGGGGGGGGTAGCTTTTTTCAAATCTGCCTTAACTGCTTCTCAGATCGTCAACCATGCCTTTAAATTTCACATTAAGTGATAGTTTCCACTTTAAATAGATAAAGAGTGGAGAGTAGCATTAAAACAAGGATTACCCCTTTGTTTACAGAGGGCGCCAAAATCAACACTAAAAATGTAATGCTGATAATGTTGATAATGCAAATCCGGCCAATGTAGAAAAAAGTAGTCCAGGACAGTCATTTGTTTAATGGAGTCTGATGAACTTTTTTCTTAGAGGGGGTATCATGCTGGCAAAAATGTGACACTGTAGTTTATGTGCGAGATTTACTAAATTCTGACGTAAGAATTATAGATTCTCTTTACTGGTTCATGTGCTTTCGGCAAAGTGGAACGGCCAACAGCGTGTTAGGTGAAATGCCCAATTTTTAAAAAAGCATGAAGTGCCAAGTAACCGCTCTGTTCAAACCTATTGAGTTCACAGCTTCATTAAAATACAATTTTAGCGACTTCTGCTGTCTTTAGCGAGGATATTTGCAAAATCGAAAGAACAACGTCTCTGCTTTGGTAGTTGACAGAGTAATGCCTGATTTAAATGATGGGGAAAAGTACTCTGTAAAGATATGATATAAAAGGAGACTTATTTATGCTTGCCAGTTGTCCTGTAATCTCTATAAGGAAATGTGCACCTTACAGTAGAGACAAACTGTAAATGTGCTGTTTGTGTCTGATCTCTGTTGGAGGTAATTGCTTAATGGAGTCTAGTGGGTTCTTCGGCTGACCCAAAACACAACAGAGAACAAAGCAGGATTAATGGCTGATACTGAGTCAGCAGGAGGTTTACGAACAGGAAAAACACCAGAATTAAATGTCAAAAGTCACTGTGCAGGTACAGCCAGGGCAGATTTTGAAAGATGACTTGAGCCCCTCCAAAATGGAAACGTGCAAAAAATAAAGTTATAAGTTTATCGTATGACATAAATAATACAGTATCTCACATAAAAGCGTAATGAAAGCTTTAAACACACTCAATCTTCAATTCTTCATGTGCTATACTGCACAGAAAGAGCTTCAGGATGTGACTGGTTACGTCAGGAGCATCATATGTGCTGCCTGCTCTCCTGTTTTCCTGCTGCAGTAAAATCTCTGCTGTCGAAGTGCCTGTGATGCACACAGTCTGCTGCACTCAGCATCAGACACAGACCAGCCCATCTGCTTAATTACAAGTGGATAGGGGAAAAAAAGATGGCAGTGATGCATTTCTGACTGTCTGGGTGTGTAAAGGCGAAGGAATTAAGAGCAGCTGTTGAATCACAGGCTAAGCTTTTTACCGCTCTTAGTGTTCAAATCTATTCTTAAAGAGATGCTAACTGCAAGGTTAAGCAAACAAGAAAAACTATTACATGTTTGCTATTCACTTTGGACAAAGTTGTTACTTTTTTGATTGACGGGTATCTTTTTTACCCATGGACTTCATCAGAGTGCAAGTGCTGTGACCAGTCTGCTAAAATGACTCCACACTGCCCCCCTGTGGCAAACTATGAGAACTGCCCCTGATGCAAAGTTGTTTGGTGCTCTGAAGAGTCGAAACACTGTGAAATATCAGCTGCAGCTGTGGACCGAAATGTCCTGTGATGCCCCCCCAAAAAGGACCCAAACCTTGTACCAGGTACATGTTCTACACACACATATACACGTATTTAAATACATAATCATCATCTGCTATCATTGCAATTCTTGTTTAGCTCACCACCATTGAACAAATATACTTGGCACAACAATAACAACACTACACATTTAAAAAACAGGAGATGCAAAAGACAGAGACACATGGTCAACAACACGATGGGTTATTATATTTACTCCAGTAAGGTTATAGTAAATTCACTTACAGAGCGATTAGGGTTATGCACTGAGAGTACCTGAAGGTGAAGGCTGTCCCTTCACTACGCCATTCTTCGTCCTCTCCTCAAAGTTCATCACCTCTTTGTAGATTAATTCTGCAGAGAAGAAAAGTAAGTGAGAATGTAACTGAACCATTCATGGTCCTAAAATATTTTAATATTCATGAGAAGAAGAGTCTTTGGATTTATTTTGTTTGGATATGATAACAGTGGTTTTTGATTAACGGTCCACTTTCAACGACAGGAGCAGGTGTGACAGTCGATATTCAATCAGAAGGTCATGGGTTCGATTCCAAACACATGACCCCAAAACCTACCCTGCTAGCTGCTGTGGCTCCCAAACTTTGGTAACAATAATAATAATAATGATGATAGTAATACACTTAGACATACTATTAGAAACTTCCTTTGCAAATAACTTGAGGGTCTTTGGAGTTATTTGGAGCATTTTGTGAAATAAAATTCAAAATTATATTTATTAATGATCTTAAAACCAACAAGCCACCTTCACAAAATAAGCAACTTAAAGTAGCATTCCAGTATGCAACTTCCAAGTTTTCTGACTTGTAGGAAGTCCGGTCCTCCCCCTTTTTTAGTGGTTGTAACATTTGGTGCAGCTTCATTGCCAGCTTTAGCCCTTTAATGCCTGAAACCACAAATTATGGCCATAAAATTCAAATTTTTTGGAGCTGAAATGTTTATTTCACTTACTACTGAAAACCAAAAAAGATCAAAATGTCCTTAAAATTTAACAAAAATATGTATCTTGTTTGATACATTTGATGTTTTTGGAAACTGATAAACCACAAGAGGACATCTTTATCATTTATCGGACTGTATTCAGGTGTTTTTAAGTAATTTGTTGGTCATATTGATTTGATAGAAGTATCATAAAAGTATGTATCAAATATGATACAAAAGGCAATAAAGGGTTAAGTCTACCTCGCAGTCCTCCATGCTTTGCTAACAATACAGAACTATGTGTAATGTCTTCTCTAAGGGTAGTCAAGGCCCCCAGTTTAAAAGTCACTGTATTAATGGCAGCGACCACACTGGGTTTCCTGTAAACACATACAGTAATCGGTGATTGATTCTCACCTTTCCATTCATCAATGGAGTGTTCTCTTTCATCCAGCTGTTTGTCATAGATCTGAGGTGGAGGCTAAAAGGGGTAAAGCACAAACATTTAAAATAATGAGCTGACAGTGCAGTTAAAGTTTCAATTCAGGACTCAGCAACTGATCAACATGAAGTTCATTTACAGCTGACTGTACGATAAATGACTCACAAACAACAATTTGCAAGTTTTTGTTACTGAATTTTGGAAAATGAAAAAGTTGACATATAGATCAAATTAAAGTGATGAAAAATACATAAAACATACAAAATAAGAAGCACATCTGACTCATGAGTTATTTTTTCTTTCACTTTAAAATAATCTGTGTGTATCAGGGTACCCAGAGGATCCTAAAAGTATGTAAGTGTCCGAAAAGCAACATACATTAAATTTTATCCTTAGTGGTACTTAAAAGGTTTATAATCTTTTAAATTTAGAGCACAGAAACTCTGGGGAACCCTGATGTATACAAAGACATGCCAAGCGCAAAGTTGGCACATGTGGATAATGGCGGGAAAAAAAAGGTTATGAAGGAAAACAAACAATAAAAAATGTAATATCTTTAATCACATGGAAAGGTACCCTACCTAAATTAACTTTTCATCAAACATTCATAAATCAGGATTAAGAAACTATCACAAAACACTTAAAACAAGAGGTCTACTAGTGAGTTTAAAATAGGTCTTTTCTAACAGAAGAGGAGAAAATCTGCCGTCTGTCCTCCAGTTAGCTCCTCTAATCACTTGTTCATAGAGATCCTGCTGCAAAAACTAACACCATAGCCAGACAGGACCAGCCATAAACCTCTATGATATCACCTTGGAGGAATATTAAGCAGCTATGACAAAAAGAAGTGAGAGGTCTCTTTCAAACACAGATTAGTGGAATAGCAATAAATAAATATCCCAAAGACGCCTCCATCTCCAGCAGCTTCATGCAGCAATAGAACCCTTCATTTCATTTTAAAAACAATGTCATAGAAAGTTAATTGTGTTTTTCATTGTATATGCATATTTGCAAGTGCTTCTATGTGTTTATATGGGCCGATTTTAAAGTGGCTCATTTCACTCATTAATACTTCTGTGTTAGCAGCTAGCATGTTCAGGTCTCCAGAGTTTAGGTATCATATGGAAACATATATCATTACCACAACATATGCACTATAATGTGTTGTATTAAATCACATTTCATCTCATCATTTTGTATCTTACTATATCGAACCATATCACATTGAATCATATCATATTGTATCATATTGTGTTGTATCGTATCACATCGTTTTATCTCATATTGAATCAAACAATATTAAATCGTATTGCACTGCATCGCATCGTATCATGTCGTATCGAATTGTATCAAATCATACCAAATCAAATTGTATTGTAACATAGTGTATGATATCCTTGTATCTTGTATCTGACTGAATCAAAAACAGACTGATTTCCATATTAATTGGAACATCTTAATTGTTAAAACATCAGATCCAACCCTATTTTAATCGTATTTTATCATATGAAATTATATTGCATTGAACTCCATTGTATCGTTGAACATTTTGTATTGTAAAATATCATGTCATATAATTTTGTATCTTTTTTATTGTTCAATATAACACTTGATAGAATTGTATGACACTTTTTTTATGTTATCATGTCAAATAATTTCCATTTGTGGCACATTCTCTACATTATGTATCAGATAGTATCATGTCTTTTCCATTATTTTGTGTTATACTACACTATATCACATTCTTTCATGTTCATTTGTAACGTACCATATCAGATCGCACTACATCACATTATACGGCATTGTGAAATTAGATACTTCAGTTTTATTGTCAGGATAGCTAAAGAGAGACAGGGAATGTATGGAGTACAGAGTGGGGCAAGGCTGAGAATTGAACCAGTAACCGCTGCATTGAGGACAGCCATTGTACACTGGGCGAACGCCTCAACCGTCAGGCCAACCGCCGCCTCTGTATCATGAAAATGTGTGTTACATTCATAGTGCTACATAAAACAAATCTGCTGAAGTGTCTGCTCTAATCTGAACTCTTGATTCCCACAGAATTTTGCTTTTCATTTGATGTAGGGCGGTTGTTATTTACCATGGATATTTGGATGAGATCTCTGGCCTTCATCAGCATGAGATGACGTTTGAGAAAGGGAAAACAGCAGAAAACGTGTTGAGATGCCATTCACAGCCATATCATACAAACCACATCAAGTCTATCAACAATAACAGCATGAAAACCATGATATAAACTGGACAACTAAGACAAGTGCACATTCATGAAATCCTCTTAAAATGATCATTAACTACAATGGAGGTGTGTCACTATCGAAATTATATTAACACTGAAATTCGTCAGCTGCTCATGCACTCATTAGTGTATTGCTGCAAGTAGAAAAAGTGGTATCTGTACGAGTTTACTGGAGCTGCAGATGGCTTTTTTCCCAATCTCACTGTCACCTCATACTAATGAGGCACTGATGAAGAAATTTAACTTCACCAAATCGACCAGAGACACCACTACTATTACATTACAACACAGAACAATGCACTAAATCACTCTATCATCAGTAGCAGCAAATGTTTGGAGTTATTTTATCCAAATCTTGAATATTACTGAGATGTAAGGTATAAAAACATACGTGAGAGAAAAATTAAAATGAGATGTGAATCAAATTAAAAAGAAAAATGATGAATGCATTGATGCAGCAATTCCTACTGATATTTAAAAGAATGTATTTAAAAATTAAGAAAATGAGGGAAGTTGTGGATATTCATATTTGCATAACCAATTAGCATTGTAAAACAAGTAACAAGGGTTATGTTGGAGACACTAATCAATACACAGCTCTTCTAAAGGCCTACTCACCGCCTCCACCTCAGCTGGATCGTACCACACGTTAATGTAGGGGTGCTGTAAGGCCTCGTCCACTGATATCCGTTTAGCCGGGTCAATGATCAGCATCTTAGACAGCAGGTCTCTGGCCTGGCTTGCTGTGGTTTCAGAAAAGACACAGAGAAACATCTGGTTGAGATTAAGGAGCAAGAAACTGATATTCACTTCCTTTGTGTCACTAATATGCCAGAAGGAACATTAAAAACACACAGACAGGACATAGGCATGGATGAAAGAGCATGATAAAGATAGCAGCCTGAACAGAGATTATTTGGAGTACAGATAACTCTTCGATTCCCTATCAACAATCCAAATCTCCTCCTTTTTTTTCAGACTAATTGAAATTCAAGTCTCAAGCTTGTCCCAAATACTGTTTATCTCTGATACAAGAATTCAACTCCTGCTGCTATTTGTTACAGGATGATTCAGTCTGCTTGGGCTTAAATAATTTATGAAATCTGCAAAATTACCGGCTCCCACTGGTATCTGTCTAAATAAAGCCATCAGCGAGCGGAGGGCACTATATTTTCAGAAAGTCTCGGACTCTCTAAACCGAAGATCTGAGCGACTGATATGAAATTGAGAACCCTTAAACCACACAACCATTCTATCCTACACACACTGACCCTTATAAAAATAGCTCCAGCAGCAGCAGAGGACTCAAGAAATTGAACTGAGAGCAAAGAGACAGATGAGCCAGGGGCGCACACTCGGCTTTTTTCCCTCAGCATCCACACGTCAATAACAAAAGGATGGTAAATCTGAAAAATGACTCCTCTATCGCTCTCCTTTAACCTTGCTGTCTTTTTCCACTCTGTCCTACAGTGCTGCCTGTATGTCTCTTCCTCCTACAGTTCAAAAATACCAAAGCCCAAAGGATGTCTCCCTCAGTTCCTGCCTGTAACAGTACAAAACATTCACATCAGCAGCACTTCAACCCGCTCTCCTGCTCTCCCTCCCTCCCACTCTCTCCCTCTGTAGGTGCTTTTCCTTTAACACTGTCGCTCCAGCAGGGAGCAGTCGGCATGCGGTAGTGATTCATGAGAAATGTACCAGACAGGAGCTTTGATGTTCGAGCAAGGCAACAGATAAAAAGCATATTTCCTTATATCTCATTGGAGGGAATTTCCCTTTCTTATGACACTAGGGCGAGTGAGAGCGATTCTCCGTTAAAAGAGAAACAACATATGATGTCTTGGTTACCCTTCTGCATATGAATAGATTTAACTCACAAAGGCGCGCAGTGTGGGCTTCGAAAAATACATTTTAGAGGACACGTTTCGGTTTAATGTGTGACGCCTGGAGGCAAAATGAAAAGTTTTCTGGGGTGAAGGTTGACCAGGATAAAAGTTTTTACAAAGAAATAAAACTTTTACTCTACAGCCACCCTGATGTTCAAACTAAAGTCTATCATTAGTCAGCTTACATACTCCGAACGTGGTTTGTTTTGACTCAAATTTCACTGAATTTGAAGTTGGTCATCTTAACCAGTAATCCAAATATTGTACATGTCATGATATGTTCTGGTTTTAGGTTTTTCCCTGGTTTTGTGTTTCCCTGGAGTGTATTTTCTTTATAATTTGTCCTATTGTTTTTTGTACCCTATTGTTCCTGTTCCCCTGTAGTCTTGTCTTATGAGTTTTCAGTTTGTGTCTGACCCCGGTTCCCTCATGTTCTCAGTGTTTTATTCCTTATATCAGTGTTTCCTGTTTTATTTTGTAGTAGTTTATTCCCTGTGTTTCTAGTCGTGTTTTACTTCCTCAATTTGCCCTCCTTTGTAATTACCTGCACCTGTGTCTCAGTGTCTCACCTGCCTCTCGTTGCTCGTTTCCCTGTGTGTGTACAGTCCCTGTCTTCCCCTGTTTCCTCGTTGGTTCATTGTTGTAAGTCTGCGTGTCTGCGTCTCAGTGTCTCCAGTGGATTTTGGATTTTTGTCATTTGGATTTTGCCTCTTGTGTTTTTTGCCTTTGGGAATTTTTTCTGTTGGACATTTAAAGTAAGTTTTTGTTACTTTATATTTAGTTCTTTTTGAATAAATCATTTTTGTTCTGCATTTGGGCCCTTTCCTTTTTGTTTTACTCCAAACTGTGACAGTACACTGTTTAAAGAAAATCATCTCATCACTCGAGTCACTAATTTACATCAAATTACCCACACTCTCTGATGTAGTATTGTAGTAATACTAAGTAAAGCAGAGTTTTTGTGTGATTTAAAAAGCAATACTTCGAACTAGAGATGGAGATTGTTATTCTTTATCGATACTGATACCATTATCGAGACTCCTTCAAGATTACAGTCCTTATCAGTACCCCTATTTAGTCTTTTTTTTATTTTTTTTTATACGACCAATTGTACTTAAACAGGTTTTTTAATGCAAAAACAATCGTCCTCTTTCTGTATGTGACATTTGAACACATCGTGAAAACATATCATTTACTTGCAATTTATCCTCGGCTAACCGACCCGACCATGAACACCTCACAACTAGATTGTAAATTGCCTCAAACTTTATTGATTTAAGGCAGGGGTGGGCAATCATGTGCCATGGAGGGCCAAGAGGCTGCAGGTTTTCTTTCCAACCCAAAACTCCACCAGGTGATTTCACTGATTATCTTACCTGTAATCACCTTGTGGAGTTCTGGGTTGGAAAGAAAACCTGCAGCCTCTCGGCCCTCCATGGCACATGATTGCCCACCCCTGATTTAAGGGTTTGGAATGAGACTGGTTCTCAATCCCCATGCCGACTGACAACGTTACAGATACCAATACCAATTTCTATACTGGAACCATAATCGATACCAATCACGCTACTGATACTAGTAACACTACAGACACTGACAGCAATAATACAACCATTACAAATACCAATACTGATACAAATACAAGAATGAAAAACAGCCTAAAATGATTATAAACAGATTTTTTATAATAGTCATGGATTTCATTTTGATGTCTAGAAGTTTGCACACTCTGTTAGGACCCACTCAGGCTTCTTTATATCTAATGAACACAATATTATATACAGAATAAACGGGGATACTGAAAAACATACATCTTATATTCATTTAACTTTGTGGATCTGCTTCTGCCCAACAATATCAGCCTATCAACAATATCAGTCAGCTCATCAGTGACTGCTCTGTCAAGATGCTAGTGAAGTAACTGTTATCTTAAACTACCCGAACTGCGTTGAAAATTTGGCTGGTATAGACCTATTATAGATTTACACCATTATCGGCTTCATGACTACTGAAAAGTTGAGTTAGTGCTATGGTTTCTAGCAGCTCTTGTTATTTCTGGTACATCTTACTCATGCTCAGCCCTCTTAATTATAACATCTTTATTTCCACTAACTTAACGATAGCAGAACTGTATTTCTCGCATGTTTCTCTTTATTTCAAATGTAACCATGTCCAAATAAGGGATAATTTTTCTGTACACTTTCTGTTGCTTCTTTGGCAAAACGTGACTGTATCCTATAAATGGTATTAAGGTGAAGGTTGTGACTTTTTGCGAGATCATCCTGGATTTTCTGCAGAGTACAGGAACACACCACAGGCACCTTAGACGCAGACGTGCTCAGGTTTTAAATTCAGATAATCAATCAATAAGATGGAGGACACAGAAAACTACACACTGCAGTCTATAAAGCAGCTAAAATGCAGGTGACCAGTGCAGTTGCGGTTCTCACCTTTGAGCTTGTTGTGCTCAGAGTCGGCAGGGAAAAGGCAGTCGGGAAACAGCTTGGGGAAGGTGAGGCCTGCGTACTTTGGCCGGTTCTCCACATAGTTCCTCACTGTGGGCTGCAGCTTCTTCATGAACTCTGGAGAGGGTGTTCCCAGCTGCTCGATCACCTTGTTCCACTGGTCGATGTCTGATGTGGGGTGTCAGGATTAAGGGAAAAACAACAAAATTCCAGCACCCTGTTCACCTCCACTGCTAGACTTGAGTGCATTCACAACAAGTAGAATTTAGCCGAAGTTAAAATACGTTTTTGTTGTCAAAAGAAAATAAGGGGAATCAGCTAATCTTTTCCAATGAAAATCTCTCCTTTTACGAATCCACATACTCCTAGTGACCCCCTAACCCTTCTCCATTTTCTCACACAGGCTGCCAATCGAGGCGTTTTGCTGCCAGGACCACCAGAGATCCCTGATACTTCAGCTTACTGGAACGCATCAGACTTCCACCTCTTTTTTGTCTCCGTTGCACATTGGCCGTGATCCACCCACAGCTCTGTTTGGTATTTTTTTATTCTATCCAGTCGGTTTCTTATCCATGGCTCCTTGGCAAGTTTTCAGATTCACTCAGACAGCTTGAATGTTTTATTTTTCCTAAATGCATGACACTCCGCTCTGTTTGGAATTATTTGTGTCTCGAGAAAAGGCCACACACACCTGAAGGTAACCTATCATGACAGTGCTGTAGGTTTCATTCAGGTTTACATGTCAGGAAGTGAAAGGCAGAAGGATACGATCAGTCCCAGGGAACAGCACTGTCCCTCTTATTACTTCCCCAAAGATGCAGCCCACAGACCACATGTCAACTAGGGTCACACATACACACAAACATGCAAGTCTATTACATAATATACTATATAAAAGAATATAAATAAATTTTCAAAGTTCTCACTCTGTATTTCTCCACAAATGGTTCAACTATCTAAAGCTGGGTACATGTTGAAATACCTTGTCTTTATTTTTCTGAAATGTGAAAATACTGTCTCAGAGTCATCCTTACTTCTGATAGAAAAACTGCAGACCTTACGTCAGACCTGCAAACCCTTTCAATATTTAAAATCATTTTATTTCACCAGATAAGATATCTACGATGGAGTATTAGGGCCACAATAAGAAAAAAAAATGTAAGACTTGAAGATTAAACCATTAACTTGGGAGAATGAAGTCATAATAAAGTAATTACTCACGAGAATCTACTAATAATAAAATTATTAGTTACAAGAATAAAGTCGTAATAAAATCATTACTTATGAGAATTAAGTCGTAATAAAATCATTACTTACGAGAATAAAGTCACAATAAAGTCCTTATACTCTAACCTGTTGTTTAAGATGACAGCTGTTGAAATGAGAGCCATGGAGCATTTTGTGAAAATGTACTTCAATATGTGTTTTTAAACAAGGAGATACTTCATCTTTGGCACATCAGCACCACATCATCATCAGTATCTTAAAGATTTCATTACGACTTCATTTTTGCAAGTAATGATTTTACTACGACTTTTTTCTTGTAAATTAATTACTTTAATCTTGGTCTACTTTTTTTTTTCTTAATGTGGCCCTAATACTCCGTCGTACATATCCTTGTGTTTTGCATAACGAACTGTATAAAGTACAGCTTACCTTTATTTTTAAAATAAAAATTCAGATTATGTTGAACGATATGAAACAGATTTCATAACAGTGTCTCAAACCCTGCGCTCAACAGTGTGCCCTCAGTATATATTACTAAGAATTCTTATATTTTCAATTTCTATGTTGCAATTTTGGGCTGTTTCTCTTTTTGAGAAATCTATAAAAATAATAAAGTCAACTCTCAAGCAAATTGAGCAAAAAAATTCAAAAACAACAAGCTAAGCAAACAGCATATTAGCTAATTAACCTTAAATGTCAGAAGCAACTTAAGAGTCTTATTACTGCTGAAGTGCTGAAGTCACGTCACGTTATGTCATGTTATGTAAAAGCCTGTTATAAAACATTTTGTCACATTTTGTTCTTCTGTTCATGTTCAGCTTGAGTCCCCTTGCCATCACAGTGACCGCTAATTTTAAGGGGCCATGGCATGAAAAACTGACTTTGTTAACGGGAGGGGGGTGCATATCAGGGATAGAAAACCGCTACAATCCTCCCAAGTTCGAAATAATTCCATCCAGTCGTTTTTTAGTTATCTACGTATTTAGGAACTGTGTGCTCTGAGCCGTTCTGAAAACTCCACTAACATAACGTCATGTCAGTGCTGGCGGGTTGATGGTACTGCCCATGGAGCCGCCCACTGACCTGCCCAAAACAGCGCCATTACTCCCGGCCGCTCGCTCGCAATGCTCCGGTTAGAACAATGGCGGAAGTGCGATCTGACAGAGATCTGACTGTTGTTGGCTGCACAAACGAGCACAAAACTCTTTTAAAACTGCCTCGCTCGTCGGAGGATTTGAGGACTCAATGGGTGGATTTTATTTATAATGGGAATGTACCCGCGGCACTTCCAACATATCTGTACGTATGTGCGTACCATTTCACTTCGGACTGTTTAATCAACGAGAGACAGTTCAACGCTGGATTTGCTAGATGTCTGGAGATAAGGAATGGATCCGTACTAACTATCCGTGATCCTACTACAAACGTGGCATCTGTAAGTATGAACGTTTTACTTCGACTTACTGTTTAGCCTAGATTCCCCCCGGTGCCTCAGCACGGCCACCACGCTTTGATAAACACACCGGATCCGCGCCGGTTTACCGGATCCTCCCCTATTTTAGCCGCTCGCTTCTTCCCCGACAACTCCGGCGGCGGGGGACAAAATCCCCCTCCGGAGCAGCATGTAAATTAAGCATTTACCCGTGCAGCGACGCGCCTCTTTTGGCTCAAATACGGGACGTTACGGCTAATGCTGGACGGTCGGCCATTCTATTAATTAGCAAAGGCTTCAGAGAAGTTTCAGAGCACCAAAATCTTTCTGTAGCAGAGCTCTGGTTGTAATTTTTCTCTCTGCAGCTCCATTTTAAAAAGTTATTAGGAGTTATAAAAACAGGAACTTGCGTCATTCTCTACACGTTGCACTTGCCGCTTGTGCGTCGTTCTTTTTCGTTCATCGTCAAGACCAATCGGGTTTACAAGCGGAGAAGAGGATTAAATTTTTCCATCGTTTTTCTCTTTTGTTGCATTGGAAAAATGAGTTGTTCTGCAGTAAACTGTGTTAACCGACATGTGACATGACCGCTGACACATTTCACATTATGGAGAAGTGGAACTTACTTATTCTTGGTCGCGACGAGCGGGGAAGCTATTAGCGTTACGAATGAAAGGCTGGAAGGACATCCGGCTAACTAAATGGCCTGGCTAACTATGCTATGACCCATGTAAACAGACCACTACTCTATATCATCATCATCATCAGACAGACACTCAGAAAGGTGCAGACAACTTAAATGGGTCAATATTTGAATCCAAAAAGCCCATAATATAAATTAAGATTAGCAACAGCAGGGTACCAGCCCAGAACTGATCCATTAACAAAAGTGTGTGACTATAGCTCATTGATTTACAGCGACAGAGGATGAAGTGTTAGGGGGTAAGGTGAGGAGAGAGAGATATTGCAGAGCTCATTGCAGGGGTTTTCTCTTTCTACTGAACATTAATCTTTCACAGACTGCTTGGTCAAAGGTGTGCAAAGTATTAGCGACAAGCACCTGCAGAAACAGAGATCTGGCTATCTTACAGCTAATATCCATCGAAATGTTTGACAATTCAAGCCTGAAATCTCAAAGATAATATTACATGTGCTTTATTTCTTATTCTTTTAATCACATGAAAGGACAGAAATCTAAAAATAGTCAGTGCCTTATTTCTGCACTTTTTCTAATGTCCTGCAGGGGGCAGCAACTCTGGTTACAACAAGTAATCAAATCGCAGTCCAGTTTGATGGGGAAATCTCTAATTCTCACTTGATTTATCGCCTTCATTTGAATTACTCTATTGAGTTTATGGTCTGGATTGTGAGCTTTAAATCTTTTTATATACAGCGAATGACCAGTTTAGTAATTTTATTAGAGTAGACATGGCGATTCAACCTCAAAATCCTGGGTATCCTTCTCTACGGTCACTCGCAACATGGCCTCCAAAAAATAAAATAAAATAAAAAAACATGACTTTGTGACAGACACCCAAACAGTTTACAAACTAGTGAATGGCATCCACTTCTTCTCCTCCAAAGCAGCTGTCTCATTTATTCATGGTCCTATCAGTCCACACCTTTGACTTTTAGAGACTTCCTCTCACCACCAAGTGCTTTCAGCTAAGCTGCTATTAACAGATGCTCCAAAACGAATGCTCATTCATTATCATTCAGCTAATGCGAAGGAACTCTGTCTGACTCACACAAGTGGGCGCCTTAGGTGGCTGGCTGTGCTCACGTGTGACTGAGTGTGAACAAACTCAGCATGGGGACTGCTGTATTTAACCGAACCCATCTGACTGAGAGGAGTCAGCCCTCTTACTGCAGGCTTTAACACCAGGTAGCATCTAAGAGACACTCGAAATACCACACTAGTAAATATTCAGAGGAAATTTTTTAAAACTTAATTTGTACTGCAGGTTGAATTAGGAATGGAGGGAGGCCAGTTACATGGTTGTGTGTTATGAAGACGAGGATGTAAGAGTGGTTTAGTTCACCTCAGTAACATACAGAGAACATCAGGCTTGGTTAAGAGTAACAGGAAAGTAGTGATTTTCTTAAAGGTACAGTCTGTAGTAATTTGTGGCATTTAGAATAACAAACTGAGGGCCTGATCTACTAAGATCCAAATTAGCGAGCGCTAAACTGCACGTGCTATTAGTGGGCAATTGATAACGGGTGCAAAAGTGGTGCAGACCGCCCTCTCTAAACAAGGATTTTGCGTGCGCTATCGGCCGTAACCATGGAGAGTTTGTGAGAGCAGAGTGATCGTAGATGAAAAATGAAGTTTGTTGCACATATCGTTTTGGGGAGCTGCATAAAAGGCAAGGGAAGTTTATTTGTGTAGCACAATTCATACACAAGGCAACACAAAGTGCTTTTCAGATGCAAGAAGATACACTAGAAATCAAAAAAGAGATTAAAACGATTTAAAATCAGGAAGACAAACAGATAATTTTTTTGTCTGTTCCGTGTTTGACCTTATTATTTATGAAAATCGTCATTTACCTGAAAAACGAAATAAATCACAAGCTTTTGGACAAGGATCATGGCGTGTATCATGGCACTTCTGCATCCTTCTCCCCACAATGACAGTGCATAATGCTGCTCCAGTTTGCACGTGGCTTTCAAACATGCTAAATATAGAAGCAAAACAGCGATTGTAATCGGTTTCCAGGTTTGATAAATGACACTGCGGGTGTGAAATGATTCCATTTGCATCTGCTCCTCCTAGAATTTTGCACGTTCTGATGATCTACATACATTATGCACATTCATGAAGGCAAACGCGCTTAATTAGCTGCCTTTCTTCTACGGCAGCACAGATAGGACAAAAATGAGGAGAAAAGAGCATAGTTGTTTGTTTTGTTGTAAATATATGTTATTTGTTGGTCTTTAGATGATAAAAATTGACAAATCAAAAGCCAACATCACGAATGGAGCCTTACCAAATAAGGGGTGAGCAAGGGAGCATTTCAGTCAACAATCTGCCATTAGACTATTCTCATTTCTACAAACTGTACCTTTAAACCAAACACGCGAAATCTTAACTCCAAAGGTGTTTTTTTTTTTTTAAACAAACTGTTACTTTAATTTTACATTGTTTACCAAAAAACATAAAGACAAAGACCTCTTATATGAAAAATTGTCGTTACCATCAGATCAATTTGCTGTGTGTTAATAAGGATACAGTCCCGGCCGGGGAAGAGGATTTTGTGGCGCACCATTTCTCCCATAATGCACCCAACCGACCATATGTCCACTGCACGTATAGAGGTGACAGTAAGACAAAGCAAGAGGAAAAGAAAAGAGAGGAAGGCAAAAAGGTTAGTGTTTGGCACATAAAGCAACAGTGATTAGCAACAGGCTGTTACACACCGCTGTGATATTATCATTATTATTATTATTATTATTAGCGAGGAGCATGTTACACACAAAGCAGGCAAATACAAAAAAAGCAGAAAAGCAGAGAGCCTTTCTAGAGACAGGAGACTTCACGTTTTAGCTGCTTTAGGCTCCCATCCATGCGAGGAATATGACAAATGAGTCACAGCACAAGCTGGCGTTCAATCACATGTCAGATTTTCTAAGAGTTTCAATGGCTGACTCATACATCCAACACTTCAGTTCAAGTTTGTTTGTTAAGCGCAACTTGATGAGACATCACAAGTAACACCAGGAGGCTTTCATCTGGGAAAATTAAGAGTTAACCTGCATATTTTATCACTTCTCCTTTAATCCTTCTGGCCGGGAAGTCCATAACTATTCTGTTTCTATTCCTTACAACTACTGCTATCTGCTCTTCTGCAGGTTCTCAGCGCTTTAAAAATACATTACATACAGCCCACATAGAGATGGGGCTGCTATATTTTCATTCATCTCCTAAAATGAATTTGGAACAGTTGCATCAAAAGTATTACATGACTGCAGAGAGGTGTTGGCTCCTAGTCTGCACTAACTTCAGTTTTCTTTCTTCACTGCCACTGGGGGAAAGAAGATCTGTGCAGTTTTGGGAACACTGGAAATAGCTCCCATAAAGTTCCTCAGTGATATTCTCTATTAGCCAATACTCATATACACCCTTGAGCTGGTGGTGCACCAGTTCTGTGCATAATTAAGAGAAGCAAATAACAGAATTACCTCAGGGTTATTTCTTTAATGTGTCTACATTTGATAAATAAAAGCCTAAAAATCCTCAATTTAAAATGTTTTTCTCACCATTTTCTTTATATCCCATTCCCAGGATAACCTCTGGGGCTCTGTAGTATCTAGTCACCACATAAGGGGTCATCATGAAGCTGGTGCCTGCAGTCCTGGCCAAACCAAAGTCCAGGATCTTCAGAGTGCAGTCTGACTTCACCACTATATTGCTTGGTTTGAGGTCCTGAAGATGAGAAAAGAAGGTATTTGACATAATGACAGATATGCAGCTGCAAGTTAGTCCACTCTGAGACAGTCTGTCAGCTTATTTCTGAATTTTTTTTCTAAGTGGGCAAAAAGAATGGTAATTATTTTGCCATCAAGAGCACAGGTTTAGATTTGAGAGCATTTTGACACATTTGGGATGTAGACTCTTTAGATTTTCTGCTGTGGTTTTGATTAAAAAGATCAAGACCACCTTTTTGTCTCTATTAAGATACCATCTTGCTTTATTTTGGCACTAAGGGTGGTAAACTCCTGAATAATAATGGACCATATTCACATATAAGCATGAGTAGCTATGAGATTCTGACAGTAATATAACCTTAAAGTAGGGCTGGGCGATAAAACAATAACGATATATATTGAAAATTAATTTCCCTCAATTTCAATATAAAACATGGTCAATATGCTTTTCGATAGTCGGCATTCTGCCATGTTTTGGTAAAACATGGGAAATTCTCTTTCCCAGTTAAAGGATGATATCCTGATGACTTTGTCCAATATTGATAGTTTACATAATTAACTCCATGTTGATGTCATGTTAAACCCCTAAAAAGAACTTTTTGAGTGTCGATTTTAGAGCTCACCTTTAACAAAGCCAGGACAGCTGTTTCCAATCTCTGTCTCTGTTTCTAAGCCAATAGACTGCTAGCTTTATTGCAACTCTCCTCACATCTCTCCAGGAAGAAACTACATTCCTTTAATGCATAACTTATGTAATATCATCCTATGTTGGTCATATATAATCAAAATCAGGTCCATTTAAATTGCTTTTTACCCTCCCCGGCTCTGCTAACTCTCACTGTCAGCCAGTGTGCGTCTTCCAATTGACCTATCAGCAGGAAGGTTTATCTGGACGAGGAAACCAATCCAATATTACCTTGATCCTATTTCCCTTCTCTGTCGGTGCACCAGGCTGCTAGTCAAATCTGTTGGTGCCTTGACAATTACGTCATCCCTCATAGGCTTTTAACAAGCGAACAATGCCAGTTGTGTTTGGAAAGACAACAAGTAAATCCAGAGATTAAAGCCCGCTCACGGTAGTGCCTGCTGGGTGTCCTTTTGACTGCCCATTATAACCAGAGTAATGTCACGATTTAGAGCAAAATTACCCATGTTATACCTCAATCTGGTAGAAGAAAACAAACCTGTTAAATTCAGTAGGAAAATAAGAAAGTTGAGGGGTATTTCTTTCCTACCCTGTGAATTATGCCGGCTGAGTGCAGATGTTTGATGCCACACAGCATCTGGTAGAGCAGGTAGGACATTCTCTCGTGGTCAAGCTCCATCTGGATCACCTGGCACAAGTTGGCATCCATCAGCTCCATCACTAGATACCTGAGAATTGTTCATCTCTTAATTAGTGAGTTGTTCAATGAAACATCTGTCTATAAAAATCATTTTAAAGGGATAATCCGGCATAAAATTAAGTTAGGGTCAAACACACCATAACCAACTAAACCAACTTTAGTAACAACTGCATGATAGCAATACAGAGAGCCATGTGCTAAACCAAAACGCCACTCTATAGCCACAAATAATGCTCAGAACAGCACCTAACTTCATCAACAGGACATATAGGGTCCCAGCCACAGCACGAGCTATCAAACATCTTTTTAACTTTGCCTGATTTCTTTAGCAAAGAGACTAAACACAACTCACCTACTCTCTTCCAGCAGCCTCTTGTTTGTACAGAGACCTCTGGGTGAGTCCATCAACTGCAGTGGGGTGACGCAGCTCAAGGAAGAACATTTATGATCATTACTTTATCATTTCCTTGAAGTAATAATCACCATAAATATCATTTTGCACTGCAGACGCGGTAGTTCCTCTGCCTTAGCATCTCAGTCTGATTGCATTTCCATGAAGAAATGATCATAAATGTTCTTCCTTGAGCTGAGTCACCCCACAGCAGTCCGTAATGGACTGGCCTGAGGTCTCCATACAAACAAGGGACTGCTGGAAGAGAGTAGGTGAGTTGTGTTTAGTCTCTTTGCTGAAGAAATTAGGCAAAGCTAAAAAGATGTTTGGGGGCTAGTGCTGTGGCTAGGACCCTATATGTACTGTTGATGAAGTTAGGTGCTGTTCTGAGCATTATTTGTGGCTGTAGAGTGGTGTTTTGGTTGAGCGCGTGGCTCTTTGTATTGCTACCTGTGGTCATTACTAAAGTCGGTATAACTCAAGAAGCATGTCGGCAACATTAATCTCTTGACGGGGTGTCTAACTCGGTGTGTTTGACCCTTACTTAATTTTATGCCGGAATATCCCTTTAATACACATAAAACCCTTGAATGATTTAATAAAATGAGTGTTAAGCGGCATTTAAAACCTTTTTCTGGTAGAAAACATTAAAATGTCACAAAGACACGTACAGCCCTCTACAGTGACTTCTACCTAGAGATTGTTCTAAAAGTGAAAACACTCATTCATCATTCAGCACAAGGAGGAGATACATTCAGCCGCCTCAGGTTACACCTACAGTATTTTCACTGACTTCACTCCTGCAGGTGCAAAGGAGGAATACATGAGCTCATAATGAAGAAGTTTCCTTCCCTTTCTCTGTCATATGATTTGCTAGATTAAATGAAATCAAGTGGCCGAACATCACATCAGAGCTATTAATATTTGGTTTAGGGAAATTGTAATTATGCAGGTTTAATATACTCACACATCCTGGAACTCCTCTAATGATTTCTGTGGTGTGAAGACATTTAATAAACTGATAATCTGAAAGAGATAAGAGCAAGGAGAGAATACACATGCAGCAGTTTAATATCCACACCAAACAGTTACAGAGGATACACGTTTGTAATGACCGTGATGAAGGACACTGCCGAGCTCTAGATGGAACTGAGTTAGGACAAAAGCGAGAGGGATGAATGTGGAGGGGAGGAAAAAAGGACAGAGAAGAAGAAAAGAGCACAAACTGCAGTGCCGGAGATTACATTCATGCCTCGGAGTGCTCTCTGTTTCACTTTCCTGCCAGTTTTCTACATTTCTGGAGGCAAGGAATTTAGCACGGCCACAACATTGCACTTGCTTGTCTCCGTTTTGTAGGGAAGAGATTTAACCAAAAATAGACCCAGACTGGAGCACCGTCGGAAACTGTGATTCAATCTGACAATGAAGCTGTCTTCTTATTCCCCCCACCCCAACCTCTGTTTCACCTCACTTACATTTTTGTGATTGACACATTTCATGAGCACCAACTCCCGGTAAGCCCTCTTGGCGTGGGTCTGGTTCTGGAAGGGTCTGCTCAGCTTCTTGATGGCTACATTTCTGTCCAGGACAGCATCATAGCCCGCACTGTTAGGGAATAAACATAAGAAAGAAAGCAGAGTGGTTATGTTTAGTATTCATAGCCCGTTGTGCATGATTGCATGACACTGTGACAATCCCTGCTGATTATAACTGGTCACAGAAACAAAGGGATTATTTCCTCCGCAAACACACAGCTTCGCAGGAATAGGAAAACTTATAAGATACTAAATGAGAGAAAATAAGCAAAATAGAGATAACTGGTCACAGAAACAAAGGGATTATTTCCTCCGCAAACACACAGCTTCGCAGGAATAGGAAAACTTATAAGATACTAAAATGAGAGAAAAATAAGCAAAATAGAGATTTTTCCCTTGTTAATAAAATCCTTGTGTCAACTGATGAGAACACTCCTATCATTCATTCATTCATTCTCTTTCCATTACATGAAAAAACCCACAACGCTGAAAGCTTCGGATCTTGTCATGGGAGTAAAACCTCTGTGGTTTGCCTCATTACAAACAAACTAGCTGGCCACATGGGTAACAGACTTGGAACTGGAATACCAAGAGATCCCTCAGCTCCAGCTTAGTATTATTGAGAGTTGTATTGAGATCGTTGATAATAAAAGGCATTTTTTTTTCTTTATTAGATAGGATAACTGGGACAGGAAATGCTGAGTTGGGGTCAAACCAGCGGGCACTGCTACAAGGACTATAGCCTCTGTAAATGGGGCATGTGCTTAGCGTCTCACTATCTGGCATTTTTCCTTTATTTATTTACTTTTTCAACAACTTAAGCTTGATAACAAGCCAGCTGGGCTTAGGAAATGCTGGAAGGCCAAGAAAATAGATTTTCAGAGTGTTGCTGCTTCTGGACAGAATTTAGCCAGCTGTTTAGCTAAACCTCTCGACTCCAACATAGTATTATTATGAGTGGTGTTAATATTAATAGACATGTTTACTTGTTTTTTATTTGTTTTATTTAGAAATTAAACTAGTTTGAGAGAAGCTGGTTACTTTTTGTAAGAATTTATTATTATTTTGCCCACGTCTCAGCAATCGAAAGAATGGTATAAATTGTTTACACCTCCGTGTGACAGAAACCATTTACAGAGATTTCTGAGGTAAAGTATCTGGGTAAGATGAAGGTTTTTCTTTTCAACAAAGTGTCTAAGCCAATTTCAGATGTCATTACAGCTGAGGGACTTCTATGCAAGCCCAGCACAATGCTGACGTCCTTAAAAACCTTTAGGATCTCAGCTCTTTGTGCTGATTTGTGTCTGTTTTCAATAGCAGGGAGGAAAACACAGCCACAAAGAAGCCATAAACATCGACCATTCAGTTCCATCTCAGACTGGGCCTTTTCTTACAAATTCTCCCTATAAGATGCTACAAATTGTGTCTCAGAGCATCTGTATTCAGGCTTAATGCAGCCATAACGAAGACAGTGCTGTGAGTGGGTTTGTGCATGGCTGGGCTGAATACACCGACTGTGGTTTGTTCTTCATGTCTCTGGAGAGACTGCAGGCCAGGGATGGTGTGTGACCATGGAAACAGTGGAGTCTTCATAAAAGCATTGATTCAATAGGGATTTAAGCCTGTCATCACTTTTCTAGCTGAGTGAAAGATGATGTCATGACCAGCTAAACTACTTAAAGGCTTCATCCTTCCCTAAGATGCTTCTGAAAGCTCATCCTGACCGAGCACAAGAGTCATAAGGGCAGCGATGTGAACAGATTGGGACGTTTGCGGGCGACACCATTGGCAGAGGGAGTCTTAGAAGCTGCACCAGTAAAGAACGTTTTTTTCCCCCCTCATTAATATGTCCCCAGGATTTACAGGGACGAGAGTCTACCGGTTGCATAAGAGAGTCAGAGTACTTTACTAACTGTTGATTTCTCTGTGTGCACTGTCAGCTGCAGTGAGTGCATGTCCCGCATGTTATGGCTGTTATTAGAAAGGGATTTGCCTGTCTGTGCAAAATCAGGCAGATGTTGTGTTGTGATGATGTCACCCAGTTGGGGATTATGCTCATAGTAATGTGCAGTAAACAAGTTGCTCTAATTATTTAATCATCGTATTTCGACAAGACTCCCTTTTGCAAGAATTGACGTCACAGTTGTTGTTACCGCACTTGTCAACAGCTGATTAAGACTATTACCATTGTGTGCCCCCTTTAACCTGCAAAACCATTAGGATATTATATCAGTGACTAAGATGTGCATGGTAAATTCATCACATTATGACACCAGATGACAGCTGCAGGCAGACCCCAGCAGCACACAGCAAAGCAGGTTCAATTAGATTTGCACTGTCTCCCTGCCATCTATCTCTACAATATCCTTCAAACGGGCACAATCCCAGCATTAGCAGCTACAGCCAGCCTGGCCTGCCTGTCTCCCTGTCTGCCTGCCTGCCTGCCTTCCTGGGCTCCTTTGCAAAAAATTGCCTCGGAGCGGAAGAGGAGAAGAACTGAGGGCATGGGAAGCAAAGGAGAGACAATGAAAGAGGGCGAGTGGAGAGCAGACGGGTTTAAAGTGTTCAGAGCCAACGATTCTTCAGACACTTTATAAGCAAATCCATGTCAGCGTGGGTCGACCCTGTGGCAGTGGTGCTCCAGCTTTAACATAAATATCAAGTCATAGATCTTTTAGGCTTTTGACAAACACTGTAAGATGCATTCCTTTAAGTGGAGCCTTGGCAGTGGTTTCTCTGCATTCTGACAGGGCAGGCGTGAGATGAATTACAATGAATAAAAGCTCCCTCTGCAATCCGGATTAAGGAATCACTTAAGTGCCCATCTTGTTAGGCCCTAACTGCCCACACATCCATATCCTACATAACAGACATGTCACCACAGCAGTTCAGAGACCTCTTCACATGTTTTCTATTATAACAGAAATGATGTTTGGTCACTTTCTTAAAGGAACAGCAACATGAATATTTGTATTTCACTTATATTTTCTTTATCCCTACAAGACCTAAAATAAAATAATAATCTACCATCAATCACTTGATTCAAAATTAAATTCCAGAAAGGGTCAATAAACGACGAACTAATGGATCATTTTCTGTTGAATTTGTATTGGCAGCTTAAACCACAGATTGTATTAAACATGAGTGTAATCTCAGTGAAGTCAAAGGCATTTTGGAGCCAAACGATGGCGGTCACCATTTTGGAAATGCTGACTCAACCTAACTTTCAGTCATCCTGGAAATAGACAAGAAAGTGGAGCTGGGGTAAGTCTTAACCTTCCTCCTCTGTTAGCTTTTACTACGCACTCACTATGTTAAGGGTCAGTTTTGACCCGTGCCTTGAATTAGCTGTAAATTATGCTAAAAACAGTTCTCTATTATACAATTTTGTTTTCATCTCTAGGTTACCTTAATTTTCCATCAAAATATTGCTTATAATATTTTTGTTGTGGGCCTCTGGGACTTTTTTTGTCAGTATACCCCAGACATCCATACTGAATTGATCTCAAATGTCTAGACATGCCTGTTGTTTTTTGTGCAGGGAAATACATGGCAAAATGAGAATTTCCTAAATCTCACATGATTGAAAGAGGATCTGACTGTCAGTGTGATGCCTGGCGGTGCACATATGATTTCAGTTTTTGCTCTAATTATTAGATATTAATCAAACCGGGTCAACAGGGACCCCAACACGACAAGTGCCATAATTTCATAAGAGCATTTTATAATTTAGTCAATTAAATTTTTTTATTTTTATTTTGTTAAAATAGAGGTTCCTGACAAAGTCAAAAAGCCTGATGCAAAAAAGCTAATTTAAGTGGTTCTTTTAAGCATTTAAAAACAAAAACAGGTCAGTGCAGACCCTAACACAGGACGAGGGTTACGCCTCATAGCTGACAGATGTAAACACCGCAATTATGCGTCACTGCCAACATCAACGTCTCCTTAAACGCGTGATATTTCATTTGTGTACTATTTCATTTTTAATCTTTGTACATGGAGAGCAACTTCTACCTGAGTCCGTTTCCTAAATCACAACATGTGAAATGACAGAAGATCACATCTAACAGTTACTGTCGAGTGTTCATTGATATTGTGTTATTATTTCTAGCTATGCTATACTATTAAATTAGATTTTAAAAATAATCTTAAATAGTAACAGTCTGAGCCATAGGCACAATAGTACAGTAGTATAAATCTGAAATTTATTTTTAGTAGGATAAACCCCTTGAAAGGAGTCCTCTTGTTTTCAAGGTGGTCCTAAATGAACTTTACCAGATTAGAGAACATGAATTATTTAGATGTATTTGCTCTCTTACTGAAATTTTTGCATGCAACTGTAAAAGAGTACACTTCAAAAAGTAGAACTTCCCCAAATTCACATGTATAACTTTGATTCATTCACTGTCTTCTTTTTCCTTAGCTCTAGATTTCTGCGAATAAGACATGAGGCAGCATGCTGTGCTTCCAGATGTTATGACTGGTCAGGAGCCACATCTGAGTTTTCAGAGGGATTGAATAAATGACTTTGATATCGCCTAATTACACCATCACGGATCATGAAGAGTATGTACAATCTCATCAAATTGAATTTTCCTTCACTCGGCAGTGAAAACAATAAACCTCCCTTAATAATCTCCCAAAGCAATAAACTACAAGACAATTAGAAACAACAACCTACAGTTAAACAACATAATTGCTCATTAAGCACTACATAAAAACATAAAAAAATAGCTTGATACTGTGTAAAAGAGGGCATAAAAGAAATGTACTGTTGAGTACTTACCAAACTATTCCCTGAGCTCCAGAGCCAATGGGCTTTAAATTCTGGTAACGTTTTAAAACTGTGAAGGTAGAGTCTCCCACTTCCACACTGTAGAACTGGTTATCCACTTTGCTTTTGCTCATGTTGTAATGTTTGGCAATATATGACACATCCACTTGTTTTCCAAAACCCTGAACAGAGAAGGAAACAGTTTTATTGATGGGTTTAACTTACCTGAAAGAGAATCATCAGTGTGCAAACTTATAGAGAAACGTACCACAACAGATATCAATCTAAATATATTTTCATGCTGCTCTATTAGTAGCTAATTTGTATTTTACAGATCAGAGAAAATGAGGGTAACAGACTAATTGGTAAAGCTGGGTATGCAGGATAACAGGAGAGGACATGCAGTCCAGTTGAGTTTACGCTAAATCCTATTTCTATGCAGAAGTGTACACTCTATAATCCCTGTGTCATAACAATCGTGACGCCGAAGTCTTTTCTGTGGTTACCAGACTAAAGACATCATTCTGTCATGAATGTGCACACAATAATCAAGCTATAATTACTTGGGCAGTGCAGTCGAACAAATGGTGCCACACACAAAAAACAGTTAATTACAGACAGGGTAATTACAACAAAGCTCACACAGCAAAAACAAAGCTGTGCCACTGTGTGTTATTATCGAAGGGCACACAAGTTCCCACTGACGCCATGAAAAATTCATATATGTGATGTAATATATTTAAATTCAGCATGGCTGGGAGGTCGTACAAATCTATGATCTAATCATTCAATGCATTAGGCTGCAGTGTCAGCTCTGGAGCCACTGGTATCTGCAGTGACTACTAGGCATCAAGCTAGACTTGTGTCATGCAGACGTGTCGTGCAAGGAGTCTGAACAATTTGAGTCAATGGATTAGCCTGTAGGCTTTCACTACGGCTCAGCCTCACATGTAGACCCTTTACTATAACGTCTACAGAGCTTGTAAAACTACACCCCCACATATTAAAGGGATATTCCAGCGTAAAATTAATTTGGGGTCAAACACACCATAACACCGAGTTAGAGTCCCCCTCGAGAGATGATTGTTGCGACCGCTTGCTTCTCTAGTTATACCAACTTTAGTAACGACCGCACGATAGCAGTACACAGTGGTCTCAGGAGCCACATACAAACCTCAACCAAAACGCCACCCTATAGCCACAAATGATGCTCAGAACAGCACCTAACTTCATCAACAGTACATATAGAGTCCAATCCATAGCACTAGCCACCAAACATCTTTTTTGCTTTGCGTGATTTCTTTAGCAAAGAGAATAAAGACACCTCACCAACTCTCTTCCAGCAGCTGCTTGTTTGTAGCGAGACCTTGACCAGTACATTATGGATTGCAGTGGGGTGACGCAGCTCAAGGAAGAACATTTATGATCATTACTTTATTATTTCATCAAAGTAATAATCACCATATCAATCAATTTGCTCTGCAGACACGGAAGTCCTTCTGCCTTAGCGTCTCGGTCTGATTGCATATTCATGTAGAAATGATCATAAATGTTCTTCCTTGAGCTGCGTCACCCTGTTGTAGTCTGTAATGGACTGGCCTGAGGTCTCCCTACAAACAAGTGGCTGCTGGAATAGAGTAGGTGAGTTCTGTTTAGTCTCTTTGCTAAAGTTAAGCTAAAAAGATGTTTGGTGGCTAGTGCTATGGCTGGGACCCTATAGTACTGTTGATGACGTTAGGTGCTGTTCTGAGCATTATTTGTGGTTTTAGAGTGGCGTTCCGTTTGAGGTTTGTTTATGGCTCCTCAGACCGCTGTGTTTTGCTATCCTGCGATTGCTACTAAAGTTAATGTAACTGGAGAGGCAAGCGGTCGGCTATATACATCTCTCGGGGGGATGTCTAACTCTGTGTTATGTTGTGCTTGACCCTAAATTAATTTTACGGCGGAATATCCCTTTAACTTTACCATACTGCTCTATCTTGTATTGTTCTGTACTTGACATTTATTTCCAGTGTCACCTTTTTAGTGATCTCTTTTCTTTATTCCTAAATCAATACCGCTGATGTAAACTCAGACTTGAATTGCAACACTTTTTACACACACAATAACACAATACAAGTTCACAACAAATACGGCAATGAAAGGGGAAATGGAAGTGAATGAATACTGTACCTTTTTTACCTGTAAGGAACACACACCTGACAAAAGGCTATCTTCACATCCAGGATTGGTTGGCTGCAGTTATATAAGAAATGTCTGCTCATAAATACCTGCAAGACACAAAGAGACGAGAGCCAGAGTCAGACGGTGTGAGTGCGTGAGGTAACTTGACTTCAATACACAAATGTACGCACTCTGATTATTTTGTAGATCTGGTTTAAACTGCACCAAAAAGAAACAGCTGATCCACAGTGGTGTCCTTCTATGAGCCATGAATGTTAACGCTTGATTCAGCACAAATAGAGGCAGCAGCTAACTCAAGTCGTACATATCCACACATTCATAATCATTTTTTTAATATGCACCATAAGCACATATGGAATAAACAGAGCAGCCAATTACCAACACTATAAACCTTTTCTTTTATCCACTGAGACTGCATGCCCTTATCAGCCCTCACATTTTATCACTCTAACACTCATTAACCTCTCTGACTTTCAGGGGAGCTGTGAATTTTGAGATAACATATGCTGTTTCACAGAGATGTATAATATGCTATCATACATGAAGCCAACTTTCAAGGAGCTCACACTACCAGGCACATGCATTTGCATAAAAGCAGCATTGTCATTTTTGGCACAGAAAAGGGGCTTTTTACTACAAAAGGGGGTAATGGGTCAATTTGGTATATATATGCAGATTTGCACATTTCCGGAGGCTTTTTTGGCAGAAAAATTCAAAGGATTGCCACAAAGGAATACAGGACAGTGGCTCCCACACTGAGCAAGAGCTGGAAAGGCTGCGGCTATCACCAATGATGGCTCTGGCTTCAATGATTTTCCAGGTAATGAAGCTCCCAGAGTGCTGATGATTATATGTTCTGGATAGATTCATGTGTGGTGTTAGTGTTGGCAATAAAATAATAGAAAAAAAAAGAAAGAGTGGGAGCTGTGATAGGCCCGCAAATGCTTTTTTGCAATCTCATCCCTTCACAAATTTTAGATTTGCACTTGAAGGCTTTGTGGTTCTCCCTCAGGAAGGTTAATGTAGGGCTTTCTGGACACACATTTATCACTTGGCTCCACCAGTCCTCCAATAATGTCACAGACGAGGCTTTAGTGTCTGTGCTCAATCTAAAAGAAGCAGGGCGGTGAAAAAAAAAAGGATGTGGGACACAAAGGTTTGAGATTTCTGCTTTGGCCTATTTAGATTGACCTTTTACTTCAAAAGCATGCAGTGACGGTGCAAAGTGATGGCTGACATCCCTGCTGTGTGAACTTTTTGGATGGGTTTGCTACATTTTAAATGGCTAAAAGAATAAAGAAAAGGGATGCATAAAGGATTTTAAATGTTACCTTTGTTTACAATCCATACATCGGCTGCAATCCCTCAAGCTGCCATTGTAATTCCACAAAGCACCTGAGTGTTTGTCACGACTAACAGCATTGACACAACAGTAGATGACAGTATTTGTTGTTAATCTGATAGATCAACACCAAAAAATCCCCAACATGCTGCACTCACCATCTGTGTTCTGCTATATTCTCTAGCCATCAGTGTTTAGGGTCTTAAACCTCTTATGTTCTTCTTCCAATAGTCATAGTTGTATTTACAAAAATGTCTAAACTGTTGTTTCAGATGGTTTTAAATGGTGTTAGACATTGTAAGTAGCAGACAGTACTTCAGTTGAACACTTACAATGGTAAAGATTGTGGTTTTTACAGTTTAACAGTATAATGGCTCCGATCCAGAACGGTGGCGATTTTAGCCATCCGCCAATTCCTACCAGATCTGTTTGCGAGGCGGATTTCGTGGTAGATTACAGACAGCAAGAGTCGCAAGAACTCACAAGAACCTGCGGATTCACGTGCAATCGCGCGATAACAAGTTGTCTTTAGCCACATAGGCTAACCATATAAGCAGTAGATTGTGTCCTTCCAGAGAAGGAAATCTACTTCTAGACTTCTAAAATCAGCATCCCCTCATCCATGGTGTCATCAGGATCGTCTAAAAACCTTTCACTTGTTCATCCCCACCCGTTTGCATGGTGCGAAATACGATTCACCTGAATCACAGGTTGTTTTATTTTGGACAGAAGCTGGATGTTTTATTTTGTGTCTCTGCCTGACTTCCTTATCAGCACAAGTTAATCTGTGCTGAATTTATCCGGCAACTCTTGCGATCAGCTGCGGAGTCTGGCGATCCGCAGCAGAACGGAAAGAAGCCAGTGAAAATCGACACATTAACTTGAATGGTTACGATCAGCTATGATCGGTGGATGACAGCACGACAATTGGCCATGTTCTGATAGTATGTCTTTTTAAATCAAGACATACTATCTTGGCCAACAGGGCCAATATAGAGTACATACAAACCTATTAATGTTTTATTTGGATTAATCCCACTTTATCAAAGTCACAGTGAGTATAAGGATATGTATGATAGGCTACTAATAAAAAGAAATGCCATAATTTGACAGATCTCTTTTGAAATAGAAGGAAACACACCGAACTGCAGAAATAAATAAAATAATCTTTTTTAATTATCGACAGTAAAAGCACTGTGCTTACATTTGACTCAGCTCAATTATACGAGTCTTTCACATTAGTTAAAACCTGAGGGGTCACCTTAGGTGAAGTGTTAATCCTGCAGGTTCTGAAAAGAAAAGGAGCAGAATTATGAACTGCGCAACAATTTTACCCAATAAAAGCCCTTTTGTGGCCTTCATGTCTGACAAATGTGAGTCTAAAAGAGAATGTCTGTCATATCACGAAAAAGACAAAATGATTTGTGTAATTATTAAAAACAATGAATCAAGAAGATGTGACAAAAATGTCGAATCATTCGCCACCAGAGCAATTGTTCCCCAAAGCAACTGAAGCAGACAGAGAGTCAAACTGTAGATTCTGTGATTGTATTTGTTCAACCACTCGAGCAGATTCTGCTGAGAGTGGTTGTGGTTGAAAAGCTGCTCTGATTGCAGTGAAGACTTAACTCAGCACAATCTTCAGATGTCATATATCACTCCCCCAATGAAACGTGTCATGAGTAAAAGCCAGTGTCAGGGCCTAAAGAAGCTGAATTTAAAGAAAAATCAAGCAATTCAAGATTTCTTTTTCTACTGCAGCTCATTTTAGTGATGGATACAAACATTACAGATGTGTTGGATACAAGAGTGAGATTATGGTTTGATATGCTGACCCAATCAAAAGTTCACTTTTTCCAGCAAGACTTAAATTTACATAATGCTTTATGGTCTCAGCTTATCTTGACTCTTGGAGAATATGTTGGTATAGTTGAGGTATTTCTATAGAGAATAAACAGAAGTCTGCCATTTACTCTCTAGAACCAATAAACATTCATGCTCCGTTCCAAAAGACTCGAACTCATGACCATCTCTGTCAGGCAAATTTGCTACCCACCCTATTTATGAGGCCTTTTCCAGTACAAGTTTAGATATATTTACAGTGTAGTTTATCGCTAATGGTCAAAATCTGTGGCCAGCACTGGATTAGGAATGCAAAATACACAATCCCCACACAGGAAGACCCACACCAGTATAAAGAGAGAGAGCTCGAACTCTGACTTGGGATGTGAACCGTAACCTTCTCGCCAGTGCAAATCACAACTCTAACTCCATATGGGACGGCCTTGATTCAAACTAATTTGACAACTTCCAAGAAAGGCCTCGGAGGTTGACCCCTGAACCCTTTGGCTGTGAGATAGCAGTGCTCCAAACCCCACTAACATGCAGCCTGTCAGTGATTACTTGAACAAGTTTTTCTTCCTCTACTTTTTTTTTACATGACACAGTACATTTTAATGCTTCAAAACCATGTCCCATAGACCAGTGAGAGAAAGCCAGGACACTAGCTTCAAACCTGAAGGCCCTGACCAGGAACCAAGCCTTGAACTGTCTTGCTGTTAAGAGCAAGTGCTTACAACAACACTTAAATGCCAGTGTGTATTCAGTAGAGCTTTACTTCTTTTAGTACATTTGACTGGTTCAAAAGTATATTCCACAATCTAGTTTAAGAGAACCAGATCACTTAAGCTCCATACTGAAAGGCCCCTCTCACTATTTGATCCCACAAACTCGCTAACTTTGCCAACCACCATACCAGTGTGTCACTTTGCAGGGCTAAGATGTTCAGGTTTATATTCTTTTTAGTTCATGTCAGTTTGGGTGGTAAGAAGCCAAAATATTCCACAATCATACAAGGAGGCCCCTGCCAGGGTTTGAACCCAGAACCTGTCTGCAAGTTATGCTGCGTTCGAGTTACCTTGGAAGTCAGAAGTCCAAACTGAAAATGACGTCACACCCAGAGTTACCAGTGTTTCAGTTACCAAGTCGTAAAAAAGCAAATCGGAGGTGGAAACAAGTTGGCTACATCTACGAAAGTTATTTTAGTGCTTGCCTTGTCTGAATATAAGGTAAGTGCTAAAATAACTTTCGTAGATGTAGATATCTTGTTTCAGGCCTCCGATTTTGCTTTTTTCAGACATGGTAACTCAAACACTGGGAACTCGGGTGTGACGTCATTTTCAGCTCTGACTTCCGAGGTAACTCGAACCCAGCATTATGCCACTACTTACAGCTTCTTCTTTTTTTAGGTGTATCTAATTTCCAGTACTTTCAAAATAGCAGCCCAGTCTACAATGGGAAGGATCTAGAGCATTTTGTTTATGTCTGTGTTCTTGAGATAACCAACCAATGTGATCCTAAGTTCAGCCGAAAAGAAAAATCTGAGCCAATGGCAAAGCAAAGACTTAATAAATCTGAAGCATCATTAAATTGGGTTTGAGTTACATTCTGAATTTAAGCATCTGAGCCTGCCGCTGCAGCACACTCAGGAAACTCCACTAAAACTTAAGGCTCTCTGTTATAGAAACACAGATTACAAAAGGACGTTTTTAATCATGAGGCGACAGTAATTCAGCGACATTTTAAAGAAGCTCAAGACTGAGACCAAGAAAAAGACAGAGTGGGATTTTATCTTCCTGAATGGGTCAATGCATTTCACTGATAAATCACACCATTCATCTCCAGTGCTGGCCAAGCTTATACTGAGTTATGCTAGTGTGTGTGTTTGTGTGTGTGCTCTGCAGTTGTGGCTGGTCCTTGGTGTTGGGCATCCTGTTACATCCCCCCTCATGGGCACAGCGTTGCCTCCAGCAAACCAGTCATCACTTTTCAGATCCTGGGAGGCAGCGGGTTGTCATACAGCAGAAGCTGTTAGTCCATTTTAGTCTAGAGTGAGATGCTCTGTTCTATCTTGTAGCTTAAATGCAAATCAGTCAGGGTGCATCTCTGCCCAATGTTGTTATAATCTCTGTTGGTGTAAAGTCAGATTCCATAAGAGATTGTTGTGAATTAAAAAGGCTAAGGATCTGCTTTAATTCTTATAGTCAATCCTGTCCATGTTTGTAACAAGGTGGCTTTGACTGTTTCTGGTGGTTTAGATGCTTTTCCACTTTAATGCTTTGCACTCCCTTGCTACTGGCAAAGCAAGATCTATGTACCTACATTCATATTTATTCCACTTGTCTGACATGTTGATTCCCAGAAGACTAAAGAGACACGTAAACACCAGGATATCAACATGCCAACAGAGCTCCACAATAGAATGAGCAGGTCCAAACATGTCAAAGAAAGTACCTTAATACTTCTAACAATAACAATGTCAACCTGTTCATTTGATTGAATAAATCCTGTGCAATATCTTAAATACCACCAGTCTATGCCTTCAATTCTTAGAGCACTTAAGAACTTTTCTGCAAATATACTATAAGATATCTTCTCACTTGATTTCTATATGAAGGTCTTGATCCCACTTTTGCCTTAAATAATCTGTATTTCACAGTGAGCTCTCAACATGGGCATTACAAACCTTTAAGCTAACTTTATCCACACTCTTCTCCTTGTGATTTACTAGACATTACATTTTGACAGCTCAGATTCTTGCAGAGAACCTGGCTCAGTGTTCACCATGTTCCTTGTTTAAAAACACCAAAAAAGGTAGGGGAAGAAGGGTGTTGAGTTGGTTGTCAAGAATTTAAAAAATTATAATAATGCTGCATACCCTGTTAAGATGTATCACTGTTCCTAACAACCATGTCAATAACTACAGCATCTATTTAAGTCAGCTGAAACCCATCCCAGGAGAGTGAAACTGTCTGCAGCCTTGACTGCATCTTCCTCTTGTCTCAGCAGAAAGATCTAGATTAGCTTTTCTGTCTTTCTTCTTTTTGGTTATGAAAGTGAAAGCGGATATCTTAGCTTCTTTTCACCACTCTTCATCTGCTTCATCTGGTATTGTTCGACTTCTTGCTCAGCCAGTAAATATCTGTTTAAGGTTCTTTGATTCATTTGAGTAAAGGCCACAGCAAGGAGTCATTAAAGCTCCTGTAAGGAACTTTCCATTTTAATTCAATTTTGGCACCCCCTGTGGACAAGGCAGTCTTTGCTTATCTTGACTTCTACTTGCTTTAGTCTTTATTGACAAAAAATATAATCCTGCAAACTTTTGGCCATCAGATGTATCTTATATTGTGAATATTTCATACAGGAACTGCAAAAAACAGAGCTGTTTCTCCAGCTGCTTGGCTGACACCTACCCCCTCACATTGGTGTCAGGCATTAAAATGACAATATACATATTTTCAATCCTGTCCCTGATGGTCTCGTTCGCCTTTGGGTATCATGAAAAGGCGTAAATATGAATTTCAGTCTATTTCATAAATGTCAAAAAACTACTCATGGGAGCTTTAAATGAGTCAATATAGGCATAGAAATCTATTAACAATGCTGCATTAATTTAACTAAAACAAGGGTATTTATTATTAATTCATTATAATTAAACCCTTTTCATGGGTGTAAATATAACCAGTGGTTTTTAACAATCGCCTCTGTAGTTTTTATGCTTATTTGTTAAATGTCATTTCTGGCAGATACGCCTTAAAACTTCAATTACTGTCAATTAATGGCATCTGGCTACATTTCCGGACAAGAGTGCTCAATTTACTGCAGGTATTACAGGTTTAATTAATATTATCTTAGTTGTCCATGACACACAATATAAAGGATTGTTATTCATCCTGCCTTAGGTTTTCTTGCTATGATATGCTGTGACAAATCTCTGTTGTGCCTGCTGGCTCACTGGCACACCACAATAGAGTTTAGTTGACATGAAAGTCAATAGAAACACCTGTGATATCTTTTATGATTCACTGTTTTGCAGTCCAAACAAAACATTTGTTGGTGATGAAACAGAATATGCCTTTGTCAGATGAGATGTGAAATTAAAAGCACTTAAGTACAAATATTGCTCTAAAATATGACACAATAAACTTGTCTACCATCTCTGTATTCATCCGATTGAGCTCTATGACCCTGTGTTAGATTGATTCAATATTATTATCATCCATTAGCCAATCTTTTCTTAATATCTGACGGGAAATGTTTCAGGCAAAGGTGTAAGACTTCTCCGCTCAGGTATGAACAATAAACTGATTCAGTTTTTTTTAGAGTCATGCTTTTAAACCTTCACACTTTTATTCAAGAACAGGAAATGAGATATTTCCCATGTGAGATAAGAGCCCCTTTTATAACGTGATGGAGGATTGCAGCCAGGGGACATGTCATCCAATATCAAGTGGAAACGTCTCTTAATCTGTATCTGAATCTAAATATATGTGAATAGCTTGGGTCATGGATCAGCTCATTCGAGGACATTAAAGTCAGGACAGCTCTAGTGTAGATGACTTTGAATAATGTGGCCGGAGCCCCTCCACTATAGAGTCTATGTGGATGTTAAACCCGACAGCCCCCCCTGCAGAGGTGGATGTACGCTTGAACGTTGCCTGTGGTTCTTACATCAACTAGGGTGCTCATGTCACCATCAAGGAGCTATATGAGGGATTAGCAAGTAAACAGCATGTATGAATATGAGGCTGGCCAGTCATTGCTAGAGAAACTGGAAGCTCTCTGCTGTTAGGATGTTGTGGGAGCCAATACTTGGGCAACAACCGAGGATGTCCCACATTACGTTCACAGGTGTTCTCTAGAGAGATGCTGGCACAGAAAGTTCTGGCAAGCAAGTTAGATGCACAGAGGATTGGAATATTTTGTCCTGCTATATGCACAACTGTCTAGGTAGATAGAGTTTGTAAGTGGTGAGACATCCACCAGCCAGATTGCTTCTACACATGGCTAAGCTCGAAAACAGCCACAGCACAAAAAATCAGTGCGCATTATGGTGGCATTTTGGCTTCATTTTTAATGGAGGCACATCATCCATATTTATACACAAGCTGAGCACCTTTAAGGTAGCCTAAACTATCTCTAGCTTAGCCTGTATAAGAGCATAGTGCTTCTCTTTGCCACTCTTAAAACAGCGCTTGCTGGTAGGGGTCATGTACAGCTGTACAGTTTCTAGGAAAACACAACCTTTTTTTGTGGGGTTATGAATTTATAGTATTGGCAGGGCGCACTGATCAGTGCACTTGCCTGTACCTGACACAGCTTTAGCTTGAAGGCATTTCTGATATCTGCCTCAAAACAACTCTGGGAGACCTGCCAAGGATGTGTGTTTTATTCAGTGACTACACATTCAAAGCTACATGGGGTTTAAGTTCAGTTATAAACAATATTTTATGTCTACATTAAAGAGGTTGATTGACTGCTATGCTTCTCGTAAAACACAATGTGCCTGTATACACCCAGTACAGACTAGTTATTGTCTTCTGTTATATCCATCCTTGCTTCCTATCCTCCCACCATTTGTCTTTTCTTTGTTATGCTTTCAGGCTTACACACATTTTATAAATGTCACATGCACACCACAGCATCCTCCATAAGTCTTCATTCTCTCCTCCATTCTCCATCCTGATGAGAGCCTGCGTTCTCCTTTTCCTGCTTCCCTCTCTCTCTCTTTTGTCCCTCCCTCGCTCCCACCATTCCTGCTCCCAGGCTCCCAGCTTCGCTGCAACTGTCTTTCCCCTCCCCCTCCCTCCAAGCTCCATTGTGAGTGCTGCTTGGTTCAGCAGCCCCAGCCTCCCCTGCAGTACGCAGCCTTGCCTTGCCTTGCGATTTGCTGTGCAGCCTGAGCCAAACGCAGCACAGCCTCCCATACGGGCTCAGGGGAGGGGAAGGGAAGCACTTCAAACTGCAGACCCAGCCAGGAAAACAAGATAGCACCGACTCCTGAGCTCATCTACAAGCTGTGAGAATCTGAATGTTCGCTGACATCTATTGAGTTGTTTCTTTGGAGCTAACAAATACACTTATTCCTGCTCTGGTTTGCGTCTCCCTTGCACCCTTTGAATCACTTGAAGTAAACAACAGACATGTTAGCTGGAAAGACTGCTTACGCTGCAGGTTTTTGATCAGCTGCATGGTAGCCGCATGTACAGCGCTGGCAGGTGCATGAGCACAATCATATGATTTACAGCCTTTCTTATAGATCCTGAAACACACTGGATAGAGGGCAAGACTGGAGCATGCTTCTGAAATCACTTCGCCTGCAGTCAAACAACCTGCTCAATACCCATCTGTAACACATATCATAACAAATATATTTCAGCTCACATTATCAGAGCGATTTGGATGCCATGGTTACAGCAGGTAATGCTTTCAAAAATAGACAACTGCTGAAAAAGTATGACTCTTCTCTTGGTAGATTTTACCACGCCTTGTACCTGATGTACTGCAAGACCACTTCAGCACCGACCTTTAACGTGAGTGCATTGTGAGAAATGTACAAATAAAAGGCAGGTTTTCATGATTGTATTAAGTCTGGATTTGAAATCCTTTGATGGCAGGGTTACTACAATGTCTGAACCCCACGGATCCGTAATTCCCTTTACAGATGTGCTGTGCACAGACTGAGTCTAACACAGCTTAAAGTCTTGCACTCAGCTATCTGCAGAAAGCAAATAAAAGCTGCATATTTGTCAGATCAAATCCAATTATGTAACTGTGCATCACAGGCTGCAGGCGCATTTCTGTACATTGCAGCCCCAGGGGGGATCAACTTTCTTGCAGTAAGAATTTCATTTTATTTGTAAGAATGTGGGAAAAACCCAAACATGATAATGCTGTTATTGACGAGCACGACATGGCAAAGTTTCAACACAGACGGCTTTCAGTCCATATCTAAATGTGGTTCCACAATGTAGCTTACAGCCAGAATAATTACATGTAATTCTATGAAAACCACTACAACCAAAACCAGGAGTATTGGGAATTATATGTTCAACTTTGCAAAAGATTTCATATTTTTGACATAAAACCCCAAAGCTGTATTAGTGATATAGACAAACTCAATCCTCATGCAAACTCATGGTCCAGCATGCTCAATGTGTTGTTAGTCCTTCTCTCTGTCAATGATCCCTGGCTAATTTTCTGTGAACAAACACTTGGTGCACTTTCCCAAATGTGATGCAGGGTGACCTATTTTTCTTCAACAGTTATTTTCTTAACAGAATTATTTATCTTCTTTTCTTCTCACTTCCAGTCACAAAGCCTCACACAGCTGCGTAATTTATTTAATCTGTTTACGTGTTTGAGCTGAAATCCCAACTTGGAGGACTAAATCATGTAGACCACAGTATTCCAAAGCCAGCAAAGAAACCCAGTCAGGGTGACTGATTGATGAGAGCTTACCTATTGTTTCTCATCCATTCTCTTCTGATGACAACTTTGACCTTCTATGTAATCATGACAAGAACTTTGGCAGAATGGCTGTCAGAAGACTGATGAGGGTGTTTGGGTAGCAGTAATTGTTCTAAACAAAGTCCTGGACCTTTAGAGTCACAACTCAGTTAATCTTTGTTCTGTCTATCCTGAATTAATGAAGAAAATAGTTGTTGTTTTTTTTGTGGTGGGATAAAAGGCTTGTTTGTGCGATAAGGGCCTGTGTCCACTCGCATGTTTTTTTTAATTTATTTTTTGGGTTAGCAGTGCACACAACCCCACTTTCAAAGAGCCCCTCACCTCTCAGTGTTGTACTGGGCTACAAAAGTTTCCCCACAGCACCTAAGCTTCCCTGACCATTGAGTCTGTTTTCAAGTATCCTGTATCATTTTTGCTTCTTATTTGATGAAAGAAAACATGTAAATTTGCATCCTAGCATTATAAGCAGCTGTAAACCTTGAAACTGTACTCTCAAAAATTACTGTAGTTAGATTCTCCCCCATAAAGACCACCACAACTGATATTCAAAATGTTGATATCAGATGTACCGCCCCTTATCGATTTTGATTGGCTGGCGATTGCGGCATTGTCCCAAAAGCTTAAATCTTTTCAAACAGCCTACACTCAGGGCACATTTTTTTCTTTTGTGCAAAGGATACTGAGTACTTAAACCACAGAACTACTTTGGTTTTCAATTGTGAATGGACATTAAGCATGCCACCAGTAGACACAGGCCCTTGTAAATGCCCATGGTTCATCCTTAATGTAAATAAAGATACCGATCTGTATTGTTGTTGGTGGTGTCTGTTAGAGGGTCCCAGCACAATAAACCTCTTCATCTATTTAGACTGTGACTTTGGCACACTAACCCTTGGCACTCATTCTGTAAACGCTTTTTTTTTATAATATATGCCATTCCTGTTATTTTCTTGTTCGATTAATGATCTGGTTTTATACACAGTTCTTGCTTTTTCATAGTGTTAAACTAAAACTATATGGCTGTGAACCATCAGTTGCACAAAATCACACATTTATACACACATTTTTTTGGGGGGTGGTTTACTTTTCACTGTCTTTTAAAGAAGCAACACACTAAGAGGATCAATGGACAAGGACAGAAAATCAGCAGAATAACTGATTTTGAAAAATGATCATTAGTTTCAGCTGTTTCTCTTTACTTTATTAATCATACCTGCAATCCAACTATGAACTCATCTAGATACACCGCTTTATTCTGTTGCATAACCTAGGATTAGTAAACTGAGTCAGTAAAATAAAATGGAATTAAAATGCTAGCATTATCTGTTGTAAGATAACATTTGTCTGCTGCTGCCCATTTCCAGTGATGATTTTCCATTGGATGAATGAGTTGTCCACCTCAAAATCAATATCAGTGAGTATCCTGCAGTGTCTACCAACTCAAATAAAACAGATTGGTTCAGAAACTGAAGCTATTTTAGTACCAAAACAGAAATACTGAAGTGCTATGCAAGACAAATCAAATGCTCTCTTAATGGGAATGATAACAAGAAGTCAAGTGAACCTTTTCTTCTTCTAAAAGAGAGATGTCACTCTTTTCAAACACTGCAGAATAGCCATAAAAGGCTTTATTTAATTGTCAAGCGTGTTCCCTGCAGCACTTTCACAGGCATGGAAGCCTGCTCCTGAATTATTCAGCAGCCAAGGTCACAGCACTAAAACCTCTCTCTCCCTTTTCTCCTGAACGCCGAGTTTGTTGTGACACCTTTAAACCTTCACTGAGTCCACAGCACTGCACAACAGTAATTAGTCCAGGACCATGGGCATGCGCCAAACGAGTATGTGCAAGAATGTGAAATCTGAAAGCATAAACACAACAAAATTAGCACAATTTGATACTTTCCTAACACGTCTGGTTTCCTCTCCCATTGCAATGATAAGCGTCATGAGTGTCTCGCTAATAATGCATTAGCAGAAGATTGCCCTACCAGAGCAGATTGAGAGAAATTACCTTCCTCTGCCGCTTCATCTCTTTTAATCCAGGTGGAATGTAACCTGTGGTGAAAAACATCCCATCCTCTCTGCATTATGATCGCCTGACAACCCCTCCAGAAACCTCAACATCTTCCTCAAGAACGGGAGAAAAATATCAAATTAATCAATAAATACACCTTAATCCTGCCTGGTTATCTGCCCTCCAAAGCACTTGTCCTGGATGCGAGGGTGGCCCCACATCCCTGCTGAAGTAGTGATGGTCTGCATAATGCACAAGGTGCGCAGCTGACTTCTGAGGGGGAGGATGGACAAACTCTGCATGCAGGCCTACTGTAGCTGTGTGGCCCATGTAAGGCTCGTGTTTAGAGGAGCATCATCCATTTGCAGCACTGTGGCACTTCTAATCAAAAATGCATTGCGTGCTAACCAATAGTTATGAGTGTTTCTCCCTCAAAGTGGTTCAAATATGAAGGTAAACACAAGATGTAATAGATTAATAGCATGTATATTAATAACAAAGCCTATTGTGCAGTAGGGGTAGTGTGATTTTAATGTAAAGCAAATAATGAGTATGTGTAATTCTCAATTCGTATGGATGGTGATGCCAACATTTTGCCAGGTCGAGACTAACGCCACAATGAAATCCACGCACAGAGATGCTAGTCGTTATAAAACAACATCCGAGGCCGTGAATGCATCACGATAGGGTTGATTATTTTTTATTATGTCGCGGTCCATTTTTCCCACCGAGGCATCGCTAGTGGACTTCATTAACCTTCGCTTCCAATCAATATTCATCACTCCACCCTCCAGGCAGCAGCATCGCACCCACATTAAACAAACCCAGCCCGGCCCTTACCATTCCGTGCCAGCTGATGACGATCCCAGTCCGGTGACAGTCCTTTTCAAAACATCCCGACGCCAAACATCGCGCTGACCGGAGCCGAAAGCTTCATTTAGACGATATATGCAAAGATGGCGAAGGAAGGAAGGAAGGGGACAAGGCGAGAAAACAAACGCGATGAGGAAAAGGAAAAAAAACTGAAGCAAAGTTGGACGAAACAGAGGTTCGCTGATGCTGAATCACTCTTCCCTCAGCTCACCACCACCTTGCAACCATTGTGCTGCAAGATGCTGGCTGTACCATTGTGGACCTACCAGAGCACAGAGAGAGAGAGAGGGAGAGAGGGAGGGAGGGAAGAGGAAGAGGGGGAACAGGGAAATATGTTGCCATGGCGACTGCACAGGAGCACGTCTGACGTCAAAGCCTGAGCAGAGAGAGAGAGAGATCACATGGAGGCTGTGTCTCTGGTTGGAGGGGGTGTGGGAGCGTTTCTCTGATCCTGATCCCCTCCTTTACCGTCCCGCCAGTGTGATCATGAGGCTCAATGAGAAGATGGAGCCGGCTGGTATTGGTTTTTACATAAGTCCCTACAAGATGCCAACACCCTGGATCCCCCACTCTGAAAACCCCTGGTTTAAAAACAACTCAACTTGGGCACCAGGGTTGAAAAGGGGCCGACTACTGATTGGGTTATTTTGACCCAGAATGTTGGGTTATTCAAATTAACCCAAATTTTGGGTTGACTCAATAACTCTTTTTAAGGGTCAAGTTAACCCAACCTTCAATAATTTGACTCATGATCTTGGGTTAAATTGATATATGCATCTGGGGAGCTTTTTTGGGAGCTTTGCTTTTACAACCTTTACCGTCTGAGCCGGCACAGCTTTCAATGATACACACTCATGTTTATGAGGTAGGCCATAGCGCTAAGGGTCTTGCCTAAGGACCCACGCCAGTAGATGTACTTTGCTCCTCACAGACGTGTCTCATGCGGGATTTCGAACCCGAAATGAGATTGAAAACTGGGAACTGGATATCCTACCCGCTGAGCTATATTGTATATATCATATTGTACGTAGAGTTAATTGAACCCAACGTTGTATGAGAAAACTTCATGCAAAATGAATTTTGATAAAGGTTAAAATGAGGTCAATGAAAGTTCACATATACAATTTATCTTGAAATGTAAATAGGCTACACTCAAAGCACTTTTACATTACATGTTGCATCCATCCACATACTGATGTAAAGAGCCCATCAGTCTTTTTCGACTAATTTCACTCACACACCACCGGGCGGAGCCTGCAGGGTCGGGTGGGGTCAAGGACACTTCAGCATATGGACAGCAGGGACCTGAGATCGAACCCCCGACCTTCTGATTGGGAGACAACAATTCTACTACTGAGCCACAGCCACCTCTTAATATCACATCAGATTATGTTTAAATATAATAAAGCTGTTTTAGTGATATTTAATACTAAAAGCACTTTTCACTTTCTGCAGGAACTCTAAGCAGACACCAGCTGAGCAGAGAGATTACACACAATAAGCAATAGTACAAGAGAACACTTAATTCAGATGTAAGCTGTAATCATTATTAAATAAGATCAGGTTAGTGGAAATATTTGCTCTTTATAGCTTATTGGTGTGTCTACCTGTCGGCGCCTCTTTCTGCTCAGCTGGTGTCTGAGTGTAATTTGTACACCAGCCCATATTTTAGACAAGATTGTTTACTGATGAGATTGAAACTGTTATAACACCCCAAAATATCCCTGAGATGAAAAAAAAAAGATAAATAGGATCAGAATTCATATTTACAAATAGTTCTACTTATCAGATAACATGATTTCTAGAAAAAATAGACACAAGCTTGGCATATTGAATGTAGAATATTGATTTTAATTTTGGATAAAAATCAAGATCTGACGCAAAATTGAGTGACTGTCTTTCCAAAGCTTTTCATCACACTTCTTGGATTATTTTTTGCTCTCTCTTATCAGATATTTTCACCCCACGATGCTCTTTTTTTCTGGTAGCTATAGGCTTTGAAGGCTGATCTGTGATGAAAACATTTACGGTATGTTCATGCATCAATCACCCCATTCCTTAAAGTAATATTTGTGCTGGGTTTCTCCCTGCCTCAGTGAAAATAGTAAAACCTACAGACCAGTAGGAATGCTATGAAATCCCAGGATGACTCAAATCAGCAGTAATGTACCCAGACACACATCTGACTTAGCAGAAAATGTGTTCAGGCAGCACTAGACCACCTGCCAGAGGTTCTCTAAAACCCACAAAAACCAGTGCCGGGAGGGCAAGAGCTACACGAAATGTCACTCTGAGCAGGGTTGAAATCCCACTGAGGTTGCACTAAGAGCTGAAAGAACCACAGTAGTAGAGGTCATTATCTCTGACCCTGTACGACTGCACAGCAAACTCCAGCTCTTGTCTCTTTAAATAGCAAAAATGGCGACTCAAAGTTTCTCAAATCATACACAATAAACTGATTTTACACAGAGGACCCTCAAAGTAGCAACAGAACAACCGCAAACTCAGCCAGACATAGCTCAAGATTATGGAGAATAGTCCACAAGAAGCCTGTCTAATGTGTGTCAACAATGGTGAACATGTATCATTTATTTATTTATCATTTCTATTAAAGTTTGACATAAAAAAAAAAACAGTACACATTTTTGTAACTTAGTTTGAAGTTTTTTGTTTATTTTTTATCATTAAATTGATTCTGTTGGACTCAATAAATTGGTATCACCAACTTCAGCTTTTAAGTGTATAAAAAGCTAAAAATCAGGGAAAGGTAGGTAGGAAGCAAGAAAAAGACAGAAGAGAAGGGGGAGGAGAGGAGTAAGAGGGGTGGCAAAGGAGAAAGAGAGGAGGAGGAATGGAGGACAAGTGGAGGAAAAGTGAGCTGACAAACGGGGAAGAAAGAGGTGGAGGATAAAGAGAGAGGGAAGAGTGAGTTGGCAAAGAAGGAGGAGAGGAGTGTTTTCTATTTTGAATGTCTTGTTTAAACTTACAGAGTCAAAAAGCTGAGGTTATAGAGACCTACAGAAGCAAGCACTACCAGGCAAACCTGTAGTCTTGTAGCTAAAGCTGTTGCCTCTGGGTTCAGGTCCTGTACAATGGTACCACGTATGAGCCAAGAGAAAAAACAAACCTTGTTCTACATTACTGTTGAGCTGTTTGTAACATTTCCAATCAGAAAATGAAAGTAAAAAGCACTTACAAAAGCAAGTACTGTCATGCAAATCGGTGGTGTTGTGGTGAAGGCTGTTGCCTTTCAAGGAATCGATTTTGGGTTCAAGTCCATGACTGAGGCATTTTGTGGGCACTTGATGTGATGCAGGAATGAAAATACTGTAATCAACTCAGTGTTAGATGTATTTTTATAGGGGAGGAGAGGAGTAGAGATAGGTGGAGACATGGGTTCAACCAGCAAGGGCTGTCAATCATGTTATCTATATTAAACGGAGCTTTTCCACTCATGGTGGAGTTGACTGTTTCTGTGTTGCCATGTAAACACCAATCAGGATAAAGTTCTTCATATAGCTTTGTGATTAATGCTAACACTCTGCAGCTTCACAGGGAAACCTGACAGTGAATCAAAACAGGAGGTTGATACTCCAGTGAGATAAGCAACTAGAAAAAATGGGAACCTGGTGGTCAGTAAGTCCGCTTACCTAACATGCTTCTGAGTTATATGCAGCTGCACTTACCATCAGAGTGGGAGGATGTCTGAACTTTAATACCAGTCTTTTTAGAGAGATTTAGTATTTATTGTAGACACAATGTAAAAAGGGAATGTGCCAGAGCCTATCACTAGAGTTAGAGAACTCATTGTGTTGTGGACACTTAAACATACATGAGCAGATATGGAGAGCTTTATTTTAACTCTATGTAGACCAAAGAACTAATTTCAAAGGGGACTGAAAGCACCTCCAATCCAGTTTTAATGCTCTCCAGATGGACCCAAAGGCTAAATGCTGCAGTCAGCAAACCACATGCCTTCAATCCACCAGGTGCCCGACTTCCTGAGCACTCTTTCAAGGCTTCAGAACACCTTCAGGGCTCAGACCAGCTCTGATGAAGAGGAATTAAGTGCAGCGCTGACAGAAATAGAAAGAAAAAGGAGAATCCCTAATCTAGGAACCCTTGGTTATGAGACATAGCTTGTTACCTTTATCAGCCGCCTGATGGGGCCTCTTAGCTTCAGTGATGTTTGGAGATTAAAAGCGTTTGAGTAAAAGGAGGCACGGTTCTAATAGACCTCTCTGGCAGGGGGTTATCAGACACTGAGGCTTGTTAAAGTTTAAAAAAACCCCGGCTGGCCCGGTGATTACTGATAAAATTCTCTCTGCGCACATACCAAAGATTGACCTCCACCTATATGCAATAACTCAGCCCACTCTGCTCCTTCTTTCATTGAAATGACCTGACCTGGACATGAGGGGGATGCAAGATTTTTTTTTTTCATTCCAGTGCAATTTCTTCAGCAAAGAAATAACATGGTGATTTAAATTTATCCTGTTTTACAACTGAATACCAGTCACGCACTGCCACTATCTGCGCTGCACTTTCTAATGAAAACATTGCTTAAACCCATCTAAGGAGTTATTTCCTGTCTCTACCAGTAATAATTCAACTTGAACAGGCAAACGTACTCCCCCAGAGAGCCTTGGCTCATGAATTTAGACTAGAGGTAAGCTTTTTGATTGTGGTAGCTGAAACATCATTTTAAAAAAAGAGTCTGATTTCACTGATTACTTTAAAGCTTGGCTACGCCTTTCCCAGAGTCATATTGTAGAAATGTTGACACCATTTGAGCCGCCTCACCGTCTGAGATCCTCAGGTGACACCCTGCTGTCGAGGCTAAAATCTAAAAGAGCCCCTCGATTTTGAAACGACCTCCCTTACGAAATAAGACAAGCAGAATCAGTGACATCGCCTACATTCACTTCTGAAGACTCATTTTGACAGACTTACTTTTATGTGATTTTACTTTTTTAACCACTTAATTTCTTTCATTTAAAAACATTTGTATATTTATGCTTTTGTTCAAACCATTTGTGTGCGAGTTTTCATCTGATCTCCCTGTTTATTGTCCTTGATCACATTTATTTATTAATCTATTTTTTGTTTATTTGTTTCTCACTGCCCCTTACCTATTCATTTGTTTTTATTCTGATGTGATGTCTTCTAACTTTCTCTTTTTTTTCCTTTTTCATTCTTTTCCCTCTTCTGGGAATCTTTATTATCCCCAAAATGCTGCTACTGTAAGATTTTTTGCACCCTATTTGCAATGATTTATTACTTATTTCCCCTCTGCTGTCATATTAATTATTTATATTATTATATATTAATAATAATAACAACAGTACATTTTATATATAACACACTTTTACAGGTGCTCAAAGACATTTTACAAAGAAAAAACACAATTTAAAATACAGAAAATTTCAAGAAATAAAACCAACAATGTAAAAGGTTTAAAAAGAAACAATATGAAAAGACAATAAAAGAACAGTTCACAGGTTAAAAGCCTATTTAAAAAGGTGTGTTTTTAGGAGTGATTTGAAAGTATGAGGGTCTGTACAGTCTCGGATGGGTTTGAGGAGTGAATTCCAGAGGGTGGGGGCAACAGCAGAGAAGGCTCTGTCCCCCCCAAGTTCGGTGCTTTTATTATGTTTTTATAATGTTTTATTTTATGACTAATATCATATATTATTATGAAAATTACTTGCTGGTTGTGCAAAAGTGTATGGAAGCAAAACTTTTAAGCAGGAAATAAAAAATCAACAGTATCCATCTGAAGAGGAAACTGGTGTTTACCAGTCTATGAAGACTTATCACTCCAGGCCTTGAATAGTGATAGTTATCATGCATTTTTAATGCTGACGAACACAGCAAGACACAGATAACTATTATTACTATTTGTGTTGTTTATAGTGTAAATACTTGTATAATATCTCTTTATTTTTACTTATTTTATCTATTATTTATCTCTTCTTTTTACTGTATTTGCACTGGAGTACTGTAACAAAAGCACTTTTACCCCTGGGGATTATTAAAGTATTTCTGATTCTGATAACAGCTTTTATTTGCGTGTAATGATAACCAACAGCCGCTAGATGGCACAAGACAGAGGCGAAATAGGGCAGCTTTGAAGTGAATAATAGGAAGGAAATACTCAGCAGTGAATTGCTTCCTGACTGCTTAGATGGCTTTCAGAAAACTTTGATGTTGTGGGAAATAGTGCAAATATCGGGCAAGCTTGTTTTTTATTGGGTTTTTAACATGTCAACACCCTCAGGGTTGAGGGAGACATATGATAGGCGACTCAAAGTAATACAATAGATTTGCTAACTGAAAACGGTACGTTTTTGCTCATAAATTATCAATACTCAAAAAAAATTTCTGAAATAGAAACAAAATGAGTATTTTCCCCCGTGAAATCATAAATAAAAAACCTCACTCCACCTCCAGTATCCGAGCTCACTGTACATTTTACTCCCAGTTGTGTTCGTTACCATAGAAACGTATAAATGACAGTCCCCCCTCGCTCGGAGCCAATGGTCGGCCTCGGTAAGGTGTCTGGTTACTCCCAGTCAGCCCACGCTAGCTGGGCTAAAGGAGGGGTTACTCCGCTCCTCAGCAGAAATGGTAACTGGGCTGCGTTTGAAGAGAGCCCAGTATTACTTTGAGAGCATCAAACACGAATTTTAAGAAGTTTAAGAAGAGTACTTTTTCTTAGTAAGTTATGTTTTGACCGTTGGGGCGTTGGGATACATTGACTCCAGCTCGGTGGATTTTAAGTGCGGAGACCTGTTGCATACCTTGCCCGCTTGCCTCGCCGCGTATTCAACCCAAGATGTTGCTTTGTGGATGGGATGGCCTCCTGTCCCGTCTGTGTGCGCTCTCGTAGCCTCGCCGGAGTACGAGTATTTCCCTTTAAAGTGATTTTTTAGCCCTTTCCGCCTGGTAAGTAACATTTTAAGTACTTAAAAACTAAGTGAAACTCTTGACTGCGTTGCTGCAGACAAACTGAAGCGACCTGTTGGCAGCAATTGTCCCCGGGAAAATGAGTTTGTAATGTCTGGGCTCAGACGTCGACGTTTCTTACACATCCAAAACGTTTTTGGAGAGCTTTTCGTGTTAGTTATGGAGCCTGTGTCGACTGAAATAAATTTACTAACTTAGCAACAATAGGCTACTGCTCTTACAATGATATGAAACTGGTCATCCTCTCAAGTGAAGTTTAGGAGGAATATCTAACGACCTAACCCACTCCTTCAAAGTTCATCTTCAACCTGAGCAACTTTGTGGTGTTTTCAACAGTGAATTTGCTGTTGTGTTAGTAAAGACTGAAGGATTTATGGGGTTGTTAAGGAGGTATTTGCAGGGGGAGATCCAGGGGTGGCCATGGGTGGCTTCAGCCCCTCATAATATCTGAGTGATGACTACATGGTGGTGTTCAGTCCTGAATCCCAGTCTTGACACACCAGAACAGCCCTTTGAGATGCAATTCCAACTCTGAAACTCGATAAACAGCTTTAACCTGAAGTTTGAATCTCAGTGTGGTTGCTACCAGCAGCAACAGATGTATATTTGGTGTTTATTAGCAACTAAATCAATCCCATGGGTAGTTTTGTGCAGGTTCTTTCTGTAGACGTGTTGTTTCGGTGCGTTTGTGTGTTGTCATTTTCTAGTGTTAGCTAAAAGTGGCGACAACAACAGCAGCTGATGGCTTGACAACTTTCCAGTGTGTATTTGGAAGGTGTTCAACTCAAATGTCATTCCCATATGCCTTGATATCAAACTCTCAAGGCATATTGGACACACTGTACGATTGCCCACCGAACATCGGAGAGACATGCAGATCAAGTCAATATTGGTTTGGTCTGTCGAAGACCACATCTAGACGTCAGTGCAATGTGCCAAAAAGGTTATTGCGCGTCATGTGAACGTCCGATTTGGAGGTCCATAACATGTCAGGATTGGACGTCCATTTGACACCCGAAAAACATGTAAAAAGACCTTTAACCTTCAGGAGACCTGATTTAAACGGCAAAAAATGACATTAAATACACGTCATTTCGATGTCGCATTGCGCAGTGGCCGGCTGTTTACCTTGTCGGAGGCGAGAGAAATTGATTATTATTTGGGCTGTGTTTCAAAAACCTAAGTGGCTATACTAGGCTCTGTTTAGATAAGAACAGCCCTTTTAAAAATGAAAAGGTAATTCCTTTACGCTGTTAAAATCTGCATACATGTGACAATATTGTGAAATGTGGATCTGCAAAGATGAGTAGTTGGTGACTTAACTTTTTAATGACACACCACTGAAAAATACACCTGTGCAGAAAAGTGGTCTTAAAGTTCTCCTTATTTTGATGGGCATGTTGCCCCTCGTTTGTTATCTTAAAGTTGAAAGAGCAGACTTTTACATACTCTATATACTTAAAATGTTGAAGTAGGTATTGTTTGTGGAGCTATGAGTAACTTTATGCCACCCTTGCATTAGCTAGTGCCCCGCGTACCTCACCCCAGTCAAGAAAGTCCAGATCAGTCCTTGGGCATTTGTACCCCTCCCCCTTCATTATCATAGAAAAGCAGTCAAGTTAACTGAGAGTCAAAGGTCATGAGGGTTTTGAATATTTCACCCAAGTCTAAACAGGAAGGTGGTTTCTGTGATTGAGCAAGATGTACACCCCCATCTAAAGTGGTTGTGATGGTGTGAGCATCATCATAGGAGAAAATGGGGAAATAGTCAGTGGGTTGGGTTAATGTGTGCTGGGGAGGGGGGAGGTAGGGAGTTGGAGTGAGGTTTTGAAAAACCATGCTCTGCATGTCACGGTACTCATAGCAACCCTGTGATTAACAGAAATGGAGCGGATGAGGTGGAGACTGAAATGAAAAGTGAAGGCCGTTGGTCCAAAGCTGGGCTGATAATCATGGAATAGTCGTGGCTGTGTTTTCTGGCTGGTCCCTGAGTCGGGCTGAGCAGAAAAACAAAAAATCCAACACCCAGGGTGGCTTATTGGGTGAAAAAACAAGTCCACAGCTGAAAGATACCTCACTCAGCATGGCAACAGCCAGGATTTTGTCCAATAACATAATGTTTAACACATTGTCAGATATTCTTGGAAAGTGTGTTGGCTGATTGACACAACTGTATCCAAGCTAGAAAAACCATTGGGTGTTCCCTTTTTAGGTGAGTCACTGCCTCTGCTCTGTTCCTGCTACTGTTTTCTTTACATGCGGCTTTAAAAAGACACAGCTGTGACTGACAACCTCTCTGCTCAGAACAGATACTCAAGTGCCATGTATTCACGGTGAGAAAAGAAAGAGGTTCTTCAACTCTGTGTCTCCGGTTTATCAGCATAGTAGCACACAATCGGGTTTCGGTTTTCTGTATGTACGCTGAAACATCAGTCTTTACATCATCTGCTCTGATGCTTAGAAAAAGTTCCTGATCCAGGCCTTCCTAGACACCGGGTGTGTTTTGAGTTTGAATCCTAAGCTTGCAAGCTGCATATGATTCTGGGAATAAAGGTTCACTCAGAGTTTGTTGTTGATTTTTCCTGGCATGGATGACTTCAAGAAGATTTTCACCCCATTGTTGGCGCACAGCACCTCCTCTCAACAAGCTTCTGTTCCAAATGTGTTTGCCAGCTGAGACCACATCTCTGATGTTTGGAGGATATGAACAAATTCCTTCTTGTATCTAATGTTACGAGTTATATTTTGGGAATCTGGGGATCTGCTGTTTTTATAAGAGATTGCTTCAGATGTGCAGCCCTTTTAGTGTTTTAAGATTTGATATGAAAGAGGAGGATAAAGGATAAAGATGTATGTGCTTCCTGATCTTTATGGTCCTTGCAAATGTGAAGGGATGAGCGCACTTATAGAAAGAACGCTGCAACAGAACTTCTGTACCTCTCCAGCATGGCTTACCCGACTGCTGTGCAATTTTTCAGGGGATTGTTTTTAAATCCATTTCATGAGTTGTAGCTGTGTCACTGACAGGAAGGTGGGAGGAAAGGAAAAGCTTCTCTTAAGTGCAGAGTAAGGAGCACTATCACGTTTCCAGGATTATTTTCTTTAAGTTCTTGTGACTGAGGCCAAGACTTTCAAACACTTAGCAGCAGCAGCACACTAAGCCATGTTTAGGTTTTTTCTCTCTCTCTCTCTTGCTATAGTGTGGGAATACCTGGGAACAAACATCCCCACTGTTTGAAAAAGAAAAAGAGAATGAGGCGCTGAAGTGGTGAAGGCTGTCTGCTCTCGCTGTTTTGGGCCGCTGCCTCCTAAGCCCCCTCAATAATGAGCGGGACCATAGTCCAATGTGAGAGGAGCTGGCCCGCACAGCAGCCTCAGTGCGGATAAAAAACATTCCACTGTAGGTCTCTGTTGAAATAACAAGGGCCACAAAACAATCAGTCTTCACAGCACCCGCTCTCCCCATTCTCATGGGTAATGAGCAAGATGGGTAGTAACCCACTTTGCCCAAGCCTTCACGCCTCCCATTGACTAGAATGGCTAACCTGCATTCCTGCATAAACATTTAGGCCTGTGACATGCTTACTCATTAACTCTCTTCTACAAACTGAGATTCACAGAAAGGACGTTGTTTCACATATTACTTTCAGAGATGAAGCCTGACACTAATGAGACTGCTGACCTGGTTCATGCCACAATGCTAAAATGTCGCTCATTTTGCTGCACAAGACAAAAACTAATGCTGCTCATCAGTCCACTACTTTTAGTCTGAGATATGTACAGTAGTTGGAAAAATGCAAAAATATCACTACCCTTTCAGAGATGTTCCTAGGTGACTTATTTCTTTGTTTTTCAACAATGATTTTGATTCTAGATTTTGACTAACCCAATAGTCTAAAACTTGAGATACAACAACAACAAGACGGTCAAAAATGAGTGCAGGTTATTGTATCTAGGGCTGTCCTGATATGATATTGATATCGGATATCGGTCTGACATCAGCCAAAAAACAAATATCGGCCTACATCTAAAACCTCCGATGTCAGCACTCCGATACACGCAGTCCATTCTGGACTCCACTCCGGCACCTGTAGCTAGCAGAGCCCGGATCCAGCACATGATCACAACAACGGTGTGTGCTAAGCTACGAACAAAGTAGCGAGGAGTAGGAGTGTGGCAGTATTTTTGTTAAAGTCTGAAAAAGACTTATCATGCACAGGTTTGTGCCAATATCGGATCAATATCGGTATCGGCCGATACTGAAGGCTACAATATCGGTATTGTATCGGAAGTAAAAAAGTTGTATCAAGACAATCCTAATTGTATCAAAACAGGATGTCTTTAAATGATGTGAAATAAGTTTGTAAAGTGTTGCTAAAGTTAGCAGAGCTAGCCTTCTAACAAGTGAACACCTACATGCCTGTACTGGTTACTCTAGCTGAGTGTTCATTCATATGCCAGTTTAACCAGATCAGATCAAAATACTGCCAAACCACGGAGATGACACATCTATCATCACCCAGAGCCTTAGCTAGTGGGGGTTGCACTGCGAGATCGAGGTTAGTTTGACCGACTTGTAATTCTGGCACTGGTTAGGAAGGGTGGAGACTTTTAACAACGCATCAAGCACCCCTCCTGGTTTCACTTGAGTTCTACCTGTAATATATGGCAACACTGCTCTGTTTAATGTAAGCAATAATAGTGTGATGAATGATATAACATAGGAGAATGGCCTAAATTGAATGTTTGGATGTTTCTCTGCTGTTTAGAGGGTTGAACACATAATGCTTGATAGCAAATAGCTGTCATTTTCAACACAAGGTCAACATGAAACAAATTTTCCGTCAGCCATAATGCCCTATGATATTGAACCTTATTAAATAACTGGTAAAAATAACCATCCACTAGCTTGGCAAGGGTCAAGCCCATGAGTCAAACCTACAGACAGGACAAAAACATTAGTGCCATCCAAGTTGACTAAGTAGTACAAGGAACTGAGAGCGAAAAGAAACACTGCTTTTCTACTGAGTCATCTTGACCTTTCTCGTCGAGATCTTCCATATCCGTCTGTCTGAGTTGTAGTTAGTGGCCAAGTTTCAGGAGATGAAATAGTTTCACACTAAGTTTTGACTCGTCCCCGTCTTGTTAATGGAGCAGGAAAAAGTTTGAGAGAGCATAATAATGTTACTGTGAGAGGAGTCATTTCTGAGGTGACTCAGGCACCTTCAACAAAGGGTTCAGGATTTTTCTGCTACATCACGTCTGGTTGGGCAGCGAAACCTCAACAGAACAGACAGCTAATTTGAGGCAGATTGTAGAGTATGGTAGACGGAGGAGCTTAAATCACTGTATTTCACGCTCCAAGGACTATCAATCTTATCCTGACTTGTCCTATTCAGGGAGCACTGGTCTCTTTTTGTGTTTTCTTTTCACCCTGACTGCTGTATATCCTCAGCGTTGTCTGGGGCATTGTCTGCTGTGAATCCTTTACATTTCCTCACACAGACTAAATGAGCATGAGAACAAAACCCTTTGTGTCTTGAAGGCAGATGTGCATTATCTTAAAATTCCCATCTGCTTGTTGAACTTTTGTGAAGCAGAATATCCAGAGCGCTTATTTTGGTCAGAGATTACTCTGCTATTGCAAAACAGTGATTGGCTGACGGGATACACCAGGTTTGGCTGGTACAGCTTAGTGAAATTAAAGCATACGCATGATGGCAGTGCTTTTCTTTCACTAGTTTAACCAAATGTTCTCAACAGAAGTCACTGTAAACATGAAATGAATCGATGGTAGTCTTATGCAGTCACCACTTACCCACCAACTCATGATTTGTACCTGCAAGAATTCAATGAATGTACTGAGGCAATCTAAACTGGGGCTTCCTGCTTTGCTCACATTTGCATCATGTCATGGCGAGATGTGGAAGATAAGACTGCATCGTCACTGGATCACAGGAGCCGGGTTTCAGTAGATAAGAGAGGACACTGGCATGTTTGTGAGTGCCCCTGAAAAAGGCTGATATTAACTGTGATGGCTCTTTCTGACCTTCATGAGAAAACAAGACCTTTGGCGATGAAACCGACACTATCAGTTTGATACATTTGTAGGCCTGTAGATGCTGTGAAGGGATCTCAGACATAGTGACAAAGACACGCCCTTCATTTGACTGTTTAAAGACGGCGAGATGAAGTGGACAAAAAGACAAACGAGGAAAAATTAGAGGTATCATTTGTGCTAAAAGTTCCTCGTAGGAGCTTGAAACAAACCACAAATCCTCTTAAAATCTGATTTATCTTTTGTTTGCTGACAGCTGCAGCTGAGAAGACGACTGCAAACCTTTGCAACTTCAAATTAAATCATAAAGAAATCAAACCAGACAATCAGCCTTGAGGTCACATGAGTGAATTTGAAGTTTTCCCCTTAGATAGTACGTGTTGTGGCCCATGTGCGCTCTAAATCCAAGTCAAGAACTTAAAATGTAAACTGTGGGATATTGACCCGTCTCATATGTCGATGTATTTTACACTGAAAGCAGGGTTTGCCGTATCGCAGCCCTCCGTGAGGTCGTTAAAAACTTCTTAGGTTGTTGGTTTCCCAGTTGTAGTTTTATGACATGTAATCAGGAAACACAAGCAGCTTAAAGACCAGACCAAAAAAAAGTGCTGCTATGCTTTTTAGATTAGCATCAACTGGAAGCTACTATTTTAACACTAAGAAGCTTGTTGAAGTTTCAAGTCATAAACTGTGACTTTGTTGAACACAGCTCAAATAAAGCAGGGTGTGTGTCTGTGTGTGTCTGTGCGAATGTGTGCGTGCATCATGTGCTTGCATTACCTCCTCGGCTGCTGAGAATGATAAGACAGCTGACATTAACAAGACGTGGGAGTTTGCCCCTGAGCATGAGTGAGAAAAAACTGTTGATCAGAATCAGAGTCCTCGGTTGTGACATGGAAATGTAGGCTTATTGCTTTCATGATAGACTGTCAGGCCAGTCAGGACAAGTAGAGAGTGAAGTCTGTCAGGGTTTTACTTTCAGATGAATTTAAAAAAGAAACATGAAAACCAATATTTGTTCTTGGCTTTTCATGCTAACAGACATTTTTGATATTGAAAAAGAAAGTACAATCTGGGACACGCCCAAGGAATTTGATTAAAAAGGCTTAGTGTATCGACCTGTCTCGCACAGTAGATGGGAAGCGCAGATGCTTTTGTCCTGATTTGACCCTCCTGTCATACATCCTAACCTTTTCAAAGTGATGCTTAAAGCTTATTCTATGTTTTTCTGCTTCAGTTTATCCATTTTTTTTCTCTCTTTGTCTGCTTCGCACAGGGAAGATGCATGTGTCTTTGGCAGAAGCGTTGGAGGTTCGGGGAGGTCCACTCCAGGAGGAGGAGGTGTGGGCAGTGCTCAGCCAGAGTGCTGAGAGCCTCCAAGAACTCTTTCACAAAGGTAAGCGACCAGGGGCGGAGCCAGGGGACCAAAATGGTGCACAGATTTTTGACTTCAGAATTTAACATGTGTGGTAACATTTAAATCTGTAGGGGCTAAAATGTGCAAGATATGTGTTAGGGCTGGGTGATACGGCCTCAAATCAATATCACGATATATTGAGACGTTCACCTTGATAACAATAAATGGACGATAACGACTTCACAAGCTGCTCAACCCCTCCCACTTTAACTTCATCGATTTCAGCCGCCACTCAACTTTTAAACCGTCCTCTATCTCCTCACCTGACTTTCCCTCTTTGTTACGGACTGGATGGGGTGAAGTCATGTCTCTGACGTAAGACAGCTTCTTAAAGGGACACGAGACCATAGCCTACTTACACACACCCAAAACCGACTTTTATATATATATATTTTTTGACACTGAATATATTGACATGGGCAAAATGATGTCTGTTATTGTTGTAAATTTTGGTATCGGTAGAATTTTGGTTTATCGCCCAGCCCTAATATGTGTCCATGGTCCTAAATTCAAAGCACTAACAAAAGGAAAAATGTTCATTACAATGCAAAACAAGCTTCTAGAAACCGGTTGCATTTTAGCCCCAATAGTTTATTTATTCAGACTTTTTTTAGGGGGCCATGGCCACCTCTGGCCACTCTGGCCACACACCTGATTCAAATGATCAGCTCGTTATCAAGCTCTGTGATGGCTTCATGACGAGCTGATCATTTGAATCAGGTGTGTTCCAGCAGGGAAACATCCAAAACATGCAGGACTGTGGGCCTCGAGGACTGGACTTGAGAACCACTAGTATAGAGTAATAGTTTGATTGTGACCCTAGGAGGATGAACAGCTGTGAAAAACTGCCAACCTGGCCTGTGTCACTATATGTCCTTCAATGTATTAGCTGCATTTGATACCCAGATAAATCGCTCTGGAGTTTACAGTGTTCATCTTACAGTTGACAACAGAATATGATTTGAAAAGGTTTCTTCTAAAAAGTTTACCTCGAAGCTGAAGCGAGTTTGAGATCCTCAGTCAACTTCAAGTTTAATTTCCTGGTGCTTAGTCCCACCATGCAATACCCCAAAAATGCCGGATTATGTTGGGTGTAACTGTCACTTTTGGCCTCTTTCCTGAAAGTAGTACCCAGATTAATTTGTGAGCATATCTGCATAAACCAGCTTGACCTCAACTTCTAGTTTTGCTGACTGGTTTCATTACGTACAGTCCTGGCAAGCTGCAGGAATTCCCTCTCATCAACTTGGATTGAGAAATATTCTTATTATGCTTGGCGAGTTTACATTTGCAAAAATGCTCTTTGATTTCTACAATCAGGGCTTCTGAGATATATCCAGAAAAAAGCGAGGACTAAAACGCCAAGGTTGTGTGGATACTTGGAGTGTTTTAGATGGTCTCATTGTGATCCCTGCATGGTTTTGTGTCAAAGTAGCTGCAAACACTTCTTTTTCCTCCGCTCGTGTAGCTATACTGAGTAAATTGTGGCCTCTCATGTGTACAGTTTTAGACTGCTGAGCTGAGCTAAAATTTGAAGAGCAGATGTTGGAACCAGCTATTATAGAGTCACTGAGCTATGTAGAGAAGTATGTTTACCACGAGAGCGGATTAATAACGTCAGCCATTTAAACTGCCATTTTTTTTTTTGAGGGGGGTTGTCACGTGTCTCGATCTGCCATGAGGAAAAAAACGAAGAACTCTTATATGTTAGAAAAAGACGGATGAAATCTTTCCGTGTGCGTTTGATGCTTTCTTCCCCGTTTAGAGTAAATGTTGGCACATTCCCCACTAACACAACTATTGACTTAGCAAACCTTAACATGACTTTTCAGACACTGTGTTTAGTCTCACATTGTCAAACAGTAAACCACCAGCTTTGTGTGTACATACTAGTGGTTAGTTACAGTGTTTGTTCAGGACTGATTTGTTTAAAGAAGCAATGTGTGAATAAATCTGATTCATTAGCAGATTTCCTCCTCCCTGTTTGGTCTCTAGGATATCAGGATCAAATACTGTAGAAACCCAGTACCTGCTCCTGTGGTTTGCTCTCCACAGAGGCCACCTACTGCTCTACATCTGCTCAACCTGTCGCACTAATGCAGGGTTTGCCGGCGTGGACCTGAAATGTCTGATACGCTGTGAACGCTGAAGGCTTCTGCTTTGAGAGGACAGCTGTCGGCTGAGGCTAATAGTTTTGGATTATTTCCTGCCCTCGGTTCAGCTAGCTGCTCGTCAGACTGACAGACTACATTGTTAAAGGATCAAGAACTTACAGTTGAAACAATTTTCAGTCCTTTGAAGCGAAGAGAGGATCAAATGCCGCTTGCTTTTAGAGTTTTTGTTTGTCTCACGCTTTCCTGCTGTTATCCTCAGTTTATTGAAAGTTTTAAAATTTATTTGTCATCTGCTCAAACTGAGTCATCCACGTCCGCTCGGCGCTGTTATCATTAACAAAAGCAGACCTTTAACCTGGGATGCACCTCGAAGCTTTGTCTCCTTTTTAGCAGCATCACCAAACGAGTCACATGAGGTTTTTTTTTTTTCAAACAGGAAACTTCTATTTACTTAGTAAATTCCAGCTTTTGAAAGCAGATATTTGGTGCCTCAAATCCAGTTCCTCTGTTGGAGTCTGAGCTCCTCTCAGGAGCGAGGTATCGGTGAAGAGAAAAGAATTTTGCAGCGCTGCTCAAACATTCCTCTGTATATTTTTAAAACCTTCTCTGACCATAGCACAGGCTGCGGCTTCGGAGGAAGAGGAGAATTACGTTGTGTAGCCATTCCTTTCTGCTCCTATGCCTCAACAGTTATTTTCTCGCAGGCTAAGAAAGCAACATGTGTTTTTATTTACTTCAGTCTTCTTCTCGAGTCTTAGCAAGAAACATCCTCCGTGGTTGGATACAGTTGCAGCTTTCAGGCTGTAAACGCTCAGACGAAACTTTCATTCCAATATCAGTCTTGAAATCCCAGAACTTCACGTTAGCTCTGTGAAATCGAATTAATGCTGCAACAATATGTTGCTTTCCTGTTTTTGTTCCTGATTTTATCTCCACTTGGTTAAATTGTCTGTTTCCCCTCTGCAGACCCTTCAGCCATGGGCTTCATCATCTCCCCCTGGTCCCTCCTGCTCATGCCCTCTGGCAACATCTCATTCACAGACGAGTATGTCACCCAGCAGGACCTGAGGGCCTTCACAGCTCCAGAGGTCCTCGAGGGGGTTTCCCTGTCTTCTGTCTCTGACATAGAGAAGGTATACAACTTTGATATCAACCATTATTGATTGAATTTATCACCTTTTCCTCAATCTTGTTTTGAACAGCAGCACATTTTAACTTTTGACCCTCACTGCAGCCTTATTGTCCAAAGGTAGTGTAAAAACCACCGTGGTTGTGACAGAGCAACAACATGTTTCTGCTTAACACGACACCACAAAGCTCTGGAGATGCGTAGCCGTAGGTCTTGCAGGTCTGACATGGTTGTGGAGTTGCAACATTTAGGAGTTGAACTTGTGAGCAAACCCTCTCGCCATGCACCACAACTTGTTTTCCTAATGCGCAGAGAACCACGCCCCCCTCTTTTTCGTCTGCTAGCAGAGCTAAAATCTTGCATGACTGGATTCCCGTCCTGGCAACATCCCACAGACCTCAACACACTTTTTCGCTGAGTCAGTTTTCCAGCCGTGGTCCCGCCTCTCAAGCCAGCTGAGTTATTTCAGTGTAGAAAGTATAATCTGGTTCTCCCATTATCAGAGACGGTGGGTAAACACACGTCAGCTGCGAGTGCCACCATTTTTCCCTGTTGCTTTTTCAACATGGAGTGGTGTTTTGCTCTAAATGGGGATTTTTGATATTTTCCACATTTTCTAAGAGTCTCTGCGTCTTTAAGTTTGTACCAAAGTTTGTTCCTGAAAGACCTTGAAGGCTATGTTGCATTCTTTGGCAATCCCTGAGTTAGTCTTTCCTCTACCAAGCCCAACATTCAGGGGAAGTGATTTCTCTCCCAAACAGTGAGCGCAGAGTAATAAGGAGAGGGAAATGGAAAAAGGGTTTTTGGATTTAGGCTGAAAGCCCTTGTCCTGTTCCTTTCCAAATAAGAATCAGTTCAACTTTTATTACACTCCAGCAATTGTTGAGCTCCAGTCTGTCTGTCGTCCTTCACACAGAGTCGCCGTTTTAACAAGTTTATCTGTAGAGTACAAAATCTTCACATTCCTCATCTTTCTCATAGTCGCTTGTCCTGATATCTTTTCTTCGTAATTTCATTCTGAGGAGCAAGATTAGATATCTAATCTTGTGTACTTTTGGGTATGAACTTGAAGCAATGTTTTCTTTCCCACAGATGCACATGTACTCTCTGGGGATGACCCTGTTCTGGGGAGCGGACTACGAGATCCCCCAAAGTCAGGTAAATCCTCACCAAGAATACTTCTTTTTACAACTTATGTCTCTGTTTAACTCAATAAAAGACGCTCAGGTTCATGGCTTAAAATGTCTTGATCATCTAAAGTTGCTTGTTTCACTGTTTTTAACTTAGAGCTCACATCAGGTGTAGCGAACAGAGCCAAGCCAAGCGGACAAAAATCAGGGGATTAAGTTTCAGCATGTGTCAGCATTGACTCAGATTAAAGGTTTTTTCCCCTGCAGGTTGATTGGGATTTGACCTGTTTAACTTGCACTCTTGCGGTGCATACAAAAAAAGCTGACACACTTCATTTTGTCGTTTTTGGAAACAGCCACACCCAGATTATATTTGGGTAAAGGTTGACTAGTATCTGCTGTTCGCTGATTGTAGCCCAGAGGCTTGTAGAAACTCGCAATCAGCTGTAAATGTCTCTCCTCCGTTTAAATGAGACATTTTGATCCTCATCCAGGACGTCCATGTCTCACTGTCTTGTCTGAAGAGAAAAAGGTTCAAGCTGTAAATGCACCCTGGAATGTGTTTGTATTTGTTGATCTTGTTGTGTTTGCCAAGATCTCAGGGGGACTGTCCTCCGTACATACACATAAGGGCAGGAGTCACCCAGGGATAACATGATCTGAACAGAGTGTTGACATTAGCGACATGCACAGGTTGAAGTTGCCATGGCTGTCAGTCCTCACGTAGCTTCATCCACCTTTTTATACCGCCTCCAATCCATGAAGGAGATGTGAAACGTGTGCTTCTGTTTGGCGTCACATGCAACATGCAGTTAAAGTCACTTTATAGACGCGGGCATCCAGTCAACTAAACAATAAACACCTGTTTTGTTTTGCACCACAAATTATAGATATTGCCAGTCAAACATTCAAGCCAAGCTCCATTACCCTTGACTTGAGTGAATGGTTACTGCTGGAATGACTTAATGCTCTACTATCTGGATGTAAACAAGCACATTTCTACATGGTCTACTAGTGTTTTGATCTTTAAAATTAAGATGATATTGTGTCAGACTATTAGGGGTGGGAGAAAAAATCGATAGAGCATAGTATTGCGATATTTTGTCTAGTGATATACCGTATCGTCTCATTTACCAAGTATCAGTTTTTTCACATTAATTGCCAATATGAAGTCAAATTTATGATAATGGAAAAATAAAATCCACTGTTTTTCCAGTGAGGTTGGCAGAGGTGACGTCATAGAGCAGGAGAAAGTTAGTGCAACAAATATATAAAATGTTTGCAAGATGTGCTACATGAGAATAGAATACAGTGTAAAGAAGACAAACAAAAAGGAAAGAGAAATGCTAAATTAGCAAAACAGTTGAAAAAATTGTATTAATCGCAAATATGGTATTACAATACCTGCTGTATTGCAAAATGTTAAAAAAGCGCAAAAATATTATCTCGTGGCCCAAGTATCGTGATAATATTGTATCATAGGGCCACTAGTGATTCCCACCCCTGCAGACTGTAATGCATTACCAGCCTGCAGTTTTAATCAAAGTTGTTAGGGATCTAATCTAATCCCTGTGCTGACAGTAATATAGACAGAATAACTCAAGATCATCTACTTTGTTTATCTTGTTTGCTTTGTATTGTTATTTCCTGCATTCTTTAAAGAAAACCATTATAACCCACACCCAGAGGACTTATAAAAGGTAATACAAAACCACCCAAAGTACCGTACTAACCCAAATATGAGATGTTTATTTTTCACCCTAAAATGCATCAGAAAAAAGGAGGATCTAATGTTCAGGCTCAGTGATTCTCAGTAGTTGCCAATATTTATTATAACAATAGATGCCGGGCGGTACTATTTATCTGCAAAGAGAGCGTACCCGTCATGGCTGAGTCCAGCTGTCACTCACAGCGACAGAGTCAGGAGAATGAAAGAGGACGAGACACTATGACCAGAACAGGATCGCTCAAAAGGAAGGAGGACGAGTCAATCGAGTGCTGAGGCAGAGTTACGGTGTTTATTATCACAGCAGTCATATAAAACAGATACAGTGTCAGAAGATGGTTTATGTTACTTCAAACTAATAAAGGTGTGCCCATCATCAGACCTGTCATCCACCCAATAGACTGCAGGTTATTTTTATTTTACTGTATTCAAATACAGATACTGTATGTGCTTCATTTAAACACAGGATTCAAGTCAGTATTTAAAAGAGTAGGTTGTCTCAAAATCAGAGCTGTCTTAAGTACGAGGGTTAACATCGAGGGTCGGAGGTTACTATGGATGGTGTCGCTCTAAAGTGAAACTTCTTTCTGTGGTGCTGTTTTGTTCACCGCCTCATTTCTCTTTCTTTGCAGCCGATGAAGCTAGGGGAGCACCTCAACAGCCTGCTTCTCAACATGTGTGATGATGTTACATTGAGTCGAATGTCACTGCGCACGGTGCTGGACATCTGCAGCAAACACATTCGAAACTCCTCGTGTGACCCTCCCTTCTCTTATATCAGAAAACTGGTCCGATTGGTGCTGGGCAGCCTTTCTCAGGTAGGCTGTTTCTTTTTAATCCAGGTCATTATGATACTCCTGAGTATTTTCTTATGGTTTTATGTCAGTGGTTTGTATTTTTAGCATGCTTAATAAAGCTAATTGTTGGTTTAAAGACTGTTCAGTGCTCCTTTAAAGCTTTACACCTTTAAGGTTGGATAACGCAGCAGATAATGGGGCTCCTGTTGGTAGCAGATGATTCCTGATTGGATGCCTCTCTGGAGGAATAGCTCCAACTTCACTTTTTTTCTCTCCTTGCTCTGTTTTGCTTGTTCTTCTTTTCACCTCCGGCTCTTTGTTTTTCTTCTCTTCCTGTCGTGTTTTTCTCAGCTGGACGGTCTGCTGACTGATAGAGAGTCTCTTCCGGAGCGGAGTAAAGAGATTCGGGAGCGTCTGAGGGGCAAAGGTTTGCCCTCGGGTAAGCCGAGCTCTTCTTATTTGTACACGTATTTTAAACATTGAGCTGTAGTCGCGTGGTTTGTTTTTATCGTTAGGTCAAGAGTGTATAATATCCATTACTTTTTTCCAAAGTGATAAACTGTGGTTATGAGAAACGGACTATTCGCGTTTTCGGATTGTGTTTACAATTATGTAACCTTTCGTTGAAGAAGATGAGTTTTAAATGCCTTCCCTGGTTTTCGAGGCTCTTCATCACTCACATCCTCACTTTTTAAGTATGCGGGTTAGAATCAAAAGTACACGGGGAAATACACATAGCAAAACCTCGAATCCAATTTAATTCAGGAAAATATGACCAAATCTTCCCAGTGGTTTCTCAGAGAGCTCCGGCATTTTTCCAGCCCATGGAAAGGAAAGCAGAGCACAAACATGGCTTCGTTGTACCAATTATGTAAGCACGGCATGGCATTGATTACAGATGCATATTTTGGAATCACCAGTGAATCTGTCCGTCTGCTGTTTGTATTAGAGCTTTGTTTCCCTGGCTTGAGCACCAGCCAGCCCTAGGGAAAGTACATGCAAAGAGTGTTACTTAAGCGCCTGTCCTCTCAAGGAGCAGATCTCCTCTCTCCCTCCTGTATTTCTGTACGTTCAATAAGACTTTGAGAAGGTGCCAAGTTGTAATTTCTAAATGAAATAGACTCAGGCATTTTCTGTTTAACTCCATGTTTTATATCCACATTTCTTCATTGTTGCCGCCCATTTTCAGCTCCATTTCCCCTGAAATACAATAGGCTTCTTAGAAAAATGGAAAACACTCTGTGGAGAGGGATTACTTTTCCTCTTTCATTTTTTGGCTCAATCCAGCATTGTGTGATTCTCAGAATTCCCCAAAGACAGTGTCTGTCTATTTTTGATGCATTCCCCTGTTACGATCAAACATATGTTTTCTAGGTTAATCCGCCACATGCAGCATTTAGATTGTTTTACAAGATTTTAAGCGTCCCTCTGTTCCCTCATTTCTGCATCTCTTCATCTGGTGCAGCTCTTGTGACTCGAACACTTTCGCCCTCTGTTTATGTCTTCCTAGAGGCAGGGGCTGTTGTTCATCGAGCTTATACAGCTTGTCTGGAAAGTCAAACACGCACAGCTGAAGAAAGAAAGAAAGATTCATTTTTCCATTTTTAGAAAGACGGAGGGAAAGATGGGCTTCATGCCTGAAATTGCGGATTATTGCCGCACAGTAACTCCTATTGTGAGCTTTTAATGATCGGGGGAAATTGGCAGAAGTAAACAGAATCGACTCTCAGCAGAATTCAGTACCTCGCAAGGTCAACGGCAGCACACCATACTTCTAACTTTGCTTTCCTTGGGCTGTTGTATGTTTACTTTGCAAATTAATTCATTTTATGTGCCTTTAATGGCTGCTACACTTCCTTCCTGGGGCTGTTAGACAGAAACTCGCTATTGCAGCTTCTAATTCTCATTGAATACCATTTTATCCAGCAAATAGAAACTTCTATCCGAACCAAATTTACCAATAAATTAAAGGAGGAAATTTGTTTGGTGCATCTTTGATCTTGCAGTGTTATGTAAGTAGTATCAGTCATCATATCTCGTGCTCCACATCTCCTATTAAATCAACACAGGGACTTTCTAAGGACATCTTGTGAGTCCTTAGATTGCTGCTTGTCTAAAATGCATCTTTGAGGCCCCTGCAGGTGCTCACTACGTTGAGGCCAAGTCAGGGTATTAGTGCAGTAGAGAAGGAGCATTCAGCTGCTGTGTTATGTTGATGATTTAAGAAACGGATGCCGGTTTGGATGAGCACTTAAGTATAATGAGGGGCTTAGTTTTGATTCACATGTAAATCTTTGTTAATCCCGCTCTAGGTTCACTTCTTATCCTAATGTAATGAGCTCAGTCTTAATAATGATGTGATTTCCAGGAATGATGCATTTTTCAGGTTTATCTATCATTATTATTTAAAAATTGTTTATTCAGTTTCAGAGTTTGCTACAAATCTGAACTTTGGTTGTCTCGCTTGCAGGGAGGAGTGCCGCCCCCAGAGTCCTCGAACGCTACCGAGCCAGAACTCAAGAGCAGACGTCTCTCAATCGAGGCCTCAGCCGCTCCATGGGCTCTTTGCCAATCCAAGGACTGTTAAAGGCGGACGATGGAGCAACTCTACAGTATTCCCTACCTAACTCTGATTCCCCCACAGACCTTTACCCCAGAGTCCCCTCACTACAACACCAGCTCTCCTATCCATACCTGCACCCCCTCCATCCCCAGCAGAAGGGCCGCCCTGTGGAACTGGACCGCAGGTCTTTACCCTATCACGGTGGGGACCTAGGCCCTAGTCAGGCCAGAAAGACCTGGGCTTCCTCTGTGGACTTGGCTTACATTGACCCAGAGGCTCTTAGGTTTGGGGCTTTAGAGGATGCACGGAGGGGGAGCAGTGCCATAAGCACCCACTCCATGGGCAGGCGCAAATCACCTTTGTCGTCGTCCCGGGAGAGGGATAACCGCTACTCTGAGTTTGCTGGACTGAAGAGCAGGAAGCCTCATCACCACTCAGCCCTGTCTGTCGGCTCAGGCCTCCCTGGAGCTTACGACAGGATAAAAGAGAAGCAGAGGAAACTTCAGGCGCTCAGACAGGCGGTAGACGGTGAGTGAGAGAGAATTTGATTTGTGGAGGTTGATTGGATTTATGTTCCTTGAAGAGCGAAAAAAAAACAACTCGTCATGAGTTCAAACATTAAGCTTTTGTTTGGTTTTGCTTGAATTGAAGTTTTGATTTATTGACGAGCATTGTTTCTTTTTTTTCAGTAAAGCATATTACAGCCAAAGAGCAACCTCCTTAACCTTCGAGGCTCTGATTTCAACAGATCGGTTCAACCAAACATGAAGCTTTTGTTCAGATACAATCTGCTCACACTGTGATAAGTGAGAGTTTGAACTTGTCCTTCAAGCTTTATTCTCACATTTGATAACTCTTGAAGGCTACCCAGCAGCCGGGAACAGATGTTCCATTTAATGTTATATCTACATTTGAATGATAGCATGTCTCCTCGTCGATGTTTGTGATAGCTGACTTGCCATTTACAGTTAAATCCTTATGTAAGGTTTGTTTTAGCACTTTTAATTTTGACCCTTCACAGTGTCAGTTCAGTGGTACGGTGTCAGTGATCAATCATGGTGGATTGAGTCTCCGATCCTAGGTGCTTTTGAAGAAGAATGATCCACCAGGGAGTTCCCTGAGACCTACACACTGTATGAACTTTTTGTCTGTCTGTATTCGTACCATTATGGCTGATATAGTGTTGTAAGCTGACTGATGGTTGCCAGAGCAACGTCACTTTCATTGGGGGACTCTGTAGTGGCAGCTGTGTGTTTGCCAGTCTGTGGCCGAGGATAGCGTCCAGCGTAGAGTACCACTTGCTAGTTTCTTCTGTCTTTTTTGCAGCCTCATGGATCTGCTTTGGTGTGTGGTGGATAGGGCTGGGCAATATGGCCCCAAATCAATATCACGATATATTGAACAGTTCACCTCAAAAACGATAAATGGACAATAACTACTCCACAAGCTGATCACCCCCTCCCACATTAACTTCATCTACTTCAGCCACCGCTGAACAACTTTTGAACCGTCCTCCATCTCCTCACCTGACTTTCCCTCTTTGTTATGGACTGGATGGGATGGAGTCACGTCTCTGACGTAAGACAGCGTCTTAAAGGGACATGAGACCATAGCCTACCTACACACACCCAAAAACAACTTTGATTTATTTATTTATTTGACACAGAATATATTGACATGGGCAAAATGTCGTTGGTTATTGTCGTAAATTTCGGTATCAGTAAATTTTCGCCCAGCCCTACTTCATTGTTACTTCACTTAATTGATGTTTTCCTAATTTCTAAAGCCTCAAATAGCTTGACCCAACTGCTCTTTGGTGTTAGTTTGCTAACGTATATACTGGGATTTTACCTACTACCTACTCTGAAGCAGGAGCTGAAGAGCTTCCTCCAAATGGGGTTTTAGAAACCAAAATAGGTCATAGTTCCCGTAGCCCAGAATCAATTAAATAGTGGGAAGGGTTCCTACGAGTCCCTGTGGTCCGGAAACACCCAACATTTTTTAAAGCCCATGAGGGCTCGCTATGGTTCACCTGTCATTTCTTTTTCCATGTCAGAGTATCAAGCTGAAAAAAATAACCCCAGACCCGTGGCTGATATTTTCTTTCAGCTACGGCTCTCTCCAGCTGTAGTTTTCCATTTTATTTCGCTTTCCTGCCACAGATTACTCACAACAGCCACTGGTTCAGAAGAAAAGCAAGATAATGGGATTTTGGTGACAAGTTTGAGCTTGGCCTTTTTGTCATTATTGTGTAATGTGCTTTGTAAGAACATGTTATAAATAAGCTTCAAGGTTAAGAGTGAGGCGGCCTGAGGGGAAAGAATAGAGGTACAGAAGTAATCGGCTTCAGTTCGCTACTGAGACAATGAATAAAAGGAGTGAGAGTTTCAGAGCTCTTTCATTGAGATATTTAAGACATGTTAGACAGACTGTGCGGTAAAATGGATTCAACAGACGAAACCCCAGCAGCTCAGGGTGAGAAGGCTGCAGGGAGCCATCAGCTGCTCTGATCTGAGCGGTTAAAAACAAAACGTGACAGCAGTGTGATGACGTGAGCAGACAGACGCACGGGCTAGTTACAGGTTCTGTGCCCGTCTATAACGACCATGTGGGATGGGACCTGGGTGCTCGCTGGCTTGAATGAAGTATCGTTGGCGGTGGCTGCGCTGCAGTGTTTAGACAGAACGTATGAGTCACCGGTGCAGAGGTTTCCAAATGGCTGATTCTAATTACAGGCTAGCTTAATTCTAGCCTGCTGCTAACTGTCATACATGCTATACAGCCAAATCCCTCACCTTTTTTTTTTCTAGCATAACCATAAACACACAGATATTCATGCAGAGTGTTTACAGACGCAAAAACAATCTTTACATAATCACATGCTAAAACCGAGCACACACAACACAATTGTTTAACACCTTAGCGGTCATTCCCAAGAGCTTTAAGTTCCCCCTGAGAGCTTAATGCATTCTTGGTGAAATCTCTACAGGCAGACGTGTTTTGTGCTCAGAGTCACAAGTGGCCGTACGGATGTGGAGACAGTGGAGGAGCGTGATTGCCTTCATATAATCGAACCTCTGTCTTCTACCTCTTCTTCCTTGTCCTCCTCCTCCTCCTGCTGCTGCTGCTGCTGCTGGTTTCCTAAACTCTTCAGCTCCCCCTCCAACCTCCGACCTCCAGCCTCCCTGCTTTCTGGCAGCTATTTTTAATGCTGACCGAGCCACCAACCAAAGGCATTCTTCTCCTCTGGACTGTGGCTTTTTGTCCCCAGCAAGTCCTGCCTTTTCTTTTTCTCCCTCCCCTTTGGCCTTGCACTGATTGTGATCAGAGGCATTTTTTGTGTGTGTTTATAAAGAGAAAGTGAAAATCAAAAATGTGTAGAGCCTCTGTTTCAGAAAGAGGATTGTCTTTGTGTTACCTTTGTGTCGGCCGTAATTTAGCATTTATCAGACCCTTTAGTCACAAAGGAATCTCTACTCCCATCAAAAGTGACTGAGGTTGACTACCAAGGCTGAGCCAAAGTATTTTTGTATCCCATCCCAGAGCTATTTGGCGACTGTATGAATGGAGCCTAATTGAGCACAGACCATTTGCAGGGCCTCGTGGATGTGTTACTTGGCAGAGACCTTCTTTTCTTTCTTTTTCTCTTACTTTTTTCTGTTCTTTCCTGCAGGAAAGTGATGGCGCAGCAGTGGTCAGTGCTCTCAGGTTTCACCCAGTTACACTGCTTTTTTTCCGCCTGTGTGTGTGCATTTTGCAAATCATGTTCAACTGAATTACATGAGCATAACTAAACGTTGTTGTGCGTGCGTGTGTGTGTGTGTGTGCATGCCTGTGTGTGCATGGGCATGTTTATACCTGGACCCCTATGTCTCACACAGGACCTCCTCCCTTTCACCCTCCTACCTTTCTGGTGCCAAGGTGCTTCAATCAGTAGAAACATTTCCCCGCAGACCGAGCAGCTGTAATTGGAGTCATGCATAGCGGATAAGGGAATTCCAAACGTTATTGGACTTTTCCGGCTCTTGGCAGCAGGTCATGTGGCTTTGGACCGGAGCAGGTCCAGCTTTGACGACAATACAGAACATTACAGCCTCAGGGGTGGAGGAAGACTCAAGAACCACCCCCCCAATTTCTTATAATTACATCACATTTTGGTTTGTTGATTCAAAAAGCCGGGGAGGAAAAGATTATCGTAAAGCTTTTGACCATGACGTTTATTGTGATCCTTTGAAATCGACAGCCTGACTCAATTCCGGGAAGCCCCGGAACAGTTCAGAAGAACTCTAGGAATTTAGTGAAAACAGACAATTTCCATTTGTGGACCTTTTTTCTACACCTGCAGTTTCCCAAAATGTTGTTTTACTGAGTCATGTTGACGCAGGAAAGGGAGGAGACTTGAAGGTTTCTGTAACCATTATTCATTTCAGCCTGTGACCTGTGTCCCCCTTCGCTTTGGGACCATCAGACATAAAACAACCTCTGAGGCCGAGTTTGTGTCTCTTCTCGGCTTGAGTGCCTCAAAAGGCCTAACTTATAGAAGCGTTTTTGCCCGCTCACAGAAAGCTCATGTGGAGGTGTTAAAAGTGCCAGCTCTGCAGGGAAACAAGGAGGAAAGCAGAAGCAGAGATGTGTGGGAGAGGAAATGAGAGGATAGGTAAACGGAGGAGGCAGGGTGGATATAAATGCAGGCTGCATTTGTTTTTCCCTGGAAATGAAACTCTCCTATTTATTTAAAAAGTCCCGAGACTGTTTTCCCAGCAAGTGAGTGTGACTCCTTATTCTGAGAAAAAGGCATGAGCGAGCAGAGCAGGAAGTAGGGCCTTAAGTGTGATTGCAGCCATTGTGTTTCTGTGTTTGAAGCCTCACATAATTGTTCAATTGCAACCAAAACATGCTGACAATTACTGAAATCCTCCTTGTCTTACATTCATGTCTCTTTGTAAGTCTCTGCATACCAGCTGCTTACAATAGCGCAATTGTATCCAAAGAGGAAGGGATTAAAAGAATCAACGGATTCATTTTGGAGATCTTTAGTCTTGATCTGTTTTGTAACGTCTTAGAGCTGCTGGAAAGTTGACAATATTAGCAAGAAGAGGAGGAGCACAGAAATGGAAACTATATATTAAATGTTCATCCGATTCACCTTTGGACCAACCCTCCTGCTTCAGTGAACATTTAAATGATAGGAAATATACTGCCGCTAATCTTTAAAATGAACCGAGTTTGCTGCTCCAGTTGTTTTAGAGAGTTGGATGATATAGAAAAGCTACGCAATCCCCAGTGTGGGACTATTTTATTGTTTTGTGTTGCTTTTACTGTCTAGTGCTGGAACTTTGTGAAGGAGACAAAAGTAACCCCTCCCTTAGTCTACCATTGTGAGTAACCCCTGTATAGTTGTAGTTGTACTCCTTCACTGACTGTTGGTGGCTGCATTCGCAGGCTCACCAGTAGGAATGGGCGACAAATTATTGTACACGAATTATCGTCCTTCACGATGAATATTTGCCATCTCACGATAAATGCGATCAACTTTTCGTCAAGATTGGGGCTTAGACGAGCGCAATTAGGTATGCCTGACATCTGAGAGTTGATGTGCTGCTGCTGTTCTCTATGTGCATTAAGAATTTTGAATTAATGTTGAAAGTGTTTTCACATTTCAGACTTGTTTAATGTCACTAGTTTTCTCCATAACCTACCACTTAAACTTGTGGTTAAGTCTCTTATTTTACTATGTCAACTGGTGTTCTCGAGTAGGGCTGGGCAATATGGCCTCAAATTAATATCACAATATATTGAGCATTTTACCTCGATAACGATAAATGGACGATAACTACTCCACAAGCTGCTCACCCCCTCCCACGTTAACTTCCTCTACTTCCATCGCCGCTCCAGCCGCTACAACTTTTGAACCATCCTCCATTTTCTCACCTGTCTTTTCCTCTTTCTTACGGACTCGTTGGGGGTGGAGTCGTGTCTCTGATGTAGACAGAGTCTTAAAGGGACATGAGACCGTAGCCTACCTACACACATCCAAAACCAACTTTTATTTATTTATTTATTTGACACAGAATATATTGACATGGGCAAAATGACGTTGGTTATTGTTGTAAATTTTGGTATCGGTAAATTTTGGGTTTATCACCCAGCCCTATTCTCAACACTGAATGAGTCAAAAACATGGATTGGAATTATAATATTTTTTTAGCGGGACTTTTATCGTTATCACAAGAATAGCAAAACTTGTTGTGATATATATATATTTTTTTGCCCATATCGCCCATCCATACTCACCAGTTGGCTAAACTCTTGAATGTTGGCCAAAGTTTTCTGTCTTTCGTTTCTTTTTTAAGAAGAAAAACCTTCAATTCTTTTTAAAACAATCAATAGAGGTTGGACCAATTGTCCCATAGCTTCTAGTTAGTCGATAAATGTTAGCTATAGTTACATGCAGACATCTGATTTAGATGAAAACAAAACATTAAAGGTTGCAGCTGATGGGAGCAGGACTGTAATTTCTGCAGATTGCTGTCAGGGTTAGAGTTTCTTATGCTCTCTATACACATAGATTTTGCTGAATACCAAAGCCTGTAGAAATCTGATTTACAATGAACATACTGCTAAAATGAACTAAAACACTCCCAGACTCCCTTGTGCTACATTTTTATATATAATTAGTTAATAAAAGATCAAAAATTCTGTAACCAGGTCTAAATTTTCCCTGTATTGACATCATGTGTGATGTATGCAGAAGTTACACTTGTGGTTTTTTCCCCTCATGCTTACTATGCAGTATGATTTAATCCAGTTTAACCACTCGGAGGTCTGTTCTATTTACAGACATGGGTTTTATGGTTTTTCCCTCTATACATCATCTTTCCACTCCATTTTTTATGGAGGAGGAAATATGTAAAAGTTTGAGACTTCTTTTTTACATCACTTTTTCGAGTCATTTACTATTTTTTTTCACATCCATTTTGCTTTGAGCGAGGTCGTAATTCATTCTTTCTTTAACACCAGGATTTTTACACATGTTGCATCCAGAAGCTGCACATCCTGACAAAGATGAGTCTGTTACTGAAACTCCTCTGAACTCAGCTCTCTGAGCAACGACTGGGGAATGCAACTCATTCAAACTATGTAGCTGATACTGAAGAGCAAGACTTTCAAGTTCTGAGTACAGGGCAGCCAGATTCATGATGACACATTAGGCTTGGGTTTACACTGTTCCAGCTTTTGTTTTTTGTTGTTTTCCTGTGCTACCCCAGGTTCAACTCATTACTGAGTCAATCAAGCACTGGCATGAGAAAAGCAAACAAATGTGGTTAGCCGGCCTTTACGTCCTTTTTTCAACAGAATGTCCTCTAACCTGACAGGAGGCATGCCTGTGTACACTTGTGTTAAAGCTGCTTTTCACTGAGTTACATATGTGTTTCATTTGGAGTGTTTACCAACAGCATGACTAATACTTGCTTTGTGTTTCTCGGTCTACTGGTTTGGGGTTACTCTCGGTCTGGGTAGGATATTGAGAGAGCCCTGTAAAGACAACTAAATGCTTACCATCCTACCTGCATTTGTAAATGAAATAATAGTCCTTTGTTGTATTTAATTTAAAGGAAATATTACCATGACAGCCCACATGAACAGCCTGTACAACCATTTGAAGTTATCTCTCTTGTGCATGAAGTTAATAATGGTTTTATCCAAATGACATCCTGTCATGTCTCACTGCATGGTTCCTGTTGAATCACTTTTAAAAGCTGGGGTTGATGGTCTTTATCTTCTCTCAGATCCGGTCCACACCCACCAGAGGTACCACAGCGACTACAGCTCATCCAGTGAAAGCCCCTCGGTGACCTCCTCTGATCCAGACTACAGACAAGGTAAAAGATAAGCCTTAAAGTCCCACTCCAATCATTTTTTTTAATACTAAAAGTGTTCTCAATGGTCCTTAAATTGTGATTATGAAGTTTTTGCCAAAATCGCGTTACCTGTGACATTTTCAAGAAATTTTCTTCTGCAGAGCTCCAGTAGATCATTAGCAATTCGCCTCTGAGTCGTGGGCGGAGACAGCGCTGCTCTGCACACTTCTCTTCGCATTAGCTTGCAGCCTAACATTGCTGGTGTAGTAGAAGTGGTAGGTAACATATGAGCTATTCAGCTCTCGGACACTAATGTCTTTCGGGACAAGTTAATATCATTCTTAGCTTTCTTACGAGTATCACAATCCGCTCCTGGACATGCTTGTTCCGCGATTGTCCTCTCTACTTTTCCAGGGGCTCAGGGGGCGGAGCTTGCAGTTATGACATAGGAAATCTCACTGAATCTGAACCTTCTGTGTGGGTCTGCCAGAGATTCACAATGATTTGAATGCAGCATCAGAAAAGTGCCACATGAACATGTAGACAACCAGAAAAACATGATTTTTATTGGAGTGGGTCTTTAAGGTCACCTTAGGCAGACTTGTTTGATTTATGTATATGCAGTGCTTATGCAACAGGTGGCAGGTGCTGCACAGACATAGATAAGTCATCTTGGTGCATGCAGCTAATTCTAGAGTGAAAAACCAAAGGAGTTCTGTAAAGAGAGGGATAAGTGCTCATTAAAGCACGGAGGTATGTGGGCAGCAAGAAGGAGCACATCACAGGGTTTATCAGGTTGGTACCTACCTTGGTGTTTCAAGGACTCACCTCAGCTTTGACTGGCTGCATACTCAGCCTCCCCCTCCTCTAAAAGAGGAGAAAATAGAGTAAAAATGAGATAAACTGATATTTGAAGCATGCTTCTCAGTCCTGTTCCCGCTGGTTTTCTTATCTGTCAACCCAAGAGCTGATTTATACCTGGAATAACAAGCGCACCAAACCGGACTCCCCGCTGTTTTACTGCCAGGCGACACAGGCACATCTTTGTCGGCGTAAATAGCAAGATCCAGTACTTCAAATATTTAAGAGCACTACTGAGTTCCTTTAGTTGTTTCCAAGTAACTGCCACGTCAGTGTTTCTCAGTCACTTTCCAGGTGTTGGTGATAAAATTAGGTCATGTTCTTTTGCTACCAAAGATTGCACAAGGTAACATACCTTCACAGACAATAGCAGAGTAGTGTGGGAAACCGGCTGGCTTACAGTTTCAGGTGGTAAACAAATCTCTGCCTGTGGTATTGAGAGAACCTCATCAGCTTAAGATTTAATCTTTCAGAATTAAGTTACAGTAATACCCTCCACCTCCACGTCCGTCTGAGAGTTCAGTGCCTCACGTATATCTCGCATATTTTTCACATGCTCATTAAGGCAGTTTAACACGCAGTTTGGTGTCATATGTGTTTTAGTTTTTCTAAGATGAGTACACTCGAACTGTTCCTGACAGCCGAGATAAAGCAAAGGTCAAAAGCAAATGTATTCACGAAGACACAACGCCCCTACTCCATTTCACTCTGTTTCCAATCCTCGCTCTTGCTTGAAAGTTTGACAGTGAGTTCAGACAGCTGTGAAGAGTTTTTGCCGTTCTGGTGGAAACGGGGCCAGTTTTATTTGGAAAAATGGCTGACACATATTAAACATGCTCCAGAAAGAAAGGAGGCTTGACTCCCGTCCAGCTGAAATGCACAATAATTCACAACTTGTAAGATTTAAGGGAGGCTCTCTGTGCATTACAGTAGAGTTTGACACGTATCGTCGTTGTTATGTAGCTGCAGCCCTTAATCCAAAATTTTAACCCAGCTGATCTGACCTGATTTAACTATTTGGTAACTACTCCTACTCCTTCAACACATGCTCATGCATGTACTTTTGCTCCACAGTGTGGCTGTTTGTTCAGAGAGGGTGTGTTTGATTGTGTACATGTGAAAACAAAAATGTATTCCTTTGTGCGCATCTGCTCCTCTGCCAATAACCCTGATTTTTTTTTTCTTCCTTTCTAGCTAAAAAACCTGGTGAGGTCCGGAGGTTCGGCTCCCAGCTGGCACTTTCCTCTGAGCACGATGCGCTGTCATTGACGAGTCACAACACTCACAGGCTCAGGTAGCACACGACACATTTATGTATAGAAACTACCACAGATATATGTTCAGTCCTCAAAGCAGCTACAGCTATCCTGTGCTTTCAGATGAACTCCTCTCTGAGGCAGCTGTTTTTCTTCATTTCACAAATGGATAAAAACGCATCATATGAGCTCAGAATACTATGTAGAATATGTTAATGGAGCAAGCATGTATTTGTTTGTGTTTGCATCCTTGTTTCCCTGAGGATCTAGTTAGAGTACATGCACTTTGCAGAACAGTAAAGCCTCTGTCCCTTTGGCTGCTCTGGACCACACACACGGCTGGTGTGGCACAGCAGGGTCAGCCCCGTGCTTCCCTAGTGAGGTCATCTAACGTGACATCCACATTCAGCAATCTCAGTCTCTCTAATCTCTGGCATTACAGAGCTGGCTACTGCTGCTGCTGCTGTTGCTATGACTGAGAGCAACCATGTTTTCTATCCGTCCCACTGCACAGAGCGCTTGTCTTCCCCTGGTGCTCAAAGAAAACACTTCACCTGCTATATTTTATGTTTTGTGTTTTGTGCACAGTTTGTGTCAGACGTATCCTCCTTCGGTCACTGGTTGTATTATTTTATTCTAAAGAAAAGGGTCTTCACTTGCCTTTTTTTCTGACCCCTGCTCTTCTCTTCTCTTTTCCCCTGCAGACAATATGAGGGGACGGCTGATGAAGGTGTGATTGGAGCAGAGCTGCTCCTCCAGAAGCAGGAGGAGGAGGTGCAGCGGCTCCAGGCCCACCTGGTCAACAGGCTTTCAAGGGTCAACCTCTACCCCACAGACGACCCCCTAGCCCCACCTCGCACTTCCTTGCTCGACATTCGAGACCCCCTCTACACCTCTTCTGTACCACTACGCAAACCCAAGGTTATTGTTCGTTAATTCAGTTATTTGGGTCACATTTATCATATGCATTAAACCTCATTTATCACAATAGAGCAGCAAACTACAATTAAAACACCCTCGACATATCCAACTCTAGAGAGTTTAAAAAGTAAGTGCTTTTATGGGAACTCCCTATATCCAAATCTCACTGTTTGTAGTACAATATTTGATGATGAATGGATTAATTGTATTACATGAGCTCATTGGTGACTCGGTTGTTGCTGCTTCGCTCCCTGGATGTTCTGTAAATACAAAACTGCTGACTGGGAGACATAATTGATGTCAGCCTTCCCATGATGGTTACAAATGTATGGGACTGTGGGACCTGTGGGATTTCTGGGGTATGGAGTGATTTATGACAAACTGAAAACGTGTTCACACAAGTGGTACACATAGCAACAAATCTGCTGATGCTGGCAGTTTACCGTAAATGCTGTATATCAGTTATACTCTGAGTAGGTGGATTACACTCTTTCAGGCGAGACGTATTCACTTAAGCGTGTTCATGGTCAGATTTATGGATGTGATAGTGGATTTGAGGGTTGAAAATGGAAAGAAAAAAAAACATCTTGAAGCAAATAATCCTGCTCTTCCACTTCTGACCCAAGAATACAAACAAGGAAGTGTTAGCTACACGCAAAAAGTCCCATGACCTGTTGTTACGTAAATCTCATGTTCAAACCAGCTAGATTGGTGCTTTGATTTAGAGTTTAAATACATAGGAAATGAGGTTGTAAAAGTGGTGTGAGACTTGTTGTGTTTATATCAATCTCAAATCATCACTTTCAACAAATCAAGACTTCTTAGATACAGACAGTCATCAAAGCAGTGAAACGTCCCAGATTGCTTGATCCTTACAAGTATACTCAACTTTATTTGAAACATGGAGCAAAGTTTTAAGAAGGGAAGTGACGTGATCAGTTTTATTATTGCAGGATTAAACTCTGACAGCAGCAGCGTACTTCATAAACTGTATTTTTTTGAGAGACCGGTGTAAAGGGAGATACAGTAACACATGAATTAAAATTTCCGCATCTTTCTGGAGTAAAAAAGGTCTGATTGGCAATGGATTTGGATGATAACATGAAGTACTGAAAACCTTGTTAGATGAGCATTAAAATTCAAATTAGAACCTGAAACCTCTCCTAAATTTGTTTATATTTGTTTGATTCACTTGTTAAAACCTCCTGGCGTTTCATTTAGTAAGACAGGACAGAGGAGATTAAAGTCCACTTGAGTCATGTGATGTGACGGATACAGTTGAGTGTTGTGGGTGTATAAAATAATAACTTATGCTGTGGTGTTTGCAATAATATTTACAGGTGGAAGCATGTACAATGAAAATAGACTAGGCCCAAGAATGCCTCCCTGAGGAACACCATATTTAAAATCGTGTACAGACAGAAACTGCCGAAGTAAAAGGTTTTCTCTAACACTTTTATTCTCACTTGAACGGCAGAATTTCCACGGGCCTGAATTTGTGAAGATGGCGAGTGAGCCCCCTGTCGCCTTAACTGTCCCGTCATCAATAATGGTGAGGATCTAAAAAAAAATACTGCTTATGAACCAATGTATCCAAACACTCCTTTTTCATCTGTTTATAACGCATTCAATTTTTCTTCCTTTATTTGAAGAAACGTGGGAAAGTGGAGGAAGTGCAGAGGAAAGTTGGTGTGGTGCTGCTGAACAGCCAAAAGCTGGAGCTGAGCTGTGACATCAAGGCAGTGTGTAAAGATGTTCTTGATATGGTGGTCGCCCACATCGGGCTAGTGGAGCACCATCTCTTCAGCCTCGCATACCTCAAAGGTATTTTGTCACTTCTGTGTTTGTCTGCGGTCGGTTTAGTCCCACATTTGGATAAGAACGTGATGTTACTTTGCTCATGCAGCCACCTGATCAAGTCACAGATGCAACACTGACCTGAAATAACTTCTCTCTCAGATTGGAAAAGTTTTCAAGAATCAAGTGTCAACTTTTAAAACGGCAAAATGTTCGATTACATGTCAAGAATGTGAGATGAGAATGAGTTAGTTTTCATCGCGCAGGGTTAAGGGCATTTCCATATAAACTCATTTTCTACACCTACTGTCTCATTAAAGATGCAAAGCCTGTGTGTCCAGAAGCAGATAGACATAACTGATTAATCCCCTCTCGTTCTGACACCTCTCACCCACCCAAATCCCCTCCCCGTAACAATCCTGCACACAGATAATGAGTTTTTCTTCGTCGAACCTGATGCCAAACTCACCAAAGTGGCCCCAGAGGGATGGAAGGAGGATCCCAAGAAGAAGAAATTGGACGTGCCGTTTAATCTTTTCTTACGCATTAAATTCTTCCTCGATGACGTCAACCTCATACAGTAAGTGTTGACTTCAGTTATAAGTACCATGCTCTTACATCAGTAGCTGGTGTTTATCTGTTTTATCACCGTAGTTTAATCCAAAATAACTGCTGCATAACAAAGGAAAGGGTTTTTAAACTTCACTGATTTATTTTTCAGGCACGCTATGACCAAACATCAGTACTACCTACAGCTGAGGAAGGACATATTGGAGGAAAGGACACGCTGCGACGCTGAGAATGCCATGCTGCTTGCCTCACTGGCCCTGCAGGCTGAATTCAGCGACTACCAACCTGAGGTATCAGTTTGCTTTGATGTAGCCATAGAAATAGATTTGTGATCCTTTTAAATAAAAACCTCATCAGAATCTGTCGACTAACACTCTGAATGCCCGTGCCTCAGCTCCATGGGAAGACTTATTTCAGACTGGAGCACTACCTGCCTGCATCAGTCTTGGATAAAGTAAACCAGACGACCATTAAAGAGGAGCTGCCGAAACTTCACAGCAACTATTATGGAGCCTCCGAAACAGAGGCGGAGTTTGAGTTTCTCAAGGTCAGTCGCAGTGGAGACCGATGAGTCATGTTGTTGGACAGATTTATCGCTACATCGCTAAAATGTCAATTTTTCTTTTTGCAAGCACAATCAGGACTTGAGTGCACAAGAGTTTAAATGGTTGCTAAAGTCAAGCATCTATCAATGTGAATGAAGTGAGCCCAATGTAATAATATCCAGTGTTTATTGTAAGAGGTCCGTGCTCTCTAGCTGGATCACTGACCCAACAAAGATCTCTTATTTGCACGAGTTTAGTACTTGCCACCTATTTTTGCATCCCCATCTCATACAGCACTGTTTTTATTGTTTTAAAGGTGAGCCAGAGGCTGATAGAGTACGGTATCCATTTCCACCGGGTGCTTCCTGAGAAAAGGTCCCAGACGGGCATCATGCTGGGTGTCTTCTCTAAGGGCGTACTCATCTTTGAGGTCCTCAACGGGAATAGGACCCCGGTGTTGAGGTTCCCCTGGAGGGAGACGAAAAAGATTTCCTTTGCGGTACGTCCCCAGCTGTGCCACACAGCAGCAACTGTTTTCTTTGAATTAGTCCTTTTCGATCCGTGCTTTGACTTCAAATTTCCACTTTTAATCTTGCAGAAAAAGAAGATTTGCCTTCAGAACACATCAGACGGGATCAAGCACCAGTTTCAGACGGACAGCAACAAGACGTGTCAGTATCTGCTACAGCTCTGCTCGGATCAGCACAAGTTCCACCTGCAGATGAAGGCACGCCAAAACAACCAGGAGCTGCAGGACCTCGGTAAGAGAGAGAGAGAGACGGGGTTTGACATACTGCGTGAGAGCTAACAGATGTGAATGCTTCTTCACTAAAGAAATACATTAATCTTGACGAAGAGGAAGGTTAACCAGTATGATGTAACCCAGTGACAGGAAATAGCGAAGACATTCTTGTAAACTACTCTGTTTCCAGTCCCTGTTGGAAGTGTTAGACCTTCCGCATATCACACCTGGATAACAATCTGATGCTCACTTTTTTCATGTTTTAATCCAACAGTACAAAGATTAATCCTAATTTCTAAACGTGTTGATTGTATCTGATTAAATTCCTTAGATTTAACCAGAGTATGATCAACTATCCTGCCCACGGTCTAACCTGTCAGTGTTGGAGTCCAGCTGCAAAAGCTATCAGAGTCGATCAGTTCAACATGTGTTTTAAACTTGAATGGTTCATTTATCCTTGTCATGGTGCCTTGCTTGGTTTGATCTGTATACTTGGCTGAACGGCAGAACCGCTCAGTTCAGATCACTCCTCACACTCCCAGCAGATTGTTGACACAAAGTCCAGAACTGGGTTCATAACTTGATGGATGCCAAGAGAACTTGTCAGACCATTTACTCTGACGATAAAGATGGATATCTCCAGGAAAGAAAGAAAGGAAACCTCCTACCGGTTTTTCAGTCTAGAAAATAATTACTCATGACTGCTGAGTCACTAACAGCAATTTTTATGTATTTTTCACCTTTTTTGTTGCTGTGTTTATGACAAATATGTCACAACTCTAACTTTTTGCATGTTTCTGCTCGTTTCCAGAGAACAGCCCTATAAGCAACTTGCAGTATCCCTTTGACCCTCGAGGGGGGGACTCTGTGGGCAGGGCAGTGAGCTCAGGCAGCCTGGGCCCCAGCTTATCCACCCGCTCCAATCCAGACCACCTGAAGAGGATCTCCTACTCAGAAGTGGCTTTAAACAAGACTCCGTCTGGCCCCATATTCGTCCAAGATGAGCTTCACTTTCCAGGTTTCAATCCAGCCGCCTCGACGGCCCTCTCCAACCCGCGGACAATAAGCCGCTCGCACCACAACCTTACACAGATGCCAGAGCCTCTGGAGCAGCGAGCGTCGGATTCGTACCACAGCCAGTCGCACGTCAGGATGAGTCAGCCACCACTGAACCAAATGGCTTCTCACTTGCAGCTGCAGAGAGCCAGTTTAGACACAGACTCGCTCTCACAACAACAGGACAAGTGAGTAAAACCAAGTTAACTGTGCAGGAATCAGATCGTCCCTAAATGTACCAAAATATCAGAGAGAATAAAGCCATAGTGGGTGTTGTAAAAGCAGACATTTACTGCTTTCTTTAATCACTATACGACTCGTAAAATTCAACAGCATCTCTGAGGTTTAATGGTTTTTAACTCCTTTATTTAACCGTTTAAAGCCCTCTTTTGAGCACAGCTGAGGAAAGAGCATCTTGTGTTAATTAATTGGCTCTTTGTAATGTCTTCAGTCTCCAGACACACTGTAAGATAGACTGAGGTTACCAAGGCAGAGCTATAGTCCCAGTAACAAGTCCCCACTAACATCACTCAGACACTTGGCGCTCCACCCTCCACCCTCTAATTAAGTCTCTTGGGGTCTGGGTGTGTGGGTGCACATGCGCCTTTGTGTCTGTGTGTGTCTGTGTTTGTGCGAGCGTGCCAATCAGCGGGTCTTTAGAAGAGTCACAAACCCTCTCTTGTGTCAGCTGCTCCCTCTCGTGTCGGGAGATATGCACGGGTTCAAGACTATCAGGGTGAAAAAGTTAAAAACATGCTCAGAATCGTTTGTAAGAAAATCAATTTTCTCATTTTTTCCCTTTTTTTTCCAGGTCATTCGGTTTAGCGTCCCACAGCAGCCCAGCCTGGAGTCACAGCAGGTCCAAAAAGGAGTCGGACTCTTCCTCCCTAGAGGACACTGGACAAGCTTATGTAGTGGGTAAGGATGCTACTGCTGAGAAGGATGATTGTGTGGATAAGTTGTGTGGAGTTCCCATCATAAATGTCCCCTGTTGGCTCTGCAAATGGAACATAGACTCTGTAGTTGCTGATCAAAATAGTAGTCAAACATTTTAACAGTCGTCTGGATTAAACTTGTGCACAGCTTCCAATAATTAGATACAACAGTTATCAGGATGAATCTTAATTTTTAGAGTTTACAATCAATTAACGAAAACTTTATATATTTTTTAGAGTTACGATGAATGCACTGGGCAATTTAAGGTTTCAGCTTAATGATGGTTTGCCAGTAAAAGCAAGCAGTTTACATCATCACTCTGCATATTTGGTTTATTGCTAACTGCTTTAAAGGGGCATTTCCCTCATTGAAGTTTGCTGTCACTTAAAATACATTTAAAGAGTAGATGTTAAACATTTGTTATTAATGTCAATTCCTGTCTTGATTCCTCTTATCTCTTACAAATTGCAGTTCTGCCATCAGCGTTACAAGAAGTTCTACCAGTGGCGTTTCTTTATACTCGCTATCAAACCCCCTAACAGCATTATATCTCTTTCTGAGCGTGTGATTTTACAAAGCAAATACACTGCCTTCTTGAACTGGCAATATTTATAGCCCGTCTGTTGAAACCAAGAGAACAACCTTTTCATCTTTTATAGCACTTTCCCTCAAAAGCCATAAAGCTCTTTTATATTTTTTTCAATTGATTTTTACAGACGTTTTCTTCATTTGCAGAAGCAGAGCCTTTCTGACATAAAACCAGTTAGTCTAAATGAAGGAAGAAGACGACATAATGAACCACAACAAAAGCTCTTTTCACCAAAGTCGATGCCTTTAGCGCAGTGGTTCTCAAGTCCAGTCCTTGAGCCCCCCCCGTCCTGCATGTTTTGGATGTTTCCCTGCTCCAACACACCTGATTCAAATGATCAGCTCGTTATTAAGAGCTTGATAACGAGCTGATCATTTGAATCAGGTGCTGCTTTAGCTTCACTTTTAATGTTGTTTATGTGAAATGTTTGAGCTCACTTAAAACTGTCAGCTCATACAGTGAGCATTTTTATTTTATTTCCTGTAGTGTTGAAGAATCAGTCAAGAAGTTTAAGTTACTATGTTGAAGTTGTTGCATAATCACCGTCAAGCTGATCTCTTGTGTTGTGTTACCAGGTGTCAGCATGCACAGTTCCTCTGGAGCACCTTCGACCCCGGCCTCAGTCCACGGTATATATCAAAAATCAATCGTTCGTTTTCTAGATATACATTTTAAACACACACCCGTCCCACTATGAAGGAAATAAAGAAAAACCAGCACTTGTTTTGTAACAGACTTAATCATGCTCTGTAATCTTTTACTGTCTGAGGCACAGCCAAGTATGAATATAGAGCCTGTGTTCCATATCAGACTTATATAATGCAGAAATGAGTCTCTGTCCTCTGTCTGTGAAACTGGCCCCGGTCCCACCATTTAATAGCTTCATGCTTTGCTCTGAACTCACGACCCTCCCTTTCATCACAGCTTAACCCGTCTTTATCTGAAGTAGGGGCCCTTCAGCAGCAAGCCTGCCTGGGCTGATTAATGGTAACAAAGTAGATATACGCTCTCAGACGGGCTTAATTAAGACCCTAGTGAGGAGAAAAACAAAACTAAAATTGGTACAGTGATATGCATCAGTTAGAAAAGACAAAGCAAGTAGCATGTACTCACAGTACTCTTCGTCGAACCCTGTGACTTTGTGTTGCAGATTCACTCATCAAAAAGCTCAGTGCTTTACCATCTCCGGAGAGAGAAATTACAACTGTGCACCTGAAGAAAGATGTGAAATACGGCCTGGGTAAGAGAGGAGATGAATTTCCCTGAAATAACAACTCCATTTCACACCGTCCCTGCTGCCATTTCTCAGCTGTCACGGCTGACAAGAATTATTAAGTGCACCGGTGTTGCCCTGTTTTGTATCTGAGTGTGTCCTCCTGTGAGTGTCTGTTTATGTCTGTTTTTCCTCCAGGGTTTCAGGTCGTTGGAGGAGAGAACTCTGGTCGCATGGACCTGGGCACCATTATTAGCTCCATCACTCCCGGGGGTCCTGCTGATCTTGACGGCCGCCTCAAGCCTGGTCAGATTTTATTCTTCTTAGAATACGTGATGTCTCAGTCTGCTGCCAGAATGGTTCGCTGTTGTAAGTCTGGTCCCTCATACGTGTCACTTTTTGTGTTCATGCAGGTGACCGGCTGATCTCAGTGAATGATGTGAACCTTCACGGGCTGCCTCACGCCGCCACAGTTGACATCCTCCAAAATGCTCCTGATGAAGTTCATCTGGTGGTGTCCCAGCCCAAAGAGCGGCTCTACCAAGGTAAAGATAGGCTCAAGAGTGTGTTTTTTAATGGAAAATAGTCAATTCTTGTCTTGTTTTTTCTAATTTAGCATTTAATCTCCCTTAATTTGACAGAATCCTCTTCAGTTTACACCCCCTACGAAGCAAACTCTGCATTAAAGGCCCTTAATGCTGCACAGGGGCGAGAACTTGACTTTGACAGCTCTTCAGAGGAGAAGGTCAGAACAGTGAGCCCCGTCCCTCCTCTCCAAAGCGCCGGCACATCGTCATCCACCGGGCCCCCGGTCCATCAGCTCATCGTCCTCAATCCACAGGACACAGGCAGCAGAATGAACAGTGCAGCCAAAACCACCAAACCTGCCACAATTGACATTCACCAGTGCCTCGAGAGAGCTAAATCTGTTCCCGCTGCTGCACCCAAAGCCCAGCATCACAGACCAGAAGCCAACAACATGAGTTTGGATCCAGCTCCGCCAGCTCTGCCGCCCAAAACTAGAAAACCGAAAGTACTTGAAGCTCCTAAATTTTCCGAGCATTCAGGGGATTCAGACATGGATGAGGAGACTTTTTCGAGTAGTCAAGAGAAACTGCGGGTGAAAAAGGTGCGGTCTTCGTGTTTATGAATGGGTTTGTCGCTTCTACACTGTGGCTTCTTTACTCAGAGGATTTGGGAATCAAATCACTAAAATATATATTTTAAGATATCAGACATCGACTTAAGTTCATGAACCCGGATGAGAAAACTTCTTCCACAAGCAAGCATTACACGAAACGTCAGATGCTTGACACAACTAACTGCCTATAGTACATAACCTTTGCCTATCATTGCATTTACAATGCCAATGCAAGGCAGCATGTTCCTGTCAGTGTAACCAAGTTCGGCTTCCTCACCCTCCCTTCAGCCCTTCTTCTCTCTCTGCATGTCCCAGCTTGTGATAATTCAACTTAATACCCTGTTCTCTGTTTGCAGGAATACATCATGGAAAATTTAAACGGTAATGCCCCAGGGGTCAATAGTCTCCGACCTGGAGATCTATTTGACGTTGAGCTGTCCAAAAAAGACAGCAGCCTGGGCATAAGTGTCACGGTACTGTTCGGCAAGGTTTTCACCCTCTCTTTGTTTTGCCCCTTCCCCCCTCCTCATCTCATCACTGTTGTTCATTTGTATTTATGTCGCTTGGGTTGGTTTGCTTTCATCACGCTGCATGCTGTCAGATCTCTTGCGGGAGCATTGGCTGCTTTTTCTTTTCTTGCATGCTTTCCTTTTTTAAAATCACCATTAAATTAATTAACCCAGTGTGATCAGGACCTCATGATGAGGACTGGTCAGAATACCTCTCCATGGTTTCCTCCATGTTTGCAGCTGACTGTGAAGTGACTCACTAATGATTTCTCTCTTTGATTAACACGGAATAACAGCTAACTCAACCATGTGTCTCGGATCGGGGTTTGCTGTCAGTATGACTGTTGAAAATAATCAGTGATTTTGTGTTGTTTTATATTAGTGATGGAAACTTTAACAGAACCACCAAAATAACAACAAAATCCACCTTCACCGTAAACTCATTATCATGACCATCATCACCAAATGGACACTGAATAGATGTTCACTCGTCTCTGATTATTTAGATTTAATCCTGTAGTGATTTGGAGTTTAACATCACAGTGTAGCAATTCATTTTCAGCTGATTCATACATGTGATTGATAAATGCTTCGTCTAACTTGTACTTGGACTAAAGAGAAAGGTCAACCAAACCCTGGTTTAGATATGAGGCTGTAGTGGACATTGTGAAGTTGTTAACAAATTTAGGTAAGTTAAAAAAAAGATATGTGACATTATCTCTTACTCCAGGGAAACTCGCAAAATACCCCTCATATAAATTCTACGATCCACTTTGGTTGATATTTTCTTTTTAATCTCAGATAAAGTTTTTGGACCTACAGTTTAGACAAAGCATTTGTACCAATCACACTTAAAATGGAAAAAAAATCCCCTCCTGCCATAGACCCCCATTAAAAAAAAGAAAAATCAACTTAATTTCTACCGGCTTCTGAGACTAAAAGCTGTGATCTTTTCTCTCAGGGGGGAGTCAACACAACCGTTCGACACGGAGGCATCTACGTCAAAGCCGTCATCCCGAAAGGAGCTGCTGAGCTGGATGGAAGGATACAGAAAGGTGATGAAGGTTTTGAACAGATTGTATGATTGTGTTTGTTTTACTTTTTATGTCTGAACCTCTCTTTCCTCCGATCAGGTGATCGTGTTGTGGCAGTGAATGGAAAAAGTCTAGATGGAGCCACTCATCAGCAGGCAGTAGAGGCTCTCAGAGACACAGGGCAGGTGAGGAATGATGTTAACCGTGAACACACTGCTGCCAAGCTATTGGATTGCTTCCTATCTGCTCACCAAAATCAATTTTTTCATTTTTTTTTATTTCTTAGACGGTGCACTTGCTGCTCGAGAAGGGTCATCCGCCTGCAGACAGCGTCCACGCTCCCCTCACACCTCAGCGCACTCCACCAGGTTCTGGGAATGAGCGAGACCAGAGCCAGAACAATGAGCATCAACTTGGGGTCAGAGAGAGACCAGAGTACAGCTTTATGACAGAAGGTGAGGAGGGACAACAATGAGGGCTTCTTATGTTGAACTATAAATTTAGCACATACATTGATATAGATCTTTTTGACATCATTTGCACTTTTTCAGTTCAAGTGAGTCCAAGGTGAAAGTAAAAAATATTCATGTATTTAACAGAAACATTAATGACCGAAATGCTGTTCAGGGAAAAAGCGATTCGACACATTTTTCTATTTTAAAGTTTGACACATATCTCATCTGTTAGCATGGAGGAGGATTTCTGACCTATTCTGCAGCCAGCCAGTAGGGGGAGCTCCAAATCTTTTGAGTTGTCATGTTGTATCTGTTTTTAGAGTAAATGAACTAGGCCTGCAGTTAAATACTCAAAATTACTCTAACTTGCCAAACAAACATTATTGATGCTTAACTCTGGGCTCTTCTTTTTGTCAGAATGCTGAAACCTAAACCCTCATCAGAGCTAACTCATTAAGTTCATGTTTAAATACCGTTTTCTGGCTGTCGCAGAGCGCCTATTTCAGCTGTGCCTGCATGTCTGTGTCTCTTCAGATAACGTGTTTGAGGTTTGCCTGCTGAAGAACACGTCTGGACTCGGGTTCAGTTTCAGTCGGGAGGAAAATGTCCCAGACGAGGCGTACGGCACCAGCATGGTACGGGTTAAGAAGCTGTTTCCTGGTCAACCGGCTGCAGAGAGCGGTCGCATCCAAGTGGGTGACGTCATCATGCGGGTCAATCAAACCCCCCTCAAAGGGCTCTCACAACATGTAAGTGGGCTGGTTCCCCCTTTTAAACAAATGAAACTGAGTCTGTTTGGTTGTGTCGTTAATTCATTTGTTCACATTAGGAGGTGATCTCAGCCTTGAGAGGAACAGGACAGGAGGTGACTTTGCTCCTCTGCAGACCTGAACATGGGGTCCTTCCTGAAATGGACACTTCGGCTTTGGTGAGTAAGCAAAAAAAAAGCTCTGTATGTGTTTGATAAACTGCATTGTGGGTACTTTGAGTGGATAATGTTTTGAGAACTAAATTGCGACTCATTTCTCTCTAGACACCTATGCCGTCTCCTCGGAAGGACCTGCTACCCCAGGCAGAGTCCAGCCTGAGCTCCAACAGAGCAGTCTCCCCTTCAGATTCACAGGGTAAGATGACGGTCGAAGGTGCTGTAGAGGAGGCGCTAGAGAGGCTGCGGTTTAAAACCCCTGCCCGGCACAACAGCTACAGCGACAGCACAGAGGGTGACGAGGAGGTTGAAGAAGCCTTCAGCCCGAGCAACGTGGAGCAGAGCAAGCAAATGTGGGAGCGGAGCCTCTACCACACCCCTAGCAGCAACCTGGGACTGGGGCGCTACGACAGCACGGGTCAGCTGGATGACAGCACCCACTCGGCTTTCTACTCCCCGAACCTGTCGATGACCAGATCTGACCTCAGCAAAAGGTGCACGATCAGTGGAATCAGTCATACAATACATGTGATACATTTTTTATAATTTTCTGTTTGTTCCTGTTTGATCAGAGGCCCCTCATCCCCCTTCATGGCTGATCTGGAATCATCTCCTCAGCCTATGGTCTCCTCCCCCTCTGCCCCAAGCCCAGACCCTCTCCCTCCTCCACTGCCCCTGCCACTAAACCTGACAGTGCCTGGCAACGGACAGGACATAGAAGAATTTGTGCCAGTGAGTACTAAAGACACAAAGTGCTCTGAATAGAAAGACTGTGATCTAAAATGTCCCCAGTGATGTAAAAACAGGATAGGAAATATGAAATATTGGTTTGTCTACTTTTCTAACGATGATTTGTTTTGTTGATAGGATGTAGAGCTCAAAGTCTCCCTTTTGAAGTCAGAGAAAGGCAGCCTGGGCTTCACCCTCACCAAAGGAAATGATCATGGCTGCTACATCCACGACATCGTCCAGGATCCAGCCAAAGGAGATGGAAGACTCAGGCCTGGAGATCGAATGATTATGGTAAAAATTCACCCTTACCCTGCTGCATAAATTTTACCCCCCCAAAAAATCGCTGTGTTGTAAAAAGTTTTCTTTTCTAGGAAATAATCAACATTTGAGAGAGAGGCTAATTTTCCCCCCTACAGAGAGTAAAATACAAGAGGAGTGTTCCTCCTGTCTGATCATGATCTATGAGCTCATTAGTCGAGTTTACAGACTGGAAGCAGAAGGAACCAGTTAGCACGGCTTTCACTCACGCTGGAGTGTTTGCATTGAACAAAGTCTCGAAATGTTTATGTGAAACATTTCGAGGTTCTGGTTTGCAGGTTTTTGTACTTTCACACCAGGTTTCATGATCCTGGTTCTTCATTTATCACAGTCAATGATGCATGAGCCTTTTTTCCATCTCCAGGTAAACAACACAGATGTAAGCAATATGGGCCACACTGAGGTGGTCAATCTTGTGCGTGCTGCCCCCCGCGTGGTTGACCTGGTTGTAGGAAGGGTCCTGGAGCCTCCCAAGCCCCCTATAGATGCCCATCTGCTGCCTGACATTTGTTTTAAGGGCAGCCATGAACCACTGGGTAAGAAACACCCCATACATGGGCTTAAAAACCTCTTTTCTGTTCACTTAGAGCAGGGGTGTCAAACTCAACCACAGCAAGGGCTGTAATCTGGATTTAGATCTAACCTGAGGGCCAAACGGGGTCAACATTTCACCAAAACTGTCAACCTCCTTTTCAAAAAATATATGTAACAAAAATAGATAAAAAAAGATAAAAAGAAAAGTTTAAAGGCAAACTGACATAGAAACCTTTTCTTTTATTCTATTTTTATTTATTAGTTCAAAAGATTGTAGCATGATATTAAAAATAGAAAAATAATGCATTTAAAGAGCAAATACATGAGAAGACTTTGAAATCAAGTTTTAAAAGGTCAAAATATGACCTGAATCTTAAGTATAAAAATGAAACAAGTCTGAATACTGAGTTGAACAAAATCAAAGCACGAAATAAAAAATCCAATCGTGTTTGACTTGTAATCTTGAAATGCAAAATTGAAAACATGAACAAATATTTTTCCCCTACATTCTTGACTATTTATTAAATCCTTCTTACTCTTTAATTTCCCAGATTTTCATTGTTTATTAAGGACATTTTAAATAATGGTGCTAAAGTTTAAATTATTATCCTGGAGGAAATCTGCAGACTTCATACTGGTGGGCCAATAATAATACAAATATGATATGATCTTGTGGGTCAGATATAATTGTTCCACGGGCCAGATCTCAGTTTGACACCTGCGACTTAGAGGGGTTTCATTTTGATGATTTCACTCCTTGTGGTTTCACCAGGTCTGGTGCTGGATGGAGGCAGCGACAGTGTTTACAATGTCTTGTTTGTGAAGGAAATCCTGCCCGGTTCATTGGCCTCTGAGGAGGGCAGCCTTAGACCACTTGATCTAATTCATTACATTAATGGAGCTCCCACCCAGGACCTGACGCTCAGCGAGAGCACCAGACTGTTAGAGCTCTCCCTCGATGATCTCACTCTCAAGGCCACCAGGTAGTTAAAAAAAAAAGTATTTTCAGTGTTTGTGTTGCTTAAATTGTTTTTTAATTTTTGTACGTGGAGTAATAACAACTGAAGTCTTTCTTCTTCTGGATTAAAGGGATGGAAAACCGGTGTTTCCTGGACAGAAAACTGTCTCTTTTCTTAACAACAACATAAATCCCAAGGTTTCATCAAGTATTAACGGTAGGCTGCTAAACTGAATGGTGAGACCCATGCAAATATAAATCAGGTCGAATCTGATAACCTTTCTTTTTCTCTTGAAGGGTTCCTGATTGGGGAAGATACTAGCGATACAGAGGGTCTAGCAGCCCTTTGCCCTATAGAGGTATTTTCCATGTCTGGTAGCTCAATTTTCTTTGCTAGTGTCGTAGTTACCGCATTACCTAACAGTTATCGACGTGTGTTTTGAATCCTGGAAAAATGGATGTCTATTTCTGATCATGCAGGAGGACATTATAAATCTTGATCTGGAAAAGCCACATGCAGGAGGTCTGGGTTTCTCTGTGATCGGAGGGGAAAGAGGGATATTTGTCAAGTCCATCACACCAGGAGGGATCGCAGAAGCCTCAGGCAAACTGCAAGTGGGAGACAGGCTGCTGAAAGTGAGTGATGTTTGACATTTACAGCTCAGACTTTTATCCCCTATGGACAAAATGGTCTTGTTTGGATTCATACAAATCTTCCTTTTCAAAATGTAGGAAATTAACCTCCTCATAACTACATAAGATAAGACTTTCTCTGATCCTTTTATAGATGTATCTTTAATCTTTAATCTGTACAACTCCCAGCACTTCCAGTTTTGATTTGATCTGTTTTTTTTTTTGTCTTGCAGGTGAATGAAGATCTAATGACAGGCGTTTCCCACACCAAAGCCGTCACTACCATCCGTAAAGCTAAAGGCCTGGTACACCTCGTGGTTTCTAGACCCCCAGACCAGAACCCAAACACATACCTGGCTTACCTGCCCATCAACTCTGACAAATGCAATGGAAACACGGGTACAAGCACAGACCTGAAACACCCACCTTTCCCCTTGATTGTTTAAATTCTGGTTTGTATGTTTAAGTTCACCTTATCTCTGACAAACAGCCTCACATGTTTCCTTCTTTCTTCTGCAGATCTCAGTGACGACAGCGGAGTGAAAACGAAGTTCTTAGTTCCCAGGGATGAGCAGAAATCTAGCAGCTTCCCCCCAATACCACCAATAGGTGATGAGACAGGCCAAAGTCTTTGAAGCACAATTTTGATTTGACTTCGTTCTTGATCTGATATTAACTTTCTCGCACCCTCATGCTCCACAGACTATGAAGAGGATCTCCTAGAGCAGAAAAGACTGACGCAGCACAACGCGGAGCTTTCAGAGGACACCGACTGTGACGGCTCTTCTTTACCCGATGACTCGCCTGAGGTTCACAATAAAACCAAATTACTTACAAATTAAATCCACAAGAATTTAGGAATCATTGAAAATACGATCTGCTTTTGTCGGGATTTTAACATAATTTATTTATGATTCTCAAACACCAGAGTTCTCGGAAAGTGGAATGGCAAGAGGAGAGTGTTGACGATCCCCGGAGTGAAAAGTATGATGTTAGCTTATTGGATTTACAACTGCTTCAATCACATCTCCCTTCTCCATCTCATCTGACTGTTTATGTTTTCAAATAAAAAGCTATTTGCAGATGAGCGCGGGACAGCAAGACGAAGATGAGCTCACATGGGGGAGTGATGAGCTGCCGATCGAGAACATGAACTCCAAATCAAGAGATGGTAAGACTGAAATCCTGCGAGAAATATGAAGCAGCGTCAAGCTAACAGATACTAGATCGGAGCCCACCCCTGCTCACCCCTTTTGTCAGTGAGCAACAGTGATTTTACACTGATTCAAACATATTCATCATTATTGTAATCCATATCTTCCATCCCTTTCCTGCCAAATACTGTTTATTTAGCACACAGAACCCTTAAACAATTATAAACTAAATATTTACTATATGTGTTTGAGCTGTTGAAACTGTTTTCTTCCAGACGGACCAATCATCACAGAGGATGAGCTCACATCTTTGCCCCTGGTCAAAGTTGTCCCTGATGGTCAGTACACGGGACCAAAGCTCAACACCGTGGTCCGTATGATGAGGGGCCTTCTGGAGCAGAAAGTCCCCCTGCAGGAGTTTGAAGTAAGAACCTGCTTCGTATTCAATGTCTAAAAAAAAAATTCCCTTCATCTGTTTTGACATCAACATTTGATTTTCCTCTTGGGCAGAATCTACAGAACCTCCAGCCGCTGGATGACTGTTTGATAGGTCAGACCAAGGAGAACAAGAAGAAGAATCGCTACAAGAATATCGTCCCTTGTAAGAAAAGTCATGTCTTGGCTATAAGAAATCATAAAATATAAAGTTGGACATTTTTTTCACATATGACTATGTTTTCCAGTTGATACAACTCGGGTCGTGTTGGGAACAGACGGAGGTTACATCAATGCCAACTTTATTAAGATGCCCGTAAAGGACGAGAGCTACATGTACATCGCCTGTCAAGGTCCCTTACCCACAACTCTGGGGGACTTCTGGCAAATGGTCTGGGAGCAGAAGTCGAATGTGATCGCAATGATGACGCAGGAAGTGGAGGGAGGGAAAGTGAAGTGTCAGCGGTACTGGCCGGACACGCCAAGGACGGCTGAGATGGTGGACGACAGGCTGCAGATTACACTACTCAAAGACCAATATTTGGACAACTTCGTCATCAGACTCATTGAGGTCAAAGATGTCCTGGTGAGTCCGTATACTGCTTTGTTGTGTTTTTTTTTTTTTAGTTTTAATCAGTCCTCTTTTTAAAGTGAGAGTTTCTATCTCCACAGACCAATGAGACCCAGTGTGTGACTCATCTGAACTACACGGGGTGGCCTGATCACGGGACTCCCTCACAACCAGAGCAGCTGCTCACATTTATCTCCTACATGAGACATGTTCATAGATCAGGACCCATCATCACACACTGCAGTGCAGGCATCGGACGATCAGGGACCCTCATCTGTATCGATGTGGTCCTGGGTCTCATCAGTAAAGATGCTGATGTAAGTAATCCATCTTCTTTTCTTTTAAATCATGTTATTTTTTTGGCAGGAGGTTGTATTTTCATTTTTTGCACATGCTCTGTATGATCACAATCTAACAGACATTGTTTTATAGTTTGATATTTCAGATGTTGTACGAAACATGAGGCTTCAGAGACAGGGAATGGTCCAAACCGAGGTGGGTTTCAGGTTTTCCTCTGAGTATTTAGTACTGGTAGATTAATTATTTCTCACATTTATCCGGTTAAATTGATAAAAGGATGATAATTGTTATAATTAATGTAACAGACAGCCTTGATTTTTACTGATTTAAGCATTGCTACCTGGATCAGTCAGTACCACCTAAATATGCAGAGCACGAGTATTAAGTCCAAATGATACACATCCTTACCGCAAACTTAAAGCTGTTTTGTTGATTCTTCATTTTTACATTTTCTAACACATTTTCTCCCATTTGTTTCTACAGGACCAGTATATTTTCTGCTATCAAGTGATCCTCTATGTCCTCAGATGCCTTCAAGCAGAAGAAAACATCTCAGGATAGCAGAAACCACATACATTTGTCATAGCCGCGTAGAGTGACTGTTTCACAGGAACAAAACAAAAATGGAGGAGAGCTAACATGGGCAAACATTGCCAAATTACACTACATGTTTTTTTTTTTTTTTTAAATGCCTTAAAATATACAATTTCCTTGAGAGTCAGTCCTTTTAAAGAAGTCTATATTTTTATGTTTGCTTTTAAGTTCTCTATCTTTGGCTGCTACTCCCTTTCAATGCATTTATGAGAACTGCTGATTGTATTTCTTATCATCACCCACAAGTGGACACAAATGAGTTTCCCCCCCTAAGATTCTTGGATATTTTAAAAATAATTATGAAAGTGATCAATGAGTTCATATTTTATGTGGAACAAAATTGTACCTGTGTATTTTGAATCCTATTTTGATGCTGGAACATGCCTTGACAGAATACTATGTCAGTATTTGCTTTGTAAATCTATTATACAGTAATTGCTTACTGCCTGAGGTAAATGATGAAATTAAAAGTGTACATATTCATCTCCTGAAGATTAAACTGGATACATTTTAAATGTCATGGAGTGAAAAAGTCCTTTTTTTTACTTGAAGTTTCTTGTCTTTTTCTGTCAGAAAATGTTCATCCATGAGATTTGATCAGGTTTTTCACAACAATCAGAAGTTATGTATCGAGAAGTGAGACTGGGAATCAAACCTGTGCAGCTGTAAAATGGTAGATGAGCTAAAAGAGACAGCTAACAGGTGTGTTGTGGGTTTACATGGTGTGTGTTTTGTATTACTGATATGTGCTGTTGCTGTCAGGTAAGTGTTGATTTGTGGAGCTTTGGTTTAAGATGATGGTTATACTGGTTTGTAAGTGATGAAAAAGGACATCAAGTGACCACAAAATTACAGTGCCTTGAAAAAGTCTTCATACCCCTTGAACTTTTTCACATTTTGTCACTCCACAACCACGAACTTAAAAGTATTTTATTGAGATGTTTTGTCATAGACCAACACAAAGGACCACATAATTGTGAAGTTGAACAGAAATGATACATGGTTTTCAAAAATTTAAACAAATAAAAATCTGAAAAGTGTGTTGTGCATTTGTATTCAGCCCCCTGTACTCTGATACCCCTAAATAAAATGCAGTGCAATTAATGCCTTCAGAAGCCACCCGATTAGTTAATAGAGTCCACCTGTGTGTAATTTAGTGTCAGCATAAATACAACTGTTCTGTGACGGTCTAGTGCTTTGTTCGAGAACACTAGTCAACAAAGAGCATCATGAAGACCAAGGAACTCACCAGACAGGTCAGGGAGAAAGTTGTGGAGAAGTTTGTGGTTGTAGAGTGACAAAATGTGAAAAAGTTCAAGGGGTATGAATACTTTATCAAGGCACTGTAACTCCACAAGGACTTGACACCAATCCCTGCAAGCGACCTACCCCTTACTGACCACTCAGAGGTTTTCTTTTGCTGTTCTTCTCTGGATCTGAACTTCTATATCACCAGTGCTGGGCTTACAGCATTTCTCACGTGAAGTTTTCAAACATAATTATCATGAATGGATGGAAACTTCAGAGTAACCAGTGAAATCAAATGCAGGTAGGGTTATCTTCTACCAGTATCAGTACCATATGGTGAAAAATTCAGTTACTTATAAGCATAAACTAATAATTGAAACTTATGGTGTGTCACAATGTCTGACATTAAATTCTGGTAATAACTGGCAGTTTAATCAGAAAAAAAATGTTTCTCCAGGCTGTGAGGGGTTGCATTTTTTAGCACTGTGTAGGCTAAAAAATTAATAATAATAATAATAATAATAATAATACACTATTTATAACACTTTCCATTTAATGCACATCTCAAACGCTGCTTCAGTCCTGTGATGTTATGGCTTCTCTCTGTTACTATTAACATGTACTATAATGGTTATGCTCCTCGTGATGAGTTTATTTATATCAATACGACTTTGAATAAGAAATGTGATATTTGCATAAAACGTACATAATACATAATAGACATAATACGTCATTGTGAAGTAAGAATGTCGAAACATAAAGTTGGAAAAGTGGGAGCTCACTATTGACTGTGATAATGATTGATTTGATTTGTGAACAAAACTTTTTATTGCAAAATTAATTAGATAATCTTTAATTAATTGATCTTGGAAGTAAACACGTACAATAAAATGATAGCAATGTAAAAAAATGCCTCCTTTCAAAGGTATTTTTAAATTATTTGTTAAATTGAATCTAGGCTGTAGTTTTTGTTTTTAATTTCAACAACAGCATAGATTTTAGACTGTAGCTCTTGAACTGACGGTAGCAAACTTCTCCTCATTGCGCAGACTCCGTACACCAAGCAAGGCGGAAGTGACTGAGACACTAGACCGGATACAACGTCACGAGTTTTCGACGCATGCTTAATGGCAGCCTGCTCGCCTGCCACGCTTACTTACTGAACAACTTTTCTCCACGTTATTTTCTGACATAAACACAAATTCAGGTTTAACCATGTCCGGGCGACAGAGCAACAAACTACCGAACAACCTCCCACAGCTTCAGAATCTCATAAAGAGAGACCCACAGTCATACGTGGATGAGGTGAGTGTTTTTAGCCTGAACTGCTAGCTGTTTAGCAAGTCTAAAGATTCACCTCTCTCTGCCAAGAATGGACACATTTACATGAAATTCCTAATGAGTGTCCTTGTAATAGTTTCTCCAGCAGTTCAGACATTACCAGTCCAATGTGCAGATCTTCAAACTGCAGCCGGACAAACCAAACAAGGAGCTGTCTGACCTCGTCATGTTTCTTGCTCAGGTACATTTTTATTACAGATTATTTTCAATATTTGGCCTGCACCTGGGTCACCTCGTTTGTATATGCATATATTAGTGTATCCATATTTTCTTTAACTTGACTGTAAGATGACATCCTTCCTTTTGTAAGCTGTGTACTTAATGTATTTTGTCTTCTAGGTCGGTCACTGCTACCTGCAGCACTTGTCCACCTTTCCTCAAGAGCTGTCTGAGTTATTACTGAGTCACCACACAGTCCTGGAGCCAGACCTCAGGATGGTGAGAAAGTTGTTTTCTAATCAGACCAAGAGCTTTTCTTTTGACCACATTTAACAGTTTTTTGTGCACTTTGACTTAGGGCTGGGCGATAAAACAATAACAATATATCGAAAACTAACTTCCCTTGATATCAGTATAATACATGGTTAATATGCCTTTCAATTACTGGCATTCTGCCACGTTTTGGTAGACTAGATGAATAGTCTAATAAACTTTTTCCCATATCGCCCAGCCCTACTTGGACTACACATATTTGTTAATGTGTATGAAAGTAACACATCTCTTCTTTCCTGTCCTTGTCAGACTTTTTGCAAAGCGCTGATTCTTCTGAGGAACAAAGACCTGATCGACCCCTCTGGCCTCCTGGAGCTCTTCTTTGAGCTGCTGCGATGTCACGACAAACTTCTTAGAAAGGTCAGATTTTCTGAATTGTAAACATGGTGAAGACTGACTGAAAAAATGGGACTATGTAGAGAGTTGGGAAAGTTGTGGGAAAGATGTGAGAGAGACAGAAGAGAAGAGCTGGGGATTGATTGCCTGATCTAAAATACTCATTTGAGACTGGACAGGTACTCTCAATTGGGGTTAAACTTTGGCCATCAGCTGCAAGTGGGGGGGCTGTCACATTTACCATAAAAAACAAGAATATTATTTGATATTGTGAAGGTTTTAAAAGTATTTTTAATGATTTATTATGTACTGAATCTGCAGTTTAAACTACCTTAGGTTTGAAGGGCAGGGAGGTGGTTCGTCCGTAAAAGTCTTAAGATGGACTTCCTTTTGTGCTGACTCTTTTACAAGGTCTTCTATTTTTTGTGTGTTTCTTCTTATGTAAACATTTGCTTCTCTCCCCCACTCTCTGCAGACACTCTACACACATATTGTCACAGATATTAAAAACATAAATTCCAAGCACAAAAACAACAAAATTAACACAGTAAGTACACATGATTCAGTCTCGTTTGACTGTAAATGATACTTAGCAGCTTAAAACAGTCAAGTCGCTGACTGTGTTTTGTTACTGTCTATTTCAGACATTACAGAACTTCATGTACACAATGCTGAGAGACAGTAACCCCATAGCAGCTAAGATCTCTTTAGACGTCATGGTGGAGCTCTACAAAAGGAACATATGGTGGGTTTTATTTTTGACTTTCTAAACTTTATCAAACAAGAACTTATGTGGCAAATTGGTTTTTTTTATATTTTTTTACTGCTTTTACCTGATAATAATATTTTGTTTTTGTCAAAGGAACGACGCTAAAACAGTGAACGTCATCACAACAGCCTGCTTTTCCAAGGTGACAAAGGTAAGGTTTTGCACTCTGAAAGTAACGCTTTTTTCTTGTATTTCATCGAAACGATAAAGTTTATCCTAACCTGCCTCTTCTGTGTAGATCCTTGTTGCTGGTCTTAAATTCTTTCTGGGCAGAGATGAGGATGAAAAGAATGACAGTGACTCTGAATCAGAAGTAAGTATGCAAAAATTAGAAGTAGCTGAAGAAAGGGTTTTCAGCCCGGAAAGAGGCGTTATTTTCTGCGTGATTGTTTCACAAAATGAAAAAATTGCGCCTCTGATCTTTCAGGACGATGGACCATCAGCTCGAGACCTGATGGTGAGATTCTCCACCGGAAAGAAAACCACCAAAAACAAAAAGAAGCTGGAAAAAGCCATGAAAGTCCTCAAGGTACCACTGGAAAAAAATAGAATAATATAAGTGTCATGACTCACACATTAGATAAATTAAGCTAACTCCTTAATTTTTTATTGTTGCGCAGAAACATAAGAAAAAGCAGAAGGTAGAAGTGTTCAACTTTTCTGCCATTCACTTAATTCATGATCCTCAAGGTAGGTTTGCCTATCATCTTAAACACCACAAACAAAGCATCTATATCCAATAACTTAGAAGCATGGCTGATCATATCATCTTATTTCATGAAGATTTCGCTGAGAAGCTCTTGAAGCAGTTGGAGGACTCTAAAGAGCGCTTCGAGGTGAAGATCACGATGATGGAGCTCATCTCCAGACTGGTTGGAATCCATGAGGTAAGTGACGGGGCTCCGGTCACCCAGTCTGCACATGTCTGTCCTACATGGTGATTCACAGCTAGCTCTCATTGATACTGGTGGTTTTTAAAAGTATTGTATTCAGAGCCGGTCAAACACAAACGCTGCAGGTTAAAGACATTATGTGGGGGGAGTCTCCTCTATGTAATCATAAATCAACAAGGTGTAAAGTTGTCTTACTGCATGTTAGTACTTGAACACAAACAACATCAGGCAAACAAGTCCTGAAAGCAATTTCAAAATACTGAAACTTTCTTTTGAAAAGTAGAATATTGAACATAATGTAGACTCTAAGTAAGAAAAAATCCACTAAACTACAAAAACTAAAACTTTACGGTCTGTTAGAGTGTAACTTGAATCAGTAAATTTTGATTTCACAGCATATAAATATTTAGTGAGGGTAAACATTTCGCCGAGGGCTTTATAAATAATTCTACTAGATAGATATTGAGAACAGGGTAGTGCAAATCCATTAAAGCATTTAAACAGATTAGACTTCACTCACCATGCCTTGAACTCTGTTAGTATTATCTTAGCAAACATATAAATAAAAAGTGAGTAAACTTATCTCTCTGTCTCTCTTTCAGCTCTTCCTCTTTAATTTTTACCCCTTTATCCAGAGGTTTCTTCAGCCACATCAAAGAGGTAAAAAACAAAAAACAAAATCAAGAACAAAATTAATTTTTTCCCCGTTTTGACAAGATCTGTTAAACTAACTGTGATTATTAATTTTTTTTTTTTTAGAGGTGACAAAGATCCTCCTTTGTGCCGCCCAGGCTTCCCATCAACTCGTTCCACCAGAGGTACACTTCATTCTTCAGTCATTCTGTTAGTTACACACCTGCATTTACTGAAGGGATTCCAGTGTAACAAGTTGCTTATAATTTCGCAGATCATCGAACCTGTAATCATGACCATGGCCAACAACTTTGTGACGGACCGAAACTCAGGGGAGGTCATGACAGTGGGGTGAGCAGCAGCTTTGGGTATTTTCAGATCTTAGTTATCATCATTAGAAAAAACACAGAGAGGAAACATATGTCATATGGGAGGCACTGATTTATTGGCCTGGTATCTGTTATATCCAATCTCACCTGTTGATGTGGATGATGATGTGGTGGCCTGTGTATAAATTTTCATCAGTTAAATGATATCCTTATATTTAAGCCTGTTACGTTGCTTAAAGAAACAGAAGAAAAAAACTTTGTAAGAAAACAAATGCATGCATCACAATGGAATAAAAGAGTTGACATCAATTAATTTGATTTTTCTAATTGGTTGAACTGCTATTTCTAACTCTGGAAATAGCTCTGATTGTTCAAAGAGTGCGTCTCCGATTTTAAATTCAAAATTCAAAACGTCCAGAGTTTTTATAACAACTAAGTCAAGAAACTATATCCCTTTTTGTTTTTCAGTATCAATGCGATCAAAGAAGTGGCAGCCCGCTGTCCCCTCTCTATCAATGAAGACCTGCTGCAGGACCTCGCCCAGTACAAGAACCACAAAGACAAGAGTGAGTCACTGATTTTTAAATGTAGCACTTTAAAGGGAAGTGTGTGCATATCAATGCATTCTTGTTAACACAAATATAAACATTCCGCTATTAGATGTGATGATGTCGGCCAGAGGACTGATCCAGCTGTTCAGGAGTCTGAATCCACAGATGCTGCACAAGAAGGACAGGGTGAGACCTGAGTGACTCTGACCAAAAACAAAGCGTTTTGAATATTTGTTCATGTCTGCATTACCCCTTAGACATTTCTTTGTTGATACAACTGGAAGTTATTCTGAATTTATTGCTGTTATATGCAATATACTAACACAAAATAGTCCAGAACTTTAAAGTGAGATATGAAGGAAAATGGAAAACACTTTTGCTTAAAAAATTGTTCATATTCTCCCTGGGTGAAAGATTGATCTGTAGGGGTTAGCGATTAGGTTTTGATGTAGAGATAGGTGCACAAATAATAACAGAAATGTGAAAACCTAAGTTACAATACAAAGAAAAGAACTGAATTCTAGGTGAATAACAATATAAGGCGATGTTAACATTGTCCTTGTTTTCAAGGGGAGACCCACAGAGGCATCAGCTGAAGCCAAGATCAAAGACTATGGAGAGTTAGAGGCTAAAGACTACATCCCTGGAGCTGAAGTCCTGGCGATTGAGGAGGAGGACGGGGAGAAAGAGGGAGAGAAGGATGACGGTAAAATTGAATCAGTGTGATGAAAAAAGGATCCCGCAGCACTTCAATAGAGATGAAAAAGGATCATTGCCAAGGTGACACTCATATCCCTCATATGATATGACAGGTGGCTGGGAGAGTGCCAGCATCAGTGACGACGATGAGGACGGCGAGTGGGTGGACGTTCACCACTCATCCGATGAAGACACAACAGGAGTGGTGAGCTTATAACTGCTTAACTCGCTGTAAACTGCTTATAGTGAATAATTTATGTCTTTAATGAAGGAGTTTCCTGTGTTTGTGTCAGACTGAGAAGCTTCAGAGCATGCCCATGGAGGAGAGAAAAGCCATGGCGGCAGAAATCAGCGCCAGCAGACTCCTCACTCAAGATGACTTCAAGAAGATCCGCATGGTTCAGCTGGCCAAGGAGGTCAACGCAGTACCAGGGAAGGGCCAGAAGAGGAAGATTGTGGACAGTGACGACGAGGGGGACAGGTCAGGGCAGCGTTTTTCAACCTAGCCTCTGAGGCGGTTTTATTTTAACGCGTTGCACTAAGATTTGTTTCATCACTTTGCATCTCACAGGGGGGAGGTGCTGACGCTGAGAAACATTGAGAAGCTGCATAAGAAACCAAAAGCAGACAAGGAAACACGGCTTGCAACAGCAATGGTAAAAGCTTTTAGCCAGTTTGTGGAAACTTTATATACTATGATGATATGCTTTAATGTGTATTAGTGCTATGTTTTTCTTTTGGAACGGATTTGCTCTGATGATGTGATTTCCAGGCTGGACGAACTGACCGTAAAGACTTCATCAAGAAGCACAACAAGTTAAACCCACATGCTAGCACCAGCAACAGGGAGAAGAGAAAAACAAAGAACTTCATGATGATGAGACACAGTAAAAATGTCAGAACGAAAGGCAAACGCTCCTTCAGAGAGAAACAGGTGACATTAACATAATAAAATACTATATTTAACTGTGGTTCATACCTGCCAACACTCCCGTTTTTCCCAGGACTCTCGTATCTCAGACCTGTCTTCCGCCCACCTCCCGTATTGTCATTTCTCCTGGGAATCTCCTGTAGTTTGATGGTCCACGTTCATTCTTAAATCGGATCACTAAATTTGTCCAAAGTTTCCAGACAACCAAAGTTTGTCCTGTGTTTCTGCTGAGCCTCACAGACACTGGATTGATACTTTGACTTTACAAGTTAGGATGATTCAGGTCGGTTTAAGCTGTAAACTATTTTTAAGCAGTGTTTGTTGCAAAATTAAAACTTCAATGAATGGGAAACAAATGTGAGATATAATATGTATGTTGATGGTCTTGCACTGTCTTGGAGTGATGCGTTCAGGGCAGCCTCAGATAAAATAGTGCTCTATTGCGCAGATGTTCAGAGAGCCTCATACGGGAGAGCATGTAAAACATATGAGGACTTTAACACTAATATTAGTGGACTAAATAAGTTCAAGGCATATTGTAGCGATTATTTTCTTATTACCATTTGTTATTGTTAAAACAAAAAAGTGTGCAGCTTCACTTTTACTCATTTGGATGAGCAATCTAATTACAAATACTCTCATAATTAGCTCATACCCACTATACAAGGTAACCCCAAAACTGCCGGGCTCGCGACGCAAAAATCTCCCTGATTTTATAACCCAAATGTTGGCAGGTATGCTCATTGTCATACAATTTCAAGACTTAACATTTGAAATTGAAATATCTTTTGTTTTCTATCCAGATTGCTCTCCGGGACACTCTCCTGAAAAAGAAAAAGCACTATAAGTAGGACCCATGGACCTGATCATCAATAGTGCCTATTAATATTGTACATCCCTCAAATATTCTGTAAAACTTTGTCAGTTTGTCATTGAATGATATTCAAAGGATAGATTGCATTTCTCTGTCCTGAAATAAACAATCTTTGATAACTCATTTGTTTGTGTTTAAACATCCTTTGTGGACATTTCACAGTTGTACAGTATGTTTGATCAAACTTTGTAAGAATGTGAAAATTGTAAAAATGTAAGCGATACAATCGGCCATTTTAGTTGTACAATAACTCTTATTACAGTTTAACAACATTCCTCTATTGTGAACTTTACTCTTTTGATGCAATTGACTGAACATGTCGGTCAATTGCAATTGTTATTTTCGTGTAGGGAAACAAAACTAAATATAACAAAGCTTACTCTATATAACAGAGACTACAGACACGAATGAAAAACAAAAAATATGACACTTAAATACGCTTTTTCAAAATAATCTATTTGTTAGTTAGTAGAATTATCAAGTTGCCGTCAAATCACTTAAGTGCAACAATGTTTTGTTAGATTTTATATTAATTTTGAATAATTCGTTTTTACAGTGTTCACGTGTTAGATGTACACGCGCTCTGTACAGCTGTAAATCTGCTAACATTTCAAGACTACAATTCCCATGAAGCACCTGGAATCACAACAAACGTGCCAATGCCAAACATTCCGTTCAATGAAGCCGGCATTTTAATTCTTACTGCGACATGAGGTATTTTATATTTATGTTACTGTCTTTAAAAAAGGTTAATGCTTCATTTGAAGGTGATTTGAAGCTCATTGTAGCTCATTTTAGCTCCATTTTTAGGAAAAACCGCTCTGGTCGGTGCCTGCTAGCGTTAGCTCGCTCGGATGCTAGTGTGCTTGCTAGTTGCCGTTAGCAAACAAGCTAAGTGTTAATGTTAATCCCTGTGCTGTTAGCTCAGTTGTGACGGCGTGTTTATGATGTTCATCCCCTTTTTATCCTCTCTTGTTTCCTGCTTTACGCGTTACGATGCCCTTAAATGCTTACGCTAGGGTGTTTATCTGATACATACAGTCATAGAAAGACACAACAAGGTAACCAAACCCCCTGATAACCTGAAACCGTCTGCTGACCTGTGTTTGTTTTTGACGTTGTTATCAATCCCTATATCACTTTTTACTGTTATGTTTAATACAAGATATCAGCCTAGAAATGGTAACTAAAGCGGTGGCGTGAGGATTCATATCTATCATCCTTTAAGAGGAGTAAAGGTGTCACACAGGTGTGACATTTAGACTGAAGCTTCCTCCATATCTTCAACATTTGCATCTCTCAGTCAGACCTTCTGTTTGTGTCAGCTGTTCAATATTCTAATCATGCATCTGTACAGGATACTTGGGCCTGTTCGTGGAAGGATGAAATATCAGTACTGAGGTAAACACACCACAGTTAGACCACCAGGAGCATCTAAGCTTCTTGAGACACAAAGTTACAACGTGCTTCACATACTAGAGAGAGTGCACAAGTCAAAGTGGATAGATAGGCTTACATAAATATCTGCAAACAATCTAGTAGGGGAGAGTGGGGTAAGTTGAGCCACCTCCTGTTGCTTTGAAATGATAAAAGAAATTGATCATGTGACCAAATATTTAGTAATAAATAATTGTAATTGTATTATTAATTGTAATACTGGTGCCAGGCCATACAGGGTCTTGTTTCCAATGAAAAATGTTACCATTAGTTCTGATCATTACTGTAATTTAGTAAAGGGAGTGATGCAGGTCTAGTAACTACTATTTCTGAACCATGTAGCTGTTCTAATTTGAACACTGTAGGCCATTGAAGACTAAGTAATTCCAGTCTGGGATAACTTAAGTGTAGGGCTGGGCGATATAGGAAAAAGTTTATCTCTTAATATTTTTTGTATTAGTTGATATCAATATATATCACGATAAATCACGACTTTGTGATAACATGTACTCGAAATAATTTGCACTCATTTTCTTTTTTCCTCACAGACAGTGCTGTCAGCTTAACATGTTTAAGTGCTATAGTTGCATGTAGCTGCAGCCTGCTACTACACAGTTGTTTGCTACTTGGTTCTAATTCAGCACATGATTGGTTGAGCGCAAAGTGGATCCAGAGCAACTCCCATTTTCATTGGCTATTCGTATCGTCTACCAAAACATGGCAGAATGCTGACTATCGAAAAAGATGTTAACCATGTTTGATATTGATATTGAGGAAAATTAATTTTCAATTTATAACGTTATCATTTTATCGCCCAGCCCTACTTAGGTAATACACCTTTATTTTTCTCTATTGGAAAAATGACCACAGCTGCCTCACCCTTAACTGCTTTCAAGGTGTTAAGGGAAAATAAATGGTCTCGGTCTGCAGGAAGCAGGCTCGTTAGTAAGCTAATAAACTCCACAGTCACCGATCAAAGGACAATCCATAGAAGCACAGCTTTGGACTGCTGGTGTAGTGCAGGGTTGGACAAGTGGGTCAAGTAATCGGACTTGACAACTGTAGGCTCTTTATGAGCGTGCTCTAGTCCTCTGTGCTTTTAAAATTAAATTTGTTATACTGGCTGCTTACTAGGAGTCTCTTTGTATGCTGGCTGCACACACATATGTACATGCTTTGATTTTAAATATGTAGCAGCTGTGGAAGAGGTTACTGTTAGTACGCTGGATGGGAATTAGTGTTGTGCAATACCTCTCCATCTTTGAATTATTGACTCTCTCTACTCGGCATGAATAATACAACATGAAGATGTTCTCATTTGAATCCACGGGAGCGCTCCAGCTGATCTGGAATACGCTTTTGAACAAAGTGCAGAGCATCCCGACACGTTTCATGTAACCAAACTGTTTCAAGGATGGAGCCCCACCATGGATCTACAAAGAGGAGAGTGTCTTTTTGATCACTGGTGCATATGATTGGACTGAATGTCTCTGCTCTTATTGCCGAGAGGACTAGTGATGAGGGGGCGATACACTGAGACTATTCACAGACAGAGACCTAGCTTAAAAGAGAGACAGTGCATCATCTGTAAGGTGTGGGTGGAGCTCTGCCCTCTGGCTGTCTGATCTCAGTATCTCTGTGACATACCAACTGTGGAGAATTGTCATCATATTCAGCAATAGGTAGGAATTTTGATGGGTGTGATTGCACAGTATTTTCTTTTTGTGTGGTTGTGCTTAGAGGAATCTGCTTGCCCTCTTGTTCACGTTTGTCTGCAATCTCTGCTGAATGAGTAAAGAGGAAGTGACACTGAAAGGGGAGAATTCAGACCGAACACGCTCAGCTGGCTGGAAATGTCCCACACTGTTTATGTTTCTTTTGATTTCTTTATTAAACAATGAGCAGCAGCAGTATAATCTGCACCTGGTTGCACTTTCAGGTTCATACTGCAAGTTATTCTGGACTTGATGCTGTGGCTGAAAGAAAACCTGCTCTGCTTATTAAAAGTTGTGGATGGTTAATGCATTGTTTATTATAACTTATAGCCACTATGTCTTCAGTTGGTTGATTATTTTCTAAACAATTGATGGGTATTTTTGTCTGCAAAATATGAGATATGGGAGAAAAACAGTGTTAAACATTAAATCAATAGTTTAATAAATGGGTGTTTTTGAATGTCTTGTTTATGGGATCAGTAGTAATATTTCAAAGATCAAATCAACAATCAAATTATTATTTTTTAATTTTATTTTTTTGCTTTGATTATTGTTATTGTTGTTTTGAATATTCTCATTAGTTTTGTTTGTTCACATGTTCGAAAAAATAAAACAAATGAAATGAAAAAATGAAAATAAAACAAAGCCAAAGGTGGAACCAAACTCTTAAAAAATTGATCACAAATCTATTTTTAACATAGAAGTCTAACCCTGAGTTCACAAAGCCATAGAGGCTCCATCATGGATTCTTTCTGAGGTGGTCTGACATTGTCTTGCCTCCGTTGTAGCTGCTGTTTTCTGTAGCCAGCCATGGCACCAGGGGATGTGGTGCCAGACCATCCCAAGCAGCTCAAGCCCAAGGAGAAGCGGCCCGGAAACAGGGCATCGAAAACCGACTGTGAGCCAGATGGATCGTTTGTCTTTGAGGCTCACGAGGCTTGGAAGGACTTCCATAACTCCCTCAGGCATTTCTACGAAGTAGGCGAGCTCTGCGACGTCACACTGAAGGTAGGCCACGAGGACCAGAGTCAGTCAATGCAGAGATCTGTTTGTACATAAGAGCTCCAGGTGATTTTGACAAGCAGCTATCTAGTGTAATATTATGATTTGAAACTTTGTGGTCTACCACATAGTGACAGAAAATTACATTTGGCTGTGGGCTCATACAACATCAAATTATTCACAGTCACACCGCTCAACTCCTGAAAATCATATTTAAGGTTACATTAATACTGATTCAATGTTTTGCTGTTGTTAAAACGTTGTGTCTGACAAATATTTAATTTCTATTTAAAGTGTTGTGGTTTTATTTTTCTGTTTGATGTTTGTAATATTTTGTTTTTCCTTTTTATTTGTAGGTTGGCAGTAGGTTGATACCATGCCACAAACTAGTGCTTGCGTGTGTTATCCCTTACTTCAGGTATGTTTGTGTCCATGTTGAAACATTTGTACTGAATACTCGACGAGAGACCAAGCAACAAAAATATCTTCACTCTATTTTAAACCTGATCAAAAGTTAAAGATTTTGTGACAATTAAAGGATATATTTATGGAAAGACAGGAACATAGCATCTTTGAACTCATACATTTACACCTATTGTATTGTAGTTTTTTAGGATGTAAAGGAAACAGCAGCAAACTGCTAGGACAATAACATGTTTGTTTGCATTTTACTGATAAAAAAATAAGAAGCTCTGTGGAGGGTTCATAACCTTGTCCTTATATTAGTTTCATTTCTTCCCCCAGGGCCATGTTCCTGTCCGAGATGTCCGAGGCTAAGCAGGAGCTAATAGAGATCAAGGACTTTGATGGGGATGCAATCCAGGACCTGGTGCATTTCGCCTACTCCTCCAAGCTCACATTAACTGTGGACAATGTCCAGCCTCTGCTTTATGCAGCCTGCATCCTCCAGGTAAAGAAACAATCAGTCAACAGACCGTGCAGGCACCAGAGAGAGAGAGAGAGCATTTTGTTTTATGACCCTGGACTCTGGAACACTCTGCCTCTGGATATCGAGATTGTAAGCTGTATTTAAAGAACACTAAAGACCTGTCTTAATTTAGGGTTATTTTTAATAATGTCAGTTATTTATTTATTTTTTATTTACACTGCAACCCCCCAAAACAAGTAGCAATGACAACAAACAAAAATATAAACAGAAGCAAATCCAAATTTAAACTAGAAAATTCCTTCTGGGAGATTTTAAAAGGGTCACAGGGGCTAGTGCCAGGGGTGTGTACATTATAATGACATTCTTCAGAGATTTCAAATAACTAATTCTAGTAGCATTGTGATATTATACACAAGGAGCACACCAGCAAAAAACTTTCCCTTTTCAAGTTTTTATTTCTACAAAAAAAAAAAAGGAACCGAAACTGAAGACATTTGAAAAACTCATAATTGCCTTTTTTTCTTGGCTTGTCCCATTGAATTCAGTACAAATTTTTTCTGCACTTATGTCACGAAAATCTCATTCAGCTTCATTCAGCCAGGGCAGAGAAAGTTTTCAGCTTTTTGTACCTTACAACGGCTATGACATCTATAACCAGATATCTACAGAGGAGCTATGATCACTGCTATCAAGACCTGTGTCAGAAGCTGTAAGAGCTTCACTCAAACCAGGAACAGAGAGAGACTTAAGGAGACAGGAACGAGTCAAAAAGAGCGCTTGGGGTCAGGAGAGAGGAGAGAAAATGAAAAAAAAAAACACAGCCTTGTGGTCAAAGACAATCAAGTCAAGTAAATTCACATCATCTACACCAAACCGTAAGAGCGCATAGGTGTGTGCCCTGGGACATGACCAGGGTGCTTCACATGGTGGGTCAGGATCTAGAAGTTTAATAAACATAGAGGTGAGATTAAAGTCACCAAGACTTCAAGAGTGAGGACTCAGTTTTATTTTGTGACGGACAATGACGGATGAAAGATCTGGGAATTCCTGTGAGGAACTAAAAGTTACATTTTAGTTTTTCACTTTTATAATTTCATCTTATGTCTTATATGTTTCACTATTGTAATATTTGCATTGCCTTTCTTTCTTGTTAGTCTCTTACGTGCTGCCAGTTTCTGTTCTCACAGTATTTCCTCCCTTTTGTTCTTTGCTTTTATGTATGAAGGGTGCTAAATAAAGCTCGGTGGAGTTTTGAGATATTTTCTGTTTTAACAGAATCACTTGCTGTGTGTTTATTTAGGTTGAGCTGGTGGCGAGGGCCTGCTGCGAGTACATGAAGGCCCACTTCCACCCCACTAACTGCCTGGCGGTTCGCACTTTCGCCGAGAGCCACAATCGCGTGGACCTCATGGACATGGCCGACCGCTACGCCTGCGAACACTTCACCGAGGTGGTGGAGTGCGAGGACTTCACGTGCGTGTCTCCCCAGCACCTGCGCACGCTGCTGTCCTCCAGCGAGCTCAATATCCACTCGGAGACCCAGGTGTACAATGCGGCAGTGAAATGGCTCAAAGCGAACCCACAGCACCACGAGGTTTGGCTGGACCAGATCATGTCTCAGGTCAGAGAGAGCAAAGTCTCCTGTAGTTGTGTTTCTTTGGGTATCTCTAAGTGTCCCAGGGACTTTGGACTTTATTCCTATTTTCTGCTGATTGTTCAAAAGTTCTCGACTCTCATGTATAACAAGTGTTACATGTATGTGAACAACGTTGCGTAACCCCTTTTTACAACCAAAAACGAATGTATTTACTGGTCTCTTGTTCAGGTGCGTCTCCCTCTGCTTCCTGTGGAGTTCCTGACTGGAACGGTAGCAAAAGACGAGATGATCAAAGGTAACCTGAGCTGTCGTGATCTAATGGATGAGGCCAGGAACTACCACCTCCATCTCAGCAACAAGGTGGTGCTGGACTTCGAGTATTCAGTCCGCACTATACCCCGGAAACACACTGCAGGTAGTGTTTCGATGTTGATCTTTGACTTTGAACATGTAAACCACAGATTTACTGGCCTTTGTCGTCGCATTCAGCACTTTTACCAATCCAGTAAAAAGAAGGCGAGTACGTTTTTGGGTAGAGAAAGATGACACCACGCCAAGAACGGTTTACAGAGTCTCATTTTTAATTGAATAATCTTTTTAAAAATGCACATGACCCAAGGCTGTCTGCACATGAAGTATAATGTGTTCCCTCACAGAGCAAACATTTTGTTCTTTTTCTCCCACCTCCTCAGGGGTTCTGTTCTGCGTGGGTGGCCGAGGGGGTTCAGGTGACCCATTTCGCAGCATCGAGTGCTACTCTATTACAAAGAACAGCTGGTTCTTTGGCCCTGAAATGAACAGCAGACGGCGTCATGTGGGTGTGATATCTGTGGGAGGTAAGACGGGTTTATACATGAAGCCCGTACATCAAATAAACACGCCACATGGAAAGGTGGACAGTTTTGAAAAGTCAGGAGCAAATGGAAACATGATGACGTAAATGATTCTCCGAGCTGCCGGTCTACTCCAAGAAAAGACATGAACTTGGTTTAATACAGCAGCATCAAGGTCATATGTTGTCCTCTGAGACTGCAGCTGGTGGGAATGTTAAACTGAACAGATTTATGCAGAGAGGTGTTGTTGTTATTTACATCAACAAGGAAGTAAGTTTAAGCAGCTGATATTTTATGAATCCAATATTCTTATGTTTTTATGCAGAGTAGCAACCTCAGCTGCTAAACAGATGAAGAAAATGCAGAAATTAAAAAAAACGTACTTCCCAAAGAGTCCTCTTGATCTTGGCTTTAATGCAGAGGAAGTCCAGCAAAAGGCGTCTGACAGCAGAAACACGTTTACAGCCTGGAGCTAAAACGAAATACAGTTTTGATCCGAATAATCTTATTTCATCATTCATCAAAGGTTGAATCTTGAAGTCACACACTCTTTTCGATGACATTTACATTTGCTTAAACAGGAGGGTGACCATATTCTAAATCCCCAAAAAGAGGACAAGTATGTGGGGGCGGAGTCGCAGACTCACACAATGTTAATTTTGAGAGTTTTTGGGGTCAGATTGAGTGTCTTTTACGCACTTCTAATGCAGTAAGTCCACGTGACACAAACTTGAAACTTCCATACAAAACCGCGGACATTTGAGGGATTTTATAAACTTTTATAAACAAAGCCGGACAGCCCCCAAAAAAGAGGACATGTCCGGGTAAAAGAGGACATATGGTCACCCTATCAAACAGGGTCATAGCTGACTTGCGAGCAGGTGAGCTGAAGCTGTTTACCTTTAGGCTTAAGCTCCACCTCTTTGCCCGTTTCAAGATTGATCCAAAATTGGGCTGAGTCAGCATTTCCTAAACGGAAACCACCATGTTAGTCTTTACAGAAACCAACAGATAAAGTTTATTAGAGTACATCCATGTTAATTTACACTTACCCTTATTATGAAAAAATGACCTTTTGAATTACAGGTCTGTTCAAAAACACAACTAGTTTATTTTTTATCGTTTTGTTCAGGTAAAGTTTATGCTGTTGGCGGCCATGACGGTAATGAACACTTAGGCAACATGGAGATGTTTGACCCCCTCACCAACAAGTGGATGATGAAAGCCTCTATGAACACCAAAAGGTAAGTAGATGCTGTGATGTACTGAGTATCAACATAGCTTTCACCATCTACAAGCAGTGGTTCTCAATCCAGTCCTCAAGCCCCACAGTCCTGCATGTTTTGGATGTTTCCCTTCTCCAACACACCTGATTCAAATGATCAGCTCGTTATTAAGCCATTACAGAGCTTGATAACGAGCTAATCATTTGAATCAGGTGTGTTGTCATTTGAAAATTGAATGTAATGCTGATACAAAATGCCTCGAAATTACTCGCTCCAAAGCCCCACAGCTGACTTGTCATGTTTTTCCGTTAACCAAGAAAATGTGTCTTTTTATGCTCGGAGCAGATTCCCCTTTAAGACACATCTTTTACCCTTAACACCATGTTTGTGTTTCTCAGGAGGGGTATAGCTCTGGCAGCTCTCGGGGGTCCAATCTACGCCATCGGAGGTCTGGATGACAATTCCTGTTTTAACGACGTGGAGCGCTACGACATCGAAAGCGACTGCTGGAGTGCCGTGGCGCCGATGAACACCCCCAGAGGAGGAGTGGGGTCTGTGGCACTGGGGGTAAGACTTGGAAAGAGGACTCTTGAGTTTGTTGTGACTACTCTGTGGTTTCAACTCACTTGTTTTGTTTTTTTTTTACCTTTTGCTTTTCAGAGTTTTGTATACGCCGTGGGCGGCAACGATGGTGTGGCGTCACTGTCCAGCGTGGAGCGGTTTAACCCACATCTCAACAAGTGGACGGAGGTCTGCGAGATGGGTCAGCGACGGGCGGGAAACGGAGTCAGCAAACTCAACGGCTGCCTCTATGTCGTCGGTGAGATGAACAAACGTGAACAAACATGCTAAACGCCAGTTAGATTCATGTCTTCACCTGACTAATCAGGAGTTCCTGTTGGCGCTGATGGTTTGAGGTCAAAGGGGGAGAGGTGGTTGAATCGAACTTCAGTCAATCTCTGTGATTTTAATTGTGCTTTTCTCTTACTGTACTTTGCTTCTTTTTGTTATTCAGTCACATGCCACCTACGTCCACACCCTGCACTTTTATGCACAAATGTGTGTAAGAGCGAAGACAAAAGTTCATGTTTTGTTATGCTGTGCGGTTACTGATTTGCAGAGTGTGAGGGTGATGTTTTTATTGTGGCACTTCAATTTAAATAGTCACTAGGGGGCTCAGTAAAAACCTTTTGTTGTGGCTTTTTGCCCGGTCAGTAGCTCATGCTTAATAAGGATCCATGAAATCCTCTTAACTTCTGCTGCTTTTATTACAGTTACTTTAAGCTGCTTGTTTGAACTCTGATCATTTAGTGAAACAAGCCTGTGGGTCAGTTTTTTTGTAATTATGACGTAATTGTCTCTCTCTTTATTCCTAACTTGATTGTTATTTTTTATCTTTTAATTTTTCATTTCATTCGAACAGAAATGTTATAACAAAACTTTTCAAAAAGTTACACAAACAGAGCAGCTGAAAATAAACAACAGATAGTTTCAATCACCATTTTTCAAAAAGTGCAATATTCGTCAATATCAACTCATTTGGAAGGTTCTCTTCTGTTGGATGGATTTTATGTATTAGCACTGTGGTTCTCAAGTCCAGTCCTCGAGGTCCACTGTCCTGCATGTTTTGGATGTTTCCCTGCTCCAACACACCTGATTCAAATGATCAGCTCGTTATCAAGCTCTGTAATGGTTTAATAACGAGCTGATCATTTGAATCAGGTGTGTTGGAGCAGGGAAACATCCAAAACATGCAGGACAGTGGGCCTCGTGGACTGGACTTGAGAACCACTGGGTTAGCGTGTCCCATGGAGACCCGCAGCGGTCATGGGTTCGAATCCACCCCCGACCATGTGCTGCATGTCCTCCTCCCTCTTACTCTATTTCCCCACATTTCACTCTGTCCTGTCAATAAAAAGTCTAAAATCGCCCAAAAAAATACTTATTAAAAAAAAAAAAAAACAATATTGCAAGATTTAAATCCACTCACTTTCTAAAGTGCATTTCAGAGCACATGAGGGAGAAAACATGAGGACGACAACTACTGAAGTTTCTTATACAGTAAATATCAAATATCTAATAAGTAATGCATTAAATATTTACTTTCTTGACCAGCTTTCGTGACCCATCCAGAACATGTCTGCGACCCACTTTTAGGTCGGGACCCACCAGTTGAGAACCACTGCTTTAATAGGAATAAGTCAAACCTTCTGCCTGTTAACTGTCTCTCTCTCTCTCTCTCTCTCCCTCTCTTTCATTAAAGGTGGTTTCGATGACAATTCACCATTGAGCTCTGTAGAACGCTTCGATCCACGAATGCACCGCTGGGAATACGTGTCTGAGCTGACCACCCCCCGCGGTGGAGTTGGGGTCGCCACTGTAATGGGAAGAGTGTTTGCAGTCGGGGGTCACAATGGGAACATCTACTTGAACACAGTGGAGGCTTTTGAGCCTCGAATGAACAGGTGAGGTGTGAACTATTCATCCATATTCATACGAGTTGGATTTATATTTCAGATTACTTGACCTTAAAGTAAGTGCACTCCTGAAAATCCCCTGAAAAAAGCAGTTCTCTGCGCCCTTGTATGTTCTTTTTCACTCTTTAGATCCAGTCAATTATATGTAGCATTAAAATGACATACAAACCTTTATCATAACATATAAAGCTGTTGCTATGGATACACATCAGTGACGTCTGCAGCATCCTTTCACAGCATCTCCTGCCTCACAATAACCCACTGCTCTTCTGCCAGATATTGAAATTGTGTGAAAGAACAACTTTTGAAAATTTTCAGGGCAGGCTGTCCTGAAATGTTGTAAAAATTGTTCATATTTACAAAAAGCGACTCCAGAGTATTCATAATGTGCTGCTGCATGTCGGAATTACATTTCCTGAATCCAAATCATCCTTCAGAAGCTCAAACTTGAAAAAGAAACAAACAAAAAAACTATAGGAATGGGTCCAAATCTCTGTATGTATTGTTGAAGACAGTGACTGTTTCTTTATTTCTTCATCTGTACCTGTTTTCTGTTCAGGTGGGAGCTGGTGGGATCGGTGTCCCACTGCCGGGCCGGAGCCGGAGTAGCTGTCTGCTCATCTCACGTTAGCCAGATTAGGGATGTCGGCCAGGGCTCCAGCAACGTGGCCAACTGCATGTGACCGCCGGCTCGCTCGTAACCAGGTGATTGACTGATAGACTGACTGGCTGCCTGCCCGCCTGCCAGGCCACCACCAGATATGATCTCTGCACACGCACACGACACAAAGCACACAGACAGTGGCGGCGTGATCTCTCCCGGCAGCTTCGTAACTGTCGCCACTTGATTGAACCATCAGCCCCAAAGTGATGACGGCTGCTGTTCAGTTTGCACAGTGGTAGAGGAATATTAGGGAGATTTTACCGACTTGAAGGGCACATCTGACAAATCTGAAGTCTTCTCTGACTAAATGACACATTTGAGACATTCATCTTGACTCCAGCTGGTGTGATTTTTCAATCAGTGCTGTCGTATTTTGTACTGTATTTTCTTCTGTTTGACTGCCTTGATTGAGTTTTGTCTTTTTTTTTTTAAGGGAAATAAGTAGCTGAGCTTTGAATTTCATACTAACATCTTGAGAAAGAGGTGAGTTTGGGACTGTAAAGTGAGCTTAATGTGGACTGTATAGTAGGCCAGTATAAAAACATTTCAACTTGAGGATTTCTAAAGTTCTGCAGTTTCTTCTCCTGTGAGAGATTTGATGAAAATACTGGACTCAATACCATGTTTGCTGTGCAATATGAGCAGGTAAATACTTTCAGTTGTCAGCCTGAATTTTGATGTCAATGTCAATTAACATTTCCAATATTTCCGGGATCTTTAGCCGTGTCATTTGAATGCGTCCGTTAGAGCAGGTGAGTGTTTAAAAGGTGCTTTTCAGAAATGATCTATCAGCAGTTCAGACTGCAGTAAGCTGCATCCTTATGATTTTAACTTTTAGGGTTTTTCCCGTAATCGTGTTTGAACAATCATTCAAGGCTTAAAAAGACAAATCAGTCACTCCTGAGGAGACAAGAGTTACCAGAAATAAAACTGCTGCAAGTGCCAAATGGAAAAAAAAGTGCATCAGCTGTTCTAGCTAGCTGTAGGTGCAGATGTGTTTTGACCTCCTGCTGAATCCAGTGTCTCTCACTCTTGACTCCGATTTGAAAAAAAAGTGTGACGACTGAGCAGAGCAATACAGAAAAATTCTCTGATTCTGAGTCTCGGTTTCTTATTATTGTAAAGACATCTGATCAAATTGTAGGGACAGATTCTCAAACTGAAGATTTATGGATTTATGGATAGCTGGACTGTCAGAAATCAGATGTGTGTGAGATTCAGCTGAGGTTTGTCCCCTCCGAAAGTTCAGTTCTATTTTAATATATGGACTTTTTTGTATAATAAATCGGTGTATCTTTGGTATTATTCTTTACGACGATATCTAATCCATTGCTGTGCACTATTTTCCTAGAATAGATGTGAAGTCTTGAGTATATTTTTGTCCTAACTGGAGAGTTTTCATGTTATCCATGTAGGTTTGCATAAGTTATTCATAGGTTCAAAGAAGTTTATTTAACACGTATATATATTTCTTCCACTTGTATATTTCTGCCATATCTGAGGAAAAAAAGTCTGCGTTTTTTAAATAGGCTGACAGAGTTTTAAAGACTATTTATAGTTTATAGTAGACTATTCCATATTATTGCACAGTTTGTGTCCTGCCGTTTTTTGAAGCTCTTGCAATTTATCAGCAATATATCAATATATAATAAATATTTTTGTCAACTTTGTAAGTAAACGATCCAGATTCTGAGTCTTTTGTAAACTTGACTGTATTTTGTGTTCTTCCTCCTCTTGACTGCTTCCATTTTGTTGCTTTTTGTTTTTGTGGTATTGGTATGAATTGGTACAATAAAGTTCTGTGTTAAAGTTCATCGTTGTGATTGCTCTTTTTTTCCTTCTTTCTCCAGTTTCTTCCAGTCAGAATTGAAATCCAAGGCTGCTTTTCACATTTGAAGTTAGCGAGTTTTCACACCATTCTGAAAAAGCGCTTATCTGTCAGCCTGAGTCATCCTGAAATTCCTGCTGAGTAATATATCAAACAAAATGAGGATTTGATAGGAAAGCATGCATTTACTGTTTTGTAACACCCCATAAAGTGAGTTAAAAAGTAACCCTTTTTTCGAGGCGAATGTTTGTCAGTATAAAGTTTATCATGTGCTTGCTGTAAACTTTGTTTCTTGGACTTTGTGATTAAACAGTTTGGAGTGTGATAATCATCTTATACAGTATAATAACTGTAATATTAAAGTCTTTGAATATACCTGAAGCTCCTTTTGCAAGTTTGCACACCCTGGTCATTTGGTAACCCCTCCTTTCAAAGTCCCCTGATTTCTATGTCTTTACCTGGTAATAACATGTAACTTGAAACACCTTATTGTTTGAGTACCTGTCTAATTCATTCATGAAAAACCTCCATTATTACCCATCAGGTCAGGGAGACAATTACAGAAAAACGACACGTTAAGTATGAAGAAAATCCTCTATTTTTAAGTACTACCTTTGAATGGATTGATGTGGTATTAAGTCTGTGTACTGTGTACTATTAACTGTGTACTTATCTGGAATTTTGGCTTCTTCCTGTACATAGTAAGTGGTGCATTAATCAGACACGTGTACCTCATAGGTGCCTCTACATGAATATGCAGACAGCTAAAGAAAAAAAGGAAATAGTTAATTCCAGATTGTGGTAATATCCTGGAAATACCTGGGAAACTGCAGCTCCTTCAAAAAGATAGGATCTGTCATTTGGCTCATTGAAATCAAAACATATTCATCTTTATGTTGCATGTTTTGTGTTTTCAACTATGGTGAGTCAAAATATATTCATCTTTATGTTACGTGTTACATCTGTTATAAAACTACTGCGGATTTGGCTGAGCCAAGAGGTCTAGTGTTTGTCATGTGTTTTACTGCTTTCAGTCTTTGGACCCTGGACGGATGCTGAAAACAGAGCAGGTCATGAGAAGATGCTCAAAGTGCCGGTGACAGGGAGCTCGATCACATCTCAGGTAGCAGAGCTCAGGAGTTTGGAGAAAGACGCGCAGGTATTAGGATGAGCAGAAACACACCGTAAAGAAGGTGAATAAAGTTTAAAATAATGGACAGAAGACACACAACAGTTCTGCAGCTGCTGAGCTTTGCTGCTCTCCTGGCCTGCGGTGAGTCTCTTTGGTTATTTCTTTATGTGCATGTGGTTCTTGATCCCTAAGACTACTATGATTATTTCTAATCATGAAAAGTAAATATTGATTAGTCATGTGACCTCTTCGAAATTAAAACTGTAAGCTGTTAATGAAAGATTAAATAACGCTCTTGTAGTACAGTGCCCAGCATAAGTCAGTACACCCCCTTTTAAAAGTAAATGTATTACTCAATATCTAGATGAGCAAAAGTACAATTTCCAAAGTTTTGACAAAGCTGAGTTTAACACAACATTTATTTACCATACGATGAAAATAAGGGTGATATGGTAACTAAGATTTAGCTTTGCTCCCAGAACTTTGATTGGGGTGTACTCATTTTTGCATCCGGATTTTAAATTAAATCAAAAAGTACTTTTTTGTATGCAGTTAAAGAAATCTTGTTCGCAACCAATGGCCTACATTTGGGGGAGTATTTTGTTGTACAGTCTGACATAGAAAATGTTGATTTTGAAAGGAAATTTAAGGTTTTCTGACAACTCTGAAGGGGTGTACTCATTTATGCTGAGCACTGTATCTATTAAAAAATCACTACATCAAAACATAATGAGCAGGAGAACTTTGTCTCCAAAAACACAAATTTGCATAGAGAGGATAATGATGTGATTTTTGCCTTCTTTTCAACCCATACAGATACTGTTTGTTTGTTTTAGGGCTCATATAAAAAGTTATTTTCAGTTTTGCACATTTAAACCTCCTGCGCTCAGTTTTTCAACTTATTTCTGACAGGAGTTCACTACTTTTGTCACAAATGCAGATAAAATCAACAGTTTAACTTGACAATACAAAAAAAATGTCTCTAAACCCTAGCGTTCTCTGCTGCTAAATGATGCTTACCATACCGGTTGTAACATTTTACATCTGGTTTTAACTGAACAGGTTAAAGTTAAAACGATTGACATAATTTTGACCAAATTCAGGTTTTTATGTCCCTCAAGCCTCATGTTGCTTTGTTTCAGGCAGAGAGCCAACAGTGATTTAGATTTTAGAAAACTGTCAAAAAAAACCTTTTGCATCCTTACTTCACTCGAGGTCTTTCAACCCATCACCGAGGCGTGCACATCATGTGATTCGAGTATCTGTGAAAGTTGTTAAAGTCAAACATTACCGCTGAGAATCGAGTGACACAGCTGGACTGTGAGTCTGTCATGGGACTTTTATGATTGATGGGTATTTAAATGGTATACCACCTTGTAAACGTTGCTTTAATCTGCAAATTCTTTTGTAGTCATCAATGATAAAGAATTTGTCCATTTTAGTCTAATATGTATGTCTTAACTTTTTTGTCATATACCTTTAAATTCTTTACTGTCAGTTATTTTAAAACAACTTAAAAAGAATCATTAAAGCTACTGTAGGGAGCTTTTGTTTGTGTTTATTTTGGCTGAAAGTCTCACTGAAAGCAGGGGTATAAAACAGACTTATATGATTACTGATGTGTCTTTATGAGCGACAAAAGCAAAGAGGACCGTGAGCGTAAAGACAGACTTTTTCGAAGTACTTGTTTTTAAAGTCTGAAACCACTGCTGCAGGATAGGTGTCGGATAAACTGATTGACAGAAAAAAAGAGGCTTTTTTCACTTCCTTCATGGCAAAGACAGTTAGTGAATTATGTATTTGACTTTTAGAAAACAGAAGGATGAGATTTTTGTTTTTTTTTAAAAAGTACATACATGTTATAGAACAAAATCAGCAACATGATTAAAGGAAAAGGAATTGACACCCATTAAATCTCTTTAAATGTCCTGGCAGTAATAATTTCAAACCAAGCTTTGCCATGAAAAATGCAAAAAAAAAAATAAAAAATAAATAAATAAGTTGGTTTGGTTTGGTAATAAGCTTCTCGTCTCAGTCTGATTGCCAATATTTGCTGATAGTCTTGTTTGCTTTAGTCATTTCAAGTCTGTTTTCTAATGAGTGTTTTTATATTTTTGTGTTTTCAGCTCGTTGTCAGTGTCAGCAAGGCTGGAGGGAGAATGAGAATAAATGTTACTTCTTTTCATCTGATACAAAGACGTGGCTGGAGGCTCAGGCCTTCTGTTTGGAGAAGAACAGCAACCTGATGAGCGTCCAGGACATCCACGAGAGGGTGAGACAACACGTCCAGTCTTTGATAAATGTTCCCTCATGATTTAACACGCTGGGTTAACGCTTGGTTTTACGTCTCATTTCTAGCTGTGGGTAAGAACACAAGTCGGCCAAGAGATCTACTGGTTTGGCCTGAATGATCGAGTAACGGAGGGTACTTGGGAGTGGGCAGACGGGGACCCCTTTATTGAATACTTATCGTATGTCACACTGCCTCTACAGCAATTTTAGACAATAAATTAAAGTTGTATTCGGAAAAATGAATATCAGAACTGCATCTTTCTAAAAACTGATTCTGATGGTTTCAGATACTGGGCACCAGGTCAGCCAGATAACTATGGGGACTCTGGAGAGCACTGTGGTCAGATTTTAGGAGCTAGCTTTGGACAGTGGAACGATGAGAACTGCAACGTCAAGAGGAAATACATCTGCAAGCATGTCAACGGTAAGTCCACCTATTAAAGTCCTCTAATCAAAGTCCACCACAATTTCCCCTTTAGCCTTATAATTATATAATCACCAGAACAATCGTATTGTCTCTATTATACACAAAACAGCACTAAACTCATACTGCAGTGATTACTGAGAAAATTTCTATTTATGCAAGCAAAGTTGAGCCTTCACACAGTTTGTTGGAGAGTGTTTCATTAATTGTTTTATGAAAAAAGGAGGAAAATCAAGCTTTTTTTTCTTTTCTTTTTTTTTGCACCTATATTCACCTCTAATCTTGCAACTGCATGCATCAGTTTTGAGATTTTGCCGTACAAAACAGAAGTATCCTTTCATAAATGGCTGACTGCAGTGACTTCCCCATAAACATCTGTGCAGCTTGTTTTGGAGTCCTTTCTTTTGTCTTATTCTTTGTTGAAAGAGGAAGTTCAAAACCAGTGAACACAAATGAATGAAAATGTTGATATCATGTAAATGTTGTGAGATAATTTTATAGATTTTTATTTTACCCTTGCTGTTTTTTTCTTGTGCATTTCAACCTGCTGCAAATGTAGCTGTTATCAGCGTTAAATAATAACTTCCACCTGCTGTCAGTCAGTTTAGCACATATGGAAAGATATCATAAAGGCTGCATTTACACACAATTGCTTCTTCGCTGTTTCAAGATATCAAAGAGCTGTAACACGTCAACATTTCTACACAGACACATGAGTATTTTTCTCGCCCTGTAGCGAATCCTGGCCCTCAGTGTGACTTAAACAACGGCTGGAGACAGTACGGCTCCAACTGCTACAAGCTGAACGCAGAAACAAGGAAGAGCTGGTCCGATGCCAGAGATGACTGTGTGATGCAGGGAGGAGACCTGGTGTCCATTACCTCAGCAGGAGAAGAGCAGTACGTCACAGGGAGACTTGACCCGTCATGGGTGGACCTCTGGATCGGATTTTCCACACTGGTGAGACACACATAGAGTGGAATCACATCACTCACTTTCTTCTTCTTTATTTAATATTTAACATGAATATTTGTTTCTATAGAAATGCAACAAAATTGGATGTCAAGTCGAAGCTGGGGGCACTCAGTGGACCTGGTCTGATGCTACACAAGCAGGGTACACTTTCTGGGCGACTGGACAACCTACAGTGTAAGACAATGTTTCACCTTCTCTGATTTAAAGACACAAAATGTTAAGTTTACGCCAGTTGAGGTTCAAACACATGTTCTCCCACAGTGACGGCCAGGCGGGCTCATGTGCTGCAAAAATCAAAGATGAGACAGATCAATTTGGGAAGTGGAGATCCCACATGTGCAGATATGAACGTCCTTACATGTGCAAACGACCTCTGAATAGTAAGTGGGCTTATCCAGCTATTATTCTGTTGTTTTCATTATAAAAATCACTAATTAAATTAATGTTTCCCCTTCTCTCCCTCTCTTTATTTTCCTGCTCTTCTTCCAAAACTTCTTTCCAGCCATCTGCCCTCTTGGCTGGTTGAGCTTCTCTGGCAGTTGTTACTGGATGGTCAGCAATACCAATCTTCTGACCACCTGGCACGATGCTCTCACAAAGTGCTCGGATATGGGGGCTCACCTACTCATTATAAACAAGTAGGGAACAACAACAATTCAATCATTTTGCATAAAAAAAAAAACTCTGGAAAGACTTTACATGAACCTACCTCTTATAAATGCATTATAGACACATTTATAAAGCCTTATAACACATCTATAAGGCTTTATAACAACCCTTATAAGCGATAATAAGCATTCATAACAGCTTATAGAGATGTTTCGGTCACAATGTCGAATAACTAAATTATCTGCTGCATCAATTATTGAAATGTCTGTGATTGTTGTGTGTAGTGAAGAAGAGCAGTTCTTCATCAACGGGAGACTCCCAGACTTTCACCAGGTGGACATCCCTGACATCTGGCTCGGTTTATCAGGTGTGTAAACTTTGTGTTCACAGTGATACAGGAGCAAAAATTGCCTTGTTTTCTAAAGTGGTGTTTCTTCTTTCTTATGGTAACAGATAAAGACCAGGATGGGACTTTCAAATGGGTTGATAAAAGTCCAATAACTTATTCCAACTATGGTCCTGGCTGGCCCCATAACACAGCCAAGATTTGGGACTGTGGGCAAATCTTCACAGGTAAAATCTGTTTTTAACTTAAATGTTTTTTTTTAAATCAGAGTCTAATTTTGAATAAGCTAAGATTTAATTCTTTCTTCCAGGAAATTATCAAGGCAAGTGGGAAACAACCAACTGCTTCAAGAAACTGGGATACATTTGTGAGATGACAGGAGGACAGAACCCCAAACCAACAGCACATCCTGGTAAGTCGGTCCCTACTCTTCATCTTCATACCTGTCGCACTGAGGCTGAGGATAAAAAATGAACTTGCGCAGAAATTGTAATAACCAAAATTGTTCCGTGCCAGATTTCCACTGTGACCCCGGGTATTTGTTGTACGGAGACTTCTGCTATCAGTTTGAGACTGAGATTGTGAAAAACTGGCACGATGCTGAGGCTCACTGTCGCGGTGAGCAGGGTCACTTGGCGAGCGTGCATACTCAAGAGGAACTGAGTTTCATAGTTGGTGAGCAGCTCTAGATCATCCGAAAACTATCCACAATGAATCAAGAAATTAGAGACTTTGATGCTTTTAGTTTAGATTTACCAAAAGTTGTTGTGTTTTCTCTTCAGCTCACATGCCAGGACAGGCCTGGATTGGTTTAAATGACATCGACACTGAGGGTACTTTTGTGTACACCGATGGCACACCTGCGGTGAGTGAGTGATTCGTCACACTTAATTATCAGAACTGTCTTATACACAGACGCTGTAAACATGTCAAACGAGATAATATGTTAGATTTGTTCGAGTTAATAATCACAGACACTTAACCCTCTCTAATCAGTTCTTCCTGCAGCAGCAAGAGGAGAAACACCAACGCTTGTTGCTACTGTTCAAACTGTGAAGTTCAGAATCAGAATCAGAATCAGAATCGGAAATACTTTAATGATCCCAAGGGGGAAATTGCTTTTTGTTACAGTAACTCCAGTGCAAATAAAGCAAAATAAGTAAAAACAAAGAGATAAATAGACAAAATAAGTAAAATAAGTAAAAATAAAGAGGTAATATACAAGTATGTACACCATATACGACACAAAATAGCAAGTTGTTTTAATGTTAGACTGAAAACTCCTGTTATTCATAAAAAAGCTAAAACTTAAAACTTAGTCTGAGGTTCATTCTGGTTTGTTTTTGTTGTCGGATCTTAGGACCTGCTCCTCTGGGGGCCAAACCAGCCGGACAACTGGCAGAACAATGAGGACTGTGTTCACATCAGAAGCATGGATCATGTTGAACCCGGGAAATTCAATGATGACTTTTGCTCCTCCACAAAGGAATTTATCTGCAAAAAAGGTCCGATACTCTTTTATCACTTTCACAATCACATGCCCCATATGTTGACACTTTGATTTTTAGTGATTCTTGTTTGTTTGTTTTTTTCATCACAGCCAAAGGACAAGGACCTCCTCCCCAGCCACCAACATCTGGACCAGGTCAGCTTGATGAAACTCTTTTAGCAGGGTCTTAAAGTGATGAGTCCTCTGTGAAAAGTCTTCATCGACAAACACATGAGCTGTTGTGTTGTTGTTTTTTAACAGGATGGAATGATAAATGTGGTTCCTGGATGGCTGACCCTTTTAACGACTACTGCTACCTGTTTAACTACCTGTCCATGAGGACGTGGGCTGAGGCTCGAGCCGACTGTCTCAACCAGGGAGGAGACCTCGTCAGTATTACAGACCCCTTTGAACAGGCCTTCATACAAGGTGTGACCTCAAGATCTTTAATCCAGTGTTGGCACTTACCACTTATCTTTTTTTTTTTAAATTAAGCCGTATCACCTTTTTCACACTTTTGGTTTTTCCCCATAACTGTTTCAGGTCAAATCTTTGCAATAACAGGTTCTTTACAGTCAATTAAAAAAAAAAAAATCATGATTATTTATTCACTTTGAAGAATGCTCAAGTCCAAAATTTCTCCTTCCTATATGCAGGAAGGTACAGCAGTCTGCATGTGTCTGCAAAAATCTCACTTCCTATACAACCACTAGGGGGCGCAAGATCAGATTTACTTTCTGCACTCCCAATATAATTTAAGACGAGAGTTGAACACCGGCTGACCTACGACAGAGTATTAGGGCCACGTTAAGAAAAAAACATTTAGACTATGAGTCTATAGTCATTATTTTTCAGAATAAGTTGTAACTTACCAGAATAAACTCGTAATAAAGTAATTACTTAGGAGAATAAATTTGTGATAAAATCATTTCTTACGAGAATAAACTCGTAACAAAATAATAACTTACGAGAATAAAGTTGTAATAAAGTAATTACTTACGAGAATTAAGTCGTGATAAAATCATTTCTTACAAGAATAAAGTTGTATTAAAATGAATTCTTCCAAAAAAAAGTCGTAATTAAGTAATTACTTATGAGAATAAAGTCATAAAGTAATTACTAACGAGAATAAAGTTGTAATAAAATGATTTCTAACAAAAACAAATTCGTAATTAAGTAATTAATTATGAGAATAAAGTCGTAGTGATATCATTACTTACAAGAATAAAGTTGTAATGAAGTAATTCCTTATGAGAATAATGTAGAAAAATCATTACTTAGGAGAATAAAGTCGTAATCAAGTACTACTATTTTACTTATGGTAATGTGGTGCTGATGTGCCAATAGATCAAGTATCTCCTTGTTTGAGAAACATATTAAAGTACATTTTCACAAAATGCTTCATGGCTCTTATTTCAACTGCCATATTAAACAGCAGGTTGGAATATAAGGACTTTATTCTGACTTCACTCTCGTAAGTAATGATTTTATTACGACTTTATTCTCTTAAGTTAATGACTTTAATCTCAGAGTCTTAATTTTTGTTTCTTAATGTGGCCCTAATACTCCGTCGTACTGAACACAAGCTGTTTGTTTTTTGTTATTAAATCTGTTCATGCTACCTTGTCATTCCTCCCAGGTGTGATCCAGCTGAGTCCTACAGGGATCTCTCTGTGGATGGGCGGGCATGACTCTGTCACTGAAGGCGGCTGGGAGTGGATTGATGGTTCTCCTTTCAGATACATCCGCTGGAGTGCAGGTTAACATTAAAAAGAGAAACACAAGAATAAGGATTGAAAAGTTGAGAAAAACGAACAAACAAACAAGTGAATTCCCTTTCTTGGCCTCATAATTACTGACAGGTAACCCAGACAACTATTTCGGTGAGGACTGCTTGTCTATACTCATAAACAATGGTTACTGGAATGATGACAACTGTGAGTACAACAGAGGATACATCTGCAAGCGGAAAGGTGACAAATAAAACTTTGATCTTTCGTATTTGCAAACAGAGGTTAATATTTAGGCTGTTGAAACATGTCAGTAACACTACATGTGTGTCTTGTTTTATAGGAAACACACCAGAGCCTCCTCCACCTCATGACGGTAACAATACAGCTCTTCTCAGTGCTTTTTAATATCCACTATCAATACAGAAGAAAATAGAGAGACATGATTTTTGACATGGGTCCTGCTGCAGGTTACATGACGGGTCTGGTCTGCCAGGACTCCACTGCTGTTCTCCACTGTCCACAGGAGAGTGTCATCAACATCAAGTCAGCTTTCTACGGTCGAAAGAGCGCTGATATCTGTCCACCTCTGGATGGATCGACAGGTGATGCTTCACGATTGTCTAATTCCTCATCTCAGTTATGAAATAGATGGCAATGAGGAGGACTTCTATGGTCATCAGTTTGGATTTCATTGATGCTGTCCAGTGTTTTCTGTAAACCATAATAAACTTACAGCTGATTATTGATCTTTGCATCATCAGGAAGCTGCTCAGTGGATGGCGTCCTTCCTATCTATAGAAAGTCCTGTGATAACCGTCCCTTCTGCTTTGTGTACGCCCCCGATGTTGACCCCTGTCCTGATGTTTCCAAATATCTCGAGATCGTCTACACTTGTGAACAAAAAGGTAAGCTGTTCCTCTTCATCTCTGTGTTTGTTTGTATAAATCCAAACATCCATTATCCAAAAATGTCAATTTGCTAATGTGTGTTTTTATGGTTTCGGCTCCTCACAGTGTGCCTGCACGGCCTGGGCGTGGAAGACAGGAACATCTCAGACTCCCAGCTCTCTGCGTCCTCCTCCATGGGTGGATTCTCTCCCAACCTTGCCAGACTAAATGGAAACTCCTGCTGGAGACCTTCAGGAAGTGGTATACACTAACAAAGATTACATTTTAACTGATACATTAGGATGAAGAGAAAAAAAACGTGTAAAGAAATAATGTTTTTATTTCCTCATTCTGCTCTAGTAACCTCAAGCTGGATTCAGGTCAATCTGGGCCAGCCCAGAAAGATTACAGGAATAGTGATCCAGGGTTGTCCTCAGTATGACTTCTGGGTTACCAAGTTTAAAATCCAGCACAGTATGGACGCCTCATCCTGGACTGACTACACTGCTGACGGGGCGGTGAGTTTGCAGAAACAGCCAATGACTACAATCCAAACTGTGATTATTCAGAGCAGATTGTGATGCTGGATCTCTTCTAGTCTTTCCCAGGGGCGACCGACAGAAACACTCCTGAAACTCAGCTGCTGGGTTCGCCTGTGTCAGCTCAGTATGTGCGAATCCTCCCGCTGGAGTTCAGCGGTCAGGCCGGCCTTCGCTTTGATGTCTTAGGATGCACACCTGACTGTGAGGAAATACTGCACACATTTACCCTGACATTAAAAACTGCTGTGATACTGTCCTCTCTATTGTCACTGATTAAAATTTGTGATTCAACAGATGCAATCTCATGCGCCAGTTGGCCAAACTTCAACTTTGCCAATGACAAAATGACGTAAGTGAAATACAGAGATATTCTGTACAATGTATGCAACAACTGTCATAGTCTGCATTTTTAGGATCTTACCATCTATGTTTCTGTAACCGATTCTGATGTGTCTTTCAGTGTCCACTGTCCTGCCCGCTGTGCCGATACATATTACAGTGTGTACGGTACTTCAGTATATCGTGGGGTAGGTGAATACTGTATTGTTTCTGTATCTTTAAAAAGAGAGAGAGAGTCCTGGTGTGCTGCTGCTCCACACAAAGAAATGACAGACCTTCCCACTGAGCAGTAGACGGCTATTAGACATCTAGTTTTTTTTTTAGACCTAATTTCAACCGTCCAGATTCTGTGTATTTTTAGACAGAATTTAGATGTTGCACTCTAACCCATTATTCGATAACTACTTATTTCAAAAAGCAACTGTGAGTTGCATAACTGATCTCCAAGTACTTAACTTAAATAATTATGATAGCCCTTGAGCAATATACAGTGTAGTGTCGATGTAGCCCATATTTAGAATTAGTCTAAACTTGGTCAAAATTTAGACATCTAAAAAAAACTTTGAGGAACATGCAGCAGCTACAGCTTGTCATAATTTCTGCCGGTGTCAAAGGCAGCTGTTATCCTGATAACTGAAGGTATAAATATGTTTTTGCTCTGCTTTTAACAGGACTCAAACATCTGTGCTGCAGCCATCCACGCTGGAGTGATCTTAAATGAAAATGGAGGGGACTGTCATCTGCTGAAACAGGAAGGACAGGACTTCTATCCCGGATCTACTAGAAATGGCATCACCACCAAACAGTAAGAAGCTGTGTTTTAAACTAAAATGGCCTTTCGTTGGTCGAGTCCAGACCCAAGATCCTACAGACTACGAGGCCTATACTTTGTTCAAATATGAGTGGAGATTAGGACTGACCATGACGGCTAACTCGAAGTCACTATTTCCCTACAGATTTAATGGAGACTATGCAGTGTCCTACACTTTTGCTGACGGAGGTGTGTAAGGATTAATATATCGTGGCTTAAATAAATGTCTTCCCTCTGAGCGGGCAGATTTCATCTCTTTTCAGGCTTGTTTTTCCGCTCAGGATAATTGATCCTGGAGTTTATCTCATCCCTCTGTCCTGCAGAGCTGAGGTGTGCAGGTCCTGACTGGTACGAGTTTGGAGAGTTCTGCTACAAACCTTATGACGACAAGAAGACGTGGAGCGAGGCTCAGAAAACCTGCAGAAATATGGGTGCTGAACTCGTGTCCATCCGCTCCATGACTGAGCAGAGCTGGCTGGAGAGCTACCTGTACATGGGTATGAGTGAATAAATAAAGAAGTGAAATCTGATTTGATTTTAGGAAAGAGAAAAGAGGTAGACTTCTAAGTGACTTCTTAGCAGCTACCATGCTTTTTCAATCTGATTTTAAAAAAAGAGGGTTAAAAAAAGGTAGAAGAATTGTGTTTTGACATGCAGAATCGAAATATTTTCCTTAGGTGTGAAATCTAAAAACAGTGTTAATTCGATCTGTTGTCATAATTGTTTGTCTTTCCTCTTCAAAGCCACCAGCGATGTTTGGACTGGTCTGAATGATCTGGTCGTACCTGGTATGTTCACCTGGTCAGATGAACACATGGTGACGTTCACCTACTGGGCTCCAGGGGAACCAAACAACCACGATGGGTTCAATGAAGACTGTGTGGAGATGATACACCAGGTAGGATTCAAATACAGTCTTTTATACACGTTACACACAAATGCATTTTATACAAGACATTATGGATGCGGTGTAAGATACACAAACACCCTCATCCTTTGTTTTTTTGTGGTTCATCTCTGTTTCAGACTGGCCGATGGAATGACGTGTCTTGTTCAGAGCTCAACACCTACATATGCAAAAAGCCTAAAGCTCATTACCCACTGCCCTCTGTGAAACCAACAGAATACGGATGCCCACAGGTAAAGCCCACTCAAACAAAGAGTTAATTGTTTTGTTCCCTCCATGTTACAACACCTGCCATGACTTGTGCACAAAAGAAATCACTGCAACAGCCTCACTTCTGTGATGTGTGTCAGGGGTGGGATGCTTACGGCTACGCCTGCTACTGGATGGAGGAGACTGGGAGGAGCTGGTCAGAGGCTAAGAGCTTCTGTGACGAGAAGGAAGGTTTCCTGCTGCACATTGGAGACATGTGAGTTATCAGGATCAAAACATACAATCGTTTCTTATACACACAAGGATTTTTATAATGCTGTTTCAGGGCTGCCAAGTTTAAGAAAATGACAAGAGTGAGACTTTAGTGTTATGATGTATTAAAAAAGTAGGCCTTTTTTAACGTTGATTTATACCTTAAGACAAATGTCCTCACCTCCATACCAGCTGCTCTCCCTGCACTGTGCCTCCTGCCTCTTAATGCTAGTCTTAATAAACCAGAAGTTAGAAATGAAAAATGTAACAAGAATTTGGACAAAATACATTTATATGTCAATATTGCATTTCAACCAACTCTCCATCATTTAGCTGGGGACATGTCTTGTGTTGTAGGAGTTTGTGGCAGATTTTGATGCCTTGATGAAAGAGGCTCGACGCTGTTGTGTGTGAGAGATAGTCAGAGACGCCAAGACCCGCCTTACGTTACCCGGGGCTGCTACCCTCTATAGCAAGATCGGACACAGTTTTTCAAAGTGTTTAGGGTTAAATTTCAGTTAAAGGTGCAGAGTGTAATATTTAGCAGCATTTGTGTGTGTGTGTGTGTGTGTGTGTGTGTGTGTGTGTGTGTATGTGTGGCTTTGGATGAGATTGTATTGTTGGGTAAGGTATCTGTGTGTGTGGGAGGGGGGGCATCTAGGATAGATTTGTTTTAAATTAACTGTGAAAGACTTTGTGTTACATTCTTCGTAGGAAAATCACTGTCCAGGACCTATTTAGAAGCACGTTTCAGACCATTTGGAGTCAATCGCTACAAAAAAAAAATTAGGAAAAGTGTCAAAAAAGTATTAGGGTTACTTTTGGGGTAATGTTCGGGTACTGGGGTTTTAACACATTTGCCGACCCGTGATCCTCAAGGGAACAAGATAGAGATCTTGGGCAAAGACCAATTCACCCTATTTCATGTACCCCAATTTCACTGGTACCAAAATGAAGTCTCTACGACGTTGTGTTCAAAAGTAATGGGAAATTGTGCAAATACAATGAAAACAGATCATTTATTTCTGGCACTTATTTTTTCACAATGAAGAAATAAATTCAGTGTAAAAAAAATCAGTCTCTCAAAAGATTTGTTAAGGTGAAATTCAACTTTAAAAAAAACTGTGTTAAAAAAAATCCAACATAAAAAAAAAGTTTAATGTCAAAAAATTCAGTGTAAAACAGACCGACTCAACATCCAGGTAACCAGGGAAAGCAATCAATTCCTGGCTCAATCATCCATCGTCCAGCCAATCAATTAATGCTAGATTGGTCATGTGGCATAGACCCCAGTAGAAGACTGAGGAATCGATTGCTTCTCCCTGATTACCCGGATGTTGAGTCGGTCTGTTTTAAACTCAATTTTTTGACACTGAATTATTTGACGCTGACATTTTTTTTTTAATGGTGAATTTATTTATTTATTTTTTTTACAGTTCTTTTTTAAGTCGAATTTTTACTACAGGTATATTTTGAGAGACCAATTTTTTTACACTGAATTTATTTCATCATTGTGAAAAAAAATCAGTGTAAAAAATAAAAATGCGAGCTTGAAATTCAATGGTTTTGCAATTCAAGGACTGATTTTGATGCAAAAAAAATTCAAATTCAAAATCAGATGACACAGATTTACTTCCATATCTACTCCTAACCGACTGAGCCTGAAGAGTCTCTAAATTGCTTGTGTGTCTGTGTTTCGCCGCAGTTACGAGCAGGCGCATTTCACCGTGGCCCTGACAGGAAAGACAGGGATGTGGTGGATCGGCCTGCGTGCTCGAGGACAAGGTGGAGGAGTGGACTACATCTGGGACAACGGCTTACCTTTGACCTTTACTCACTGGGACAGAGAACAGCCAGGTGCAGACCAGATGCAACATTCAGCTAAGGAGGTTGATAAATGTACACTAGATGACACTGTTGTCCTTTTTGTGTTTAGATAACGGGGATGGTACATGTGTGGCTATGGCCACCGGTGCTGTTGGAGGTTTCTGGGATGACAAACAATGCTCCGAGAAATTCTCATTCATCTGCGAGAAACCCAGGCCCGACATCACCCCGCCTCCAAAACCCCCAACACCTCCTCCTGCAGAGGGCTGTGCTGCTGGCTGGACTGCTAAGCCCCACTTCAGATACTGTTACAGGGTATATGAGAAAGTTCATCAAACTCTACAAACTCTGCCTCCCTGCAGGGCCCAGTACTGATCTGTTATTGATGGATTTGTTGCAGCTTTTCCACGAAGTGAGCTGGTCCCAAAAGAAGAGCTGGGGAGCAGCAAACGAAGACTGTGTCTCCAGAGGAGGCAACCTGGTTAGCATCCACAATCAGGCAGAGGAAGAGTTCCTGGCTCTGTACAGCAAAGGCACCAGCAAGTGGATCGGCCTAAAACACAACCCCATAGAAGGAGGTCGGTACAATCTAGGATTGCATATATCGATATACATCAATAAAAAGAAAACATTACAGAACTGATCTTTCTAAAGGCTATTCCTGGAGTGACGGCACCCCGCTGTCCCACACCAACTGGGGTCACGGGGAACCCAACAACCACGACGGCCGTGAAGAGTGTGTGGAGATGGTGAGCACCACCAACGGGACCTACTCCTGGTGGAACGATCTCAACTGTGACGCTCACCAGGACTGGATCTGTGAGATCGCTAAAGGAAAGACCCCCATCCTGCCCCCAGTGCCCCCTCCTACTGTCCCAGGTAAGCTTTCAGGTTCACCAGACTCTTGGTGTTTTGTAACAGAAAAATAAAGAAGTGAACTACCAACAGTTGTAGCAACTTTCCCAGGAAGTAAAGTAGCTACAAGAGTGAAACTTCAGCATATAGTTAGAGGTACATTCGCGGTTATTTTCAGCCATCTAGCTCCTTCAGTTTCAAAGAAAATGTCTTGTCCATTTTAGATACTGAGGAGGTTCATAGAGAGGTCTGTGAAATGGACAGGCCAATTTCTCAGGAACCAAATGAGCTAGAAGGCTAAAACTGCTTCAGAGTGTAGAAGAGACCCAGGAGATTATACCCGGTGTCTATTAAGGTTAATTAACAGCAGAAATTAAAGATTAAACAGTTCATATTATAAAGCCCCAGTGAAATATTTAAAGCAGGTTATTACAGAGGCTGAAATCAACGCTGGTTACTCTAAAGACTTAAAACAGTAAACAGGACCATCAACAAGAAGACTAACGATGTATAGACACACTAATATTACTTTAATTTATCTTTTATCTCTTTTACCTCTATCTTATTTCGGCTTTACTGTCTTTTTAGCTCTTGTTATACTTATACTCTTTTCCTTACTAACCTTTTAAGCCTTTTATTGTTTTATCTCTTACTCATTTCTGTTGTTCTATTTTATCATAACTATTATTATCAGTATTACTTTATTATTTTAGCATTATTGACATTGTCTTATATATTTACTATCCTGTTTTCCGCTTTCAACTCCCTGTTTTATTGCATTTTCCTTTTTCCTTAACTATTTTATGCTATTATGTTGGTCCTCATGGTCTTATTTTTTGTTGCGGGGTTCTTGTATTGCCTGGGTTCCCTATGACATATGAAAATGGCCTTCAATTCAGTTTTAACTGAGCTTTTTGTTTTTATTTGTCTTTTTCCATGTGCTTTATGACTATTTGTCAAAGCACTTTGTAAACTTCTGTTTTTAAAAGTGCTATCAAAATAAAGTTATTATTTTTAATATTATTATTATTATTATTGAAATTACTGGCAGGGGGGGGATGTCAGGTCAAGTGATAAACTGCTACAGTAGAGATATCAAACATTTTTACAGTTAAAGGAAGATGGATTGTTGTCATATTCTGCCAAGGACAAGATCAGAAAAGATCTCTCCATCCACAAGGGCCCAAAAACTGACACAGACTGAGCTTTAAGTAACTGTACATTTAATTTATCCTGATATTTTTGCAAAATGTCATCTCCTTGTCTTTTCCTCTTACCTCCAACCTCAGCCCTTGATTGTGGCCCGAACCCCGGCTGGAGGAAGAAAAACAACATCTGCTATTACTACAATGACACCGACATAGTGGACTTCCACACGGCCATGAGACGCTGCTACGCTGAAAAGGCTTCGCTTGTGACCATCCACAGTAGAGATGAACAGGCTTACGTTAACAGCATGGTAGCACATGTTCTTCTTTTCTAAAACGGTTGTGAAGAACAGCTGTGATATATGCATGTTTGATACATGTTATTTTTCTTCTCCCAGGTTGGGACAGGTGATGTTGCTACAGCGTGGATTGGAATGAGGATGGTTGGCGTGGCAAATGGACAGTACATGTAAGTGTTTTTCTTCCTGATTAGGGATTAGTTTAAGTAAATATCCTTTAATTTAGATATAAGTATGTATGGCTGTAAGATTTGTGTATATTTGCCATGACTGCTGTGATTGGCTGCTGAAGTTAGTTTTTCCCAAATCACAGCAGTAACTGAACGTAAATGATTTTTTGTTTATAATTTCTCTGTCATATCTGTACAGGTGGGTGGACTTCTCTCCTATGGTATACACTCACTGGGCTCCAGGTGAGCCCAACAACGCCAACGGGGAGGAACAGTGTGTGCAGATGAACAGGCACCAAGGTATGTATTTAAATCCCACATATTATAAAATAAACTCTGCAGATTTTAGAATGTATCATTTTTAATCATGTGTCTGTGATCTATATAACAACCGCTTACTTGTGAAGGTGGATGGAACGATGCCAACTGTGGTCGAGCCACTGCAGGTTACGTCTGTAAGAAATACCCCGGAGAAATCCACACCCCTCCTCCACCCACACAGCCTTGGGAAGGCAACTGCCCTGAAGGTAAACTCCCTTTTTTGACTGATGATATCTTGACTGGCTGGTACAAACAAGCTACATGTACAGCTGTGTTTTAGAGGATATGTCTGGTACGATACTCACTGTCAACAAATACTAGAAAACATGACATATGAGGACATTTCTCTATAAATAATGAACCGAAAACTACCTGGTTGTCTTAAAATCAATCCAGTAGTAAAATCTTTTGTGCTTATTCATTAACCCCCTCCACTATATGACAGAAAATGTGTTATTATATCTTAACAGAGGCATTACCCTGCTTATCTATTTGCTCTAAAAGTCCCACTCCAATTGTTTTTTTACCACTTAAAGTCGCCTGATTGGCTAGAAGCGCTGAGCTTCGATTGGTTATTCCTTATGGCTGTAAAACGCCGTCATCTGTTGAGTTAGGGTAAGAGTTAGTGTTAGGGTTAGGGTTAGGGTTAGGGTTGGAGCTAGGGTTAGGGTTGGAGCTAGGGTTAGGGTTAGGGTTGCAACTAGGGTTAGGGTTAGGGTTAGGGTTGCAGCTAGGGTGAGGGTGAGGGTTAGGGTTAGGGTTGGAACTAGGATTAGGGTTGGAGCTAGGGTTAGGGTTAGGGTTGGAGCTAGGGTTAGGGTTAGGGTTGGAGCTAGGGTTAGGGTTAGGGTTAGGGTTGGAACTAGGGTTAGGGTTGGAGCTAGGGTTAGGGTTAGGGTTGGAGCTAGGTTTAGGGTTAGGGTTGGAGCTAGGGTTAGGGTTGGAGCTGGGGTTAGGGTTAGGGTTAGGGTTGGAGCTAGGGTTAGGATTAGGGTTGGAGCTAGGGTTAGGGTTAGGGTTAGGGTTACGCATTTTGGAGGTGACCCACCCCCTTGGTAACTTTTGAATGGAAGGTCGTAGAGCGCTGAAACTTGCATGTTGGGGGGTGCAAGATTTTTCTGAGTCTAATGAACCAACTCCCGAGTCTCTAGGACGTTCCTAAAAAAATTTGATTTTTTCCCATAGGAATGCATGGGTTAGGGTTAGGGTTAGGGTTGGAGCTAGGGTTAGGGTTAGGGTTAGGGTTGGAGTTAGGGTTAGTGTTGGAGCTACGGTTAGGGTTGGGCTTGAAGCTAGGATTTTTCTGAGTGCAATGAACCAACTCCCGAGTCTCTAGGACGTTCCTAAAAAAATTTGATTTTTTTCCCATAGGAATGCATGGGTTAGGGTTAGGGTTAGGGTTGGAGCTAGGGTTAGGGTTAGGGTTAGGGTTAGGGTTGAAGCTAGGGTTAGGGTTAGGATTAGGGTTGGAGCTAGGGTTAGGTGTGGGGTTAGGGTTGGAGCTAGGGTTAGGGTTAGGGTTAGGGTTGGAGCTAGGGTTAGGGTTAGGGTTAGGGTTGGAGCTAGAGCTAGGGTTAGGGTTAGGGTTGGAGCTAGGGTTAGGGTTAGGGTTAGGGTTGGAGCTAGGGTTAGGGTTAGGGTTGGACCTAGGGTTAGGGTTAGGGTTGGAGCTAGAGCTAGGGTTAGGGTTAGGGTTGGAGCTAGGGTTAGGGTTAGGGTTGGAGCTAGGGTTAGGGTCTGAGCTAGAGTTAGGGTTAGGGTTAGGGTTGGAGCTAGGGTTAGGGTTGGACCTAGGGTTAGGGTTAGGGTTGGAGCTAGAGCTAGGGTTAGGGTTAGGGTTAGGGTTAGGGTTGGAGCTAGGGTTAGGGTTAGGGTTGGAGTTAGGGTTAGTGTTGGAGCTAGGGTTAGGGTTGGGCTTGGAGCTAGGATTTTTCTGAGTGCAATGAACCAACTCCCGAGTCTCTAGGGCGTTCCTAAAAAAATTAGCTTTTTTCCCATAGGAATGAATGGGTTAGGGTTAGGGTTAGGGTTGGAGCTAGGGTTAGGGTTAGGGTGCGGGTTAGGGTTGAAGCTAGGGTTAGGGTTAGGGTTAGGGTTAGGGTTGGAGTTGGAGCTAGGGTTAGGGTTAGGGTTGGGTTAGGGTTAGGGTTGGAGCTAGGGTTAGGGTTAGGGTTGGAGCTAGGGTTAGGGTCTGAGCTAGAGCTAGGGTTAGGGTTAGGGTTGGAGCTAGGGTTAGGGTTAGGGTTGGAGCTAGGGTTAGGGTTGGAGCTAGGGTTAGGGTTAGGGTTGGGTTAGGGTTAGGGTGTGAGCAACAGTTAGGGTTAGGGTTGGAGCTAGGGTTAGGGTTAGGGTTGGAGCTAGTGTTAGGGTTGGAGCTAGAGCTAGGGTTAGGGTTAATGTTGGAGCTAGGGTTAGGGTTAGGGTTAGGGTTGGAGCTAGGGTTAGGGTTAGGGTTGGAGCTAGGGTTAGGGTTAGGGTTGGAGCTAGGGTTAGGGTTAAGGTCTGAGCTAGAGTTAGGGTTAGGGTTAGGGTTGGAGCTAGGGTTAGGGTTGGACCTAGGGTTAGGGTTAGGGTTGGAGCTAGAGCTAGGGTTAGGGTTAGGGTTAGGGTTGGAGCTAGGGTTAGGGTTAGCGTTAGGGTTGGAGCTAGGGTTAGGGTTAGGGTTAGGGTTGGAGCTAGGGTTAGGGTTAGGGTTAGGGTTGGAGCTAGGGTTAGGGTTAGGGTTGGACCTAGGGTTAGGGTTAGGGTTAGGGTTGGAGCTAGAGCTAGGGTTAGGGTTGGAGCTAGGGTTAGGGTTAGGGTTAGGGTTGGAGCTAGGGTTAGGGTTAGGGTTGGAGCTAGGGTTAGGGTTAGGGTTGGAGCTAGGGTTAGGGTTGGAGCTAGAGTTAGGGTTAGGGTTAGGGTTGGAGCTAGGGTTAGGGTTGGACCTAGGGTTAGGGTTAGGGTTGGAGCTAGAGCTAGGGTTAGGGTTAGGGTTAGGGTTGGAGCTAGGGTTAGGGTTAGGGTTAGGGTTGGAGCTAGGGTTAGGGTTAGGGTTGGATCTAGGGTTAGGGTTAGGGTTGGAGCTAGAGCTAGGGTTAGGGTTGGAGCTAGGGTTAGGGTTAGGGTTAGGGTTGGAGCTAGGGTTAGGGTTAGGGTTGGACCTAGGGTTAGGGTTAGGGTTAGGGTTGGAGCTAGAGCTAGGGTTAGGGTTGGAGCTAGGGTTAGGGTTAGGGTTAGGGTTGGAGCTAGGGTTAGGGTTAGGGTTGGAGCTAGGGTTAGGGTCTGAGCTAGAGTTAGGGTTAGGGTTAGGGTTGGAGCTAGGGTTAGGGTTGGACCTAGGGTTAGGTTTAGGGTTAGGGTTGGAGCTAGAGCTAGGGTTAGGGTTAGGGTTAGGGTTTGACCTAGGGTTAGGGTTAGGGTTAGGGTTGGAGCTGGGGTTAGGGTTAGGGTTAGGGTTAGGGTTGGAGCTAGGGTTAGGGTTAGAGTTAGGGTTGGAGCTAGGGTTAGGGTTAGGGTTACGGTTGAAGCTAGGGTTAGGGTTGGAGTTGGAGCTAGGGTTAGGGTTAGGGTTGGGTTAGGGTTAGGGTTGGAGCTAGGGTTAGGGTTAGGGTTGGAGCTAGGGTTAGGGTTAGGGTTGGAGCTAGGGTTAGGGTTGGAGCTAGGGTTAGGGTTGGGTTAGGGTTAGGGTGTGAGCAACAGTTAGGGTTAGGGTTGGAGCTTGGGTTAGGGTTAGGGTTGGAGCTAGTGTTAGGGTTGGAGCTAGAGCTAGGGTTAGGGTTAGGGTTGGAGCTAGGGTTAGGGTTAGGGTTAGGGTTGGAGCTAGAGCTAGGGTTAGGGTTAGGGTTGGAGCTAGGGTTGGAGCTAGGGTTAGGGTTGGAGCTAGGGTTAGGGTTAGGGTTGGACCTAGGGTTAGGGTTAGGGTTAGGGTTGGAGCTAGAGCTAGGGTTAGGGTTAGGGTTAGGGTTGGAGCTAGGGTTAGGGTTAGGGTTAGGGTTGGAGCTAGAGCTAGGGTTAGGGTTAGGGTTGGAGCTAGGGTTAGGGTTAGGGTTAGGGTTGGAGCTAGGGTTAGGGTTAGGGTTGGACCTAGGGTTAGGGTTAGGGTTGGAGCTAGAGCTAGGGTTAGGGTTAGGGTTGGAGCTAGGGTTAGGGTCTGAGCTAGAGTTAGGGTTAGGGTTAGGGTTGGAGCTAGGGTTAGGGTTGGAGCTAGGGTTAGGGTTAGGGTTGGAGCTAGAGCTAGGGTTAGGGTTAGGGTTAGGGTTGGAGCTAGGGTTAGGGTTAGGGTTAGGGTTGGAGTTAGGGTTAGTGTTGGAGCTAGGGTTAGGGTTGGGCTTGGAGCTAGGATTTTTCTGAGTGCAATGAACCAACTCCCGAGTCTCTAGGGCGTTCCTAAAAAAATTTGATTTTTTCCCATAGGAATGAATGGGTTAGGGTTAGGGTTAGGGTTGGAGCTAGGGTTAGGGTTAGGGTTAGGGTTAGGGTTGAAGCTAGGGTTAGGGTTAGGGTTAGGGTTGGAGTTGGAGCTAGGGTTAGGGTTAGGGTTGGGTTAGGGTTAGGGTTGGAGCTAGGGTTAGGGTCTGAGCTAGAGCTAGGGTTAGGGTTAGGGTTGGAGCTAGGGTTAGGGTTAGGGTTAGGGTTAGGGTTGGAGCTAGGGTTAGGGTTAGGGTTGGAGCTAGGGTTAGGGTTAGGGTTGGATATAGGGTTAGTGTTGGAGCTAGGGTTAGGGTTGGGCTTGGAGCTAGGATTTTTCTGAGTGCAATGAACAAACTCCCGAGTCTCTAGGGCGTTCCTAAAAAAATTTGATTTTTTCCCATAGGAATGAATGGGTTAGGGTTAGGGTTAGGGTTGGAGCTAGGGTTAGGGTTAGGGTTAGGGTTAGGGTTGAAGCTAGGGTTAGGGTTAGGGTTAGGGTTGGAGTTGGAGCTAGGGTTAGGGTTAGGGTTGGGTTAGGGTTAGGGTTGGAGCTAGGGTTAGGGTCTGAGCTAGAGCTAGGGTTAGGTTTAGGGTTGGAGCTAGGGTTAGGGTTAGGGTTAGGGTTAGGGTTGGAGCTAGGGTTAGGGTTAGGGTTGGAGCTAGGGTTAGGGTTAGGGTTGGGTTAGGGTTAGGGTGTGAGCAACAGTTAGGGTTAGGGTTGGAGCTAGGGTTAGGGTTAGGGTTGGAGCTAGTGTTAGGGTTGGAGCTAGAGCTAGGGTTAGGGTTAAGGTTGGAGCTAGGGTTAGGGTTAGGGTTAGGGTTGGAGCTAGGGTTAGGGTTAGGGTTGGAGCTAGGGTTAGGGTTAGGATTAGGGTTGGAGCTAGGGTTAGGGTTAGGGTTAGGGTTGGAGCTAGGGTTAGGGTTAGGGTTAGGGTTGGAGCTAGGGTTAGGGTTAGGGTTGGAGCTAGGGTTAGGGTTAGGGTTAGGGTTGGAGCTAGAGCTAGGGTTAGGGTTAGGGTTGGAGCTAGGGTTAGGGTTAGGGTTAGGGTTGGAGCTAGGGTTAGGGTTAGAGTTGGAGCTAGGGTTAGGGTTAGGGTTAGGGTTGGAGCTAGAGCTAGGGTTAGGGTTGGAGCTAGGGTTAGGGTTAGGGTTAGGGTTGGAGCTAGGGTTAGGGTTAGGGTTGGAGCTAGGGTTAGTGTCTGAGCTAGAGTTAGGGTTAGGGTTAGGGTTGGAGCTAGGGTTAGGGTTGGAACTAGGGTTAGGTTTAGGGTTAGGGTTGGAGCTAGAGCTAGGGTTAGGGTTAGGGTTAGGGTTTGAGCTAGGGTTAGGGTTAGGGTTAGGGTTGGAGCTGGGGTTAGGGTTAGGGTTAGGGTTGGAGCTAGGGTTAGGGTTAGAGTTAGGGTTGGAGCTAGGGTTAGGGTTAGGGTTAGGGTTGAAGCTAGGGTTAGGGTTGGAGTTGGAGCTAAGGTTAGGGTTAGGGTTGGGTTAGGGTTAGGGTTGGAGCTAGGGTTAGGATTAGGGTTGGAGCTAGGGTTAGGGTTAGGGTTGGAGCTAGGGTTAGGGTTGGAGCTAGGGTTAGGGTTAGGGTTGGAGCTAGGGTTGGGTTAGGGTTAGGGTGTGAGCAACAGTTAGGGTTAGGGTTGGAGCTAGGGTTAGGGTTAGGGTTGGATCTAGTGTTAGGGTTGGAGCTAGAGCTAGGGTTAGGGTTAAGGTTGGAGCTAGGGTTAGGGTTAGGGTTAGGGTTGGAGCTAGAGCTAGGGTTAGGGTTAGGGTTAGGGTTGGAGCTAGGGTTAGGGTTAGGGTTGGAGCTAGGGTTAGGGTTAGGGTTAGGGTTGGAGCTAGAGCTAGGGTTAGGGTTAGGGTTGGAGCTAGGGTTGGAGCTAGGGTTAGGGTTGGAGCTAGGGTTAGGGTTAGGGTTGGACCTAGGGTTAGGGTTAGGGTTAGGGTTGGAGCTAGAGCTAGGGTAAGGGTTAGGGTTGGAGCTAGGGTTAGGGTTAGGGTTAGGGTTGGAGCTAGGGTTAGGGTTAGGGTTGGAGCTAGGGTTAGGGTCTGAGCTAGAGTTAGGGTTAGGGTTGGAGCTAGGGTTAGGGTTGGAGCTAGGGTTAGGGTTAGGGTTAGGGTTGGAGCTAGGGTTAGGGTTAGGGTTAGGGTTGAAGCTAGGGTTAGGGTTAGGGTTAGGGTTGGAGTTGGAGCTAGGGTTAGGGTTAGGGTTAGGGTTAGGGTTGGAGCTAGGGTTAGGGTTAGGGTTGGAGCTAGGGTTAGGGTTAGGGTTGGAGCTAGAGCTAGGGTTAGGGTTAGGGTTGGACCTAGGGTTAGGGTTAGGGTTAGGGTTGGAGCTAGGGTTAGGGTTAGGGTTGGAGCTAGGGTTGGAGCTAGGGTTAGGGTTGGAGCTAGGGTTAGGGTTGGACCTAGGGTTAGGGTTAGGGTTAGGGTTGGAGCTAGAGCTAGGGTTAGGGTTAGGGTTGGAGCTAGGGTTAGGGTTAGGGTTGGAGCTAGGGTTCGGGTTGGAGCTAGGGTTAGGGTTGGACCTAGGGTTAGGGTTAGGGTTAGGGTTGGAGCTAGAGCTAGGGTTAGGGTTAGGGTTGGAGCTAGGGTTAGGGTTAGGGTTAGGGTTGGAGCTAGGGTTAGGGTTGGAGCTAGGGTTAGGGTTGGACCTAGGGTTAGGGTTAGGGTTGGAGCTAGAGCTAGGGTTAGGGTTAGGGCTAGGGTTAGGGTTGGAGCTAGGGTTAGGGTTAGGGTTGGAGTTGGGTTAGGGTTAGGGTTAGGGTTGGAGCTAGGGTAGGGTTAGGGTTAGAGTTAGGGTTGGAGCTAGGGTTAGGGTTAGGGTTAGGGTTGGAGCTAGAGCTAGGGTTAGGGTTGGAGCTAGGGTTACGGTTGGAGCTAGGGTTAGGGTTAGGATTAGGGTTGGAGCTAGGGTTAGGGTTAGGGTCAGGGTTGAAGCTAGGGTTAGGGTTAGGGTTAGGGTTAGGGTTGGAGTTGGAGCTAGGGTTAGGGTTAGGGTTGGGTTAGGGTTGGAGCTAGGGTTAGGGTTAGGGTTGGAGCTAGGGTTAGGGTTAGGGTTAGGGTTAGGGTTAGGGTTGGAGCTAGCGTTAGGGTTAGGGTTGGAGCTAGGGTTAGGGTTAGGGTTGGGTTAGGGTTAGGGTTTGAGCAACAGTTAGGGTTAGGGTTGGAGCTAGGGTTAGGGTTAGGGTTGGAGCTAGTGTTAGGGTTGGAGCTAGAGCTAGGGTTAGGGTTAAGGTTGGAGCTAGGGTTAGGGTTAGGGTTAGGGTTGGAGCTAGGGTTAGGGTTAGGGTTGGAGTTAGGGTTAGGGTTGGAGCTAGGGTTAGGGTTAGGGTTAGGGTTGGAGCTAGGGTTAGGGTTAGGGTTGGAGCTAGGGTTAGGGTTAGGGTTGGAGCTAGGGTTAGGGTTAGGGTTAGGGTTAGGGTTGGAGCTAGGGTTAGGGTTAGGGTTGGAGCTAGGGTTAGGGTTAGGGTTAGGGTTGGAGCTAGGGTTAGAGTTAGGGTTGGACCTAGGGTTAGGGTTAGGGTTAGGGTTGGAGCTAGAGCTAGGGTTAGGTTTGGAGCTAGGGTTAGGGTTGGACCTAGGGTTAGGGTTAGGGTTAGGGTTGGAGCTAGAGCTAGGGTTAGGGTTGGAGGTAGGGTTAGGGTTCGCGTTAGGGTTGGAGCTAGGGTTAGGGTTAGGGTTGGAGCTAGGGTTAGGGTCTGAGCTAGAGTTAGGGTTAGGGTTAGGGTTGGAGCTAGGGTTAGGGTTGGACCTAGGGTTAGGTTTAGGGTTAGGGTTGGAGCTAGAGCTAGGGTTAGGGTTAGGGTTTGAGCTAGGGTTAGGGTTAGGGTTAGGGTTTGAGCTGGGGTTAGGGTTAGGGTTAGGGTTAGGGTTGGAGCTAGGGTTAGGGTTAGAGTTAGGGTTGGAGCTAGGGTTAGGGTTAGGGTTAGGGTTGAAGCTAGGGTTAGGGTTGGAGTTGGAGCTAGGGCTAGGGTTAGGGTTGGGTTAGGGTTAGGGTTGGAGCTAGGGTTAGGGTTAGGGTTGGAGCTAGGGTTAGGGTTGGAGCTAGGGTTAGGGTTAGGGTTGGAGCTAGGGTTAGGGTTAGGGTTGGAGCTAGGGTTAGGGTTGGGTAAGGGTTAGGGTGTGAGCAACAGTTAGGGTTAGGGTTGGAGCTAGGGTTAGGGTTAGGGTTGGAGCTAGTGTTAGGGTTGGAGCTAGAGCTAGGGTTAGGGTTAAGGTTGGAGCTAGGGTTAGGGTTAGGGTTAGGGTTAGGGTTGGAGCTAGGGTTAGGGTTAGGGTTGGAGCTAGCGTTAGGGTTAGAGTTAGGGTTAGGGTTGGAGCTAGGGTTAGGGTTAGGGTTGGAGCTAGGGTTAGGGTTAGGGTTAGGGTTGGAGCTAGAGCTAGGGTTAGGGTTAGGGTTGGAGCTAGGGTTGGAGCTAGGGTTAGGGTTGGAGCTAGGGTTAGGGTTGGACCTAGGGTTAGGGTTAGGGTTAGGGTTGGAGCTAGAGCTAGGGTTAGGGTTAGGGTTGGAGCTAGGGTTAGGGTTAGGGTTAGGGTTGGAGCTAGGGTTAGGGTTAGGGTTGGAGCTAGGGTTAGGGTCTGAGCTAGAGTTAGGGTTAGGGTTAGGGTTGGAGCTAGGGTTAGGGTTGGACCTAGGGTTAGGGTTAGGGTTGGAGCTAGAGCTAGGGTTAGGGTTAGGGCTAGGGTTAGGGTTGGAGCTAGGGTTAGGGTTAGGGTTGGAGTTGGGTTAGTGTTAGGGTTAGGGTTGGAGCTAGGGTAGGGTTAGAGTTAGGGTTGGACCTAGGGTACGGGTTAGGGTTAGGGTTGGAGCTAGAGCTAGGGTTAGGGTTAGGGTTGGAGCTAGGGTTGGGGTTAGGGTTGGAGCTAGGGTTAGGGTTAGGGTTGGAGCTAGGGTTAGGGTTAGGATTAGGGTTGGAGCTAGGGTTAGGGTTGGAGCTAGGGTTAGGGTTAGGGTTGGAGCTAGGGTTAGGGTTGGAGCTAGGGTTAGGGTTAGGGTTAGGGTTAGGGTTTGATCTAGGGTTAGGGTTAGGGTTAGGGTTGGAGCTAGAGCTAGGGTTAGGGTTGGAGCTAGGGTTAGGGTTAGGGTTAGGGTTGGAGCTAGGGTTAGGGTTGGACCTAGGGTTAGGGTTAGGGTTGGAGTTAGAGCTAGGGTTAGGGTTGGAGCTAGGGTTAGGGTTAGGGTTAGGGTTGGAGCTAGGGTTAGGGTTAGGGTTGGAGCTAGGGTTAGGGTCTGAGCTAGAGTTAGGGTTAGGGTTGGAGCTAGGGTTAGGGTTAGGGTTAGGGTTGGAGCTAGAGCTAGGGTTAGGGTTGGAGCTAGGGTTAGGGTTAGGGTTGGAGCTAGGGTTAGGGTTAGGGTTGGACCTAGGGTTAGGGTTAGGGTTAGGGTTGGAGCTAGAGCTAGGGTTAGGGTTGGAGCTAGGGTTAGGGTTAGGGTTGGAGCTAGGGTTAGGGTTAGGGTTGGAGCTAGGGTTAGGGTCTGAGCTAGAGTTAGGGTTAGGGTTGGAGCTAGGGTTAGGGTTGGAGCTAGGGTTAGGGTTAGGGTTAGGGTTGGAGCTAGGGTTAGGGTTAGGGTTAGGGTTGAAGCTAGGGTTAGGGTTAGGGTTAGGGTTAGGGTTGGAGTTGGAGCTAGGGTTAGGGTTGGGTTAGGGTTGGAGCTAGGGTTAGGGTTAGGGTTGGAGCTAGGGTTAGGGTTAGGGTTAGGGTTAGGGTTGGAGCTAGCGTTAGGGTTAGGGTTGGAGCTAGGGTTAGGGTTAGGGTTGGGTTAGGGTTAGGGTGTGAGCAACAGTTAGGGTTAGGGTTGGAGCTAGGGTTAGGGTTAGGGTTGGAGCTAGTGTTAGGGTTGGAGCTAGAGCTAGGGTTAGGGTTAAGGTTGGAGCTAGGGTTAGGGTTAGGGTTAGGGTTGGAGCTAGGGTTAGGGTTAGGGTTGGAGCTAGGGTTAGGGTTAGGATTAGGGTTGGAGCTAGGGATAGGGTTAGGGTTAGGGTTGGAGCTAGGGTTAGGGTTAGGGTTGGAGCTAGGGTTAGGGTTAGGGTTGGAGCTAGGGTTAGGGTTAGGGTTAGGGTTGGAGCTAGAGCTAGGGTTAGGGTTAGGGTTGGAGCTAGGGTTAGGGTTAGGGTTAGGGTTGGAGCTAGGGTTAGGGTTAGGGTTGGAGCTAGGGTTAGGGTTAGGGTTAGGGTTGGAGCTAGGGTTAGGGTTGGAGCTAGGGTTAGGGTTAGGGTTGGACCTAGGGTTAGGGTTAGGGTTAGGGTTGGAGCTAGAGCTAGGGTTAGGGTTGGAGGTAGGGTTAAGGTTAGCGTTAGGGTTGGAGCTAGGGTTAGGGTTAGGGTTGGAGCTAGGGTTAGGGTCTGAGCTAGAGTTAGGGTTAGGGTTAGGGTTGGAGCTAGGGTTAGGGTTGGACCTAGGGTTAGGTTTAGGGTTAGGGTTGGAGCTAGAGCTAGGGTTAGGGTTAGGGTTTGAGCTAGGGTTAGGGTTAGGGTTAGGGTTGGAGCTGGGGTTAGGGTTAGGGTTAGGGTTAGGGTTGGAGCTAGGGTTAGGGTTAGAGTTAGGGTTGGAGCTAGGGTTAGGGTTAGGGTTAGGGTTGAAGCTAGGGTTAGGGTTGGAGTTTGAGCTAGGGTTAGGGTTAGGGTTAGGGTTAGGGTTAGGGTTGGAGCTAGAGCTAGGGTTAGGGTTAGGGTTGGAGCTAGGGTTAGGGTTAGGGTTAGGGTTGGAGCTAGGGTTAGGGTTAGGGTTGGACCTAGGGTTAGGGTTAGGGTTAGGGTTGGAGCTAGAGCTAGGGTTAGGGTTGGAGCTAGGGTTAGGGTTAGGGTTGGACCTAGGGTTAGGGTTAGGGTTAGGGTTGGAGCTAGAGCTAGGGTTAGGGTTGGAGGTAGGGTTAGGGTTCGCGTTAGGGTTGGAGCTAGGGTTAGGGTTAGGGTTGGAGCTAGGGTTAGGGTCTGAGCTAGAGTTAGGGTTAGGGTTAGGGTTGGAGCTAGGGTTAGGGTTGGACCTAGGGTTAGGTTTAGGGTTAGGGTTGGAGCTAGAGCTAGGGTTAGGGTTAGGGTTTGAGCTAGGGTTAGGGTTAGGGTTAGGGTTGGAGCTGGGGTTAGGGTTAGGGTTAGGGTTAGGGTTGGAGCTAGGGTTAGGGTTAGAGTTAGGGTTGGAGCTAGGGTTAGGGTTAGGGTTAGGGTTGAACCTAGGGTTAGGGTTGGAGTTGGAGCTAGGGTTAGGGTTAGGGTTGGGTTAGGGTTAGGGTTGGAGCTAGGGTTAGGGTTAGGGTTGGAGCTAGGGTTAGGGTTGGAGCTAGGGTTAGGGTTAGGGTTGGAGCTAGGGTTAGGGTTGGGTAAGGGTTAGGGTGTGAGCAACAGTTAGGGTTAGGGTTGGAGCTAGGGTTAGGGTTAGGGTTGGAGCTAGTGTTAGGGTTGGAGCTAGAGCTAGGGTTAGGGTTAAGGTTGGAGCTAGGGTTAGGGTTAGGGTTAGGGTTGGAGCTAGGGTTAGGGTTAGGGTTGGAGCTAGGGTTAGGGTTAGGGTTAGGGTTAGGGTTAGGGTTGGAGCTAGGGTTAGGGTTAGAGTTAGGGTTGGAGCTAGGGTTAGGGTTAGGGTTAGGGTTGAACCTAGGGTTAGGGTTGGAGTTGGAGCTAGGGTTAGAGTTAGGGTTGGGTTAGGGTTAGGGTTGGAGCTAGGGTTAGGGTTAGGGTTGGAGCTAGGGTTAGGGTTGGAGCTAGGGTTAGGGTTAGGGTTGGAGCTAGGGTTAGGGTTAGGGTTTGAGCTAGGGTTAGGGTTGGGTAAGGGTTAGGGTGTGAGCAACAGTTAGGGTTAGGGTTGGAGCTAGGGTTAGGGTTAGGGTTGGAGCTAGTGTTAGGGTTGGAGCTAGAGCTAGGGTTAGGGTTAAGGTTGGAGCTAGGGTTAGGGTTAGGGTTAGGGTTGGAGCTAGGGTTAGGGTTAGGGTTGGAGCTAGGGTTAGGGTTAGGGTTAGGGTTAGGGTTAGGGTTGGAGCTAGGGTTAGGGTTAGGGTTGGAGCTAGGGTTAGGGTTAGGGTTAGGGTTGGAGCTAGAGCTAGGGTTAGGGTTAGGGTTGGAGCTAGGGTTAGGGTTGGAGCTAGGGTTAGGGTTAGGGTTGGAGCTAGGGTTAGGGTTAGGGTTAGGGTTGGAGCTAGAGCTAGGGTTAGGGTTAGGGTTGGAGCTAGGGTTAGGGTTAGGGTTGGAGCTAGGGTTAGGGTTAGGGTTGGAGCTAGGGTTAGGGTCTGAGCTAGAGTTAGGGTTAGGGTTAGGGTTGGAGTTAGGGTTAGGGTTGGAGCTAGGGTTAGGGTAAGGGTTAGGGTTGGAGCTAGAGCTAGGGTTAGGGTTAGGGTTGGAGCTAGGGTTAGGGTTAGGGTTAGGGTTGGAGCTAGGGTTAGGGTTAGGGTTGGACCTCGGGTTAGGGTTAGGGTTGGAGCTAGAGCTAGGGTTAGGGTTAGGGTTGGAGCTAGGGTTAGGGTTGGAGCTAGGGTTAGGGTTAGGGTTGGAGCTAGGGTTAGGGTTGGAGCTAGGGTTAGGGTTGGAGCTAGGGTTAGGGTTAGGGTTAGGGTTGGAGCTAGGGTTAGGGTTGGAGCTAGGGTTAGGGTTAGGGTTAGGGTTAGGGTTGGAGCTAGGGTTAGGGTTGGAGCTAGGGTTAGGGTTAGGGTTAGGGTTGGAGTTAGGGTTAGTGTTGGAGCTAGGGTTAGGGTTGGGCTTGGAGCTAGGATTTTTCTGAGTGCAATAAACCAACTCCCGAGTCTCTAGGACGTTCCTAAAAAAAATTGATTTTTTTCCCATAGGAATGCATGGGTTAGGGTTAGGGTTAGGGTTGGAGCTAGGGTTAGGGTTAGGGTTAGGGTTGGAGTTAGGGTTAAGTGTTGGAGCTAGGGTTAGGGTTGGGCTTGGAGCTAGGATTTTTCTGAGTGCAATGAACCATCTCCCGAGTCTCTAGGACGTTCCTAAAAAAATTTGATTTTTTCCCATAGGAATGCATGGGTTAGGGTTAGGGTTAGGGTTGGAGCTAGGGTTAGGGTTAGGGTTAGGGTTGGAGTTAGGGTTAGTGTTGGAGCTAGGGTTAGGGTTGGGCTTGGAGCTAGGATTTTTCTGAGTGCAATGAACCAACTCCCGAGTCTCTAGGACGTTCCTAAAAAAATTTGATTTTTTCCCATAGGAATGCATGGGTTAGGGTTAGGGTTAGGGTTGGAGCTAGGGTTAGGGTTAGGGTTAGGGTTGGAGTTAGGGTAAGTGTTGGAGCTAGGGTTAGGGTTGGGCTTGGAGCTAGGATTTTTCTGAGTGCAATGAACCAACTCCCGAGTCTCTAGGACGTTCCTAAAAAAATTTGATTTTTTCCCATAGGAATGCATGGGTTAGGGTTAGGGTTAGGGTTGGAGCTAGGGTTAGGGTTAGGGTTAGGGTTAGGGTTGAAGCTAGGGTTAGGGTTAGGGTTAGGGTTGGAGTTGGAGCTAGGGTTAGGGTTAGGGTTGGGTTAGGGTTAGGGTTGGAGCTAGGGTTAGGGTTAGGGTTGGAGCTAGGGTTGGAGCTAGGGTTAGGGTTAGGGTTAAGGTTGGAGCTAGGGTTAGGGTTAGGGTTGGAGCTAGAGCTAGGGTTAGGGTTAGGGTTGGAGCTAGGGTTAGGGTTAGGGTTGGGTTAGGGTTAGGGTGTGAGCAACAGTTAGGGTTAGGGTTAGGGTTGGAGCTAGGGTTAGGGTTAGGGTTGGAGCTAGGGTTAGGATTGGAGCTAGAGCTAGGGTTAGGGTTAAGGTTGGAGCTAGGGTTAGGGTTAGGGTTGGAGCTAGGGTTAGGGTTAGGATTGGAGCTAGGGTTAGGGTTAGGGTTAGGGTTGGAGCTAGGGTTAGGGTTAGGGTTGGAGCTAGGGTTAGGGTTAGGATTGGAGCTAGGGTTAGGGTTAGGGTTAGGATTAGGGTTGGAGCTAGGGTTAGGGTTAGGGTTAGGGTTGGAGCTAGAGCTAGGGTTAGGGTTAGGGTTGGAGCTAGGGTTAGGGTTGGAGCTAGGGTTAGGGTTAGGGTTGGAGCTAGGGTTAGGGTTAGGGTTAGGGTTGGAGCTAGAGCTAGGGTTAGGGTTAGGGTTGGAGCTAGGGTTAGGGTTAGGGTTGGAGCTAGGGTTAGGGTTAGGGTTGGAGCTAGGGTTAGGGTCTGAGCTAGAGTTAGGGTTAGGGTTAGGGTTGGAGTTAGGGTTAGGGTTGGAGCTAGGGTTAGGGTAAGGGTTAGGGTTGGAGCTAGAGCTAGGGTTAGGGTTAGGGTTGGAGCTAGGGTTAGGGTTAGGGTTAGGGTTGGAGCTAGGGTTAGGGTTAGGGTTGGACCTCGGGTTAGGGTTAGGGTTGGAGCTAGAGCTAGGGTTAGGGTTAGGGTTGGAGCTAGGGTTAGGGTTAGGGTTAGGGTTAGGGTTGGAGCTAGGGATAGGGTTAGGGTTAGGGTTGGAGCTAGGGTTAGGGTTAGGGTTAGAGTTATGGTTGGAGCTAGGGTTAGGGTTAGGGTTGGAGCTAGAGCTAGGGTTAGGGTTAGGGTTGGAGCTAGGGTTGGGGTTAGGGTTGGAGCTAGGGTTAGGGTTAGGGTTGGAGCTAGGGTTAGGGTTAGGGTTAGGGTTGGAGCTAGGGTTAGGGTTGGAGCTAGGGTTAGGGTTAGGGTTGGAGCTAGGGTTAGGGTTGGAGCTAGGGTTAGGGTTAGGGTTAGGGTTAGGGTTGGAGCTAGGGTTAGGGTTAGGGTTAGGGTTGGAGCTAGGGTTAGGGTTAGGGTTGGAGCTAGGGTTAGGGTCTGAGCTAGAGTTAGGGTTAGGGTTAGGGTTGAAGCTAGGGTTAGGGTTAGGGTTAGGGTTGGAGCTAGGGTTAGGGTTAGGGTTGGAGCTAGGGTTAGGGTTACGGTTAGGGTTGGAGTTAGGGTTAGTGTTGGAGCTAGGGTTAGGGTTGGAGCTAGGGTTAGGGTTAGGGTTGGAGCTAGGGTTAGGGTTAGGGTTGGGTTAGGGTTAGGGTGTGAGCAACAGTTAGGGTTAGGATTGGAGCTAGGGTTAGGGTTAGGGTTGGAGCTAGAGCTAGTGTTAGGGTTAAGGTTGGAGCTAGGGTTAGGGTTAGGGTTGGACCTAGGGTTAGGGTTAGGGTTGGAGCTAGGGTTAGGATTAGGGTTGGAGCTAGGGTTAGGGTTAGGGTTAGGGTTGGAGCTAGGGTTAGGGTTAGGGTTAGGGTTGGAGCTAGGGTAAGGGTTAGGGTTGGAGCTAGGGTTAGGGTTAGGTTTGGAGCTAGGGTTACGGTTAGGGCTGGAGCTAGGGTTAGGGTTAGGGTTGGGTTAGGGTTAGGGTGTGAGCAACAGTTAGGGTTAGGATTGGAGCTAGGGTTAGGGTTAGGGTTGGAGCTAGAGCTAGTGTTAGGGTTAAGGTTGGAGCTAGGGTTAGGGTTAGGGTTGGACCTAGGGTTAGGGTTAGGGTTGGAGCTAGGGTTAGGATTAGGGTTGGAGCTAGCGTTAGGGTTAGGGTTAGGGTTGGAGCTAGGGTTAGGGTTAGGGTTAGGGTTGGAGCTAGGGTAAGGGTTAGGGTTGGAGCTAGGGTTAGGGTTAGGTTTGGAGCTAGGGTTACGGTTAGGGTTGGAGCTAGGGTTAGGGTTAGGGTTGGAGCTAGGGTTAGGGTTAGGGTTGGAGCTAGGGTTAGGGTTGGGTTAGGGTTAGGGTGTGAGCAACAGTTAGGGTTAGGGTTGGAGCTAGGGTTAGGGTTAGGGTTGGAGCTAGTGTTAGGGTTGGAGCTAGAGCTAGGGTTAGGGTTAGGGTTGGAGCTAGGGTTAGGGTTAGGGTTAGGGTTGGAGCTAGAGCTAGGGTTAGGGTTAGGGTTGGAGCTAGGGTTGGAGCTAGGGTTAGGGTTGGAGCTAGGGTTAGGGTTAGGGTTGGACCTAGGGTTAGGGTTAGGGTTAGGGTTGGAGCTAGAGCTAGGGTTAGGGTTAGGGTTGGAGCTAGGGTTAGGGTTAGGGTTAGGGTTGGAGCTAGGGTTAGGGTTGGAGCTAGGGTTAGGGTCTGAGCTAGAGTTAGGGTTAGGGTTAGGGTTGGAGCTAGGGTTAGGGTTGGAGCTAGGGTTAGGGTTAGGGTTAGGGTTGGAGCTAGGGTTAGGGTTAGGGTTAGGGTTGGAGCTAGAGCTAGGGTTAGGGTTAGGGTTGGAGCTAGGGTTAGGGTTAGGGTTAGGGTTGGAGCTAGGGTTAGGGTTAGGGTTGGACCTAGGGTTAGGGTTAGGGTTGGAGCTAGAGCTAGGGTTAGGGTTAGGGTTGGAGCTAGGGTTAGGGTTAGGGTTAGGGTTGGAGCTAGGGTTAGGGTTAGGGTTGGAGCTAGGGTTAGGGTCTGAGCTAGAGTTAGGGTTAGGGTTAGGGTTGGAGCTAGGGTTAGAGTTGGACCTAGGGTTAGGGTTAGGGTTGGAGCTAGAGCTAGGGTTAGGGTTAGGGTTAGGGTTGGAGCTAGGGTTAGGGTTAGGGTTAGGGTTGGAGTTAGGGTTAGTGTTGGAGCTAGGGTTAGGGTTGGGCTTGGAGCTAGGATTTTTCTGAGTGCAATGAACCAACTCCCGAGTCTCTAGGGCGTTCCTAAAAAAATTAGATTTTTTCCCCGTAGGAATGAATGGGTTAGGGTTAGGGTTAGGGTTAGGGTTGGAGCTAGGGTTAGGGTTAGGGTTACGGTTAGGGTTGAAGCTAGGGTTAGGGTTAGGGTTAGGGTTAGAGTTGGAGTTGGAGCTAGGGTTAGGGTTAGGGTTGGGTTAGGGTTAGGGTTGGAGCTAGGGTTAGGGTTGGAGCTAGGGTTAGGGTTACGGTTAGGGTTGGAGTTAGGGTTAGTGTTGGAGCTAGGGTTAGGGTTGGAGCTAGGGTTAGGGTTGGAGCTAGGGTTAGGGTTAGGGTTGGGTTAGGGTTGGGTTAGGGTTAGGGTGTGAGCAACAGTTAGGGTTAGGGTTGGAGCTAGGGTTAGGGTTAGGGTTGGAGCTAGTGTTAGGGTTGGAGCTAGAGATCGGGTTAGGGTTAAGGTTGGAGCTAGGGTTAGGGTTAGGGTTAGGGTTGGAGCTAGGGTTAGGGTTAGGGTTGAAGCTAGGGTTAGGGTTAGGATTAGGGTTGGAGCTAGGGTTAGGGTTAGGGTTAGGGTTGGAGCTAGGGTTAGGGTTAGGGTTAGGGTTGGAGCTAGGGTTAGGGTTAGGGTTGGACCTAGGGTTAGGGTTAGGGTTAGGGTTGGAGCTAGAGCTAGGGTTAGGGTTAGGGTTGGAGCTAGGGTTAGGGTTGGAGCTAGGGTTAGGGTTAGGGTTGGAGCTAGGGTTAGGGTTAGGGTTAGGGTTGGAGCTAGGGTTAGGGTTAGGGTTAGGGTTGGAGCTAGGGTTAGGGTTAGGGTTGGAGCTAGGGTTAGGGTCTGAGCTAGAGTTAGGGTTAGGGTTAGGGTTGGAGCTAGGGTTAGAGTTGGACCTAGGGTTAGGGTTAGGGTTGGAGCTAGAGCTAGGGTTAGGGTTAGGGTTAGGGTTGGAGCTAGGGTTAGGGTTAGGGTTAGGGTTGGAGTTAGGGTTAGTGTTGGAGCTAGGGTTAGGGTTGGGCTTGGAGCTAGGATTTTTCTGAGTGCAATGAACCAACTCCCGAGTCTCTAGGGCGTTCCTAAAAAAATTAGATTTTTTCCCCGTAGGAATGAATGGGTTAGGGTTAGGGTTAGGGTTAGGGTTGGAGCTAGGGTTAGGGTTAGGGTTACGGTTAGGGTTGAAGCTAGGGTTAGGGTTAGGGTTAGGGTTAGAGTTGGAGTTGGAGCTAGGGTTAGGGTTAGGGTTGGGTTAGGGTTAGGGTTGGAGCTAGGGTTAGGGTTGGAGCTAGGGTTAGGGTTACGGTTAGGGTTGGAGTTAGGGTTAGTGTTGGAGCTAGGGTTAGGGTTGGAGCTAGGGTTAGGGTTGGAGCTAGGGTTAGGGTTAGGGTTGGGTTAGGGTTGGGTTAGGGTTAGGGTGTGAGCAACAGTTAGGGTTAGGGTTGGAGCTAGGGTTAGGGTTAGGGTTGGAGCTAGTGTTAGGGTTGGAGCTAGAGCTAGGGTTAGGGTTAAGGTTGGAGCTAGGGTTAGGGTTAGGGTTAGGGTTGGAGCTAGGGTTAGGGTTAGGGTTGAAGCTAGGGTTAGGGTTAGGATTAGGGTTGGAGCTAGGGTTAGGGTTAGGGTTAGGGTTGGAGCTAGGGTTAGGGTTAGGGTTAGGGTTGGAGCTAGGGTTAGGGTTAGGGTTGGACATAGGGTTAGGGTTAGGGTTAGGGTTGGAGCTAGAGCTAGGGTTAGGGTTAGGGTTGGAGCTAGGGTTAGGGTTGGAGCTAGGGTTAGGGTTAGGGTTGGAGCTAGGGTTAGGGTTAGGATTAGGGTTGGAGCTAGGGTTAGGGTTAGGGTTAGGGTTAGGGTTGGAGCTAGGGTTAGGGTTAGGGTTAGGGTTGGAGCTAGGGTTAGGGTTAGGGTTGGAGCTAGGGTTAGGGTTAGGGTTAGGGTTGGAGCTAGAGCTAGGGTTAGGGTTAGGGTTGGAGCTAGGGTTAGGGTTAGGGTTAGGGTTGGAGCTAGGGTTAGGGTTAGGGTTGGACCTAGGGTTAGGGTTAGGGTTAGGGTTGGAGCTAGAGCTAGGGTTAGGGTTGGAGCTAGGGTTAGGGTTAGGGTTAGGGTTGGAGCTAGGGTTAGGGTTAGGGTTGGAGCTAGGGTTAGGGTCTGAGCTAGAGTTAGGGTTAGGGTTAGGGTTGGAGCTAGGGTTAGGGTTGGACCTAGGGTTAGGTTTAGGGTTAGGGTTGGAGCTAGAGCTAGGGTTAGGGTTAGGGTTAGGGTTTGAGCTAGGGTTAGGGTTAGGGTTGGAGCTGGGGTTAGGGTTAGGGTTAGAGCTAGGGTTAGGGTTAGAGTTAGGGTTGGAGCTAGGGTTAGGGTTAGGGTTGAAGCTAGGGTTAGGGTTGGAGTTGGAGCTAGGGTTAGGGTTAGGGTTGGGTTAGGGTTAGGGTTGGAGCTAGGGTTAGGGTTAGGGTTGGAGCTAGGGTTAGGGTTAGGGTTGGAGCTAGGGTTAGGGTTAGGGTTGGAGCTAGGGTTACGGTTAGGGTTGGAGCTAAGGTTTGGGTTGGGTTAGGGTTAGGGTGTGAGCAACAGTTAGGGTTAGGGTTGGAGCTAGGGTTAGGGTTAGGGTTGGAGCTAGTGTTAGGGTTGGAGCTAGAGCTAGGGTTAGGATTAAGGTTGGAGCTAGGGTTAGGGTTAGGGTTAGGGTTAGGGGTTAGGGTTAGGGTTAGGGTTAGGGGTTAGGGTTAGGGTTAGGGTTTAGGGTTAGGGTTGGAGCTAGGGTTAGGGTTAGGGTTGGAGCTAGGGTTAGGGTCTGAGCTAGAGTTAGGGTTAGGGTTGGAGCTAGGGTTAGGGTTGGACCTAGGGTTAGGGTTAGGGTTAGGGTTAGGGTTGGAGCTAGTGTTAGGGTTAGGGTTAGGGTTTAGGGTTAGGGTTGGAGCTAGGGTTAGGGTTAGGGTTGGAGCTAGGGTTAGGGTCTGAGCTAGAGTTAGGGTTAGGGTTGGAGCTAGGGTTAGGGTTGGACCTAGGGTTAGGGTTAGGGTTAGGGTTAGGGTTGGAGCTAGTGTTAGGGTTAGGGTTAGGGTTGAAGCTAGGGTTAGGGTTAGGGTTAGGGTTAGGGTTGGAGTTGGAGCTAGGGTTAGGGTTAGGGTTGGGTTAGGGTTAGGGTTGGAGCTAGGGTTAGGGTTAGGGTTGGAGCTAGGGTTAGGGTCTGAGCTAGAGTTAGGGTTAGGGTTAGGGTTGGAGCTAGGGTTAGGGTTAGGGTCAGGGTTGGACCTAGGGTTAGGGTTGGAGCTAGAGCTAGGGTTAGGGTTGGAGCTCGGGTTAGGGTTAGGGTTAGGGTTGGAGCTAGGGTTAGGGTTGGACCTAGGGTTAGGGTTAGGGTTGGAGCTAGGGTTAGGGTTGGAGCTAGGGTTAGGGTTAGGGTTAGGGTTGGAGCTAGGGTTAGGGTCTGAGCTAGAGTTAGGGTTAGGGTTAGGGTTGGAGCTAGGGTTAGGGTTAGGGTCAGGGTTGGACCTAGGGTTAGGGTTGGAGCTAGAGCTAGGGTTAGGGTTGGAGCTAGGGTTAGGGTTGGAGCTAGAGCTAGGGTTAGGGTTAAGGTTGGAGCTAGGGTTAGGGTTAAGGTTGGAGCTAGGGTTAGGGTTAGGGTTGGAGCTAGGGTTAGGGTTAGGGTTGGAGCTAGGGTTAGGGTTGGGTTAGGGTTAGGGTGTGAGCAACAGTTAGGGTTAGGGTTGGAGCTAGGGTTAGGGTTAGGGTTGGAGCTAGTGTTAGGGTTGGAGCTAGAGCTAGGGTTAGGGTTAAGGTTGGAGCTAGGGTTAGGGTTAGGGTTAGGGTTGGAGCTAGGTTTAGGGTTAGGGTTGGAGCTAGGGTTAGGGTTAGAGCTAGGGTTAGGGTTAGGGTTAGGGTTGGAGCTAGAGCTAGGGTTAGGGTTAGGGTTGGAGCTAGGGTTGGAGCTAGGGTTAGGGTTGGAGCTAGGGTTAGGGTTAGGGTTGGACCTAGGGTTAGGGTTAGGGTTAGGGTTGGAGCTAGAGCTAGGGTTAGGGTTAGGGTTGGAGCTAGGGTTAGGGTTAGGGTTAGGGTTGGAGCTAGGGTTAGGGTTAGGGTTGGAGCTAGGGTTAGGGTCTGAGCTAGAGTTAGGGTTAGGGTTGGAGCTAGGGTTAGGGTTGGACCTAGGGTTAGGGTTAGGGTTAGGGTTGGAGCTAGGGTTAGGGTTAGGGTTAGGGTTGAAGCTAGGGTTAGGGTTAGGGTTAGGGTTGGAGTTGGAGCTAGGGTTAGGGTTAGGGTTGGGTTAGGGTTAGGGTTGGAGCTAGGGTTAGGGTTAGGGTTGGAGCTAGGGTTAGGGTCTGAGCTAGAGTTAGGGTTAGGGTTAGGGTTGGAGCTAGGGTTAGGTTTAGGGTTAGGGTTGGACCTAGGGTTAGGGTTGGAGCTAGAGCTAGGGTTAGGGTTGGAGCTCGGGTTAGGGTTAGGGTTAGGGTTGGAGCTAGGGTTAGGGTTAGGGTTGGACCTAGGGTTAGGGTTAGGGTTGGAGCTAGGGTTAGGGTTAGGGTTGGAGCTAGGGTTAGGGTTGGAGCTGGGGTTAGGGTTAGGGTTGGAGCTAGGGTTAGGGTCTGAGCTAGAGTTAGGGTTAGGGTTAGGGTTGGAGCTAGGGTTAGGGTTAGGGTCAGGGTTGGACCTAGGGTTAGGGTTGGAGCTAGAGCTAGGGTTAGGGTTGGAGCTAGGGTTAGGGTTGGAGCTAGAGCTAGGGTTAGGGTTAAGGTTGGAGCTAGGGTTAGGGTTAGGGTTGGAGCTAGGGTTAGGGTTAGGGTTGGAGCTAGGGTTAGGGTTAGGATTAGGGTTGGAGCTAGGGTTAGGGTTAGGGTTGGAGCTAGGGTTAGGGTTGGAGCTAGGGTTAGGGTTAGGGTTGGAGCTAGGGTTAGGGTTAGGGTTGGAGCTAGAGCTAGGGTTAGGGTTAGGGTTGGAGCTAGGGTTAGGTTTAGGGTTAGGGTTGGAGCTAGAGCTAGGGTTAGGGTTAGGGTTAGGGTTTGAGCTAGGGTTAGGGTTAGGGTTAGGGTTGGAGCTGGGGTTAGGGTTAGGGTTAGGGTTAGAGCTAGGGTTAGGGTTAGGGTTGGAGCTAGAGCTAGGGTTAGGGTTAGGGTTGGACCTAGGGTTAGGTTTAGGGTTAGGGTTGGAGCTAGAGCTAGGGTTAGGGTTAGGGTTAGGGTTTGAGCTAGGGTTAGGGTTAGGGTTAGGGTTGGAGCTGGGGTTAGGGTTAGGGTTAGGGTTGGAGCTAGGGTTAGGGTTAGGGTTGGAGCTAGAGCTAGGGTTAGGGTTAGGGTTGGACCTAGGGTTAGGTTTAGGGTTAGGGTTGGAGCTAGAGCTAGGGTTAGGGTTAGGGTTAGGGTTTGAGCTAGGGTTAGGGTTAGGGTTAGAGTTAGGGTTGGAGCTAGGGTTAGGGTCGGAGCTAGAGCTAGGGTTAGGGTTAGGGTTAGGGTTGGAGCTAGGGTTGGGGTTAGGGTTGGAGCTAGGGTTAGGGTTAGGGTTGGAGCTAGGGTTAGGGTTGGAGCTAGGGTTAGGGTTAGGGTTGGAGCTAGGGTTAGGGTTAGGGTTAGGGTTGGAGCTAGGGTTAGGGTTAGGGTTAGGGTTGGAGCTAGGGTTAGTGTTAGGGTTGGAGCTAGGGTTAGGGTTAGGGTTGGAGCTAGAGCTAGGGTTAGGGTTAGGGTTGGAGCTAGGGTTAGGGTTAGGGTTAGGGTTGGAGCTAGGGTTAGGGTTAGGGTTGGAGCTAGGGTTAGGGTCTGAGCTAGAGTTAGGGTTAGGGTTGGAGCTAGAGCTAGGGTTAGGGTTGGAGCTCGGGTTAGGGTTAGGGTTAGGGTTGGAGCTAGGGTTAGGGTTAGGGTTGGACCTAGGGTTAGGGTTAGGGTTGGAGCTAGAGCTAGGGTTAGGGTTAGGGTTGGAGCTAGGGTTAGGGTTAGGGTTGGACCTAGGGTTAGGGTTAGGGTTGGAGCTAGGGCTAGGGTTAGGGTTAGGGTTGGAGCTAGAGCTAGGGTTAGGGTTAGGGTTGGAGCTAGGGTTAGGGTTAGGGTTGGAGTTAGGGTTAGGGTTAGGGTTGGAGCTAGGGTTAGGGTTAGGGTTGAAGCTAGGGTTAGAGTTGGAGCTAGGGTTAGGGTTAGGGTTAGGGTTGGAGCTAGGGTTAGGGTTAGGGTTGGACCTAGGGTTAGGGTTAGGGTTGGAGCTAGGGCTAGGGTTAGGGTTGGAGCTAGAGCTAGGGTTAGGGTTAGGGTTGGAGCTAGGGTTAGGGTTAGGGTTAGGGTTGGAGCTAGGGTTAGGGTTAGGGTTAGGGTTGGAGCTAGGGTTAGGGTTAGAGTTGGAGCTAGGGTTAGGGTTAGGGTTGGAGCTAGAGCTAGGGTTAGGGTTAGGGTTGGAGCTAGGGTTAGGGTTAGGGTTAGGGTTGGAGCTAGGGTTAGGGTTAGGGTTGGAACTAGAGCTAGGGTTAGGGTTAGGGTTGGAGCTAGGGTTAGGGTTAGGGTTAGGGTTGGAGCTAGGGTTAGGGTTAGGGTTGGAGCTAGGGTTAGGGTTAGGGTAAGGGTTGGAGCTAGGGTTAGGGTTAGGGTTGGAGCTAGGGTTAGGGTTAGGGTTGGAGCTAGGGTTAGGGTTAGGGTTGGAGCTAGAGCTAGGGTTAGGGTTGGAGCTAGGGTTAGGGTTAGGGTTGGAGCTAGAGCTAGGGTTAGGGTTAGGGTTGGAGCTAGGGTTAGGGTTAGGGTTGGAGCTAGGGTTAGGGTTGGAGCTAGGGTTAGGGTTAGGGTTGGAGCTAGGGTTAGGGTTAGGGTTAGGGTTGGAGCTAGGGTTAGGGTTAGGGTTAGGGTTGGAGCTAGGGTTAGGATTAGGGTTAGGGTTGGAGCTAGGGTTAGGGTTAGGGTTGGAGCTAGGGTTAGGGTTAGGGTTGGAGCTAGTGTTAGGGTTAGGGTTAGGGTTGGAACTAGGGTCAGGATTAGGGTTAGGATTAGGTTTAGGGTTAAGGTAAGTGTTAGGGGATTCAGAATTGCGATAATGTTCTGTAATGTTCTGTTCGTTGTACAGAGCTGACAGCCTGCGGGGGCGGAGCTTGGATTGGTTCTTATAAAACTTCACTGTTTCTAAACCTACAGTTTGGGTCTGCCAGAGATTCACAGCAATTGAATGAAGAAATACTCAGAAAAGCAATTTTGCATTTAGTTTTCTCATGATATATCCTGTAGCATCAGAAAAATGCCATCTGGACATGCCATCTGGGTCTTTAAAGATAATGTAATATTATCACTGCCAATGTGACAGGCAATGGATCAATTTGCACGGTTTAAAACATGTTACTGGACATAAAGTTAAATTCCATGTCATTTAATGCAACTCTTTTACTCCCTCAGGCTGGCTTCGTTTCAACAACAAGTGCTTCATGTTCAAAGGAAAGCACCTTGAACCCAAATCTAACTGGTCTGACGCTCAGAGCTTCTGCAAAGAACAAGGAGGAACCCTAGCAGTCATTGATAACCAGTACGAGAACGGTATGTTAAATCAATGAAAGTAAATCCGTCCAAGACACAGAGGTCATAGAGGCTCCTCTCTTTATCGTGATCCTGTTCTCTCCTCTAGACTTTGTGGCCAGTTACCTGAGAGACTTGGAGCTCCCCACGTGGATCGGTCTGTCGGATTTGCTCATGGAGAATCAGTACGCGTGGAGCGACGGGGTCAGTCCTGTGCTGTACACCAACTGGAACGAGAAGGAGCCCAACAACGCAGGAGGAGCTGTGAGGAGACTTTTCATTAATAACGCATTTGTATTTAAAGAGCTTGTATTTAAAGTTAGATAGCTGAAAGTCCTCTTTGTCACTCTGAACAGGAGCACTGTGTGGCTATGGCTCACCACCACCTGGTAACCGGCAGGTGGAACGACGACGCCTGTCACAAGAATCACAGCTTTGTCTGCTCCAGGAAGAAATGTGAGTGAACAATCTAACTGTTTCAATTTTGCCTTAATTATGTTATTTAAGAATATTAGTCAAACATATGAAAGTCAAATACCTTCAAGCCTTGTCTCAATCTGTGTCTACATCAGCCAGCAGCATCAAACCTCCACCCCCGATAAAGGACTGCCCGGATGGCTACATCTCTTGGTACGCAAACTGCTACAAGCTGGTGGAGGAGAAGGCCACCTGGGATGCAGCTCAGGCGGCCTGTGTGAAGGAGGGCGGAAACCTGGCCAGCATCGACATGAGCTACGACCAGGCCTTTGTCGCTGGAGTGGTCCTGCAGGGCAGAGAGGACGCCTGGATAGGACTCAGACGCAAGGTGCTTTCACAGAGGGATCGTGGTCTAGTTCGGTGAACTAGACCACGATCTTTAACACAAATACACCGGTTTTATTGGTTAAAGTGCATTTCAGAGCACATGAACTGAGGACGACAACTACTGAAGTTGCACATACAGAAAATATCAAATAAATATCAAATTGCACAAAATAAGCTAGTTTTCAAAGTAAAAGACATGTCAAACATCAGACGTGCATTAAATATTTACTTTTGCGACCCATCCAGAACGTGTCTGCAACCCACTTTTGGGTTGGGACCCACCAGTTGAGAACCACCAGTCTAGTCAATGTATCTTAACTACCAAGAAGACAAGGTGGAGGTGTAGAAGGTGTAGTGAGAGGATAACAGGAAATACTCCAATTCAAGAACCTCCATACTTCACCAATGGGAACCATATTTCCCAATTAAAGTATAAATCTGACTGGAAAGTTGTTTTCAAGACATTTACATGTTTTTCTTTTTAAGTACCAGAGTTACAGCACTACTGTAGTTGACCTCCCTTATATGAGGACAGAAACAGAAATCCCAGACTTAAGTTAACTCAATCCAAACCATCAGTTTGGGTCAACTTGGAGCTAAAATTCGATCTTATTTCTTTCTTTGATGCAGGACAATGGGTCCTACACGTGGACAGATGGGTGGCCAGTCTTCTTCACTCAGTGGGGACCAGGTGAGCCCAGCAACATAAAGGATGAGGGCTGCGTCAGCATGCACGGTGCACGGGCCTTCCATGGGACCTGGAACGACACCAAGTGTGATGTAGCTAAAAATTACATCTGCAAGATCTCCTCAGGTATGAAGCACTATTATCCCAGATTCTTATCCTCCACAGAAAAGCCTAACTCACCCGAGGTGTTAATAAATATGTGACTAAATGTCTCTCAGATACACCACCGCCCACTCCTACCCCTGGTGACGGGAAGTGTCTGCCATTTTGGGCGCCCTATGGCCGCTTCTGTTACGTGGTGTACAACGGTCAGCAGGGTTTCTCCTGGCCGGACTCTCGACACTACTGTCAGTCTTTCAAGGCAGAGCTGGCATCCATCCACAGCAGAGCGGAGGTGGAGTTCATCAGGAACATCAACTCCTCCAAAGAACACAACCTCTGGATCGGTCTCACCAGAGACAACAACTGTGAGTTTAGAGATAAACAAAAGAACGTAACCTGAGTTTCTTTTCAGAGTTTTTCCTGGACACAAGTATTAGTAATGTGCACTGACCTCCAGACTGAATCCCTCTGTGTTTGATTTTTCCAGTTGGCTGGGGCTGGACAGACAAGACAGCTTTGGGCTTCCTGAACTGGGCTCAAGGTGAGCCTAATGCAGCCTTTCACCCAGGAGAAGTGGCCGAAGAGAGCTGTGTGGAGATGTACCCTGACGGACGCTGGAATGACAACAACTGTCTGCAGAAGAGAGGCTTTGTATGCCGCCATCGCAAGTGTAAGGAGATTTTTGTTACCTTACACATCAGCTATGATAACACTGTATGTTGTGGGTGTGCAGCACGGATACCGGATGAATAATTTCCTCCCTTGAAGACTCGGTTCTGTAGCTTTAGATGAAAAGTAAAAGTTGTTAAGAAAAAGCAAGACTGTTTAACGTTGAGCAACAGATTAAGTTTCATTTTTTTGTGAAAATATTTCAGACTTCACAACAGATGATAATGGTCATCCAGTCATTCCCACTGATGGTCCCGGAACCAGCAGTAAGTACAACAAAGTTCCTCAAAATCTCTGTAGAAGCAGGGCCGCTGCCAGACTTTTTTGACTGGGGTGGCCAAACTGCAGCACTGGTTTATGTAGGGGCAGCATGAAGTGACTGTGTACATGAATAAATAACATATTATTGTACTAACGGAGTGAGATATTCCTTTTTTTCTGTAAAGATGGAGGTGTCATAGCCGGTGCCATCATTGGAGCCATCTTGGTTTGCACGCTGATTTTCGGCCTGCTGTACTATATGTTCAGTGTGCGGGGATACAAGATGAGCGACTTGAGCCTGCCAACAAAATCGACCAGTCACGTTGACGTGGTAAGTTAGGACCAACTTATTCCAGTCATGTTTGATCCCCAGCATCCATTTTTGTGCTGGTTTAAGCACTGTCTGTCTTCTCTCTTACAGCCGGCTTTCACCAACCCCAACTTTGGAGGAGAATCAGACACATAAACCAGGATGCAGTTTTGTACAGTTCAAAAATGTGAAACTTTTTTAAACAATCACGAATAATAGTTTGTCTGCGATAACCAGATTCAGCTTTATTGTATATATTGCCTACAATGATAACAAAAGTAAGATGTATACTACCAAAGGTTAAATTTTATCATGTTTATAGAAACTTGTGATGTACTAACTCAGAAAGTTTTTGTAATTTGTCATCTTGTGATTTTCATTTTTAGAAAAATAAGTAAACAACATGAAATTTGTTTCCAGTGTTTATTCATTTTTATACACTGCAACACAAATTCTTTACATAACTTCACAAAAGGAAAAAAGGCATCCTTCAAAAATCTCTCTGAACAGGTTTCCAGTCTATAATCGTTTGGACAAGGAGGTGTAAACCTTTTGCAGATTCAATCAGAAATTAAACACTGATAGTTTAGGGTGATAGAAATAAAGCCACAGATGAGAAGACAAAATTAAAACAGACACAACTGAACTGTTTTTTAATGTCGTAAGCCGTAATGAGCTTGTGTGAACGGAAGACGTTAGTGGTAGAAAACTTCACATAAAAATAATCCAAATGCCAGGATTCTGTCGCACTCACTCTTTAATTAAAAATATCACTTTGATCGTATCACGAAAGTAAAGTCAGAAACACTCTGTGATCCTCGTTTAGCCCTTTTATCATGTACGATCACCCACACAGCAACTCAACTCATGTCCAATCTAAATCTCTCCCAGCACCTCTGTTTCATACTGATTATTTTTGTGTCCCCTTTGTTTCAACATGTCACCCCGTCACTAAAAAATGAGAGCCAACAAAACTGCTTTATTGCTTCCAGTCAAAGTTACAACAAACAAAGAGTAAACACGAGCAGAGTCCTGTCGGGAACGTAGTGTTCTTCTTTCAACACACTGAAATGTACAAATCCTAAAAAAAAAAAAAAAGTGCATTCTATAGTCAGTATTAGTTTTGGCCTTTTAATCTCCCCACACAGATTAAGTCAATATTTTACTGCTCAATATTTGCAGCTCAACTAAACATGGGGAACGAAGAGAGAGCAGCCTGGTGCAAAACAAATAAGGAAACACAACTGTATTTTTTTTTATGTTTGTGGAAGCTCTACTATGCTTGAAAAGTAACTTAAAAATGGCCACAAATTTATCCAAAGACAGATGAGAATGTGAAATTTTCTCCGTTATTGGTCTTGCAAGTAGCTGTCGAATCAAGAAAAGCCTCAAACTTTAATTAGTTTGATTAGAAGGAGGCTAAAAGTGCCACCTTTTCCTTTTTTTTTTTTTTTTTTTGATCTGAATAAAACGTTTCCAGCTCTGGTTTGACAAACTACTCGAATCTCGTCAGCCACATCCCTGAGCTAAAGTGAGTCATCAGTCCATCAGCTTCGACAAAACCAGAATCAAAATGCAGACTAGCTCAGGTGAGCTGTGAGTGGAAATGCTGTATATATTTCCCTGATGCTACACTTAAACCTGCTACATGATCAACTCTTCATTTATCTAAGATTACAGCTTTCATTCAAACAAGTACTTCTTCCCTGATTTAATGTTCTCTTTTCTAATCTTAATCACTTGATTTTAATCATCGATCGTGTCCATTATGTGTCCAGTTTTCGCTCGATTCCATATACATTTAAAGTTTTTTGTGTCCTGAAAGGGCAAACTGCAGGACACATGTTGTTTTAGAGGAAATACCGTTGCAACTCAGGGATTAATTTAGATTATTTCATTTTTGCAAGCAACAACTTCCGCCAATTTGACTCGTCTGCTTTTGTAATCCCTAAAATGGACAAGATTGGATCATGTCAGAGGCACAAGAGTTACATTGAATGGTCCCAGCCCTCAACACTTAACTCCTCACGGGGATCCTCACTGGCTTATGAGAAAGTGAAATGCAGGATTTACAAATTAAAAATAATTATTTCCTTTTTAGGGAAAATAAAATGCATTCAATGAGATTTATCTGTGAATTAAGTTTTCACGACATGATAACCATCTACTAAGTACTTACACCGTTTAAAGTGGAAAGTTTTATAGCAAGAGCTGTGCAAATAAATAATATTGGGATAAGTACCTGCACCAAAACTGCATCATAAGGCTGCATGAAATCATAAAGCCACCAAAACATATTTAGTTGGCAAAATTTCGGCTTGTAAATGCAGAGAGAGGAACAGAAAGTGCAGGGCGTTTGTAGATTTCAGCCGACATAATCCCTGTTCATAAAAGTGCGAGAGAGAAAGAGAAATGATAAAGTGGCCAAGAGGAAAAAACAAGTGCAACAATGAGCAGGTATCACCGAGGACACACACATGTGAAGACCGGGTCAGCCTTTTTTTTTGGATGAGATGAATTATATCCGAGCAAAGAAAACACACAACCGTGTTTCCGAGGGAAAGTTCAGCTCAGTCTTTAACTGAGGGAGAGGCAGCTTGAAGAGTCAGCAGCTGTGTAGCAGCCGCAGCTAGTCGCTCACTTTACCTTCAGGCTGTCCAGACGCAGCCAGTGGACCCCCTGTCTGATGTAATGGACCATGGAGCTCAAGCTGGACATCAGACTCAGCGAACCTATGACCGTGTCAAGCTCTGCCTGCAAACCTGGAACATAAAAAAGGCGAAAAGGTAAAAGATCTGTTTTAAAAATATCAGTTTGCGGATCACATTTTAAGGATTCGGACTGCCTCCTTTATTGAAAGATGGGAACTTGTGGTACTTTTATTGATACAATGACAGTTTATGACGAAGTAAATACCGGAGACTCTGGAGGAATAACGGACGCTTAAAACAGAGGTAGACTGGACAAGAGCTAAAAAGCCGGGTCAACAATGATGGGGGATGCCTCGGGATCTTACGGACCCTGTAAACTTTCTGCTGGACAGGTAAACCGCTTTAACAAAGGAAGCCAAGTGTAACAGAAGTGTTTCTTGTCAGACAGATAAGAAATTGAAGCTCCTGCTCATGATGAAAAATTACATTTAGGATGTTTTGAAATCAGTACACTGTGATTAACTGTATCAACAGCTTTAAAATACAGTCCAGGGTCTAAATCAGAAAACAAAAATTAGACTCCAGGACCCCTTCTCTCTCGTCCTGTTGATGTAGAACCGCCTGAAAACCCTTTACATAAAAGTCCAGTTCTACAGCTCCCCTGTTCTGCCTCTCCTCCATTTTCTCTTACCGCTGCCTTTGCGTGCCAGCTCCTCTGCCTGCTCCCAGATGTCATGAGCACTCAGGAATAACATAGTGATGTTGACGTAGGTGAAAGCCACTTGATTAATGGCCTGAGGAACCACCATGGTGCTGCTGAGTGGGTCTACACCCAGACTGCTGCTGCTGCTGCTGTGGTTGGAGCCGGGACATGAGCTGGAGGATGTGTTGGCTGGAGACGGCAGGCTGGGCATGGGGGACAGCGTGTCGGAGGATCTTAAGGACACAAATAAATAATATTTAGAGTTTTCATGAGCCGTACATTTGACAGTTTTATGAAATATGCTCAGACAGTGAAACATGACTTACTTCGACGTTGGGCCAGAGTTTTTCTGAGCAGAAATATAAAAAAGGAACACAATCCATGAGAAAAATAAATATTAATCACTTGAGGTCGTGTATCAAAAAGTGACATATCTGAATTTCTAATAAAAATAATTACTAACATATGTTAATTCAATAAAAATAAAATAAAAAGGGAGTTGTGGTGATGCTACCACACTTACATGGAAATGATCAGTGAGGGTCTTTGAATACTTGAGAGCAGTTTTATGTTTGTGGCGAAACATGGCCATCTGCAGGAGAGACTGGCTCTTCAGACTAGACACAGTAAAAAATGTTGTTGAATGATTCAGTATTTTCATATTGAATAGAAAGCTGGCCCCAGGGACGGCCCGATCACGTGTGTGATAACAAATATCAGATCAATCGCTGAAAAGGACTACTGGCATGTCTAGTGTACTGCTCATTTTTCTGCCTCTTCCTGCCAACAATGAGAAAAAAACATCCCTCTTCCATTAAAGAAGAAAAGAAAATAAGTGGGAACAGCGCAGAGAGAGCTAAAGTTAAAAGAGACATTGATCAAATCGAAGAAAACAGAAACAAAGCGACCACAAACCACAACACAGTTTGGGCTTTGGCAGCGCTACAGGACTTGGGAAGGGAGACGAAAATGCCAATAGAGAAGTTACAAGTGAGAGGACTTTATAGAAGTGCTGCTGTCACTTTCTTCATCTGTTAAAAAGCCAAAGGAAAAAAGTGTCTTTAAAGACCACTAGATCAAAGTGGTTTATACCAGCAAAGCAGGATCATTCTAAAACTCTACTTTTTATTTAAGCCATCTGAAAATCCTGTTAAATCACACAAAACATCATATCAAAATTACCATTTTAATTATTCATGTTTAAATTCTGCTGAATTAGATCTTACAGGGTAACAGGCTTGTAAACCTCTAAACATGGTAAGAAGAGAGAGGTAAGTATTGCTGGTGTCTCACCATAAAGCCAAAAAGTCCTTCTCTGATGGTGCAGTCGAGGGGTCCGCTGAGCTTTTCAGTTTCAGTACAAACCTGTGAGAGTAAAGAAATGCAAAAATTACACAAGAATCGATCAAATTCAACCATGAAGTCAAACTTTCATGAAATTTTCCAGCACAGTAACTCTGATAACAGGGAGGTCTTACTTGAGCAGCTCCACTGTCTCTGCAAACATCGTGTAGGAAGACATTGAAATCTGTGGATCCTTCTCCATGGCTATGCCGCTCTCGACAAAAAACATGGCTGCCTCCAGGTAGAAGAAAGCTTTACTGACCTTATCTGACTAAAGAGATAAAGACAGAAACAACCTTTAACTACAAGTTTCTGCTTTTACTGCAGTCCTTCAGGTCAAAGACTAAAACAGAGAGACAGTTACCTCTGCGTCCGCTTTGTGCTTCAGTTTTTTGGCCTCTTTTATGTAGTGCTTCACTGAATACTGCCTACAGATGAAACCACATACCACAGACAGCTTAGACATACTTAGATGAACACGTGCAGCTGGAAAAATTAGAAAATCCTGGTGAAGTTCATTTTAACGCACACAAAGTGAAATATTCCAAGACTTTTTGGTTTGAATGTTGATTATTTTATTTTCACAAACAGTGGCCATACATGTAACTATGTATCACTTCCTACTGATACATAGTTTCATTTATCATTAGTATTTTTATTATTATTATCATTATCATTATTATTATCATCATTATTATCATTATCATTATTATTAATAATAATAATATAAGTAGCAATAACAACAATAATAAAAGTAACGATAATGATGATGATGATGATAATAATAATAATAATAATAATAATGAAACTATGTATCAGTAGGAAGTGATTTTTTTTCATACATCATGGCCACTGTTTGTGAAAACAAAATCTGTTGTCTGCCCTAAATGCCAAAACAAAATTTGAGTTTATATTCAAATAATGTGAAGAAAAACAAACAACCATAACAACAACAATTAAAAAGTAATAAATAAAAAAATAAATAATAAAAAAATAAAAATAAATAATAATAATTATAATAATGATAGCAATAACAACAACAACAATAATAATAGTAATGATAATGATAATAATAATAATTATTATTATCATCCTTATCATTATCATTACTATTATTATTGTTGTTGTTGTTATTGCTATCATTAGTATTATTATTATCATCATCATTATCATTACTATTATTATTTTTGTTGTTGTTATTGCTATCATTATTATTATTATTTATTTTTATTTTTTTATTATTTATTTTTTTATTTATTACTTTTTAATTGTTGTTATGGTTGTTTGTTTTTCTTCACATTATTTGAATATAAGCTAAAATTTTGTTTTGGCATTTAGGGCAGACAACAGATGTAAGAAGTTTGCTTGCACAATGAATATATTGTGAATGTCTGATTCTGAATGTCAATAAAAAATAAGTTACAAAAAAAAAAAAAAAGAATCTTGATTATTACGGCTTACAGCTCACAAAAATTAAAATCTACATGTCATTATTATCACTGATACAAAATCCATTTATGTTGAAGACTATAAAAACCTCAAAACTGAAAAGTGAAGGTGATTTTTTTTTACCTGTCCTCCAACTGGAGCAAAGGCCTTTTGGTCAAAACTTCCCTTGTGGACTGTGAGGATGATGGTATGCTCTTTTTCGAGGGTTTCTGCTGGAACCAAAGAACAAACATGGTGAAAAAAAAACGTCACAGCAGTCAGGAGCTTGCAGCTCGTCTCTTGACTTACTACTTGTCAGCTAATGCTAATATCCCGACAGTCACCTTTCCAGAGTGCGTACGCTCCGTTTGCTTCCTCTTGTGCTTCCGGGAGTTTTTATTATTCGTCGTCTCCTTTCTCGTCCCCTGAGCCTCCGCTGACATGCTTTTGTTTGAGTCTTTTTCAGCGTCTTTGGGGAACGCTGGCTGCTGCAGAGGTTTTTTCTTCGCCGTCTTTTGCTCCGAGCTGTCTGTTGGATTGCTGGAACTTCTGCAGGTGACAAGAATAGAGCTTGCATGACAATTCAACATGGTATTAAGAGGACAGAAATAAGTGGGACATTTATCCGATTGAAGGGACCTACTCCAGTTTGATGGGTGTTTGACTTGATGAGGTATTCTTGTTTTCTAGCCTCTGTTTCTTCTTGGGAATCGTTTTCGTTTCTACCTCAGCCTGGAGGAGAATAAAACACACATTTACCAAACATTTTAATCACACACACACACGTTATAATCTAAGTAAGGAAAATTCTTACATTTTGAGGTATACTCTTTTTGCTGGTCTTGGCGAGTTTGTGTTTTGTAGTATTACCGCCTCCTCCCACTTGCTCTACAACCAGCACTGATCTCTTTGACTTGCTGGGTGTCTCCTGATGGCTGCCAAAGTTCTGGGGGACTCTTGTTAGAAGACTTAGATCAATCCTCACCAGTAGGGATCTAGGGGGTTTGTCCAGAGACCCTTTGGCTGCATGTCCAGTCTTCTCCGGTTGCTTGTTGGATGTTTTGTGAGGAGTCTTAGTACCCATCTCTGACTTTGGTTTGCTACAGCTGATTGTGACCGATGAGGCAGGAGATAGCTGGTTCGGTTGAGCGGGACTTTGGGTGGGGCAAGAGCAGGGGTTAGGGTATGAAACACCACATGATAGACACCGACCATGCAGGTTTGTCGTGACACCAGGCTCTGATCTGGCCTTACGCTTGTCAAGTGCTGTGTGTTTAGAAGTCCTTTTAGTGTCTCTTTTAGAGTCAGTGCTGTCTTTGTTTTTCCGACCGTGTCCTGCTTTCGTCTTAACCTTTGGTCGATCTGTGAAACACGAGTCTTTGTCTCCTGTAGCTACAACATCCTGAGTGCCTTCTGAGCAAGCGGGCTCAGCTGTTTTCAAAGTATTGCATGAAAGTTTCTTCGAACTGCTGCTGCTGCTTTTCCAATCGGTGGAGGGGGGTTTTTGGCTACTTTGCTGGTCGTAGTTGTCCTGAGGGCTTTCCCTGTGCAGCTGAGGTTTACCGAGACTTTCAATGGACTCCTTCATATGAATGGAAAGCTGAGGTTTAGACTCTTTCGAGGGGTTAACCGCCTCCACACCAGAGTGTATGGCACTCTGAGCGGGCTTAGGCTGTTTGTGAGTGGGGCTATCAGGTGCCTGTGTACCGCTTTGGCTCTCGGTTCTTGAGCTCTGGCTTGACCGGATCCAGTTCCCCAACTGCCAATCCCCATGGCTCACTGCTGGTGTGTCAGGCTTTGAAAAGAAAGACACATTTCCATTTCAGTATTGTCCTTTTTGAATAATCATACACATACAACGAAGATGAGCACAAACTGACCTCTGGTTTGATTGAGGTGCTTGTTGGGAGTTGAGGCAGCTCCTCTGTGATGCTTTCGCTGTCTGACTCCGATCTGGAGCTGCTCTCTGAGTCGCTGGAGCTGCCTGACTCTACCCCTCGAGAATGAGCTGCTTGTGATGAGCTGACAGAAACGAAAACAGATGTATTAAAGCGCAGAAGATACATGAGCCCTCTTGAAAAGGTTAGGCCTTGAGTGAGGAACCCTCGCCCTAGAGGCGTAAATGAACAAACTACGCTTTCTCCTGGCACCGTCAGATCTATAAATGTAACTATCACATGACACAAACATCATAATGCTACAACAGCCCACAAAGTAGCGCAGACTATTTTAATTTCCTTACAAATCCCTGTCGGCACTGGAAACATAAGTTTGTTGTGTTTTGATATTTCAAAAATAGGACACAAAAACCATTCCCATGACAATCCACTCACCAAGACGAGTTCAGCTGGATCGGTTTGGATGGATCTCTCGGTGAAGGAACGCAGTTTTCTGACAGAAATGCGAGAGAAAACAAACATCATAATAAAACCCAAACAGCACGACCATCACAAGCAGTCTCAAATGATGTTGTTAGGTGAGCTGAACGTTACGTGTTGCCGCCTGGATTTACATTAAAAAAAACAAGTATAGATGAAATTCAGTAAAGACACCAAGAGCAAAAATCGAAGGAGTATTTCTTCACACTATCAAGCTGAAGTTCTGAACCAACATACCCATGTTATTCAGGTCAGGAGGATCAGACTTATACTTGATTTCTGCTGTTTCAGACAGTCTGCAGCCGCCATAAAATATCCCATTTTTTGCATTTGTCAAACTCTAAACCTATCTAAATATTAAACTTTCTTACACAATACAATCGTTGATAAAGCAGCAGAACATACTGTACAAATAGAGTGTGTGACTTATCATTTAAGCCTTTAAAAATATAATCTAGTGTCTTCCAGTTTTTCCCAGACTGTGAAAAATGAGTAACCTATGACAGTCAATGAGCTGTGAAATGAATACAACACTGCACCCTAAAAAGGTCTCTATTTCTCTTGTCTTGAGTTTGTATTTACAGTTTGCTTATGTTGATATAAGACCTACTTTTAACTTAAGTGCTGGCCCTTTCGTTTAATGTTAGCAGCAGTCTAAGGCTGACAAGAGGGAGACAGTATATATACACAATAGCTGTAGTGGGTCTAAATCAGCTGTAATGTTAACAACAAAGAATAAAGGGATATTAGAATAATGTCTAACAGCGATAAAACAGGAGAGACTGAGACCTGTGACTTCTGAGGGGGGTTCATTTAGGATGATATTAGAGGACTGCGTCTTTTCTAGTATTTAATATTCTGTTTACAGAATAGTGGTTTTATGCTATCACGGTTGCCATGGAAACCCCTCTTTGAAGTAAGTAATACATAATAGGGACTCTCACAGTAGAGAAAGAAAGAGGAGGATATTCATCTTGATGACTCTGCCTCAACATCAAATACTTAGAAAAAACAGACTAACCCCTGTTTCATTTCTCCTAATATTTACGTCATCATTCTTTCATTTGTATGTTTTATCCTTTCTCTTCACTTGAGCTGCTCTCTTCATTCTCACATTACTTACTTTGTTCTGGACATGATGAGACACGCTCGGTTTCCTGTGGAGACAGAGACAGAGAGCTTTCATCTGGGGTATACACGTTATAGTTACAGGCTGGTTAGGCGTGAACCAGCTCGACGTTGAGCTGCTATAAGTTTTGACTGCTGGGGGGATCTGGCGTAACAGTTACTAACCAGATCTCTCTGAGTGTCCCTGAGCTCCCTCGTCTCTCAGGTTCCTCTGGACTGATGCTACAGACAGTCGGCTGCTGTGGACCTGCCTGACCCCAGCTGTATCATCTATGATTGTCCACCTCAGGCCCTGACTTCCTTCATCTCTTGGGTTCCTCGGAGGACATGAACATCAGCCTCACAGACATAAATAACATAAAGCTAGAGTTAACTACCACTAGGCCTGCTGACTCTATTCGCCTTCAATTTATTTAAAATCAGTCCATTATTACTTATTTCCCAATCCTGTAAACTAAACTCATATTCTCTCTATCTATATGAGCTACTGCCATTGTAGTTGTTGTTGCTGCTGCTGTCTCTCCCTCCTGCTCTTCCCCAACCCAGTGGCGGCAGGTAGCTGTCTAACATGAGTCTGGTTCTGCTCAAGTTTTCTGCCTGTTATCAAATTAAATCAAATCAAACTTTATTTATATAGCAATTTTCAGGCAAAAACGAATCAGCTGGACAACGCCGGGAGCTGAGATTTGAAGGTGGCCAGGAGTGAGTCCTTCCTCTGCAGCACCCCGAGAGCCGACCAATGTCCTCCAGAAGATCGGCGATCTTTTTCTGGGCTCTTTTAAATTGTTGACCAACTTCAGCAGGTAAGGAAGCGTCTATGGCGGTAGCCTCCATGGTTGCCATGTAGCTGACTTAGCAAGAGTGTAAAAAAATCCCAGGGTGATGACTGAAACCTTTTGTCCGGTAAAAGCAAAAAGATAAAAATAATCTTTTGCTCAAGGAACAAAATGTTAAAAGCGATCAGAACCTTTTAAAACCAAATAAAAACAGCGGCTTGCAGGAACTTGCACTCTTTCTCTCTGCTACAACAGATAACATAAAATAAAATAAAAACCCATACACGGTAAAAGTTGAACTTAAAAGCCAGCAAACTCTGAAAATGCAGTCTTAAAAGTTGTTTAAAACCGGTTAAAATGGGTTAAAAAGTTGGTCACAGTAGAGCGAAATGGCTGGGTGCCATACGACGCCGACGCATGCACACGCTCACTCACTGTTAAAAGGGAAGTTTTCCTTGCCACCTTGTAACTTACTAAATGCTAGGGGTGGGAGAAAAAAATCGTTTCGCTTAAGTATCGCGATTTTTTGTTCAATAATTTTTAAAATCGATTTTTTTGTTAAATTTTTTTTTTTTTAATTGAAGAATAAATCTTAAAAACTGACTTAAATGTGATGTGTATTTTTTTGGGGGAAAATGGTTCCTGAAATAGTCAGTCGACAATCATAATCATTCAACTGTTCCACTGGGGTTAAAAATGCAGACGAAAAATCAAGAAAATCAACAATAACGTAGAATCGCAATTTAAATTGAATTGGCATCCAAAAAATCGTAGAAGAATCGAATTGAGAGAAAAGCCGATTATCATCCCAGCCCTACTAAATACTGCAAAGTGCTTCACTCATGATGGTTCGAGATGGGCTAAATCTTTACCCATCTCCAGATTGGGTCTTTAAATTACATCAAACAAGGAGATAGGTCTAGACCTGCTCTTTTGGAAAGCCTTTTGGGATAACGATTGTTGTGATTTTGCGCTATATAGATAAAATTGAAAAGAGAAAGTTCAATGGAAGTTTGGAGAGACCCTTTCCCATTCAGGCAGCTCAGAGGATTTCATCTCAGAAAAAAAAAAACAAGTCAGGACACAGAACAGCTGTACCCAAGACCTCCAGTTATATTCATGTCACATGTTAATTGCCAAAATCAACTGAATCCAAACTAATTCTCGATCCATCAGCTCTTACCTTGGATGGAAAGGGGGATTTCGAAGGTTCTCCTGTGCTAGGTGTGTGTATCGCTGTGAGGAGAGGAGGCCATGAATGTGTCATTTCCTGGGGAGGGAACAGACAGAACATTATCTGCTGAGTTTGTTTGAATTCGGATGGTATATATGAAATAATTATTCTCAGGATAAATAGATTGAAAGGGTTGTACAAAAATTTCTGTTACTTTTATATCAATTTAGCAATGACAGCTGTTAAACGCAGTAGAAAGAGTGGGATGTTTGATTCACTTATGCTACTTCGATCATTTATGGATACTTTTACGCAGGTAAGAGGGACAAGAACAAACATGATTGAATCCTCTTCGCATCTTTACCTGTCACCATCAGCTACAGGCCAGGCTGATAAGAGATCATCACACTAGTGCCTTATTTAAGAATGATAGTCCAGAAAACATGGTCGTTTAACACAGAAAAAATCTGTGACCTTATCAATGACGATTGGGATTTACTAAAACTGGTGTTGCTCTCTAGTCCTCCTTAACCCTTTTTTTTTTAAGGACTGGAAAGAAGATGAGACTCTTAAGAGCTGGACTCACCTTTAAGATGTCCTCCACACACTGAGCTTCATTTATCTTTGTCTGTAGAGAGAAAACAGATTACACTGAGTGTGCAAAGAAATTAAAAGACAGGATGAAACGACAACGGGGACACACGATTGAACCTGATCTGATGTCTGAAGTGACACATAAATCTGTTTCTATCTCACAATCATTGAAACATGATTATTCCTCCCTACTATGATAAAGAATAGTTTTAATTCATTATTACCAGACTCTGTTAAACACTTGATTCTGATTGGTAGCTACTTATAGCAACATTGTGTTATTTCCTGGTAACTTTTCTACAGATAACCTCAAACCTTTTCACTGATAATCACATGACAAATCAATCTGCAGAAATGTTTTAAGAGACAATGTACAGTTAGACGCTGGTTATGCCAAATACAATCAAAACAGGGAGAGACAAGACCCTCAATGTGAAGCTATTGACAAATATTCAAACAAAATACTGATCTAGAGAAGTCTCTGTTGATTTAAATAGGATTGTTTTGACACATCAGGAGCACTTCCACAGTGATGGCGTACTTACATATGGAGTTATCATGAAACTTTGACATTTTCATTCACAGTAAAGTAAAAGTGTTTGCTTTCTCCCACTGGCATTTTTTAACAGATGCAGAAAATAACAAGACATCTTTCCTGTAACTTTAACTCAACTAGTCTCCTAACACTATCAAAGCCCACACTTCAATGCTGTTTGTGGTTACTCTGTGTCTATTATGTTTTGTCACGTCTCTCTAACCAAAATAAATGGAAAAATAATAATTGGTTCCATATTCTCCACTAATACTATTATTATTATTATTTATTTTATTTATTTAATTATTATTATTAATATTATTGAATTTCCCTTCGGGGATCAATAAAGTTCTTCTTATTCTTACTATCACAAAGTAATATTTTTGTCACCAGAAAAGACACACTAGATGTGCCATCCCTCCTTCTCAGGGATTGATTTGATACATGTGATGTCTGTAATCTGTTTGTCTCTACCTTTATCTTTGCTTTGCCGTCAATCAGAATCACGTTCTTTAAAACAGTATGATTATAAGATAAAAACAATCTGCTCTATCGTCCACCTGCTCACTACACATGAACAGCTTTACCTTTATTCTAAATCTGAAATGTGCCAAAAGCATCTGAAACTAAATCTATGTGAAGCAAATCCAGTTCTCACCTATATTCAAAGCGTACATGAGGCCTCTATTTCTGCACTGTAGAGACGCGGTGCCCCATATCAGGCAGCTACATGCCAACCATAACATCAGATAAATCTGTGTGTGTGTGTGTGTGTGTACAAAAGAGCCAAAAGTCTGTATTTTGGTTTGTTTTCAGGCCTGCTGCCTCTCTGTTTTTTTCCCCTTCTGAATGAACAGTGTTTGAGATATGGTCAGAGTGAATGGGCCCCCGGAGCAGTTACGTAAGTTGGTGACAAAGCTCATTTTTTGTTCGGCTGAGCCCTGGGCTGAAGTTATCAGAGGCAGCTGAGGTCACATATACACACACACACAGACACATAGAAAAAAAAACTAACAAACCACAGGCCGCTCGCTGCAAACACCCACACCTGAGTAAAAGCAATATAGATGTGTCCAAGTTATGATAAACTCAGCATTTCTCCATTTCAAAACAGATGTTTCCAAAACAACAGAGCTTTAATCTCCTGGCATTGTATCTGGAAACACTGTGGTAAAATGTCAGCGTGTTTTTCTGTGTTTTGCTTGTTTTTCTCTCCCAGTAGTGCATAACTTCCTAAAACAAGACAGCAAATATCTTCTGTCCATGGTATCAGGTTATAAATCACTTAAATATTAGCTGCTCGGCTTTTAGTGTTGGTGAAAAATAGGAGAACAAGTAAACGCTGAGCTATTCTGTAGTGGATTAGCAGTAAAAACAGCCGCGCATTCAGCACTGTGCTGCTGCAGGAGGGCAAGAGGGAGGTGTGTGGAGTGCTGCAGGTGCAAGGGTTGTGTTAGTGTGCATGTGTGTTAGAGACAGAGCACAATTGCATGGAGTTGAACTGGAGTTCAGCCAAAACTCTCTGAAATAAAAGGAAGACCGAGGGCTCATTTGAAAGGCGTAACCAGACAAGAAAAATATCAAAACTCTGGATGAAGTCTTGGAGATCATCCTGTGATCCGCAGGCACACAATCCTCTTAGCCCAAAGAAGCACATTCACAGCATTGATTAACAATATGTAGTCTTTCTGTTGTCCTCTTAGCTCACTCAGTCTCTGGAGGCACCAAACAGCTCAAGGATTCAGAGGTATATGATACAGCCAGACTATCAAACAACCCCTTATCTGGATTATCTGTGACATACTGTGTTGTTTTTATTTGCAGGGAGCCAAGGAAAGACGGGAACTTTAACTTCAGCAAATCTGATCAACCACAACAAAATAGGAGAGCCAAAATGAGGAACTGACAAACTCTAAATTAAGAGCCAAAAGCCTGCAGCTGATTAGCTTGAGTTAGCATGAATCCTGGCAGCAGCTCGCTCGGATCTCTTTGAATAATAAAAAAGAAAATCTCACAGAACCTCAAAAGCTTTTCTTCTTCTTCTTTCCTTTCACTCTTTTCATAATAACTGCAGATCCTACAGTGTCGCCCCGCAGATGTTTGTTTGAGATTAAAGACAATTTACTCACCTCCAAAAATGGTGGCAGTACTTTCCTTTTGCCCTTGTCAGCTTTGTTGACCAGCTCTGGTAGGGGTACATAAGGCTCCGGTGAAGGTTTCAGCTCAGGGGACTCGCTGACCACCTGGTCCTGACCATCCATGGGCCGCACATATGCCGTCGGCTTCTGGGTCATGACTACACTGGGCTGCTTGGACGACAGGAGGGAAGGGAACGTCTGGGAAGGCAGCGTGTTACCTTTATTGCTATGAGTCAGAGGAACCTCTTTAGGCGACTGTTTGGGGTGAAGTGGAGAAATATCCATGGCACTGGAAGACTCGGAGGGGGGATTTGTGGTCTCTTGAAGCTGAAGTCTATTAAAGGTGTCCTTAGTGTCCATATCGGTGTTATCAAGGTCATTGGACAACACCAGCAGCTTAACATCAGGAGACAGAGGAGACATTTCCTCGACTCTGTGATCAGAACGGGTTTTGCTCTTCTTTTGTTGACGTGCTGGAGACGCTGTGAAATGTCCATAGTTGTTTGGAGGAGGAGAAGACGAAGAAGAAGACGCAGCAGTGGATGTCCTCACAGGCTGGGAGGAGTAACCACTAACAGATGGAGCCCTCTGACTTTGGCTGGACAAGTTATTGACCTGGTTATGGAATGAAGGTTGTGTAGTTTTCTCAATGTTTGTCTGACTCTGATCAGACTGTGTGGAAGTTACATATGCAGGAATGGGTAAAGGCTCTATGGCAAAGGGACAGGGATTATTTACATCTTCATAACTCCCCAGCATCCTCTGGATTCGGTTGGAAAGCTCATCCCCTTTGTTTGTCTGAAATAAAAGAAAAAATGTAAATAAAAGGTCATGTGACAAAAATTTAGCGACAAAAAACTCGAACCATATCTACGCTCTAAATTAGAGGTTGACCGATTACTGGCCTTGGCTGCTTATCGGGGCTGATATTGGCCTCTTGATCATTATCGGTCTTGGCCTTTTCTTAAACTGATCGCCAATAAATCTGGTTAATTGAAAAAGTGTGCTAATTTAGATCCACCGCTGTGTGTGTTGCTCTCTCGATCCATCTTCTTACACCATTTTGTCTGACCTACTGTCCCGCCTACAACGCTATCTGATTGTGACAAAGCTCCTGTTTATGAATGACTGGTAGATTTTCATTTACTTTCAATGCAATTATCAATTATCGATCGCATGGAGTAAAACAGTTCCATCATAAAAACCTTTACAACTTTACTCCCTGTCTAGAGTTGATCCATACTAACTATAGACAAAAAAATGCAAAAATAGAAGATTTACGAAGGTCAGATTTAAGCATTTCCTGTAAAAAGGACTTTCTTTGTCACTAAAGACTGTCAGTAATTTGTACTCCTTTAAAGCCGTGTTACTCCGGTTGCAGCCAAATCTACACACTGAATTCCTCCTTTCAAATTAGCCACTGCCCAGCTCCCAAAACAGAGATGTAAAAAAAGGCTGATATGCCATCTGAGTTGCTTAAATTACTATCATGTGCGCACAGCAGTTGCTCTCAGCAGTAATTAAACTTTATGAGCGGCAGCGGGTAATTTGCTGACCCTTTATGCCTTTCACTCTGCACACAGAATGTCCTGTCTGATGCTACATGGACATAGTCGAGACATTTGCTGCTTCAAATGAAGAAAGTCAAGAAAAAGAAAGATCTGCCATCTTCTCGACACGAATAGCAAGTCATATTTTAAAGGTGTGCTTAGGAAATGGGGATCAATCCTATGATATTTATTGTTTTTGTAAAGAGAGAAGTATAAAGTAATCATATCCTCTATCAAAAGCTTTAAGTATTGTATTAATGGTGGAACACTGTTGTCAAAAACACCACCTACTTCCCATAAACTTAGCATTTTTTACCGATAAAAGTATGGAACCAAAAGTTCATCACAACATCATCTATGAAAAAGTCGAGCAGCAGACCTCATTTCTAGTTACACTAATACAGCCGAAATCATAATAAGAGGATTTCAGTCTCCTGTTATGAGAGTTTGTACCTTGTATGGCTGCCCAAATAGTGGCACACTCTCAGTGTTGAGTTCTGTGGCTTGGCTTGTTCCTTGGTTCCTCTGTTCCCATGCTCGGAGGCGGAGAATGTTCCTGTCTTCTTTGTAGACACTGGAAACCATGAGGAGAGGAAAGACCTTAAAAATCAGTATTTATTTACAAACGTATCATATTAACAGTGACATGAAACATGCAGGCTAGTTTAACGCTGGAGGTAAAACGCAGGATCTGCCGTCTGAGCTGAAAAGCTGAGCTAAGTTGGAACTACCAATGGCTCTACATACAGTTTATATTTTCCCATTTTTAACCTTTTACACATTTTTAATCTTCTGCATAGTGACTAATCCATGTGAGGAAATCAGTTTTGGCGAAAACACCAGAAAATTTAGGGAGTGCAATTTTGAGGCATCTTATCACGGATGATCTACCCCGGGGGCAGAGCAGGAAAGTCTCGTGGGAGAAGACAGTGCCCATCATATCTACAGACAAGCGTAATTAGACACACAGACGCCATGAGGATTCGGCACAACATTCACATCTGTTCCCCCTAGTCCCTAAAGATGACAGGCAGCCCATGCAAACATCAAATAGATGATTACGACCCCTTGTCCTCAAATGATCCCTGTGGCAGAATGAGTTTGTTTAACGTAGTAAAACGCATAGTCGAAAAACATCAGCCCTCATGGGAACAGACTCTGTTTAATACTGTAATGCACCGCAGTGAACTTAAAAACTTTTCAACATTTTTATTTAATACTTTTCTTCGGAAAAATATATAGTGCTGATCACTGTCAGCCATCCCACAGGGGAAGCCTCCATGGCAACAGGTAGAGCAGCACAAATTTGGGACTAAGCCAAACAGATGAGCACTTACTCATTACTACTGGTACAGCACAAAAAAGCACTGCCCTGTCACAGGTCCTACACCATTAACACCTGAGGGGGATGAACATAATGTTCCTTTAAGAAACGAGCATTTCAATCCAAACATAAAAGACTTTGTTAAAGTCCGTCTGTTAATGAAACGATCCACGCTTGAAAAAAATAACAGGACTTAAAGCTCCTATAGGGAGTTTTTTTTTAAATCTTTTTTTTAAATTGACTGAAATCCATGTTGATGCCTCTTCCTGTTATCCTAAAGCAAATAAAACCATCAAGCAGAAGACTACCTGTTTAGGTTATTGCCATTTTTAATGCCTGAAACTAGTGTGAGAGGGGAGGTGTCACCGCAGCAGCTAAAGAAACAATCCTGCTTTTGTCACTCTTTGATTTGCTGTAACACATACCCTCTACCTCCTTCCACTCAGGTGAGTCAGAGTTTTGATTAAACCAACCTTAAGCTAATCACTGATGACAGATACCAGGAACAGATTAACAGATTATTTAAAAGGTCAATGATTCAGATTCAAGGGAAACAACTTGGAGCCACAAACCTGGGGATAGTAAGAATGCTGCTGATAAAACATCCTGTAAGAAGACTGCCAGACTTTGGTAAACTATTGATGCAGACAAACCCCTGAAACAGGTTCACATTTCTGCTACAAGTACTTCAGTCAAGCTTCATACACACTGGAGAGCCACCGGGGACAACAGGGCAACCTGGGAGTGACACAATTTAAGGTTCATGGCGATCACAAACTAAAAACATATGTTCTGACTAACTCAGAGTCTGTAACTCACGTACATCCCTGATTTGCATTGCTTTTAATTCCAACAATAGAACAAATCCATACTCTTCCATATTGTTAAGATTATTAGTTTCTTCAAAGTAATTAATCAAACATTTTCAGATGTCCTCTGCAATGATTATTTGTCTCTGGAGAAACAGAGTCTGATGATAGGGTCGAAAATGTCAAAAAGTAGGTAAAACATTGTTGGGCCTCTATTTAGTTCAGTTACTCAAATTATTCTGATACACAGGCAGTGCAAGTTTATCTGTAATAATCACACCTGAAAATCTAATATTTGTGTAAGGTGTTTCTGTTGATAAGCACAGTAGAAATTAATCATTGATAGCACTGATTTTGCTGTTCAGTTACATTTGTCACTCCTGTCTTTTTTAATTTTTTTTTTATGAGGGGGCTACACTTAAGTGATGAATGTTTTTATTATAACATTAATGCAGAATGAGATATATAAGTCTCTCCAAAGATAAAAACAAATTCACATACAAAAACAAACATTCAAGAGTTAAAATGTTTTGAGTACAGATGACAAGCCTCTTTCTGACCAGCTGGTAAAAATCACATCTTTTCTACTTTTCAGCTGATTCCGCCTCTTCCTCGAATTTCTTATCCAGTTCAAAACCCTCTACACGTCAGTTTTAAATTAATTACATAAGTACAACACAACTTTCCCTCTTGTACCAAAGTTTACAACTTTATGTCCAGTGAAAGGCATGTAAAGGGCGCTGTTGGTGAAAGAGCAGGTGTTCCAACCTAACCAGTGACCCTGTTAACTGGTGACTGAACGCCAAATGCTTCCGTGGTTGTCGTAGCTGTTAAAAGGACTGATTGTAAATACGCGACTCGTTTTAGCAAACAAGACGTCCAAGACAGGCATATTTTGACTTTGAATGTAGTAGTTAGACAAAGAGCATCTGCAAGGACAGCTACGTATCCTCTTTCTATTTATTAAAACTGTGACAACTCCGAGACGCATCCGACTGATAGTCGTTGGTTAACAGGGTCACTCTTTAAACCGTTACACCGGCTAACTGTATCTGGCTAATTACCGTCAGCTACCCAGACAGGCTGTAATGCTAACGGCTAACAGCTAGCAGTGTCTGCCTACCTCGGCTGAGATTCCATGGTGCGCCTCTCACCACAACCAAAGTTGGTTGTCATGTGGTTTTGACAGTCCTCCCCGCGGTGTCCTTCTCTCTCGTTCACATTTTTGTTAACAGGTGGAGATTTCTAGGACATTTTAATGACTTGTCAGGCCGCTGTTGTTTTATAGTTGTCAGCTAACTGTGCGTCTTCGGGCTATCCACTCTCTCCGTCTCCCTCTCTCTGCCCACTGGATTGTTCTACTCCATTCAGCCACCCGGGGACCAAGCTCGGTTTTATACACTCAAAGCAGGACAAATGTTCTGTAAATTACCCGTGAATCAGTTTTGCTTCTCTCAAAAACGCTATTTAAGGTCAATAAAACAAACACTTGAACTTGGAGTGACATTATTAAATGTTTTTTCCCCGTGTCGCGCAGTTTGGCTAAACTTTACTCTAGTACCCCTGTGCGTCAGACATGGTACGACCATCTGGGTTTAATGTTTATACAGCAGTGTGGTGTTATGCGTCCTCATTATAAGTTCGTCCATATTTTATACAATTGTATTTTAACGTATTTACCCACAAAGGGCAGAAACCCATAGAGGCTGATCAATATAATATCTTTGCTTTCCATTATTAATGTAGGTAAGGAAGTCATGAGCTGTCACACATCTACACACTTTATTTTCTGTTTTCTGGATGAGACAAAATAATTTCAATGTTCTTTTTTTCTCTTATCTTGAGACAACAAAGCAGTGATTTACTCAGACTCAGTACCCTCACACCTGAAAAAAAAAGCCTTGGGAGCAGGGCCGGCCCTAGCCTTTTTGGTGCCCTAATCAATTTCTGCATTAGGCTCACCCTCTAGATTGGCTCCATTACTTTTCACAAAGTCCTTTTAAACTCGGTAGTAATAGAAATGAATGTTAATTAATTTAATGAACAACACAGGCCTTAAAGAGGGGCACTCCCAAGCAGGGCTGGCCCTTGGCATATGTGACATAGGTTCTTTACACAAAATGATATTTTATAATATGTCTTGACATTACGTCATCTTGATATTTGGACTTCTTTCCTCCTCCTCTTTTCTCCTTTCCTGAAACTGTGCGCCCAAGAGCTTAGCTGTCCCTTTTAAGATGAAAAAATTGAAAATAAAATCACCTACCCTGTTCTGACTCCTCGCTCGCTCGCTGACTTGAGATGCGCCCCCGCATCATGTGACTTGCCAAGTGACAAACATAGTTACTTTATCTTGTAATTTTATTTGGTATTTTCAAGACAGAAATGTAAAGGGGGGCACCAGTGGGCTCATAAATTAATACATGATTTTATCTTTGTTTTTTCCAAAGGGGGAGTGTGCTGGGGTTCCCCTCTTGAAGGCCCGTGTTGTTCATTAAATTAATTAACATTCATTTCTGTTACTACTGAGTTTAAAAGGATTATGTGAAAAGTAATGGAGCCAATCTAGAGGGTGAGCCTAATGCAGAAATTGTCTTGTGTTTTTTCCCCCTCTTTGGATTTTGTTTTTTTAGTTTTCTTTCCATCATTAAAGCTCTCTTAAAAATTCTCACAAACATTTTCACCAGGATGTAAGAAATCAAGTGTCAGATGCTCAAAATTTCCCCCACCTGAAAATTTCCCTATCCTTTTTCTTTGACAGACCACAACTGCTTATTTTGCAATTTCCTTAAAATGCCAAGGGGAGACAGAATAGTGACAGGTTTACAAAATGGTCTTTAAAGCTCCTGTGAGGGATTTTTAGTTTGTACCCCCTGTAGACAAGCCATCTTTGCTTATTTTGTCCTCTACATCCCCAAGTAGTGGCTTAAATACTGCTAGTATTATACCGGTACTGCTTCTGTAAAATAAAAAAAGCATTAATTAGGACCAAGTTTATCAGTTGTAAGGATTCACTGAATAAACCAAACATGACGCACACAAAATAATGAATTAATTATATTCTGAGTTGATACATTACTTTACCTGTGCACATCTAAAAAGTGGAGCTTCTGGGCCTGGCAGGGACTCATAGACCTGCCCAGAAACACTGAAGCTGATCTTCTGACTCAGTTTGCCACCTCTGTGCCAGTTTTGTTACATGAGTTCAGATTTGATGACACTGAGCAGAAACTGGCAAGGGGTTTCTGAGGTCTCCAACAGCTTTCATATCCGAGCCAGCTGCGGAAAACATGATTCATTGGACACATTTCAAGCAGACATGTAGTATAAACATGCTAAGTGCCTCATAAAACAGTGCTGTCAGGTCACAATAAAAATCTGTTTGTTTCTCCTCTTGGTGCATGGACACCAGCATGTTTATGATTTAATGCATTCCTATAGAGACAGGTCTGTTATTGGACACTCACCCTGGGTGGTTATTTAATGCTGCTGCATTCTGTTTGCCAGGCTGAGCGCACTAACATCATCCTCCTGCATTTAGACTGGGAGGACAGCTGAATGGACCATAAAAGCTCAAGAATATGGACAATGCAAAGAGATTAAAGCTAACCAAATAGATTAAATAAACCTCATCAATAACATAAAAAAGGAATATAAATAAACATGTCCCAAATGACTTTTTCAAGGTGTTTTTTTAATCAAAACATGTAAAAACGTGTCTAATCCATTTAATCTTTGAGTACACACACTCTCCTGTATGCTTGAATTCATAAGTTTTATGAATAATTCTTACAAAGACCTAACATGAATGCAAATTAGGAGCCTTGCTTGTTAAAAAAAAACAAACAAACAAAAAAAAAGAAAAAGGAAAGATACATTTAAAAAATCTGATTCAGAGCACATAAGTTTGAATTCACCTGAAATGCAGCATTCATGAAGTCAAATGACCAATTTGCATTAAAAATGCATCCTTTTAAAGTCTAAATTAGCATGGTTTGTAGGGTATATAAAGAATTTTAAATTGTCAGTCTTTCGCAGCAGTTTCTGTTGTGTACAGTGCCGTGGAAATTAGAAAAACAAATATCTCATTTGATGTCTACACTCTATTTGCACTTTACAAATCACACATTAGGAAAGAAGTTTCAACAAAAACACATTACAAGTGTGCCACCCAGAGGCTTTGCACTATAAAAACTACAATCCGGCCAGTCTTTCAGTTTGAGTCTTGACCAGCAGGTGGCACTCTTTTTTTACACACAGCAGAACAGAGCTTAGACAGATGAAATTTGTGTATGAGCAATGACTGGAGCTTCACATTAACGGATAACTAAAGCAGCTGAGTGCTTCAACACTACCACACTACATATGAGAACTATAACAAGACAGACACACAAAGAAGACTGTACACTGCTCACAAACTCCTCTCTCTATATTTGTAACATACATAAAGTCCTCTGACAACGCAAATCTGTGTACACACCTTCAAGAGTGTAATTTTCAACTTTCAGTAATATAGTCGTATATTTAATACTTTTGAATAGCAAAACCTGTGTATAGATATGACTGTATATAAATATTGACAGCATGCCACCATCAAACACGAGAGCTGAGATTGTGTCGACACATGCAGCAGAAAATGTTAAAAGTTGATGTTCATATTTTGTCTGTCACCATTCTTTTTGTTCTCTTTTTTCGTCAACAGAGCTGTCAATCATCATAACACATCCCAACATTTTCACATCTTGTCAAAATTAAAATTCTCTGTGCAAAATGAACATTTGCATGTTAGTATGACCCATATCCAATTTGTTTTCATGGGGAGGCGCGCTTTATGACCTTTACCTCAGCCAGTCACTAAGGGGAGTTTTAAATCGCCTAATACAGTCTAGGAGTTAAACATATACATAAAAAATGTCACTAAAAATGACAGTAAAAGGTTTTAATGTTGTCATCACCACTCTCAGTACTCAAGCTGATTTTATATCTGTACAATCTTTAGATGGGATATGGAAGAAAAATGTTTGAAAATAAGAATTAATACTATATTGTGTAAATTAAACATGCTTAATGCTTCTCTACTCTGCACTTACAGGTTTAACAATGGTGGAATGTTACTATAAACACATCTGTAGTAAAAGATATGAGAACCTTTTCCATCGTTCCTACTGTTGAGGTTTTATCTCACACCTCCTTGGATGAACTGATTCGGAGACCTCTGCCAGAAGGTGACCAAAAAGGGGGGACATTTCAGAACTTTGTCCCCCAGGACATCCTGCAGGGTCCCTACTTGCACACAAAATGAAGTCCCCTCTGTTGCTCCGCTGAAGTGCTGTGTCACGTCGTAGCGGAGGCCACAGCTCTCTGCCACAGTGGTGGGATTGCTGTGCGCATGTAGTGGGGTGGCTGTGGGGCTGGTGGTTTTGACTTCCAGGTTTTCATGTCTGACTGCAGATGTATCTACAGGCAGCACCACATATGCACGCTGGAAGCTCTCCCCCACAGTGCACTTCAGCTCTGTGGACCAACAATACTCCCCGAGGTCCCCTGGGAGAAAGAGAGTGTTTTATGAAGGCTCTTTCACTGCAGATACTTTCTTAAGATTTACAAGTTCCCTGTCACACAAGCAGAGACAGATTCACATAGAATTACTCATTTAAGGTGCATGATTTTTCAGTATTTTAAAGCTAAGAGTCTCCTTACCTTCAATAGAATCTGTGAGCCTGATATTATGATTATCCTGCAGTTGCAGTTTTCTGATGTACATCATCCCAGTGCACTCCATTAAACAGTCTGACAGCTGCGTCACCGTCCTAGTGATTGGATTCAGCAGCGTTTCCTTCTCTGAACATTCAATTGCATTTGCATCCAGCAGAAAGGGTGACAGTACCAGCAAAGACACCCACAGTGTGAAGTACCTCGACATCCTGTCCAGAAAAAGTAAAACAGCCAAATAGCCGGTAATGTTCAGGTTTCACACCAGACCTCCTTTAGTCCTCTTGCAGTTGGGTTGATTTATTGTAGTCCAGGATTAACACCTTGCTTGCACAACTGGAGGATTATAAATTTCATTCCAGGAGTCAAAACAAGAAAAATGAAAAAAGCCTCTGTGACAATGCATCAATGGCAACTGAAAATGCTGAAGACTTTTCAGAAGTGCGCAACATGTTGCTCTCCCTCTGAACAGACTGCCAACATTTCTTCCTATCTGTATTCCTCCCTCTGAACTTAACACATAACTGTCTGGCAGTTCCTGAAATGCTGGCATACCAAACTGCTTTTTCTTCCTCCTCAATATTGAAATACACCTTAAAAAAAAAACAAGAGAAACACAAACTGGTGTTTAACATTTTTATTCAAATTCTACAAGCCAGAAATCAGTACTAAGTACAAACAAGTGGATATCATAACAAGCTCACAAGTGTGACACATTTTGCACCTATATATAAAAGGTTTTATTTTAGAGGCTGATGTGCACTTGTGTAAAAAAAAAAAAACTTGAATAAGAGAAGAGTGAGGTAACTGTAAGTTGGGTACAAGAAAAACAAAACAACTATTTATACTAACATATACAGTATATATATACTAAATGATTAAAACACAAGAAATCGTGACTGAGACTGAGAACTGCTTTCAATCATGAGGCTTAGTCAAAAGGACAACTGCTGTTGAAGGTTTACAAACAGAGTACAAAGTTCAAGATTTAGACATGATTTTACTGTTTAAAGAAAAAATAACAAACAGACATAAAATACAAATCTGGATCTCTGCATTCAGCTGTAAATATGAACAAAGACGGGTTTATTCTGTTTAGCTTTAATTTGTGTTAAAAATATTTTACTGAAAATCCTTAAAAATCACTGTGAAGCACTAAAATGTTATATACAGAAGTATGCAGTCAAAACAACCCTCTCCTCTTACTTTCAGTCTGAAATCAACATAATTATTTCGTAAGATTTGTTGTCTGTTAAAAGTTGTCTGACCTGTGTTTGTCTCTAGTGATGAAATAAGATTCTTCACCCATAAGAGGAAGCAGTGGCTGGATAACTTGCCTGTCAGAGGATCTGGCTCCTGACAGTCTCACATTTTTGGAGGGAACACTCCGTAACATTTAGTAGCTTTAAATAGCTCTGTGTACTCATGAGATTTATCTAAAGATAAACTGGCAGCATTTATCACACCAGTGTCAGCTTCACTTCACATCCAGCTCTTGGTGCGAGAGAAATACCTGACCTCAATGAAAGAAAAGCAGTTTTTTTCTCTCTCGCTTTCTCTCTCTGAAAAACATGTCAAAGCTTAAGTTTTGGAAAATTCTGACAAAATGCAGCAGCACAAGAATGTGGATTACAGTTTGTGTTTATTAACTTCACATTAGTTTCAATGTTTTAGGTTTTAACCCTGAAATGGTTAGTGGTCGGTTTAATGATGCCTCCTCTGGTGGCTCTTGAATCATTTGACCTGAACAGAGAGGCAAGAATATACAACTGTGTTTTCTTTAGAGCCATTTTACTTTGGTTTGGTTTCGTAAGGATCTGAGACAACACCAAGAATCAAAAGAAAGACTCAAACAAATCACTGTAGGAGTTGGTGAAAAACAACAAACCTACATATTATGTAGTTTGTAATGAAGTGCTACATAGTCAGGGGAAAAAGATTAAACTTTACTCTTGGCCAGGCTGCTGGAGGTCACCATGTCTGCAGCTGCAGCTGCTGGTCAGCAGCATGGAAGAAAGGACCACAGTGGCAGATTCATCCACATAGAGGACCGGAATGCTTTCCTGGGAGGCTGGCTGACAACATGGCACCTGCACAAAGAGAGAAGGAGTCAGACATGGTCTAATAGCTGATATTCATACTGTAAGAGATTGCAAAAAACAAAACAGATTTTATATGATGTATTTTATGATTTAAAGTTAGTTATTGTAGTATGTAGTGGATGAACTGATTAAGTGATGGACTGCAGAAAAGCTCTGTTGGTGATGGTGTTGCATGTAAAAAAAAAAAGTAAAATGAATATAATTTGGTCTTAATCAGGGACACAAAGTAAATATTACAGTCTTTCAAATCTGGTTTGATACAAATGTTAAATAAAGTAATATTTCCTTCACAGTTGTTCCCTTTGATTAAGTAATTCAAGTCTTTTGCCTTAGTTACACCATCTGCTGTTTCCAAAATACACATCTGCTGCCACATTGCATTCCTTTCTGGTGGAACAGCTTTAGGGAGTGCCTTGGCTTGTGTCAGGCAAAGGTTTTTGTTGGCAGAGGGAGAAAAAAAAAACAGACTTATCTTTTGGCAGCTGTTTCCAGGACTCACTGAGTAAACTAAGCTACGTGCTAAAGATGCCGACCCATGGCATAGAGATGGAAAAGAAGACAAAAAAAGGTTGGAGAAGTGCACTTCTTTTTTATAGAACTTTTTACATGTATTTTGGTTGTTAAACATTTCTCTTTTAAGGCCAACTAACGTGGCAGTCGAAGGCATGTCACAGAAGAAGAAAATAAATATGACCATTTTCCTCATTGAAAAAGCTTCTAATACTCAATATTATCAATGCATTTTAAAAATGTAGTTTAACACCACCACTGTAGTCATAGTCCAATCTAAACAAGTGCTTTTTGCTGCAGAATGCATACTTTAGCTTATTACATAATGAGTAAATTTGGATGATACAACTATCTTTTACTAATGTGAGTATTTTACTTGAAAACAATTACAATACTCACATACACTCATAGCATCTTTAAATGTACAGAACCACTCCTTCAGCTCTGTACATAAGTGGTATTCAAGGTAACTGCTTTTATACCTGTGAGTCGGTGTTCTGCATGCTGGAGTGGGACGATGGGCACTGCACAACGTTTCCTTCAGGGCTGCAGAGTGCACACTGAACGATGGTTACGCTGACAGGGAGGATCACCCAGCTCTCCCAGCCCAAATCTGGGGAGTATAAGAAATAGTATTATGTGCATTTCTATCCTTACTCTTTATAATATAGATATACATAAATGGTGAATGTTGTTGTGCATGCACAGTTCACACAAACACAAAAAAAGTGTGGTATACCTTTCATGAAGATCTCAGAGGTCATGGTGCAGCATCTTGGGCTTGTGCTGTTTCCAACATCAGGTGACACAGAGTTATCAGAGGTGGCTGGAGCTAAAAAAGACCCACAGTTACACAGAAGTAAAAAGTATGAAGTTAAGAACTGCAGCAGTTTTCTAAAACTTCTGTTTTTCCACGTACCAGCAGCATCCCTGGCTCCATGAGCAATGTTGCTGAAGGTGGTCCTCCACTGGTCCATGACCCTGCCCGACCCACCGCCTGGCAGTCGTGGCTCAATCTGCAGGTTGAGGGCCCTGAGGAGACCTTTCCTGATGGACTGCATTGACTCAGCCTGGCACCTGATATCAAATTGCAAACATCATTTAAGTAGTTGAAATGACTAAAAATGACTCAGCAAAAATATAGAGACATAATGACATCCTTTGACAGCATGCCTACTGAATGCTCTGTGCAGCTACTTCACAGATATCTGGATGCATTTCAAACATAGCATATCAAATACCCCTTACATATGTAGACATGCCACTTAAAAAGACAATGTTGCATATTTGGTACAATTCAATCAAACACTTACCTATGATGGGAAACAGGAGTGTTCGCAGAGGCTGTAGGTTCTTCTCTTGATGGCTGCAAGACAAATGCAATCGCCATTGAGGAGCCCAGAAGCACTGTCATGACAATAAAGGCGAAGGTCATGGTGTTTGAGATGGACGGTCGATCTGTAGATGAACAGGTCAAAATGTTAAGCTGAGGTTAGCTCTGCGGCTCTAGGAGGAGGAACAAGTGACCAGTCAGTGATGCTCTCTAGGTACTGTTTGTCAGGGCTTGGGAACCTGGGTTTTTATCAGTCTGTACCCCAGCTTGGCCTTGAGATACTTAACATTGTTGTCTTGTCCACTGGTTTGTGTGAAAGAATACGGGAGGGTGATCCGGTGGGGAAAGAAAGAACCCAATAGACTTCAGATAAACAGAAAGGAATGAGAGGAGGGAGGTATATGGGCATACGCTATCACTCGATGACATATTTTATTAAGTTTTAAGTTGGGACACTTGTGGAACAAAAGATGCATTGATTCATTTAACCTCGAGATAGTGTGGGAAACCACTTGGAGCTTCCCAAACTTAAAAAAACCCTCAGTTTTACGTCTGTGAAGATTGTTATGTAAGGTGTTGTCTTTGAAAGTGATGACGCAGCCCTTTTGAAGGTTGTTTATGATCTTTAAACAGAGGTGAACGCTCTATCTTTAAACTTTCAGATATAGGTGCTGAGGTGCCTTTATGTTTTTGTATCTAAATTGCAAAAATGCATGCACTGGCCTTTAAGTCAGCAGGTGCAGCTTGTCCGATTGAACTGAAAACCCATACTTGTAACCAAAGATGAACTTTGACGTTAAGGCCTCCAGACTGTTGAACTTCCCTCTGATAATCAGGGGACAATCCACAACTTTAAGGGATATTCTGCCGTAAAATTAAGTTAGGGTCAAACACACCGTAACGCCGAGTTAGACACCCCCTCGAGAGATGAACGTTGCTGACTGCTTGCTTCTCTAGTTATACCAACTTTAGTAACGACCGCACGATAGCAATACACAGCGGTCTAAGGAGCCATAAACAAATCTCAACTAAAACGCCACTCTATAGCCACAAATAATGCTCAGAACAGCACCTAACTTCATCAACAGTACATATAGGGTCCCAGCCACAGCACTAAACATCTTTTTAGCTTTGCCTGATTTCTTTAGCAAAGAAACTAAACACAACTCTCCCACACTCTTCCAGCAGCCGCTTGTTTGTAGCGAGACCTCGGGCCAGTCCATTACAGACTGCAGCAGGGGGACGCAGTTCAAGGAAGAACATTAATGATCATTGCTTTATCATTTCCTTGAAGTTATAATCACTATCCCTTTAAGAGTCTTTTAAATCCTCTGTTAAAAAACTCCCCCTGAAGAAATGCTTTTATGCATTCTTGATATTTTTCCTTCTGCATTTTATTCCGTCTTTCACCATGCTGTTGAGTCTTGCTTCTGTTTCTGAATTTCCTTAGAGAGTAAATTTTTATTGTCTTAAAAACTTAAACTAGATAGCTTGTTAGCCAGGCCTAAGGCTCAAGGTAAGACTTTTAAATGGTAAATGAATTATGTTTATGTTTTGTCACATTCACCCATTCACACTGCATTCACACGCTGACATCAGAGGCTGCTTTTTTTTTTTTTTTTAATTACAGGTCATGACAGGTGAGGGACAGCAAACTAAAAGCAGATGGGGGAGACAGGACAAGACAGAATCAAGCTAGGATAACAGTTTAACTTTTTGTGTGTGTATGTATGCCTATATATAAGTGCTTGTTTTGGGGAGTTATATGAAACAGATAACATTTGAAAAAAATAATACTGACTAATAAAAGTAAAAAGAACAATGTGACAGAACGAAGGGACAAAGCAAAAACTAAATAAAGAAAAATACTAAAGAAAATAAATAGATAGATAGATAGGTAGATAGACTGCTAAACCAGAGCCACCACTTATATATGAATTAGATAGTCCTTGAAAAATAAGGCAGATGATAAAATTATAAAAGTACTAATAGAAAGTAATTATGAAAATACACAAGATATACAGTTTTAAAACTTGTTAGAAATAAAAAAAAGAAGATTTTTCATTTTTTCATGTATATTAACTCTAGGTCACTATTTGAAATTCACTTCTCAAAAAAACTTTTTTTTTCACATGTTTTGGATAGTAGTCCATAAAAATATTCAAAACAAGCTGTTTATTCCTCCTTCAATAGTGCTGATGATTACAAATCCCATATTTTTCTGTTCTATTTATGGCAGAAATCTCAGCCGATAAAAATAATACCAATATTATTATCCTGCAGTCATCATTCAAGGACGGGATCTGGAGGGAAAATGTAACACAAAGCTATGATTGGTACTGCAGGTGATGGCAATATCTGAAAGCCTGGAGCTAAATGCTTGGCAACATTGATGGTTGTGTGAGCCAGAGAGGTCCACAGGCATGCAAGGAATGGTAACTTTGAGTCCTCATGATCCCTCTCCTCTAAGCCTTTGCTGAACCCTGGGCTGGGTCACAACCAAACTTTCCCATGCAGCCCAAAATACACAGTTTATCTGCTGCAATGGATATCAAACCATATTTCATCAACAGCACCTCAGGAATCTTTGGTACAAGCTGATACAAGACTTTGCAATGCTTTCTTTTACAACTAATACAAACTGACAAGGTCAGTGTGGAGTGAAGATGTAGGTTTAGTAGAACTGCAGAAAAAGTAAGTTTTAATAAATTATTACATTATTTTACTTAGGGCCCCTAATAGTTTGGAACAAGCCAACATCAGTTTTTTTTAGCTCTTTCATAGGCACTTTTTCTGAAATTCTTCTCAAATTTCAATCAATCAAGGTTGGGACCTTCTGGCCGAGTCTATAAGGAATGCAAATTCTGTCACCAATTTAAAGTGGCAATCAAAAAAAGTACTGTTTTATCATTGTCTGTCAAGGACCCAAAAGCTTTACAAACCATTCATAAGTCTAAAACAGTATTTGCTCTCAGTAACCTATCTGAGCATCAAAACACAAATATGTGTCACGCCCTCGCATTAAGATGCTCAACAGGTCCCGACAGCGCGGGGGAAGATCTCTATCTGTGGTCTTAAATTACAGTCAGGTCTCAACTCTTTAGTGCTGGACCACTGTCAGAATATGACAGCACCAATTTAGAGCTTTATATGCAAATGAACACCTGTTAGACATGAACTGCTGTTGCTTTTTGACCTCTCTGTCTTTGTGTCTTTAACTTCATGACTTTATCTTATTTTAAAATTTGTCTTTTAAAGCCTATCTCTTTTTTTGCTTTTATGCAGCTATTTACCCAACTGAAGTATGTCTACCAGGCTTGCACATGCATTACAAACAAGCATGTATGGGTATAACAGAGCTCAGATGCACTTCACTGTTGTTGCTTGAATGCACTTTTTAGTCTTGCTTTTAACTACATTTTATATCATCAACTTTGTTTAAGTGTTTTGGCATTTGTCTCTTTCTAGTTTTGATGATAGGATCCTCTATTATTGAGCTATTTTGGTGCTCTTATTTTAGTATCTTTTACTATTGTTTTTATTTCATTTTATTTATTATTATTTAAGTTTCATTCTACATTACTTTGTTTTTAGAGTTTAACCCAAACCTCCAGTGTTTCCTTATCTTGAGTTTTAAAATGGCATTTCCTCAGTGCTCACATTCCTGTTTCCACTGAATCAAGCCCTTTATAAGTTGCATTTTAATAGTGTTTCTGTTGCATTTAGATTGCAGGGTGGGAATTAGGGGTTGCGCTGGGGTACATTGGGGTATTCTTTGTTTCTTTTATTCCTTTTTCTGTGTAAAGCACTTTGTGCTACATGGTCGTGTATGAAAAATGCGATACAAATGAAGACTGATTGATTGATACTATGCCCTGAGACTCTTTGTTGTATATACAGTGATGGTGATTGTGAGGCCCGTTTGACTGTTCTATCAAATATGTTCTTATATTGTATACTGTTCTTAAGCACCATATGTGGGCGTCTCTGCAGACTTTGTATGAGGGAAGAATCACCCTCAGTTCATAGCACTGTGATGTGATTACAGGATTCCCAAGGGAGGCATGTAACTGTGGAGGGGAAAGAAATACTATGGCACAGAAATGGTCAAAACGACAGTAAATAAGGAGCTTTGAAGGCAAAACAGTGACACTTACAAAAATATGTTATATGGTGAAATTAAACCAGATTTATGTCCTTTCAAAAGGGTTTTTTTCATACTGCAGCATGAAAATCAATAATGCCTCTATATTGACTTACATATGTCAACAGGGATGAAGCTTGAACAAATTACTTTGCGTTTCATGTAACTTTTCAGAAATATTAATTCAAATTAAAAACTACTTTTTGTTATGACTGTATGCAGCCTCAAGAAATCTCTTTCCAGATAAGGTCATGAAGTCCTTAAGGGCTCAGGGTTCAGAGGGGAGACTGAGATGTCATGGTGAGAAGAATTGGGAAAAATCACATGAAATAATAACAAAATGCAATTTATATGTGTTTAGTCTCTTTGTGAGTGCTGTTCACACAACCAGGTGTTTAAAATATTCCCAGCTGTATCCCTCACATACATGCACAAAATCACAAACATATTCTCACGCATGCAAACCCGAGGTCACCTTGGGATCCTGCAGCTTCTGACGTCCTATTACCATGTATGAATGAGCAGAGTCCTTGAGTATCAGACGTCTCCCACAACTTCCTTGTTGTAGTAGCTTTGGGAGTCACACCACTGACAGCTGCTCCTGGAAAGGATCACAAAGAGCCTTTATACACTGATGAAGGACTGAAGAGGATACAAGATGCAGATATTTCACAAGCAGACAACCCAGGAGATGTTCCTGAGAAGTATTTCAGTGCAAGACAGCAGATAAAGGACAGTGTTACAGGGTGGGTGCGTTGAAAGACTTTCATCAGTGTGTAATCGAACTGGTGTGTAGATTGATTACAAATGTAGCAAGATTTAGTAGTAGCGAGATGGAAATTCACCTGTGGGAGATACTGCTCTGAAGATACATTTCAAAACGCACGTCCACACTGCAAGAATGAAATATGATTATTGCAGACAAATTAAACTCCCTCTGTAACAGTGTTTTTTCAGTCCCATAGTCTTGTAAAGCACTTGTCCTTTGAGAAAACAAAATCTGTGTTTTTCCAACATCGGAAGGAGCTACAAGATGAGTAGTTACTGCCAGCAGGTCTTAAGGTTCCCAGTTATTCAAAGCCAATTGTAGTTTATTTCTACAAATACTAGCAGAACCAGTTAAGAATGATAATGGACTGATTGGTGCCATATTGACATAAATAAAATAATAATAATGATAATAATAATACTAATAATACTACTAATAATGATAATACTACTACTACTACTAATAATAATGATGATGATAGTGATTATGAAAATAAAAATAATAATAATGATGATGATGGTGATAATAATAATAATGATGATAACAACACCAATAATAATAATAAAAATGATGATAATAATAATAATGATTATGATGAAAATAATATTAATAATGATGAATGATAATAATAATAATAAAGATAACAACACCAATAATAATAATAAAAATGATGGTGATAATAAAAATAATATTGATAATAATGATGATAATAATAGCAGTAATAATAATAATAACAATGACGATGATAATACTAATAGTTACAATAATAATAATAATAAAATTAATAATTATATTATTATTTAAACAAAGTTATACCAAAAGTTATATAATAATAATAATAATTAATTATTATTATTATTATAAATTATTACTCTGAACTCTGAAAAACAGGCTGATTTAAGAGAATGAAAGCCAGAAAAGAGATGCAGCACATCACTTGTTTTCAAATTCAATGAAATTTATTATTCCAATAACAGCATTAAAAAAAGAAATACAAGAATACATGTATTTACAATTTGTTTATTCCAACACACACTCAGCCGGGAAACTTAACTTGCTGGTAACATTTGTAGTCTGATATTTATAATCTGATTTAACATGGGGTTTGCCAGCTGTTGATAGATGGTATAAGTCCAAAAGGCTTCTAAATCAGCCCAGAAAGCACAGGTTAACCAGTCGTTGTCAAGATTATTCAGATATCACAGCCAAGGACATGTTGCCTGGTCTGAGTGATAGGCATGACACCTTAACAGAGTCGGGGTGTGTATTGTGCGTGTGTGTTAAGTGGGTCGACTCAGCTCAGGATGCCTCCTCTCAAGTGTCCACTGTCGCTCAGCCCGTGCTCTATGAGTTTGATGTCCTCTAAGTCGTCTTTAATGACGCTGATCAAATGACTTAAACCCTCCTGCTGCTGTTTCAAGTGCTGAAAGTGAGAGACGTCAAAACAGGTCAAGAGGTCGAATCACAGGGTAACGGCTTTATATTCAGATGCGCTGTGTGGATGTGCTGACTTACCTGCTTAATTTCTCTGAGAAGGTCTGCGTCAACACTGTAGCGCTCTTCAGATCTGACAGCTCCAAAGTGATTCTGCATGCGGATCTGGGACATCAATTCATTCAACCGACCCTGGAAGAGAAAAAATAAATAAATACAGCAAAATATCTTTGAAAAACATCATGTCAGGAACACATACTTTGGTTTGTGGCCTAGAGTAGAGCTCAGAATATTCAATTTGAAACTGTAAAGCTATTCCTTATTTCCCTTTTAGTAGGAATGCTTATGAAGTGAAAAAATGAGCACTTGCTACAGTTTAGACCCTCACCTTGAACTGTGTGGGAGCATTGAGCTCGGACTGAATGGTGTCCAGCTGCACCCTGAGGTGCTCCTCATCCACTTGGATAGCATAACCGCTTTTCCTCTGAATCTCTTGTTTGATCAGCACCTTCAAGAGGAATGAAACATGACAGGAAATACAAAACCAGAAGTGGTTGGAGCAGGGTAAACAAACAGAAGAGCATAAATCCTGAGGCAGAGAAAAAAAAAGAGTGCTCCATTTCACTGAGATAAGACACTGGAACTGCACTTGAGCCCAGCAGAAATGAAAAAAAAGGTGAGGCAGCTACCTGCAGCACTCTGTGGGAGAGATCCATCAGCTTCCTCTTGTACTGGGCAATCTTGGCCACTGTGGTCGCCTGGTTCTTCTGCAGCTCGCTGATGTCGCTGGAGATGATCTGCAGCACAGAGTGACATTATATACTGAATAAGTCTGTGATATAAACTCAAAACTAAACCAAGGAGATGATGTCTTTAAGTTCTCATTATCCTCCTTTGCAGCACTAATTCATGCACTGGACATCTGTGTCCTCTGTCCTTGACACAACAAAACCACTTTCAACTTCCTTTCTGTAAGATTTGTGTGCATTGTATCGTCCCTGTTCATACTCAGACAACTCAGACAAGCAGGATCAGACCGCACTGATCTCACTTACATCCACTCTGGTCTGGTGCTGTTTGGTCATCTGCTCCTGGATTTGCAGCCTGCGGAGCAACTCCTTAAAACCCACCATAGGTACCGGGATCAATCTGGGAAAAGAGAAGAAAACTATAATGACCAGTAACATTATGATGGTGTATTAGTTTGAATTAAAGGGATATTCCGGCGTAAAATTAAGTTAGGGTCAAACACACCAGAACACCGAGTTAGACACCCCGTCAAGAGATGAATGTTGCTGACCGCTTGCTTCTTTAGTTATACCAACTTTAGTAACGACCGCACGATAGCAATGCAGAGAGCCACGCGCTCAACCAAAACACCACTCTATAGCCACAAATAATGCTCAGAACAGCACCTAACTTCATCAACAGGACATGTAGGGTCTTAGCCATAGTACTAGCCACCAAACATCTTTTTAACTTTGCCTGATTTCTTTAGCAAAGAGACTAAACACAACTCACCTACTCTCTTCCAGCAGCCGCTTGTTTGTAGCGAGACCTCGGGTCAGTCTTTTATGGACTACAGGGGTCGTTACTAAAGTCGGTATAGCTAGAGAAGCAAGCGGTTGGCAACATTCATCTCTCAAAGGGGGGGCCAACTCGGTGTTACGGTGTGTTTGACCCCAACTTCATTTCACGCCGGAATATCCCTTTAATTTAGACATCATACTTAATTCAAAGTAAGTATGCTTTATGGAAGTCACCCAGCTTACTTCTCAGGGTCTGGGTTGTCCACTTTGGCCTGCTCCCAGATAATCGGATCAACTCCTGGTGAGAAGAAACAGCTTCCTCAGTTCCAGTTCATTTTGTTGAACTCAGCAGAGATTGCGGACACAAACATTTACCTGCAGGTGCGTTTTGCAGCAGCTGTTTGAGCTGCGCCGGGGACAGCTCTGTGCGCGTGAGAGACATGGCCACCCCGATCTGCGTGAGCTGGACTTTGATGTTGGCCTGCTCCAGATAACTAAAAAGGGTGGTGGCTGGTATCCTCTTGGAGGTGCCGTTAGGAGAGCGCTCCACTAGATAAATAATCACCTCCGTCCTGAGAGGCACAGAGGGGAGATTTTGTTTCATATCAATTTCTGACAACTTCAAAGAAATCAACAATCTGTGTGTTGAGAGTAGTGCTGTGTGACATGTTAGAGAAGCTTACTGGTCACTGGGAAGGGCTTTGACCCCATCTACATTGACTGTGAGCGACTGGTTGCTCCCCAGGATCTTGTGGAGGGACTCAACCAGCTGCTGCTGCTGCACTCGCACATCAGCTTCCTTTTTATTGAGGACCAGGACCACTAAACCATCTTCATCCTTGCTCATCGGGACGCAGCTGTAGCCCACCGCCTGGGAAACAAAAAGACAAAGAGGACAACCGTTCCTTATTTATGGTCAAATCAACCCTCACAAACTCGCCACTGCTCCAATAGACCATCAGCAGTTACCTTAAACCTGCAGAAGGGATTCTCCTGGTTGAAGTCAACAGGCGGGTTGTTATTGCTGTAGAAGCCCTTCCCGGTGCCCCAGTAAGCCTGGAGTTGGTTCCATTTAGCGAGGATGGAGTCACGCTCATCTCCTAACAAGGTGGGAGCTGAGAGAGCAGTGACCTGCTGGTAGAGCTGGGTGGGCTGAGGCTGACCTGGCTGCTGGGCCTGCTGGCCGAATAAACCACCTGAGAGGGGGAGGAAAAGGTGCATTATAGGAGGGATAAGATTTTCCTCCTTTTTTACACAACAAAAACATCACATCAACATAAATTAATTAAACTAAAGCGTTTGGCTGATGATGTTTTGTCTGAAATTTTCCCTCTGCAGTGATGAAGATGTACAGCTCAGGTGTAGAGCTGTGTAAGTTGGCCGTTTTATTTGTGTCAAAAATTCTGAATGGGAAGAAAATACAAACATAAAAGCACCATTTTCTGTATGCTGGTTGTGTTTCAAACTGTGTTGTAGTCGAGTCACTAAGCCTCGTGCGTCTGACAAACTCCCGAACATCTGCAGCCCAACTGCTATCAGAAGCAGGTTTGTCTTTCAGGGCTGCTGTTCTAGATACTGTATTTTTCGGTTACACTGTTGCACTGCTGTGGGATGGGAGAACAGCATTTCATCTATTATTTAGATGAGGTTACTTGAGAAATAAAGCCGTAAAATAATAAAGATTTAACAAACTAGACGTCTTGCTCCCAGTGGTTGAGTCTCTTGAGAGGCTAATGCTATCATTATCAAGAGGAATGTGAAAACAGTCCTGGTGACTTTAGCATCTCTCTTACTTTTCTGACTGCCCCTGAACACATCTCTGTCAAAGTTCGTGCTTCTGTGAGGAGTTCTTTGACATGTCCAAAATGCTGTACTCCTCCCACCTGCAATGACTGTAGTCTTTCAAAGTTGTTTCAAAGCAAAAGGCATGTTTTATGTGTGTCTCTTTCTCCAGGCAACATGTATAAAGAACTAACATAAACAAATGCTTAATTTGTGTACTACAACATTGGTTTGAAACATACATCATTTGTATTATCTGCCAGGCCAGGTGTAGAAATGTTTTGCTTACGTGTTCACTGTGGTGGATGTAGTGTTTGAAATTCATACGCGAGTAAAAGTACAGATTTCATGCCAGAAAAAGACCTGGGAGGAAGTTAAAGTGAGTCCTAGGAGCTCCATGCCCTTCATTTAAAAAATGCGAGTGAAAGACCAAGGTGGGGAGAGCAGCAGCAGCAAAGACCCGCAGGGTACAGAGCGGGCATGAGTGACGATACAAATGAATCAGGTAAAAATCAGACACAGCAGAAAGGAGGAGGAGCTCAGGTGGAGGCAGGTAGCAAAGAGGAGGCAGCAAGAGAAGGTAAGCTAAAGCAGTTAAGATTCAACGCCCATTTTGACACACTGGGTCACGACCTTGATAAACGCTGCAAGCCAAAACACATCAGTCGATTTATAAAGTTGTTCTTTTACTTGAAGAGCTGCTGGAGTTGCGACCGTTTTTGACTCTTTTTCCTTCTCAATGCATCTTGGGAGAAGTTAAGGTTTTGCTGGACTCCAGCTGATACTGGCTGTTGTGAAGATTAGCTGACTGATCTGAAGGTTGAGCTTGACTTAGTAGCCTGCCTGAACTAGCACTATAATCAATCAGAGATGCATCGATTGTGAAAATTGAAGCCAACACCAGCCGTTTGTTATATGCCAGCAAAAAAATAAACATGGACACTGATGCAAAGGCACTTTATGTATGCTGATGCGCTGAAGTCTGTCAGCAGAGAATATACAGGCCGGTACCATCATTTCTGAGGATTAGGGAGAAACTCTCACTGCAGACCCTCACCTTGCTGTTGAGTTGGCTGGATATTAAATCCTCCAAACCCACCCAGACCAGTAGTTCCTAATCCAGTTCCAAATCCTGTTGTCCCAGTAGCTGTCCCGGTGCCGAGCCCAGAAGAGAACCCAAACCCTTTGTTCTGTGTGTTACCAAAAAGACCTCCTAAAACAGAAGAACATGCCAAAAGAGTGAGTAACTTTCATCGGCCTTTAGGTTTAAGAGAACTGGTTAAGTGTGTCAGCCAAGGGGAACCTGGGAAACATGCTTTCAGCTTGGCAGAAGGGGTTACTGTAGAAGCAAAAGCAGGGACGTATACACAGTTCAGATAGGAGATAGGAGGGGAGGAGAGAGAGAGAGAGAGAGAGAGAGAGAGAGAGAGAGAGAGAGAGAGAGAGAGAGAGAGAGAGAGAGACATCTTGTGGCAAATTCACAGAGCAGAATTTTAGTAATGCAACAGAACAGCTGTAGATATGAGGAAAAATAAACAGACTGATGGACATCAACAAAACATCGAAGAAAGTCAGTTTTACCATTTAAACTTTCATTTTTATAATATCATACTCAAGACTAAACCTTGATTCACTTCAAGATTTCTGTGACACTTATTTTCAGTCATAAGTCTCTGTAACGGGGCACAATTAGTCTGCATCATCCAGAAATCTCAGAGGCAAAACTAGCCATCAAAGAATTAAGTGGAGGATAAGTAGTCGGGTAAGTCATCACGCTTGATTTTCATACAGCAGACAAAAACGTAATATTGTTTTCAGGAGCTGAATAGATGTGGGTGAGCCAATCGATACATTTCCCACTGAGCAATAGACGGTTATTAGTGGGGGTGGGAGAAAAAAAATCGATTCACAAAAGTATCACGATTTTTTGTTTTACAATTTTTAAATCGATTCTTTTGTTCAAAAATCATTTTTCCCCCCAAATTTAAGAATAAATCTTTAAAACTGACTTACATGTGATGTGTATTTTTTGGGGGAAAATACGGTTCCTGGAATAGTCAGTAGACAATCATAATCATTCAACTGTTTTCACCGGTGTTAATAAATGCAGACTGAAAAACGAGGAAATTGACAATATCATAGAATCGCAATTTATATTGAAGCGGCATCCAAAAAATTGTAGAACAATCGAATCTGGAGAAAATCATATCGTCCCAGCCCTAGCTTTAGATGTCTAGTTTTTTTTTTTACCAAATCTCAACCATCTAGATTCTGTATATTTTTGGATGGAATTTAGACGTTGCACTCTAACCGATTATTCGATAACTATTTATTTCAAAAAGCAACTGTGAGTTTCATAACTGATATCCAAGTACTTAACCAAAATAACTATGATAGCCATTGAGCAATATACAGTGTAGTATAGATATAGCCCAGATTTAGATTTAGTCTAAACTTGGTCTAAATTTAGATGTCTGAAAAACTTTCATTTTTCGACCTGTGGAAGCCTAATTTTAGACCAGTCGTCTAGGCTACATTTAGACCTCTTTTAGACCAAAAAATGCTCAGTGGGTTAGTCTTTCTGTGCTGTGAGTTGGTAATGAAACCTGTGATCATGAAGTGATGGGTGAACACAGCGTTGCAAAACAGCAGGAGCCAATGAAACAGCATAGTGTCTTAAAAACCCTTACACCAGGGAGCAATTCACCCCCCAATGCCGCAGAATCATTTGAGTAACAATAACCTGTTAACAACACATCAATTCCCAAACTTTCAACAAGGCCCCTCTTGAAAAATGAAAAATGTTTCAAGCTTCTTTTCTTTTTCTCTCAATATACACATCAACAGATAAACATTTGTCTTTGTACACTTAAACACACACACGAACAGCCTTAGCAAACAACCTTTCTCTATTTTTGACCTTTTTTCTTCTTTAAAAGACAATTTTCCGCACACATACATGCTTTATTCCTGTTCATCAACCAAAATGAGAATAAAAAGGTGGGAAAGCTTGTTAAGGTTGAAGGAAATCATGCTGCAGACCTGCAGTGTTGGAGGGTGTTGCAAAGCTAAAGGTGGACCCTGTTGCAGCGGCGGTTGTTGTAGTCGTCCCGAAGCCACCAAATGTACCTGAAAAACAACACAAATGATGACAACTGCGAAAAGGAGGTGACACACAATTAAGATGCTGACTATTTGACGGATTAGTTAAATAAATCATATTTTGATTTTAAGAATCAATGAAAAGCAAATCAGGCTTGTCTGTCCCTCCACGTTGTTTCTCCTGTCTTATCAAATACGGTGAGCTGTGATGGACAGTAAGTGTATAATGCAAAAGTTTGTCTCCCCATGCAAATGGAAACAACAAGGCATGACACCGAATGAGACGGACATTTGAGATGAACAACAAATAGATGTGAGAATGGATGAAAATGAGGGTTTACAGACACACACTTGTACTGATTAATTGATCATCTACCTGTGCTAGCCAGGCTATTACCAAAATTGAAAACAGTGCCAGTGGTGGTTGCTGTACCAAAGCACCCCACATTAAAGCTGACTGCTGCTGGGTTGGCATTTAAACCAAACCCCCCAAAACTAAACCCACCAGCCGTGGTGTTTCCAGCTCCCAGCCCCCCAAATCCTGCAGCCAGCAGAGGCAGGCAGCGAAAAAAGAGAGAATGACATGAGGGAGTTAAAGGATTAGAGGTCAGGGTTAGAAAAGGCTAGAGACTGCATACAAGTAGTAGACAGAAGGGGAAACAAGAATGCTTGTCCCATGTCTACAAATGCTTTGTTGAAATCATGCGGCTACACCTACTTCTTATACACAGCCCATAGAGAGTCCAGGGCCTCATCATATCAAATCAAAAAGTCTCAGACTGACTTCATAAAGACAGGACTAATAAAGAGGAGGTGCTTTGTCCACTGTGTGTATCTTACCAGTGTTGGTGGAGCCAAAACTAAATCCTGTGGCTGGTGCAGCAGCAGTGGTTGTAGCTGCCCCAAAACCAGGGGCTGTAAGAGCTTTGAAGAAAAAGTACAAACACAATAAAAAGTTAACCTGGCGTGTGATTTGATTAAGGATTACAACAGCAGCAATGATATGCATTTTATACCCCAATGATGAAAGAATCCTGCCAACACCAGCAGAGAGAGCTGACGAAAACTTATGGGGAAACTCTGACAGCAGAGTTGTCCTTGTTTGTAAGTGTCTCATCATCTGTACAGGGGGCATTTTTGGATGTTTTCCACTGAAAGAAAAAAAACTGTAAACTAACGTGAGGTGGAGATGTACTCATAGTTAGAACTGGCTTTAATCTGTCTGTAAAGTCAGAAGAAGGGGAGGAGGGGACTCAGCTCAGAAACCTTTTGTTAGAATTTTTTAAGGGTTAGGTGGTTTTTTCCATAAATGCACCCGCCTATATACCCTAGTTTTGTTGCTCTTGACCAAGGCTCTTTCACTCTCTATTTCTCATTGCCATTGTCACCACAAGTCCATATTCTCTGTTGTTATTTTTTGTTGTCTTTACCAACAGGAGCTTTTAAACAATCTGGCCCATCCCTGAAGCCAATGCAGGTGTATGAGACATTTACAAACAAGGCTGACAAGAGGCTTACTATGATCTACAACACAACCGAGCAGATTACTTCAGGTGACAAGCGAGGAGAGGAGAGGGCAGGTGCCCACTTCAGTGAGAAGATCATCACTCTGGACTTACTGCCGAATCCGGACGAGGCGGTGGTGGTGGTGGCAGCGGTGCCAAAGCCAAATGCAGTTGATGCTGTGGTTTTGGGACCAAATGAACCGAATGAAAACCCGGACGTGTCTTCACAAGAACATAGAGAGTGCTATGAGTGTAAGATGTAGGGACGGTGATGTTACAGCTACACTGTACAAGCTCACTACTGTAGTGCAGGAGATATTGTGAGAATAGAGAAGCAATAGGAGTTTATCAGGAGTAACCGTTATGGCGACAGTTACAGAAAAGAAATAGGCACCAGTTAACATGTTATTAGGCGTACTCAAATAGTAAAGTTGATAACATATCTAAAAATGAGTTATGTACTTTAGACATTAAAAAAAAATAGCAGTTAGCATACAGGCTCCATGGGCCGGGTGTTCTAACAACTTGTGTTACCTATCGATAAGCGCTACAAAGCGGTTCTAAGGACATCTGCGCATGCGCAAAGTCAAACATCCCGGGCACTTAACAAACTCCCTGTATTTCTAGCTAAAATTCAACTTAAACCTTTGACAATTTGGGATATATTGTCAAATACACCGTTTCTTCATTATTATAAGAGTACAAATTTGAGTGAGTCAATTTGTCACATCGAGTGGTTCTGAACTAGACTGCAGTTTAAACAAACTATTTTAAAGGGGGCTGTTGATAGCCTCTATGTTGATGGCGCTGCGGTAACACATTTCGATAGAGCAGCACAACTCGACAGAACACCGGAGGGTGAGAAGCTAATGAGCGCTGCCGTTTGGCCCTTTGTATTCAACGCTGATGCATTTATCCCAACGTAACCTCGATTTAGCACAGCACTAGCGGCACATTCTTCGTGTCAATGGAATACCCATGGATAAAATCAAACTGTACTCACTTGCCGCTGTGTTACTCGTGGCTCCGCCAAAACTGAACGCCATGTTGACAGTCGGATCGACGGTCCTCTTCTTCTGCGCTAAGCTTGATGGCGGGTAACTAGTGTGTGTGAGGTACACTACCGCCCCCTACATTGCAGGAGTGTATTGATGTCGATTTAAAAAAATAGAATTATTCATACGGTTTGTTTTTCTTTTGCATCAGTAACTTCCAATGTGGTTTCTATTCTTTTTTTTTTTTTGCATCCTTTTTTATTTGCAGCAGTGGCAGTTCTCGGCCACCGTATAATGGTTTGCAAATAATTCCAGCATTATATCGGATAAAAAAATAGAGCAGACACAACATATCGAGTGTATATAAAAGGTTTTGTTTTATCAGAAGGATGTGCTATTTTTCATTTGATTTGTAGAAAAATCAGTTAAAGGAGATGTTACAGCAAAACACTGACAATGGGGTGTTTTACTTAAACAATCCTGAATAAACAATCAAACAAAGACAAATCTGGAGAGGCTCATTGATCTAATTTGTAACAGATTAGTGACTGGGTCTGAAAGGGACATTTCACAGAGGTTGAGTCCCCCATAAGTAAAGACGGGAAGAGACTGACTATTTTGTTCACTACAAGAACAAATTAATCATATACAGCACTAGGGCTGGGCGATGTGGGAAAAAGGTTATCACAATATATTTTTTTCGTATCAGTCGATATGGATATGTATTACTCTTTGAATCTCTCTTTTTAATATTTTATGGAAAAATTGTACAAAAAAAGGAAGAAAATTGACTAGTTGCAAACAACCCCAAGTAGTGGTTTAATGAGTAGTTGCATAACAGGGCACGTTCATTTAAAATATTTTTATTTTTGTGCACACAGAAAATATCCAAACAATGTGTCCAAAGAAGTTGACAATCAGAGAACATGGTAGTAGAAATAAGTACTGTATAATTGTAGAAAGCAAAATCAGTAATGAGAGAAAAGCACCAATGGCTGAGTGTTCAGTCCATATGGTGCTTCATGTATTGATCTTACCACAGTAACTAAACAAATCCTCCTGTTTAAATACTTGAATTGTGTAATACTGTTTTTGCATTTCAAAATAAAACAATATCCCACATCCATACATTCACTCTCTCATCATAATGTGATGACACTTTAATATGCACTCTCCATGAATTTTTCCATTTTTATTTGATTTTCTTTAATACATATTTGAATAAAAGTATACATCAAACTCAAACAGTCAAATCAAATGAGCAAATATCTCAAGAGGAAATGTCACAGCCTCCCCCCCCTCAGATTGTTTCATTCATTGCTGATCACACGAGTGCAAGGTTTTCGGAAGCAACTCATTCATTCAACCAAGAGCAGTGATAAAAGTTGGGCTCGTCACAGTTCAATGAAGTCATTCTGCAGCATTATCTACAGTTTATCACATTAAACGGCACCTGAAATCTACATTTTTGAACAGCTTTGAGTGAAAACAGTCTAGTATTCACGCAGTAAAAAAAACAAACTTTAAAACCAGATTCATGCCTGGTTCATTTGGTATCGGGAAAGAAGAGAGATGTAGTAGATTTGTTGGTACTACACATCATCTCTAAAGAAAAAAAAAAGGCAGAACAAGTCCAGTAACGTAGATTCCTTAATGGCAAAATAACAGCATTTCTTCATATTGACCCCTTTGTGAGTTTTGAATTGCAAATGTCTGGACACCTGAAATAAAATCTATTCTTTCACAGACGTTTTAAAGGAACAGCTCCGTCATATGGATCAGAACAGCACAAAAAAATGCAAGAAAGGCCTTCAACAACATATAAAACACACTTAAAATGATGGTGACATAATTTACAGCTGGATATGGCCATATAAAGATACAATGAGCAGTTATACGGGGCAAAAATACTGTCACCACATAAATTCAACCATAACCTCTTTAATTCTGACGGCTGATCTAAGTGTCGCTCATTATGGCTCTAAGATGCATTTATCTGAATCTATAACCTAAAAGTTCCTCGTTTGAACATTTCTACATTAACATTTACAAAATGGAAACAAACTTCTTATTTTACAAATATTTAAGAATCCAAAATGTACAACGTTTTTGTCTGACACTCATTTCCATCAAACACTGAGGGGAATGTGAGCAGTTCAGCACGTCTTACGCTGTATATTTACAAAGAGACACCTGAAGGCGTCTCAGGTAAGGTGATAACAATATCCGCAGATATCCATCTAAACACAGTGTATGAACAAGGACAAATAATAAGCCTATTAAGCCTATTTGTAACATGAAGTTTAGGATGAAATGCAAACAAGACATACTAATACTGTATTGCGTTAGATGTCTTCATACAGAGAAGACTTGGATGTGTGTTTTCCTCCCCTCCCTAGCTGAAACATTTCATAGTGGCTGAGAAGAGCCCCCCTGAGAGTGACTTATGATAAAAATCTAAAAAAATCTTACTTTTTGGACATTAAAACCCCAGTCAAAATTAATTTACTATGTGCTGTTGCATAGTAGTCTACGATGGAGGAGAAGAAGAAATCGCAAGAATAAAGTCATGAATTTAGGAGAATAAAGCTGTACGAAAAAAAAAGTATACTTAGAAGAATGAAGTCGTAATATTAAGAGAATTAAGTCATTCTGTTAAGAGAGCAAAGTTACAGCTTGAGTACAGTTGGCCTATATGTTTTTTTTCTTTTTTTGAGGATGAAAAACTGAAAAGAAAATTTTCTGATAAATTCAGAAAAAGATATTTCTAACAAGTTATCTGGAAGTTTTGAGGAATTCCGATTGTTAGTTTAGAAAACATGAGAACCCCTTTAGTATCCATGATATTTTCTTATAATTTTATGATAATTATCATTTCTATTCAGAAAAAACTGGAGTTTTTCATGTACAAAAAAGTTTTCTTGTAATTTTGAGATCATTATCTTATTGAATCTAAAACTGCAGCAACATTTTTTAATCCATAACATTTTCTTGTAACTATGACATTATGTCATTGAGTCAGAAAAACAGGACAGATTATTTAAATTTTTTTTTTGTAATGTTACAACTTTGTTCTCTTAATATTACGACTCTTTCTCAGTGTCATTTTCCACCTTTTTTAGTGTTGCCCTGAACTTCTGTCGTATTAGTCAGCGATAAAACTCTAATGTCAAACATATTGTATTGATATAAAAGAAGCTTAAGCCCATCTTATCCTTGGTCTTCGTTTTCCCTTGGATGTTTTGTTAATTTAAGGCCAGTAAAAAGTGTTTCTCCAACTCTCAGCCAGGTGTCAATTATTTCAAATAAACAGTTCATGGTTCAAATCAATGCAAGACCTGGACTTGAGAGGAAGCTCTCCATGGTTAAAAAAGAACATACAGCATCGTATGTTACAGACCAATTATAAAGGGGGTACTGACGATTTTCTGTGGAGGATTTCCCCACTCTTGAAAACAGGAATCCCTATTTTTAATTCTGAGTGCTGCTGCTGCTGCTGCATCTTTCTCCCTCTTAATCTTGAGGTTCAGCTTTGGGTGTTAAACCAATGTAAGTCCCATTATGAGAATCATCCTTATCTTTGTCACTGACCGGAGAGTAAGACTTGTCGTCTTCAGTGGAGGTCTGAAAGGATGAAAACAGTGTTAAGCTGTTGACTCACACAAGCTGCAAACAGTTGCCGGTTACATTTTAAAAGTACTTTACATGAAATTTATCACAAAATGTTAATCAGTTAAACCAGGCATTATACTCTGCAAAGAGGAGTTAAACTGGCACAATTAAATGAGATTATAGTTGCACATGGATAAAAACATTTGCATCAGTGAAGCACAGGCTCAAAGCAGCAAAATAACCATAAAGACTTACAGCATAGAGAGGCTTGGTAAACACAATGCGCTCAACTTCATTCTGCACAGAGACAAACGTTGATAAAAATACATGCACAGTGTGTGTTAGTTAGTGAGAGTTGAAGTTACTGAATAAATTGCGCAAAAACAAACAGAAATGGCTCATGGGATAAAGCGAGCACACATGGAAGCTGTTAAACTCAACTCAACTCAACTTTATTTACTTTAAAGGACAATCCAAGCACGATCTGACGACATACCTTTTGTTTACGGGCCCGGTACAGAAGAAGGATGAAGACAGCGAGCATGATGGCGCCCAGTCCCACGATGATGAGCGGGAAGTTTGACACCACGGTGACAATCAGGAGCAGCTTATGTACTCGAGCTGCAGACGCATCATCAATTGTCACACTCTGAGGGATGAAAGCGGGTCATTTCAGAGAGTCAAGAGTGTACTGCATATGACTTATTTATCCTATTCAAGCGTACTAACTTTACTAAGATCCAATGAGCTTACCTCATTGAGGAACATGACGGGGAAAACGGTCTCATTCAGGGGTTTCGTCTTCCTGTTGTGAATCAAGACAGATAAAGTGAGTTCAATCACAGACACAAAGCCATCTGCACATGTTGAATAATACTGTTTAGCTCATGTTTGGATAAGTGATGAGCACGGCAGTTCTGTTAGATGTACTGAATCACTAGAATCAGTTCACTCAAAAGATTCGTTCACCAAATCACCGAATCATTTAGTGGGAGAAGCCTGCGACTCCGACCTCCTGAACTGATACACAACTCAACGTTTCAGGATTCAGTTCAATTATAGCTCTGATTCTGAACTTGTTTGTAAGTCATGATGTTTTAAGTGAACTGTCCTATGGTATACTTGTTACATGCTGTGTCCTTTTGTATGAAAGTTGTTATGGTGGTAATTTTGCAGTGAAAAAAAAAAGGTTTGGTCTGACAAAAATGATTCCAGAGATTGTAGTTCAATGCGTGATTCGTTCACCAAGTGATTCAGGTGTCGGCAATGCTGTTTCTCACTTCAGCTCAACTGAAGTGAGAAACGAACGAATCACTCGAGGAAGTGATTCGGTTCAGTACGTTCACTTAAAAGATTTGGTTCTTTTGAACGAATCGTTCGCCAACGACACAACACTAGTATGGATGCAGGCACTCACGGGAATCCAGGGACTCTGTTCATCAGAATGTTCACCTGGGCTCTCTTGTTGGCACGCACGATCACTCCAGTGGTCTGAGAGCAAAAAAATGAAATAAAAACAGTTTCAAAAGCAGTCAAGAATCAAGACTAAATGAAACCTACAAAAATATTTTCTAAGTACAACCAAGATGTTTCTGCCCACAAATCAGTTGATAAACTTAATGTACTGCTACCTCTGTGCCACTAGGTGGAGTAGTAACTCTATCTAAGGTTGTGTTGAGGACAAGCGTCTTAAAATAAAAGATAAAATAATAAACTGTTGCCGTACAGGGTTGAGGTCGAGGAACGTTTGGTGATGTTCTCTCTGAGGGGACATTCCTTTGATGGCTGACGCATATTTAGAATCTGCCAGGTGGAAATGTGGGAAGGAGGCAACCACCGGGGCACCTGCAAGAGGACAAGGACAAAAGAGAGGAGGGGGGTATGAGTGAGGGACGTGACAACCTTCAGCTGATCAGAGCATGATGTTTGTCCCTGCTGCTAAAAGATGACCCACAACAAAAGACAAAGACTTTCTCTCATGAAGTTCCTCAGATATCTACTGTAACAGACTACGGGCTTCTCAAATAATGGCTGCTAATGTCCCTCTCTTATATGTATGATCTGAGGCTGTTCACTGCAGTTTCTGTTTACATGTCCTTCCTTGGATAAAGTTTTTGTAGGGCTTGGATTAGACTCTAAACTCCTGCAACATACGGGTGAATACAATACTTCAAAATACTGTGCTGATAGCTTTTGTAATATGTCTTTAAAGGAGGAAATATAGATAAATTGTACATAAGGATCCCTTTCAAACCATAACCTTACTATTAACAGAGCTCCTGGAAGATGAAAAAGGGACCTTCAGTGCAACTTCATTTCGTTTCCTTTGCACAAAGAAGGTAGTAACAAAAACAAGATATCATTGAAACTACAGCTGCTGCAACTATTTCTTTTCTGTCCTGGCTGAAAACACCTTTAGTGGGTTTGAGGCATTTCTTTCTAAGCTATCAATGTGATCATATTTCTGTCCCCCTTAAATCAGTACTTTGTGCAATGAACAAGTATATAAAGAAAGATAGAAGAAAGAAGAAAGAAAGAAAGAAAATAGGAAAAAAAGTAAGGTAGAGAAAAGAAAGGCATGAACAGAGAAAGAGAGACAGAAAAGTTGAAGAAAAAAGAAAGAAATGAAAAAAATCTCAAAGAGAACAAAGACAGAAAAGGATAAAGAGAATAGATTAAGAGAATGAAAGAAAACAAGAGAATAAAGAATGACAGGTAGATATAAAGAAAAAGAGAATGACAGAGAGGAAGAACTAAAATGATAGGAAAAGAAAAAAACAACGAAAAAATGCACACTGGAAGAAAATGAGAAAAAGAATAAGAGAAAGAGAATATGAAAGAAGAAGAAGAAAACAAAAGAAAATAGAAAAAAGAACAAAATAGATAAAAGAAAGAAACAAACAAAATAAAATAGAAAGAAAGAAAGAAAGAAAGAAAGAAAGAAAGAAAGAAAGAAAGAAAAAGAAAGAAAGCGAAAATAATGACGGTTAGAAAAGGGAGACAGAAAAAGAGACTAAGGAAGGGTTGGGGTGAAAGTTAAATAAAGCAGAAATGAAAACACACATTTTTATCCCACTCTCTTCACAAAGACACGTCTCTGTTCCTTTATTAAAGATACTCTACCGAGATTTTCAAACTTTTAGTATCACGACCTCTTTCATTTTTGTTTTCTAGAGTTTTTCTCTCATCATGTTGCATCTACAAAATCCATCAGCCTTCAAAAGCTGATGACTTTGTGTGTTTGAATCTCTCTGCCTCTGCGAAGAACTCTGTCCCGAGGAAATTAAAGGTCAACAAAGCATTATTGTAATTCAGTCTAACGCAGAAACTATGTCGAGACAACACCGTATAAGTCCATTTACAGAGTTGTGCTGTTATAAAGAACTTCAGAATCATCTCTCCATCTATACATATGTCTTTATTTTGCTGCAAGCGGCTCCAAATCATGAACAAGAACGAAACTTTCTTTTTTGTGCTATGATGATGCCACATAAAAACAACCAAAAATCATCTTGCAAAAAACAACCAAAAATCCGCTGTTATCCTTTAATGCCACGCTGCCCGCTGTTTGATGTTGGCTGGAATCAGGCCAAAACTAACTGCAGAGCATTTGGGGGAAATATTAAGTGACGTGACAAGATAAAATCTGAACTGCGTGGCGGTACATGCAGCACATTACTTAGGGTCAGTCTTCCAAAGAAAACATACAATAGGTACACAAATGACCAACAACCCACTCTTGTAAAACAAATTAGGGGCAGTATCTGTTATCAGATTAGGACTGTCATTATTCTTGCTGAGTTCCTTCCACAAATTGTTAACAGGAGACATCCAGTTCCTACTATATGGCCTTGGTGGAGATAAGGAACAGTGTAGTCTATTGAAGCATTTTTGCTCTTTTGCTACCTGTGATTAGTTGGACTGAGCGTCTCGATATGTCCTTGTGTCCAACAAAGACAGAGGTAGCTTGGCTCTAAGAGAGCTGCCTGTGTGCGTGTGTCAGCAACAACAACAGAGTCAGACGGTGGCTCGGTCAGAGGGGCTGATGAAGTGGGGCAGAGGTGACAGTTTTCCTGCTCTTGTGTTTGGCAACAGACGTTTGACAAAAACATGGGACACCTGCGAGGCTGTTCCTGTGACGACACACAAGGTCACTGTTGAGCAAACACACTCTCATGTACGCGTACATACGTTGGTATGGGGACATTTTGGAGTGCCACTTCCTCTTTGAGTTTATTCTTTAACTTCAGACCTCAAACACGACCTTTGTATCAGTAAGTGATATTTGAATCATCAAGTAAACCTAATAATCAGCCACTATTATGACAGACTTATATCACTCATAATTTTGTCTGTCGTCATAGTGACAAATTTTCAAAAAAATCACAGCTGATTTCTTCCTCTCGCTGTGGCTAAACATGGATGGCACGCCTCCCTCTCCTCCAACTGTAGATAAAATGAAGCCAAAATAATTCTGCAACCATCATCGACGTCTTATTCTGGTGACAGATTTTGGAGTCAAGACAAGTGCAGAAGAGCTCTAACCTGAGGTCATGTCCTTTTTTTTTTATACTTTCCCAAGAACCACTAAAGACTCAGTCAGCAGTGAAAACTAATGTGAAACAGATGCTATGACTTTTGGTCTTCTTCTGCGTCATGCTTTCTGTTTCACAGTCGGTATTATTGCACAATTCCAAAATCGCTGTGGTTTGCTGTGTTCGGCAGTTTTATCAGACCACATCATTTGGGCGTGAATCAATTGACTGACAAAAGTTTGCCTGCTTTCACTATGAATATCCCTGCTCTTAATGTCCTATTTGCTTTGCAGTGAAATGCATGCTAAGTCTCTGGTACCTAGTGATATCCAGAGGTTGACGACAATCTCCCTTCTTAACATTTCTGTAGTTTGACCCCCGGTTCAAAAACAGCTGCTGGTCTGAGGAGCATGCAGAGAACGTCTCCGCTAATTTGGGGATAATCCAACTTTGACAAATTCATCTTGGTGTGATTTCAGCTGGACTGTCATGCTGACATGTATTTTAATGCAAAATTTCATTTTTCTAACTTTATCTCTTTTTTTGGCGACAAACTTCACCAAAGATTATAAAATGAACACTGTGACGAAAATCTAAATGCCAAGCAAGCAAGCAAAATTGGGTTTCTTAGAGCTGCACAGTGCTTTCACTTTTTATTCTTACTTTAAACCTTCATTCAAACACTGAGAGAAAAGATCATGAGCTGTTTGAACTCATAATAATACAGCGCATCAGCACGTCAGGCCGACTGACGCTGCAAATGCTGCATAGAAGTATTTCGAGGAAATGAATGACATTTACCGAAAACCTCAAAGGTATTGAAAGTTCATGCGATAACAAAAAGTTATTTATGATTAGAAGTGGAGAGCCTTTGTGTTGTTTTTTTCCAACTGGAATCTGTGAGGAATAAAAAGTAGCTTTGGCACAGGAGGTACTGTATGCCAGTTTCAAGGCCAGAATCAGGTGACAGGGCTTACTGCCTCAGTTACTGGGTCAGTCATGGTCAGATGGCGCCAGAGGTGTGGAGAGGCCTGGAGAGCTCTGTCACATGGGTTGTTTAGGGGGTATTAGGGCTGTTGATAGTAGGAGGGAAAATAAAAGAAGGGCCTGACTGATTTAAGAAGTACTGCCCACAGTATCATGAGCTCAGGCTCAAAAATCCAAGGAGAAAAGAAAGCAGAGAGAAACAAGAATGAACATTTGAAAAATAAAGGTGTGTGTTTGACAAAGAGTTGGAAAGACTTTGAGCAGGACGTGGGGCTGGTTTAATGAAAATGAGGAGTACAGATGTTGAACTCGAGGCCGCCCCCAATGAGGACTTTGTAAAAAGCGTGTGAAAGAGCAAAGTGTGGGTGAGTCAAATATGCTGCACAAGCTGACATTTACCTTTCCGACACGGGCTGACTTTAAGGAGGCCGGTTCCCAAGCACTCTTTTGGACTGATGCAGAAACCCTCATTGGCTGGATTCTCCTCTTTGCTGGCCAGGACGGAGCGAGGTGGAGTGAAGCGATATGCTGGGATTCCTTTGACCTCTACATCTTTTTCAAACTCCATGTAGATGGACCTGGAGGGTAGAGCCAGATTATGAGAGGATGTCAGTCTACTTTTATCTCTTTTTACTACTTTTAGTTCACGCTCAGCAGCTTATGGACAAAGTGCAATTTATGCCTGAACAAGAGGAACACGAGTGACAATCCCTGCTTAAGCCATACTTCTCCCATTCGTTCCTGGAAACACAGAAGCAAAGGTTTCAGCCCAAACATTCAGGGGGAAAAGTTCAGCAGATAAGAGGAAGATTTATGCTGACTTCATCAGTCTGCTAGTATCCTGTCGGGTGAACTCCTCTACCTCTTATCAAGTAGAGAAAAATTCACTGTAGTCTGGAGTTGAACTTCCCTTTGTGCTGGGAGTGGAGAAATCACAAATCTTTCATTATATTCAAATCTGGTGTGTTTTTACAGCCTTGAAGTGAATTACACTCTTGTGAGCGGTTCATCCTTCTTCTATGTTTCTGCAGCTCTCTTCTGTTCAGGGAATCCCAACGATTCTCAGTGAGAACAAAGGAGTCTATACAATGTCTGCCAACTGGCCGGGGAGGATGCGGCCCTTCACTACGCGGCCCACCAACCGTGCAACAATACTGTACAGACCTTTCCCTTGACCTTTGTGAGAGAAGCCAATTAGAAAGCCTGATGTGTTTCTACACTGGAGCAGGACTCTATAAGTCCCGGTCTTGTCCCGCTGGGAATGAGACACAGATAATGTTTGAATCAGTGTCAAATAAGTTCAGATGTGTTTCTTTTTGGTCCAAATCCTGTCATTGTTTCAAGGTCAGCATCTGGAAATCCTGATTAGATGATGTGAACACTCTCTTTTTTTTAACAGGTGTAAAAACTTTTTAAAGGAAGCTGAAGAGGAAAAGAACCAGACACTTGGACACCGCAGTGATGTTTGAAAGCATTTAAGCACAATCTATAGCCATGAGAACTGAGCATGTGTAAACGTGTGTGTTTACAAGTGTTTACATGGTTGTTGAACTGGAAAACAAAAAGGAATTCACCACCCATCTTTTCTTACTTAAATTAGTCATTTTTGATTCCAATCGAGCCATTTTTCTAATTCTTAACTACTTAGAAGCAGTCATGTAAACCCACATAATATGAATCTTTGGGTCTGTTTCTGCAGTGAACTTCTTTTCACACATGCCCTGCAGCAGCATTTCACTCTATACACCTGTGACCCTGTTTGCTTTAAGAGCTCATAAGAAGACATTAATGATCATTTCAGCCCGTTTCATAACCAGATAAAAACTTTTGGTATATTTTATGAATTTTGTTATTTATTTTCCCATTTTGGTCAATTCACCTTCATTAACAAAGCATCAGTGAATTTAACTGGTCTTTTACTCTTTGGGCAGCACAAATTCAATTCAACATCATAAAATGTGTCCTTTGCTTTTGTTTGATTTTCCTCTGGTGGAAACAAAATGCCACAAAATGCACTGGTACACTGTGCAGAACTAGGTTCATGTCCCCTTGCTCACAACTCCTGTCTCTGAAGCAAGGTGGCCTTCAAGATCCTCCTTTAGTCAAGCTTTTATCATCAAAACATCTAAATACAAACGACCACTCTCTTCCTCATCATCCTCCGACTGATACGTGTCATGAAAAAACATTCAGGTGATAATGCCCTAATTCAAAACCTACTTATGAATATATGTATTTAATTTTACCAAATCTGTTCTGATTCATTTGGGCTGCTTGATGAGCACAAACTCACACAGCCAAACAAAAGCCTCCTGTTTGAATCATAGACTGTATATACTATGGTCAACTTGGTTCCGCTTCCCGCCTGTATACAGATTTGAAGCCAAAAAGCTCTCGGTATTTCCGCGATTTTTCTTCATTTCCTGAAACCAGCATTGCGCAGTAGCGCTGTGCGCATTTGGCTGGAGAGTCGCTGTGATGACGCTCGGCTCAAAAAGCGTATCCCCCAGGTGAGCTACACAATCCCTGAACGCCAATAGGCTGTATCAGGTGTCAATCAAAGAAAACATGAACCCCCCAAATAACTTTTAAAAACAGAGCTGCACAGAAAAAAAGAGGACTTGAGCACAAACCAGTCTTACTGTAACTCAGTGGTTCTCAAGTCCAGTCCTCGAGGCCCACTGTCCTGCATGTTTTGGATGTTTCCCTGCTCCAACACACCTGATTCAAATGATCAGCTTGTTATAAAGCTCTGTAATGGCTTAATAACGAGCTGATCATTTGAATCAGGTGTGTTGGAGAAGGGAAACATCCAAAACATGCAGGACAGGGGGGGGGTTCGAGGACTGGACTTAAGAACTACTGCTGTAACTACATGTCAACATCGTAAGCAGGGGGGAGAAAGATTCATATTCTGTGTAATAAATTTCTAAAGTTTGTCCACAGCTCTATAAGCTTTGCTGGCGGAGGCGGGATTTATGACCTATACTGCAGCCCATCAACAGAGGGTGCTGTTCTCGGGGTGGCTTCACCGAGCGAGGAGGCAGACGCCGTCCATTCTTTATACAGTCTATGGTTTGAATACATAGAGACTGTTATTATTTTACAACTAAATCAAATAAAAGAATCATGAGAAAAGCTGTAAAATCACAACAATCTCATCCCTACATTTAAAAGTATTTCATAGAATTTAAAGTTTGTTTATTCTTTTCATTATTCTTTACAGTCTAAGGCAGGGGTGGGCAATTATGTGCCATGGAGGGCCGAGAGGCTGCAGGTTTTCTTTCCAACCCAAAACTCCACCAGGTGATTTCACTGATTACCTTACCTCCAAGCAGAGAGCAGGGACTAATCAGTGAAATCACCTGGTGGAGTTTTGGGTTGGAAAGAAAACCTGCAGCCTCTCGGCCCTCCATGGCACATGATTGCCCACCCCTGGTCTAAGGTCTGAGACTTGGTTGAATCTGTGTTTTTTGTCCATGTTTGTCCTTCCTATTTAGTGATCATTCTTTTTAAATGTAGGTTGTTGATACCTTGACTCCGTTTAAACTGAATTAAATAACCTGAATCATGGGCCGTAGCTAAAATAAAGGTTAATGTATGGGAAATGTCCAGCCTGGCATTTAAGCAATGACACCTGTTTGCAATTCGTCAAAATGTTGAGGTTTTTGTGGTTCAGCTGCTTGTGAACGGAGCAAAGGGTCCTGTCAGGTCACAGATTGGAATTCTGGCTCTGTTTTTATCCCACAGATCAGCCCCAGATGTCCTTTATCTAAAAACAAAGCAGCGCTGGGCTAATCCTACAGGAACTTAAAAAAAAAAAAACCTGAGTCAAACTGTCTGTGTGAAAGATTATAACATGTGACTCCAAGGAACAGTTCCTCTTCAATCAATGTTAAAAAGCACAGGAAACAGGGAGGGAGTGTACTCTTTAGCCACAATCACACAGACAGTCGTGATTAAGCCATCAGGCAAATGAGTAAGTAGGTGAAAGTGTAAAGCTTTTTACAGAGGGATTTTTGACACATATCCAATCAGAGTCAAAGGTACAACCATGACTGTCCAACAGATTCTTTCCACCCTCCTCAACAAAATAGGGAACATGTCTGTTGCAGCTTTTTAGGTCAAGGTTATTGAGTGAAAGAGAAGCTTCCATATCCTGACATGTTAGAGGACAGTTATATCACTAACGACTGCTCAATATTTCCAAAGTAAAACCTCAAACAACTGTTTATCATTAAGTCATTCTCTGGGAAGTGGGAAGCAAATCTCGTGTGTATTTCTCAATCTTTTAATGGATTCACCCTGCCTGTAAACCCCTCCAGAAGATTCTGCTGGATGTTCTCACAAGCATTAAGCTCATCAAATCCTGAAGAAAACTTGGCATGAGCAGCATGATCAAACTTTCTGTTCGAGAGCAGAAACTTTTACTTCTCTTTTCTGTCCTTCTGTTTCGAATGTACCCCTCTATAAAGTCAACGTCCTGAATAAACACAACAGTTTTCCTGAAACTTCCCCAATCACTCACCTTCCCCTCTGCTCTATACACCATAACAACATTCCTCTTTAAGTAAGCCTTTCCTGGAAACTAGCATGTTAGTCTTCCAAAAATCCCACACAGTATAGACAGACCAGGCAGCAGAGCCTAGGTGGTCACACATGACGTCACCTGAGGCGCTCTTTGTAAGTGATCAGGATGTAATGTAATGATAACAATCTATGGGATCCGAGGCTTGTGAATACATTTCCACACCAGATATGAAAGCCTGTGTCCCGCTGTGTGTTGATCTGAGTCCAACATATTCAGGCCAGGTCATGTACCAGAAATAGACGTGAAATAATGACCCTTAATAACCTCACTGCCATGTACAATATCATCTATACAACACTGAGACACAGCCCCTTTACTGTCAGATTACTTCCTCTTATGATGCTGCATGCAACTTTTTTACTTGAGTCAGACGGACAACAGGCATTTCAAGTTTGATTAAAGCAAAGCCAGCAATTTAGTGAGTCTCTGCTGATGTGTAGTTTATATTGTTCCAGTTCTCCAATGTGAAGAGAAAGTCAAGTCATTGTGATTGTTCAGCGTCACCTAAAGCAGATAAAAGTCCTCATGCTTCATTCTGCACATATCTGTCCACTAACTGTCTTAAATCATGTCAAACTGATTATTTGTAGTTTCACTTGATCAAGTTTCTATCTTGTACAATAGAAGTGCAAATCAACATATGGCACAATAGTGATGATATCAAATTACCGTATTTTTCGGACTATAAGGCGCACTTACAATTCTTACATTTTCTCAAGAATTGAAAGAGAGTCTTATAATCCAGCGCACCTTATATATGATAACTTGTTGTGCTTACTGACCGATTTTATGTAGTGCAATGTGCTCAAAAATCTGCTCAATGGATATTCGAAGCATTACAGTACGCTGTGTTACTACCTGATCCGGCTCGTAACAGGACCCCTGAGCAGTCAACAAGACTGTCTGACTGTAATGTCTAAACTAAAAGTGCATTCATGTAAGGCAACAATAAGCCAATCAATGCTTAATGCGCCTTACAATCCGGTGTGCCTTGTGTGAGAACATAGACACGTTAATTCACAGTGCGCCGTATAATCCGGTGCACCTTATCGCCTGAAAAATACGGTACAGCAAAACTGCAATAACTAATAGGAACTCACCTCTTCTAATGTACAATGAGCACAGTTATAAAAACATCTGTAAGGCTTTACTACTCTAATGATGGATTATGAATATTCATAACAGCTTACGGTCATGTTTATGGTGTGTTATAGAAGCGTTAAGCTATAATGAATGTTTATTACATGTGTTTTTACATTAACCTGTAGTATTGTACCTCTGGCATCTTTAACTACACCAAAGCCTTTTCAGGTCAGTCTCTTTTCCTCCATAGCCTTTGATGAAACTTTTGCCTCATGATCACTGCTGTAAATTTCCTGCATCACACTAGTTTGTACCACTTGTTGCTGATCAAATATGCAGTTGTTGTCACACTGACTCAATGGCACATGAAGTCCACCTTTCTGTGTGTTGGAGGAGCACAGCAGGCTGATGAGAGCTGTCAAAGCGGACAGAAGCTGCTCCTGTATGTTTAGCGTTTAACTGACTGAGTTTTGCAACTCTGTTTGTCATTTTCGTCTCTTCCCATCAACGTAAACGCACTTTCGTCTCGTCACATTTTAGTCATCTCCGACTTATGTTTAGCTCGTCAACGTTACGTCTTCGTCGTGGGAGAAAAGGGAAATATTTTAGTCAACGGCAACCGTTGGACTAATGCTGCCATATGTGCGCTCATCTTCTAATTATGGGATGGTTATGGCTTCAACGTGCGGTTGAATATTCTTTAAATTGGTGATGCATAAGAGCAGAGGGCTGTTGGACATCACTATGTACCTGCAGAGGTCTGGAGTGAAGATATAAAGGCACAATTATCGTCCAGCAAAATTTGTTATCGTGACAGGCCTAGGTACAGATGTCCAAAAGTTCACCTTGCTGCAAAACAAAAACATCCATTCATGATGCAAAGTGACCAAAAAAGGGTTTTTAGACTCAGGCAGCATCCATCAATCTGTGTTTTCTTTGTACAAAGGCAGAATGAGGATGTTTTGGTTGTTCTTGGCTTGATATGCCGTTTTATAATGCTCAATTTTCAAAGTCAACACGGTAGTATTGTACCTCTGGCATCTTTAACAGACAGTAAATTACTCTAAATGTTTTGATGATCAAAAATGTTTTTATCTGAAAGTCACAGTTGAAAAGAGAGGTTTCCCTGGAGTGAGAAGGGTAATTAGAGACTGTAGGGAACTGAGGTATAGAATAGGATAAGAAAGTTCAGTAAAGAGCCATTATTCTCTGCAGGATCAAGTGCATCCTCCACCTTTCTCTTTATCTCTGCATTAAGAGCTGGAGCAGCTTTTCACCGCTGTCTAAAAACACTTCCGATCATCTCTGGCAACTGTTCACTTCACCCTCATTCATGTTACTGGCTCCACCTTGGGGGTTGTGATGCGATGTGATGAGTCACATTCGCAGATGAATCTGTTTTGAAAGACTCGGTGGACTAATGCTGCCATATGTGCGCTCATCTTCTAATTATGGGATGGTTATGGCTTCAACGTGCGGTTGAATATTCTTTAAATTGGTGACGCATAAGAGCAGAGGGCTGTTGGACATCACTATGTACCTGCAGAGGTCTGGAGTGAAGATATAAAGGCGTTCATCTTTTTTCAGCAGAGGATGGAAAGCACTCCCGTCTGATCCGTTGATGCTGTTGCTTTGTTCTGATGTCCAAAAGTTCACCTTGCTGCAAAACAAAAACATCCATTCATGATGCAAAGTGACCAAAAAAGGGTTTTTAGACTCAGGCAGCATCAATCAATCTGTGTTTTCTTTGTACAAAGGCAGAATGAGGATGTTTTGGTTGTTCTTGGCTTGATATGCCGTTTTATAATGCTCAATTTTCAAAGTCAACACGGTTATCAACTCCCTCTTAATGACAGTAAATTACTCTAAATGTTTTGATGATCAAAAATGTTTTTATCTGAAAGTCACAGTTGAAAAGAGAGGTTTCCCTGGAGTGAGAAGGGTAATTAGAGACTGTAGGGAACTGAGGTATAGAATAGGATAAGAAAGTTCAGTAAAGAGCCATTATTAAGGCATTCAGGGTATCAGGATGTCCTGCCCTATGCTTTGTAGTTTGGGAGTCAGCCCAAACCCACGGGCAAACACAGACAGACAGACATTTACAGCCTGTTCCCCTCTGGTATTGGCACAAAGCAGTTGATTTCAGAAACTTTTCAGGTCCAAAGGTTACACTGTGAAGTGTCATTACAGCAGATGAGGACATAAGGGGATTGTGTGATAGTGTGACTGCAAAAGCGCTACCTTTCGCCTTTCCATGTTTCGACACGGCCGTAGTCCATGTAGTTCTGCTGCCCAGTGTGGTAGACAAATTCCCCATCGTTAGTCCCATTTTTCTAAAAATAAAAAAAGGAGACAGAATTCATTAAAATCTAAACAAACTGTGGCAAACGAAGAGCACTTTGGGGTTATAAAACAAAAGACTTATCAATACTTTAAGCAGGGGCGGGCGATTAATTTTTACATGAGGACACATGAGATACCTGAACTGTGTTGGAGGGCCAAACCAACAACAACTTCAGCTTCAAATCAGGGGGGTTCACATGTACAGAAAAGCAAACCCAAATAAGCAAATACTAATTAAAAACAAGCCCAAAATAGCACATCCGCGACTCATGAGTTTTACAAGCGACTTCTGAGAGAAACAAGCCTAAAGCCTTTTAGATTTTTTTATAATAAGCAGACTGAACAACTATAAGGCGTCTATGTAAATTTTGCCAATGTTTAAACTTAGGATGTATGCACGTGTGTCCAAATGGAAATAAAACAACGGCTAGACTTTCAAAATAAAAGCAACACACTTGTATAGCATGTTGACGATTTGATTGATGGACCTCACGAAGGGCCGGGCAGGGACATTCAAAGGGCCGTAAAATGCCCAGGTCTGCTTTAAAGCTTTGTAAGCAACTTTAAATATTTGTTGACCACGGCGCCCTCTGTGGTCAAAGGTGGTCATTCACTTTTTTTTTTGATTTCCCTGATTTCTTTTAGCTGTCAAATGTGTCACTCAGGATGCACTGCAGTCAGAAACATAGGAATACAGGAATTTTGTTGCTGGCTGTCTTGCTTCTGTGGTTTGTAGAGAGGCATCAGATTTCATTTAAAAATGTTTAAAAGCAATTAAAAATTCTTGGCAGGAACTTGCACTGTGTAAAAACATCAGGCAGACTGACAGTACGGTTATTTACAGCTGAACCTTTTTAGTGTCTTTTTGAATGGAAGCATCTTATCTTGTTATCCAACATCCAGATGTAATTCGTCAAGTTAATCAGCACATGCCTTGTACATGAGGCCGAAGACTTTCTCCACATCAGGTTTGGAGGCAGCAATGTATGCCAGCAGGGGGTCTTCATAACCCCACAGCAACTCATCCACGGTTCGAGTGGTGAAGAAGTCGCCTCCCAGTGAGCCCATCATTACAGACATCAGGGAGGCCTTCCAGAAACTATCTCTCAACTTGTTCATTACAGCCTGGAGACAGGAAGTGAAGCAGAGTAGGATATAAATGAAACAGCGGACAGGGTGAGGACAGTGGACACTACACTTTACCCTACTTTGATTTACACTTTCCTCTACTTGGCTGACACCTTTAGAGCATGACTCACCCATGCAGGGATATTGACAGTGGTGATGTTATCCACAGCTGGGTCACCCACAGACTTGTCTCTCAGGAACACAAAGCTTTTGGTGTTGTAGGCAGACACCTTGGTGCCGTTTTCCACCATGCTCACATTGTCCTTATACCTGTACTCCCTGGACAAACAAAATGGAAATATTAAGGTTAATTTCAACTCCATTAAGTCCAAGAATAACATCCGTTTAAAGGCACAGTGTGTAAAAATGGATTTATCTAGCAGTTCTAGCTCACCTTGCTCACCCCTCCCATCTCTGTGTAAGTGAGGACAAAAAGCATAACAAGCACAATTTTCCTTTTTCCAAGTTTTTACCACCAAATATTTCAAATATAAATTCTTTTAGCACACAGCAACAACCACCGTCTTTTCTTCTGCTAACTAGAACAATTCATGCAGCCACTTACAAAATAAAAAACCTGTATGTCACTTGTTTGTCCAGTCAGAGCTGCTGCAGAAACATGGCAACGCAGGATTTCGGCCTTTTTTTATGTGGGTGATTATATACTATTTAAACATATATATTCATATCATTATTCATAAGTGCCAAGCCTGTTCTGCGAAATGCCAAATATATACTGCACATCTCTACTTTTAAACCAAGGTAGCCAGGAGCTAGAGTTAAAAAGGTACGTTTGCAGTCTGTTGTAACATTTTTGTGGTGCTTGGAGCGCTGAACCTTGATATTTATTCAAGGGTTTCATAAGGGGGCCATCAGACATGACTCCAAAAGTCAAATCTGGACAGAGAGTCTTGTTACAGCTGTACAGAATAGAAATCAGCACAATGCACACGCCACAGATAGATTTTAGAAAAAGTCTACTGTCATCTAATTAAACCAGTCTATCTGGTTGACTGAATGTGTTTTGAAAAAGCGTGACTTTGTAAACCATGAGATAGGAAGCTGATATGCAGAATCAGATGTCCTTTTTTTTAGTTTGTATGAGTGCTAAACAAATATTTGGCACATCTCCTGAGCACGATGTTGATCAAAGAGCTGTTTATAGGAAAAAAATCTATTTCTACCATGAAAATGATTTTTTTTTTTTGAGTGTGCAGTGTGGCAGATAAATTAAGACCCAAAACCAAAAAAGTAAACCTGATGAATTGAGTTTTACTTTGTACAGCACTTCAAAATTGGCCTGTGATATTTGCAGTACAGCATGGTGGTAAAACAAATAACCCTAACCCTTTTACCACCAGAGTGATGTAAGGTCAGGATCGATAATGAAACTGTGAAATTTGATGTTCAAATTAAAAAATATATATTTTAATGTTCTGCTTAACATTTTGACACCCACAAGGAAAAGACTTCATATCCATGATAGACTAGATAGGTCATCTTACAGACAGAATGACCTCCAAAAACTGAGGTCAAGTTTTTTCAACTGTCAACACAGAGTAAATAGAAATGCAGGTCATTCATACTCAGTGAGTAGACTTCATCTATTACACATTCAATATCAAATATTTGACAACACATCAGATGTTGAGTTTGAGGAGCTGCAGAGCTGTGTGGCTTTGATGCAGCATATGCATTTATATCTTACCTGTATGTGTAAGGTCCGATCTGCTTGACCTCTGGCTTCTCTCCTTGAAGGAACCCGTTCACATTGGTCACATTGAAGAAGAAAAACTCCATGTAGACAGGAGGGGGAGGGGTCTTCCATGAGTCGAACACACGGCTGCCCTCGACCAATACGATCTCCTGTGAGGACATGGGGAGTTCATCTCAGTCAACAATAGAACATGAACGTGAGAGGCGAGTTTGACAAGTGTAGACACCGAACACAACACATGATTAACTACAAAGAGCACTATGTTTAAATGTCTGAATTTATTTGAGTTTCATGGTTGCGGTCATCTGAGGATTCATTTGCTGCAGAGAGTTTAGAACGGTCAACATATGCTCTGAATCGGATGTTTCCACAATGTTTTCCTTCTCATAACAACCCGGAGTACAAAAACATCCCTGGGTTTGAAGAGGAGGGGGAAGGCTGTCTGAGCGTCAGACGAGAGCATTGGCTGCACACATGAATGGCATTAGGGGAGACCCTTGCACAGTTTCATTGTGAGCAGTTGCCATAGACAACCGGCACTCCGGGGAGAGCCGCTGACAAATCATGTGATGCAGAAAGCTGGATGCCCACCGGTTTCCACAGGACTGAGGCCTTAATGACCTGAGTCACATTCCTCTGGACTGAGCCCTATAACCCTGGGAGGTACAGCACAAGCTAAAACCTGCACCGCTCTGTTTTAACTCAAGTTTGCAGATGTGTTTGCCTCAGGATGAGGGTAACCTTTTACACCTCAGGGCTCTTTTGAAGACTTGGAGAACAGGCAGTGAGAGTGGAAAGAAGGTGGTGGCAGGATTAGAGATTCTTAAGACAATCTAGGAGGAAATCTCACTTTGGCCTAATTGTGTCAGATTTGTGTTAAATCTAGAAGCGGTACTTTGGTATGAAGTAAGCCTAGAAGAGCTGAACATGCCAACAAGTCCCATTATTTCAGGGGAGTACAACCCCCTCCCCTCCTCTGTTGGGGTCCCTTCCACTTGTACAGAGACAAAAGTCTAGTTGAGTAGCCAAGGACAATAAAGCTGTCGCCTTAGATTGAGGAAGAGAGCGCATGGTTCTCTCTATGTCCTCCTTTCATGCTACGAACAATCAATATGGTAACCCTCCCAGCATGCTACATGAAATACTGCATGGAAAACAGGAACAGAGAGAGCCTCTCATCTCAGCATTTACCACAGCAACTCTCACACCACTCCCCGTTCGAAAACACGTGTAGCAGGTGAATACACAAATACGCAAACTGCAAGCGCTTTGATGTTAAGGCAGGCAAATACATAGCCGTGAATAACACTGGGCACAGCAAGAGGCTATTCATGAAATCCTGCAGTTGTGGTGCAAAAGCTTTGCATACTCTAAATGGGTTTGCCTCTATAGAGGTCAAAGAACTTACAAAGCTAAACAAGCAGCGCCGTAGTCCGGCCCTATCAGAGTTATATTAAGGTCATTTCAGTTCAACGTTGACCTGGCTTCACTGGTTCTTCCCCAGTTTGCACAAACACAATCATCGGAAGGCAGTTTGACCACACTGAAGATCATAAAAGCTGCAATTAAACTTTAATTTGAAGGTGCTTATCTGGAGTTATTAGCGGGATGTTGCCAGACTAACATGAAAATAGGAGCTAGTCTGGAACGGCTGAGGTAGTTTCTGATCACAAGAGGCCTTCTCAACCTTCACAGACACAAATGTTTCCACGGTAAATTGCACTTGTAGTCAGACAAAGCAATAAAACCCGTGTGCACTGCTCAGTCCAAACTGTTTTTTGAAACTTCCAAGCACAGATGGTTAATTAAACTTTTACCAAATCCGATCTGATGATTGGCAAACACACTTTAAACAACAAATAATGTTCTGAGTGTCGTTTGCTTATGGTCTATGCGATTTTAATGAGACAGTGGTTTTAACAGGGCATTTCATATTATCTTGGTTTTTCATGAAGATGTCTCAAGAGTGTTCATTGTGACAAGCCCGCCAAACCATAAGATAAAAGCTGGAGAGTCCTTATCAGGGTTAAAAGTCTGTCTCAACACAAGAGACACCAGATAAAATGCACAGATTTGCAGAATTCACTTTTATTCCAACTTTCCTCTCTTGCAACATCAGGTCCAACTTACGCTTTGTCAACACTTTGGTTTTTGGATATAAACCTACGAAACTTAATCTAACGTGACAACTCTTTCGGCATGTAGCCCCCTGCTTGTTATGACTAGTCTGGCGTATGTAAAGTGACCAGATTCCTCATGAAGGACCAATCATTTTTCACCATCATCTTACCAGCGGGCCATTGGATCCTGACCTTACTTGACTCGCAGAAGCTGAAGGACTGCCAGCCCCTCCAGTTTCTCAATAAACCTAACAGTGTGAAAGTGGCTTAGCTCGCAAAGAGAGCCGATTGCTGGAATGAGATCCCTCACGCTGGTGCAGCTGGTGTTGGAGGGTAACTTGATATGGCGTCATAAATCATACTAGTAGTTATGTATGTTTGACAGCATGTGAGAGCTGTGCGTCTCACCCACACATTTCTGGGTGAGGTTGGGAATGAGGGTCATTTTCTGTTTTACTGGCCTATTTATGACGACTTCATGGATGGTCTTTGTTCGATTTCTTTTGGTAAGAAGGTTATAAAAAGCAGATTTATCTACAAAACTTTGGAGAATAGGCAGAATACAATGTTTAAGAATGAGCTGTGAAAGAAACATGCAGCTTTGTTTGTAGAGAACCCACAAGGGTTGGGCACTTTGTATGCACTGCATGTAGATAAAATATGCAGAGTGCCGTTTCTTCAACTTTGTCAACCAACTTTGTCAGCCTCTGATAAGATTTGTTTTAAGTACACGTGTCTTACTGTTTGCCCTTCTTCGCCCAGCTTATTCACACAATTCAGTGGTTGGGTAATGGATTGTATTTTTCTGTTTTAAGTTTCTCAGACAGTAAAAAATATGAAGACGGCTACTCAGATTATTTTTGAAAGCGATAGCAGCATTGATTCTCAGAAGGTTTAACTTTATCTTTCTATAAACTGATTCAATGACTGCCAACAAAAACATAAAATATTCTTTCAAGTCTAAGTCTACCAATTTTAATACTAGCTAAAAGAGCAATGCCCACTAATTGGGCACTTTGAGTAATTGGGCGGTTTTATCAATCAGAGAATCTGTAGTTAGTCAACAGTATTCAGTGTGGGCAAGAGCCAGTGTCAACATTAACCATTTCCCATAAACTTACTCTGTAAAAGCACCAAACTAGGAATGGAAGGTATGCACAAATCCTCCAGATCCCTGCAGTTCCAGTCTGTTTTCACCTTCTTTAACTGTTTTAACCACAACAGCATGGCAAACGTGAACCATGTCACTTAGGTCACCAAGGTCATGACCCCATCATTATGTTTTGTTCACAAGTTTACACTTCATATTGGGGAGTGTGTCAAAAACTGATGCCTTTAGTGCAGACCAAGTATTGGTCTGTCAACTCCCTATTCTCGTGTAGTTTTGTGGTTTGGCTACACAGTCCTACTTTTTACTTTTGCACTAAAAACAATAGATCACACTTAAGGTATTTGGAGGACACACAAAAATACCTTCACAGTACAATTCAAGAACAATGAGGCTTTGAGAATAAGGGAAAAACCAAATTATCTAAAGGCTACAGAAATAGAGCAAACAAAGCTATTTACTGTATCACCATAACTGACAAGCTTAGGTAAATATTGACATGTAAATGTGGTTGTTAAACTGTCAGCATAGGGCGTGTTTTTAGTTCTTTAACAAAAGCTCATTTTAATTGTTGGAGGAGATGATTTGAGACATGAAAGTGTAATATTCACACATTCATCCAGTGTCATTGTATGGATAACAGCTGTCCTCATCCAGTTATATTTGTGCTCAGTGGAAAACTGCCAAGGATCATGTAATTTAGCTCAGAATTAGGACAAACTTCAAAACTACAAACCTTAAGTAAATATGCCCCCTGCCTTTTAAAGTCAATATTCAGGCTCTCTGATAAAAGCTATCTGATAGCTGTTATGGAAAAAAGGTTTGGGATGAAACTAAGGATGAAGGTGTGCCATGTGATAACACTGAATGAGGGCCAACAGTTCTTTCACGCCTGCTTTGTTATCAGAGTAAAGTGAACTCTCTGGGAAAGCTTTGAGCCTCACCTTCTGACATCGTCTAAAGTATTAGAAATCCAGGAGGACACTGGACTTAACCCTTCCAGGTATTTCAGTGAATAAGAAACAAAACAATCCTTTAGGCTGCAAATAAATTCAATTTGCTCTTGAGCCAGCTTGCATGGGTTGTGGACTTAAGGGACTGTATATAAAAACTTGTAAATCTCTGTATATGAGGATTTCAAACTCTTTTTAAAGTACTCTCCGTGGTCTTTAAATTGTGATTAAAATCACGTTACCTGTGTCATTTTCAAGAGCTTTTCTTCTGCAGAGCTCCAGGAGCTCTTTAGCAATTCACCTTTGAGTCGTGGGCGGAGACAGCGCTGCTCTGCACCCTCCTCGTGAATAATGAAAGCTAATATCATAACTAGCTGTCTTATGAGCATTGCAATCCACTAACGCACACACTTGTTCTGCGATCCTCCTCTTTATTTCTCCGAGTCTGGCCTGCATAGCCAGCTCCGGGGGCGGAGCTTGCAGTTGTGACATAGGAAATCTCACTGTATCTGAACCTGCTGTTTAGGTCTGTGAGAAGTTGACAGCGATTTAAATGCAGAAATACTCAGAAATGTAATTTTGCTCTTAGTTTTGTCATGATATGTCCTCTAGCATCAGAAAAATGCCATATGAACATATTAGACAACAAGAAAAACAAGATTGTCTTCAGAGTGGGTCCTTTTAAGAGGTTGGCATGTCATGTTTACATCCGTTTTGATACTCATTTCCTCTCACCACTTGATGCCTCTGCAAAGTTAACCACATCTAAAAAACCTTCGCTTGCACATGAAGCATCGGATGTCTGTTGACCTCATATCATCAGTCACTACACTTCCTGGATCTATGAGGCAAAGGAACAAGTCTAAACAAAACATGATAAAAACAAAAAACATGTTTACATCTTTTACAACACAGTAACTGACTGAAAATCTCTGTAAAAAATAAAGAGATGAGAGCAAAGAAATATTTCACTTCTATGATATTTAGAAATCTAATAAGCTGGAAATAGTGTTTTTGTTTGAGTCCCTGACCAGTCAAAATAACACATTTCTCAAGCCGTAATCATGATAACACTGGTATCTCATATCATGCCTGTGCAGTGTTATCACATGGCACACCTTCATCCTTCATATGAACTCCCCACTCTCAGCAACCGTAGAGGTTAATGATGCAATGCGAGTTTGCTTAATCTATTGGCAAACTTTTACAACTGTCATGCAGGATATCTGCAACAGTTCTGAGGCCCGGACTACACGTATATAGATATTTATTTAGCAGGATATTTTTCTACTCCCGTCTAAATAAATGTATCTGTCCACACGTGTTAGTTCTCAAAAATATCTGCGTCCACACGTAGCCTTCAAACTCAATCGTATCTGGTGCCGCTTAAAAAAAAAATTCAGGAACAAAGCTAACTGATTGGCCGATGAATCGTAACAGCGTGATGTGTCATGCATTGTTTGCGGAAGCTACGCTAGTGCGTCGGGTCCATGTGACGGACTATGTGACCAATAAAAGTATTGGGTGCAGCAGACGCCTCTGTGAGCTGGCTGACTGGTGGATGTAATTGTATAAAACAAGGTTCACTTGCAAGACTGAAATTAGCCCCAAAAGGGCAAAACACACATAAAGAATACCCTGTATGTCCGCCATCGTTGTTGTTGTTTTTCTTTATAATTCGCATGCGCGAGCTGCGGTTTGACGTCATCGATCCGTAAAAGTTCAACCACACGAATCCACTTATACGGATATTTTTTTATTTCTCCACTTTTTTTTTTTGGATTCAGATTTATCCGGTTTGAGTATTCCAGACTCCCGTTTTGGTGTGGTAGGGGGGCCCAATTGGACATAAATATGTGCGGTTTGAAATATATCCGCGTTCGTGTAGTTGGGGCCTGAGGGTCTGCAGTGTTGTAAATCTTCAGTTTAAGTCTACTCTGTATTGACAGAATGTGGCTCCACTCACTGTATGTTTAACTTGTCAAATGGGCTTTTAAATTACCTTGTCTTTTGATGATTTGCATTTGTTTTGACATGCATGTGGTCCACTGAGCTCTCCCTTCAAGTACGAGAATATTCATATTCCATGTCACTACATGGGGTATGTAAACTTGGCATGCACTTACACAAGTTAAGAGCAGGGACGACTGAGAACAATTAACAAAAAGAAGTGTATTTACATTTACGTCAAGCTGAAACAATATTTAAAGCATTTAATTTTTTGATAAAAATGCCAAAAATCTGCAGGTACCTGCTTCCTGTTTTGGTCTCTAGAAACCCATGATATCAATCCTTGAGCAAATTTATGTTTCAGGCTGTTAGATGAATGACAGAGAAATTTGGGGGGGGGGGGGGGGTTATTGATGGTATTCCTGACTAATTTCTGTCAACAGTTCCAAATTGAAACATACTTTTTCCAAAACCTTTTCTGTATTTCCAACCACTGTGAACTGAACATCGAGTGTTTTCACATTGTTACAACAAAACTCAACTTTGACAAACTTAGGTAATTTTCTCTTGAACATTGTAAAAGACTTCACAATGCATGCAGAGAAAAGAAAAGGTTGCAATTGTACTTTCCATCTACTTGTTACTCCCTCTGGATCTATTAAAGCTCCTAAGAATAAGAAGGTCTGTGTCTCACACTCAATAAGCTTGCTCTCTTTACAAGTCCAGCACATACTATCCTTCTCATTTCTGATTACTCTATTAATCTCTCTGAATGAGGCTTTGTAAATCAGGCCACAGCAAGACTGAAGTCAAACTGCCTCTTTGCTAATTGGCACTGCATTTGTGTGGAACAAAACCTCCCACTGAGCGACTACATTCAATGTTTTTCTTGTAGGGGGATCATTTTTGCTGAGGAGCAGCTTTCAGACCAGCACCAAGAATAAGCAAAACCAACCCAGCCCTTACTTATTCTTAGCTTTGGAATTTGCCTGAACCCCCCTACTGTTACGAGAAGTGGAGGCAGAGACACACACCAGAGGGCGACCAGGAATTCCTTTGCATCCATCATCTGATAAAGACGGTGCAGGATAATGGGAAACTACCCGTGGCTAAAACTTGAAGAGGCTAAATGGGAGGTAAGAGTAAGTAGTGATTGCACAAAACAGACTAGTGAACCCTTAATAACACCTCCTCCTCCATCCCAGGATACTTGAAACTGCTTATTAGAGCCTCTCCTTCTGGGAGGCAACACACCGCCCAGTCATCACTGTATCTCAACAAAACGACTAACCTTAACAGCAGACTCTGAACGCCAAGGATAGAAGCAGCCATGGTTTCACATTAACACATGATAACAAACAAGCAGCAGCAAATTAAGGGAAAGTTTGCTTTGAAGATTTCCAAAGTTGTTATCACTGATTCGTACTCAGATGGAGCGCATTTTCTAAGCTCAAAAGAGTCCTGGTGAATGAAGAAAACAAGGTGAGGAAGTTTGTAAAAACTGGCCCTCAGGAGGTTGCACAAAAACTCCAAAATGACACAGAAAAATGGAAAAATCATGATCTAGAGAGAGATAGATTAACTTTTTAGCATGGAACAATCAGCATTGTAATCTCAAGTAGGCCTAAAGCAGTGGTTCTCGACTGGTCTCACTCTGAGACCCACTTTTTCCCATGGTCCTCAAGTTGCGACCCACCTTTATAGAATTCCAACCAAGCAAATTAGTCTTTTTAATAAAAAAAAAAACCTTATCTTATCTTTAACATAAATCCACTTGTGTTATTGAGTAAAGTGCATTTTAGAGCGCATGAAGGGGACAACATGAGGACAACAACTACTGAAGTTGCTTGTGCAGAAAATTTTGAATATCTAATAAATATCACATTAAATATTTACTTTTCTGACCAGCTGTTAGTGACCCATCCAGAACGTGTCCGCGACCCACCAACTTAGAACCACTGGCCTAAAACATATTTAATGGATGGATGCACATGTCCACTCAAGGCTTCCATACAATCCCAACATGTCTCAGCACCCTGTCTGCACACAGCAAAGCACTTACAGTCACAAAGAATGAATGAATCCATGCTGAACTACATAAACACGTTATGTAAAGTTAATAGCACAAAGATTTTGTGTTTACCTTCTTAAGGCGTTCATGCATGACAGTCCGGAAAACTTGGCCCACGATTAAGCCAATCCCAACCACCAGCAGGGACGCGCAGATGACCCCAACCGCATAAATCGCACAGGATCTTCTCGTCATATTTTTGCAGGTGGCAGCAACTCAAGAAAGCTGCACTAGCGACTCTCGAGGATGAATGGAGGCTTAACTTTCCGCACTTCAAGCTACTTCTCCTTCTCAGCTCCGGCAAGGACTCCTCTTTGAATGGACAGCCTTAGATACAGAGGCTCCAATTGTGTACTTCTCTTTTGTTTCTGTTTGAGTTTCAGACAACTTTGCAACGATGGGAGCCGCTCGGTTTGTCTGACCGAGTTTCCAAGTTACAGAGAGTTGATGAGGATGTCTGTTTGCTTATGTTTAATGATAAAACGGTTAAGTTTGACAACCACGAGGTCCCCCGTGTCAAGTTGGAGGGGCAACCACACGGCGCGCTCAATAAAAAAAGGAAACTTCCGCGGAGTGTATTTCTAGCGGGCAGTAGCGGGCTCCCCCCTCCCTCCTCGTGAGCAGCACGCTGATTGGTCCGTGTAGTTTGTGCCCCTTTGAGGGATGAGTGAGTGCGCGTGAGTGCAACGAGTCTTGAACCGCTGAGCTTCAAGGACGATGAGATGAATCATCAGAGCGAAAGACACTCTAGTACACTTTCAGCGTGTGACCTTATAACGGTTTTACCTTAACGCCAAAACAGTAGTGAAATGAGTAAGTTAAAAGGTGTTATTGCACGTACAGGGGAGAGTGTGGGAAGTGAAACCAAAGGTTAAGTTGAGGTTAAGTTGAGATGGGCGTCAATTCATGGAGTCTGTGAAGGTTAGAAGCACATTTGGTGAAGGGGTTAGACATTTATTTATTAAAGAAAAACGTTTTTCACTCTTAAAAGTGAATTTAGTCTGTCATCAGTTTTATTAGAATTGTGTTCAGACCAAAAAAAAGATCATTTTAAATTTGTTTTATACATCAATTGTGGTATCTATGAGCTACAACATGAGGTCAAAAACCTAACATAAAAGTCCACCATTTTAGCTCAGAGGACTAATAAAGTCATCATAGTAGGATCAGAGTTTCAGTTCAGATTGTTGAAATGTGTTACTTCTTTTCAAAAATACAGCTGTGAATGTTCTGAATCACTTAAAGACATGCTCATGTTAAAATGGCTTTTTACAAAACAGCTTTTAAAGCAGTTATATGCAATAACAATAAAAAAGGGTATAATAGATAAAAATACACATGAATGTGAAGAAGTGACTGTTATTTAGGGAGAGAGAAAGTGAGGGAGGGCTGGGGTAGAGAGTGGAGAGGAAGTAGAGATTCGGGTCAACTTACTCCGCTCCTATGGTCAACTTACCCCATACACAGGGTAATTTGACCATAGGAGACCACTTTTTTTTTCTGCATGGCATATTATCAAGACAGTTATGTTTACACTCATTCTGTTGGTTTGCAGGGATGCACAACATCTTGAAATATATGCAGTGATCTGAAATTAAAAAAATTGCGTGTATACTCGTGTTGTAGTTGCTTAAGGGGATACTCTTGGAGGACAAGACAGTCACCCATGTTCAGGGCTGCCTTAACTTGCCCCTCGGCCCTGGGGCTGAAAGGTTTTGTAGGCCCCTTACACACCCCGTCATTTAGAGTCTTACCATAAATAAAGAGTAATATTTAGGTAATCTACATCTCAAAATGCAATTAATTCTCTCCAGGCATGCGACAGTAAGGTTTCCCTTTCTGAGCCAGAAAAAAATTATCATATTTTATTCAAAAAATCACTTAGCCTACTTGAACATAACAAAAGAAGAAAACTTTTCATTACAACCACACACAGCAATTCATGATTGTATGAGCCATTTTATCTATATTATTTTTTGAGTTTTGTTTTGTTGCTCGCACAATCACTACAAGGGGCAGTTCAGATGAATGGGCAGGTAAATGCTACAAAAGGGACACAGGTGAAGCATTGACCTGGGGAACGGGAAGAGCACACGGTTTTTACCGCTAATCTGCGACACTACTCTCACCCTCGTCACGTACATCACCATCGTTGTAAGTTGGACGTATCTGTCTTTTTTTAGTTTGTTTTTCATTTAATCAATAAAAACTACAACTTAACAACAACCTTGGATTGGACATTGGATTGTACAAGAAGCGCGTCAAAACACCTCACTCCCGCACCCAGACACTGACTAAAATTCAGGTCAGCATTGTCACTACAGCGATAATAAACGATAAGTGGGTCACTTGTAATTTGGATTGAATAGCAGCCACAGATGTGCATACAAAGTGACTGACAGCTTACAGCACAGTGATGGGCCCCTGGACTTTGTGGGCCCCCTCTGGTAAGCCGCGCATAAAGGCAGCCTTGTCAGTGTTGAGTGTATTGGAGCCTATTCTTGCCATTATAAGAAAATAAGAACAGAATCATTGCTGTTATGATAAAATGATAAAATGATGATAAAATAAGGGCCTTTGCTCACTCAAAAACCTGTTGCACTGTAACCTCCATGAATTATTGCATAGAAAGTTAAAGTTAAAACTAAGATTAAAAGTTTTCAAACTTAAGGACAAAGTGTGGAAAAAATATCAAAATGATGAGGTAAAAATGGGCTTATTTTAAGATAAAAAAGGTAATAATCAAGACACACTAAGGATACTGTTTATAGGGCTTTTTCTAATCCTATTTCCTCTTGTGATGGCAGACATAGGCTTCCATTGCATCTCTTATTATGTCAACAGAAAATGTCAGTAGTTCAAAAGGCCTATTGTATTCAAATTTTCTATCAACAATCTGGTGGCCCTGTAAAGTCACCTGAGGACAGGTACCAGTGTAAACCATAACACTGCTTTGACTGTGATAGTTTACTCAGTGTTATGTACTTGGGTGTTTCAGTTATAAACACAGAGCCAGCTTATCCCCATCAACAATAAGATGAGACACTAAACTACACACTCCAATGTTTGTTCTGAAAAGTTATGGATATCTACTGCTCTAAAGTATGAGGTATAACAAATCAGACATGTCCAGTGATTTCTTTGCTTCAAAAGACTTCCTCCACCAAGCTACTGTAGGGCACATGTCACACTTGAATGCTGATGGGAGAAATTTAAGGAAGTAGTTGACACAGAAAAATGGAGGAGGGTGTGCAAAAGCTTTGCACTGAAGAGGAACCAAAACTCTGAATATAACCCTATTAAAAAAGCAATGTCAATGCACTTCAGTGAAGGCTTATGAATACTTTTTCTTAGGTGATTATCAAACTACTTTTTAATCTTCGAGTTATGATCAAAAGCTACTACACTGAGCTGTCTAGATTACTTGAATAAATCAGCTACACGCATCAGCTGCATTAAAAAGCTCCCATTTAACTAGCTGCACAATCAAAATGCTGCTTGAACATAACTGCATTTGTCATAAAATATATATGGATTTTTATGCAGCAAGAATAGCCTCTTCTTTTGCTTTTTAAGTATGTTTGCACGTCATGCTAGTAGTACTTGTGTACTTTAAACCTGGAAAGATTTTGTACCAGGTTTTATTTCTTGTTGTTACTCAGTTTTTTTTAGTACTGTGTCTCTAATATTTCTATCCACATTGGTAAAAAAAGTAGGGGAACCCACTGAGCACAACGACACAGAAAGTACACAGGTAATGCAACAATGCATAAAAGTTAAAATAATTAGTTGCACTGTTAGACCTGGTTTGAGATGCTTTTGTTCAGGAGAAATTTAAAAGTTCCTTTAAGAGCACAGTGAAGTGAAACTGTCTTCCTGCACAAAGTGAAATGCCTACACACCATCTGTTATTTTACTGTAAGGCATCCAGCTTTCTTGTGTTATCACTCAAGACTTCACCATAGAGTGTGCATTGTGTCCCAAAATAACCGTCTAACTGTAAGTATGGCCTCCTCTCTGAATGGGCCGGTTATTGCATCACTGGAAAAAAAAAAATGTCATTCATGAGTCTGTGAACACAAATGCTCTCATGAAACACATTCTAAATTCTGGGTCATCTGACCTGATTGTGGCTTCTGCTTTTACTAAACTGGATGTGTAAAGGCTACAGGACTCAGAGTTCAGCATGCTGCACGTGGACCCTGACATGAACCTTAAACCATACTGTCAGCAACCACAAAGGGAGTGGGTTTGTACTTTTTTGAATGTGTCCATAAACTATTTTTAGATACTTTCATGTACAAAAATCACCCACCCTCTATCCTCAAGAAGACTTCTGAAAAAAGCAAAAAACTGCAGCTGTGAAAAATATCTTAAAATAGCTGATGGAGACTGTTGAAATAAGGTTTCTTTTTTAAGGTAAGTGCTTGGCAGGTAGAGTAGCAGAGAATATTTTGAAACCTGTTTCTCCAAAAGGAAAACAGCTATCCACTGTGAAACAAAATTAAGCTACAACAGCTATGAGAGTGGATCAATATGATAAATATCAGGAGTGGAGAGCTAAGAAAATTAGCTTATACTTAAATATAAAGTCACATTCACTTAAGAGCAGCCACAGATCCAGTTGATAACTCTCTGATGGTCTAAAATTTTGAGTAATCTGAGGCACATAACATTAATACATTTTATTATCAATCTTACCATTATAACTTTTTTTATGAAAAAAAAGAGGCATTGTGTCTCATAATGGGCTTTCCGTTAAAAATATCTCTAAATCACTTTCATACCGACTATATGTAACAGATGTAAATGTGATTATTAGTAAGCTCTAAGCACAGGTGATGTTTGATGTAGCTCCTATGATTTTTGCTGCCCCGTCCTTAATTTAAACAGGAAGTTATCAGTACCAGTGTCTTTCTTTCTTTCTTTCTTTCTTTCTTTCTTTCTTTCTTTCTTTCTTTCTTTCTTTCTAGCCAGCTGTTAGACAGGAAAACCTTGAAGAGTTAACTCACTCACTTGGCTCAACCTTGGAAGTAACACGCCTCCTTTACAACCATTATTTTGAGAAAACTTCACCTCATAAGCCCTGAGGGTCTTTGTTTTTACAGCCATAGTAGCTTTGAGATGCAAATAATGCAGCCGTAAACGAGTGCAAATGTAAATACAGACAAAATATACACTACCTTCAAAGAACAACCTGATTGGAGAACAAAATCAGGAGACATTTTCATCTGCTGCCCTAATTTTAAAAATAGGCTATAGGAAATATATCCATTGTCTCACACGGTCCCCCTGTAGTGTGCATTGTATTGGCCTCTGGGGCCCAGAAGTCAGCTATCTATAAACATCAAGCTTATGTTAAACAAAACAGGAAAATGCAATCAGCAGTGCTCCCAGTTTCAAAAGGATGTTGCACCTTTGTATGGTCATGTGAGGAAACATTGACAGAGTAATAGGATATATACATACAATCAAACCACATAAGCATGAGCTAATGGAGATTAGTTTGATTGGAATGTCTGATACCAGATAATGTATTTACTGTGAACATAAACATTCAATAGATAACCTTTTAAAAAGATCATTTTTGGACCATTTGTCTTTATTATATAGGAGCGCCCAATGTACTGCCGGCTCTGTACATGGGGCGCCTGCTTTGCAA